TCGGGAGTACAAGTACCGGAACTTACGAAGTTCCGGAACGAGACTAGAGAGTCGGGGGGACAGGAGAGGGGAGAGGTCGAGAGCGGAATAGAAGACAAGCTTAGGAACGTAGTTCGGGGGTCGGAGGTTCGGAGGTTCGGAGGTCGGAAGTCGGAGGTTCGGAGGTTCGAGGGTAGGAGGGAATTGGATAAGTGAACGAGATATCCGAACTGAGTAGCTAGTACAATCCAGTCCGGTTTAAATACATAGAAGCCTAATTGTTCTCGGAAACAATAAGAAGTACCGTAACGGAAAGTCCGGGACTTCGGGATATAACTCGTGTCTGAAAACAATAAGCCTTTTGTCTAGGTGAGTGTCTTGGCGCAAGGCGCCAAGAAGGAAAGGTCTAAATGGAAGAAGTCGGAATAGAGTCGGAAACTGGTAGTTCGTACGGAGGTTCGTAAGTTGGCACCGGGGGTTCGGAGGTTGGGCGCACGGGATGTAACACCGTGTCACCGCGAGGCGAAGCGGATAGCAAGGGCGATAGCAGCCAAGGCTTTGATCGCGCGAAGCGAGATTTTAGACTGCCAGAGATCGGGGTCCGCGACTCGGGCGAGGAACGCCGTGTCGCGATAGGCGCATAGCAGGCGCAGCGCAGCGCAACTCGAGAGGGAAGAGTTGATGCGAGATCCGCGTGCGATGACGACGCGGACCAACGCGCGCGTGGGCAGAACGCGCGCGCGGTGGCCAGCCGGGGAAACGAGGACTCGGAGTCCTGTTTTGATTCGTCGCACGCGCCGCCCTGCTGGCCGCCCCCGACGCTATGCCGAAGCATACATTGTGGTCGTTGAAGAAACTTCCGGGCGTCGTCTGCAAGACGATGAAATCCTTATGCGGCAGCCGCTGTCGTAACTCTGATGCACCACACGCCGTACGCGCCCAGGCACCCCTTATGCACCAACGGCCGTACGTTAGCGACTAATCTGACATAAGCGTCGGAGATTGTATTTGCCCTCCAAATGCGGTAAGAGGCCCCGGGAGAGGCTGCAGGGCCTGTTATCTCAATAGATAACAGGCGCTTTCTTATCTCTTTGGCCACATTAGGCAGGCACTTACTGATCTAATCCACAGGGCGCTTTTTTCGATTACACCTCGCCCAAATCAGGTAGGTGGCCCTGATCCTGGGGTGGACCACCATGCAGGGGTACTCCCAGCTCCTCTAGCTCACTCAATATTCGTCAGATTGACTTCGTTTCTTTTGCAGTATATGCGCATTCTTAGGGAGAACAGAACGCGCTCATTACGTCGTAAATCGGTTGATTTCTGCTTGTGCTATGGGGCTTACTGATGTTCTACTACAGCGAACGGAGTTCGTCACGTTGTGCCGCCGTTTCGTACCGCATCAACACGCGAATAGATGCGTTTGGAAGGTATGTACTATATCTCTCGGACGAATTCCTTCGCGCGTGATTCGATGGAGTTCTGGCGGCGCTGCAGCTGATGCAATGGGGGAGGGCTGCATGCTGCAGTTTCACCAGATCTTCACCAAATCGCTTCGTTTCTTTTGCAATGGGTGCTAATATACTTGTGTTATCTGGGTGTAGCATCCGCATAGGAACGCGCGCACTCAGGACTGGTTGAAGGACAATATACTGCTCAGCCACAGCCCCTTTCCCAGGTCGATCGCGCGCCAGCCAATTGGCGTATCGCAACGCGAAATACATCTTCTGAAAGCTGTGAACTGCACCTTCCAGACGATGTATTACACGTTGCGATCCGACCGCTGGTCGTTCCGGGGCAAGGTGGGCCTTCTCCTGCCTCACATACACACTCTCTGCTTATCTTTGCCCTTCAATGATTTAGAAAACCGGGTTTTCACGCTGAGGCATATATACACAGCGTATAATATGAGCCTACATGGATATGGGACCCTGTTAAGGTGCACAAAACGAAAATTGAGCTGGTTTTTGGACCTGTGAGTGGAACATGTCACCGGCAGCCAGGATTGTACTTAAATGCCAATCGCTTTCGCAGGGTAGTGTATGCATACCCTCTGTACATGATACCAAGATTTCAGCCTTATCGGCGACCAGGTGAGCGTGCTGTAGGCTTATCAGTACGGAGAAAGATCGCTCATTTGCACTCAACTACTGCCCAGGTCAAATGCGATATCTACCAGGCTGGAAACCCCCTGAAAACACCTTCACAACGAGCCCAAGATCGTAATTTTAGGTGAGGAAGTCGCAGAGATGTCAACTCATTAGTGTTGCAGGGCTCTCCTGCAGCAACCCTAGCTGCGAGCACAGAGAGATATCAGCACAGCCGCCCAGACCGTCTTAAGACGGTCTGGGTGATAGGAGTGCTGGAGCACTGTCTCGGACATAGCTCGCTTGTTTCTTCCTCAACGTTTATGAAACTTTGTACGTGTATAGTGCTATGTACTCGCTACTAGAATATGCGTTTTATAGGCTATTTGGCGACGATTTGCCCGCGGGAGTGATCATCTAATGTGGTATGGTGCAAACCGCGCTAGGGCATCATTTCGTTGCCGATCGCTCTACAATTCTACACGTCCATGCATGTACAGTACGGCTATCAAACGCAAAAAAGAGCGCCGTGATTGAAGCATTTACTGTGGCTGCACACGCGTTTTTGCCAGAGCTGTGCAGAACATATGTATATTGTGTCCTATGCTGCAAACACATCCTAGTAGAGCATTGAGACTCACAATATACGCTATTAGGCAACATATAAACAGGAAAAAGGCATTACATAGCTGCTGTAGCCAAGGCACATAGATGAATCAAGCTATAGAGGGGACAGGGGACCAGGAGGATATATACCTTGCCCCGGAGCGACCAGCGGTCGGATAGCGGCGTGTAATGTACCGTCAGATAGGTACACTCGATGGCTTTTAGGAAATGTAATTTGCGTGGCAATCCGCCCAGCGGCTGTTGCGTGATCGTCCTGGGAAAGGGGGTGTGGCTGAGCAGAGGATGCTCCGTTGCGCGGTCCTGAGTGCGCGCGGTCCCGCTCAAATGGAACCCCCTAATTACACATCAAAATTAGCACCAAGCGCAAAAAGAACGACGCGATTTGGGGGAGATCTGGTGGAGCTGCAGTATGCAGCCCTCCCCCCACTGCATACCGTGCAGCGCCACCGTATCTGCACCAAATCGCGCGCAGAAGGTCTCGTCCGAGAGATATAGTACATACCTTCAAAATGCGTCCATTTTTGTGTCGACGCGGTACGAAACGGGAGCGCAACGCGCAAAACCGCGTTTCCTATAACATGATATCAGCTCTCTTGATACTGGCACTACTACTGCACCGTTCACCGTCTAAAGTGGCGCGTTCTGAGCGCCCAATAAATTCGAACGTACTGCAAAAAGAACGAAGTTAATCGCATAAGAATAGAGCGAGCTAAGGCAGGTGGGGGTACCCCTGCATGGTGGTCCACCCCAGGATCAGGGCCACCTACCTGATTTGGACGAAGTGTGATCGTAAAGAGCGCCCTGTAGATTAGATTAGTAAATGCCTGCCTGATATGGCTGAAATGATAAGAAAGCGCCTGTTATCTATTGAGATAACAGGCCCTGCAGCCTCTCCCGGGGCCTCTTACCGCATTTGGAGGGCAAATACAATCTCCGACGCTTATGTCAGATTAGTCGCTAACGTACGGCCGTTGGTGCATAAGGGGTGCCTGGGCGCGTACGGCGTGTGGTGCATCAGAGTTACCACAGGAGGTGTATGCGGGGGCCACACCGGTATGTTCCGATACGCGGCGTCAATGTCGAGCAACGCGACTCTCGTGCCCGGCGGGGCGTTCGCGATCTTCGGGATCTGTCAGAACGATGGACCCCCTCGTAGACATCCTCGAAGCCGAGGGGTGCGGAGCCAACGTAAAATGGGTCGACGACCTGTTTAACTTCGTATTTCCCATCTCGGGGACGTGCGAGGAAGACTGGGTGTACGGCCACAATCTCGAAACGATCCTGGAGATCACAACTCCTTTGGGAGTGCCTTGGAGCCTCCCGAAGTGGCCGAAAGGGCACGGGTTCTCGGGGGAGTACACGGGTTTCCTCTGGGAGATCCCCGAAAAGCGCGTATCACTTCCCGAGGGGAAGCGCGCAAAGTACTTGGCGAAAGTGATCGCGTTCCTGGACCTCGTTTGCAACGGGAAACGGATCGATTACAAAACGACCGCGAGCTTAAACGGAACATTATCTCACATTACTTTCGTCTACCCGCAGGGCCGCACGTTCCTGACGAACCTCTGCGCGTTCATCGCCGCATTCGGAACAAAACGCGCCGTCTTCAAGCCGCGTTTCCCAGCCCCTTCCGTGATCACCGACGTCAAGTGGTGGCGCCGGACACTCGAACAGCCCGGCATCTACCGCGACCTCAGGCCAAGAGGTGCGACCCAGGACTTGGACATCTGAGTTGACGCTTCGGAAGCGTGGGGCATCGGGCTCGTCGTAGGCCACGAGGCGGTGGGGTGGAGGTGGACGCTCCCCCTATCGCAGTGGAAGAACAACGGCCGCGAGATAGGCTGGGCGGAGATGGTGGGAATGGAACTCGCCCTCCGTTACCTCGAGCAACTCGGCGTCTCGAACGCAAGCGTCCTCGTCCGAGGGGACAATAACGGCATGATCGGCGCGATCGAGCGCGGCCGAAGCCGGAACTTCCAGGCAAACGCGTCAATCAGACGCATGGAGGTGATTGCCATGACACATAACATCCACGTATCACCCACGTACGTGAACACGAAGGTAAACCGCGCCGACCCCGTATCTCGCGGCATACGGGTCGTCGGTTTGTCCCCCCTACCTGTCTCATTTTCGCTCCCGCCGGAGCTCGAACCTTTCCTGCACCTCCATGCGTGAGGCGGGGAAGGGAAAAGCGCGGGCACGTGCCAGCGCGCACGCGAAGAAGAGGGTAACGTCGTCGGCCGGTAGGACACCGGCGATCGCGAAGCCCTCGCCGCCAATTCTTCGTGTGCGAAAGCCTCGGAAACCGAAAACAGAAAACCAAATCACGACCTCGAACTTCAGACCGCATGTCCTCGCCGAGGACCGACTCGCCGCGTGGCACACGCCATTCGGCTCAGCATTCCGTTCCACCGCATCATCATTCCTACCGAAAGAAACTTCCTCCCTCCTCTTCTCGACCATGCTCCAGGCGATCGAACCGAAAACCCGGAAAAATTACGGCGCCGGCCTCCTCCGATTCACCCAGTTCTGCGACTGCATCCACATCCCCAAAAAGGATCGGATGCCCGCGAACGAAACGTTGCTCGCAGCTTTCATCGCCACATGGGCGGGGAAAGTCGCGAGGACGACTACGGACTCGTGGCTGGCAGGCCTCGCGTTCTGGCACACGCTCAACGGAGCGCCCTGGCACGGCGATCGGATACTGCGCACGACTTGCCAAGCTGCGGGGAAGCTCGAGCCCGCGAAGCTGGCGAAGCGTCCACCGGTGACGCTCGAGCACATGCACGCGCTACGCGCGGGCCTCAACTTGAGCAACGCGTTCGACGCGGCCGTGTACGCCACCGCGTGTTGCGCCTTCTGGGGCTGTAGACGCCTGGGGGAACTGGTCATCGGTTCGCGGAACGCGTTCGACGCGGCGAAGCACGTCGCGCGGGGCACCACTGTGAGCTTCAAGGAGCTTCCCGGCGGCGCCAGGTACGCCATTTTCCACATCCCGTGGACCAAGACAACGAAGTTCGCGGGCGCAGACGTCGTCTTGACCGTGAACCCGGACCCCACGGAACCGGCGTCCGCGTTGCGCCACCATCTGGTCGCGAACGCTAGCGTTCCCGCGACAGCACCCTTGTTCAGTTTCGAAACGGACTCGGGGGCATGGGCGCCGATGACGCGGGACTGGTTCCTCGACCGGTGCAACGAAGTCTGGAAGGCAGCCGATCTCGGGGAGATCTCGGGGCATTGCTTCCGCATCGGCGGGGCGACCGAGCTGCTCCTCCGCGGGACGCACCCGGACATCGTAGCAACCCAGGGGGGATGGAAATCACGTTCGTTCCTCGAGTATTGGCGAAAGATAGAAAGCATACTTCCCCTGTTCATTTCCTCATCGTTTGACAAGTCTCGTTTAAAGCTCGTAGAAGATTCAATGACCGCGTTCAAGCGCAAGTACGGACCTCGATAGAAGTTTTTTCACCAGCATACACCGTGTATCAGTAATCCAAGCTGATTGTTTTTTATTAATCGTTACGATAGACTTCAGCTCCGCAGTAGGGGAGCCGTGGCGAAGCCACGCGGCGGGCGCGCGAGCCTTGGGCTCGCGGCGTCTGGCGAGTCGCGCGAGGCGTTGCGCCACGGCTGTGTGTGGCTCCGCTGTACGGTGGTGAGCCTTCGCACATCACCTCGCGCTCAAGCGGGTTGTTCGGACGTACGTGCGGTCTCTTTCCGCGGGTTTCGCAGCGCGCGCGGTTCGGAATTCATCCGTCCGCGGCGCGCCCGAAATCGCGGTCGGCCCCGTCGAGTGGGGTCACGTGACCTCCCCCGCACGCCGAACACACGCTTCCCCCCCTACTGCGGGAAACTAGCACTTAGCCTCGCGGCGGTTCTAGATTCCCTTCGTCTTGTTACGGAAACGAGAAACCTCGCCGACGCGCGGGCCTCAGCGGACCGCCAACTTTGCGGTCGACTCCGCCGTTTCTCGTTTCCTCACAGCTCTGACCCAGTCTCACGCGCTATTAGGAAGCGAGGGCGCGGGGTCGTCTTCGCCGGCGAGCGCGGGGCCTGCGCTGAGGGAGGGGTCACAGAGCGGGTAGCTGTGCGGGCAGCCTGCGAGCTGGTCTGTGGCGGATCGCGCGGCGAAGGTGGGGGCGGAGTGGATGTACATCGCGGGGTCTTGTGATGGGTATGGGCGTGGCGGTCGTGTCGAGCTTGTGGCGTGAGGGAGGTTAGGGGATAGCGCAGCCCGCCGACGCAGGGGCGAGCTCGCGGGGGTCAAAGGAGGGGGTCGCTAGAGGAGGTAAGGAGGACGCACGGAGGACGGTCGCGAGCACATATGTTCGCTCGGTCCGAGGCGAAGGCGCGGCGGCTGCGGCTGGCTTCTGCTCGCCGTGCACCGGAAATGCCAACAAACATGCAGCGCGCGGGCAGGCCCTCCCGAGGAACGGCGTTGGATTGTTTACATCATTGGTACATGTACTTACTACACTGCTGCTCGACGTCACATCGCTATGTCTTCACACTCACTCTATGTCGGCACGCTTCTCTCCCTCCGCCCGTCTCGGACCCGGAGCATTCCAGCCCGGGCTCGCATCGATCGGGGAGCGGGGGAAGGTTGCGCGCTATCGCCCGGACGCACACATCTAGGGCTCTAGCCGCTTGGGGTCTCTGGGGAAGAGCGATGCGCGGCGGATGTTGTTGAGCTTGAGGAAGAGCATGAGCACGCGCTCGAGGCCGATGCCGCCTCCACCGTGCGGCGGGCATCCGAGCTTGAACGCCTCGAGGTACGAGCTCATCGACGCGGGGTCGACACCCTTCCCGCGCATTTGCTCCGCGAGCAGCGTCGCGTCGTGCACACGCTGAGCTCCCGAGAGGATCTCCTCGCCACGCATGAAGAAGTCGTACGAGTTCGACACAGTCTGTGAGAGGTGTGATTAGACAGGTTTTGGGTGATTAGGCGGTGTGGAGACGTACCGGGTCCTCAGGGTCGGGCATTGTGTAGAATGGGCGTAGTGCCATGGGGAACTTGTCGATGATGAAGTAGTCGGTGTCGTACTTGGCGCGAACGAGGCGGCCGAGACGCTTTTCGTTTGTCGTGCTGGACACGTTCACTGTCAGCCTCAAACAATCCCATATCATGCAGCGGCCCACTCACTCGATGTCGTCGAGGTCCTCCCGCGGAACACCGTCCTCGACAAGAATGTTCACAGCCTCCTTGAACGACAGCTTGAGCGTGCCCTCGGGGCCCTCGCGCCACTTGAACTCGTCCGCGGGGAACTGCTTGCGCACGGTCTCGATCTCGCTCGCGTACTTCTGCTTCAAGCTGCGGAACATATGCAGGAAGAGCCCGTCAAGCAGTTCCATAACTTCATGATAGTGTTCCTCGATGGCCATCTCGAGGTCGAGCCCGATGAACTCCGTCATATGCCGGTGCGTGTTCGAGTCCTCCGCGCGGAAGACGGGCCCGATCTCGTATACGCGCTCGAAGTCTGCTGCGATGGCCATCTGCTTGGCCAGCTGGGGGGACTGAGCGAGGAACGCCTTGCCTGGATGCGGCGCTGTGAGCGGTGGGGTTGCATGGTGGGTCTGGCGCACTTACCCTTGAAGTAGCTGACCTGGAACACGGACGCGCCGGACTCCGTGGCGGCGCCCTGGAGTTTGGGGCTGTGGATTTCGATGAAGCCCTTGCCGTCGAGGAATTCGCGGAAGAGGTGGCCGATCCCGTGCTGGAGCTTGAACACGGCCTGGTTCGTCTGTGTCCGGAGGTCGACGACACGGTTGTTCAGGCGGGTGTCGAGAAGGACGCGCTTGAACTGGACGTCCTCCGCCTCGGTCTCCGCGGGTTCTGGCCTGTTTGCGTCGTCGACGGTGAACGGCAGAACGGTCTCTAGTCCGGAGATGAGGTGCAACTGAGCGCATTGCCCGGTTAGTCATGACTGATGAAATGCTGCGCGATCTGACTCACCTGGGTGAGGTGCAGCTCGACGTCTCCCACTGTAGCGCTCTTGATAATCTCCGGTGATTTCTTGACCACGCCCTCTGCGAGCACGATGCTCTCGATTTGGAGGCCTGCAGCCCATTTCGCCATCTGTTTGCTGACCTTTTCGGGCGCGACAGAGAGGAGCGCTTGCACGGAGTCGGTGCGCTGGCGGAGGTTGAGGAATACCATCTTGCTGCCCTGTGCGCGCGAGGTCTGGACCCGTGCGCGGAGGAGCACCGTCTGGCCGTCCATGGCGGGGGTGAGGGCGGCGATCTGCACGCGCTCGCGCCTTGGGCGGGATTGTGACTTGTTGAGTGGGAGCTTGCCATAGAATTCGGTCGCGTAGTCCTGTATGGTTGACGAGGGCGCGGTCAGCGGACGTTCAGAGTCCTGAGTACTGCAGCGGGTGCTCACGACATCAGCAGCGGCTTTCTGCGCATCGAGCTCCGCCTGTTTGGCAGCCTTCTCTGCAGCCTTGCGCGCCTTCTCCTCCTCCTTTGCGCGTTTCTTCAGCTCGCTCTTGGACGGCCCCTTGGGGGCCTCTGCGCCCTCTGTGGCGGCACTTTAGCCGAATTTGAGTATGAGGTTTGTGCACGGGATGTATGCGTGCTTACGGTTGTTCTGAGGGTGGGTTCTGGATGGGCTCTGAGTCGGCCATGGTGTATGCTGTATGTGAGGGCTCCCAGTAGTGTTCCGAAAGATTTTATAGAACAAGTGTGAGTCTAGCAGCGCTCGAGAGTCGAGTCGAGGACAGTCAAGTTATCTGATCTAGCCGCGTCCTGGGGTTAGGAGATCGCAGTAAATGGGGTTAGGGTCTTGCTCTAGAGCCCGCCCCGGCCGTTCTACCGCCACCGTGCGAAATCAGCTGAAGCCGACTGCCCGGACTCAGCTGGCCTGCGCTTCACTCCGGGCTGCAGTATATACCACCACCTCTCCGCTTTTTCTTGCTCTCCACTCCCCCCGCTCCCCCTTCTCCCCATCGTCGTCGTTATGCAGGCCATTGCCCGACCTCTCGCGCGCGTTGCGCCCAAGCACGTCCGCTACACCGGCTCCCTTTCCGCTTGGTCTGCCGTCCCGGCTGGCCCCCCGGATCCTATTCTCGGTACGTGGCAGCTCTTCCTACCCCGCTGTGCGGTATATCTGCCGGAGAACCGTTCTGTCTCTACTGAGAACCCCCTATACGCGTCGTGTGTTCATGCTGGGTCGTGGGCGTGCCCAAAAACACATCGCCTGCTTCCCCACATTCCCCACATCACGCGTCTATAATCGCTTGCAGACGGACCGCTGACCGCAGCTCCCGCCACCAGGTGTCACCGAGGCGTTCAAGGCGGACAAGGACCCGCGCAAGATCAACCTCGGCGTCGGCGCGTACCGGGATGAGAACGGGAAGCCGTACGTGCTCAACGCCGTGAAGAAGGCGGAGGAGATCCTCGTCCAGCAAAACCCGGACAAGGAGTACCTCCCGATCACGGGTCTTCCCGAGTTCACCCAGGCTGCGGCCAAACTCGCGTACGGTGCCGACAGCGCGCCCCTTCTGGCCAAATCTGTGCGTGTTGCCCGTGGTCAGAGCCATTGTGATGCAACAGCGGTCTGATGCCGGTGTGCGTGTTCGCTAGGTTGCGGCGACGCAGTCGATTTCGGGCACGGGCGCCCTCCGCATTGGCGGCGCGTTCCTCGGCCGCTTCTACCCTCACTCCAAGACCATCTACCTCCCGAACCCTTCGTGGGGCAACCACACCCCCATCTTCCGGGACTCCGGCCTCGAGGTCAAGACCTACCGGTACTTCGACAAGAAGACCGTCGGTCTTGACTTCAAGGGCCTCACGGAGGACCTCAAGGTGAGCGGGCTCTCTCGCACATACTAGGACCTTTATTCACGCGCGTGCGCATCTTAAGAGCATGCCCGAGAAGTCCATTGTCCTTCTCCACGCTTGCGCCCACAATCCGACGGGTGTGGACCCCACCCCCGAGCAATGGAAGGAGATCTCGGACATCGTGAAGGAGAAGCAGCTCTTCCCCTTCTTTGACATGGCGTACCAGGGCTTCGCGTCTGGCTCGACCACGCGTGACGCGTTCGCCGTGCGGCACTTCGTCTCCGAGGGCCACCAGGTCGCGCTCTCGCAGTCGTTCGCCAAGAACATGGGCCTGTACGGCGAGCGTGTCGGTGCGTTCTCGCTCGTCACCGCCGACCCCGAGGAGCGTGCCCGCGTCGACAGCCAGCTGAAGATCGTCATCCGGCCGATGTACTCGAACCCGCCGCTGCACGGTGCGCGCATCGCCGCGACGATCCTGCGCAACGAGGACCTGTACGGGCTCTGGGAGTCCGAGGTGAAGCACATGGCCGGCCGCATCATCCACATGCGCCACCGCCTGCACGACAACCTGGTGACCCTCAACACTCCCGGCGACTGGCAGCACATCAAGCGCCAGATCGGCATGTTCAGGTATGTATCATCTTAGTAGCCTTTGTGGGGTCTCGTCTCACATATTCGGATAGCTTCACGGGTCTCACGCAGCCCCAGACGAAGGCGTTGGCGGAGAAGGCGCATATCTACATGACCGCCGACGGCCGTATCTCGATGGCTGGCCTGAACGCCGGTAACATCGACTACTTCTCGGAGAGCGTGAGCAAGGCGGTCAAGGGCGAGCTCTAAGTGCGTCCTGTGGGTGAGATAGAGTCTAGACGACCACTAGATGTCCGAGCGCCGTGAGCTAGAGGACGGTGCGCTTTAGACGAGTACCGTTGCTTTGTCTATTGGTAAAATGCGGCTAATGGAACGGTTGAGTGGTTTGACACGCATTTCCCCGCACAAGTCGTCGCCCATGCTTCGGCTCCTGTGATCGACGGTGCCGGCCCAGACAAGCAGGCTTTCCGCCCGATCTGGCCTGCTCCCGCCCCATGTTCGGGCGTGCGTTAATGGAAGAGCCGTCATCTTTTGACAGGTATGTGCTTATAGGCGCTTCCTTGTGTTGAAGGTTGAGGAGGATCGGCGGAACATGTCCGAGAAAGGCAGGTGTCATAATTGAAAGGCCAGTCCGTTCCGAGACAGAGTCCTCCGCCGTCCTCCCGCACCCCCGCCCTCCTTTTCTCTCGACCACCACCTTCCTTTCTTCAGCCATGTCGTCCCCACCCTCCTCTCCCTGCTCGCCCCGTCCACCTCACGTTCCTTTTTTCCCTGGCGCGTGGCCTAATCTGTCTCAGGAGAGCCTCGATCCCGACGTGTCCACTGCCTCCTTTCCCGTCATGTCCGGTGCTCGAAATTACGACGCCCTCAGCGACGCGGCACGCAGGCGATGGACATATACGGGCCCGGGGCAGTTCACCGTGCCGGTGTTCTCCGCATCTCCTACCAGCCCAGACTTCGCACCTCTCACCGCGAGCGCGTCGCACAACTCCCGAATGTCTGGCCTCACCGATAATACGGTCGGTCACAGTCACGTGTGCGACGTGAGCATGGACTAACAGATGTGTTGCTAGCTGTCCAGTCCTGCCTCGAGCGCACTCAATACACCGGAAATGACGAGGTGGACGACTCTTCCCGCCTCTCCAACGGAGAGCAATCACCTTCGGGCGTCCTTCGGTGCCGGTGACGAGACGCAATATTCGCCGAATGCCTTCACGGGGAAGAGCGGAGCTCATGCCCCTCGCTATGAAGCCGGGGTGCCCCTGGCGAAGCAGTCGTCCTCCCCTTTAATGCGCGATCGCTATGGGTCTCCATCCCTAGACGCTCCGCTCCTGAACATCATCCCTGGTCTGCCCCCTCTCAAGTTCCCTCTCCCGGTGTTCTCGTCGCGCCACGGACGTTATGATTCTCTCCCGGCACCACCCTCCCCGTTGTCTGAATCTTGCTCGCCACCGGCCTCGTTCACCATCCCGTCCCCGAGGGAGGAATACTCCCCGTCGTTTTCTCCATCAGCTGCTCCCTCGCCGTCTAGCATTGCTACAGATTTCTTCCCTATAGAAGAAGCGACTCCCCAGCCTTCACCGCAGCTGACTATCCCGTCTCTCCCCTCGAGCACGTACGTCTCCGACGCCGATTCGCTCATTTTGCCTCCCTCCGAGAGCGCCGATGCTCATGTCCGCCCCACCTTCGTGCACGCCTCTACGTCGGCCTCACAAATGGACGCTTTTGCGTTAGCGGCTGCCGTAGCCGCATCACCCTCACAGTCGTCCCTGTCGCTCCCAACTTCATTCCAGTCACAGTTCGCCTCCGGGACCTCCGCCGCCTCCTTCAACACGCCACTAGCCTCGCCAGCTCGGGTAGTCCGCCCCTACGCTCCGCGGCAGCCGTCATGCACAACGCAAGCCTCCACAGGCCATCGCGCCGGGACTACTCGTAGTGTTGGCTTCGCTGAGCTAGTGGCCGATGACGATTCTGATACCCCTGGAATTCGGTCTCGCGATCGCATGGACGAAACCCGGTGGCGGCGCCGCTCTGCCCCGCCACCTATCGTGAGGCGAAGTCCTCGCCCTCTGGTTTCCAAAACAATCAGCAGCAGGGTGGACGTTGGTTCGTCACGAAGGCTTCGATCTGCCAAAGAGCCGGTGTTGGGCAAGATGCGGAAAATCGGGGAACGGATACGAGGCCTGTTCAAGAACAAGGATGCCAGTCCGGTGAAAGCAAGAAGTAGCGGATTAGATCCTATTCAGCCCGCCCTCGCATACGGGCTTATGACGACGACGACCGCCGTTACGAATGTGGAGTATGAATCCGTAAGTCACACTACTCGCCGCTCATATATCCTAGCCTGAACTCATATTCCCGTGGCAGGAACATCCTATCCCGGCACCCAGTCCCCGGGCCAAGATGATGCGGAATCACCGTCGCTCCCTTCCCTTGCCATCTCTTCTTCTGCCGTCGAGCGCAGAGAATATTGCTTCGGCAATATTTAAACGTCCGTCTGCGCACCGTGCCGGTAGCTCTTGGCTCCCTCAGGAATCTTCCGAGGATGCCGAAGAGCTTTCTTCGCGAGACGAACGGTCGTCTTACACTCCCACTCATTCCCCTCGCACACCGAGGCCACGGCGGCAACGCAATGTCACCGCAGACCAGATCGAGGAAACCCAGGCGACGGCGCAGCCTGGCCTGAAGGCGAGAAGGTTCTCTTTGTCCTCCGCCCTGCCCAAGTCACGTCTCGACTCGCTACGTTTGACTATGCTGCCCCGTCCGAGTCCGCCTCTACCCTCGATGCCCTCACATTCTTTTCACGACAACGTTCCTCTATCCTCATCGTCACAACTCGCAGATCGAACGCCATCAGCCGATGAATTCGGCAGCGGCTACTGGGGAGAGGAGCTCCCAAGTGTCCAGATCACCCGCGGTAGCCCAGATCTCTATTCCGTCGATGCTTCTCCGAGGAGAATGCGCACTCAAACGGCACCCTCAGCCCCCCAGATCTTCCCAGAGGAAGTAGACACGGTTAATACCACCCCGAAGGCTAAGCGACCTCGCCGGTTTTCCCTGTCTTCGATGATGGCAAGACGGGCATCCCGCAGTCGTATCGGCGGGCGGACCTCAATGCTGCCAAGTGCTCATATACCCCCAATCCCCACCAGAGCTGTCCCAGATCAGCCTATCCGTCGGGCGCGCGGAGACACGATCACGACGATCACGCAGGGTGTCCCTTTCGACATGGTTCAGCCCAGGCACGCTCTCGGCGACCATGTCGATCCCTCCACAGACGGCGTCCCTGGCAGTTACAGTCGGTTCAGCGTATCCTCTACCATCTCTAGTTCGCATACCGGATCCGCCTACTTCGACGCCCGGGAGCAGCTCAGCGAGGACAATCACCATTCTAGCTCTGATGCGGACAGATCTTGCTCGCCCGGGCTTGAGTCCGACCTAGACAGCATGAGCTTTGCGCGCACGCCCGAATACTGCAGCGGGACGTTCAGCTTCAGATCCAGCGGAGACCGCCCCCGCTACCTCGACACCGACGAACTCTCCATCCCCGGCTCCTACCACTTCAAACCGAGTCTGGTGGGCAAATGCGCGAGCACCAGTGCTGTCTCTCATCTGTTCAGCGAGCGTACGAGCGCTCCGGTGAAGACTCTGCGGTTCAGCCCGAGCTTGAGCCTGTCGTTCGACAGGTCGTGGTCGGACGACGGAGAGGGCGACGATAACGAGATTGGGATGATGGACCGGGAGGAGGACCGCGGATTCATGCGGGCACTGGGGTTCGAGTTCGACGAAATCGCGCGGAGGGTTCGGGAGGAGCCAATCTGACCTCGGGGTCGTGTATACGGCCGGGACCAGGACATCGCGACCGACTATGTGTTGTACGATCAGTGAGTTTTTAGGTTTTTGAGGGGCTGTCGCAAGACATAGACTACATTCGTTCATCTCGTTATTCGGGTTCCTTCTCTCCAGCTCATGTTAAATCGTACGTGTAAAAGCTGTGTATCAGACTCTCAAGAAGAGAATGTACTTGTACCTCATCAGCTATATAATCCGAAATATAATGCGTTCAGAAGTACTGGCAATCCGCAAACATTCTTCTCGGCACACATGTGCACGTCAAAAATCATTGACTACACGAGTACGATATGTCGATTCTCCTTCTGCTACACGCTGACTACCTCCGCGAGACTCTACTAGTAGGTGGGTGGAAATAACTAGATGTCCAAGTCCTCATCCGGATCGTCGTCGTCGAGATCGTCTGCAGAATCTGGGTCGTACAAGATGGCTGCAGGAGCATGTGTCTGCCCTACAGGTTTCCCTGATGATTTGACATTAGCGACATTCGGTCATGCGATGATTTGGAGCGTACCTTCGTGTGCATAGGGAAGCGGCACCTGTGCACGCGATCGTTGTTGTTCCGGCGTGAGGTTGAGGTTGAACGACAAGTTCTGCGTCGGATCCGGACCGTTCTGGGTCTGCAAGCCGAACACTTAGCCAAGACACATCGAAAAAAGAGACTGCATAACGTACCTCAAACACAGGCCTCTTCGCCCACAAGCTCTTCAAGCTCTCCAGCTCCCGCAGCTCGCACGCGCCCCCAACAGCAGGCGACCAGCCCTCGAGCACGCGCTCGACGCCCCGCCGCCGCCCCGCCCCGTCCGCCCCACCCCGCACGAGCACTTCGACCGCGCACTCCTGCAGCCCGCTGCCCTCGCCCCCGGGCCCGAACACGAGGCGCTCGGACTCGTACGGGCGCTCGGAGATCGGGATGAAGACGCCCCAGAATTTTTCGGGAGGGGAGAGCGGAGGAGGGGGGGTAAGGTAGGCGGAAGCGAGGTGTGTGAGGAGCGCGGGCGGGTGGGCGATGAGGTGGGTGAGGGATGGGGAGAAGCGGGTTTGCGTGAGGATGGGGATTAGGGGGGAGGGGGAGAGGAGGTGGAGGATGAGGCGGGAGGTGCCTGTGAGAGGGGGGATGTGAGTTTGTTTTGAGCGATGATGGTGAGTGAACACTCACCGCCGCGGGCGCGTATGATGGCGAGCAGCTCGGAGAGGAGACGGGTCGTCTCTGACACTGACTCCAAGTCGGAGAGCAATGTGTCGACAGAATCGATGCTGACATTCAGAGGACCCTCCGGAGCTAGCAACATATAATCAGAAGCTGGACTATATGCATAATGCGCAGGAGTGCTCACTGGATTGGACGGCCTCGAGGACGGTCTTCCTCAACGAAGAGCACTGAGCTCCTTCGTCGTCCATGTCAATATCGTAGCCTGGCACACATGATGTCGTGTCCACGATTCGCACATTGGATGGCGGTGCGCTCGAGGACTGTAGGAAACTAGAGGGCGGGTACAGGAAGCAGAACAGGACAGTTGTTTCACGCGTCCGTTCGCTCGCCTGTTTTACAACTGCGCGTGCAATCGGGAGACATGTCTGAGCAGACGAAGACTGAAGCAAGAGGAGGTGCTGGTTGCGCGCGGGCTGCGCGATGGCGGAGGAGAGGAGAGACGGCATTTTTGGAGGACTCACTCCCAGCGCGAGTGGATGTGCAGATCTTACCGTGATCTCCGAGAAAGTCGGGGTGCTTGCCGACCCCCGCGTTCCGGCTCGCCGCGGCCGGTGCGTCTTGCGTCTTCCCATGAGGTGGACTGCACGGGAGCCCGTGTTCGCAATAATTGCCTGCTTTCGATGATATCGCGCACACGCCCTCTCAATTGTGCTATTCCGAGAATGTCTAGCAAGCGAGCCTCTGATTGAACAGTGCTTTCACTTCCCCTTCGTTCCCTGCCCCCTGTGCCCACTTTTGCAGATCATGGCCAACATAGTCAACGTATGTACACTGGTCTTCCTGGTCATATAATTTGGCACTGAATGCACGCGCCACCCGTATAGTTTCCTGTGTCTGTGGATCACTCTATGGAGGCGCTCCCTGCGACCTCCCGCATTCGCCAGATCTATCCCGAGGACCTGTTCCCGAATGGCAGCCTGGATTACTGGAGTTTGTACAGATATGCAACGCTGACACCTGCCATCGTCATTAGGAAACTATGCTCAACTTCCCTATGGCCGCGTTCGGTACTGGCTCCTAGGCCCCGAGGACGGCACCAAGGTGAGTTCTGCCAACCGAACCATCTTACCCTCCGCGGCTCAGAGCGTCGCATAAACGCCCCAACTTGACCGCAAAGGTCGTGCTCATCCACGGGATCTCCACACCTGGAGTGACTTGGAAAGAGATCGCACCCTACCTCGCGGAGCACGGCTTCCGCGTCCTCGTATATGGTACGCATCGTCACTGCGACCTCTCAACGCGCACTCACCGCAAGCTATCACTCATGCTTAGATCTGTACGGAAAGGGCTACTCTGAAGCCCCGAAGACGGCCTTCGATGCGACGCTGTTCGTCGTCCAGCTTGCCCTCTTGCTGCAGTACATTCGCTGGGACGCCGCCCACATCGTCGGCTTCTCCATGGGCGGCGGCGTCGCCGCCTCATTTGCAGCGTCCGTGCCGCATCTCGTCGCAGGCAAGGTCGTGTTCATAGCTGCTGCCGGCTTGCTCACGGTAAGTCCCGCTGTCGCTCTATGTATGTTCCATCTCGATCTCATAGTTTTTGGGCAGCGTCTTAGTGCGCCGAATCCTGTACGTCGATGCCGCCGCCAGCGTTCTCTGGGACTCGTCCTGAACAACATCCTGAACAATATGTATGATACATAGAGCGCACGAGTTCCGATTCCGGAGCATTTAGAGGTGAGCACTGAGCACCCGACGACATGTGGTACTGGAAGATCCAGCAGCCCTGACACCCGATGGCAGCTCCGCGATCTGCAGAGCAGCGCGCTCCCCGGGTACAAGCGCAGCCTCCAATCGTGCGTCGACGTCGGGCCTATCCGCGGGCTGGAGGCTGCATACGATGCTGTCTCCAAGGTCGCAGCCGGCCCCGCGCAGGAGCCGCTGCAAGTACTCGTCATCCATGTAAGTCTGGCAACCTCGCCCGAATCGACATGCAATGTAACATGGCGCATATATGCAGGGCACCGACGACGCCATCGTGCCTTACGAAGAGGCGAACAAGATCAAGGGACGGGTGCCGCAGGCCGAGATCGTGCCTATAGAGGGCGCGACGCATAGTTTGGTGCTGCAGGAGGGCCATTGGCAGATCGTGGCGGAGAACCTGGCCCGGTTCTTGAAGTAGGACGACTGCGCGACAATAACAGGCAAGATGTATGCGCGACATATCGTATGGCAGATGATTATAAGCACAACAAGCTTCGTGAACTACAAGTATAGCATGCGTATAACGCAGAAAAGCACACCTATTGCTTCTCCTGCAACGAGTCCCATCGACTCCTGTCCAGTATCCGGACGCTTTGCTGCCACCTCAATGTCCCAACCCGCTCCGCCTTCTTCTCAAGCTCGAACCCGTGCTTCCGCAGCGTCTCGCCCACGTATTGGCGGAGCGACGACTCGGTAGCGCGCACCCCCTGGAGTGTCGCGTCTGCCGCGAACGCGTGATTCAGCGCGTGCTCGAGCAGGTCGTCCTGGATGCCCGCAGCGCGGTACGCCTCCTGCACATAGAAGTGGCGGATGGTCACGACCTTGGACGTGCCCTTGGCCATCTTCACCTGCCCTGATCGGTCCTTCTTGATCGTTCCGGCGGCGACCTGCTCATCTGCATCCGCATCGAGGGATGCGTCGATGGCGATCATACCGACGAAGCGGTCGCCGTACTCCAGGACCCAGAACCCAGAGGAGGGCGAGCGGGAGTAGTAGGCGGGGATGTCGACCAGGTCAGGTCGGCGTAAGACGTGAGCCGAACGTTCGTCGAAGCCCCAACGATTCAGCCTACAGAAAGGGGTTAGAGGGGAGCGCAAATCACGAAAAGACGATGCTCACCAATCGATTGCGAACATGAAGACGATAGAGAGGGTGCCGAAGGCGGGGATAGGAGTGAGGTAGCCCAACACACCCTGCTCCGGCTGTGGCCACCATTTCATATACTGCACGAACACACAGGACAGCCCAACCCACAGCGCGAGCACCAGGGGGTTCGCGTACACTGCATAGGCACGTCAGATATTGTAAACAAAGGAGAGCACACGACCTACGTTTCCTGTTCGCAACCGCAATGGGCTCCATCTCGGCTTTTCCGACCGCGAAGAGGACGAGCTTCCGGTCGGCGACCTCGACGGGGCGTATTCTCGCTGCTGGTTCAACCATGTTGGGCGTCGTCGTGGTCGGTGCGATGGGGCGAGCTGGGCCCTCGAGAGATGCAAGGCGGTATATATACGCGACCAGGAACGAGCATGACAGGATGAAAACCGAAAGAGACAGTGCAGCCGCCAAGAGTGGACGCACGTTCGTGCCGCGACTCCGACTTGCGCGGGCCGCCCACTACAAATTCTGACGGGCAGGCATGTGACCGTCGCGTCGCGGCTATATAACGCGTCGTGCGCGCCTACCGCAGATCCCTAGTCTGATTAGGACTGCCATCTGCCCCGAGTATCCAGTAGCACCGCCCGTAGACACCATGCTCGTCACCAAGACCCACTACGACATCCCCACCAAGCTCGACGCCAATGGCCGTCCCATTAGAATCTTCGTCATCTCCCCCGTCGTCCGCAACTACCCGAACGCCAAGTTCCCTGGTACGCACATCGAGGGCGTTGTCGTGTGCATATACTCTAATCATGTTATCTGCACAGGCGTTGTGTGCTTCAGGTAACGCAAACACACAAGACCGACGCACCTCGCATCTTGACGCCTCCCAGCGAAATTTACCAAGTGACCGGGCCCGTTGAACGCTTCGCGGGACAGATCGCCAGCCAGGGATACGTAGTCGGCGAGTACCCAGCCGTCAGAACATTTTGGGACTCACTGACACGGGCGCGATGTAGCCTGCCCGTCTATCTACCATGAATTCGAGGGGCCTGAGGCTCTGCCCTACGACGACGATGGTATGCCCGCCGTGGATGGGATCTACGCGAGAGCGCCCTGTATGCTCATCTCCCTATCTCTTAGGCACTGACCGCGGCAACAAGTACAAGGTGAGCAGCCTCCATTACCGCCCTAGCGCATATTCTGACCGTTGGTTGCACCAGATCGAGAAGGAGGTCGCCGCCTACGACGAAGTAAGCACCCCGCACAAACGGGGAGGTCCCCTCTGAGCTCCCGCCCCCCAGGACGCGACGCTCGCCATCGATCTGCTCGTCTCCCTGAAAAACTGCAACGGACGAATTGCCTGTAAGCGCCCCACCCGCACTACAAATTCGCCCCCGGGCCAGGCACTGACCAGGCCCACAGCGACCGGGATGTGTCTCGGCGGCCACCTGGTATGGTCACCCCCCCTCCCGGCCTGCGCGGCACTCACGCTCTTTGTTTACCCCGCCCCCGCCGCCTCCCACAGGCATTCAGGGTGCGTCTTCGCTTACGTCTCCGCGCGGCCCGCAGCCCCCCGACTCACATGCTTTGCGTACTTCTCTCTTCTCGGGCTCGCAGGCGGCCTTCGACCCGCGCGTGCTCGCGTCCTTCTGCTTCTTCGCGACGGACATCCACAGCGCGACGCTCGGGAAGGGCAAGACGGACAACTCGCTCGCGCGTGTGCGTGCCGGCGAGCTCACGAACAACGGCGAGGTCGTGGTACGTCCTCCCCTCCTCATTGTGTGGCCTTGTTGATACGATCTTGATTATTGGTATTTGTATTTGTAGATGATCTTCGGCAAGCAGGTGCGCCACGGTTCACGGGTGTGCTTTCCGCAGTCGCGTGCTCATACTTTCCCCCGACAGGACACGCATGTGCCCCGCGAGGGCAGAGACCTCATCCGCAAGACCCTCGAGGACGCCAACGTCACGGCCACGGTGCGCTCTCTCCGACCGCTGCTCCGAGTCACCCCGTACCCCTTGACTGACGCGTCCGTGGTCCATCTCATGTAGTTCATCGAAGTGCAGGCCCAGCACGCCTTCGTCCGCGACGAGCAGTCCAAGGGCCGCTGGGACGCCGCTCTGACGCGTTCGATCTTCGGCTTCATGATGGAGGTGTTCGAGCGCACGGTGGGCAGGGACCTGGGCGAGCGCGTCGACGACGGGGGCAAGATCGAGCACGTCTGCTGAGCGTGGGCGTATGTAGACTGTAACAATACAACTAGACACTGGTCACCATCGCCGGTGAATCTTCGTGTACTTCAAATGTCACTTGTATCCTTGTGTACGAGACTGAAGACGATGGACAACCGTGATATCAGTTTACTAGGAGCATGCGAGGCTGGGGACGCGCTGAGGTTGATGTAGTGGCCAATGCAAACCAACCCAGCTGTGATTCTCATCTAACGCGCAAGACTCGGAGAGCGAGTGCAAGTCGTCAGTACTGTCGTGCGGAGATGCTTATGCACGGTGGATGGCTCCGCCGTTGCGAATAGCGTAATTGTATGCCAGCCTATCGACTTGTTTTGAGACGTCACTAGTCACTCGCAATCCAATTCAAGAACACGCATGTGCTGATGTGAACAACGCTACAATGGTTTCGAACTTCTCATTCTCGACGCACAACAACGCAAGGACATTACTGAACATGAGCCGCCGGTACAGCATGGCCGACGGCGTGCTTCGTTATCGTGAATACAACAATGATGGAGATGGTAGGAACACAGTTGCGAGGCTAGAGATACCATGCGAGATGAAGGAACGGAAAGCGAGGAGGAAGGACCGAGGGAAAGAGACACCACGTCTAAGTCGTTTACTTCTTCTTGGTCGCCTTCTCCGCCGACTTCGTGACTGGAGGAAGACGATGTCAGAACGAGTCACGACGATGGTATGATATGTCAAAAACTCACCCTTGCCACCCGACTTGTCGGTCTTGTCGACCGACTTGATGATGCCGACGGCAACCGTCTGCCGCATGTCACGGACGGCGAAACGACCGAGAGGGGGGTACTCGTTGTACGACTCCACGCACATGGGCTTGCTGGGCACAAGCTTGGCAATGCAGGCATCACCAGACTTGACGAACTTGGGCGCAGCCTCGATCGACTTGCCGGTACGACGGTCGATCTTCTCGATGAGCTCAGCGAACTTGCAGGCAATGTGGGCGGTGTGGCAATCGAGGACGGGAGCGTAGCCGGCACCGATCTGACCAGGGTGGTTGAGGATGATGACCTGGGCGTTGAAGGACGCGGCCTCCTTGGCGGGGTCGTTCTTGGAGTCGGAAGCGACGTTGCCACGGCGGATATCCTTGACGGACACGTTCCTATGAATAGATGAGCATGTGTTACACGAAGAATATCGAAGGCGACGTACTTGACGTTGAAGCCGACGTTGTCACCGGGGTTGCCGGACTCGAGCTGCTCGTGGTGCATCTCGACGGACTTGACTTCAGTGGTCACGTTCGAGGGCGCGAAGGTGACGACCATGCCGGCCTTGATGACACCAGTCTCGACACGACCGACGGGCACCGTGCCAATACCACCAATCTTGTAGACATCCTGGAGGGGGAGACGGAGGGGCTTGTCGGAGGGACGGACGGGGGGCTCGATGGCGTCGATGGCGTCGAGGAGCGTCTTGCCCTTGACAACACCGGCCTTGGTCTCCTTGGTCCAGCCCTTGTACCAGGGCATGCTGAGCGAGCGTCAGCACGATATACCTAAAGAATCCGAGAGCATATACGCACTTGGCAGACTCCTCCAGCATGTTGTCGCCGTGCCATCCGGAGATGGGGACGAACGCGACCGCCTTCGGGTTGTAGCCAACCTTCTTGATGAAGGTCGACGTCTCCTTGATGATCTCGTTGAAACGGTCCTCGGACCACTATATGCGTAGTTAGTATGGCGCGTGATACTGATAGCGCGCGATAACGAACCTTCGTGGTGTCCATCTTGTTGACGGCGACGATGAGCTGCCTGACACCGAGGGTGAAGGCAAGGAGAGCGTGCTCGCGGGTCTGGCCATCCTTGGAGATACCAGCCTCGAACTCACCGGTACCAGCGGCGATGATGAGAATAGCGCAGTCAGCCTGCGAGGTACCGGTGATCATGTTCTTGATGAAGTCACGGTGACCGGGGGCGTCGATGACCTGCAAATGCGAGGTTAGAACCTGAGAGAGCGGGCGTAGCATATAAAAACTTACAGTGACCATGTACTTGGGGGTCTCGAACTTCCAGAGGGCGATGTCGATGGTGATACCACGCTCACGCTCGGCTTTCAGCTTGTCGAGCACCCAGGCTATGAAGGATCTGTCAGATGGATGCGATGCCACGGGCGTCTAGATGTCACTCACCATACTTAAACGAGCCCTTGCCGAGCTCAGCAGCCTCCTTTTCGAACTTCTCGATGGTACGCTTGTCGATGCCACCGCACTTGTAGATCAAGTGACCGGTGGTGGTCGACTTGCCGGAATCGACGTGACCGATGACTGCGGATGGTCAGACCCCGCGACGGATCGCGCATGGATGGTGAGTGCTCACCGACGACGTTAACGTGGGTCTTCTCCTTTCCCATTTTTGATGAAGATCTACGACGGGGGTCAGTAGCGGCTCGCGATCAAGTGAGGCTCAGGTCGCGGTTAGGGCATCGAGCCGGGTAGATAGCGGATGCGCGCGTAACGATGTCGATCTCACAAGCGCGCTCGCTTCCCCGCATGCTCGGCGACCGTCCAATGCGACCGCAACAATGAGATGGTACTCACGCAAAAGAAAGTGTAAGAAAGTGGGGAGAGGGCGAGGAGGGAGGTGAGGGTAAGAAGAAACTCGAGGTGGAAGAGATTCTAAGGTTTATGTACCCTCGCGCGGGCTCGAAAATTTTAGATGATCGATAGAGATCCTACTGATTACAACCCTACACCCTTACCCCGGCCGGCTCCGCCGTCACACCGGAGTCACCTCCGGCCTTCAGCCGGACCCCCATTGGCTAGAAAGACCGGCGCTTGTTGACTTTCGGGCAAAAGCTGTATCTAGATCTAGATACGTCTAGCAATTCAATTCCAACCTTCAAGGTCCTCCCGGTCACGATCACCTTGAGTACTTGAGTAGTGACCTCATCAAGCAGACGCGAGGCAAAAGTACATGTCGGATTTCTATTACACAAGGTTGGTGGTAAACTACTCGGATACATCGTACGGACGACAAGAATGCGGTGGCGAGAACATATTTATGCGATCGGAGACAGAGACGATGCGATGGTGTTGATAACATTGTGCGCGTACGAAGTGGTCATGAGCGAGCTGTAGATGAGTATCGCGTCTCGGAAGTTCCGAACGATGGATGGATGGTGGAGAGATAGCGCCAAAGACGTGTAAGACTCGTCTAGAGGAACGCCTGCAGGACGCGAAGCCATCAGATAACATATTGTACACCTGCAAGGTAAACCGAATCAGCCTGGTGTCTCTCTAGGCGACTTCTGATCGTCTAGGCGTAGACATTGCACGCACATTCCGTGCGGGCCACTAGGGTTCATGCACTTGATCATGAGTCCATACCCCATCCTCCGTTACCGCTCAAAAACCGGCTTTGGAGGATTGTTTGGAAGGATGGTCGTGCGTTCACGTCGACCCGAAGGCACGCCTTCACGAGCGCCGCGGCGTCGCCCAGCGCTCCACCTCCGTCTGCCTCTTCTCCTTCCCTCTCCTTACCGTCGGAGCAGCGCTCGTCTAGCGCGATAGACGCACTGGCAAGAGGAGACCCGAGACCATCCTGGGCTTCCGCAGCCGTCGTGAATGGGCATTCCCCGACCAGCATCACGTATGCAACGACGCCGAACGCCCAGACGTCTTGCTCCTTCCCAAAGTATCGCTCGCCGCGAAGAATCTCTGGACCAGCGTAATCGAGGCTATATCGTCCCACCGATGAGAAGGTCGGCCAGAGATATTGCGGGCTATCCACTCACGTGCCACTGAATGTGTCCCACCCGCCCTTCTTCACGAGGCCTGAACTTCCGAAGTCGATAAGAACGCACTTGCCGTCAGGTCCGAGGACCACGTTCTCGTCCTTGATATCGCGGTGAACTGGGGCACTTCTCAGCGTCGAGCAATCCTCTTCTACAATTGACTCACCAATCCCCTTCGAATGCAAAAACGCGACAGCGTCTGCAATCTGTCCGAGATAGCTTCGGATCAGGTCTGTGGGAAGGCCGTGGGGATAGCCCTCGACCAGGTCGAAGAGGTCCGTCGGCGGAGAGGGCTCGTCGGGTTTGGGTTCCGCCGTTGTTGAGGGGAGAACGAGGTAGTAGTAGTGGTTGTCCTCGAAGAAGTCGAGTAGAGGGCAAATGTTGGGGTGGCCGCTTACCACTTTCCCTTCCACCCAGTCATTGTGTACCTCCGGCTTGTGTCGGAGCGGATCCCATGGACGAGGCGGCGGGAGAACGTAGTGCGTCGTGGAAATGGCGGACATGACATAGATTTCTATCGGGATAGTGCCAAACTTTGGGTGCCTCTTCCAGCAATCCGCGAGGATGCGCGACTTGATGATTTGCTTGATTATTAGCGGCGGCTGTTCGCGGCGTCAGCGGGAAGCACGAGAATGACATCGTGATAGAGCGTACCCCCATGGTTCCGTCTTCCATCATCTCTCTTGCCCGTTTCACGAGACCGTACGCGCCACGCCCAATCTCTCGTTCGACGACGAACTCGGATATGCTTCGTTCTCCAAGTGCGTGGGTCTTCTCGTCCGGCGTGGGAGGCCCCGCGCTGCTCGCGACACTCAGGTAACTGGCAGCGCTATTCGTTCGGACTAATCTTTGAGGGCCCGAGGGAAGCGGGGACGGAGGTTCAATCGGGGCTATGGAAACACGCCCGGCTATGAGGGAGACCCGCTGTTGCGAAGATCGGCGGCGCATGCGAGGGAACTGGGAAGAGCGTGGCGACGACGGCCTGCTAGACAAGGGACTTCGAGCCGATGAGGTACCCGTTACCAGCGGAGATGTCGGCCTAGGAGAAGCGGGACGCGAGGAGAAAGGGCGAGGAGACGATGGTCGTGATTGAACAGGAGAACGCGTCAGGGGACCCGCGATGAAGCTGCCTGAACGCGAAGGCAAGAGGGGGGAAAGAGGTGTCGGGGGAGTGATAGAGAGCATTCCGATGCCATTGGTGTTGGCTGCAGATCGTGGCACTGCGGAAGTGCTCAACCATGCCGGACGAGTCGCACGTAGTGTAGCTGTTCGGTCGTTGGTTGTGTTGACAGCCGCCTTAGGAGAGTCGTCGTCCCTTTCATGATCGCTGCAGCTGTCTTCGGCCTGGCTGTTCCACTGGAATCCTCGGCCTATCGAGGTGACCCCCCAACTGTTCCCCACGCTGGCGGCGCGGTAAAGTCGAGGGCTAGATGGTGGCGCCGTCCAATCGTCATCGTCAAAGGAGAGATCGACGGAGGGCGCAGCAAGCATAACGTCTTTCGGCGGTCGAAGGGCTTTTGCGCGGAAGGAGGCCTTGGAGGTGGCGGGAGCAGACGAGGGAGGTGCTGAGCGTGAACGAGAAGGACGGAGTGGCTGCTGGTGGGACCGCGGCTGCTTGCACGTGGGTGATAGTTTCGCGCCGCGCCGCGGCAGCCGGCTAGTGGCAGTCCACAAATACTCGTCTTCCGAGCTAGAGTCGTATTCGGTATCCATCCTGGTGGGAGTAGGAGGATACATCGACGTCGTCTGCTCAATTGGAGTCCCCAATCGAATGGACCTCGTCGACGGTCGTACCAGGTGGTCACCCTTCTTAAATTGCACGGCGTGCGAGTCCGACAGCCCTGATAAGCCCTTGGCGCCCGAGATCACGATCCGGCAAAATTCCCATTTTAGCATCCCCGCACCCACGTGGCACAGGCGCCCGTCACCGCGCAGGGCAAGTCGGTTTTGTGCAGCAGCTCCCGTACGCCCCCCGCCAACGCCCCCCTCAAGCCTCACGAAGTGTAAGTACGCCCTGCTAAACCTCTGATTCGACAGCCCAGCGTTCTGGGACTCCTCTGGTGCGACTTTTGAGCGTGGAACATGCTCGGAAGACGGTGGATGCAAAATCTACCTACCGGATGACCCCCTGGACTTGGGCTGCCAATCTGGACGATCCCTGCTCTTTGCTCCTTTCTCATCTACTCTCGTCTACAGTCCACCATGGTCAAGGTTCCCATCGTCAAGAAGCGCACCAAGCCCTTCAAGTGAGATCTTCCGCGCTACTACGCTGCAGGAGCGTTATTCATCCCCCATACAGGCGCCACCAGTCTGACCGCTACCATGGCGTCAAGGAGGCATGGAGGAAACCCAAGGGTATTGACAACCGTGTTCGGCGCCGCTTCAAGGGCCAGCTGCCCATGCCCAAGGTTCGTACCTTCCGTCGTATCCGCAATACCCCACACTGACCCTCATTCAGATCGGCTACGGCAGCAACAAGAAGGTTAGCGATAATCAGGTATCAAGTTAGGCGTAGTTCTAACACTCAAACCCTACAGACCCGTCATCTTCTTCCCAACGGCCTGAAGAAGCTCCTTGTCAGCAACGTGCGGGAAGTCGACCTTCTCTTGATGCACAACAAAAGTTTCGCGGCGGAGGTTGCACACAACGTCAGCAGCCGCAACCGGACACTCATCCTGGAGAGGTACGTGCCGTCGCCCGCGTTTCCGTCGATCTAAATACGAATTTCGGTTGCAGGGCCAAGGTCCTCGGCGTGAAGGTCACCAACGCTGCGGCTCGTCTGCGGTCAGAGGAGTAAAAGGTCGTCGCTGGTATCGCTGTTGTCTCATTTGCTGTCCTTTCCTCCCATGTATCCATTTGACTATGCCAGAGATAATCGACATGCGACCATGTTTCAGGCCCATAAGTTATACATCTTTGAGTATGCGCGAAACGGAGCTTGTAAGGCCTCGCGCAGCTGGGTTACTCTTCGTGCGATTTGATAGATTCAGGCCCCTCTGATGATGTAGGTCTTCTGGCCGCCGTACTTGTCCAGACTTGTCCTCATCGACGGCGACATACTAAGACGTGCGCAAGGGCATAAACCTATATCTACGAGCAAGTACTTGCAAGCTCTCTGATTGCTTGCGGCCTACCTCGGTCTGCCTGCAGGTAAACACGTGTTTATCGCCCCAATCTGGGACATGTCGAGCTTCAGCTTGTCGATCGCGGGGACCTCCCACACGATTTCTGCCTTCGACACCCATCGAATACATTCAGCTTCTCGGATTCTCGAGTACTGGAGCCAGCGACTCAGTTGTGCCTCTAGGTCCGCTACGCCTCTTGCTTTCTGATTTCGGCGCACGCGGTTCCTCTAGCTACTATACCGCACTTGTCGTGATGGCTTCCAGGTAGGTACCGTAGCTAGAAACCGTCCACATGCTCACTTCTCGATCCATAGAAACGCAACCCACGCCGATTCGTGGTACTCCGGAGATGGTATGTGGAATTCAGCCGAGGTCTTCATCGCCACCTGAAGGAAATGTAGCGAGTCAGCTGGATCGCGAGCTATCAGGCTGGCTCGAAGGCGTTAGTCCCTCCGCGGAAGATGAATTCAGTCCACCGGTCTCTGGGACGAAGGCTGTTATTGCGCCGTGAGTTGGCGTTTTCGCTGAGTATTCCCACTCTCATTAATTACCCGACGGGACCCAGTCATGCAGGGTATGCTTACTCTGGGCGCACTGCCGCATGGGCGTATAAGAGCATCGATACCACTGGAATGTGCGCATCTCATCAATGATCATCGTAACGTTCGGCCTTGACTTTCCACAGTAAACGCGTCTTCGTCCTCGGCCCTTCGCACCATGTTTACGTCGATGGGTGCGCCCTCACGCGATGCACGCAGTACGAGACCCCATTAGGCGTGCTTCCAATAGACGTAGAAAGTGAGTATAATCACCTTCACCAGTAGCATGGTTTCTGACCACCATTACAGCAACCCGGGAACTGAAGAACACTGGGCAATTTACCGAGATGGATCAGCAAACCGACGAGGACGAACACAGTATCGAGATGCATCTCCCTTACGTCCGGAAAGTCTTCGAGGGGTGGGTTCGCTACCTCATCGCCAGCACCTCTTTCCCCTCACGCTAGATGTACAGGAAAGACATCTCCATCGTCCCCGTCCTTGTAGGGGCCATCAACTACGGCAAGGAGGTTACGTACGGGAAACTGCTGGCACCCTACCTCGCTAGGGAGGACACGTTCTTTGTCGTCTCCAGTGACTTTTGCCACTGGTGGGTTTCCGAGATGCCTCAGCGACCCACTTAACGCTGTTCCGCTGACATACCACCAGGGGCCTTCGGTTCCAGTATACGTTCTACTACCCAAAGCCACCCCCGAGCTCTGTCTCTCCAGTCCGGCTGTCTCGCGCGGACTCACACACCTCGGTGAAAGAGAACCCCATTCACGAGTCTATATCCGCTTTGGACCATGAAGCAATGGAGATCCTCACCATGCCGCCCTGCACGGCCGCCCAGGCGCACCACGACTTCGCGGACTATCTCGCACGGACGAAGAACACGATCTGCGGGCGCCATCCGATCGGTGTCCTGCTTGGGGCGCTCACCGTCCTGGAGAAGGAAGGAAAGGTGCCGAAGCTCAAGTGGGTGCGGTACGAGCAGAGCAGCGCGTGCGTGGCGATCAAGGACTCCAGCGTCAGCTACGCTAGCGCCTTCGTGAAGTTCTGAGCATACCGTGGCCGGTAGACGATCAATCACGATGTATCAAGAAGCTTGTATTCCGATGTATAGTACAACTGAGGCAGGAATCCTCTATGGAGCAATATCACCCAACAGTCTACGTTTCTAGAAGCGTGCCGAGAGTTTAGCTGAGCAGATCCGCTTGAAGCCCAACTGGCTCGTCCTTCTCGTGCTCAGTTCCGGGCTGTCCGGAATCGTTGATGACCTGGTTGGGATGTCAGTCGACGAAATGCAGCTCATAGAAAGCCGGGCACAGACCTTTCCGTCGCGTATGATGGCGTTCTCGAAGCCCCATTCCCTCTGGACTCCCTCTTTCAGATGAGAACCATCCGCCAATCGCTTCACGTCCCAGCCGCCCAGGACCTCCGTCTCCCCAGGCTTCCGCGCCAGCTCCGTAACGGTGCAGCAGCCCACTTTCAGCGGCATCTCGCGGTCCGCGAGGAGCTCCCTGGTGAGCGCGATGACCGTCGCGGCGTGGCTGACCAGCAGCACTCGCTTGTGCTGCCCGCCGAACTTGCGTTCGATGTGCGGGACGAGGGCGCGCATGAGCCCGCTCGCGCGGTCGTGCACCGCGTCGAGATCTTCGCCTTTCCTGGACACGTAGTAGATGGACTGCCACCAGTCGTCGATTTCGGGGAAGTATCCACGGAGCTCGGTGGCGGAGGAGGGCCGGGGATGAAGGCCGGTGTCGGGCGCAACGGGAGAGTACCACTCCGCTAGCCCTGTATGCAGTACCTTCAGCGTGTGCGTACGGCTGGAGCCACCACCGTGGCTACCGACCGTGTTCCACATAGAGAGGCAGCTGCAGCTTCTGCGCGCTGGGCACTGCAGTTTGCAAGCAGCGATCTGTAGGCAGCGAGCGATACAGCTTCAGCATATAAAGTGCAATGCGAGGTTCTGTGGGCCACTCACAATACGGTGATGACAGGATGATGGTCGGACGTTCATGCTCGGGCAAGGACAGAAAGTAGTCCGCCAGCTCCTCGGCCTGAGTCAATCCAAAGGGCGCGAGTGGCGGGTCGCGAGCCAGTCCTGTATGTATACAGGTTATCAAGCGACTACTTCAATTGCGTGAATGGCTCGTAGGGCCGCGGCATGAAACCGTGGACGTACCGGTGACGCTCTCCCTAAGAACAAGGCTTCGGTTAGAATCGACTACACTTCACGAAGCGATCCATCCACCTACCAGTCATCCGTAACCCAGTTCATACGGAATCCTGCCAGAGAGCATAGGATTAGATTGATCGTACTTGAGCTGGAAGGGGCCCACTACCGCAAGAAGTACCAACCGTGCCTGGCAATGTAGATCGTTTCAATCGTCATTGTGGGATTGCAAAGTGTAAGCAATTTCGTGAGTAGTGTCGAGCTCGACGTCAAGGTGGTGGTCGTGGTGCAGTTACAAGTCCTCAAGTCAGCAATCTACGGATATTGGCCACGATGTCGTGGCGTGCATATATACCCACTGACATCGATCCAATGACGTACATACAAAATCCTAGAGCCGACCGGTAACGGTACTTACCCCAAGAGATTGGCGTTTGGGGTCGACTGTTTTACGCAAAAAAGCGCAAACTCGGCCGTGCGACGAGTCTTTCTGTCGTGTTCATACGTTTCCCGGACGATTCAGACACGCGTGAGCGGCAAAATGCTGCGACGAAATGCATCGATGCGTTCTTACACCTCGTATACAACACGACTAAATATGGAAGGCCACAGAACATAAGATACCGTGCATAGTCTTGGTTCATACGTCATGTCAGGAGGGCTGGTAAGTGGATCGGCTACTACTGAACACAGGAGCAGGAGCACAGAGCGCGGAGAGGAGGACGAGAGAGATACGAGGTAGGAGAGATGCAGAACGTGCGCACGCAGACATCAAGACAATGAGGAGCGGATAGAGGGGGAAAGCGATCAGATACTCGGGGCCGGGTGACGCCACGATTTTGTCGGGGCCGCAGGATGATGGAGGAGTCAAAAGATTCAACTGCCGCTGGTTGAACCGTTATATTTGTGGGGCTATTAAGCCAGGGAGGGGAACGCGGTCTCGTCGTCCACGTTGAGAGCGGTAGGAGCGCTGCTGCCGTTCGCCGCCCGTCCGCGTCCAGCACCACGGCCACGGCTACGGGTGCCACGGTCGCCACCACGGTCGCCGCCACGGTCACCGCGGCCACGGCCACCGCCGCGCGAGGGGCGCTCAAAGCGAGCGTCGATCTCGATGTAAACCTTCTCCTCCTTCTTTGCGCGGGGCTTGGGGGCAGAGGCCTTCGTCTACGCACGGTCCTTGAGTAAAGGCACAATGGCGATGATGGTAAAATGGATTACCTTGCCGACGAAGTAAGCATCCTCATCCTCGTCCTTCTTGGTGATGACAACCGCATCCTTAGGCTCAGTGGATTCGACCTTACGGGCCTCGAGCTTGGGGACGATGTCGAGGCTCTGCTTCTGCTTGAGGTACTCGTCGAGGGTGAGGGTGTTGTCCTCCTCCTCGGGCTCACGAGGCTCACGGGGCTCGCGAGGCTCGCGCTGTTCGCGAGGCTTGCGGCCTTCGGGCTTCTCGCCAGCAGGGGCGTCTCCCTCGGTAGCAGCAGCGTCGGGAGCGGCCCAGGCCTCGCCATCGTTGGCGGTGCTGGTCCACTCGTTCTTCTCGGCAGCGGCATCGGTGACGGCGGCAGCCTCGGCGTTGAGCTCGGAAGCAGGCTCATCTCCACCCCAACCTTGGTGGATCTTCTTGTCCGAATCGCTAAATGTGCATGTGAGCGACGAGAGTCTACCTTCGGATGGGTGCACATACGTCTTGCCAGTCGCACTGTGGCGGTCGAACGGGCGACCACCACGGCCACCGCGTCCGCGGTCACCACGGTCACCACGGCCTCGGCCACGACCACGGCCACGACCTTCGCCGTCGGCTACATTGCGCGAGAGAGGGGAAGCGCAAGTCGGGAGGGGACGATGAGATCGTGCCGAAGTGAACGCCTTTTAGGGGGACCTACCGCGCTTCCTGGGCTCGGCGTCCTCAGCGGGTGCGTCGCCGTTCTGAGGAGCAGACTTGCCACCGCGCTGGTAGTACCTGCCACCTCTTGAGGCAGGGCCGCCACGGGACTTCTGGGTTCCGCGGGTGGAAGGAGCAGGCGCAGGCGCTGCGGCCTTCGCGGGGGCACCAGACGGGCTGGCTGGCCGCGAGGCATCCTCTAGAAGCAGAGAAAAAAAGATCAGCTCATGCTTGTTTCTCCGCCTCTGCCAGGAGGAAGAGGCAGAAACCACTAGACTGGCGTTAAACTGTGCGAGACTGACCATCGAGGAGGGCGAACATGTTTCTACTGGCCACCGACATGTTTGACGGGGCCCTCTTTTGTGGTCAGTCGGCGAGGTAGGGTCCCTGAACGGCTAAGGACTGTCGAGTGGATTGACGGCGGGGGCGACGCGGTTTCTGTCAAGTCTTCGTACAGACCTGGGCCCGCACGGGACCCGGGAACCGCTGTCGGGGGTCCCGACCCAAGCCACCGGAAGTCCGCTGTACAGTTCTTCGGGCGACTATATAAAGCCTCCCGACAGCACAGACGAGCCTTAACGCAAAAACACAGGTGAGTTTCGAGCGCGTTTTCTGGCCTCTGCCGATGCTGACGACGTCCTGTAGCCTTCAAAAGCATCTCGACGATGACTCGCTCGCCAGCTTGCTGGACTTGAGTGGGTCGAGGACCTTGAGACCGTCATAATGGGCTGGAGAACGAGAAGACCTTGTGTTGGAACGATGGGACTTGGGTGCGGCGCGCTCGTGCCTCTGGCTGGGACATCTGTCTTAGCAGCCGGCTCTTCGTGGCCGCTGTCTGGGTAGCGTCGCAATGTCTCGCTGTACATCTATATTCTATGCCATGTTTTGTTTTTGCCACAATCCCTGCGCTTTCGGGCGATGTCGTGAGAAGCGATATGTCTGTGAGGTTCTGCGCTGCAATTAGACGTTTGATTACGAACGTGGGTAGGTCTGCGTCGGATCGAAGAGTATAATTGGCGGCCGGACGGAGATGCATGATGGCGTTTATGTGTGAGCTCTGTGACTTTGGTCGTTGTGACCTGGTCGACGGTGAGGCCGGCGGATGGACGCGCAGGGCTGTCCTTGTTCTCTCCCGCTGCCACCCCAATCCTCTTCATTTCTTCCAGCTCGCGGTCGAGGGCGACACCCGTAGCTTGCGGCGTGCTTGACGGATGGCTGGACGACGGCTCACGATCTCTGCTTTGCTCTGCGCGGACGAGCAGCCACCGGACCGCGCACACCCTCCGCCCGCTAGTTCACATTCCCCGCCTTTCATCTCTCCGCCGCCCAGGCCCGATGCTGCTTCCGCCGATCTAAGAGACACTCAAGTAAACAGTCCTGGGTCTGTAGAACCACACCCGGATGCGTTCCGTAGTAGACCGTATCCAGATTATAACCGAGACAGCCACAATATCGTTCCCCTCTCATTGCAACATGCGCATCACGGGAGGCACACACGGTCGCCGTCAGGGGATGAACGCACCGCTCTCGCTAGTCAATGGGCAGGATACGGGGATTATGACGCAGATCGTCCTGAAGCTGTGGCGAGTACCTCCAGGACGCCAGTCTCACCCGTAAGCCGTGAACGCGACTCTGTTTCCTACCACCTCCCACATTCCCTGCCGCAGGCTGCTTCACGACACATCCCCACATCCCGACGAAACTCTGATCCTCACGAGGGCGACTATCATCCTTTCGAAAGCTCTTCATACTTTTCGCGGCCTACGTCGTCCAGGAGTGCGACGTTAGACCCCTTGCTCGCGACTTACACATATCCTCCTCCTCTTCCTCGAACCACGTTCCCACATTCGCCACAACAATCATCGCACCCCTCCTACAACACATCCATTGCGCATCAGACTTCTCACTCTCCTGTTGTAGGTCGGCCGGTGTCGCGTTCTCCGACTAATCTCTACCGACCCATGTCTCAGTCCACACCACCCAACGATCGTCAGCAGTCACCATACTCACAACGGACACCAAATCCCCTCCAGAGTCCTTCGGTGCTATTTGGCTATGGCTCTCCGCCGCTGCGAGGCGATGAGCATTATGCTGCTCATCCTTCCCGTCTTCGCTCGGCGTCTCAAACACAGTCAGGTTCTCCACCTTCTGTAGTTTCCCGCACGTCTTCGGCCACAGCGCTTCCCAACTTGCTCAACGCAGAGCCACCGAGGTCACCGGCAGTCACTTTTGGGTCACATGGAAGCCCCGGTGGACTTGGAGCATTGGAGGCGTTGGTCCAGGCGGCGACGGAGGAAAGGCGTCGGCTGAGTGGTGAGCTTCCAACTCCTATGGAACGGAAAGAATCTGCACGGAGGGCATCCATCAGTCCCGTTCTCAACCGCAATCCGCCCCCGCTTCCTACGGTCTCGCACTCTCCTGTGCTGCAGAAGAGCCCGCCGTTGCCCTCGCCTCGCCTCGACACACGCGTCAGTTCGCTGGCCTTCATCTCCCTAAGCCAGACGCCCTCTCAAGACAGTGAACCCCCGACCAAGAGACGCAGACGGACAGGCAGTTTCAACACTAGCCTCTCCGCCTTGGCAGGTCCTGCACCTGTCCTCCCCGCGGACCATCCCCCGTCTACATCTACGTCTCCCATCGCGCCTGTCTCTCCAGTCGTCAAAGACATAATCCGTCCGTCTTCACCTGCCTATACGTCGCCGTTAGTCCCCGCATCCGCTCTCGCAGCCGCCCCTGAAGTCCGGTCTCCCACACCTCTACCCCACATCCCTCTCCCTCCCTCGCCGCCGCCTGATCTCGATCCAGTAAATTCAATCGCTGTTGCCGCCTCGCCTAGAGCTGAACATCCTCCTACGCCCCCTGCTATCCCTGTCGTCCCTGCTACTCCTGCTGTCCTTGCTGTCCCCGCTCCCCCCTCACCCTACGCTCCTCCTCCACATCCTCTCCCTGCGACCTCCAAACCGACCAGCATATCACAACTGCTCGTGTCTGAACCACCAATCAACTATACGTCCAATGTTGACGATACCAAACGAACCCCGCCACCCCGTGAACCTTCACCGGATCCCATGCCTATATCTCCAATAGCTCCAGCGGTGGAACCGTCGCCGGAACCGCTAGACGAGGGAACTGCGATTGATGTCACGGAGACAGTAACCCAACCAAGTGCAGCTGAGAGCGGCGCTCAGGTAGAGACCTTCCCCTTGCAGCTCGTGGAGGAGGTGCAGCCAGTCGAAGTGGCACCCGTCGAAGCGATATTGGACGAAGTGGTCTCAGCGGACATGGAAGTGATACCAGCGGAGGTGGTGCCAATGGACGCGGCACCGTTGGACGCGGCGCCTGTGGAAGCTATCTCGGTGAAAGCGGTCCCAGTGGAAACGGTCCCAGTGGATGCTGTACCAGTGGAGGCGACGCCAGAGGACATGTCACCAGCGGATGTGGTGCTAGTTGACGCGTCACCAACCGACATCGCGGAGGTGGACGCGGTACCAGCGGAGATAGTGAAGGTGGAGGAAGTGCCAGACTCGTCTCTAGTAGCGCCCGAAACGCTTCAGCCCCCGCTCGGTGATGTTCCAGATTCTGGGCCCCTCCCGACGGCGCGCATCGCGGATGTCCCACCGGAGCAGGATGCGCATGAGTGGCTGTTAGAACACTATGCTATTGATTCTCCTGCGTCTGCGTCGCGGCGAGTCTCTCCTGCGCCGGAAGAACCCCCAGACTCGCCCGCTCCTTCGAATGGCTCACCGCCACCACAGGTGAAGCCTGAAGAGGTGCAGATGGCGCCCGTCTCCCCAGAGCCTGCCATTGACGAGATCGTACGGACATCCAAGGTGGTCAAGGCTCGTTCTAGGACCCCCACCCCCCTTGCACTCCTGGAGGAAGAGCTGGACCGTGCCACGCCAGACGAGCGCATCTTCCCCGAGAAAGCGGCATCTCCTACCTCGGATGCTGACTTGGCGATGGAGCTCGACCTCGCGGCGAGTGCTTCGAGGGAAGTGGCTCGTGACGTCGACGTGTCGATGAGCAACGAGCTGGACGACGAGCTTCTTAGCCTATTGGACGAGGAGCCGCGACATTCGCACTCACACTCGCACTCGCGCACTCATACGCATACGCATTCGCACTCGCATGCGCCGTCTCACCCTCCTAAACCGTCTCATACCTCACCGGGCTCGGCTCGCCTGGACAAACACCTGGAAAAAGTGTTCCCCACTGCGAAAGCTCCCGACAGCCCTGTACCTCCTGCCGTCACTGCTCCCGCACCCTCCGAACTGGTGGTCATGCCGCCACCAATTGCTCCTCCAGGAATGGCGGCTAAGCCGGTGACAGCTACCCAGCCCCAATCTTCTTCCAAGCCTCAGAAAGCAGAGGCCTTGACTGCGTCCGCGAGTTCAAAGAAGAAGGAGCCAACAGCGAAGGTGCGTTATCATGTTTTTAAGCGATAGATCATTGCTCATGCCTTTGTTAGCCCGTGCAGAAAGCTAAGCCGGCAGCGAAGCCCAAGGCCAAAGCTGCTGCTGCGAAACCCAAGGCAAAGGCGGCCGTCAAAGAGGGCACGGCCGGGTCCAGCGGCCGTCTCACGCCTTCTGGTAGCGGCTCGGTAGCCAAGGGCAAGAAGACCGCGGTGACAAACGCAGCCGCTGCGTCCGCTGCGAAACGGTCCGTCTCGGCAGCGGTCGGCCAGTCTCGCTCACGGTCGGCGTCTGTCATGCCTGCTCCCCCGGAGCCTGCCAGCAAGCCTCAGGAAGAGGAGGACGAGGAGGAAGAAGAGGCGGTGGACGACAAGCTCTATTGTATCTGCAAGACGAGTTACGATGAGGACCGGGTCATGATTGCGTGCGACCGGTGAGTTCTTATATGACCGTCTTCGCCTTTTCACCCGCTAACATTCAAACAAGGTGCGACGAATGGTACCACACCCAATGCTTGAAAATGGACGATCTAGAGGTTGACTTGATTGACCAATTCGTCTGTCCTCCTTGTATAAAGGGTACGCGACCCGCGATGTTGCTTGACATTTAACCGAGACTCACCCTTTTGCCCCTCTATGGCAGCTAACCCTCACTTGGTCTTGAAGACGACATACAAGCAGCGATGCTTCGCCGGCTTGAAGCACCCGCGGCCTTCCTCTGCTGCCGCATGCCACAAGCCTGCGCGCGGGGCGTTCTCCAAGTTCTGTTCCGACGACTGTGGGATCAGCTACATGCAACGGCGCATCGAGAACTGGGGCGGCGAGCAGTCAGTTCTGTGGGCGAGCGTCCGGGACGTCAAGCAGCGAGAGGGCGTCGTCGTCAAGGTGCAGCTTGTCAAGGAGGAGCCCAAGCCCACACGGAGACGGAAACCTGAGCCCCATGCCGTAGCGCAGAATCAGCTCCTTGTGGAATCGCACGAAGTGCAGAGGCCGACGAAGTCGCAGCGGGAGCGCGCCATCGCTCGGCTGCAAGGGGAGTTGTTCAAGATTGCGCCGAAGCGGGAGGTTCTGAAGGACGAGCTCGAAGTCATTCTGTGGCGACAGAAGGTGCTCGAGCTCGCAGCGGCGCGAGCAGAACGGGTGCAGGAGTGTGGATGGGACCAGCGTATGTGCCTCGATGACGAGGAGTACGGGGAATACGCTGCGGGCGTGCTAGAGAGCTACGAGGAGGGTCATGCCAATAGGGAGGACGCGATGCAGGTCGACGGTACGGTCGTCGAGGACGGCGCGTGGTGGTGCACAGGCAAGAAGAAGTGCCCACGGCATGTCGGGTATGTTCATGTTTTTGAGCTGCTTGCACTGCCTGCTGATATTCGTGCCCCAGCTGGCAGAAGCTTCGTGCGAACGAACTTGAGTTCGACCAAGAGTTGAAGGAGAAGGCGATGTCGGCTTTGACCACTCAAGAACGCGAGATCCGCAGACAGTTGGAAGACGTCATCAGCCTGGAGTCCCGTCAGCCGAGCATAATGGCGGCCACTTCGCCTCTACTACCCCTCAACGGACACACACAAGGGAATGGTGCGGTGAAGTCGAAGACGAACGGCACGTCGCAGAAGAAGGGCAAGCAAAAGAATTGATGTAGCATACACAACCGGTCCTTCGCCCAGTTTGAATGGCTCATTTACGTACACTACCGCAGCATTTCCTGTGTCATAATACGATGTGTATTGTGTATATGTATTAGATCCCTTAGCTCTGCAACTGCGATACCAGCAATGAACGCGACGACAAGGACATAAATACAACAAATGGGATGACTCTCTGGCGTAATGAATCTGCCTGTGGTTGGAGTACATCCATAGGAATGGTGGGTCGCCGGTAGACGATACCGGGAACCTGGGTGCGCACTCGCGCTGGCTCCTCAGTACCCGTCGCCCTCTCCGCCCTCTTTGCAGAAGCCCTTCTGCTCGTAGAGGATTTGGGACTTCGCCTCTTCTCGTACTTTCTTGTCCGCGATGTCTTGCTTGTGATACGCCTCCAGAACGCTCCATTCTACCTGACGCAGGGGCACTTCGTCTTCTTGGTCAAGGTCCTGTTCAGCAGCAGCTGCTCAGCGTAGGCCGAGTGAAAGGATTCAGCTCGGCTCACGATCTCTCCTAGCAGCACGACGTTCTCGCCTCGTATGAGGAACAGGCCGCGCCACATTTCCGCGAAGACGTCTTGGTGGTATATGCGTTCCACCGTGTCCTCCAGTACGAGGTTAGCTGGGACGGGCGCAGTTCTGTCAGATGTCCGATGTCCTTCCGGAGACGCTCTGAGGTATTTAAACACTCACCGAATTGATCATAGGACCGGAGGACGCCTTGCAGCTTCCGACCGTCTCGTAGGAGCACGAGCATCTTCCCTAACCAAGGCCAAGCGGACGTGGACCGGTGCGGAGAGCGGCAGGGGATATGGGCTCAGGGTGCACCTTGAGCGGACGCGGGGTAGACGTACTATCGACGCAATCCACGAGCGATCCAGAGGTGGTGAATGGGATGAGGGAGTCCATCGCGTTCGTAGGGACACTGTGCAAGCGCACAGGCGGGTTCGACGTGCAGTGCGAGTAGGCGGTTGTTGAACACGATGAGGAGGACGGAGGACAGAAGCGGAGCAGGTGTACAAGCTGCAGCCTGCAGCGCCGCTCAATTGCTGTCTATTATAATGCTTCCACTGTTTTCTGCAAGCTGATATGGCCGAGTCGTTAAGGCGAGTGATTTGAACCGCAGGTCGAGGGTTCGAACCTGGCGAATATCACTTGGAGTTTCTCCGCGTAGGTTCAAATCCTGCTGTCAGCGTTTTTATTGCACTTTACGGCTACCCTATGCCCCTATAAGATATACAAAGGTAGCAGGAAGCATCGTAGGGTATATCCTGCGAGCCAGTGCAATTTTTGCGAGTGTAGCCAGCGTAGATGTGGTTTAGCGCCCGCGCGTGAAGCTAAGCGCCTACCACGCCGGAACACCTATTATAGTGGCCCGGGCGAGCCTGCTAGGGCCTGCTCTCTACTTCTTCTAGATCTGCGGCGCCATGTCCGCATTACAGTGCTTGATAACAACCTTCTGTTGCGGATTGCCTGTCTATATCAAACCTCGGATACAATTGTACATGCTCATCTGCGCAGCGAGCAACATCGTGCCTGACGGCGGCTAGTACACACTGCGCAGAATGTAGACGTGGTGCGGGCAATTTCTAGGTATCCATATAGTGTCTCAGGGAAATGAGTTGCTGTTGTATATCCTCAGGGTACTCTGACAATAATTGGGGACTACAGCCTCCTCCCCGATCGTTCGAAGGCCAGTGGTAGGCGCCCTTGTGTTTCTATCCGGATGTGAGCGTATTGTATGTGGACTCACGAGGGTCAAAGGAACATTAGAGGTCTTAAGGGAGTATACACACGTTGTCAAAATAGCGTTGAACCGGCGGTATGATAGTCGCCGACATATATCCCTGGGTTCACATTTGCGTCTATCGGGACACGCGGGGAGACGTTCAGAATAGAGGGCAGAAGGTGTCTGCTATTAACGCCACTCAAGATGATGTCGTCGCTGTCGCCTCCTTCCCAAAGTACTGCCATTGACCAGGCTGCGGCTGCTCCTCCAGGGGCTCCCACCTATAACATGTGTCAAACGGCGTCATGGTGCAGTTTCCGGGCACACTCACGCCTTCCACTCGAGCATCTTGGCTGCGAGACTAAGCTCATCCTGCGCAATTTCTAGCGACTCCTCGACGTGGCCCTCGTCCAGCTCCTTCTCCAGCGCAGTGATGTCTCCGTTCGCCTTCTCCACGGCCTTCAGCCGGTGCAGCGTGAGCGCCTCCGCGCCCTGGCGGTAGACGGATGATTGGGGGATGGCGGAGAGAGTCTGAAGGGTGGCCTCGTATGTCTTCTTCAGCTCGGGAAGAGGGTCATGATGGACCTTGAGGCCGGTGAGGCCCGTAGTCGGCTTCCGTACCGCGTTGAGGAGAGGGCGCGTGAAGCGGAACATGGCGGACGGTGGTGACGATTGGTAGGCGCCCAACTTTCCCCGAGAGCAACATTTCCCAAAAGCGCCGGTGAGCTCGTCGATCGTCTGCGGCCACGGACTGCACTCTGCTCTCAACCACCATGGCGGCAGCACTCGCTCTACATCAATCCAGCTCATGGCTGTCGGCCATGCGGGCTCCCCTCGCTCGCATGTCGTTTGCTGCCGCCTTCCTGCCTGCTTTCCTGGCTGCGCCGAAGCCGTTCTCGTGGGCCATGCCTGCATTACCCTCCCTGCTCGAGCTCTTCCCTCCGTGGCTGCTCGCGGTACCCAAAAAGAAGACCTCGCACTCGCGGAAGGCTATGCGTAGCGCGAACAAGGGGTTGAAGGATAAGGAGAGTGAGTCACGCGTGCAAGCTGCCGGTGGGGTCAATGACTGACCGGTCTCCGCAGACTTGGTGCATTGCCAGAGCTGCGGCTCACCAAAGCTGGCACACAACATGTGCCCCAAGTGCTACCGAGAGCTCAACATCAGCTGGAAGGCGAAGAACCGGTCTGCGGAGCAGAGCGATGTTACCGTGTTCTAGAGGGCGGATTGATGTACAGCGTACGTTTCTCTCACTTCTTCAGACTACCGTCGGCTCGCTGACTTTTCATGCAGTAGTATAGGTTCTGATAATTTTAGTCGCGTTCCGGGCCTTTCCCAACCTGCACTCTCTGTTTCCAGCGTTGAGTCGACGAACGAGCTCAGCCTGATTCATTTGACCTGCGCTGTCTTCGAAGCCCGTACGCGCCCCGCAACAGTCAAGGCCAATTCGCTGCTCTCAACTGCATCTTCTACCGGATGTTGGGAGTGCTGTAGGGGTCGTCGTACGCAGCAACGCATCTTGGCGGGGAACACGACCGGCCTATGGACTTCGAGCACAGAAGGTGTATGCGACTAGATGGATGACTTGCAGTTCTCTATCGTTACAACACGCTCGTACAGTCCTCCAGCAAAATTCAGAAGGCATTACGAAGCCCTATCCTGTTCACCGCTGCCCCACGGAGTTCCTCAGTTTATACGCATAGCAGTTGGATCAATTCCTTGGCCTCCGTGGACCGAGGTTTGATATCGCATTCGAACCTCGCTGGGTACCTATATCGTCACAAGCTCAGTACGACCTGCAGCAAGCACAGATGGGCCAGCCGTACGCACGTTACCACGCCTGAGATCATGTCGGGTTTAATTTCCACTGGTTTGCCGTTAGCATCGCGTTTGGGCGCAATGCTGAACACCTGCAGGACGGAAGCTACGTAAATGTAGATGGAGGCGACCGCAAAGTGACGGCCTGGGCATTCTCTACGATGGGTCATTCGTGTCAGCATTGCGAAAGGGCGGCGGGCATGCGCGATACCGCACCTTCTTCCGAAGCCGAACGCGTAGGTGGTCGGGTCGAGCACGCTCGAGTCCCATGCGCCGTCTTTGAAATAGCGGTCAGGATTAAAAATGTCCGGTTCCGCATAGGTCTGAGGGTCATGGGATATCGCCCTATTCATATGCGATGATGAGTTAGCTGTGCGCAGGGTTTCCCAGGATGGATGGCATTTTGCGAGCTTACCATACGTTGCCGAGCACAATAGAGCCTTTGGGAATATAGTATCCCTTGTACTCATCGTCCTCCATGAGCCGGTGAGGGAGACCGAGCGTAAAGACATTCTGCCACCGCAGGCACTCTTTCACAATCGCGTGAATGTACGGCAGCGAATTCTGGTCCGCAAACTCGGGCAGACGGTCGGGTCCGATGACCGCGTCGAGCTCAGCCTGGGCCTTTCGCTGGGCCTCGGGATATAGCGCCATCGCAAGGAAGAATGTCTGCAAGGTGGAGAAACTCTGCGATGCATCAGCATGCGACACACCAGCCGAAAAGTAAAGGGGAATGGCACTTACGGTATCGGCGCCGGCTGTCGTGGAGATAGGAGTGGCGTAAGGTTAGGCTTGATGCATATATACGAGCAAATCTTGTGGACCCACCGCCGTAGGTGACCGCCGCCACGTTCTTCGCCAACTCTTCGGTGCCAGCAGACATCCCGTCACCCACCTGATAGTCGCGGTGCATGACATCGCTGGCAAGAGACCGCGTACCCGCCCCGTCGCGCTGTCAAGGGGAAATGAACAGCGTCGATCAGAACTATACGTAGGAGGATCACCGCCTGTCACTCACAAAGTTTGCGATAACCTTCTTGAACGGCTCGTGCTTGAGCGCCATGGCTTCTTTGAACCACTGCGCAGCCTTCTTCTGGTAGGAAGCGCCCGGGACCCAGGGAGGCACATAGCGGAGGAACGGTAGGAACTCTACCCACAGCGCTCCCAGCACGAGTGCCTCTGCAGGGCCTTCTACCGCCCTTTCGCCGACAGCGATGTACTCATCATGGCTCTCCTTCGCCTGGATGCCGTACGCAATCTCAAGAATGGTGGCTCCGAGGTCGCTTCACGCGACGCGCCGCCGGTGCGGTCAAAATACGGTCAAGACGAAATGCGGCGCGTTACTCACTAGCGCAAGTCAGGCACAAAATTATCTGGGTTGGCCAAGAGCCGTGTGAGGAGGTTGCGGGCACCCGAGAGCTGACTCGATTCATAGTCCTTGACAGTGCCTTGGTGGAAGTGCTCATGAAGAGCGCGTCGGATTTGACGCCACTGAGGCCCATAGCCCATCAGCGCGACATTCCAGTCCCAGCCGATCCTATGACAGACGCGTTAACAACTCCGCGTGCGAAACGCAAGTTACGATGGTTGGCTTACATGCTAGCAACCGTTGAGTTGAAGCGGTCCGAATACTTGGCAGAACGCTTGTCAAGGAGATCCTTGGCCGTCTCGATGCTACTCAAGACAATGACTGGCTGGCCCAGAAGACTGATGTGGAAGATGTCTCCTGGCAGTGGGAGTGGCATGAGTGAGACGGGTTGGTATGTAGCGTCAAACTACCGCACCGTATTCCGCTGCCCACCTCTGGAATGTGAGCCATTGTTTGGATAGCGGAATGTCCAGGGCGTTTCCGAGGATGGGCCTGGGCTTAGGGCCAGGGGGAAGGGGAAGATAACGAGGATACTGCTTGGACTTTACGTACGCTCGCAGGAGAAGGAGAGAGACAGCTGCTGCTGCTACGCAGACAAGGGGGTGCTGGATGTCGAACATAGCGATGCAGACGGGGACAGGACGACTGATAGATCCAGTCTTTTATCCTCTCGTCTGCAAATCAGATTCACCATCCGGACACATCTTCGCCGTGTCCGAAGAGGGCCTGGTGTGGGTGTGATGCGGTTACTGGAAGCTAACGGGCTCTCCAACACGTTGGACGTTGCACCAAGGCATCTGCATACGGCGCGACGGAGATACCAGCCAGTGGGCCCATGAGGCTAGCCCCAGCGTACTAAATCCACAAGGCGTGTCAGTTAACGGTGGCGCCCGAGTAATGAGGACTGGTTACCTATACCATGTGGTGCGCGGTAGTACCCCTGCCTTTGGTGGACTTTTTCGTCCCACGTCCCTTGCAAAGGATTTGGTCATGATTGTGAGGCACGGCGCGGCACGTATCCGGGTGCCGTACACGGAACGCGATCCGGTTCCTTGCTGACGATGAAAATGTGCAGTAATGGTGTTTGCTGCATGGCTATATGTCGACAAGAGGGTCCTGGCTTGCGGTGTGTGGGCGGCCCGTATCGAATCCTAGCCGAATTGAGCATCTATTGGGCGCGATGCGGTCCCTAGGAAATCATCACGCGTTCACTGAGCAACTCCGGCGCAGCGCTGAGGACCACACCTGGACCTCGAAGACGAGGCGGATGACACGGGGGTGTGTGTGCTCTACGTACAGCGAAGCTGAGAGTACGTGGTGGTTCGAGGTCAAGCGTAGACGAGTCCGAGGCCGGGATTTGGCACGCGTGACGTTGATCGCGCGTTTCGGTCACATGACGGACGCGTTGTGAACCACCCGTCGCGGTTGGCCACAGACACGTCCACCTTCCCCTCTCCGCCCTCTCCGCCACTCCTCCCAACACTCTCGGACTCGCGCAAACGCAATGGACGGCTCAAGACACGGCGAGGCCGGCGTGCTCGCATGGTGTAACACCATCCGCTTCAACATGGCCAAGGACCCCGGCCGCCAGATGCTTCATGACCAGATTCAGACGCAGGGCCTCGACTTTCTCGACAATTACCTGGAGAGCTTTTTTGACGGACCTCAGAACGAGTACGTTTTACTTCGTCAGTACTGCTATGTCTCCTGACATCCTGACATAGGCCCGTCATCGAGCTTTTGAAGACGCCTGGTCGCAAGAAGAACGCACCGGTCAGGACGCGTGCGGCAATAGCAGCCGCAGAGAAGTCTCGAGGAATCACATCACTGTCTTTCGAGGTGCGTGACTGGTATGTCAAGTCAGCAATAGACACGGACTTATGGTGCATAGGACCTCGACGCGAAGGAAAACCGCGGTCCCGTCAACGAGTTTCAGAAAGCTCTCCTTCGAGTCAAGGAGCAGGCTGAGGGCGATGCCACACGTCCCACCACTTCCCATCCAGTCTCGTCTGATAGGCCTCTCAAGCCCTCAGCGTCTTTTGCCAAACTCAAGACGCAGAAGATCGTCACTATTGCTGACAGTCCCGCCGTCCAGTCTCCTGGGCGCGATGACAATAGGATGGACCTGGACGAAGACCTCGAGCCCATACCTGCGGTCCAGTTTGCTCTCGACCCGCCCTCCATGGAACCCGCTCTTCCGGATGCGATCTTGCACGAGAGCCAGGAAGCGATCAAGGACTTGTCCATGATTGCTGAAGACGATGAGCCGGCGGAGCGGAGTAGAGTGTCCCTTCCTACGGCAACGATTGCTGCGACGGCGCCCTCCCAAGCACTTCCTCAAGTCTTGGCCACACACGATGTACAAGACGTATTCCATGACGTACCGCAAGAGCCCCCGCAGAGCAGCGAAGTTCCGACTGACGATGAGCCTGATGAGCCTCCCATAGATGCGGCAGAAGAGATCGAAGAACCTCCCATTGGCAAGATGACGTCTGGGTCCTCCAATACCTTCCACTCGATCGCCCTCGACAGCCCCCGCGCGCCAGAGCCTGAGCGACCGATACGTCGCGCAGACGATAACCATACCGCACCCCTCCCCAAGATGTCGCTCCCTCCAGTGCCTATCGACGAAGATGCTTACTCTCATACCGCACCTCTCCCTTCATCGTCTTCTCGCCACCAGGAGTATACTCTGCCGCTCCGCGAGGAGCCCTCCGCGCCTGTTCCAGGGCTATCCCGTAAGCCTAGTGTGACACAGTTCGCAGGGCTGCCTGCACCATCCCCTCTTCGGAAATCTTTACGCGTACCTGGAGATCCCACTACGACTAGCGGAGGCGGTACAACTGCGCCTCCTCCGGGTGGCAAGAGAACCTCGTGGTTATCTAAGGCACGCGAAACTAAGGCCTTGGAGACGACGGCGAAGCGGACGAGCACGTTAGGTCAGGGTCTCGGACTTACCGTCTTCAGTAACAAACGGAAGAGCGGCGAGATGCTCGAGTCGGCTCGGGATATGTTCGCTCCGCCGAATACAACCCTCAAGCCGCTTGAAGAAGAGCAGAGAGTGCCCAAGATGGCTAAGCTGTCCCAATCCCCTGATGACACAGTCTTCGACGGTAAAGGCAAAGGCAAGACTACGTCACCTAATACCGTAAGTGTGATATACTCGGCGGTAACCGGCTCACTCACATCTCATCTTACCTCCAGGCCCAGGATACTATACCGCGTTCAGGTACCGTAGCTGAAGTCACCGCCACGGCAATCGTTGCTACTACCACTACCACAACGAGCAGTACGTCACTACAAGCGGACGATGATGTGCTTGGCCTCCTCAAGAAGACCGCAGCTGGTTATGGCGCTCGCGTCGGCAAGAGTATGGGCAAGTCTCTGGGAGGTAACGCCGCGGCGGCCCTGGCAGAGGCCCGCGCGCAGGCAGAGGCGCGTGTCGCCGAGCGGCATAAGCTCGCGATGGGTCTCGCAAAGGACTCCGAGGACGTTTCTATGACGTCTGAAGATCAACCGTTTTCTACGGATGATGTTCTTCCTACCGCAGCGCACGCCGAGTCGGAGCGTAGGCTCAGCGTATCAGACCTCGTTCCAACGTCGCATGGGACAGGCAAGGCTACCAGCGCTGCTGCCCCATCCTCCACGCCGCCAGACGCAGATACCAGCACTTCCACGACGCCGCCAAATTCTCCTCCCCCACCACCTCCTCCTCGCGCCACCACGTTCTCTGCACCCACCGGACCAGTGTTCAGCAAGCCGACCGCGCCGCCGGCACCAATTGCTCCTTCCACCTTGTCTGCCGCACCGTCGGCACGCATGGAGAGCACCGCTGGCCCAAGCGTCGGGCGCGACTTCTCGTTTAAGATCCCCAACAACCCTTTCTCGATTCCCGCAGCGATGACCCTCGGTATGGGGAGCAAGTTCGCTCCGCTCTCCGCGCAGAGCAGCAAAGCGAGCATCTTCTCCGACGTCGTGTTCGACACCAACAACATGTCGCCACAGCCGTCGTGGATGCCCTCCACGCAAGACACATCGTACTCCGCTGGCGGCTCGCAAAGTCAACCGAAGGCCACGTTTGTGGATGACAACGACGACCTGGACGAGGACGACAGCTGGGGCGTGGAGGAGAAGTTCGCCGCCCACCAGACTTGGACGCCGTTCGGGTTCTCGAGCGTGGACCCCGGTACGGCCGGCGAGCAGGCGTTCAAGGACGACACGATGACGTGGAGCACGCAGCCGAGCCGGAGCACGACCGGCTCGATTGCGCCCACGCAGAACTTCTTCTCCATCCTGCCGCAGAGCAAGGAGGAAGAAGAGGACGAGAGTCGGGTGGAGGAGGAAGTGGATGCGCCAGAAGACTTTGCGGCTCGGTTAGCGGCTGCGGCACACCAGGCCTCGGACGCGGACGATGGTCTCAACGAAGCAGATATGGCGATGGAGATTGACGACGATGTAGAGGACGTGCAGGATGACGACGAGAAAGAAGACCTCGAGGAGGCTATATTGAAGGGTAAACCCACAGTTACGCTCGTACAGGTATGGCATCACTCTTCCTTCAGCGAGGTGACGGAACTGACAAGGGTGACGTATACGCAGCAGTCAAGCAAGTCTGACTTGATTCCGGAACATCGCAGTGAAAGCCAGCAGTCGATGGCGTCGACAGCCTCTTCTTCGCAGCAATCGCAACTTGGCTTCTTCGGCCAGGCGAGTAAGCTGGTTAGCAGCGTGCTCGGCGGAAGCAAGAAGAGCAAACCGGAGGTCAAGAGCTTGCAGCTCGCCGCCGCTGCGGCCAAGAAGGTTCGTCTGCTCGTAGCTATTCTGTTCTGCATACAGCTAATTCTTACGCTTTGCAGCAACAAGAGGAGCAGGAGAAGAAGGCTGCGCGGATGAAGGACATGGAAAACCGCCGGCAACAAGCGATGCAGCGCAAGGCGGAGGAAGAGAAGACCCGCGCCTTGGAAGAGGAGCGAAAGATCAAGGAGGAGGCCGAGCGTCGCAAACGCGAGCGTGAAGAGCACACTGACAAGCGGCCCCTTCGGAGCACTACCACCGTCGCTAAGAAGGTGAGAACTTCCGCATAATTGCATGCTATGGCGGGCACTGATTGATCTGCTCACAGGCCGATGAGGACAACACTCAAAAGCGCAAGCTTGCCGCGCCCACCTCGAAGCCGCCATCAAAGGACAAGAAAGACTCTACTGCCCCTCCTCGTCTTGCCAAACCCAGCGCAGGTCCTGGCGCCGCATCCTCGTCGAAGCCAAGTGGTCTCCCAAAGTCCGCACTCAAGCAGCCAGCTTCCTCGGTGCCGGTCACGCCTGGAGCAGCGAAGGCAGCCCCGAAGACCGTGAAGCACGTCCCCTCTTCCAGCAACCTCAAGTCCGCCGCTGCAGGTCCCAGCAAAGGCAAGGCCCCCGCCCGCGAAGCGTCCGAGCCGCCCGCCGCGAAGAGCACCAAGGCCGCCGCCGACTCACGCGCCGCAGCCGGGCCCCCCGCGGGCGCACCGCAGGTCACGAGTGAGAGCATCGAGCTGCCGGACATCAACAGCGAGTACTCGGACTCGGACGACGAGGACCGGCCGTCGCGGAAGCGCGCGCTGCCGGACTGGGCGCAGAGCCCGGACATCGCGGCCGCGCTGCAGCAGCAGAGCACGATCAACCCGGACGACATCTTTGGGCGGATCGGGCCGCTGCGGATGGAGGAGATCTTCCGGACGCGCCAGAGCCGGTTCAGGGCGCGCACGAGCTCGGCGAACTGGACGGGCACGGACGAGCTCACGGCGGAGGAGGAGCGCGAGTATGCGCGCCGGATGGGCTTCCGGTGAGCGGGAGGTGTGGGGGCGGCGGGCCGCTGATTCGTGTATGAGACATTTTGATTGGACACTGTAAAGCGGAGTTGACTGCGTTGAACTTCATAATGATAGAAACAGAACGCACGGGCACGTTGTAATCAACGAGGATGAAGCTACTGTATGACAAGGCGCGTAGGCACAGGAATCCGAGAGATAGAAACAGAAGGTAAGATAAGATACATCTATAGTAGCAGGATTAGGAGATCTAAAGTACTTGGGACGTCCAGGAATCTGTCCACACAAATCGGTGAGAGTATGTGCAGGGGTGCAAGCAACGGGTGGATATCTGGGTCAGAACATCATCGTGTCCTGAGAGTGCGCACTTCCACATTGCCGATGGTGGCGCTCCCAGTCTGACCTCTGGATAGACGTTATCAGCTGCGTTTCTGGCGGAGGAGCAAATATGATATACCTGGCATTCGTTCGAGCAATAGAACGCGCCCTGTGAAGTATACGCATCTAGCAGAGATCACCGATGTAAGGAGTTCAGCGACGTACCTTGCATCCGCCGCATATACGGAGGTCAGGTGTGCGGAGCAGCCCTTTGCGACACTATATCGACGTCAACACCGCTCGCTGACCGCTCTAGGGGAATGAGGCTTACTCTAGAGTTGCTGCACCGCATATCATCGGGCGCACCCAGCATTCTGAGTGCCTGCGCCTTCAGCAGCTCGCTCCTCGCCTTCGACACCCGCGCGAGATTCTCGCGGGTATTCGTGATCTCCTTGAACTCGCGGGCAGCCATGCTCGCATCGAGCGACTTCGCGAACCACCGCTCCGCGTCGTCAAGCCGGCCCATGTGGAGGTAGAGTTCGCCGAGGCTGTTCCACAGGGCGGCGACGGTGGAGTCTGCGGAGGGTGCGCGGGGCTCGACCAGCGCGAGGGCGCGGTGGAGGAGCTGCTCGGCCTCGGTGTGGCTGCCTCTGGCGTCGAGCTGACGGGCCTTGGAGCTCAGGGAGAGGGCCTCCGTGAGCGCGGCGTCGAAGTCCGGCGCCGGGGGTGCGATAGAGGGAGAGAACGCAAGGCCGTTGGAGCCCATGGTGAGGGAGAGCGTGGTGGTATGGAGGGAAAGATGGGGTAGGAGCGCATCGGCGGTCGGGGTCAGGGGCTCGGGCGACGGTCGTCCTGCCCAACGCACGCTAGGCCCACTCCGGGTATCCGCCACAGCAGCGATCACGTGCCCGTGTCTGCTACTGTACGCGCTCTCTTCTCCCGCGTCCCATAGCCTCGTGTCGTTGCTGGTGCCCCATGCTACCTACCTGGGAGTACTATAGGTCTACTGGTCAAGCTTTTGAGAACTTTCGGCTTGATAAAAACGGATTCAAGCCGTCAGCATGAAGTGTTTCCGATGTTAGCATGCCCATATATCTGGAGGACACCACGAAGCACTATTCTTCGCGGTGGAGGACGAAGAGAAACAACGTAGCCATCGCACAGATGCTACTGGATTGAAGTGTCTGACGCGTACACTATCATGCGTCTTTGTCTGTATTATAAATACCCAGAACCGCCCTATACCATCCAAAAAGAAACAACCAACCTCATAGCTATGCATAGCACACGGCCCTAGCCACCAACCGTACAGACCATCTACTTGATCCTGTTGAGCTAAGAGTCGTTGTTAGGAACGCGGCACCCGTTGAGACAGGAGCTAGACATACCCGCTCAGTGTTCCGGAAGATGTGGCTGTCGAGCCTGTCCGTCTTGTCGGTGATACGGGTGATCCTCTCGTTCTGCGTGTCGAGCTCCGAGCTCATAGCTGAACCGAGTGCCTTCAGCCGCTTCGTCACATCCATGATCTCGTCCAGGTTGTCGTCCAGCTCGTCCTCAAGTTGGTCGTCTTCCTCGTCCGCCTCGAACTGGTACTTCGCACGCTGGTTCTTGCGCAGCTGAAGCTCCGACTGGGTGCGGAAACGGCCGCTCCCGCCTCCGATGCCCTCCTCATCGTCGCCCCGCGCGCCGTATGTGGCTGCGCGCCCGAGACGGTCCTGCGTGTCCCTGATGTCACCCATGGCCTTCTCGCGAGCATCCCGCTCGTCATCGTAGCGCGCCTGGATCTTCGCCTCCTGTGCTGCGCGCTTCGCGTCCTTGTTAAAGGTGATCGCCGGGCGGAAGATGGAGCGGTTCAACTTCTTGAGCTCGTCCGTCTTGTCCTCAGCGCGCAGCGAGTAGCCCTTCGACACATCCAGGTGGCGCTCGGTGTCCGCGAGTTTCTCTGATCATCATGACCAGTGTTAGACTTCAAACAGCATAAACATAGACATGATAATCTGATGCCTACCTGACTGGGAGCCAAGCTTGCCGACGGTGTTGCGCGCAGTCTCCTCCGCCTCACGCGCCAGGCGCAAAGCATTACGAGTAGAGTTGACGGTATCCTGCTTCATGAAACGCATGTTCTGTTTGATGCCCTCCACATCCTCATCGTTCTCCTCGCCGGGCGGCGGGGTCCCACGCCGCGGTGGGCCCTGTCCTCCGCCGGGTCCATCGTCAAAGAAACGACCTGAGCCGCCAGCCTTGGGCTTGTAGCCACCAAGGAGCTCGTTGCGATCGTGGTCGATGTTGCCCTGCCCGCGCGAGTACACGTCCCCGACGGCGTTCTGGCGCGTGTAGCGGTCGCTGTAGTTCGTGGGTGGAGGCGGCACCGCAGACGGAGTGTTGTAAGGGTCGCCGTCGCGGCTGGCGACGTACGTGCTCGACGTCGAGCGAGGGTATGCGTTGGGCGGACGCGGGGAGGAGCTGTTGCCTCCGCCGCGCGCGCCAAAGAGCTCGTCGCGAGCTGCCTGCTCCGACTGGACTGGCGGGATCTGGTTCTTTTCCTTGCGCTTGAAGAAAGACATGTTGACGTGAAAGGTTTAGAGGAACTGAGAGGAAGACGAGAGAGAGCGACAGGCAGAGAGACGACGATGGAGGTTGTAAAGGCTGTTGCTGGGCCAGTGCCACCGCATTATGTACCCCTGGCATCACGTGCGCCGACAACCGCTGCAAGCTTTCTGCCGGCTGCCGTCTTCTAGCCAACATGCGTTGCTAATAAGCAGGCGAGGCCATGGACTCGTACATTGCGACGAATATGCGAGTAGAGATGAGGTAAAATAAATGGCGTCGTACAACATGCAACCGCGGAACAGATCAGCTCTTGCCCGTTCCGCGCTTGCCCTCCACCTCCTTGCTCTTCTTCCCGACGACGGTGACGCCCTTGCCACTCTTGACGAGGGTCTTGAGCGCGGCGTCCTTTTGTCGCTTGACGTCTCCGACGCCCCTTGGCCGCCCCATCTTCTCCGAGGTCTTTTGGATCGCGTCGTGCACTTTCTTCTTCGCCTTCTTGTGCTTGTTGCGAAGCGCCCGCTTCTCCGCAGGCGTGAGCTCGCTGCGCGCGCGGAGATCGCTTGCCGAAGGCGCGAAGACTTCCTCCGGAGCGAGCATAGTCGAAGTCGCCTTGGTTGTCGGAAGCGCAGACTCGAGGCTTGCGGCTGCGACATTGGAAACCGAGGTGATCGTCGCTTTGGGCTACAGTCGTGTGAGCGCGAGTAGGGGAACGGACAACGGAGCAGTGTACTTACAGCCTTGGGCGTGAAATGTGCGTTGCATAGCGCATCGAGCTTGCCGCAAATGCCCTCCCAGAGCTTCTCGATCTCCTGGTGCTCCTTCTTGAGCTTTCCATCGCGGTCCTCACCAGCGACACCGCCCGCCTGCGCGGTGGTGTACTCGTCCTCATAGATCTCCGCGAGAGACTGCTTGGACTTGGTGTCTTGAAGCTCGAAGAACCGTGATGGCAAGAACGGCTTGTCGTCCACTGGTCGTTTCCGCACAACGTCGTTGAACTGGTTGTCGAGAATACGCGCCTTAATACGCTCCTCCAGACTATGGACCACGTCCTCCGTGATGATAGGGACAGACTTCATGAGGCGCTCGAACTCCAGGTCCTCCTCGAGGAGCGAGTTCTGAGGTCGTGTCCGTGATGACGCCTCACCCATCAGCGTCCAGTCTTTCTTCCCGACGTTCTCGGACTCAAGAGTCGCAATCTCGTCGCGCAAGGCTGCCATCCGCTTTTCGTATGTCGACAGACCTGGAAATACGCAGGCATTAGGGAAAGCGTTGTGGATCTTGTGAATTAGGGATGCTCACCTTCTTGCGGCATGTCATCCTCGTCGTCCGCAAAGAGGTCGTCCTTGAGACGCTCCATCGTCTCGTATCCAGCATCACTTTCGTCGCCCTCCATTGACTCGTCTTCGTCGCCATCTTCAAACTCCTCCGAGCCCGAGCCCAGCATAGCGTCTTCGTCTTCCATATCCTCCTCGATATCGAAACTGAGCCCTTCACCCTCCTCGTCTTCTTCCTCCTCTTCCTCCTCCTCGTCGTCGTCCTCGTAGAACATGGATGCGACAGGGAGGTTCTTGCCCTTGGCCTTGATCGTCTTCACGCGAACCTCTTCGTGGAAGCGTACCTTGCCCTTAGACGGGGTTGGTCGCTCGATAGGTTTACTCGCCTTTGCCGGCTTCGGGGGCTTTACTCGACTTGGAGGTTCGAAGAAGTCCCGGTAGCGAAGTTCTGTGTACGATGAGGGGAAATCCGCAGTGAAAAAAATGCATGCACATACCGCCTCCTGCGTCCTCCAAATCCTCTTCGTCGAATGCGGCACTATCGTCCACAGAGGCAAAGTAGTCGATGTCCTCGTCCTCCTCATCTTCGTCTTCGTCGTCATCATCATCCTTGCTCAGCCTGCCTCTTGAGACCTTCTTCGACTCTGCGGCTTCGACTTCCGCATTGAACGCCGCTAGGTCAAAGAAACCATCGTCGAGCACAGGATGTCCGCCCCGTCTTGGCTTGACCTTTACTGTCCGCTTTCCGCCATTGAGGAACGAAGGCTCGCCGATCTCCGGGTCGTCATCGTCGTCTTCGTCGGACGGGTCCCGTAGCTCCTCCACACCCTCACCCAAGTCCGCGTCCTCACCGTCATCCTCTTCGCTCTCTTCATCCTCCTCTTCGTCATCATCCTCATCTTCATCGTCATCCTCGCTGTCCTCCTCGTCTTCTGAATCCCCCTCGTCAAGCCCCAAATCCTCCAGCTCTGCTGGGTCAAAGCCCTCGTCAATGAGGGCCTGGCGCATCTTCTTCAGCTTCCGCTCGTCGTCCTCGCTGTCGCTCTCCGCCCCCTCCGCCGGCCCGTCCAGCGCGTAGTCCAGCACTTCGCACATGTTCTGCGCGCGCAGCTCGAGCTGCGCCCAGACCTGCTCGTCGCTCATGCCGTCCACAAAGAGCTCGCCGATCGGTGTCTCCTTCATGAGGTTAATGACAGTCTCGGGCTGTGGGGAAGGGGTCTTCCCGCGCTTCCGTTTCTGCGAGCGCGTCTCCGGGGCGTTCTCCGGGGCAATGGAGGTGAGGAGGTCATTGACAATTATGCGCGAACGCTCCTCGGTCTGCAGAGCTAGTTACGGTGTAAGCGAGGCAAGGGGCAGAAATTAGGGCGAACATACCGAGGTCGAAGATGTATTTGGCAGCTTCCAAAGCTGTTCTCCGAAGGTCGTCCGCGCCGGTAGCGAGTGCCTCTGGCTGCTCCGCAATGAGCTTCGAGAGACTCTCCAGCTGCGGCGGGAGAGACGACTCCTGGGCCGCGTTTGTGGTGTTAGAAGGGCCTGCGTCGGCCATGCTGAAGCAAGTCTGAGCAGAACGGTCGGCCGTGCCAAGAGTCGAAAAGTGAGTGAACGAGTGCCAGGACTCGCAGAGCACGGCTGCTATTCTCGTAAGCGCCGGCACATTTTTGCTCGCTTCGCATTCGGACGCGTTGTTTGCACTTGTTGCGCAAGAGCCTCAATCCACTACGCCATCGGCTATCTCGGCTACTCAGACCAGGGTTGCCTCAAATTCATCTTGGATACATTGCTGGAAACGGCTTGCTTGGTAACTTTGAAATACATGATATACGCCCGCACATTTAATGATTCTTCAATGCTGCCTCGATCACTTCCCCGATACCCAGAACTACCTCCTCCTGGAGGGTGGAACCAACGATCTGGACTCCAACAGGGAGACCGTTGTACAACTCCGGGTCGTCTGAAAAGAATATCAATGCATGCACTCACAATATGAAGACGAGAAATAAACCTACACAGTCCATGTATCAGCTTGTCTTCGCTGCTCCAGAACTCCTCGCGGGTTGGTGCGACGTCGACTTGGGGATCGACCTTGGTGACCGGGATGATCAGGCTCGGGCAGTCGAGCGCATTCCAAATGACAGTGTAAATCGAAGACCTGTGAGGATTTAAATTTCCTGAGCTATATTGGATATATTCTTCTAGTCTAACGCACCTGGTTTGACCATGGGGGACCGCAGTGTACGGGGCGGGAGGGCAGATGATAGCGTCAATCGGACGACCAGTCCCGGTTTCCGAAATTGTCGCCTCCCAGCGATCGAGGTGCGCCTTGTGCAGCTCGCGCCTCTCCTTGTGCAGCTGCCATATCTGGTAGGCGGTCAGCGGCTTGCGGGGGATGCGGAAGTCGGGGATGTCGTTGGGATCCGCGTTAGGGTCCATCGAGTGGATGAGAGGCTCTCCGGTGGTAAGACACGCGTTATAATCCTCGCTCCCGTCAGCGAGCCAGGCAGCGCGCTAAAATTTCTATCAGCCTGACATTCAATGCATCGTACAGTTGGCCACTCACCGCGACGGCGATGTACTCCGGGTGTCTGAGAGACTTCCACTCAATGACTATGCCGGTTAATGAGACATAAGCTCTAAGCCACAAGCTTCCAATAAGAGCCTACCTCTGTGACCTGCCGCCTCTAATGCCTGCTTCGTACGCGACAACGCTCTCAAGATCGGCGGGTGTGGCTTGACGGAACCTTCATCCCACATGATACCAAAGCAGAGCTTCTTGCCGTGGTCGTGGTTCTTGAGCAAGTAGTCATCTTGAGACCACGGCTTGGGCACAGTGCCCGGAGAGTACCGCCAAGGTTCCTGGTCCAAGACGCCGCGGAAGAAGGCGGTCACGCCAGAGAGGGAAACCGTGAGTGGGCCGATGGCACTAGGGACAGATTCCTGTCCGTCGAGCGAGTTCAGCATGCCGTATGATGGCATGCGGTGGCTCGACGGCTTGAATCCGTAGAGTCCGCAGAAGTGGGAAGGTACTCGGATAGACCTGCGATAAAGTTCAGTGCGGATTTGATGAGGTGTCGCGACGGAACTGACCCGCCAATGTCTGTGCCCACCCCCAAAGGGCTCCCGTGCATGCTAATCAGCGAACTCTCTCCACCCGATGATCCGCCGGGCGTGAGTTTGCGGTTGTAAGGATTGAGGGTACGTCCGAAGACATTATTGTAGGTCTCTGCCCACTGCGCTCTGTTGTTAGACACCCCGTCTGCAAACGATCGGGGACACAGCGCACCATTATCGTTTGGGGAAGGTTCGTGCGGACATATAGCACTGCCCCTGCACGCTCCAGGAGCTTCACCAGAACGGCGTCGTCCTCCGCGACGTTACCTATCCAGGCAGCATACCCTTTGCACATCCCTTGAATCAGCTGCATGGTAACAAGCAACATCGGTAGGTTTACCCATAGTAGTCTCGATGCCTTTGACGGGGAACTGATCTTTCAAGGAGATGGGCAGTCCGTGCAGAGGTCCCACAACTGTGCCATGCTCTTTCAGGTGGGCGTCGAGCTCTGCAGCACGGTTGAGTGCGCGATCGATGAACACTTCTGTCAAACAGTTCACCTGCACGAATATGTCATGCACTGAACCACATCCACCAATACGAGTGAGCAACTCACCACTTGATGTGCTACGACTGCCCTCTTGCTGAACGCGGTCGTGACCTCCACCGCGGACCACTCCGCAGTCGCGAGCTTCCGCAAGATCAATGAGACATCGGTGGTGCCGGTAATCTCGAGTTCTCTGTCCGTCAATAGACCACAGGTCTTGGGCACATCGAGCACGTTTAGCTGGTCGTCCGGTACAGGAGAGATGATCCACGCCGGGGGAATTGACGCTAGCAGACGCCTCCTCTTGTCAGCAACCTGTTCTTCCCAACTTATGGATGTGACCGCGGTAGCCATGTCTAGTGAGCGATCCCGAAGGTTACGACGAAGAGGGTGTGGGCGGGTAAGGAGTCTCGTAACAGAGTAGAGTTTCGGCGCCGCGGCGCGACATGATATACTTCCCACCAGGAGTGCCATATGACCCCGTCAGTAAGAGGACCGCGGATATAGGCTTATCGTAGAACAGTGCACCCGCTCTGAATCAGCAGCGGGTGAGATGCCCGTGCACAGTCTCAAGGTGTACTCTGATCGATGATTATACCCATATATGCCCGTAAAGCCGACCACCGGGTGTCGGTGGCTGGCACGGAGGCCGCCGACATGATTTCACAGGACGCATCAGTTTGAAGTAGTGGGAGCGCCATATGCGCGAGACCTGGCGCAACACTTTGCCCGAGAATGTGCAGCGCGCGAGCGCAGAGACTGTGAGAGAACAAGCTAGAGAGGCTGGAACGCGGTCCACTGGAGATCCATGGCAAGCGCAGGTTGTTTGTGCAAGGCAGGATAGGCGCCGAAGGGTCCTGAGAACGCTTCCCGATTTGGAACAATGAGTAGTCGCGCCTCGTTACGCGAGTTATGCAGCCTTTGTTAAGGACGGCGCTGCCTCCACCCGACCTTGTCCTCCTATTGTTCTCCGCGAATTGTCTGTCATGTCGCTTCATTCGCTTCCAGCATCGCCCGGGAAGAGGGCACAAGCGACTGGGTACTTAAGTTCTCTCGCTCGGAACTGTGCTGCCGCATTGTCTCTAGTCCTCGACTACGAACACCTCTCCAACTCTCTGCCGGCAGGGTTTACGCTCTCTACAGTTCAGTCCACGTCCGACTTTCTTGCTCGACGCATCTTCTGCTCTTACAGCAACACATTTTCTTCTCCAAACTAGTCTGTCGTCACGATGATCGCTGGTCTCTCTAAAGCCATCAACCTCTACCTTGCGCCCTTGCTGGCACTTACGTCCTTCATCCTCATTCTGTTCTCCTACCTTGCGCCTATTATCCTCTTCCCGACGGGGGTCTCGCTCTTGACGGTGTCGCCGTCCCTGCAGCTAACTGACGCCCATTCGTCGCAAGGCGTGGACGGTCCTTCCGTATTCCTGGGCGCGCTAGGTAGGTGATCGCTCTGCTACGGCTCGGCATGGTATCTTACGCAGTCTGACAGGCTCATGTACGCGTCCGAACAACGGCGCGTCCGTCACCTGTACTGCGCCGACGGTGTCTCCGCAATATGGTGCGTTTATATTCGGCATGCAGCCCTGCATCCGCTAACCGTGCCTCCTCAGACCTTTCTGTGCTTCCGAGCAATGCCCCGGACTTGCTGTCTGCACCTACGGCAACGACCCCGGCCTTCATTGCCGTATCGCTGGTCTTTACTGCCATCTTCTTCCTGATCTTCACCATGACCGCCTTCCGAGGGAAGATGGGCAAGTTCGGGAACACCTTTGACAAGCCCGTGGTGCAGCGTGCAACTGCCTGGATCGGCCTGCTCGGTTTCTTGATTGGTATGTGTTCGCACTTGCGCATCGACGGTGCAAGTTGCTAACACGAAGCGTAGGCATTACCTCGTTCCTCGTCCTCCGGATGTGGTTCGGCAAGGCCGTCGAGGACTTCAACCGGGACATCTCAAAGGAGGGCGCGGATGCGCCGCAGCTCATCGCAGCGACCAGCAACGGATTCATCAGTATGTATTGCTGCCGCTCCGACCTGGGCCTAGACTGACATCCCATTTCAGTGGTCTGGGTGGCATATGCCTTCTACGCTGTGCCCGTCGTGTGCTCGCTCGCCAAGCTCCATGTCGCAGCTGGCAAGGCGTGAGATGAGACATGTCCGTTATGACTCGCAATGCAGTTTCAAATACCTGGACTTTCAGTCGATGAGCTGCAGGCGCGGCTCTCGACTTGCTGTATCATACCATTCCGGACATTGTGCCTAGTTCTGCGAACCTGTATCGGTAGATGTAGCATATACCTCGTGTTAATAGGACTGTGCTCCCCGAGTCATACTACCCAAAGGGTTTAACATATCGGCGGCGAGTGTTGAATGGGCTGCAGGTCTCGACTCTCAGAAGCTTGGCGAAACGAACGTGGATGAGTTGTGTGGTTGACGGGCGGTCCGGGGCCGGAAGGCGTTCAATACGATGTTGATCGACACGAGCGCCTCGCTCATATACGGCTTTGTACCTGACGATCATCATGTCCTTCGAGGCACCCGTGAAACCCTCCTCCTTCATGACTTCCACTGACTCGCAAAGACGGACCTACAGTCGGCCATATCACGACATTAAGCAGCGGAATACGGCCTGGCATTGACCAGATCCCTATTTCGTCTTCTTGGGTTCCCAAGGCCACTGAGTTTCTCCGCCTCGCGCACATGTCTTGTGAGCATATGCGCTGCCCTTCTACTCACAGGCCAGATAGAGCTGCGTTTCCCCGCCCTGCCATGCGGTGCATTTGCATTGCACATTCATTCCGCCGTTCGACATCGGATCTTTTGCGTCTGCGCTGTCGACCTGCGACGGCGCGATAGTTCTCGCCGCATCTCGCGTGCCTGACATACATCGTACTGGGACTCTGTGGGAGCCCGTCCAAGTCATTGCGTCGGGATGGGCGGACGACGAGGGGCGGGCGGCCTATTCTGGTGAGTACTGCATCCGAAGCTATCCGCATATGCAGCGCGCTGAGTCTCCGCATGTCACCCAGCGGCGAGGAAGCCTGATGTCGACGCGATGCCTCTGCCTGCATGACTTGCTTCCCCCTCGCTTCGCAGCACTATTATGGGCTGTAGGCGTTTTGGGCTGGCCCTGCCACGCGCATACATATAAAAAGCAGCGAGAATGTCGAGGACCCCATCGGCTCTTCGCCGAGTTCTCTCTCCTCTCAACAGACAACAGACAAGCATGCACAACGCGCGGAACCAACGTGGAACGAGCATGCTCTTGCCTCTCGTTGCGCTCGCCTGTTGCATGGTGTTGCCGGCACTGGCCACCGCGGTTCCCAGGGGACAGTCCTCCGTCCGAGCAACCACGCCAGACATTCAGACCGTCACCGACCGCCGCCTTGCTACTATCGTCGGTGGCACGACTGGCGCGACTTCTATCTCGACGTGGTACGCATCACAGTGCGCCCTTCTGATGCCGCAATCCCGACTGATGTCCGCCGCAGGTTGTCTACACTTGAGTCGAACGGCCAATGGCCTGATGTCGACTACACTGCTGGTTGTGATGCGCCCACCGCCAACTGGAAGGCCCAGACTCACTGGTCGCGCATCCGTAGGCAATCCTCACCTCCGCTTCTGCCTACATACTGACAAACCGCATATATGCACTTCAGTCACGTTCTCTTCAGCCTGGCATGGCGGCCTGAAGAATGCCGCTCAATTTGTCCAGAGCAGCCAAGTGCGCTCGGCCATTTCGTCGGCTATGGGCTTCTGGTTCTCCAACGACTTTGCGAACCCGTCCTGCCTCGATTCTGGCGGAGACGCTACGTGTCCGTGCGGAACGCCCGGGCTGTGGAACACGAACTGGTTCTCTAACGTACGTCGTCGGAATGCCGCTGTCATCTTCCGTGAACAGCACTCATACTCTGTTCGATAGGTCATTGGCGTCCCCACCTTCGTCGGGGAGGTCTGCCTTCTCCTTGGGGACTCTCTCACCGCTTCGGAGCTCGTGGGCTGCCAGAAGATGACCGGGCGAAGCTTTGCTACGTTCGACACCGGGATCAACGGTGTCAGCGCGATAACAGGCGCAAACGCGCTGGACATCGCGAGCATTGGCATCGATGCCGGGCTGGCTGCTCAGAACGCGACTCTTATCTCTGCTGCCTTTGGACGCGTTCACGCGGATGCTGTGATCATGAATGCCATCAAGGCGGACGGGATCAGACCGGACGGCTCCTTTGGGCAGCACACTGGTATCATCTACAACGGCAACTACGGGAAGGACTAGTGAGTCAAGCGAACAGAACTGCAACAAGGCCTAATACTGAGCCATTGGATATTTTAGTGAGAACGACTTGTTCGATTTCGAAATCGAAGCCGGCGGGACGCAGTTCCAGGCGGGCACCGATTCGAGGACTGCGCTCGAGACCCTCGTAGATGGCGACCAATGGATGATCTACCGTAACATCTTCACCAATGTTCTTCACTGGGACTTCGTGAGTGCCTTCACGAATGCCTATATCTCCTATATCTCACTGATGATGTCTTCAGAGCGTCCTTGGGAGGCTGATGACTGACCCAGTTATCGACAAGCAGTAAGCTCGTGCCTTCTCGGTTATGCAATTAGTCTAACAAGTGGACAGTGCCTCTTCGAGCATCAATACCAACTTGACGCAGCTCCAAGTGCTCGGCCAGGAGTGGGGCTCTGACGTCCTTACGAACGTCTTCAACAACCTTTCCCTCAACACGACCACCGCAAACTCGGGTAATCTGGTTGGAAACCGAGTCTTCTTCGCCAACGATTACGCCGTGAGTTCCGTGTGCTGAGCACCTTGCCGCGATCCATGTTCTGAGACACGAACTCGTTAGGTTCAACGTGGCCCCGGCTACGTAACCACTCTTCGGATGTTCTCTACGAGGACGCAGAACACCGAATGCACAGACGAGGCCAACAATTTCGGCTTCCACCTCGCTGATGGGACAGTTTACACTCACATCAATGGTGATGAGTATGAAGACATCGTAGCGGCTTGGGACTGGAACCTCATCCCCGGCATCACTGTCGACTACGGAGCCACGCCTCTGACGTGCAGCACCACTCGACACACCGGCACCCAGACCCTCGTTGGCGGAGCCTCGGACGGCATTGTTGGCGCCGTCGCTATGCGGTATGAGACCCCAAGCTCGAAGAACCTAGACTGGCGGAAGACTTGGTTCTTCCTCGAGAACGACGTCCAGTTCGTTATGGTCGCCCGCATCACTTCTGCGACCTCTGCGCCCGTGTTCTCCGTCCTCGACCAGCGCAAGCACATCGGTCAGGTGCTGGTGAATGGAGCGACGGGTGGCACCGGCAACTTCTCCCACCCCAGTTCCCTGTGGCACGGTGGAGTTGGGTACGTCTTCAACACGTCCGACCCCGTCACGCTCTCCGTCGATGTCGCCACTCGCACCGGCGACTGGTCCGCCATCGGGGCGTCATCGCAGCCGCCTGTGACCGTCGACATGTTCACGGCATGGCTCGCCCACGATGACACCTCGAGCGCCATCTCGTACATGGTCTTCCCCGCGACCACCGCAGCCAACTTCCCGCAGAAGGTCGCCGCGACCAACGTGCAGAACATCCGGAACGACGGCTCGATCTCTGCCCTTCTCGATGTTTCGCACAAGACGGCTTTCATGGTGTTCTGGGTGGCTACCGGCGGCACGGTCACCATTCCGGCGCTGGCGGCAGGTGGGGCGACTGTCAAGCTCCAGTCATCCGGCTTCGGAAACGTGATACTGCGTATGGACACCTGGACGGTCACGGTGGCCGACCCGACGCAGACGATGTCAACACTGACGCTCACGCTCACGCTGGGGTCCGGGACGGCCCCCGCTGGATGGGGCACTTCGAAGACCAAGACGGTGCAGTTTACGCTGCCGACCGGCGGGCTCGCGGGAAGTAGCGTGTCTCAGGTATTGCCGGCTTAACGGGATGGGTGGTCGCGATGTGTATGTCTGTGAACGTGAGTGTAGTATCTGTACTAGTATACCTTCTTACTGACACCGCGGTCCTACAGAAGTATCTAGGCCCTTGTACTATGTGCTGATATGCGAATCAATTGAGTTCAGACGTTTACTGTTCATTTGCCACTCATCACATGTGGCCGTGCCGGTGATCCCGAGGACTTAAGTGAAACCCCGGCGCGATGTGTTATACCACGGGACGCGACGTCCATCCTCATCAGAATTCGGCATTCCGTACACTGGGCCTGCCCCATGTGGAAACGTCACGGTGCGGTATACTCATCTCCGAATCCTGGCGGCGTAAGCGCGGAGTTGACGGAGGTCCACACCAGGTGAGCGGCCTGATAGCTGGTCTCGGGGCTTCGGGCTATTCACAGAATGCACTCCAGGCACGGCATTCTATGACATGCAGGAACCCCGCTGCGTCTTCTGGGTTATCTGGACCCGGAAGGCTTATGGATGAATTTGAAGATCAACGGCGATTGGACGAAAGCCATCTCGACGAGCGGTGCTCGAGCCGGATTCAGCGGATCGCGTATGTGGTGCATGGACGAGACCGCGTTGGGGTGTGGGCGTGACTGTATCCCGCGTCTTTGCGTCAGACAGGCATGCAGTATTCGCGTCCAATCTCCGAAGCCTGTCAGCCGCGGAGAGTCCCCATAAGAGCGCGGATGACAGGTCTCATGGTTGGGTCCGTCGCCCAGCCCTCCGCGATCTAACTGCCAGTGAACGCTATGCCCCCGCGCGCGTCCAAGATGCTTGCCCTTGTCTCAGGGTTCGCTCTACTTCCGTGGCTGCTTCCTGGTGCTTCTGGCGCCGCCATCGACGCTCAGGGGAGCTCCGCGGCCCAATCCACCGAATCCTCCGCGGCGCCATCCACTCAGGCCTCTTCCCAATTCGGACTCTTGCCACAAACCTCTTCGCTCGCTACCTTCACCACTGTCCTTACTTCTGCGTCTATCTCCGCGTCCGTGACATCAGCCTCATTGACAGTGTCGAGTGCTGTCGGATCGTCAAACTCTCTGTCAGGCATCTCGTCATCTTCGAGTGCAGTGTCAAGCACCATCTCTCAATCTCTATCCACAAGCCCTGCCGCCTCTTCCGCTTCCACAACAACTGCCTTGAGCTTAAGCTCTCCAGCCAGCTCGTCGGGCACATCCGTTACCTCTGCTAGTCAGCCCACACAGTCATCAGACCCGGCTACGCTAGCAAATATAGCGAGCGTGCGTGAGCGCAGACTATCCGTCATCATTTCCGGCATCACCTCAGTCGACTCAGTCCCTCAGTTGTAAGCAGTACCTATGTTATATTTTCAGGAGCTACCACTTATCGCAACTGCAAAATACAGGCTGTCCACCCTCGGTGACGATGGTCAGTGGCCTAGCTCGGAAGTGGACTACACAACAGGTTGCGATGCCAGACGCGCGAATTGGTACGCAGCTAGTTCGCGCTATGATCTCACCAATCACTAGGCTGATAGCAGTCCGTAGGCCCGCCGAAGATCATTGGAGTCGGCTCGGTGAGAGCGAACTTGTCGACGATGTCAATAGGCGGAAATACTGAACGTAGTGTATGCAGTGACATTGGCCGCCGCATGGCATGGAGGTGTCCAGGGTGCCTCACAGGAGTTTACGAACAGCTCCTCCCTACTCGATTCTATCCACAGCGCGATGGACTTCTGGTTTGCAAACGACTTCACAAATCTGGCTTGCCTGGACTCTGGAGGAACTGCGACTTGTCCGTGCGGCACTCCCGGCCTTTGGAACACCAATTGGTACTCGAATGTGAGGACCGCCGGGATTTTCTCGAGCTACAATGCATCTAAGGAATCGGCATTTTACAGGTTATTGGTGCTCCGGCGCTCATTGGCGAAGCTTGTCTACTGGTGGGCGCAAATGCAATGACGGAAACCCAAGTGAACAACTGCACCCACATCCTGGTGCGCTCCTATGGCACATTTGATCACGGCTTTGGCTACACGACGGGGGCAAACACCCTGGACATATCCAAGATCGGCATCGACTCCGGGCTGCTCATCAACAATGCGTCCATGCTCACAGATGGCTACGCTCGGATTCACAGGGAGGTAGTTGTTGAGAACGCCGTGAAAGCCGACGGCATCCGACCCGATGGCAGCTTTGGGCAACACGGAGGCATCATATACAACGGCAACTATGGCAAGGATTAGTGGGTAACTTGCCATATACAAAGTTTCCTCAGCTGACCTGGCCACTAGTGCGAACGATGTTCTTGCCTTGGAGATTGCCGCCGCGGGTACTCCGTACTCCGCCAAGGTCTCAAATGCAGGCTCTGAAACAGCCTTTGAATCGCTTTTGCAGGGCGATGTATGGATGATTTATCGCAACGTCTTGACTGACGTTTTGCATTTCGACTTCGTAAGTAGCTCCTTCTACATGGCCCTTGCTCTTATTGACCCCCCCCCCTGCAGAGCGTGCTTAACAGATTTATCAGTTTCCCCGTTTCCGACCAACAGTGAGTGAAGACACCAAGTCGCCTCATATGATTTCACAGCATCTCAATTACGCCATTACTCTAGAGCTACCGGGAGTATCAACATCAATGTCACGGAGATACAGGAGCTGGGAGAGCTTTGGGATTCGGACATCTTGCAAACTGTATCCCAGAGTCTGGCTCAAGGGAGCAAAGACGCCAACGCCGGCAGTATCGTCGGCAATCGCATGTTTTACGCGAACGATTATATGGTGAGCATGCCTACATATTCACCAAAATGGATACTGATGCGTGCGATGTAGGTTCAACGCGGCCCTGGCTACGTGTCTACCCTCAGGATGTACTCCAAGAGAACCCTGAATGGGGAGTGCACGAACGCCGAAAACGTAGGCATACAACCTGCATCAAGGCCATGCTCGACTGACACACCCGTGTAGCCTCTAGGGTTCCACCTCGCCGATGGGACGCTGTACACCTACCTTCAAGGCAATGAATACGAGGACATCGCTGCTGCCTGGGATTGGAACTGTAAGTAGTGCTCTTGCAAAGCTCGAGCGCCGCAGTTGACAATAGATGCCCAGTGATTCCTGGCATCACCAACGATTACGGTGCAACGCCTCTCAGCTGTAATCACGAGCAGTTCTCGGGCAAGGAGGCCTTCGTCGGTGGCGCGTCGAACGGAAAGGTCGGTGCCGCGGCCATGCGCTACACCAACCCCTACACGGGCACGCTCAAGTTCCAGAAGGCGTGGTTCTTCCTCGACAACGACGTGCAGCATGTCATGATCTCCAGCGTCAACTCAACCACCGACAACCCCGTCCTCTCCGTTCTCGACCAGAAGCGACTCAATGGGCCCGTCTACGTCGATGGCGTCCCGCTCTCTGGTGGCAAGAACTTCTCTCAAGCCCGTACGCTCTGGCATGACAATGTAGGCTACACGTTCCAGCAGGGCCTTTTCGACCGCGACTTCGACTTGGCCGTCGACTTCGGCGCACGCACAGGCGACTGGGCGACCATCGGGATTTCGTCGGTCGGCAACATCACCGTCGACCTCTTCTCCGCCTGGATCAACCACGGGTCGGGTAGCCAGCTGGACGTCCCCATCGAGTACACTGCTTTCCCGGCCGTCAGCCAGAACGAGTTCGTGCGCAAGAGCTTGACTACTCCGCTCGTTACCATCCGCAACGACGCCCAGGTCTCCGCCGTATACGATGTGGTGCACCGTATGGCGTCATTCGTGTTCTGGGACGCGGAAGGAGGATCGGCGACGTTCGTGCCGTCGCTATTCGAGGCCCCCATCACCGTTCAGACGAACGGGAACGCGGTAGTGATCTACGACGTGGACAAGCGGAACGCGACCGTCTCTGACCCTTCGCAAACACTCACGACCGTGCAGCTATCCTTCAAAGAAGGTCGGTCGCACACTAAGACTCTAGATGTAACCCTGCCTGGTGGAGGTGTGGCAGGAAGCAGCGTTTCTGTTCAGCTTGGGTGATCGTGGCAGAACCTACTTATCGTATCACATATTCCTACGGCTCACATAGTTTCGGATATCGTTTCAAATGCTCCGTCGAACTGCTCTCATTCACTCTTTACTGTACAATGTTTTCAACGCATCTTTGAACTTTGAACTTGCTCCGTAGCATTACTCGTCTGCAGGCCGTATGCCTTGCGTGCTCACTCACTATGTATCCGTCGATATCGTTTCTTCAATTCAGTGCAGTTTACTGGACTTCACATATACTTCACGAGTTTCTCAAAAGCTCCAAGTTCCATGACTCGAAGCTCCGTCATATCACGCCTAAGCGTTGTAGTGCATTTCCACATACATTCACATGGCTGCATGTGAGAGCATCATGATTGCGTGAGGCCAGTGGCCGGCATACGTCGTACAACACGGTAAGTAGAAGTAAATCAGAACGCTGCGGGCTGCTCGAAGGACTGCTGGAACGGCTCCTGGGCCGGGTACGCAGCAGGCTCCTCCGCAGCCGGGGCGGGAGCAGCGACGACAGCGGGTTCGCGCTGCTCGGACGTGGGCTCGGCCACGATTTTGTCGAGAGGGGGCTCGAGGATCTGGACGGAGTCGGGGAGGGGCTTGCGGGGGCCGAGCTGACCCTCGGGATCCCATCCCTTCATGCTGAAAGGATGAGTTTAGTTTCCTCTGGTTATACGACTAGTAGGGATGATGTACGCACATCTTGACTTTGATGCCGAGGACACCCTGGCGGAGCATGACGTGGCGGACGGCGTAGTCAACGAAGTCGAGAGCGGGCTGACCGGAGTGGATCATGAAGCCGTCGGTGAACTTCATCGACTTGGCACGGGCAGCACGGAGCTTGCCCGAGACAACAACCTCGCAACCCTTGGCGCCGGACTCCATGACGAAGCGCAGGACACCATAGCAAGCACTGTTGACCGATTTTAGTGATGTCCTGTGAGCGATGGGAGGCACACGTACCGGCGGACGGCGAGACCACCGAGTAGCTTGTAACGCAAGCTCTCGCACTGAGCGATAGCGGAGAGACCACGGTACTGGACCTTCTCGGCGTAGAGCTCGAGGGAGTTGTCGGGGAACTTGAAACGCTTCTGGACGAGCGCGGTGAGCTCGCGGATGCGGCGACCCTTCTCGCCCAACACCTCCTGGGTGTGCGTAGCACGGATGATGATCTATAGCGCAGTTCTATTGAGGGAGGTTCACGTAGCATTAGATACTAGTACTCACCTCGGTACGGGCGTGGGTGACACGGACGTCGCAGCCGGAGTAACCCTCCTCGGAGAGCTCGCGGGTGAAGAAGTCGTTCAACTCGGCGCGGAAGACACCGTCAGCGACGAACTTGCGCTTCTTGCTAATTTGGCCGGACATCTTGAGGTCGCGGAAACTAGCAGAGGAAGAGGTGTGGGTGAGCCTGTGATCCTCATTCCAGCGTCATCCAGTAGAGATAGCGTCCATCCATCCCGTTTCACCGCGATTTTTGGACATTACTTTGCTCTGGGGCCGTCCATACGGCCAACATAACGGACTGGGTGCTCACCTTGAGGGGTTGCTTGACGGTGGGGGTGCCGAGGATGTCTCAGGCTTTGAGGCCGGGCGTTGGGGGACACTCAAAATCTACGATCGGGAGAACCGCTCAATCGGGAAGCTTGTTCTCACGCACTTTAGACGCTGGATTCACGTATAAATTTCGCGCCTGCAGCGCCCTTGGTTGCTCGTCCTCCTTCCTCCCCTCCGTCTTCGACAAAGTCGCGGCGTTAAGGCTCTCTTACATGGTGAGTGACCGTTTCATATTGCACGGAGAACCTCTGTTGTCTCCGCAATGAAGAGTGTTGTATTTTCAACCATACTGGCACCTCTTAGTCGACTCTATGCCTTGCTTCTCGAGCTCTGCTCCCGCTTGGTATCGCTGACATGAATGACCTTCTGAGCTTTCTTATGTCGTTTCATCTTGTTGAACACATTCGCTGACATACGCTCTCCTACAGGTTACATATATCCACGAGACCGCGCTAGTGAGAGCATTTTCCCCAATGCGGGCCGCCAGCCGGCAGTTCTGTAGTTATCGTGAGCATATCGGCTTCCTGGCCACTATCATGCCTATGTTTGTGGGTGTAGATAACTATCGCAATGCAATGCCTACATATACACTTCTCCTGTCCGATATCGTGTTCGAACGCCCCTTCTCTGCCTTCTCTGGACACCCGCGCTATGCCTGAGCAAAATTGGGAACAACTTGTCGCAGACAAGCGACGCCGCCAGCAGGAGACTATACCGAAGGACTGGATTATCTCGCCGCTGTCCGCCAATGTCTTGGACGTCAGAAAGTTCCCAGACAGTTGTGGCTTGCTGACGGACCGCGAGGTCGAGATTACCAACACGGTCGACGTTCAGCAACTGCTGGACAAACTCGCGACTGCACAATGGTCTGCTGCCGAGGTTACGACTGCGTTCTACAAGAGAGCCGTTGTTGCGCATCAGTTGGTACGGATTACATGACGGGGCCGCTAAAATGAAATATACTGAGTATTACACCCAGGTCAATTGCCTCACAGAGATTTTCGTCGACCGTGCCCTCGCTCGCGCTGCAGAGCTAGACGAACATTTGAAGAGCACCGGCAAGGTGGTTGGACCTCTACATGGCCTCCCCATTTCGCTTAAGGACCAGGTACGGGTCAAGGGCCAAGAGGCGGTCATGGGTGAGCACCAATTCCATAGCTCTGCCATGCGTAATACATACAATTATATATACTACTGTCAGGTTATGCCTCTTGGGTTGGAAAGTACTCTGACCAGGATGCGGTCATGACCGAGATACTATACGACTGCGGGGCGGTCCCGTTCGTTATGACAAACGTTCCGCAGACCCTCATGGCAAGTTATCCTCACAGTTATCAAGGCGGTAATGATTTGACCATGATTATAGTGGTCTGAGACGTATAATCTCGTCTTCGGCCGGACGCTCAATCCCGCCAACCGCACGCTCACTAGCGGCGGCTCCTCCGGCGGAGAAGGCGCACTCGTCGGCATGAGGGGCAGCCCTCTAGGAATAGGCTCCGACATCGGCGGGTACGTAGACAATTCCTCTGCACCTCTCCCCTCCCCTCACACAGTCCTACGCCGCCTAGATCCGTGCGCTACCCAAGCGCCTTCAACGGCCTATACGGCCTGCGCCCCTCGTACGGCCGCCTGCCCTACAGCGGCGCGCTCAACAGCATGGAGGGACAGGACTCCCAGCCCTCCTCGCTCGGGCCCATCTCCGGAAGCATGAGCGGCGTGAAGGCGCTCATGCGCGCGGTCATCGACAAACAACCCTGGCTCCGCGACCCACTGTGCGTGCGGATGAAGTGGGACGAGGACGCGTACCAGCTCGCGGAGCATGGCGGCGGGGAGAAGCTCTGCTTCGCGATCATGTGGGACGACGGGAACGTCGTGCCGCAGCCTCCGGTCATGCGTGCCTTGGAGGCGACGAAGAAGGGGTTGAAGGCCGCTGGGCATACAGGTAGGTGACATAACCTCCGGTTTATCTTTTGACGGTGAGTAACTGGAGCTTGGACAGTGATCGACTGGCAACCCCTCAAGCACCAGGAGTTGTATGAGAACCTCGTAATCATTCCCTCCCTCCGCTGTCTCTCTTAAGACTCATCTCCTTCCGATTCGAAGGCTTCAATCTGGATGGCAGGCGCGCTCGCCGACATCGACGCCGTGACCGCCGCAACCGGCGAGCCCCGCCTCACCTCCATGAGCCCCGCCGCCTCCGCGCTCATCGACACTGGCGTGCACTACGGCCCCGGGCTCTCCGCGTACGAGCTCTGGCAGACCCAGCGCCGCCGCACCGTACTGCGCGAGGAGTATCTTGCGCACTGGCGCGCGACCGCGGCACGCACGGGTACGGGCCGTCCCGTGGACGCCATCATTGCGCCCGTCGCGCCGTCCCCCGCCCCGCCGCACGGGATGACGAAGTGAGCTGGCTTGTCTTGCGCGCACGAGAGTTATAGCCGGAGGCTGACGGGAGTGCAGGATCTCTACGTATACGGTGGTGTGGAGTTCACTGAACTACACCTGCTGTGCGTTCCCGGTGACCAGCGTCGACCCTGTGCTCGACGCGAAGAGGCCGCCGCACAAGTTCCTCAGCGGAAACGACAAGGAGAACTATGAACTATGTGGGTGTCTCTTGCAGACTGTTTGCGGTGCCGCGCTGACGAATGTCGGGTGCAGACGACCCGGAGACGTTCAAGAACGCCCCTGTGGGCCTGCAGTTGGTCGGTGGCTCATACGAAGAAGAGGCCGTCATTGCGATGACGGAGCTCGTCGACGCAGCGCTCAAGGCGTCGTCTTGAAGAGGTGGTACTAGCAGCATCAAAGCGACAAAGTGTGTACGAGTACATGTCCCATATGCCAGAAATACGGTTCCGTGGAAGCTGGGGATGAGGGCACTCGTGGAGACTGCACGCCTACGGACGGGCCTCGTTCACGAAGATAGCGGCGCCACCCATGCCACTGCCGATACACATGCTGGTGCAGAGGATGTCTGCGCCCCGACGCTTCAGTTCTGCGAGTCCAGTGACGACCTGGCGGGTACCCGCTGTAAAGCGATATCAATAAAGCTGACATTCAAAGAGGGGACAAGGACGTACTCATGCCAAGCGGATGGGTGAGGGCGATGGAGCCACCACTGAGTTCGACCGGAAGCTCGTTAATATCTATCGAAAGGTGTAGAGGATCAGGACTCACTTAGGGTTAATCTTTTCGATAGGCACTTGAAGCTGCTCGACGCAATACGCAAACTGTGAGGCGAAAGCCTCGTTGATCTACAACCCCCAGATTGTCAGGCATTCACAAGGTTTTGGGTGAAATGTTGCGGACGGACCTCCCAAACATCAACGTCCTCCTTCTGAAGCCCGGTCTTGGCCAGGACCTTAGGAATCGCTGCGACCGGACCGATACCCATATACCGTGGCTCAACTCCTGCAAAGTCTTTGTGTCAGCATGATCAACGGAAGACACGATGTTGAGCAGCACGTACCAACGAATGCGCTGCTAACATACTTCCCGAGCACCTCCCAGCCCTCCTTCTCCGCCCTGGCGCGGGACGTGAGGATACAGAGAGCAGCCCCGTCGCCGATACCGCTGGAGTTGCCCGCCGTAGACGCTCCGTCTTCCAGGAAGGCGGGCTTGAGACCCGCGAGAGACTCAAGGGTGACACCTGGACGAACGGTATCGTCTACTGAAATGACAGCCCCACGAACTTCGATGGGGATAATTTCTTCCGAGAAGATCCCCGACTTCACCGACTACAGGACATACGTCAAGCAGTGAGTAGGTGCACAATACAGTTTAATGAGGCTATTGACCTTCGCTGCTCGCGTGTGCGAGATGAGAGCGTACTCGTCTTGTTTCTGGCGAGAAACGTTGTATGCTCTTGCGACCATCTCAGATGTCCAGCCCATGGGCTAGGCGTTCGAAGTGAGTGGTGCTACGCCAGACTATCCGCAGTGTTCTGCGTACCTGTACGCAGTCATGCGCTTGAGGGTGCTGATCTACTGCAGCTGTGATTTCTGGCGTCGGCCGAGGGCTATTTCATTACGTGTTAGCTCGCAGCGCAAGGACAGCTGCAGCAATGACTCACTTTAATGTCATGTTCTCCACACCCACCGCCATTCCCAATTCGATCTGCTTGGTCCGGACGGCATTCGAGATTGTGACAATGGACTGCAGACCGGAGGAGCATAGCCTGTTCACGGTAGAGATGGGCACCTCAACCGGGATGCCGGCAGCGGTAGCTGCTGCTCGAGACACATAGAGCGGCGAGGGCGGATGACAGGTGCCTATTCATCACAATGTCAGCCTGTCTCCCCAAGTATCTTCTGAGACTATGAACGAGGCTCACCGACACAGATATCCTCAAGCAAGGAGGGGTCCAGCTTGGTCTTCTCGAAAGTCGCCTATGTTACCCGGTGAGTCGTATTCAAATCACTCACACTGCAAACACACACCTTGAAGAGAGCCTGTAGCAGTTCGTCGACTGGGACATCCTTGAGCTGGCCCTTGCGTGCCCGTCCCAGAGCTGTCCTCTTCGCGAATGTGATGACCACATCGTCCGGTCGTTTCGCAAGCAGCTCTGCTCGTCCTTTAGCTTGCGTCGCGTATGCACGAGCCAGGCCTTGTGGGGGGCGACGCGTCATGAGCCTGGCGAACATGGTGGTGGGATGGTGAGCAGGCGAAGGTCGCAGAGAGGAGACATGAACTCGGCCGAAGGTGGTGAACGGTTATGCGATGCGCCTGCTCGATTTTGGATGTCGTTCCCCACAGTCCCCTCGGCCTGTCCGATCATGCTTAAGTTGGCACCAGATCTCGCGCCCGATCCCCCATGACGCGCACACATGACCGTCGCGAAGCCGCCCGTCTCGCGTCCCGACTCCCGACCACCATCTTCGCCAAAGTTATGCACGCGTTTCCTACTTTGAAAATCTGAACATGCCGCCTTTAAAGGCTCCTTGGATATCTTGTAGGGCGTGATTGACTGGTCACTGATATGATCAGGAATACAAGCTTGACTTAGGAGAGCCAGGATGCACGGTCGCGGTCGCCGCACGTCGAAGAGTCGGTATTGTCGCCTCCCAGGAGGCTACAGGCTGGCCGTTACGATGATGGGTAGCAAGCTGCGTAGGTGCTCTCCTCCTATGTTCTATGTGCGCAATCAGTACCAATTGACATTGCAACGGACATAGGATTTCGAGCTTCCCGACCGGCCCGTGCTATGTTCCTTATTCATAAAGAACCACACATCACGCTGCGTACAGTTGGCTAGGAACACTGGGTTCCACCGAGGTTAGCCAGTTAGCCTTCGGGTCTGCTTGTAATTGAAGGTCTCTCGCGGGAGCACTCCTTATCTGGTCGGCATGTTCCATCAGCGAGTTCCTCCAGATGATGGCTCATCCGTACCATCGCTCTCGCCATCCTTGCGAGGATGGTCTCGAGCATCGTACTCGGCCAGTGAGCGTCCTTCAGGACACATGCTACCTCAGGTACGTCGCGGGCCGTGCGGACGGCAACCGGAGGTAGAAGAGAAGTACCGTCATACCTCGCCGTGGCGGCGAATGACGCGACTGCCTCAGACTTGCATAAAACATCCTAAGGCGAGGCACCTCTAGCTCGTCCGTGGTCAAATCCTACCGAGCAGTGGAGCTATGAAGTCCCTCTTGCATCTCTCGGCACTTGTCCTCGGACTCGCTACCGCCAATGCCGTTACCGTAAACCAGACGACCTCGGTGTACACCTTTGCGAACGACCGCCTCTCGTTCAACGTGGTCAAGAAGAATGGCTACATACAGAATCTTCTGTTCGACGGTATTTCCGTTCTCGGCACCCTCTCAGGCAACGCGGGTCAATTGTACACAGGTGAGCGTCATCTCCATTGGTATAATCATGTTCACGCCCATGCCTGACACGCGCGCTCGTCTACAGACTTTCCGTCGAACGGCTTCGTCCTGACAGGCAGCTCTGCGGCTGAAATCGTGCAAGGGGCAGATTACGCCGGCATCGTTCTCACCGACAATGACACCGCTTCTGGCTCCTTGTGAGTCCCGAGCTCCCGCACTGCATGCATTGTCCTCGGGCTAATGCGTATAACGCAGGGTCCAGAGGTCGTGGTTCCTTCGCGATGGGGAGACGGGGCTTCATTCATTTGTCCGGCTTGCGTATCACAACGCTACAGGGCCGTCCAAGGGCGCGCTGGGCGAGGTCAGGACCATGTTCCGTCCTAATGGCGGCCCTTGGACGACTCTTGTGACCAACTCTGAGCAATGGGTACGCTACAATTCTTTGAATAGTCTAAGTCACGAGTGCTGAAGCTTATGGCAAGGCGCCAATTCCCGGAGCTGCTGCAACTGCAAAACAGGTCCAAGTACAAGACGCGTTAGTGTAGGCTGGTATCAGCATTCAGGAATACTAACTGAGCTGTTGCAGTACTTGGTACCTCGGTCTTACCCCAGACGACGGCTATGTTCAGCAGGTGAGTATCCTCGGTCTCGTTACCAAGACGCTCTTATTGACGATGGACTAGGAATCGGATTACTGGACCAAGGTTCTCGGCTTTTTGCGTGGAAGTCCCTGTCAATACTGACGTCGATACTAGTACACGTTCGCCGACAACCAAACAAACAAGGCGCATGGTTTGTACGGCCAAAGCTCGAGCGGTACTCCCGTCGGAGCGTGGTGGGTGGTGAACCAGAAGGACACCTTCTTTGGCGGACCGGTACGTGACTTGTACGGGCGTGTAATGATACTCGCTGATCCTGGGGTATAATACAGTACCACGTCGACTTGATGGTCGATGGGATCATATAGTACGTCCATGCGATGTGCCAATGCTGGGCTACTGACCCTCCGTCTTGTTTGTAGCAACAAGCAATCTACCGGGTGAGTCAACGAGACAGGAAGATGACATAGACGTTGTGTTAATCTACCTTTCGTCTGCGTCCAGCCATGGTGGTGCTACGTACGTAGTGTCATATCACTTCGTATGAGCTATAATATTGACAGAATGGTGCACAGGTCGCCCAATATCACCAATGGCTTCGACAGGACGTTTGGCCCGCAGGTGAGTACGCAGCATACCAGATCACAATGTCCTACTCAAATATCACCCCTCCAGTTTCTGTATCTCAACCGTGCCCCGAATGCCAGGCAAGCGGTGTTGCATACCCATTCACAACCCGGCCAGTCACTAACAGTCACTCCTTAGTGCGCAAGATCTCTTGGCCGATGCAGAGAAATACGCGGACCCCGCGTGGAACGCCGAGTTCTACGATGAAATCGCACCCCATGTAAGGACGGTCAAATACATCGATGCATGCCCCTAATTAACTTGTATTCACAAGGTGGTTGGATATGTTCCCAGCTCGTCGCGCGGTTCCTTCTCCGCTCGAGTGCAAGTACCTCAAGGGGCGACGAATGTAATCGCCATTTTGAGTGCGAATGGGGTCCACTTCCAGGTATGTATCGACTTCGTCTGTACCAGACAACGGCAGCGTGCTGACAAACAATCATAGGATAGCGCCGCCGATATCACCGCGTACCAATACTGGGTTACGGACGTCCAGAACGGGGTAGTCAACATCGACCGCGTCAAGGCCGGGACGTATCGCCTGACTGTATCTGCCAACGGTTCGTACGACCTTCCGCGTGTATTTACACGTCGCTGATCAAGTGTGTCCTGCAACAGGCATTTTCGGGGACTATATCCAAGACAACGTCGTCATCGAGGCCAAGAAAAACACCAACGTCGAGGCGACCTGGGTAGCCGAGTCTGCGGGGACAGAGCTCTGGCGCATCGGCGTCCCGGACAAGACCGCGGGCGAGTTCAAGAACGGCTGGGAACGCGACACGACCCACCCGCGACAGCCATCAAGTACGTGCCTATCTGCCTTCGTCTGGTTCATGCTCTGAATGTGGTACAGAGTATAGGATCTTCTGGGGTGCTTGGGACTTCCCCAACGAGTTCCCGGGCGGGGTCAACTTCACTGTCGGGCAAAGCGTGGAGGAGAAGGACTGGGTCAGTACATCCTATCGATATTGTGGGATTTGTTTGTTGACTTTATTCGCCAACCCTATAGAACTATGTGCATTGGTCGCAATATGGCCCTACCTACACTCGGAACAACACGGTGACTGGTATGTCTGCCCTTGTCGTGTCTGTGTCATCGTCTATCGGATTGACTGACCGATATCTCGTTCCAGACATCAACCGCTGGACGATCAACTTCAACATCGACGCGGGCACCGCCAGCAAGCTCACCGCGAGCTCGGTCGCGACTTTCACTATCCAGCTTGCCGCGGCGAAGACGACCGCGGGCAACACGGACGCGAACCAGGGCGCTTTCCCGAGCTTCCCCGTAAGTAACCACCAGGTTTATCAAAGGGATGCAGACTGGACATGACGCTGCGCGCGTGCAGATCAATACGTATGTGAACGATGAGGCAGACCCGCTCGTATGGACGATCCAGCCGTATGATAGCAGTAGCTGTGGTGAACGCTCTGGTTCGTGCGGTTCCCTGAGGCAATATTGCCAGTGTGCTGACGCCTGGTTCGCAGCGATCTCCTGTCATCTGCTCACACAGAAGCTTCAGTTCCCTGGTACATCGCTGAAGGAAGGCGACAACCGCTTCGTAGTACGTATTCTCGGTAGTTGACACCTGCAGCAGTCGACTAACCATGCTGAATCATTAGCTCGAGCTGCCGCACGCAGCTCCCGTGGTCAGTATAGCCACTATCTTCAAAGAGAATACCACTGATAGCCTCATTTGTAGTACGTGCAATACGACGCCCTCAGGCTTGAGCTGCAATGAGGCGGCGGTACTCGAACCGCGAGGAGACCAAGGACGATACCCTGGAACATTTCAGACTACTACCATGTAACGGAGCACATTCAATATACGGGGCCTATATACAGATACATCAGCAGCGAGCACATTGGGAGGAGTAGTATATGTACGTAGGATAACAACACGTCAGCAAGCATAGCGGAACATAGCAGCGGGGTATAGTAAGCGGTTAGGTCAGGATAGATGAGAGCATATATACAAGACAATAGATGTGAGGCCTTCGCTCCCATTCGCGAGGTTTACTCGAGTTTTGGCTGCACAGATAGCTGGACATGCTACGTTAGGTGAGATGAGTGCTATGCCGTTTTCTTCCTCGGAGCCGATCCCGCTCTCGACGAACGTCTGGTGACGCTCACGCTTCAGCAGGCTCTTCAGCCTCGTCGGACTTCTCGCTCTTGGCCGCACTACCCGTGTCGGACTTGGCATCCTCCTCAGCCATCGGAGCGTCAGTCGGAGCGGTGGACTCGCTCTTGACACCCTCCTCGTCGGAGACAGGAGCAGAAGAGTCGTGGGTTTCCGCATCTTCCTCCTGCTCGTCATTCCCGTACTGAAGAGGCGCCTGTCCGGGCATGCGCTATGAAGAAAAAAAGAGGTAAGAACAGCATGATGTCGAGAAAGACTACGGGAGTATATACCTTCAGAGCGAACTTGCAAACGAGGAAGCCATGCTTGTTCAGCCCTTTCTCCATCCACGCCTAACGAGCCGTCGTTGAGCACACAAAACTTGTTCACGAGCATGCGGGCACGTACTTTCTCGACGGTGTAGAGGCCGTCGTACCGATATCCTTCTGCGGGTGCGTATTCCGAGTGCAGCTTGTATCCTCGGATGACGCGCACAGGCTTCTTGGTCTCGCACGATTTCTGCATTGGTGCAGGCGCACGTTGAGCGGGTATTTTTTAGTCGAGTTGTTGCCAAGGGACGCACCTGAAGGGCCTTGTTGTATGCGTTCTCAAACGTCTGGTCGCAACTCTGCGGGGCAGTGCGCAGCTAAGAGAAGCAGCGTGAGGATTGTATATAGACAGCAACGTAATTCGGGGACGGACGTTCTTAGGCTGAGCCTTGGTTCCTTTGAGGTCACGACCTCCTGACCCTGTAAATGTGCTGTTCGCCGATGATTAGGAGACGTTACGGTGCGGAACAAAGCTCGGAGACCCACAAAGCATTCCCGAGATCAACATCGTCTTCGTAACCACCAGACAGAGCGACAGAGTAGGCTCCTTTCGGGCCAGCAGAGATACCAGCCACCCATGGCCTATCAACCCCGACCGTGAGCTTTACGCAGGAAACAAGAACGGGGAGGACGTCACTCACGCGTGAACAGCGTCAACGCTGCAGGCTTGGCTGCATTCACAGACTTCAGTGGCTGCACAAGATTAGACTATATGAAACACATACCGCGTCTCCCACCATGTACCAACGGGGATTCCTGGAATAGCCCCGTAGGTCTTTCTGTGGGACATGTTATTGGAACGCGTCCTGAAGTAGCATACAGCTCACTTACGGGTCGTGAGTCCTTTTCATCGCGTCTCGCGGTGCGCTGTCCATCGCGCGCTGGGCACTGGCACTGATGACCCGAGGAAGAGCGCGAGCGGCGGCAGCCGAGCTCTGGCCATCCTCGTTGTAGTTGAGCGTCTTGCCCTTGTTACGCGAACTCCTCCGTACACCCTCGGTCGCGTCGCCGTCACCGACAGCCTTCGCTGCCTTCTTGGGGCGCTCTTCGTCATTCTCGTCGGCGGCACTTTCGGAGGGCGCCTGACGCTTCTTGGACTGAGCGGGCTTGCGCTGCTTGGGCTTGGGTTGCATGAACGACGGGGGGCCGGCCAAGCCAAGCGAGACGAGCAGTTCCCGATTCCTCCTTATGTTCTCTTCGCGCTGATCTTCATAGTCAGCCATTTTTGTGGACAGACAGCGGTAGAGAGGGGTGAGAGACTGGAAAAAAAGTGAGGCTGAGGAGCTGAAGCAAGCGCGTCTTGTGGCTTAGCGCCGCGCTGTTCCACGAAACATCCTCCCACGTGATCGCGTATCCAGGCTCTTGGGCGTCTCAATGTCTTGACCCTTGGGCCGTCGGCCTTTTGTACGGTGTATTGTTGTAATAGCTTGAAGCGTTGAGTGCGCAGTCCATAACACGATCATGCAATGATATAGAGCTACAATATGCAACATATCCAACAACATAGATACAGCAATGCCATGTGATCCTCATGAACAGTCGAGATCCTGGCTCTCCTCCGCTGCCGTAGCATGGCGCAAGCAGCGCTCAGCTAGTAACCTTGCGGGACGAACTCCTGAAAGCCTAGGAAGTTAGGAGCCAGTCCAGGTGGTGAGAAAGGCCTCGCGTTGACTGCGTCGTACATCGGCAGGCGGAACGGGAGTTGCCCTTCCGGGAACGGGGTTGCCAGCGGCGAGAGCTGGTGCTCCGACATCACTTGCGACCGCGGGCTGGTCGGCGTGCTCTCGCTCTGGACCGTGAAATCCTTGCTCCCGCGCGGAGCCATCGAATCTTCTCCGTGCATGTATCCTGCAGTTCCCAGTGGTGAGCTAGAGCACCGAATAGAAAGTGTGCGTGTGCTTACTGCCGATGAACTTGCACTTGCCCTGCTTGCGGAAAGTACACTTCGGGCCCTTCGGACACAAGTGGCTCATGATACACGCCGAATCAAGGTTGCAACGACTTCCTGCAAACGGCGTCATTCAGTGTCATGATCGTCGTAGGCGAATCAAGTCACAAACCATTATTGACCGCGGGGCAAGGCCATCTCTTCGCGTTGATCCGTAGCTCGTTGACTTGCTCAGGGGTGAGCGGGTAGTAATGTTCGTATTTACAGTGGTCTCCGTTGTTACACCTCGCGAGGTAGTGGAAGTTGCAGGGCGGGGGTTTCTCTGTGGACGCAATTAGTACATGTGTTATGTCGTGAGGTTCAGGACCACTTACGCTTATGGAGGGGCTTCGGGTTGAAATTGGAGGTGAGGACCCAGTTTCACGGTCAATAAGCATGGTGCGCACCTGTGTGGGGTCCAGCGCGCGGGGTTTCTTCCCTGGGGTTCCTTTTCCGTTCGATACGGGCGTCCCGGCCTTTGATCGTGCTTTCTCAGCTTCAAACGCTTGCTGAAGCACGGGCTGCTTAGGTGAGTTTGCCGACTTCGGCGAGCTCGCGGCGCTGCTGACCACCGCTGGTTTTGAGGCGGCGGCAGCTGCTGCTGCAGCCGCGGCCGCGGCTTTCTTCGTTCCGTTAGTATACAGCTTGTTCTTGATGAAGATGCCCTCGATTTCAAGTTGCGGGAGGTTGAGGCTGTTGATCTCGTGCGCGAGGTCTTTGTAGCCTTTCAGGAGGGTGACCTTGTCCAGCAAGCCCTCGTTCTGCAGGAGGTTGAGTGTGGACGTGTACCCGTTGTCATGTGCGCCTACAAGGATACTCAGTTACACATGTCAGTGCGCCACACTAAGCGCGCTCACCACCGAAGAACACTTTCGACGTCTGCGGGAAGCGCGTGAAGACGCGGAGGCACTCCTTGATCTTCGAGTCCGCCGCCTCCTTTCCGTTCCCGACATCGACGATCGAGAACAAGGGCGAGGACTGGTTGAAGCCGAGCACGAACGCCTCGAACTCCTCCACAGTGCACACCGCGTTCGCGGTGAGCGTCTCGACGAGCCCGCTTTTGTTGCAGTAGATCGTGAGCCACACCTGGCCACGACTGGGAACGGACGTCTCGGACGGGTCAATCGAGGTGAGGTGGTCCATCAAGCCCTTAGTGAGCAGCATGGCCGCTTGCCGCCCGCCTGACTGACCCTGCTTAATGAGGTCGGCGGAGAAGATGTTTCCGTCCCCGTCGATGAGACATAGTATCAGAGGGTTATCCTCCTGTATACGAAGAGGGAATGAAAAGGGCGCCGTCATTTATAAGATATACAGGGAGGCAAGGGAAGGACGCACCTTGAGAGCCCCGATGCTCCGCTCGAGCTTGAGCACGCTCTTGCTGAGCACCTTCCTGTCTCCATCTGCAGTCTTGAACGCGCTCTTCCACACGGACAGCTCCTGCTCGAGCTCCTCCACGCGCGCCTCGAGCTCCGAGTTCCGGGAGAACGTCCGCTGAAACAGGGCTGCGCGCGCACCCACGCCAGTCAGCCAGAAGCGCAAGAAGCGGGGCGCATTAGGCAGGAGCGGAGGGGCTCACCGGTCTGCTCTTCCAGAAGGCGTGTCCTGCGGTACGTACGAGAACGTCAGCGCATGCTCATGTGCCCCGGGCGAGGACAAGGACGGGAACGCCGGGCGCAGAGAGAGAGACGCACCAGACGGCGAAGTCAGAGACGGTGTTTACGCTTTCATCGTCCATCGTTTGCGTTAGCTTTAAAATTTAGTAGTCGTGTGCGATGTTAGGCTGGTATAGGGGATTGCTGCATGCACCCGCCGCGGGGGAGGGGCTTTAAGAGTAGTGGGAGAAAGGCAGGTGTGCTGCGGCCCGTATCCTCGCCTCTTCCACAAAGCAGATCGGGCACTACATCTAGGCGCCCCGCTTAAGCACAAAAGGCCAATGCCACACACTGACAGAGCGCGCAGGGTCCACACTGATCAAAGCGCATTCTTCTTAGGCAATTGTGTTTATTGAACGGTCAACACCTGTGAATACCTTGTGTACGCTGGTTGCGAGGGGATGCGTACTGTCGGGGAATATAATACAAGTGCCTATACAGGTACATAGAGTTGTGTCGTACGCGGGACGGTATAATAGGAAGCTGTGTATGTAGTCATTCTGAGTACTGCTAGTGCGGAGCGCCGACTACGCATCCTTCACCACATCCAGCGCTGTCCGCAGAAAGACATCTCTGGCCACCCTATCGTCGCTGGGGCCAGAGGGGCCAGCAGCCGCCCGCCTTGACTTCTTCCACATCTTCCACACGCCCTCCAGCGTGGCCCGTAAGTCTGCCTCTTCATCCTCCACGCTGCCCGCTTCGACCTGCTGTGCGCTGGAACCAAGCGCCATCGCGAGGGCATGCGACTGGTTCGCAGCGTCCGCTTGGGCCATAGACACACTCTCCGCGAGAATCGCAGCGGCCATGACGGGACCCACGCCGCTTAGTCCCAACCCGGGAGAGGATGATAGCTCCGAGTCGTCGCTTCCGCCAACGGTCGGTGAGCTGAAGTTTTCATCCATGTCAAAGCTGGCACCCGGCGCGGGACTGGGCAATGCGCTTTCCCGCGGCGTGATGCTGGACAGCAGCCGGGCCAAAGCAGTCGGAGACGCTGGATCCCATCGCGAGTTGCTTCGTGCGCGAGGCACAAGGGACGGTGGGATTGGAAGCGGCTCGGCGTATGTGTCCTCGGAGGGCACGCGCACCGGGACAGGAAGGGGGGACGTTAGGTCCTGCTCGGCCTCTGACGAATTGGGAAGGGCTTTCCGGCGCCCGTGAGGGGTAGGGGATGGGATCGTAGAGTCAGCAGTTCCTGCAAGCAGAACGTGTGAGCCTCATATGAAACGCATCCGGGACGCAGGCGGACGCGATCCCTGCCATGCGGCTGATTGCGGTAGCTTCTTGTCTGAAGCTCCAACACGCAGCAGATTCGAACGGGGTAGAGACTTACCTTGCACTGACGAGTATTGGTCCCAGTAGGCATCCTCGGACGAGGTGGTATCTTTGGCAGACACGGGTGCAGCACTGTGATACGCGCTGTCCCCAATGTCGGTCGAACCGTACGCGTTCCAATAGTCGTCATCGTCACCATCGTCGTCGTCAGGAATGTCTAGATCATAGCTGCGGGGGTACGCCGCAGTGGACAGAGTAGGCAGGGAGGCGGGGTTCGGCGGTGCAGGCGGGACAAGGACGTCCTCGAGTGCGCTCCGACTGCCCGGAGGGAAGGGCATCAGGTCTGTGTTGTGGTACCTCCATTCGCCCGCCTCATCCCACTGCAGGATAACCCTCGCTCCGTCGCTTCCATCGTTGGACAGGTCAACGTGAGCGTAGAAGTCCTCTCCGTCGAAGGAGTACTGGACAGGGTAGGCGAAGGGCTGATCATCATCCAGTGGGCGGGGACGAGACTCGAGGAGGTGGATGACGTGTGCTTTTCTCTCAGGCGACGAGGGCCAGCAGAGATACTCGTCCGGCTGGTCTGTCGATAGACGGAGGAAATGGTGGCGCTGAAGCAGAGGTTTGGAGAGGAGATATGGGGGAAGCGGCTGGGTGAGCTGAGAGGGCGGAGCGATATACTGGAGGAGGACGTGGACGACGTTGAGCTGGAGAGGTTCGGGGGACATGGTGGTGGGAGGGAAGAGAGACGTACTGTTTGAAATATACCGTCCTGCTCAGCTGAACAGAGTTTCTGTGAAATGCGGGGTGCGGGGTCGCGGGGCAGGGCGCGTGAGGCACCTCCCGCCCTTGGCGCCCGCCCAAAACGGCCAAACCTGTTCCGTGCGCCTTCCATCCACGTTCCCCTCGGCATCCCCCGGCCCTCCAGCTACCACGGGGAGCGCCTCCCGCTCCCTCTCCAGAACGTCCGAGACAACCGTTCCGGCAGCGCACCCTTTCCTCGCCCTTCGCTCTTTTCGTCTTTCTTCCCCCTCACGACATCATGCACGCCGCGTATACGTACCTTCTCGCCTGTCTACTCCTCCCGCTTCTCGTCGTGGCACAGGTACGTGGTCTGATGGGTCCTGTGCTCCGTGCTCCTCGCTCTAACACCGCTCTTTCTCCTCACTCAAGTCCACAAGCGGGGCACAGGCTACGAGCGGAGGAAGCCAGACTGCAGCTAGCACAAGTCAGGCTGCTGCGAGCGGTGCATCGACCAACGGGACACAAGCTTCTGCCACCGGTAACAGCACCTCGCCATCCGTCGTCGTGTCCACATCACTTTCAGTTGGAGTCACCGTCGGTTCCGACCGTGTTCTCTCTACATTCACCTCTACCACCCTCATCACAAGCACCATCCTCCCCGCTGGCTCTACCGCGAACGGCACCACCGGGGCTTCGTCCGCCGCAAAGACGACGTCATCTACCGTTCCCCCAACCACTGCGCCTACGAACATTCCTACCGGCGGAAACCTTCCTGGTGGTGCACCTAGCCCAGGAGCGTCAGCAGCAGGCGGCGTTCTCGGGCCTAACGACGGTTACATCGCGGCGGCTTTGGCTCTGAACATCAACTACCTTTTCATCACGTTCGCATTGGTCGCAGGAGGGGGAGCGTTAGTGATGGTATAGGTGATTGGGGTGGTCGAGGTTTCGTAGTGTTCTCCTCGCTCTGGACGCATCTCACTTGCATGGACAATTTGTATGACCCCACGGACATCCTACTATCGTACCCCGTTGTACACGGACGGTTGCTCCGTGTCCTGATTTACGCGTAATTTCTTGGAACTTTTGCTCTCTCTCGCATCTGTGGTTATACGTCTAGAACGGGGTTAATCACATAGACTTTTGCTCTGTAAGTTCTGCCTATGTGTACCAACCGAATCGCTTGATGAAATAGCCGTGCGAGAATTGGCCAGGAGTGGCCAGAGAGGGACGATCGAGTGGCTTGACTTCGGTCGATGTACAGTTCTCTCAGGCTTTTCTGCAGCTGCAGGCCATTCTACCGCAGTACACACCTCTCTCTCGCCCGTGCATCCCTCTATAAGCCCACAGCCCCATCCCTCTTTTCGCGCTCTCTCAACGTTATGTCTACCGAAGACCACCCCGCCAAGAAGATGAGGATGGAGGCGAAGGTCAGCTCGGGTCCCGTCTTGCTGAAAAGCATTGAAGTCGACGCAGTCGCACCATTCTCAGGTGATTGGGACCCACAATGGAACCTTCCACTGCGATGAAGCCCTCGCCGTCTATCTTTTGAAGCACACTAAGGATTACGGGAATGCAGGTATGATCCTCCAACCAATCGGATGCGGCGCAATGTGCAAACTAGTGTTCTCTGTAGACCTTAAGCGTACCAGGGACCCGGCTGTTCTCAACACCTGCGACATCGTCGTTGACGTCGGCGGTGTTTATGACGAGAAGACGCAGCGCTTCGACCACCACCAGCGTGGCTTCGATGAGATCTTCGGACATGGCTTCAGCACAAAGCTCTCCTCTGCCGGCCTGGTGTATAAGTACGTATTTGACATGTCCCCGGATGTTACCCGCGTGGTGCTGATCATCTGCGCTAGGCATTTTGGGAAGCAGATCATCGCCAACAGGCTGCAGCTGAGCGAGGATGAGCCCAAGGTCGAGACCCTCTGGCTCAAGCTCTACAAGGAGTACATTGAGGCGATCGACGCCATCGACAATGGGATCTCGCAGTACCCCGCCGACCTGAAGCCGCGCTACCGCCTCCGCACGGACGTCTCTGCCCGCGTCGGTTACCTCAACCCCGCCTGGAACCAGTCGGTGGACGCGCAGACGGTCGACGTGAGTAGCTTTCCGCGGTGATTGGTTCATACTGACCGTGAATGTGCACAGGCGAACTTCCAGCAGGCATCCGCCCTGGTAGGCTCCGAGTTCATGAACCGCCTCGACTATTATGCGAATGCTTGGCTGCCTGCTCGCGACCTGGTTATAGCTGCTCTGAATAAGCGCAAGGAGATCGACCCGAGCGGCCACATCATCCTGTTCGAACAGTTTGCCCCTTGGAAGGTATGTCGACAAAGTTTAGTGCATATACAACTAAACGTTGATTCTCTCACGCAGGAGCACCTGTTCGAGCTCGAGGAGAGCCTCGCGATCCCCGAGGCCGAGAAGCCGATCTACGTGCTCTACCCCGACGAGACGGCGAACAACTGGCGCATCCAGGCCGTGCCCGTCTCTCCGGAAAGCTTCGAGAGCAGGAAGGCGCTCCCTGAGAAGTGGCGCGGTATTCGTGACGATGCGCTCTCCCAGCTCTCCGGTGTGGATGGCTGCATCTTCATCCACGCTAGCGGGTTCATCGGCGGTATGTGTTGTAAGGATTATGGCAGTGTTTCCGTTTATCTGATCATGCTTCGCAGGCAACAAGACGAAAGAAGGCGTTCTGAAGCTCGCGAACCTCGCTCTCAACATCTAAAGCGCCTCATGCAATTGTGAAGGGGAGAATAAGATGAGGGCTGCTGCGAATTGACTGGCATGTCATGCCAGGATCAACCGTCGAGTTGATAGGCCACATTGACTCTCCAGTTTGGAGAGAGCAGTACCGCGTACTTGCTTTCGCTGTCCTTCGGACATGCGACGCCTGGGCAAACCTAGGCGTATGTCTATGGTGCTTGGACACGGTGGACGGCGGGCCGGAAGGGGACTCGGGCGCTCGGCCCTGGCCTACTTACTGCACGGCTTGACTCCAGCCACATCCCACTCGACCTTCGAGTGCATCTCCATATACTGCTCCGCACTCTTGCTGTACTACTACTACTGCCTATCGTGTTGCGATGTCGACCAAACCCAGAGTTCTGTTGACTGCGAGTGCATTCGGTTCCATGCTACTCTGGGTGATCCCGATTGACCGAGTGCGGTGTGCCTTTCAAGAACGACGATGGCCCTCCTGGACATGAATCTCCATACATCTATGGGCTGTATCGTCACCTCACACAAGACCTGGGTATATACCACTCGATTGAATGCTACACACAAAGCGGTCTGCTAAACTGGTGCATTAGGATGGGATGTGAAAGTTGTCATCCCCAGCTCGCAGAAGTCATGGATCGGTGCGTACTGCTATAGCGACAACGGCTGCATAGTACGAAGCCAACACTGGTGTAGGGAAGGCCTACCACATCAAGGACATAATCAATGGGCGGTATTACTACCCTTGTGATCCTGGTACGTCTTCCTCTGACCTTCTCCGTTGCCTGTGCTCACGTACCGACGCCTAGACGGTGCGGGAGAGGTCTCGGAGGAGTCTCGACCTTTAAAGGAAGGCGAGCTTGCGGAATGGATCCTCCTAGATGGTGTACGCATGACATACAAGGGTTTGACAGCGTGAAATCATGGCTGAAACTCTGTTGTGTTCCAGACACCGGCAACTTGTGCGAACATAGGCCTTCACAACTTGTACCATGGCGAGATTGACCTCCTGGTGAGTAACGTCGTGAATACGCCTCCATACATCCCTCTCAACTCTCACGCAGATATCCGGACCCAACCTTGGGCGCAACAGCTCAGGTAAGCCCGCTCGCATACAGGCACATCTGGCGGCTCGCCTCATCACTCCTCAGCCGCTTTCGCGCTCTCGTCCGGCACAATCGGCGCCGCGCTCTCCTCTGCGCTCTCCAAAGTGCGCTCCATCGCGCTCTCGTACGGGACCGTGCTGCACCCCACCCCCATGGACCTGCACGAGCCCGCGCACCAGCTCGGCGCGCGCATCATCGGCCGCCTCTGGGCGGACTGGGGCGCGGACGCAGGCGGGCTGCGCACGGGCGAGGTCGACCTCTACAACGTGAACATCCCCATGATCCCGGAGCTCCGGAGCGAGGCCAGCCTCACGATCTGCTGGACGCGCATCTGGCGCAACTCGTACGGCCGCCTGTTCAAGGCGCACGCTCCGGTCGCGGCGAAGGATGCGGCGGTGGTGTCTGAGGCGGGCCCAGACTCCACCAACGAGCCGCCGCAGGGCACACAGGCGGGATCTCTGGACAAGAAGGCGGGGTCGAAGGACTTGGGCGCGCTGGTTTTCAAGTTTGGGCCAGACATGACCGACCTCATCAACCCCACTGCGACGAGCGTGCCCGTTGGCACAGATGGGTGGGCGATCCGCAACGGCTGGGTCAGTGTTACGCCAATGCGCGCGTCGTTTGGGGAGCCCGTGGACTGGGCTGCTGACTGTGAAGCGGATATGGAGTCTAGAATCTGGAAGATGAAGTTGTAATGTAGCTGTATGATGAAGCCAGGCCACGCTGTTATTGGTTCATCTCATCTATTCGTGTATTCGTGTGTTCGTGAGTAGCTAGGTGTCTGTCAAAGTGTACAATGCATCTGGCCGTCAAGGTCATGAGAAGGTCGTAAACTAAAAGCGGACGCCTCCGTTGCGCGTGAAGAAGGGTCGAAAGTGAACGCGCCCGGAGCTTGCTCGTCACGCGTGTGTGCCGCAGCGACTCCCTCACACGACCAGGAGTGCGAGAAGGGGCAGCGCGATACCGAGCCAGAGCACCTGGCGGAGAGTGGGAGAGTGTGGGTCAGTCCGCGCACCACCCGACACCAGGCCAGCCAAGGTCTGCTTCTTGTACACCGTCAGGGAGTTGATGTCCCATGACGCGTTCTGACACCACACAACGCCTATCAGACATGCACCACGGGCGATATGAAGTATGTGTGCGTACCACGAAGTTGCTCGGATCCATCAAGCGATCGGGGCACGTACCAGGGCAGCCCGAGGTAGCGTACGAGTTGCCTGCCCAATCGCCTACGCAGCACGCCTTATCAGTATGTTTGATATGCGACGATTCAGTCGTTTGCCTCACCGCAGAAGGTAATGTCTAGGAGACTGATCAGCGGACAGCTCGGAAATGAAAGGGAGGCTGCGCTCTGCTCACCGAAGACGATCGAGTGGTTCACGAAGTTCGAGATTGGGTCACACCCATCCGGAGCTAGCATTGCGACGGGTTCGCCCCAGCTGGAGGGATTCGGCTGCCCGTTGAGGACGTCCTGTGGAACGGCAGCCCGATAGAATGACCCTGCGTGGGTGTGAGCTGTCTGTACCCGTTCGAACACGGGGCGGAACTCACAGACGGCGATACCCTCGTCATCCCATTTCATCGCGAAGACGCCGCCGCCTTGCGCGTCGAAAATAGGACCATAGGACGCACGGCTCCACTCCGTCACACCGCAACCCGCGTTGCTATTCGCGGTACCGTCGCAATCGAGGTTTAGTTGTCCGTTCGAGCCCTGGGCATGAATAGTTGAGGTCAAAATATTGATGCGAAAGTCAATACACATACCACGATAGTGCCCGTGAAAGTGGTGTTTGGGTTGAGAGTACAGTCTGATACGCGAGCTAGTCAGCTTTTTGTACACATTAGCCTTATGGGACCGCGCGTACTGGGACCGGTGTGCCATGTCACTTGGTTGTGCGCATTATCGTGCACGCCTTCGATGATATCTATTTCACCAGTCTGTGGGTAGTCTGTCAGTGGACAGTCAGGAAGTTATGTTTGGATTACGCACGTAAGGCCACTGCCCTCCACCAAGTGTCCACCATGCAGGCCATACACCTGAACGTGCCAATTGAGTGACGTCTCATAGAACGGAGGAATTTGACGTACCACAACCCCAGGGTGCGCGGTTCAAGTCAAGAATGAACAGCCCTGTTGTATTCTCAGCACCCGAAGCCACTTGCGGTAGATTGTGTAAGCTTACCAGTATTGTACTGCGTTTGACTGGATATGCGGACGCTGCACCACGCGTTAGTGGCTGGGACTGCGGGAGTGGGGAAGGTTCGGGCTCACCTATTACGGTTAACCCCAGATGCTAGCGAGGTAGTGTCGTCTCCTTTCATAATGACCCTCCCATCGCTCGTCACGAAGGACAGGTTGTTGGCGAAGGCCGTGTCCCGGTCGGTGTAGCTGGGGGTGGAACCATGTAAGGAATACGCCAATGGTTAAGGTGTCGAAAGCATCCTCACTTGACCGTTCCACTATAGTGCGACCCTCGCAGTCAGCTCAACGCTCCCCGTATTACAAGGACGGCAAACGTACTGGGTGGGGTCTTCGCCGGTGAAGAAGTTGAACGTACTATGCACGTTACCTCCATTAGTGGACACCGCAACGCTGGGGGTGGCTGAACGTACTCGAAGAATGTCGAACCCTGGTAGATGTCTTGTACCGACCAAATGAAGCTCGAACCGTTCGCGCTGGTCTGAAGCTGGTTCGCCCGCTTGTCAAGGGTAACGGCGTGTGATTTGGTGGCATGCTGAAGCACTAACAGCAATCCCGCTCTCGCGGAGAAAGACTTCGAGGGCAAGGGTTGCAGAACAGAAGCAGCAAGCAAGGACAATAGCGTCAAAGGAAGAACGGACGGCATCGCAGCGAGGAAGCAGGGGGGCAAGGGACGGGGTCTTGGTGAGTGCACGCAGACAGATGACGGCACCACGGTTTATATGTCCCAGCGAAGCTCCAGGGGAAATGAAAAGCAGTCAATATGGATATGGCCGTCCAGGGTATCCAGTGCGTGGGGTTCTCGGACCAGTGCAAGCATGCGATATCCCGATACTATCCGGTGTCGTCAAAGTCGTGAGCGAAGAGATCGTCGGCGAGACGGAGGATATCTAGGTCAATGCAGAGCTCGGAGGAAAGAGAAGGAAGGCCGTAGCGGATCCGGAGCAAGGATCCTGTTCGACTTCGGAGCTCCCAGGGCGGACAAGAAAAGACATCGTACTGATGGTCGAATGCGTCTCGCTCAGCACACTGCGGAGCAACCAGCAGCCGGAACGTGTCCGCCTCGTGTTGTTCTGCGTTTCCAGTCGCTTCGCGGCGTCCACGAGATCCTGTCACGGTATTGTTCACGCAGGCACAGGAACTTATACTTAGACACGAGCGGCCACTCAGATGTCGCATAAACGGTGGTAATTTGCGCCCGAGGCAACATCGGACTTACGAGTAAACGCACAAGCAAGCGGGGTGGTCCACTGGAGGCGAACGAGCTGTTTTTGGCAAGCTGCACGGAGGCATACATCCATAACAAGCATGAGGGGGCATGAACGCAGTGACAGTGATACGATACGGGACAAAGTGCATGAGAAACAAGTACAACAGATCACCGGTAGCGGCGGAGGCTGAGCGTGTTGTGCTTCTTCCAGGTAGACCAGCCCGGAGAGTGGTTGTAGCGGTGGCCCTTGCCGAGACCGCGGTTCTGTTCCATGCATGCTCAGTACAGTGGCATTCGTGTGGAATGCATGAGGGCTAACCTTCTTGCCGACGGCAGTGAGGCCACGGGCCTCGCGGCGCTTGTGGACCGGCTTCGTGATCCAGTTGATCCTGGGGTCACGGCGGATCTGCGAAGAGGTCAGAGAGCGGCTACACCAAAGGGCAAAATAACTCACAGCCTTGTGGTTGGGGTCAACGAGGATGACCTCGTAGTACTTGTAGACACCGTCTTGGTTCACCCAGTACGAGTTGAGAACCCGCAGGTTACCGCACCGCCTGCCAACACGCTCCTCCGCAACACTCCTCAGGCCACGCTGGGGCTTGAGTTGGTTGACACCCTGGCGAACGGGCTTGCCGAAGGTGGCACCTGAATCGAAAATAAGCTAAAAACTCTCCGAAGTTATACGCTTCACATACCCTTGGGGACCTGTTTTTTGCGGTTACCGCGGCGAACACGGACACGGTAGATGACGTAGCCCTGCTTGGCCTTGTAGCCAAGACGGCGAGCCTTGTCCGGGCGGGAGGGGCGCGAAGCACGGTGGATGACGTTCAACTGGCGGAACTCCCAGCACCTGTGAATTGTTGAGGACGCTGTTTCTACCGCAATACTGAATGCTGGCTACGTACCGGACACGCAGAAGGAAGCGGAGGACATCCGACTGCTTCTTTTTGTACAGCTCGCCGATATACTTGTAGGCACCCATCTTGCGCGCTGAGGGGGGAGCAAAATCAGTCTCACCGCGGGACTTAGAGACACATCCAGACGTGAAGTCGCCCATCCACCCTCTTCCGTCCGTTCTTTCGCTCCCCCATCTTCACAGCCTTCTCTCGGGCATCGTCTGGACGGTCTGACAGAGCTTCGGAAACTCACCTGTTGAGTCTTGAGGATAGGCGGGGGGTCGTCGACTTGATTTCGGTCCCTGGCAAGCCCTCACACAATCTGCGCGGCAGCCGGCAACTGCCGAGATGCGCACGTGGGATTACCAAAAACGCGGTACGACGCGTAAAGGATAGCGCCCGTGAGCTCTACATGGACGCGTCGCGTCTTGGGCCGCCTGAATTAATTGCAGCCTATCACCATACGACGACCTGCCTCTGCCAGTTTCATCTCTCCGGCACACATCATGTCCGCTGCTCCTGCCAGACCGATAATTCGGCCTGTCGAGTGCGCAAACTGCAGAGAGCTGAAGGATAGAGAAGTCATCAAAATGTGCTCAGGGGTGCGCGGTGTTCCTAAATTACTTGGCTGGCCCTTGTACCGACATCAGTGGCTCGCAAACAGTGTAGAGTCATGGGCTACTGCTCGAAAGAAGTACGCGCTTTCCGTTCAGAAGGTTACTCTGACTCATCACGCTTCTCATGTAGTGCCAGAGGGCGGACTGGTGCGTGTAGTCTGTATGCTTGCCCCAGTCGCAATTATCGACCCCGCAATTAATGTGCCCAGGAAGACACACAAGCCCGTCTGCCGCGAAATGTCCGATGGTCGCGGTGCTCCCTCCCGTCCCCCTTGCCTGAAGGTAGCAGAGAGGATATCAACCGACAACGACGTGATGTGCCATATCGACGCCATGCTCATCAAGGTCCTCGACCTCGAGCACCACCCTGAGCGCGCCGAGTCCGACGCCGTGCTCATGTCCTGCCGGGTGGAGTCGACGGACGTGGAGATGGCGAAGGAGCGCCTCACGTACCTCCTCGCTGGGCGCGAGCCGCCTCCTCTGCCCGCCAAGGTCCCCAAGCTCTTCCAGATCGGTCAAGTCACATTACTTCCCAACGAGTCCGTTCCGGACACTCTGAACGTCACTGCAGAGCGGACGAAGGAGATATTGCAAGGATCAGGCCTCTTTCAGCCCGGAAGTGGCCATATTCTCGTGCGCGGAATGTGGGTCTCGGAGAAAATCGACTGGGCGACATGCTACTTCGCCCGGTGTATCACGCCGGAGATGATAAAAGATGTGTCGAGTTGGAGGAAGAAGGGGAAGGAGGGAGAGCCACCCAGCAATGAACCTCATACGCTCGCCGACCTGATCAGGTGAGGAAGCTCGCTAGGTTGTGTACACTCCTTGAGCGTCGTTCTGATTGCTGGGCTGCACGTATAGACGCTTCGACCTCGGGGCGTTGTACGACCCCGAGATGAACAAGAAGCTCACTATAGTGAGTCTTCAGCACAACCTCATCTAACCAGGTCGCTGACCCATGTGATGAAGATGGTCTCGACGAAAGATACGTAGTTCTCGGGAATTAGAGGAAATAGGCCACCGGCTCCGCACACTATTAACGCGCTGTTCCCGACACGCTACTACACGGATTGAGACTACTTACACCTCCACTGACTCTAGTCTGTATTACCATATCTTGACGCCCATCGCACCAGGTTGGAGGGAAATCGACTCTGCATTGGCAGTAGTAACTACAGTTCGTTCAAACAAGGGTTCAAAGCACAGAGCACGCATGGGGTATAGGGTAGGTTGCGATCCAAGAGCCCGCATACAAACTCATATTCAGCATAGCAACTTCGACAACAAGGGTAATACAAATCCTCGTAAAGTACCGTCATAGATATGTGCGTGTGGAGAAAGCAAGGTATCAAAGCAGCAGGGCGCGGTGCGCTGCACGGGCTCGTCAGTTCCAGGAGAAGTTCAGCAGCTTGCGGAAGATCGCCGCGTCCTTGTGGTGCGCGGGGTCGCGGGCGGGGATGCGCGGACCGCCCGACCGCAGCGGGTCCTCGTACCCGCCGTCCAGTTCGGGCAGGGCTATACGGGCGCGTTGCATCTATGTCCACATGTTAGGCTAGGCACGATATGCGTAGGCGTGAAGCGACTCACGTCGTAGTCCAAGAGCTTGTTCTCCTCGTCTATCATGAACAACTTGCGCAATTGCTCACGGTCTGGGAACCGCTCGTACTCGCCGCTCTCGCGACATCCCTTCTGGCACTGGACGATGGTGTCGATGAAACGGGCCATCATGTTGAACTTCGCCCAATGGATCTTGCCGGGGTCGTCGTCATGATAGTCGGGGTTTCCCTCGTGCGCGCGAATAAGGTCCGAAAGGTGAATTTCCCTAACACGAACGACGTCAGCGGGCGCGAAGGGAACAGTCTCGCGGGGTGACTCACAGTGCGGGTATACACGCGCCCTTCGTATTGCGCAGCGCCATCCGGTACTTCTGATGCGACCGCACCGACTGCAGGAGCTGGTCCCACTGCTGGAAGCTCTTCCAGTGCTCCGCGGACTTGGTCCTGAGAAGCTCGAGCGATTCGTCGCCCTCAAACGTGGCACTATTGATACCAGCGATGATGGCCCGCAGACCGGAGTAGTTGCACAGATTTCGCAAGCGATTAGCAACGTCGATGAACTTCTCGATCTGTCGGGCCCGGCCCTTCGGTTTATCGTGGCTGAGGATCAGCGACACCACCCTAAACGTTGCATATGTCAGCGACACTATGTAACGCCGAGCGGGGCCGGACAGGCTTACCATTCGCCGAAGTGGTTCGAGATGAGGTTGTACATAGTGATCGGATCGGACTCCGAGTCCTTCTTGCCCTGCACGAGCACATGCTGCAACCAATGGCGCGGCTGTCGGGACGAACGCGTAAATTGCATGACGACATCGTGAAAGATAGCGGCACATACCTCTATGCGCAAGAAGAACTGGCACTGTATTCGCGTGATTTCCTGGGCGATATCGGAGGGATCTGCTATCTGCAGCGACTGGCTAACTCCCTGCAGATACCGCAAGATGAACTTGACCGGATACACCACGTTGGCGTCCTCCGGCTCTCTGTGCGGGAGACGGGGCGAAGGGTTTGTTGAATTCAACGAGGGCGCTGCAATGAGCGCTTTAGCCGTCAACGGCAAGCTCGCCTTCCGCTCGCGCGCGAAGCCGGATGGCACGCTCGGGGTGCTGACCGGGACGGGTTCTTGCTTGACGGGAGGGGGGCTGGCAGGGCGGGGCGATGTTGAGCGTACGAGGAACGAATGCTCCTCGTCCGAGACGCTGGACGTGTCGGAACTCTCTTCCTCAACCTTCAACGCCCAGGAGGCATCCTTGTCCTTCAGTCCAGACACCATTTCCAAGAAAGGGAGGAACTCGGCGCCATAGTGGAGGAGATAGGTCTTAGTGATGATCGACTTTATGAGCGCGGCCAGTGCGCTCGTGGCACCGGGCACGGCAAAGTCGGTTGGGTATACGTTGAGCCACAAGTCCAGGAGTTGGCACAGTCTGACTAACGCGTGAGCAAATACATTTCGCCAGCCATAGGAAGACTTACCTCATCTGCGCATAACAAGCAAACATAGGATCGCCAGTGGGGTGGTCAAGCGATCTCATCCGCTTCTGCATAGAGAGCAACAAGGTTCGCGGACTTGCGAAGCGTCGATATGTTAGGAGGAAGTGGGAGATGAACACCGGATCTGCGCGAAGTGTTGAGTGAAAGGGCCCGGCGTATACAACAGGTTCGCCTCACCATCGTCACAGACGGCCATAAACAAGAGCTTATTCAACAAATCCTCCAAGCTCATCCAGGGAGGGGCGCGACTGAGCAGTGTCAGACTATTGCGTAGGGTGACCATCGGTCAAGCACTCACGATTCCTTCATAGACATATCTCTCGCGCCGTCGGAAGTCGAGATGTCCGTCATGCTGGAGGGTCCGTCTGCGCCAAGACCTATTACCTGGTGGGAGTGGAAAGAGCTGTGGCTACTATTCCTACCCCCATTATAAACAGAGGCCCGTTTCTTCGACTTCTCGTGCTCGGAGAGTAGGTCACCGGTCGAACGCACACGAGTGGGAGACGTCGGGGTCGAGGGCGTTCCGGATATCGAGCTACCCAGAGGACGCTGGTAGCCGCGCACCGGTTGTGCCCCTTGGGATATGGATTGCGAGGGCACATGTCCTAACGGTCGGCCTGAAATGGAGGGCTGCTGGGCGGTGTGCGCCGAGGACGACGCCGTGGGCGTGGCAGAAGACGCGCGGGAGATGTCCCACGGTGGGGGTGATTGGGAAAGCAACCAGGCGGGCGAAGCCGGATTTCGCGGCAGATCAACCCCGTCTGCAGAAAATTAGCTCTGTAGTAAGACAAATTGAGGCAGTCGAAGTTACCTAGGTCACGGAAGATTGCAGTAAGAATAAACTCGAACGCCTTCCGGATTCTCTCCTTAGATTGATCCGTTACAGTCGAGACTTCAATCAGACCAACTTGGTACTGTTGAAGTATCGAGTGGGCGTCCTTGGGGTTCACTCGTTGCGGCAGGTCGGTCTTGCACGATAGTGCTATACACGGTGCGCGCAGCTCGCCGAAGGCTCCTGCGGCATGCTTTAGCAGGAATAGCCGAAACATTCGCGAAGTCACTCACTGAGTAGATCCTCGACGTGGTGAATGGAGTTTTCGTCCGTAGCGTCGTAGCAGATGACGATCCCATCCCAGACATCCGTGGCGTCCGACCAGACCCCGCGGGCGTCGCTGAGATTGAACGTAGACACGTCGGCCTCGAGCACGCGAAGGGTATGTTCCGGGATGCCCTGTCCCGGAGGAATCGTGCCTGACCGTTGGGTATCTGATGGAGGTCAGTCAGCGTGTCGTCCCATGACGGTGGCGTATAATAGACACATACATGTGAAGACGCCTCTGCCATTAGGACTTTCTATCTGGATTTCCTCCGGTTTGCCTAGTCCATAGTGCTTCAATCCTTTCTGGATAATGGTGGACTTGCCGCAACCGTGGGGGCCGATGACGAGCAGAGATATCTCAGGAGGGGGCTGCGTCTAACACGATTCGACGTTAACGGTATTGATCACGAGCGAGTACGAAGTACTCACTGTGGGGAACTGGGTATGCAGCGGCAAGAGATTCTTCTGCTTGGAGGCCCTGAAGTTCAAACTACTGCTCCGGGGAGGAACTATTGGTGGGGGGTATTGGCAAGGATGCATGGAAGGTACTGACCTCTTGGGCTGCAGGCGGGAAGGCATAGGAAGCTCGCCCGGTCTGACAGACTGCCTGGAGTTTCCCTTCCCCTTGCGAGAGCGCCTCGACAAATCCTCCGAGCGTTCAACATCAGACTCGTCCAGAAAGATCGCGTCGCGGTCGTCTGTTGCAGTGCTAATGCTCGTCCCTCGGCTGCGCGTCGACGGAGCGGGCGGAGGACCACGTCGGTCTGCCCATGGCGGGCGGAACCCACCCGTGCTCGCGTGTGCAGAAGCAGGCTGTTGACTGTCGGCGTCAGCCTGGGAAGCACGGAAGTCGGCCGAGAGGGGGCTTGGAGGGGTGGGGCGAGCCGGGGGCATGAGCGGTTTGTTCTTGACGAACGAGTCGACTGATATGGACTTCCTGAGGCCGGTGGGAGTGGTCACCGCAGGGAGCATGGGAGGGTACAAGTAGACCGGGGAGCCATTGCCAGAAGACGAGCTGGGCTGATCCGGAGACAACGACGTGTGAGCGGTCAAGAAGGTATCCTGAGAGGCGTATGGAGAAGAGGAAGATGGGCGCGAGGAGGGCGAGTCGGACCTCTTCGCTGGGCCGAAGAGGTTGGAGGCATCAGGCATTTGGATCGGCGGGAGAGAGGGGATTTTGGGCAGGTTGATAGGGTGGTTTTTGGAAGTCATCATAGGTCGCGATCATTAGGGTGTCCCTCGGAGACAGACGAGACACATGAACACTCGTCCGGGGCGAGAAGGGCAACGAGGGGAGGGGGGAGCGGGATACCTCGCTCGACGCTCGGGGTCGGGCTCGAGTGACAAGTGTTGCGATCTGGCGACGACGGCCTCCGCCCGCCCGCGTCCGCGGCCGCACCATCATGTGACCCCTTCTGGCCTCCCTTTCCCTCGCAACTCGTTCATTAAGCACCCGCGTTCCTGGAAAATATTCCGACATAGAGCGCATATGCGCCCGAGAGGCGACAGATATATATTGGCAGTGCGCAGCAGCAAAACTGTCGTGTTCAGCTCGGACGAAGCCTAAATGTACGCTACAGTACTCCCAATGTCCTCCGCAGCTGTGCACTGTGCAGAAGCTCTATCCACGCTACTTCTTCATATTCCATGGCTGTGGAGGATGTGACATGGTGAAGCCGAGTAGCAGCGCTGAGAACGTTAATGACGAGGGAGGCATGCGCTCCTCGTGTCCTCCACCTGCCACCGATCGCACGTATCGTGCGCGACGCCAGGCCATAAAGCTGGCGTCGACCACCGCCCTCTGCTCGCAGCAACTCCTCCTGTGCGGCCATATATACCCCCAGAGCCCAAGATGCGTCAACGACGTTCCACGATGCGGGCCAACTACCACCCTTTCCTCTTCACCCTCATGACCCTGACGGCCACTGCTGAGCTCGGCCTCACCGCTTTTCTCATCAGCGCGGGGAATGAGGCGCAGACCTGGGCCAGCCCCAGGTACCACTCACTGTCCGTACCTCGCCGCTCCAAGTGCCACCCGCATCTGACGGAGAGTCGTTCCAGCCTGATTCTCCTCTGCTTCTCGTCGGCGTGGACCCTTCTATTCTCGGGCGCATACGTGCTGTGGCTCGTTGATGGCGCCGTCCATTTGCTGGCGCAGGTTGCCAGTTCCGTGGTCTGGCTCCTGCTTGCCGCCATACTATGGGTGCGGCTGCCTGCTTCCAAAGCTCGCGAATGGTGCGCTGATTGTTCCGACAGGGCGTAGGCGCGGGGCTCATGCATAACACGCGTTCCGGGGGGAACTGTGCCGGACGTCCGCCCCTGTCACGGTAGGTACCAGAGCGTGTCCCGTTTGTCCGCCATACGAGCTGAGCGTCCTCGGACAGCTGTCGCCAGACCCTCACGATGGAAGCGTTAGGCTGGACAGAATTCAGCCTCTGCTGCGTAACGCTCGCTGCAACGCTGCTGTGGATGCGCACGGGCCTAGGGAAGAGGAGGTATATCAGGGATTCACGGACGTTTGTGTAGCGGGATGTGAGTAGGCGTGAGTGCTTACCTGGACGCGTACGGCTATGTATATATGTTGGGCGATTCCTCCGACTCGGACGTGATACACGTCGATTGCACGAGGTACCGGTGGCCGCTCGGTCGGCGAACTTAGGACCCAACTTAACCTCCATAGACAGATTGCTCCGCGGAAATAATATACTGGTGTTATGCTAGAGGTGGTCGTTGAGAAGGGTGTAACTGTGATGGTGGTTCAGAGGGTAGTGGGAAGACTCGGAAGAGAGCTCGCCGGATATTAGCGCTGGAAAGATTAGATTAAACTGTCGATCACAGAGCTTATCTGATAAGGAAAGTGGCAACATCCAGGACTGCCCCACCCGCTCTTCACCGCGGTCGACGAAATCGGCTCTCCTCCCACTCTGTGCTTGCCCCTCCGTTCCAGGGGAGTCTACCTCTACACCTGCGCTTCTCTCTGTACAAACTATCAGGGTGTCACTAGAGCATACAAGTCGCTTTCCCCCTCTCCAGTCTCCTCACACAGAGTCGGATTCTAGGATGTCTTCTGGGGACCACCAGGCCCATGCCCCGTTGCTCACCGACTCCCGCGAGGAGCAGGAGCGCAATGAGTACGAAGAAGACGTACTGAACGAACGGGTTGCGGAGGAGCTGCTACATGCGGAGTATGACAGGCCGACCCCGGCAAGAGCGTACTTCATTCGTTCACTTGCTCTGCTGTGTGCATGCTCGCTCAGCATAGGCAGTCATTAGTACGTTTCGCAAGCTCTCTAAAACGCCTCATAATTGACGCGTGAGCTAGTGCAACTTATATACTCGGCCCACTCAAGTCCCGTCTAGCTCGGGAAATGGGTACGAACAACACCGAGTTCTCCCTCCTGATTTCCGCCTTCTCGCTCAATAGCACTTGGACACCGCTCGTCGGCGGATTGCTTGCAAGCCGACTGGGAACCACTACTACTAGCATCCTTGCGACCGGCGTCATATTTCTCGGTGAGTTCACTCGGCACGCTCAGCACGAATCCACGCACTCACGCCTGCGTTAGGACAAGCATGTCTCCTCATTGGCAACTTGTCCGACAGCGTGCGCATGATGGCCTTCGGGATGTTCGTATTTGGCCTTGGCGTTAGTCCCCTAGCGGTGGTCCAGGAAACGATCATCGTGCGCTTCTTCAAGTCCCATGGTCTCGGAGTCTCCCTCGCCCTCGGGCTCGTCGCCGGGAAGGGCGCATCCTTCATCTCCGCGCTCACATCATACCCGCTCTCGCAGCGTTTCGGTCCGCACGCGCCATTCTATGCTTCTACGCTGTTGACGGCGTTCTCCTTCACGATCAACTTGGTCTACGTCTTCTCGTCGAAGTGGCTCGTTCGCGGGTCGGGGACGGAATTGGAGGCGTCCGAAATCCATGCCGAGGCCCACTCTCGCGCTGCGTCTGCCGCAGATATGACCGAAGCCGAGGCCTTGAAGGAGGTTGCCAAGAAGCGTATGGTAAATCTGAGAGATATTACCAAACTCGGAGACGTGTTTTGGGCGTAAGTGTCGACACTTATCGGGGCTACGAACGAAATGCTCACAATGGAATCAGTTACATAGGACTCAATGTCCTATGTGGTGCCGTCTGGGCGCCCTTTACCCATCTTGTTGCGTAAGAGAGAACGGTCTGAATGTTGCACTCTTTGATTGACCATTATACCAGCAACATACTGCAGCGCCGCTTCGACCTTGACGAGTCCGACGCCAGTACCAAGGGCTCTTACGTCCTGGCCGGCAGTGTTTTCTTGTACCCCATCGTAAGTTTTGTCGCTCAATCACATTGCCAATATCGTGTTCATCGAAATACTGTGCAGATTGGGCTCGTCGTCGATAGAGTTAAGAGGCGAAACATCGTCATGAAACTATTCCTATTGTCTGCTACTCTGACCCTGGGGTGCTACATATGGCTGGCATTGCCACCTCAGTTTACGAAGACACCCATCCCAGCTATCATTTCCTTCGCAACAGGACACGGATTCTCACCTCGTGAGCAACATCAGAAAGCTACTACTGACCAACGTACTGACACGTTCGACGGCAGTACTATTAGTGGTCATCGTCCCGCGCATCGTGCCCTTGAAGTACGTCTCGACCACTCTGGGTGCGCATAAAGCGGTATGTTGCCACGCACCCCGATTATATTCACCACTCACTGGATTTTCAGCTCGAGCAAACAGGCTCTACCATCTTCCAGACTCTAGCGGGGCTCGCTTTGGACATCAAGTCCAAAAAGTCCGCAGAGAGCCTGTCTCCGATAGACGGCGACGACGGCGACGTCCAGTTGCTCCTCAACGCATTCGTCATCCTCAACGTCTTCGAGATCATCGGCATCATCGGCCTCTCACACTTGCACAAGAAGCAGCAAGCAGTCGCAGCGCGCCGCATGAGCGCCCTGCTCCCCACCGTCGTCGACGGTGACGAAAGCGACGAGGAACCCTCAGAGGAGCCTCGGGCGGGCAAGAGGTCTGGAGCAGACGATGAGAACTGGCGGGCAGAGTCGCCCGAAGGGAGACGCCATCGACGGAGCAGCACGCTTAATCGACACCTCCCGCTTCCCTCATCCTCGACCCCGGAGCAGAGCATCCCGCTCTTGCACGGTGGCTCGCGATCGTCGACTGTGCGCGGGAGTCGATACCTCGTCGATGCGGTTGTCGAGGAGGAGCCTTCTGGTCCGCCGGTGCACGTGCAAGTAATGCGCACAAAGGCAGAGGTTTGGAGGGGGGAGTTGTTCTCCGTGATGTGCGGCGTGCTAATTGCCTTTGCTTGGGTGCTCTTCATGGTCACGGCGTGGCTGAAGCTGCGCTCGAGAGAGGAGAGAGGTGGAGGAGGAAGCGGTAACGTTACCGCCCTTGCGTCGCACTCGTGATATCTGTGGACTCCAATACCTTTACTATTTAACTCGATGTATGCGTAGTAACATTATTGCCGTGCAACATACTACATAATGTACAACGAACGCACCACACCCAAGTGCGCCGCCAACTATTGCAGCAGTTGCAAATGCGATCGGCGTGAGACGCCCGCTTCGGGCGGACCGATCATTGACGTGAGCGCTTAAATTATTTGGACTTTGACACTTTGCGCTCATGGCGAAGGCACCCACTGCTGAAGAGGCTGTAGAGCTCAACCCTGAATTCACGTTTGATCTATCTGGGGACCCTTATTCTGAGTTTCTTGACGAACATCTCGATGTGCAGGACCTCGTCAAAAAGGGCTCCAAGCCGGTACGCCGCCTACGGGTATGTTCATTGGTGTGGCTGCTCACAACGACCTCGGTTTAGGACCCCATCTCGGTAGACGACATCATAGCGCGGAGAAAGCTTCGCGCGACCAACGGGAAGCGGAAACGGCCGCTAGAAGACGAGGGGGACGACGGAAGCGATTCCGAGGATGAGGACGAGGATGAAGACGAAGAAGACGAGCTGGATAGCGCGGACGACTTGTCGGAAGGCTCGGATGCATCTGGCGAGGAGTTTGACGGTCTATCTGCGGATGAAGACGAAGAAGACCCTCTAGCGACGTCGGACGAAGAGGCTGGTGCCGAGGCCGAAGAGGATGAAGCCATGTCCGACGAAGAAGACGAGGACGCTGCCTCCTCTTCTGGGGACGACTCTGAAGAGGAGACCGAGGCGCAGAAGGAACGCAAAGCCGCGTATTTCGACTCTGAACAGGGTCCCGCCGAGGCGCACACGTCCTTTCTGTCCATGAACCTCTCCCGACCCATCATCAAGTCCATTACGACCCTGGGCTTCACCACCCCAACCCCCATCCAGGCCGCTACTATTCCCGTTGCACTCCTAGGCAAGGACGTCGTCGGTAACGCTGTGACCGGTTCCGGAAAGACCGCTGCGTTCATCATTCCGATGCTGGAACGGTTAATGTACCGTGACCGAGGCAAGAAGGCGGCTGCGACGAGGTGTCTCATTTTGGCACCTACTCGTGAATTAGCGGTACAGTGTTATGAGGTCGGCTCGAAGCTTGCTGCTCATACAGACATCCGCTTTGCCCTAGTGGTCGGTCAGTATGACGTCTTTACACGTGCAAACATGTATTCACCCTTGTTTGATATTTATAGGTGGTCTGTCGGTGAAGGCGCAGGAGACGAACTTGCGTACACGACCGGACGTCGTCATTGCTACCCCAGGTCGTCTCATCGATCATCTCCGCAACTCCCCCACCTTCACCCTCGATGCTCTGGACATCCTGGTCCTCGATGAGGCCGACCGTATGCTGGAGGACGGGTTTTCAGACGAGTTGACAGAGATCATTACCTCTTGTCCCACTTCGCGGCAAACTATGCTGTTTTCGGCCACGATGACTGACTCCGTGGACGAACTAGTCAGGATGTCGCTCAACAAGCCTGTCCGGCTGTTCGTGGACCCCAAGCGCTCCACAGCGCGCGGCCTCCTCCAAGAGTTTGTCCGCGTGCGCGCTGGCAAGGAGACGGAGCGCTCAGCGCTCCTCGTCGCGCTGTGCAAACGGTCGTTCAAGGCGCGCGCTATCATCTTCTACCGGAGCAAGAAGCTAGCACATCAGATGCGCATCATGTTCAGCCTACTCGGAATGAAGTGTGATGAGCTGCATGGCGACCTCACTCAAGAACAAGTGAGTCGACAAACAACAACGCCCCAGCGTCACCCGACAGACCTGCTCACACTATTTTTGTATAGCGACTAAAAGCCCTGCAGCAGTTCCGGGATGGCCATGTAGACTATCTGATGGCGACCGACCTCGCGTCCCGCGGGCTGGATATCAAGGGTATCGAGACCGTCATCAACTATGACATGCCTGGGACGCTCTCGCAGTATCTGCACCGTGTCGGCCGAACGGCGCGTGCGGGCAAGAAGGGACGGTAGGGAGATCTACCCGATAGAAACAAGCTGCGCGCTCACGCGATAACCGACAGATCGGTGACTCTAGTGGGTGAGGCCGACCGCAAGCTGCTCAAGGCCGCCATCAAGCACTCTTCTAGCGAGGACCAGGTTCGACATCGCCAGGTCCCAACGGAGGTGCTTGCCAAATGGGCGCAGAAGCTCGCTGGGCTGAAAGAGGAGATATCGGAGATTCTGCAGGAGGAGAAGGAGGAAAAACACGTGAGCGTGCTGGTGTTACACAGGACCATACACGGCCAACTGACCTTGTACTCCGTTGACAGATTCGCCAAGCTGAGATGGAGCTCAAGAAAGGCCAGAACATGATCGAGCACGAAGCGGAGATCTTCTCGCGGCCCGCCCGTACCTGGTTCCAGACTGGGAAGGAGAAGGCCCAGGCAGAGGGTGCGTCGCATCAGCTTTTCATTTCCGCCCGTGCTCAGAGATTCCCGCGCCAGCGCTCAGCAAGTCCCAATACGAGGCTGGCTTCGACGCGGGCCAAAAAGGCAAGGCAAAGCAGGCGGCGGCGGAGCCCAAGGTACGTCATCTGCGCTCCCTGATGCGGCCGGGGGCTGATGGACACGGCTGTGTGTGGCAGCCCAAGCGGGACAAGTTCGCGGGTCTCACTCGACGTGCGAAACGGAGAAAGATGGCAATGGAGGACGACGAGGATGCGCCGGAGAGCGGTGCGATTCGTGCGGCGGTGCGGTCGGCGAAGAAGGCGTCGCGACCCGCAAAGATTGGCGAGCCCGAGCGACGGCCAGCGTCGTCGAAGAAGAGAGACAAGAAGAAGGCTGCGCGATCGAAAACTGTCACAAAGCGGAAAGGCGGTGCGTTCGAGAAGGACGGTGGGCAACGGCCTGCGCGCGAGGGTGTCCGGGCGAAGAAAGGGGATGTCATCGGCGGTATGGGGAAGAAAAAGGGCGGGAAGCGGAAGGCGTAGTACTTCTGCTTGCACATGGCTGTATTGGCTACACCGCCGGCATGCGAGCCCCGCGGTGTACCTCGAGTGCATTCTAATTCGGAGGTCGTGGGATCGCTCGTTACGGCCGTGGGCCATCGAAGGGTGTGAGCGCGTGTACCGTCGACGGCGATGTACCACTGTCGGTGTATAGCCTAACTGCAGTCCGAGCGGGCAGCTGGCTCAGGAGGACCACGACGAGTACCGCCCCGGCGAAGCGGCCCGAGTGTGTGACAGCTGCGTGACTGGACGCGGTTTGTACGCGTCGAGCTAGACGCTCAAAACGATCCCCTCTGACCGTCGCGGACTTGGCCTTTGTCTTGCACCGAGTGGCACCAGGACCGTCCTGAGCTGAATTGTATGATTCCTTGCTCCCTGCTTTTGATGCGCGTATACTCTTCCACCCACCACATCCAGTCTACCCACAGAATCACTTAGCGACGCTGCAGTGCACAAGACGTCTGATCGCGTCTCACTGCGCCCACAAACTCGCGCATACATAGGCTGTTTTCACACTCTAAAGACGTAGAAGCTATCCACACAAGCTTCCAAGGTGCGGTGGTCGAGATCTCCCCCAAACACGCATCGCTTAACCGCTACTTCGCACCAGATGGCTACGACAATCGCGCCTGTGGCCACCATCTCCTTGCCGAATCCCGGGCGCATATTGCGTACATCATGGTGCCCTGACAAAGATCTTGTGGCCGTTCTGTCTAGGTTTGCACACCAAGAGAAGCTTGGTCTTTGGAAGATGTCGGGTTCGAAGAAGTGGGAGGTCGACCTGCCCGGTAATGCCGACTACAAGGTGGACCATATTGTCGACATCGCCTGGAGTCCCGATGGTACGAGCCACTTTGCGTTTCATGGTATTCGTTCGTTCACCGTCTAGTTACACAGTACAAACCCTTGCAGTGGTCTCCAACCCGGGCATGATCACCATCCATTCAATACAAAACGGCACGGTGGAGCGCGCAATACCTATAGCTCTACCGGACCGTACTTTCCGAGTCACCGGTACGTGGTGGTTCCGCGAAGAAAAGAAATCTGGAGGCCAAGGCCTCCCAGAGGTCTTCAAGCGCGGCGACATCATAGTACGGCTTTCTCACGTCCAATTCCTACCGTTCGCCGTGCTTAAGCCCGTGAGATAGACAGGCTCCGCTCACTCCATTTTGCGAAACCTGCCCCTGTTGGATGCTATACAGGATGAGTCCAAGCCCCTTACGTACGTGCCCGTCCTCTATTCGGCTCCTCTGCGCGGCTAACGGCCGTCCTCCAGTTCAAACGAGCTCTTCGCCTTCCACGGCGCACGAAATCGGGCGACGCAGGCACCCAAGGTGCCCCCCGTCATCACAGCGTGGCCGAGCCTCCCCACAGACCTTGCCGCGGCCTCCATCGCGTCGAATAAGCCCGACGCTGCGCAGCCCTTTCCAGAAGCAGAGGACGAAGCAGACGAGACGAACGTGAACAGCATTCTCGCCGTCGCGGACAACCTAGGCAACGTGCATCTCTTCCTGGAGGGAAGCTACCCGCTCGGCTATGTACGCATCGGGCATGCTGCGTCTCCTCGTTCCCTCTACAAGCTGCGTGAATACCTGTTTGCGCATCCTGGGCCGGCGTCGGATCTGGACTCGCCTGCCGTTCCCCTGCGTCCTGTGGTTCTCAAGCTGTCCTATTTGACAGGTAGGCATTACAGGGACGTCGCCAGGGTGTCGTCATCGGCGCGGGAACTAGTGTGGTATGCCATGCGGGTGGTCAAGGATATGCGTAACACGTGGTTTGGCTCCGAGACGAACCCCGGTGCACGAGAACTGGGGAAAAAATGGGTGCAAGCACTGGAAGAAAGACAATGCAACGAATTCGGCCGTAAGTACCGTGCACTGTGACATTGGGGTCGGCGCCTCACAATGGCATGGTAGACGAGGATCCGTATCCGCTGCTGGACCTGACCTGTTTATTGACCACCGGCCGCACCTCCGAGGCGCTCCTGGACTATCTGGGCAGCGGTGAGCACATGAGCGAACGGGTAGGCTCGCGATTTACCTACCTCACAACGTCATTAGGGTACTCACGTGTGGAGTAGAGCATTCAAAGGTGGGAAGTGACAATGACGGAGGCTCTGGTCAAGCTGCGAGATCTAGCAGAGAAACGCGTCGCACCCGCCTGCCAGCGTTTGCGGCTGCTCCTGCAGGAGGTGCAAGGCTGGGCTGCTTTGTGGGTGCCTACAGCCGACTGTCGGTGCATATCCGTCTCACGTTTGTGACAGACCCCAATATGCCGTCTGTAGCTTCAACCCAAGTGAGATCGAACGCTGTCTAGACAACACGACACGCGGCATCGTCCTCTGTGCGTGGCTCGCCGCCGGGGCGCGCAAAGAGCTCATCCGCTTCAAGGAGTTCATGAAGTGGGTCCGGTACGGTACGTCCCCGCCGCTCCACGCCCCTTAGCCGCCGCTGACCCACTGGCGCACCAGAGATCGCCCGGGTGAACGCGGCCGAGAACCAGCAGCCGCGGCCGACGCACGACATCCTCGAGGTGAACGACTACCTCACGTCCGGGCTCGTCGTGAGCCCGCTCGACAAGTGGTTCATGGGCCCCGCGCCGCGGTTCGCGCCCGAGAGTCTAGCCGTGCAAACTACGACCGTCGGCGCCGCGCTCCGCAAAGCACGCGCCGCACTAAACCGCTGGGACCAGACCGTGCACGAAGTGAGTGCGCTCCCCCGCGATCTCCGTGTGTGGGGCAGAAAGGCTAACCGCATCATCACGTCTCCCCCTGCCGCGTGCTCGCGTGTCTTGCTCCGCGGAAGGATGTGAAACACCGGGAGCTCGCGCATGTCGAACGCAACGTCGACGCGCTGCTGCAGAACCTCGCGGCGGGCTGCCAGAAGATCTTCGACGAGGCGTCCAAGGCGACCGCACGCTCGGCCGTGCTCGTGGCCGGCTCTGTCGACGCCGTGCCAGCAACGGCGACGGCGGAAGCAGAGGCAGTGGCAGTGGCAGCAGCAGGGAAGGAAGAGGGCCCGCGATCAGCTAGCGCCGCACCCCTGATACGAGAGCGCACGGTGCTGGGCGGCAGCGAGGCAAGCGACTCGCACTTTTCAACGTGTCTCGTTCGCTGGCTGAGCGGATCTACGACAGGCGGACAATTTTATGCAGTACCTTGCAATCAGGCCTCCGCATGACGGCGGGCGGTCGTACCGTGAGCCCCCCTCGAGCCCCTGCCTGCGCGGGTGCACGTTCAGGAATGTGATCTGTCGCTGACCCGGGGTGCTGTTCACAGTGTGCGTGGCCCGCCTGCAGCAGGGCCTCGGCGTCGCGGACGGCGTGCCGACGGTAGAGGTTGCCGCGCTGGAGTGCTGTGCTCCGGCGGAGGGAAGCGAGGACGCGCCTGCGCCGTTCGCGGTCCTCGACGTCGACTTCTTCGACGAGGAGCTGCTCGTGGTCGTCTACCGGCCGCGGGATGGGGAAGGTGAGCCGCGCCTTGTTTTCTCTCGTGCTAGTGCCTGGGCGCCCGGCGTCGCGTCGCGTCGCGCACAGGCGGCGGAGGGCTCGCTCAATGCTCATCACGATCGTCGAGCAGCAGCCTGTGTCGCGACGGTCGGCTATGCGAATTTAATCTACCACCCGATCCCGGCCCCCCACGCGTACGTAACCGGCACGACTCGAGAATGGCTGATGGGCGCGGTGCGCGCGGCGCTCGCGAGCGGAGAGGTATGGGTGCATTGTCCTCTGTGGCCGTTCCGGCGGCGGCGTTATGCTGATCATGCTTGCCCCCTTTTGCCTGCGTGCTTCTCGGGAACTTTTTTCTCGCCCACGCCGTCCGGATTGAACGCACGGTTTTCCGTGTGCGCGCAGCTTCCGTCGGCTGGGGCGAGCCCGATCATCCAGAGCCGGGCGCTGAAGGGGTGCAGGGAGGGGGGCGTGACACTGGCGGTGAACGGGCGTGCTGGGCGGCGCGTGTCGTGCGTTCTGGACGGGACGGGTCTGGCGGTGGAGGTGCTGGATATGGCGGGGGAAGAGGAAGAGCTGGAGCTGGAGGAAGAAGCGGGAGAAGAGGGTGCGGAAGGATCAGGCTGATAGGACGCTGCGGTGGGGCGTGCGCGCTGGGCGCTGGGGCTCGGGCGACGGGGCGCGCGGGGCGTGCATGCAGTGGCGGCGTGGCTCGCGCGATCAGCAGGAGGCGGGGGGTTGTGGGCGATCGCAGTGGGCAGCGAGGGACGGCGGGGCGGAGGCGGGGGGCTAGTGTGCCGCGCGCCCGGGAGGAGGATCTACACGTGCGCCGGGGATACGGGCGAGGGGGGGCGGAGGCGCCGGGAGGTCACACGGGAGTAGTTGTGGGCTGGGGACCCGGCGCGGCGGAGTCGAGCTGCCTTGTGTGGCGGTCGGGGGATCGGACCTGAGAGGACGAAATGCGGATTAGGCTTGTTGTGCGACTGATTCGAACAGGGAAAATACAGAGTGTGACTGGTTGGCACTGGGGGCGAACGGGCGAATACTGGAGGGAGGCCGGGGGTGGGCCGTGTGCGCCGTGGACGAGCAGAGCGCGTTAAGTGGCGGAGAGGCGGTCGGGTCGCCTTGGCCTTGGGCTTTCCCCATCCCATCCCCTTCCTCTTCCCGAACGCTCGCCTCGCTCGCGGCCGTCCAGGTGCGCCTCGCGCTCCGCCCTTGTCCTTTCGGCCTCCTCCCATTTATTATCTCTCCGTCCCTTCTTCCTCCCGCTGCCCCTCACCCTCCTCCCTCTCCTCCCCTCTCTCCCCGCGCACTATGCCGCCCTCCCCAGACCCCAAGACCGGCTCAGACGGCGACGGCTCCTCCTCCCGCGTCTCCGACGCCGCCCTCAGAAAGAAAAAGAACGCAGACGCACAGGCCGCCTTCCGCGCGCGCCGCGCCAACTATATCGCCACTCTCGAGGAGACAGGTCCGCCTTCTCTCCTGCGCTCTCTCCCCCCGCCCGTATTGATCGCTCCCGCGCACCCCCACAGTCACCAACCTAGAGTCCGTCGTCCTCCAGCTCCAGGACTCATGCCGCGCCCTCGACACCCAGCTCCAGGAGTCCCGCCAGGAGGCGAGCCGCTACAGGACCGAGCTCGACCACAAGGAGAGCATGATCAGGATGTACGAGCAGCAGCAGAAGAAGGTCGATCGCGAGCCCCAAGACGACTACCCCATCTCCTCCTACCCACCCGTCCGCACCCCGCCCGTTATGGCCTCCTCCATGTCCGCCGGCCCTGCGAGCCACTACGGCGATGACGGCATGCGCTACTCCTCTGGCAGCACCTCTGCCCCCTCGATGAACGGCTCTTCCTATCACAACCCAAACGGCCAGGACTACCCCCAACGCTCGCCCGCGATGAGCTACGTGAGCGTCCCCGGCACCGGCAGCTCAGAACCGCGCTCGATGGATCCCCACAGCAGAATGCCCCGATACGACCCGTACGCGCCCTACCCGATCGACACCTCTGGCCGTGACGGTAATTGGGTGAGCCACCCCGGCACAGCCGTCAGCGACCCCGGCTCGATGGACAACGGCAGCGCGACCCACTCACCTACCTTCGTCGAGTCACCCACGCTCACCGCATCCGACCTTTCCTATTCCTCGCGCTACAACATCGTTGACGATCAAAAGGTTCCACTCACGCCCTCATACATGTTTGCGCCTAGCCGCTCCCTCTCGCCTGCTGCGTCCACGCCCTCTTCCACATCATCTACCTCGCTCGCGCCCGCCTCCTACCCATTCACGTTTCCCGAGGGCACCGCTCTCCAGGAACGCCCCGAGTTCTACCGCCGCCAGCCCGAGCTCACCCTCCACGGCGGGACCGCCGACATCTCCTCCATCGTGCGCATGAGCGGCCGCACCGCGCCCCCCTCCTCCTCATCCGCGTCCGCCTCGGGGCTCTCGCCATCCGCAGACCGCCCCTCGCTCGTGCAGGCGCCGTCGCCGTACTCGCGCGCAGACAACGGCTCGCACGAGCGCGAGAGCGACGGCGAGTCGTCCTCGTACACGTACTCGTCGCGCGCGCGCACGCGCCCCGCGAGCGTGTCGCGCGGGTCGCGCTCGCCTTCGCCCGGGCCGGCGCCGATATGCGGCACGCTCGCGGTGATCAAGGCGCAGGCGTTCGGCGCGCTCCGCCGCACGCGCGGGCGGAGCAAGAAGACGACGGAGGGCGCGGCGAAGGCCGCCGTCGAGGCGCTCGCCGCGCGCGGCATCGGCGTCGTCGGGAACCCCGCGAAGCGGCCGCGCCTGCACGACAGCGACGGGGATCTGCGGATTTGAATGCGTGCCCCGTCCCGTCTGTCCGTCCGTCCATCCGTCTGCCTGCTGTCTGCTTGTCCTGTCTCGCCCGCCGTCCGTACTGACCGACCGATTGATTGACCGATTGAACGACCGACTATGGCATGCAATGCAACATGTAGAGGCTTCCCACATTCATATGTACCAACAGCGCTCTCCCTCTCTATCTCTCATTACCGATCCGCCATCCTCGCCGTCTTCTCGCGCTCCGTCTCCTGCTGGCTCTGGGACTCTGTAGACGACTCGACTCGACCCGATCTTCCTCTCTATCCTGCCCGTCCCCCCACCTCTACCTCCATCTCCGCCTCAGCTACCTACCCACCTCCTCCACTCTCCTCTGCGCGCTCGTCCATGCACACTGCACCGTCACTTATTCGCTCTCACATGTTCTCGGGATACTTCGTATGTAGGATAGTATTGGCTGTAATATAGTGTCTGTCGCTTTACTGTAAATATATACCACTGCTGTTTCTCCTCCCCTCCCCTTCTCTTCCCCCTCTTCCCCTCGACCCACTCCTGCTATTCCAGCAGCAGCCCATATAACCATTCCCGGCGGCGCCCCCCGCAGTGCGGGACGGACTCCCTGGGGCACGCGCCGAAGATAGGCAGAAGTTACCCCAGCAGGCCCGCTTCCCACCGAGCAACAATAATACACCATTAGGCGTCCGCCGCCGAACGGACCGTGGCAGGGAAGGCCGCGCGCAGAACGCAGAACGCGCTGCAAGGTTCAGCTGCGGCTCGGCTGCGACTGGGCGCGGCCACACGAAAGGCTCCCTCGGTGCGGGCGGTGGCACTGGCCCTGGCATCCGCCGGTGCAGAACGCGAACGCGAGGCACCCCCCAGATCGCATCCCGCAGCGAACCCCAGGACAGCCATTGCCTGCGACTGCGAGCACTGACGGGCATCGCCGCGCGCGATGACGCCTCCTGCGGGGGGCACGCCACCTGCCATACGCGGCGGCCCAGCCCCCGCGAGCGCAGATGGATCACTATCTCGCGAAGCGCACTGCGAAATGGGTGTGGGAACGCGAAGGAGGGGGCAGGAGCGAAACGAGGGGACGGAGGGTCCGCGTCCCCACGGGCGACGGCGCGACCGCCACGATGATCCCCGTGTGCCCGCGCGATAGAGTCCGCTGGGGGTGGGGGTGCGCGGTCACGGTGCGGTTCGAGAGTCCGCGCGCGCGTCCGCGAGCGTCCCGGGGCCTGGGCACTGGGCAGAGGGAGCGTTTGATATGGCGCGCGTGGGAGCGGGTGGCTGGGCGGGTGCGTTCCAGAAGCGGACGGGCGTGCGTGCTGCGCCAGTGTGCGGGCCACAGGACCAGGGGGAGAACATATGCGGCCCCCACCCCCACTGCTCGATCGCGGGGGAAGGGTGGGCCACTTGTGTTCGAGGGCTAGCCGACGGTTTGAGTTTGGTCTTCGCCGCCCCCGGGGGGAATAACAATGCGCCTTCGGAGTGTGTCGCGGGGTCGCCACCTAGGCCAGCCGAGGATGGTCTGACGTCGGCCGTTGAATCGACAGCCGTGACATGATGCGTCATACCGCCACTCTACCAGCACGACGGGGGCGGGGTACATAGCGGTAACCGCTGCAATTGGACGATCGGCGGCGGTCGCGACTTCAGCGAGACACAGATAAACGCCGATAGACTTTAGGCACTGCGGGATCCCAGGTGCCCCGGATCTCGCTGCAATGCAAGTCAGTCTTCTAGGACATGCTCGTCATGAACGGCGTAGATCACGTACTTCTTGTACCGCTGGGCCCATACCAACATGCCCGGAGCGATGAAAGTAACGAATACGAAGCAGAAGGCGTAGAGGTACGCTGCGGTGACCGATAGCGGGTAGGTGAGGAGCAGAGAAAGCCCGGAAAGGGCGGCAGTGAGGATGATCTGTAGCGGACGTGCGGTGTCCTGACCTCGCGTGAGACCACGCAAGGGAGGATGTAAATAGAAGACCCACCTGGATGCGACGCCGGAGCATTGGAAAGAGCGCAAACGTCTGCACCGAGAAGAGAATCAGACCGAAGACGGCGATGTCGTCTGATAATCTCGAAGCGAGCACGACGGAGGAGGATATCGCGGCGTTCATGGAGAGCACGGAGGTCAACCTGAACGAGCCTACTGAATACCCGGCCGCCTGTGATATCCCAGCGGTGAACGTACCTCTCACGGCGGTGGCTCTGTGGCCTCAAGGCTGTATAGTCCGCCAATAAGGCGTTCAGCACGAATAGACTAGCCGACAGCGCCCAGATGGAGTCTGAGGATGTCGCGGCAGTGAGCGTCTTCAGTACCGGTGACAAAGACAAAAGCGCCAGGAAGACAAGGATGGAAGCCTTCAGCGTCTTCGCCCCTGCATAGACGGCGGGATGTCAGCTATGATCGGTGCATGTGAATGAGTACAGTACGAACGATTGGTATGCCGCGACACGTTGTCCGCTCTAGCACAATCCAGCATCTCCCATGTCATGTAACCTGCAAGGAAGACGCCCACAGATATCCATACGAGGGCACGCGGGTCGAGTAGCCTCTCCTGGAGTCTCATGAAGACCGCGAGGAACACGAAGACGCTCGCGAGGTGCTGGCTTATTGGACATGAGAGGATGACGAGGTGCCAATACGTGTACGGTCTGAAGTTCGCTATACGAGACGTTAAGCACGGAGGAAATGAGATAAGATCACACGACCGACTCACGGTTCCTGCTCAAAGAGGAGAGGAAGGAGCGGGGAACATAGTTGTCAGGGTATGGCTTCTCCTTCCAGAGCACGCGCTCCCATTGTGCCTCCCACTCCTCCGTTGACATTCATGAGACGTCGCTGCAGGGTCCAGACAGCCGGCCAGCGGTCGTGCTGGGCGTGCGCGAACGAGAGATCGCGAGCGAGGGTCGGCTGTACGTGCGAGTGGTCGCGAACAAGTCTCGAAATGCTTATGGGCGCCTGTGTGCTACGATGACATGGCAAGAGACGCCCATCACACCAGAGTCCACAACTGCACCCATCTAATCTCCAGCCAACATTAAAATTCTTTATTCTCAGAAGCACCTTCATGGGGGTGTCCTAGCTGCGTGTCACGGTTGCATGCTGCATTGGGATATTTGTTTTTGACACAAAGTGCACCCAAGGTACCAAGAGAAGATATGATTACACGCATGCACGCTCCCTCGTGCAGGGGTTGCCGGAGAAGCCCCGGCCTCTACGCGGCCTTGCAGGGTCAGACACCAGGACAGGGCAGCGATGTGGTAGCCGTAGATACCGGAGCAGGAACTATCCTCGAAATGGTATACAAGTCACGGAAGCTCTGCAGGTGCGACAACGTGGGGGGCCAAGAGACGCGATAACCCCTCCTATCTCGCGCTCCTGCGAGTGGGTATAGCCTCGTGTGCGCGCAGTTAGCCCTTCGTGGGCTCGGACGGCGACGCTCAATCCCACTTTGAATGACGGCGCCGTAAGAACGGGGGGCTGTGATGGAACCCCGGCCATGCACTCACCACGAGTTGTTCCTGCTGTCTCGGCTCCGGCACACGAGGTGCGCCCTTCTGAGCTTCCAATTGCGCGGCGAGTCGTCCAGCGTTCGGGTTGGCTGAGTGCGTACCGCGAGCCTGAGACTGAGGGAATAGATCAGTACATATCCGGTCTGCGCGTAACGGGCACTGACCGCTTTCATACGCCGTTCCGCTGCCTCCGCAGCGGCCGCTCGAGGGTCCGGCCTCGTACCGTCCGGCTGCCCCGTAGGGCCCGAGGAGCTAGCTGATCCTAGGACTTGATGTCCGCCAGACACGGTTCCCGACTTTGAGCAGAGGGAGCCCATGGACGATGACGGTTCGTGTCAAGGGCTATAAAGCCAAGGCTGACTGCTGCCGCCTCCTTTATTACTGCGCGGCGGCAGCCAAGATTTTTGCATGATCATCACCCTATGCAATGCATATCTAACAGGTTGACCTTCCAGCTGTGCTTTACTGAGCACACCCAGCACACTAGTGTATACTTATCACTCATTGCAATGAGGCGGGTCATGATGTCAGCTCAAGAGCAGACATATATACGTGCTTTTGGGTATTAGCACACTCCGGCGGAACAATCGCATGCAGTGCCGTTTTTCGGCCCCCATGATTAGAGCATCTAGCTGCTAAAGTAGCGCGAAATATGATACAGCTGTACCTATAGCGTCCAGTCCGACCCTGAACATAGTCCTCCACGCTGCGCATCACGCGTTCGGCGGTGAGTCGGATACGCTGATATAGTCTCCCCGATGGTCCCTGGCGGCAGCATTGCGCGAGTGGCCCGCATCGCTGAGCCGGATATCCTCCGGCTGCCGTTGGGGAACAAATGCCTAAGAACCATACGGGACGTGAAACGTGCACAACGCGGGGCACGGGCGGGGAAACGCGTACCTCCCACCACCGCCTGCTGTTCGCCCACGGCAGGGTCGTGTCGAAGCCGGCCTTGAGCATCCTGCCCTTGATGCCGGCGCCGAGAAGGAGGCCGAAGACCGTTAGGAGGAAGAGAGTGACGACGAGCTGGTCCCGGGGAGAGTCACGCTCTGCGAGCAAGCCTAGTTCAGCACGGGAGCGGACATGCGGCCAGGGTCGCAGCGACGCACGGAAACAACGAGCCTCGATGTCCCCCTCTTTGCCGGTGGCAGTATCGGGGTTGGCGTCCCCGATGGAGGCACCCGCGCACCTAGGTAGGTTCTGCTGTTGACACCAGAGCTTCGTGCATGACAGGCACGGCTTGCTCGGGTCGTCAGGGATGTCCATCCGGAGGATGGTGTAGTTTGATCCAAAGCATATGCCTGCGGTCTCTCAGTCCCTCGTCCACACCTGGCAGTCGTGCAAGAGACGTACATTTGCAGAAGTTGGTTGCCTCCCACTTATTCCCCAGTACGGCCAAGACCGACGGCTACTTACACGAGTTCGATGAGTAAGAACGCTTGCTTGCTACAACCTACAGCACTGCTCACGGCATTAAGAAGTAGGAGGAAGAGGCAGCACAGCAGCGAAGTTGTGCGAGGGGCCGTCCGAGACATGGTGGATGAGATCACGGTCCTGAGGAAAGCTGCGCGCGGACGCGTCGCAAACGCGCGTCTCTCGACTTCCCCTCACACCTGGACCTCGCTTGGCTGGCCGCCCGCCTTCCCGCTCCGAACACGGCCTACCCTACTGCTTCGTTACCTTAATCTAACCTACGGCGGACTAGGCACGCGAGACACCAAGAGAATCGCGTCAGCAATTCAGGATGGCGACCGAGTTCGAGGATGTCCTCACAAACCAGCCTGTCGTGATCGACAATGTTCGTGGACCTCCGCTCATGTGTCTGTCTCTGCTTTGAGCTCAAGTACTGTGTCTGGATACAGGGCTCTGGGACAATCAAGGCTGGATTCGCAGGTCAAGACCACCCGAAATGCTTCTTTCCGTCTTTGTGCGTCTTCACGGTTAGCGGTGTATTGAGACGCGTATGTCTCCGTGCTAATTGACACACCTCCACCCGGTGTGTAGTGTGGGCCGGCCAAAGCATGTGCGCGTCATGGCTGGTGCGCTAGAAGGGGACGTCTTCATCGGACGTAAGGCGCAAGAGGCCCGAGGGTTACTCAAGATCAAATACCCAATGGAACACGGGATCGTGACGGACTGGGACGACATGGAACGAATATGGAGTTGGGTGTATGCAGAAGAGTTGGGCACGCTCAGCGAAGAGGTACGTCGCCCGTGTGTCGCAGAACTGTACGTGCGTCAGTGCTGAAACTATCGATACAGCATCCCGTACTGCTAACGGAAGCACCGCTAAATCCTCGCCACAATCGCGACGTTGCGGCCCAAATATTCTTCGACACATTCAATGTTCCCGCTCTGTATATATCCGTCCAAGCTGTATTGTCACTGTGAGTCTGACGCGTCGCCTCGTACATCTGCAAGCTTCCAGATGCTCACTCTTAACGCGTAGATATTCTTCTGGCCGAACAACAGGTATTGTTCTAGACTCGGGCGATGGTGTCACGCATGCGGTACCCGTCTTTGAGGGTTTCTCGATGCCTCATGCAATTCGCAGAGTAGACGTTGCGGGGAGGTAAGATGAAAAGTACTTGAAACGCGTATCACATTATTCACCGGATGTTCCAGGGACGTGACGGACCACCTACAACTGCTCCTCAGGAAATCGGGACACCACTTGCACACGACTGCTGAGCGGGAAGTCGTGCGAACAATCAAGGAGAAGTGCTGCTACGTCGCGCTGAACCCTGCCAAAGAGGAGAAGGACTCGATGGGGCGCAGCGAGGAGTTCCGCCTACCGGACGGCAACACTGTGCAGCTTGGCCCGGAGCGGTTCCGCGCACCAGAGATTCTCTTCAACCCCGAGTTGATCGGGCAGGAATACGCTGGCGTACATCAGGTCGTCGTCGACTCCATCAACAGAGTCGACCTCGACTTGCGCAAGAGCCTGTTCTCCAACATCGTTCTCAGCGGTGGTAGCACACTGTGCAAAGGTCTGTTCCTTGAGTGTGCCGTACCCGTGCCTTCGGTTTCTTACTGTATCACAGGGTTCGGTGATCGCCTGCTGAACGAGGTCAAGAAGCTCGCGTTGAAGGACGTAAAGATCAAGATTTACGCTCCCCCAGAGCGCAAGTACTCTACATGGATCGGTGGATCTATTTTGGCCGGTCTCAATACGTTCAAGAAGGTATGTCGCTGCACTTTTCCCCGACTACGCGTCGCTCACTGGGTTCTCAGATGTGGGTGTCTGCGGAAGAGTACCAAGAGGACCCCGACATCATTCACAAGAAGCTGGGGTTCTGAACGGGTATTTTCGTTGCTTTGGCTCTCCTTGCTGGTTCCTCTGTAGACCATATCCTGTCTTAGCTATGATACCCGAACATGTAGTGTGCACTCCTAATACGACCCTGCGCCGGCTGCGCGTTCTCAAAAACCTCATGGGCTCGGGTTGCGAAAATTCGGTGGTTCGCCGCCAGGCAAAAGGGTGTTATATCCGCATGCGCATAATGTTCATGGACATTGGAGGAGGAGATGAAAGCGGGCATACGCGATAGGATACAGCTGCGAGCAACTTTTGCGTGGTGCGAACATGCAATGCAAAAATGATAGGGCCCAGGGAATAGTACAACACGCCCAACCACTACTTGCCCTTCTTGGGGGGCTCGGCTGCCTTGACCTTTTTGGTGCCACGGAGCTAGAGAGTGGGAGGTGAGGATAGAGCAAACGAGGATAGAGCAAATATGCCACACCTTCTTCGCACGGTTCTTGCGCTCCTTGCGAAGCTTGCGGTTCGTCTTCGGTGGTGCGGTGGTGAGGCCAGACTAAAGAAAACGGTCAGGGCTTTTCGACAGACTTGGATACTAGGTAAACATACCCGAATCAACCGGTGCTTGGGCTCGAACTTCCTCTGCGACGGCTCGTCGTCGTAGATCAGGCCGAAGCCAGTGCTCCGTCCACCACCGAACGCGGTCTTGAGCCCGAAGGTGACCACGCGAAGCTTGTCGGTCTTGTAGATGGCCGCGAGGCGCTCCGAGAGCTCCGACTTGGAGACGTTCGGGCGGTTGGGGTGGAGGACATCGACGATGAATTGGCGGCGCGCCAGGAGGCGGTTCGTGATGAACTTGCGCGTGCGGATGGTCACCGGTGCTGAGGTGTCGGCCTGCATAGACGGGGAAGAGGGGGGAGGGGGAAGAACACCGTCAGCATTCGGTCGTCCGAGGGCATTCCACCGCCAGGCTACATCCGCCTGCCAAATCATCCATCCAGCCTCATCCAGCCGTTCTTTCGCCACAAAACCTCTCCCAACGCTCCTCCGGACGTCCAGCAGCACGATAGGACAGCACTCACCATTGTTAGTATACCCGCTTTTTGGTCCTTTACCTTGGTGTCGTGGGCCCGTCGAAGATTGCCAGTGCTCCGGTGTTGCTGACCAAACACAGCAATACACCCGATCGCCCATGTGGGAACAGCGCCAAATAGACCCAAAGCGAGAGCCGGCTCCGGCGCTTACCTCCTAAGTACCGGACCGTCTCCAACCTCGCAGTACTCTGTACTGCGCGCACTTGCTCCAGCCTAAGGTCTAGGATCCTCCCCGTAATCCCCGCTGTCTATCGCTTTGTATTTATTATCTGGACCATACTCGCCGTCTTCCCACTATCATGGCTACCAATAACACCTCGCATTTCGCCTCGTTTGCCGCCTATGTGAGCATTCTGGCCCTCTGTTAGGCCGAAGGCTTGGTCGCTGAACAACTCCGGCAAACCCATCTAGACCCCTCCACCAGATGACCCTGCCTACGCTGCGTCAGGCTCCAAGAACACGTCGCGAGCATGGTTTCCGGCGCAGCAACCCACGTCCTACCAATCGGGCGGTATACCCACCTTCAACACATCGCAGGCGGGCGGGCTTGGCGCAGTGGAAGATGCGGAGGCGGAGAACCCAAACAACATGTGGGAGACGCGCTACGGCTTCAGAGTTGACCTACTGGCAGCGTTTGCCTACCTGCTAGGCCCCATATCCGGTTCGTACCTGCACAACGCCGTCGAGAGACTGCTCTTACGCCATATCGTGTTGCAGCGCTCGTGCTGCTTATTACCGAGACCCACAATGATTTCGTACGCTTTCACGGTATGTGCTCCTTGCCTTTCGCGGTGGCTACTGGGGCGAAACGGACGCTGAGGACTTGACTATAGCGTACCAGTCAGCCCTACTCACCACACCCCTCGCCATCTTGCGCATTTTGGCATCTCTTCTCCTATTCCCCTCGTTCCTCCGTATTGTGCTTACACTATTGCTCATTATCCCTTCTCTGTACATGGCGTAAGTTTTTCTCAGTTTGTTCTGTAGCCCTGCGCTAATCACGCCGACAGTTGGCAAGCATACATCGACGCAGCACGGAACGGTCTGGTACATTTCCAGATACCATTTATTGGACCCTTGGCAGAACGATGGGTAGTCGAAGAGTAATCTCAGCTGCGCAATCTATCTCAGATCGCCGTCTCTTTCATGTGTATCCATCTACGCATAATCTTCTTCAACATTCGCGGAAGCAACTCAAGCATGAATTTGTCTAACTGGTGTTAAACGCCCTGTACGTCACTACAATGACGGTATGGCTGGCAGACGCCGACGTGCACGGTCACGACATAGCTGATAAACGGTGTGGAAACACGACGACGATTTTATACAAAACGGGCCAGCCATTCAAGTATCGTACATGAGTACAGCGTCGTAAAGATCAACGTCCTTATGCACAGTCATCCAACCTTTCCCCCCCCCTCTACACCAACAGGCAAAGCGATCCTAGTTGAATACCGAGGCCACATGCCGCCGCCGTTACTTGTCCAATCAGTGCGACGAGCAGGGGTTGCACTGCGTTGAGGATCGCATCCGTGAGGTTCTCGACGGCGTTCAAGACATCATCCAGAATGCACTTGATCTGGTATACGACTGCCACAGCGTTTTAGTAAGACATTACGAGCATATGAGATCGAGCGTGAACTGCTCACCGGGTCCCAACAGCGGCCCGAGCACCGGAATCTGATACACGAGCTCGTCGATGTAGCTGAGGGTGTTCTTCGACAAGTTGACCAGATCCTTAAGCAGTGTCTCTAGTTCGTTGGAGCGGTCGTAGTTCTCCAGGCCTTTGTCGGCGCCAAGCTGAGCCAGAACGTTTTGAAATCCGAGCAGGCCGTCCTGGTAGGAAGTAACCTCAGAGACGGTCTCGGTACGGAAGTCCGCATCGTCTCGGTGGGTAGATGCCTGTGACGCGAGCCGCTCTGTACCTCATAATCAGCAAAGACGTTCGGGGTTCAATTCAAAGAAGAAGCTCACGGAGGTTTGCGGAGTGGCCCTGCATCGTGTCGAACCAGTTGTTCAAGATGTTGACGTTGTTGAGGATGTTCGTGTTGACGTCGTTCTCGCGGGGAACTACGGGGGACGTGGTGTGAGGCACAACCGCAACGTCCTCCCGCCCAGCGAGCGCAGAGTTTTCAGAGTGGTGCACCATCGTAGCGTTCGTCCGAGCCGGGGGTTGGGCAGCGTAGTCCGCGAGGTGAGGCATCAGAGGCATCGGGAGCGGAGCAGCCAGTGCGACAGACGGAGCGAAAGGTTGGCCGACCAGCGACACCAAGGCTGCAGCCTGAAGACCCAAGAAGACGGCACGAGAGAAGGCAGGCATGGCTGGAGTACGAGCGAGTGCGGGGGACGAGACTAGATTAGGCGACAGGAGCGGCTAGCGCTATGAGACTAGGATGCTGTAGGATAGAGAGAAGGTAAGCTAGAGAGGAGATGTACGCGAACGTGGAGGGCAAGACGCACTGGGGTTCGCTTTCAACCTCTCCTCCTACTTATACCCCCAAACGGGACAGAACTCTATTCCGAGAAGCGCGTGTGATTGGTCCCCGCGGCGGACGCGTTCGGCCCACGTGCCGGGAATACGAACACGGCGCGCGGAGTTGTTTGGTTTGCTATTCGGGTGCGGCCTCGGACCTCCCATGATGTGCTCCGGGTACGGCCAAGGACCGAGCAAGGACGACAGCCAGCAGTGCATAATAAGGCGCGCATCGCCTAAAGATCTCCATTCGCATAGAGCTATGTTTGGCAACACGTCCTACAAGGTCCAACAACTCCCCTCCACAATATCGAAGCCTGAATCGCGAAGATAAATAAGTATGCGTGGATGCGCGGGTGCGTGCGGGACACCCAGACTGGTATGTGGGCGGTAGCGTAGTGGTGTAAGAGCTGTCCCGACGCCGAGGATGATACCGAAGCAAGTGCAAGTTCGTCGCAGATAGTGTATGCGACAGTCCAAGTGTCCGAACAACATGATTGACTCAAATGTACTGTTAAATATACGAGCTCAGTATCATTGCAACCCCTCGTAAGCAGTAGAGAATGTGATGTAGAAAGAGTGGCGGTTCTTCAGGCGGTCGAACCAAAATTGTCGTGGTGTGGTGCGCGATGCGGTCGGGAGCTCCGCATTGCGGCGAAACTCCTGGGAGGCGATCACAAGCGTTTAGAGCTTGATGCACATCGAGCCGTTGTTGGAGCGCTTGTAGCCAGCCGCGCAAGTGAGAACTACACGGCGATTAGCATGGGAAGAAGGAAGCGTGGAAGATTGACGTTACGTACCAACACACTTGCCGCTGTTGCAACCAACGTTCCAAGCGCCGTCGATGGTCGTGCAGTCCTGGCCGGCACCGGTGGACGCGCAGCCACCGCACGACTGAATGTCGTTGCGGGTGTCGGCGCACTCGTAGTCACCGCTCAAGCCGGTGAGGCCCATGATAGGGCAAGCCTCCAGCGAGTCGGGGCAAAGAGACACCGTGCGCGACTTGTGGCTGCGCTTCCAGCCGCTGCCGCCGTAGCCACCGCCGTAGCCACCAGAGCCGGGCTTGCTCGACGGCTTGGGGGTGGACGACGTGGTCGTGCTGTGCGGGTTGCAGCACTTCGAGCCGTCGTTCCAGCCCCAGCCGCTGCTGCACTGGGGAGGGGGCTGGTCGGGGTGGTGGGGCACACAGCAGTTCTTGCCAGAGTTCCACTCCCAGTTGGACGGGCACGAGGAGCCGCTCGGGGGCGAGGGCGGGTTAGGCGTACCACCGTGGGGCAGGCAGCAGGACTTCGGGCTCCAGCTGTTGGCAGTTAATCAGCGCAGCCCCGCAGCGGGCGTTCGAAAATGTGTACGTACTACCAGTGGTTCGCCTGGCAGTCGGTGGAAGACGACGTGGTGGGAGCGGGAGTGGTGTGCGTCGAAGTAGTCGCGTGGTAAGTAGTGGGCGCCGGGGTAGTGTGGATCGAGGTGGTGTGGGCCGTCGTCGAGGGCGTAGGCGGGTGGTAAGCGGAGGTCGTAGCCTGGGGCTTGCAGTGGTAGCCAGTCGAGTCCCAAGTCCATCCAGTCGTGCAAGAGGGGGGCGAGGAGCTGGTAGGCGGGTGGTCGGGCACACAGCAGCTCTTGCCAGTGTGCCAGTACCACGCGGAGGGGCACGAAGTGCCACTCGGGGGCTTGGGGGGGCTAGACACACCGCCGTGGGGCAGGCAGCAGGACTTCGCCGAGTAGCTAGGGTAGCTCGGTTAGAGACCGGGCGCTTGGAGAGGGTGGTTGGTGGGACTCACTAGAACTCGGAGCTGCTGCAGCTCGAAGACGAGCTGGAGCTACCAGAACCGTACGTGGCGAGCGCGAACGGGAGCGCGGCGGCGACAACTACAAGACGTGCAAAGAGCGTCATTTTCAAAGACCGTGGGGACCCAGGAGCGGGGAGGGGGAGGACGGGATATGAGAGAGAGAAGGAAACGGAACGTCTGGAGAGCACAACAAGGGCCGGATGCGTGCTTATATACGTACCGGCCGATCAAGGCCAATTTGCAGAACCCAGGGGACTGGCAGGAGGAGGTCACACACGCTACGGAACTGATATCATCCGCTCATTCGCCGGCCATCAGTATCCGTCAAGAACATCCATGTTGGGGACCATGGCTGCATTGGACAGCTCTACAGCCTCCCCGCATGTTTGCCATGTTTTCGAGGACGCCCCAGGCTCTTAATAGCCCCGCCGCGCTGTCCCCTGCTGCGGACGTCGAGGACGTCGAGGACAAGGACGGGGAAGTCGAGGGAGGAACGTCCTCGATCTGGCATGGTGCTTGTGCCTGGCGGTTTCGGCAACGGGGTCGCGGGGCGGGGTATTCCAAAGAAGCTGCCTGTGACGCTTCGGAGCGTATGGGGATCCAAGCTGATGCATAGGCGCGAGTCGGCTCGAAAGATCTCGTCAGAACGGCCAGCAAGAGGTTCCTCGACGGCGCACGCCGCCGTTATCATCTGTAGATTAACCATCTGCAGCGGACAGTGACCGCAGCGTGCAAGTGGAGGACCACACAGCATCGAACGTGTGCGGGAGTCAGCAAGATTGGAATGACAGAACGCGATGAGGGCGGGACACAGGCCGACGCGGTTGCGAGGGACGCTGGCGCTCGTTGCCTCTTCCAGGCCAAGTCCGACACAGACTCCGTGCATGCGGCATATCTGCGGCCCCCGATTCGATCCACCCGTCTCTCATGGACAAAGGCAATCACTCGGGACCGCCGCCGTCGGCGCGCGGGACGACCCAGGCCACCCAATTTATGCCTGCCGCCTCCTCGCCGATGCCACACACGTCGTTGTCCCCCACACCCGATCGTCAGTGTACATACCGTCGTCGTCGATCGCTCGACGACCGGCTTCTACGCTCTCGTACGACGGCGATGTCGGGCCTTCTCTCCATTGGCCGCCTTATCCGAGCGTTTCGTAGAATACAGTTCGTTCATTCGGGTCTTGTAAGCGCTTCATACGGGACACTATGGGAACAACGAAGTAACAAAAGGCCGCTCGGGGAAGGGAAAACGTCGAAAGACGGGCATACGCCGCCAGGTATGCGTCCTTCCCGTACTCACGCATCGCATTCAAGCTATGTTCCGCCGACGTCAGCCACATCCGACCAATATCGGCGGGTTCGATGGTGCATCACTGACCTCAAGCTTCCAAAGCCTGGGCTTTCTGGGCCGCCCGTGTGGCAAAGAACCGGACATCGGCGTCCTGGTCGTTCTTCAGCGCCTCCAGGACGGGCACGATCTTCTGCTGCACGAGCTGTGCGCCCTCGGGTGTGTCGCCGATGGAAACGGCGGTAGTCTCCAGGGCTTTGGCGACATTGAACCGGATGTTGGGGATCGGGTCACCCGCAAGCTGAAGCAACATCTCGAGGATATCGCCACGAACAATCTCAAGCGTGAGAGACGGCGCGATCGTCTATACATATCAATCAGCACAAACTGTCAATCGAAGATGAGACATGTGAGAGAGGGGCACTGACCATGATGGCCTGCACAGTAGTCATACGATAAAGATAGTTAGGATGTTGTCCCATCCCCACCACCTTCGGAACAATCTGCTCCTTTGCCCACTCGACGCCAAAGACCTCGGTCAACTTCTTCAAATTGATCGCTGCGGCCTCGCGGATGCTGTAGACGTTGTCGCCCAACCAGGACATGCACAAGTTGCCGAGCGACTCGTCGAAGAACGCCTTGCCGAGCTGGTTGGCGAGGAGGGGGATATATTCGATGATGGCCTGGCGAACGCGCCATGACTTGTCCTCCGCGAGCTCGACGATCGCGGGAAGCAGGCTCTCGGACAGGAGCTCGATACCAATCACTGTAGCGCCATCCTGTGCGTCACCAACACCGTCCTCTGGATCGTGGCTAGGAGACGCACCAGAGTTGACCATCTCAAGCTTACTGATGATGTTCAGCCGGACCTCCGGGAATTCATCCTTGAGAAGATGCAGGAACAAGGGGAGGAGGTGCTCGATGGTGGCGTCTTTGCCGAGCAGCGGTGCAAGGCCACTGATCTGGCTGGCGAGCGCAGCACGGACGTGCTGTGAAACATCCTGGCAGAGGTCCCTCACGCAAGGAACGATGCGAGCGAGGACGACCTCCTTCTCGAGTAGTTTTGAGAAGCCTACCGCCGCAGTGACGTAGTGAGAACAACCCAATTAAGGGCAGCGTATATCCATACCTGGGATCTGACCAGCAGCCGCAGTCCTCACTTCGGCCTCGTTGTCCTTCAGCAATTGGACGAAGTGGCCGATAAGCTCTTCCCGCACAAGTTCCTGGCCGACGACCTCGGCGAGCTTCCATGCAAACATAAGCCGTGTATGATGCAAGCGAGCCGAAAAGGACGCACCTCATTGAAGTGGCTCGCAGCCATGTAGCGCACCCGCCAGCTCTTGTCCGTCATCGTCTGCCTGATCTGCTTCAAGAGCTGCGTCTTCACCTCCGGCGGCGAGAGCTGCTGCGCGAGTGCGATCAAGTCCTCCACCGTCAACAGACGGACGGAGTCCTGGTCGTCTGCTTGGAGCTTCCTGTACATGGCGAGTCCGTCGGTCAGGACATGTTGCTTGGAAAGCTTCTTGATGAGCGGCTGTATGCGGGACGGGGAATCGACGCGCATCAGAGCCGTGCAATGCACAGAAGCGGACGGGAACACGCACCGCGAGCGATTTCGCGGCCGCTCGGCGGACCATGGGCGTGTCGTCCGCGGCGAGCGCGGCGAATGCGCGGCGGAGGTCATCTTGCACGGTGGGGGCGACTTTGTCGTATACGGGCGCGTAGAGTGCGCACGACGACGTGCGGGACGTGAACCACTCGCCGTGGGAGAGCCTCTGCACGAGGGGGATGTAGAATTGCTCGACTTGTGCCTGGTTCAAGACACTGGATATTTTGGTGATCGACTCCGCGGCCTAGGAGTGCGGATGTAAGCTCAAGATACAAAGGCGCAAGTGTGCACAAGTATGCGCCGCTACACGTCGGGAGGTCAAAGTTACACACCTTGTCGCGGACCAGCGTTTCCTCCACCGCAGACAGGTTCTCCAAAGGACCCAACAAGACGTGCGCGAACTCCGGTCCGCCAATGTATTCCTCGAAATTGCGGCCGAGCTCTTCCGCGAGCGCCAGCAGGACCTCGTCCTCATCGTCCACCGAGTCTTGCAGGAAGGGTATCAGCTCATCGCGTGCGCGTTCGGGGCCCAGTGCGAGCGCAATCGTCGATATCCGATGGATGGCGTTCAAGCGCAGCTGGACGTCCTCTGACCGAAGCTCATCCATAAGAATGGCAATCGGGGCAATCTATGCGTGTCATGGTATTGAGTATGGCAGGTCCTCGCATACATCATGCTAGAGAGCGAGACGGACATCATCTAGCGAGGATCCTGGGTCCATGATGGGGTGGTGCTCCAGCGACGACGAGGTTGGCTAGACGGATGAAAGTGTTGGAGAGGTGCAGTATTCGCACGGATCAAGCAGAGGGTACGTTGGAAGACGGAAGCTGGAGGGCAGACTGCAGATTGGATGAATGGAACAAGCTGGGACGAAATCGAGGCGTTGATGACCTTGTTTGGAGTCGAGCACGCGCGCCTTCACTGCGATAGCGCCCCCCACGGGCGCCCATTCCATTCGCACTACCAACCTCCTTCCCTTCTTTCGCGGTTTAGCACAGATCGCGTCGTCGTTTTTAAGGACACGCGGATTGGACAACATTCGCAGCGCATTGACATCATATCAAACATGTATTTTATGGCTACATCTGTCTACAAACTACAAATACCCACTACAACAAACGAAACCGAGCGGACGACCGCGCAAATCTGCATCCGAAGACGCAGCTAACGGGTCGCCGCTATCCCTCGCGAAGAAGGAAGGGGAGTCCAAAAATTATGCGGTCTAACTAAGTCGACCCAGCAGGGCCGACCCAGCTGCCGGCATGAAGCCGACGCCGCTGGATACCGCACTCAGGCGGATCCGCAGCGCGAAGGTTGAACAGGGCATCCCGCTGGGCGTGCAGCCCGACGCACGGACATGCGCACATGTCTCGAACCTCTCGCGCCACCAGATGACATCCAAGAAGAGGACAGCGTCCACTCTTCCGACGCACCACCAACACGAGAGTTGGGAATCTCGGGTACGCGACCCAGGCGAAGCAGCGCTTCTCACAGAACAGCGAAAGCGCGGAGCTTTCACGCATGTTCCGGGGCCCCCAGCAGAGGTACTTTCAAGCTCATTCGAGCGTTCCGTATACGCTCTTCAAGCGTTCCGAACCTGCTCCGGCGAGCGTCCGGTGGCTGCTCCGTCGAGCGCCGTACACGATCCGTGCTGTGCTCCATTCGAGCGTCGTATGCTCCATCTGAGCGTTTGCTCCAATCGAGCGTCCGTATGCTCCGTCGAGCGAAGTCTCATCGAGACCAGGTCCGGCGACCTGCGTGGTACTTCGTACCGTCCAAGGACCTGCTGGGTGTTGAGCCTCGTGCAACCTAGCGGGGATGCGGGGACCTCGAAAGACCGTGAGACCCTCGAGCGTCCTATAGCGAAGCGGCCCAGTAAGATGTCCTTGGATTGTCTGGCGTTCTAAGCCTTCTGTCCCGGGGCGCACCACAAAGGGCGCGCAAGCTGCCGATCGACGCAGAACGTCTTCGTACAGCTCACCCGAGACCGGCGAAGTCGGCATCGTCGTCGTCATTCTGACGGTATCGACGGTAGTTACACCGTGTTCTGCCACAAGGGCGACGCTAGGGCGAAGGGCAATCCCAACCACACACAAGCAAGCACAGATGTTCGAGTTCTATGCGAATGACGCCTCGTTCGGTCCAAGAGAGTCAGCGACCCCGGGTCGGCGGAGAAGTCAACGCGTGCAGATAGAATTCTGGTTGCCTATTTCTTTTGACGTACGTCTCGCGACTTCAGCATAACTGAAGTCGGGAGCGCCGATAATGACTCGATGAGCCACCTCGTACGCTCGGCTCGAGACTGCCAAATACACTAGGGCTTGGCGGATCGTAGCGGAGGTCTCGGTGTGTAACGACGAGGTTCCTGTCCAGGATCATAAAGATCGCAGCGTCAAGACGCTAGGCCCGTTGACGGTGGTGAGTCGCCAGTGCCTTCACAGGGAGTACCTGAAAGGCCGAGCCGCCGGCTTTGCAGTCGGGATGATCGCCCCCCAAGCTAGCCAAGGTCCCCGGTCGACAGAGGCCCTGCACCGGCGCACCGAGAACGTCGAAGGAGACCACGGAGCGGGAGAGGGGTGCGATGATGGGAGAGAAAAGAGAAATGCGAAAGCTGCGCGAAAGTAGCCATGCCGCGACTTCAGGGCAGGCTGCCGGGCACCGGCCCGTGTCCCTCCATAGCGGTCACGATGACGTCCTGGCTGTGGGAGAGGATGCCGGTCGCTGAGCACAGAGCAGCGGTAAGCAGCGTATATATTGTAGCTAGCAACGTGCTTGTCCTCGACTGCATTTGCCCACTCCTACTCGAGACCATAGCACACCGACACCAATGCCTCTCTTACAAAAAGACGATCGCGTAGTCCTCCAACACCCGAAGGTATGGTCGACCTGCACATCTCATCGATAAAGCACTGAAGCCAATGACTGGTCTAACAGGGTGCCTCCGCAGAGATCTTGTATTACGGCGCGACCGTGATCTCTTGGAAGGCAGGAAGTCCGACCAACCCTCAGCCCACCGAACGCCTGTTCGTGTCCGGCAAAGCAGCACTCGATGGCAGCAAGCCGGTTCGAGGAGGTATCCCCGTAGTCTTCCCTGCCTTCGGCGCACCCACCCATCCAGACCATGCCAAGCTGTCGCAGCATGGCTTCGCCCGTAACAACGTCTGGGCGTTTGGGGCTAATGTCATGGATAATGAGGCAGGAGTATCTGTGAAACTCAGTAAGTCATCGGCAGCGACAAAGAGGACGGTACTTACACCACGATATTCAGCTCTTGCACCCAACGACGCCATCAAGGCGCAATTCGACCATCCCTTCGAGTTGGAATACGTCGTGACTCTCGCAGAGCATCAACTTACCACCGGCCTACACGTCAAGCACACCGGTCTCTCGACGACAGCCCCCTTCGAGTTCCAGGCTCTCTTCCACAACTATATCCGCGCACCCGCGAACGATGTCCGCATCTCTCCTCTGTCTGGCATTTCTTACTATGACAAGACCGAGGCCACCGAGGAGGCTCGTGCAGCTCCCAAGTTGGAGGCCCGCGCAGGTGTCGATGTGAACAAGTTTACCGACTCCGTATACGAAGATGCAGGTGGAAGATACGACGTTGTCTGGCCTAGCGGTGCAATCGAGGTCAGGGCGACGAACCTCAAGGACGTGGTGGTGTGGAACCCGCAGCAGGAAGCTGGCTCGAAGATTGGAGACATGGAGGCAGGTGGATGGTGCGTTCTTGAACGTCTGTACAAAATCACAGTCAGCTCACCCCGCATTATTCTCGGAAACACAGGGAGAAGTATGTCTGCGTCGAGCCTGGATATGTCCGCGGGTTTGTCAAGATTGAACCGGGCCAGACATGGTCGGGTCAGCAGGTCCTGTCTGTCAAGGTCTGAGCAAATCGCGTATGCAGAGAAACCAAGAGTCACGAAGCTGTATGTCGATGTATCTGTAGCTGCAAAGGATGGATCCCCACAAGTTGTGAACCTCGATGTGCAACGGCAAGCTGGTCGAAGGATCCGTGGAGTTTGGCGCCGATGATACAGGTATAATGGCACGTGCGCACGACGCGTCGGTTGTCGACGCGTCGCGCGTCTGCGACGGCCGAGCTTTGCTTCCACCATCGTTGTCTCACTCCTTTGCTGTACATATTTCAGCTTCTCTCTTCTTGTATCCATCCCACACCTCTCCAGCTTAGAACGTATGCCATGTGTTGACTATGTCTCTTGGTTCGCAACCACCACCCCTGCGCGTTAGGATCAACCATATCGACTACACTGTGGCTCCGCCTGGGCCGCTTGACCACTCGTCTCTACACCGAGTACCTGTGATACGAATCTACGGAGACTCATCTCTTGGCTTGAAAACATGTGTCCACATACACCAAGTATACCCGTACTTCTTCGTGGAGTATCTAGAGAAGATGCACCCCGACATTGGTGAGTGTGGTGCAACCCTATACGGAGAAGGCACTCATCCCTCTTCACAGTGAACCGCTACATCGCTAAGCTCCAACATTCGCTCAATCACGCCATTGCGATATCTCTGAAACGCAACCCACTGTCGGCAAAGTCGAAGTTCGTGCGCGCCATCGTCCTAGTCAAGGGCGTGCACTTCTATGGCTTCCACGCCAACTACGCGCCGTTCTTGAAGGTCCACATCGCCGACCCCGCATTCGTCAACCGTGCGGTCACAATTATGCAGTCAGGAACCATCATGAAGACGCGTTTTCGCGTGTATGAGAGCCACATCCAGTACCTCCTCCAGTTTCTCTGTGACTTTGGCTTGTACGGCTGCGGTTGGATTGATCTCGGCGACGTCTGGCAGCGGAGTCCCGACGAGCAAATTGACGGCAACGAACACGATGTAGAACTTGCGGAGACGCTCTCGACATTCAAGATCTCGCCACACTTCAGGCAGTCGCGCATGCCGCTTGAGGTCGACTCCATTGCGCCCCACATTCTGAATCGCTGCAAGCTCTCGGCACGCAACTGGCACCACAAGCTGACCATCCCGGCACCACTGCTCCCTCCAGAGCCGTTGGTGCTGAGTGTTCGTGAGCTATGGGAGGACGAACGGCAGAGGCGGATTACCAAAGGTCTGTCACCCTCCCCCGAAATTCCGAAGGACCTAAGCGCAAATTCGAGAGGACCTGGTGCTGGATGGGTCGCGGAGGCACGCTGGTGGGACGAAATCCGCAAGCGTATTGAGCGGGAACGGGGGAGAGAAGTGGTTCCACCACGCATGTCATGGGAGAAGTGGGTCATGACCACGTTCGAGAGCATCGAGGCACTCTGGGGGGACGAGCACAAGACGTGGAGACCTCAATTGGAGGACACCGCCGGGGTCGGGGGAGATGAACGCGGACCATCAAATCCAGAGGAGCAGAACCCGTACGGGCCCTCCGCGATGACTGCCGCCGCCGAAGGAGTCAGCGGCACTAACGACACTAACGGGCATGAAGAAGTTGACGTCGACGAAGCAATGCTGGGGAGTCAGGCCATGAGCAAGATTATGGAACGAGAGGAAGCCGAGTGGCAGAATGATGTGCAAGGCCACGAGGAGCTTGAGCCTGAGGTTGACGATCCGTTACAGGAGGACGAAGAAGCACTCGAGGATGGCCCCCTCCCTGGTTTGCAGTCAGTTGATGGCGACCAAGAAGACAGGTGTGCGGCTCGCCACCCCTGTGCAGCGACCCAACTCATACCATGTTAGCGAGAAGAATCCATTCCTCGACTCTGGCGAGGACGGGCTCCCATCACCCTCGCCATCTCCTTCGAAGAGTGCGAATCCTTTCAAGGCTATATGGTCCAAGATTGCGAAGTAAGCATATCCGTCTTCTGCGTCACACTATACTCATGACGCGTAGGCCCTCGTCGCGTAATCGTTCCTCGTCGGTGGTGTCTGGCGGACCGAGGACGCCCACAAAGTAAGTGTTTTACCTCAATACATCGTGAAGGATGATGCTGAACAATTACAGGGTAAATACAGTCTTCCCTGTATCCTACGTGTGTTCATCAACTCGCTATCTAGCCTCGTCGATACACTCCAGGTTGGTCCACCCCAAGCAAGCCATACGGAGTGCAATCGCCTTTTACAACACCCAAGAAACAACCCCAGCCCCTTGTAGCGAACACGGACATCTTCGGAGGTGCCTCATCCACTCGGTCACCACGGTCCATCTTTCAGCCTCTCGCCTCTGCGAACTCTAAGACGGATATCACACTCAATGCTCTGCCGCCAGTACCCTCGAAACGGCCTTCTACGCCAGTGGACGCAGAAGAGAGGCCTACGAAGCGGCGCAGGCTTAGCCCTCCGGAGACGGCAGAGGCAGAAGCTGCAGCCGCTTCCAGCTTTAGTTCGGCCAACGCTGCATCCGGAACCTCATTGAGCAACAACAAGTCCTCATATCAGTCGAAGCACCTGACACCTCACTCTGGGCCCTCTCTTTACAACGGACGAGATTGCTACGTCTACGCCTGTGCCCCTCCGACTGCTGTCGAGCTTGTCGAGAGTACAGAGCAGGTGGGAATCCCGAGCAAGATCTACCGCAACCCATACTACTCAGAGAAGAGCGACGCCCCAGAACGACCCAGGGAGTACGCAGGACTAGTCTTCCATCTCAAGGGCGGCGATGGTATCGCCAATCTTGAGGAATGGAAGGAGGACGAGAGCGCGCCCTCCGTGGTGACCGGCCACAGTGCGCGAGAGTTTGATGGCACGGGGGTATGGGGTTGGGAGTATGCAAGCGCCCCTCCCAGTGCGAAGCAGGCGCGGAAGTGGCTGAAGGAACAGGCATCTCGTCCCAATGTGCGGGCGACGCGTACCAAGGATTCATCACAGGTACTGCATGATCCATCGTTTCGTTCCATAGATGTTACTAAACTGCGGCCCACAGATTGAGGGACCAACGCAGAGGCCCTACGGTCTGAAAAGTACCCTTGCACCGCGCAATGACAAGGCAAAGCGCGAGAGGCAAAACATGACGGTCCTCGCAGTGGAAATTTTTGGTACGTAGTTGTTTAAATGCCAGTATCTGACGTAGCTCAAACTCGTCTTCAGCTCCTTCCAAAGGAGACCATGTGCCCGATCCCGACCAAGATGAGATGGCGGCTATCTTCTATGCGCTGCATACTTCCGATCACACCGAAGGGGGAGGAGCCTTCATGTGTGATTACGGGATGATCGCTGTAGAAAGCGAACAGCTCAATGCGCGACGTCTGCGCAACATCAAGGCTGAATTTGTGGAGAGCGAGCTCGATCTGCTCAATCGGCTTATCGACATCGTCCTCGAGCTAGATCCGGACATCGTCTCCGGATGGGAGGTGCAAGCGGGCTCTTGGGGCTATCTCACCGCAAGAGGACGTTCATACGGCTTGGATGTGGGCGAGCAGATCTCCCGTGCTCCGGCACGACATATGGGAGGCGGCTCGGACCGGTGGGGCATGCAGACCACGTCTACTTTCAAGGTGACCGGACGACACGTTTTGAATGTGTGGAGGATCATGCGCTCGGAGCACACCTTCAGCATCTACACGTTTGAGAATGTCGTCTTCCAGATCCTGCGCCGGAGGTACGTGCGCTGCGCATGTTTAATTGTATTCATGTCTGACATCTGTGACAGGACTCCTTGGTACAGTCCTCAAACCGTGACAAGTTGGTTCAACAGTCCGGTTCCAGAGCATGCGCATAGGGTGCTCCGTTACTTCGCTCAGCGGACGATCATGGTGCTAGAGATCCTGGATGTTGCCGAAGTGGTCACCAAGAATGCGTAGGTGTCCCTGTTGCATCTATGATCCGTGCCGCTCACACATTTCGCCAGTGAATTCGCCCGTGTGTTCGGTGTCGATTTCTTCTCCGTCCTAAGCAGAGGCTCTCAATTCAAAGTAGAGTCGTTCATGTTCCGTATCGCCAAGCCCGAGAACTTTGTACTAATATCGCCGAGCAAACAAGACGTAGGTCCTCCGCATGCACCCATTTTCCCTACACTCACCCAAAGGTCGCACACAGGTCGGCAAGCAGAACGCCGCCGAATGCATCCCGCTCATCATGGAACCCCTCTCCGCCTTCTATAACAGCCCTCTTGTAGTTTTAGACTTCCAGTCGCTATACCCCTCTATCATGATCGCCTATAATTATTGTTATTCTACTTGTTTAGGACGTGTTACGGACTTCAAGGGCCAGTTCAAGTTTGGCGTCACCGACCTTCGTCAGCCGGCGGGCATGCTGGCGACTCTCCATGACTACATCAACGGTGCGTCTTCCCTAAGTTCACGAGATCATCAAACTCACAAACGACTTTTATGCCAGTCGCTCCCAACGGGATGATGTATGTCAAGCAAACCGTCCGCAGAGGCCTGCTAGGTCGCATGCTCACAGAGCTCCTTGACACGAGAGTCATGGTCAAGCAGGCCATGAAGGGTGCTAAGGACGACAAGGTGACCCCCAGACTGCATGTGTATCGTGAGGTTTGGGCTCAACTGCTGCTACAGGCTCTTCACAGGATTCTCGATGCTCGCCAGCTGGGCCTGAAGTTCATCGCCAATGTCACATACGGGTACACGAGCGCATCCTACTCCGGGCGCATGCCTGCCGTCGAAATCGCGGATAGCATCGTGCAAAGTGGCAGGGAGACCTTGGAGAAGGTCAGTGCTCTGTGTATTTGTATCTCAGCGCTGCTGATAACTGAAGATATCCAACAGGCCATCCGTGTGATCAACTCTACGAAGAAGTGGGGCGCGAAGGTTGTTTATGGCGATACCGACTCGCTGTTCATCTATTTGCCCGGAAAGACGAAGGATCAGGCCTTCAGGATAGGACAAGACATGGCGGACTCAATCACCCAGATGAATCCTGCTCCAATAAAGCTGAAGTTCGAGAAGGTGAGTAATCAGTCTGACAACGCTCGGGGTTGTGCGCAATGTGCTTACATGGTGTAGGTCTACCTGCCTTGCGTCTTGATGGCGAAGAAGCGATACGTCGGCTTCAAGTTCGAGAACCCTGACGACAAGGAACCCGTTTTCGATGCGAAGGGCATCGAGACCGTTCGCCGGGACGGTATACCCGCACAACAGAAGATGACAGAAACTTGCTTGAAGTACGTACTGATCATTCAACACGAGATACCATTGCTGACGACCTTGACAGGATCTTGTTTCGTACGCAGGATCTGAGTCAGGTCAAAGAGTACTGCTGCCGCACATGGTCCAGGATACTAGAGAACAAGGTGTCCATCCAAGATTTCATCTTCGCTAAGGAGGTCAAGATGGGCACATACAGGTTGGCGATTGGTTCCTCGCTACCCTTCATAGCCACCATTTCTGATGACACTGTACAGCGACAGGGTGCCACCCCCTCCGGGTGTTACCGTCGCAGCCCGCCGGATGCTTGAGGACCCCAATGATGAACCACAATACGGGGAGCGCATCCCTTATGTGATCACCCGAGGGGAACCAGGGTCGAGAATAGTTGATCGTGCCGCCGCACCACACGATCTGTTCCAAGACAGGTATGCTGGTCCAGTGCCTCTGGCTGCAAGTTGCTCCGGCTGACATTTACTCCCATGATATCGCAGCTATAAACGGCTGGACGCGAACTACTACATCTCACGAGTGCTGATACCACCACTGGAGCGCATCTTCAACCTCGTCGGCGCAGATGTCCGGAGCTGGTTCGACGACATGCCGAAGAGTCTGCGGGTCGACCAGCCCGATGTCACGCTCTCGCCCCGGAAGAACAAGAAAAGCGACATGGTGGCGAACGCGTTCAAGATTGATGATCACTTCACCAGCTCGCACTGCCTGATCTGTAAAGCTCTGACCCCAGACGGTGAGCATCGGCGTGTGTGATGCGACATGCCATCGCTGACATTATTTATGCAGTACTGTGTGAGGTCTGCCGGTCAGACTATGCGACTACGATCAGCGAACTGCTGTCAAGGGTCCACAGCACGGAGAGGAAACTGAACAACGTCCATTTGGTGTGTGGCTCGTGCTGCGGTACTGCGCCCGCAGAGCCGGTCCAGTGCGAATCTCTGGATTGCCCATGGCTGTACGAGCGGAAGAAGTTAGAGAGCAAGGCGGAGGCCCTGACGAGCGTTCATGAGTTGATTAAAGAGATGGAGAAAGAATGGTCCGCCGAGAGAGGCTATGACCCCGACGAAGATACCCCGGACTCCTGGAATATTTCTACTGTAGCCTAGCTGTACTCTATCCTCTGTAATGTAGCGTCCACGGCGACCTCTGTGTGCTACGCCTCGGTCCGACGCTGTCAATGGGTCTACGAGACGCTTGTGTGCTGCGCGGCAGCTGCGGGCCGCAGGCGCTTGCGGTGTGTGACGCGCTGGTGGCGGGGTGCATGCGGACACGGAGCTGGACGTCTCAGGCCATCATACGGTCTACCTCCGCTCCTCCTCGTACCCTCCCAAAGTCCACACTCGTTCTCAACAATGGCAGACTTTGTTCAGGCCCTGGACCCCTCGAAACTTGTGCTCGTCGGCACTGTACGTCTTGCCCGCGAACCCACGCGCCGACGCGCGGCGTACTAGGCAGCTTACTGAACACTACCGTGTTCTTTAGGTCCTGGCTTTCGTGACCAGCGCGTTCTCCGCGCCGGCCTACAACCTCCCCATCTTCCTCTTTGGAACGTACGCGCAGGAGTCGTCGGAGGCCATCCAGTCCTTGAAAGCGGTACGCGTCCCACCATCCCGGGCTGCTATATGTACGCCGTCGGCTCACTCCGCGTTTCGCGCGTGCAGTTCACGTTCCTTTTGGCCGGGTCCATGTTCTACGACATCATCTGGATGGTCAACCACTCTCAGAACTGGTTCATCCGGACTGTTACCATCATCCTGCTCGTCCTGAAGGTAATGCACCCTATGTTGGCGCGGTACAACATCTCCCTCGTCTGACGAGCGAAATCTAGGTTCCCACCACGTTCTCGTTCGTGACCGCCCTCCAGCAGCGCGGCGCACAGTTCGGAGGTCTTGGAATCCGCGGCAACGACCTCTCCGGCGCGACAGGCAAGTCGGCACAATCTACCAAACAGCCTACTGTCGCGTCTAACCTTACACCCTGCAGTATGGTCTATGCCCGGCGGCTTCACCTCCGGCGGCAGGGAAGGCTACCAGAACGTCGACAGCCCCGTCAGCGCGCCCAAGCCGCTCAGCGTCCCGCCTACCCAGCCCGCGCAGCCGGCCGCCGCGCCAAACCCGGGCGCATACCAGTCGGTGTAAAACCAGTCATACCACCACCCAGCAACAACAGCAAAACCGACGGTGCGATTGATCGAGTGTGCTATCTATACAGTGTATGTGTGGATGGTGTGTGCGTGCGCAGATGTATATATGCTATAGGCGGAGAGACAACGCGTGCGTGTGATTAGCAGGCTCCCTATGTGCGAGGCAGAGCCAGAAGATACCATATGTATGAGGGGACATGCCCGCAAGCCAAGCTCAAGGCCGGCCGGCGTGCAATATGTGTGGTGATCGTTCGTCATTCGGTGGGCACGATGTCCACCGGGGCATCGTCGCGGATCCAGATGCAGCCGCTTGTCCGCTCAGGCGCGTCCTCCGCACACGCCGCCCACTCGTCTGACAGCTCGTACTGCGTGCCCTCGACCCAGCGGCGCCATGCCTCCTGCAGGCCCTTCTCGAGGTTCCGCGTCCAGCGCACGGTGTCGAAGAGCGGCATGCGGTCGCGCGCGAGGAAGAGGCTGCGCCGGAGCTCGACGAGCTCGCCCTCCCCGCGCGGGAGGACCGCCCCGGACGGCTCGTGGAAGGGCACGTAGCGCACGCTCTGCGCGAGCGCGACGGCGCGCCGCTCGTACTCCTCCGCGCTGTGCACGGTCATCTGCGCGCCGAAGCCGGTCGCGTTCACCATGCTCGCCGCGACGCGCGAGCACATCTTGTGCCGGTGCTTTGGCCAGGTGAGGATTGGGGTGCCTGTCCAGAGCACGCTGCGGGGCGCGTCAGTACTCCGGACCGAGGTAGTCTATGAACGGCAGATCGCCCTCACTCTGCAGCTATTGTATGCGCGTTGCACTGTTTATCATCATGTATTAGCAGAGACGGGTGCGTTGTGGAAAGGAACGAACGTGCCTCGGCGGTGTCCAGGAACAGGTCCGCAACGCGCGCGCGGAAGACGTGCCAGTCCTTCTTGGCGACATCGGTGAACCGGATCCGCGCCGCGACCTCCTCCCCGGCCCACATCTTCGCGGTCCGGCGGAGCTGCTCCTCGCCCGCGCCCGGAAAGCGCAGGAGCCAGAGCACGCTCCGCGGGACCTGGCGCAGGATGCGCAGCCAGACCAGAAATATGCCCTGCAGAGCCGGCGGCAACCACAGCACCAGAAACGGGGCAGCGACGGGGCACGCAAGCACACGGGGGCAAAAACGCAATCAGCGTCCGGGCTCTCGCGGCGGCACAGCGCATAAGCAGAGTTTGCGTACAGGATCGATCTGCGTGCCGCGGGATCGGGTGATCAGCGGGGGGTGCTCGCGGGCGTATCGATGTGCGATAGCACGCACCTTGTAGAGCTGTTTGGGGGCGTGTGCGTGTGAGCGTGTGTGAGCTTGTGTGTCCAGAACCGGCGCGGGGCTTACCTGGTTGAAGTTCGCGAAGATGATCACGTCTCTGTGGGCGAAACACGGTGTCAGCGGCCTGTCTTACCCACTTCTGCTGGTGTAGCGCGAGAAGGGACGTACTGTGGCAGGTCCGGGAAGACCTGCCTGCGCGCGTCTGTGCGCCGACGTTCCTCGTCGAGCCATAACGTCTCATCAGGGACCTTGACGCGCTCTTCCGGGCTGAGGTTCTCGTCTCCGCGGTACGACTGCTTGTGGTCGGTGACCATAAACGTATGCTGTGATGAGATGGACTATGTCAACGTTGTATGCACCCAGCGAAATGCGTGAAGCGCGCGAACAGGCATGTACATGAACTTCTCCATACTGCGGTGGTGGAATGGTTAGAACACACGGGTCTGGATAGTAAGACACTCACTATTGCCACTCGTCAGAGTCGCTCTCGGGATCAAGGTCAGCGTCCATATCGAGAGGCACGTCCGCGTCGGCTTCAGGGTTTGCTATCCGGGCTGCCTGCCGCTGCCGCCATCGCTCCGTGGCCGATGTATCTTGTGGACACGCTATGGGGTCGCACACAAGGTAATCACACCAAGCTATGATCGGTGGATATCATTACGACGACGACGACCAATGTGGTGGTCCCTTACCTGCGCCCAGCGTCCCAGCATAACCTATCAACTGCATCTGGATAGGACATGGCCTCGCCGCGAAAATATCATTCCGCGCGCCCTTCGTATACCCACCCAAGTTAATCACTGGGGAACCGTAAACCACCCGTCCAAGCACGGCGAGCGGGGCGAACTCACGAATGTGGATCTCCTGCTGCATAATGTGGTCGATGATCGTGTTCAACGACCACGACGACACGTCCACGCAATGCTCGACCATGCTCGCGATCCGCGGCCGGTACGCGGTCCCGTCCCACGGGCTCGTCGTGTACAGGAACACGTTGAACCGCGAGCGGTCGTGCATCCCGAACACGGACTGCATCAGGTGCGACAGCGGGTGGTTGCTACGCCTCCGTCAGTTCTCGCAATGGTGGGGGGAAGAGGGGAGCGGACGTACTTCACGTCGTTCGAGATATATCCGATATTAAGCTTGCCGCGTATCGGCGGTCGTGGCGGGCGGTAGACGTGCTTTGGCAGCCACGGCTGCGCGAGCGCGGTGTACGATAATCGCAACGCGCTCCGGTGCGGGATGAGACGGTTCACCCGTGGTGTCAGCGGATACGTGAACTGCAAACACATCGCGTAAGTACATCCATCGCAGCCACAAAGGCGCGCGACGCACCGTATGGAACGGCAGCACAGACGGCACCGGCGGCGGCTGCAGCGTCTTCGGAAGCGTCGGCCGCAGGTAAAACCCATGGTAGTTGTCCTCGGACGTCGCCACCGCCTTGTCCACCGCCAGCGTCTTCCCATACGCTCTCAGATACCACCTGCGCTGCAGCCTCGGCTGCACCCAGTCAATAAAGCGGATCAAGAACCCCGTCTCATTCACCCGCTCCCCCCTCTCCCCACCCTCCGTCCCCTCGCCCCTCCTCGCCAGCCTTTCAAACCGTGCCTGCCACGTCGCCAGCTCCCCAGGGGTCACCGCGCGCCCCTGCGCCACCGCCAACGCGCGCAGACACTCCTCCATCGCCGCCGCCAGCGCGGGCGCGCCCACCCCTGGGGCATACCCCTGCGCGATCTGCGCGTCCGTGACCGCGGTCATGTTCGTGATCCAGCCCGTCTGCGGGTGCGGCCCCGGGGGGATCACGAACCCGCCGTCGTCGACGCCCACCTCGCCCGCGACCGCGCCGCGCCCGTGCCAGTCGCAGATCGACGAGAGCGAGTTCACGAGGCCGCAGACGGCCTCGGGGAGCGTCGGGTCGGCGCGCGCGGCGCGCCGGTAGTACGCGATCGCGTCCCACGGGCGGCCGACGTCCTTGATCGCGTTGCCGAGGTTCGCGAGCGCGATGTCGAAGTCGGGCTTCTGCTCGACGGCTTTCATGTACAGCCTGTGGCGCACGGCGCGGGGTTAGCAGGAGCTGGGGCGGGCGCGAGAGTGTGTGTGTGTGTGCGGGAAGGAGGAGGGACGCACTTGATCGCCTGCTCGGTCTGCCCTTGGTCCTTGAGCAGCGAACCGAGGTTCGTGAGCAGGTGCGGGTGCTTCGGGTCCATCTGCAGGCCGGCGGTGTAGTATATGCGCGCGAGCGCAGTGCCGTCCAGCACCTTGCCGTCGGCGCCCGTTCGCCCATCCGGTATGCGGGACAGCACGATGCCCAGGTTGTTGAACGTCGACGGGGCGGGCGACCACGCCAGCGCGAGGTAGTACAGCAGGACCACGACGGACGTGCTCACTTGCAGCGCGCCGCCGGTCTCGGGGACGGCCATGCCCCCGTGGACGTTATCCTGGAACCGCTTGGCGAGCGTCAGCAGGATCGTGCTCCCGAGCGAGTTCGTCTGCTGGCGGATCTCCTCCGGGGGCGGCCGCAGCTCGCCGTTGGAGCTGCGGGTGCAGATCGACGGCAGGATGCCGTTGGAGCGGGGGAACAGAAGGCCAGGCAGGCGCGACACCTGCTCGGGCAGGAGCAGTGGGGTGGGGAGCACGCCCCCACCCGCACGTAATAGTGCGTGTAAGAGCTGCTCCCCCGACGCGCGCACGACGTACATGAAGTCAAATGTGGGGTCGCCGAGGCGTGCGCTGAAGTCGCTCTCGAACACCCCAGAGAAATCAGGGGGCCCAGACGAGCTCGAGTCGGAGCACATGATGTGGCCCGCCGCGCATACAGCGAGGAGCAGGTCGCGGAGCGTGTACTGCTCGGCTTCGAGTACGGGCATGGGCGGTCGTAGCACCACCTCAATAGCGCGGGCGTAGTCGAGGATCGCACGGTCCAAGTTAGTGGGGCCGAGGGTGGTGTAGATTGTACCGCTTGTGAAGATGGCACGCTGGAGGCGGGGGATCTCATTCGGCTGCATGGCAACGACGAGTCGACCGTTGAGGTCTACGACGTGTTGTCGTACGTATTGGCATACCCCGAGGGCCTGACGGTAGTACGAAAGCCGTCGGCCATTATCTGCGGTGGCATGGGCGAGTGTGAAGGTCATGCCAAGGATGTTGTCCTGGTGGCTGTGCTTAGCGGGCAGGACAAGTTCAAGAGATTCAGGGCGCCTACGAGTGCATCCCAATATGTGGGACGTATCTGCAATGCTTTCCACCACCACTCGTAAGCCTTGTCGGTCTGGCCAAGTGCCTTCATGGTGGTGCCGATGTTGCTCATGGCCTCGACGTAGTTGGCATTTATTGTCAAAATTTGCTGGCTGATGGCAAGGCTGGTGTGGAGATCGCCGAGAGCAAAGTAAGTGCAGGCGAGGAGCAGCAAGATAGGAATGTGGTTGGGATGAATGTCACGGAGAGCGAGAAGGAGAGGGAGAAGGCGTTCGCGGTAGACGCGGTCCGGGGCTTCTGTGTGTGGAGGAGTGTGCAATATTGGAACGGAGGTGAGACCCAATGGGGTCTTTCCGGGACCTGGGGTGTCGTAGAGGTAGTATGCGTACGCCATCATGGCGTCGCGTGCGAGGCTGGTGGAGAGGGCGGCGCCGGGGCCGGGGCCGGCGACAGGGTGGGGGTCGATGGACGGAGGCGCGGGAGGAAGGCCCGGATGCTGTGCGGTTGGGAGACGCATAGAAGTGGGGGCGGGCATGGTGCGGTGGCGGGTCGGATCTGGCGGAATGGAGTGCAAGAATCAGCGGGGGTGGGCTGGGGGGCGGACGAACAGACCGACCGGGGAGGGTGAGGCGAGAGGATGAAGGAACATCCAAGGAGTGGATGTGGAGGGGCCGGGCTGTCGGGGTAATTTCTGAGAAGGCCCATGTCGCATTATGTGCGGCAGAGAACGGGTCGGCCGTCTGAGACTGGTCATGGGAGAACGCCGGATTGCCGTCTGGGATCCAGGCGTTCGGCGGGAAGAGAGCGTAGGCGTCCGTCCGGGCGGAAGATGAGGCGGAAGAAGAGAAGAGAGCGTCGCGGGGGGCGCTGCGATGCCCCGGCGTGTTCTGCGCGGGACGTGACATGGCACAGAGCGGGTGAGAGACAGACCGGGATGCTCAGCGCATTGATCGAAAGCAGCACAGACGGACAGGGGGCGCGGTGCGTGAGAAACGACAGAACAGCGCAGACAGGGGAACAGCAGGCAACAGCAGATGCAGGTCAGAGCAGAGAATGAGAGGCCGGGGGTGTCGAGTCTCGCCCCAGTCCTGCACCCACCGCGTTCTCCATATCCTCCCAATTACGGGCAGACACCAGTGACGACATCGTCCACTTTCCCCGATCGTTCTTTCCCGCCCAGCGCCTATCGCCGCGGTTCCTGAATATCAAGTCCCCGCTCACGGCATTCCCCACCAACCCTCGCTCCTCGTCCCGCGCCCAGGACTACTCTTGCTCCGTCCATCTCGCCACAACACACGCTTCCGCAACATGCAGGCAGTCGTCTCTTCATTTGCAGTAATCCGTTCCCTGCCTGATACACGCCGCCGCGCCTGCATCATCAGAAATCAGCGCGTAGCCCACCGTCTCAGCCCAATCCACGAACCTCGTCCGCTGATCCGTTCATGTTAGGATGAGCCGTGCTACCGACGAGTCGCGCTCTGCCTCTCCGTTCCTGCACGACGCGGTCAGGTGCCCGCCCCCAGAATTCCAGACCGCGTCCCCGGCCCGTCCTCAGTTCTCTCGTGGTCCCGCGCCGTCTCTGCCGCCACTTCTCCATCCCGACCCCTGCCGCAGCCTTGCCGGCGGGGTATACCCCGGCCCATCTCTGTCCATTCCTCCCCCCGCGCTCCCAGCTACTCCCCCGCATAAACGCCTGCAAATCCTCCACCGCAGTTAATTGCAGAATGGCTCCAGCGTCGCTCCTCTCCCACGTACGCGCCCAGCTCGTCGTCGATGTCGACTCGATGAACCCCGATGTCGCCGTCCGGCACACCACCGACACCCACTCCTTCTGCGACATGACCTCCAACCAGGCCATCGTCTACGGGGAGGCGGTCAGGCCGGAGCAGGCGGGCGTATTCAACGCCGCGGTGGCCCAGATCCGATCGGGCGAAACCCAGCTCGACATCGAGACGCAGGTGTCAGACGCGGTCGACCTTCTCGTATGTCGCCATCTCCCGCGTCTCCGTATCGATTGCCCCACATATACATGCCGGCGGCACATACGCCCAGAATAATTACGGCTCCTGCTGCGGCATGTGGGATTTTGCATTGATGGCTGCTCATGGTTCGCGTTATTGCTTCTCCAGACCGTGCTGCTCGCGAAGCAGGTGTTCCCGAACCTCACCGGGCGCGTGCACGCCCAGGCGTCGCCCTCGGCCGCGTACGACACCGAGGCGACCATCCAGCACGCGAAGAAACTGGTCGCGCTCTTCGAGGCCAACGGCATCCCGAAGTTCGCGCGCCCGTCCTTCTTCTATCCACCCGCGCCCGATGTAACCTCTTCCCAGATCGCGCGTGTGCATCAAGATCCCGACGACGCCGGAGTCGGTCGTCGCGTGCAACTACCTCGAGAAGCTCGGCATTCGCACGCTCGCGACGTGCCTCTTCTCTGTCCCGCAGGCCCTCGCGGCACACCAGGCCGGCTGCCTCTACATCGCGCCGTACTTTAACGGTACGCCCGTTCTCCCCACCCGCACCTCCTGTCCGTGTTTCCCGGGGCGTGGCTCTCCCGCCCCAGGCACGCGGCGGGCTGGACATATGTGCTGACATGCGCTTCTTTTCTGCACCACGAACAATTCTCGAACATCGCCGATCCCCCTGTCGCTCATCACGCCGGCGTATTCGCTCCCGTCGCTGTGTTTCGCTTGCGCAGAGCTGCGGGTGCACTTTGAGCCGGGCGTGTGGAAGGCGTACGAGGACACCGCGCGCGAGCACCCAATGGGCCCAGTGATCGGCGAGATCACCAAGCTCTACAAGGAGATCGGATCGCGGACGCTCGTTATGCCTGCCAGGTACGTCCTACTGTCCATGGCATGCGAGCGCCGCGGAGGCTGAGCGTGTCCCCTGTCTCATTCCGCGAAATTCACCTGCGCGTCCGTGCAAATCGCACACAGCATCGTTACGGCGAAAGAGGTGCGCCCTTCTCCCGAACGCCGACAATTTGGCGCATGTGCTGTATAGAGGGCTGACTATGTTCCGTTGCGCCTGGAATAGGTCGTTGCGCTTGTGTCGTTGCGCCCAGACCACCTCACGCTCTCGGGCGCGGTTCTGGACGAGCTCGCCGCGGCCTCTTCCCCTGAGGAGCCGACCGCCGCGGAGCCGAAGCCGAAGCCGCAGCACCCGGACGTGCCCCTGAGCAGCGAGCCCACCGGCGCGAAGCCCACCGGAGAGACCACAAGTATGTTTTTTTTCGGCAAGGGCTAGACAGGTGCTGAGCAGTCATGTGTTTTGCAGAGCCGGATGTGAAGAACGTGGACTATTTGGCGAACGACGCCCAGGCGCTCCAGGACGCGTTCAAGGCGGACGCGGAGACGAGCCGGAAGATGGCGGATGCGCTGAAGATCTTTGGAGAGATGGAGACTAAGACGAAGGACCTCCTGCGCGCTGCGCTGCAGGCTTAGGGGTGAATATCAACGGGATAGAAGGGGAAACGCTACGGGCGTACAAATTTGATTGATGCTGGATGTATCGGAACAACCTATCTCTTTTCAAAATACTGTCAGATGTGCGAGGGAAGGAAACAATATCTACAAAGTGATGCGTGGTAGCAAACGTACATAGTCTCATAGCAGACCCTCCTGCTTTAGGGCCCCAATGATCAAGTAAGCGGAACGCCTGTCCCTCTCCACCCCTTCCCAATCGCCCTTCCGCGTAGCCGGCTGGTCGTCGTCTTCCGCGTAGATATCATCCTCCTCTTTCTTCACCGGTTTCTGCTCCTCGTCCTCGTCCGGCTCATCCCACAGCATCTCTTCCCACTGCGAATCCCTGACAACCCAACGCGTCAACACCATCGCGCACCCGAAGCAAAGAACAAAAGATACACCAACGTACCCAATGGTCACAGCCACGATGCGCGCGTCCGGGACATTCGGCAGCACGGACAGCAGCAGGTTCGAGAGCAAGAACGGCAGATCCGTCCCCCCGTACTCGTTCGTCCGCGTCGGCATCGTCGGCAGCGGCAGATACTCAGCCTGCGCGCATATATCAGCCTCACACGTCCACAGGTCCATGCGTTGCATACCTCCAGAAACATGCCCTTCACCGCGCCGCCCGCGAGCAGCACGTTCCCCGCGCGGACGAGCCAGTCCGTGCCGATCGCATACACGTGCCCCTCGACCGAGAGCTGCTGGCCCGTGCCCTGGTTCTTCTGGCCGCCCCCAGAGGACGCGGCAGCCCCGGTCTGCCGCACGGACACCCAGCGCGCGCGCAGCTGCGCGAGCAGCTGCTCGAGCGCGCCCGGGGGGCTGAGCGTGGGGAAGGTGAGGCGGTAGTGCGCGGGCGGGGGCAGCGTGACGCCCGGCTGCTCAATGGCGAGCTTGGCGACTTGTTGCTGCCAGTCGACGTGCCCGGGCGCGGCGGGGTCTTCGAGGAGGGCGAAGACGTTGTCTGTGGGGATGAGAACGGGTGAGCGGGTGAAGGGCGGCCTGGGGGTTGGGTGGGCTTGCCGTTCATGGTGAGCGTGCACATGGATCGTTCGGCGAGCACCTGGTAGCCTGGTATGGAACTTAGGGTGGAGCGGTAGGAGCGGATGCTCAGCGACCATTTGCCCTTGTATTGACCCTGTGGAATGTAGCGGTCAATAGGTGAGCGAGATCGGCCCTGAGGACGCCACTATACCTGGTGGTTGCGCATGATATTTTGGTGGATGAGCTCAATGCTCGTTGTGGGCGCGTTGATCCATCTTGCCAAACTGTACGTACACAGCACTGCTCAGCATGAGTAGCACCGAATGATTAGTCTGGTGGAAATTACCCCGTATAGCCCATGCTGTTGCGCTAGCTATCTTATTCGCGATTCGAATGTCAAGGGCACGGGTCGATTGAGCCCTGCTAGGTGGTGGCTATGAAGACGGGCCCATCCACTGTGGCTGCTGCAACCTGAACACCGTGAGCGCTCAAAACAAGACGCGCTTCCTAGGCAAGCGCTCGTTCTTACCACGTCATGTCACGAGCAGAACGCACCAGTCACAAACATTCCTTGTCACCTCCCAGAAGCGCCCGACGGTTCTCTGTTCCCTGCCGCGATCACCTCAATCGTCGCAGCAAGACGCTTGTGCTTTCCGCTTATATACATCGTAAATGTTTGAGTATAAATGAGTCGTGCACAAAATTGACATTGCAAATAGGGTCCAAAATGACGGGCTACGACACGGTCTGGCCCGCCGACTCCGCCGAGTTCTGTCCCCATCCTGATGCGACAGACATTTTCGTGGTGGGCACGTATAGGCTGGAGGACACAGAAAAAGGAGAGATAGCACCTGCTGCAAACGATGTACAGCACGAATCGGGCACACCTCCCCCAGACGCTCCCAAAAAGCCCCAGAAGAGGCGAGGGAAATGTATGCTCTTCCGCCTTCAAGATGACGATCAATAGTGCGTACCGTTCTGTGATCGACAGGGATGCGTGTCTAACAGTATGCAGCACAGTGAGCTCCTTCAGGAGACGGAATTGGCTGCTGTTCTCGACCTGAAATGGTGGGTCATCGAGCCTGGCCCTTGGCTTCGATCTCAGCTCACTGAAAAATACAAGGTGCCACCGGTCGGCAGCCGCGAAGCCCATCTTGGGTATCGCCGACTCGGAGGGCCATATCAGTCTGCACGAACTGCATAATGACGAGGTAAGGAGAGGCGCCAGGAGAGCGAGCGGAGAATTGATCGAGTACACTCAGGGACGTTTGCACCGGCTCCTAACTATCTCTTGCGCTCCGTCAGACACGCTATGCCTATCCCTCGACTGGTCAAACCGGAGGACTCCTGCAGAGTAAGTGCAGGATGAAGCTGCGCATGGTGCGGAATCTGACGCAGGCCGGAACAGTGGCCTAGGCAACCTCATTGTCTCCCTATCCGACGGGTCGCTGTCTCTCCTGCAACCGGAGAGCAGTGCTGGGCTCACAGTCGTGGACTCATGGCATGCACACGACTTTGAACCGTGGATCGCGGCATGGGACTACTGGAATCCAAACGTCGTTTACTCCGGTATGTCACAATGGGTGAGTGATTTGCAATGCCTACTCACGAACATACCAGGCGGAGACGACCTCAAGATGAAGGGGTGGGATATTCGCCAGGGCGGGTCCTCACCACTGTTTGTCAACAAACGGTACGTATCGTTGCGGGTGCATCGCTGCACCGTGCACTCAACTAGTAAAGGTTCGACGCAGGCGTAACAACGATACAGAGCCATCCACACATCGAACACATTCTTGCTGTCGGAAGGTGCGCCTCGGATTCGCCCAATTTGTGTTGAGCAGTTGTTGGAACTCACGACGTCGATCACCAGTTATAACAACACGGTTCGCATCTTCGACACGCGCAAGCCGCTGGTGCCGCTCACCGAAATCGACGTCGGCGGCGGAGCGTGGCGCGTGAAATGGCACCCGTCGGCAGCTAGGAAGGACGACCTTCTGGTTGCGTGCATGCACGACGGCTGTAAGGTAATCAAACTCGACTTCGGCGCAGGGGAAGACCCAAGCTCCGCGCTTTCGTCTTCTGCTCAACCGTGGGATGTCGCCAAACGCTTCGACGAGCACACTTCCATGGCGTACGGTGCCGATTGGTCCTTCGCGAGGGGTAGAGGCGACGAAGACACTTCCGTGGCCAGTTGCTCGTTTTACGACCACACGTTGCATCTATGGAGAGCATAGGCGCTGAATATCTACCAGAAGATCAAGAAGGGGTATACTAAAAATTATGCTAAATCAGTGTTCTCTGCGGCGTCACCAATATCTTTCGGGGGACTCGGAGCTCTCGGGGTAGGCGGGGCGTTGGTATCGAGTCGTTTCCGCTTCCAGAACCCCGCGTTCGGGCCGTTCATAACGAAGCTCAACGTCCAGCGCGAGAGCCCGCGGAGCGTATCCGGGCGGTGAATGGCCGCGGTGAGGAGCGTGGACAGCGACAGGATGAACACGAGTCTGCAGGTGGGAAGCTTAAGGTCAGGCGAAAGCAGCGGGGCGGATCTCGACTGATACGCCTACCTCTCGGTCCATCGCACGCTCGCGCGGCCGCTTTTGATCCACTCCGAAGGCAGACACGCGCGGATGGCCCGCGGGAGCACGTACAGCGCCATCTCGCCGCGCCGCCGCCCGCGCTCGATCCAGATGCTCGCGCCGCACACGAGGCTGCCGACGAACGTGCACCCGAGCGGCCCGTCCCAGAAGTCGTGCGGGACCCCAGGGAAGAGCCGCGCGAGGACGAGCGTGCGCGTGCAACAGACGGCGAACCAGATGGACGTCACGAAGGCGGATAGGAAGGACGCGCTGCGGGCTACGGAGAGCAGCGTCGCGATGAGCCGTGGCAGCTCCAGCAGCTTGCGCGGACGCGTAACGAGGATGGGGAGGGTGTGCACCTGCGGGGCAGGACGGTTCAGTATCCGGGCAGATGCAGATAGGCGAGGGCACCGACCGGGAGGTAGATGGCAACGGCCTCTGCGAAGGCCTGCGCACCCCTGATGGCAGCGTTCTTCGTGCAGCCACCCTTCGTGACGGCGCCGTGGACGAGCTCGCAGGGAAGTCCGCCCACTCCGTTCCGGCTGGTGACCCCCAGAGCCTTCCATGTCTCGTTTGCCTGAGGGCCGCCGCGTGCAGGGAGCAAAGAGAAGTCTCCCCAGGCTGGCGGGTACCCAAGGTCTCGCGCAAGGGAGGTGACGAGATCCGGCGGGTTTTGGACACCCTTCGTGTATGAAAACTGGCCTGCGCGGATTGCGCGCAGCGCGCCGAGGAGACGTGGGTCGATATTGGCCAACGTCATGATCCTATAGGTTCCGCAACTCTGCATCAGCCTCGGTGGACAGGGCTGGCGTGTGTATCGTACCATTTGTTGTAGGAGCGTGGCAACCTGACGCCACAGTTAGCATCCGGTCAGACCGGAGCAGCAATTGCACTGACCTCTCGGGCTCGTAGAAGAAACACCACACGATTCTGGACGAGGTATCAGCGTGCGTCGAGGGCCCTGATAGATATTCACGAGCGCACCTTGAGCTGCAAGCCCAGAAGACCAGGGCATCTAGTCGTGTAGTCCACTTGTTTCTGATCGCTCTTCTCTGCTGCTTCACGGGTTCGGGGAGGTATTTCTCGCTCGCCTCCGATGGCTTGAAGAGGGCGAACTGAGTCAAGCTGTCCATGGCACGTACCAAGAACAGGAAGGACAAGTCCAGGGTCGGAGACGGCCTCCCGACCGACGCCGACTTCGCATGCCTCCTCCGCACATGCAAGAGCGCAATGGCGAAGGTGGACGAGATCACATTGGAGAGGAAAGTCTTGTGCGAGTCCTTCAACGACGCAAGCCACGCCTTCACCTTCCCAAGCGCATCTCTCGGCTCACCCTCCGCTGGCGTTTCCGCCTCCCACTTGTCCCATGCATAGCGAATGGCGGCGCCCCCAGCCACGCCGACCGTGATCGCCGACGCAAACGCATTAAGCCCGAGCTCGCGCCGCAGGATCTGCACGACGCGTCCGAAGCCCTGCGCACGCGCCCGGGGCGACGTCAGGAACGGGAGCAGCGCCGGGCCCAGCGCGAGGGAGAGCGCGAGGGTGTACGTCCGGAGGGCGATCTGGAGCGGGTGGTCGTCGGGGAGGGTGTGCAGGAAGTCGCCGAGGTCGTGCGGCACGTCGCGCAGGCGTGCGCGCATGTCCTGGAGAGACATGGTGCGGTAGGTTGAGTAGGGGATCTGTCGGGTGCTCAAGAGACGAACATGACGGTGATATAGGGAGGGTGGTGGTCAGGGCGCGGCGCTGAGGGCGGCAGCGCGTGAATAAAGCGGCATCCCAAACTCAATCACATGCTGGCGGTCGAAGTGCGGGGAAGGTGCGCAGCTCGATTTGGCAACTGCTGTCGTTAGACTGGCTAATCTATTGATAGGCTATTTCCAACGCCTGCCATGGAAAAATAAGAACGCGGTCGGTCTTGGTACCAGGTCCAGACTTTATGAGCCAGCACGGGCCGAGTGACCACAGTGGTGGTGAACCACAAGGATGGAAGAAGGTTGTACCAAAACGCGGGGTATACAGCAGAATGAAACCTAGGTAGGGGATATCATACAACGGGTTCAGAGGTCGATGTCGCGTCCAAGTCTTGGGTATAACTCCAAAAGTCCACTGCGCGCGCGCTCTCAGATGCCCCGAGCCCAGCACGAAACTCTGCAAGCAGCCCCGCGCGTCTCAAGTACTGCAGGAATTGAGCCCTTGAGTCAGGATACACAAATGAATCCAGGATGTCCAAACCCTGTGGAAACGGAAGGGTAAGCACAACCCAAAAGAACACGCGCAATCACGGTGATTCACTCACGTGTATGCGTACAACAGCGGCTATATGCTCCTTCGACGCTTCGGAAAGGTTAACCCTCGCGTCGGCCATGAGCCTACCGGCCTCTGTTTGGTCGGAGCCAGTGGAGGCCTCTTCTTCCTCTTTGGCCGCGAGAGGCTCTCCTCTGGCGCGTGGGTTTTGCAGAGAAGGATTCCTCGACGTTTTCCGAGAAAGCGGCGCGCCCTCCTCAACTCCGAGCCAGCTCGCCCAAAGCTCCAGCTTCCTGCCATCCCGCCCAAGGCGTCGTAGGGCGGCATGACATCGATCCCAGTCACCCTCGTCCCCCATCCACACATCGAGCCCTCCATCACCGTCATCCGAGATTGAGAGCATGACCGACGGTGGTCGTGTCGCTCCGTCCTCGTTATGTATGAGCTGTGGTAGGACGGACAAAACGCCGGGTATACTGAGGGTGCTCTTGGTGTCGTCGTGAACGCTCTGCCCGGGGCGCATCATGAGCCGTATCCATCGTCTTCTTCGCACGAGTCCCCGATTGCTCAAGACGCCGGGGTCGGTGCCCCACTTCTTGCTGCGAAACGAGCGGCTGTACTCGAAACCGTCGTACTGCACCTGGCCGTCCCCTCGCATGTCGATCATCCACGAGCGTGAAACCCACTTCCATGAGCCATCTGGAAGGGGGTAGTCCTCGAGAGATACCGTGGGCTGGCCCTTGCGCGGGGAGCGAATGGCGGTGGGGATGGTGAAGGGTGGCGGGTCCAGCGGTAGGAGAGTGAGTGCCGAGTAGTATGCGGTTGAAAAGACCATAGCACTGCGTATTCTTCAGCACATGAGGAGGTGATACGACAGGAAGCGTTCGTACCCTCTTTGGTTCTCATATAGGACTGCCCATCTGTACACATCCTTGTCGTAGTCCTCATCAAGTTCGGCTGCGAGATTTGACGCGTCCGAGATGTCCACCAATTCGGGTATGTCTGAAGCGGAAGCAGAACACTCGATACGCGCTATTGAGGAGGGAGTAGGAGACGCGTCCCGTTTGCGTGCTCGCGATTTCCGTCTGTGAAAGTCGGGGAGAGAGACTCTGCTTGAGAAGAAGCTGCGTTTGCGAAACCGCTGACGAGCCGCGTCCGCCGCATCGTAGTCGTCTCTCACCACAGTATTTGGCAGGGGTTGTGGCGGAGGCTGGGAGTCGTTCAGGAGGGGAGAGGACGACGGGCCAGCCGGGGAGGAAGTGAGTGAGGAGGGCTCAGACATGGGTCAACCAGGGTGAGTGTGAGGAGGTGGCGGGGTTAGGGTTCATCTATATGACCGTCTGCATGCCATGACGTCACCCCTTCAACTTTACCACCGCTATGCTTCGCGTCTGTGCTCTCGCCTCCCTCGCCCTCCGTGCTCGCCCCGCTCCTCTTCGCCACGCAGTTCGCAGAGGGCCACCGCAACTCAGACATGCATCACCCGCCACCACCATCAATGTCCGGCGAAACCACACCGATGCGACAGGCCACACGAAGCTCTGTCCATCGTGCTCTGCGCCGCTGCCCACTGCGTTGCCTGTCTGCTCGAAGTGCCAGTATATTGAACCCATACCTCAATCAATGACATATCATGAGATGTTGGGTACCCCCTACGAGCCAAACCCATTCGTTGTCGATGTGTCGCAGTTGAAGCAACAGTTGAGAGCTGTCCAGGCAGTCGTCCATCCAGACAGATGGGTGTCAAGACCTTCAGTGAGTCAGACTCCTATCACCTAGTGGTGCCGCCGTAATAGCGGCGAATATTCATGGCTCGCGCATCTGTCACCAGGACCAGCAAGCAATCGCAGCTGCGATGTCTTCTCGTGTTAACGAAGCCCTGCATCGGCTGTCTAGCCCGCTGCGAAGAGCCGAATACATCCTCGCTTGCGAAGGTCATGCCGGCGAGGAGACCGACAAACTAGACGACATGGAGCTCCTGATGGAAGTCATGGAGGCCCGTGAGGGCCTTGCGAACGCCCAGTCTCCGGAAGATGTTGCTGAGATCAGAGAACAGAACGATGGTGTGTATCATTTCGCATAACGGCACCACAAACTAGCCACTTACAACAATTCTGCACTAGCCAAAATTCAAGAGGTTCTGCAGGAGATCGAGAGTGTTGTAGCAGCAAAGGATTGGCCTGCGCTTCGTACGGCGGCTGTTAAACTAAAGTATCTCCAGGGCATCGAGTCGGCTGCGGCAGCATGGCCTGAGGTGGCCCACGACCACTAGACGGGTCATCGTTGTACTTAGTAGACTATTTGGCATTTATTACCGTACACGCGCATATACAGATCCACGATACAGAACCTCTGTTCGATTTGTTCTGACGTCAGGCACTCGGTGTGAGAGCGTGAGGGCATTCATTCGGCAACTTCCAGCTTGTCTTTGCGAAAACGGGCGTCTATTGCTTCTTGAGCCTTGCGACCAGGTCGCTTCTTCCACCTCGCTCTCTCCGACGTTCCCCATCCTCCCGCATCTTCTGCTGTCCCCTAGAGACAGTCTCGTCTCAAAAGAAAGCCTCTTGCAACCTCGAAAGTGGTGCAGAGCAAGAGCAAACTCTCGTAAAGAGAGCAGCAGGTCGGTCTGACATTTCGACGTCCCCCACATCGCAGCCAAACCCTGCCTCCCAGATTCGTCTGTGCTGCCCCAGCCTTATGCGTCTTGCCTTCTCTTTGAGACTCAGGCGCAGCCTTCTCATGCCACTAAACCTCCCCAAGCCTTCCTCTCCGCTCGCATCCCCCTCGGCATCATCATCCCGCCCTTACGCCCAGCAGACCAACCCCGTCAAGCAGTCCGCGTCCCCCAAGCGCACGTCAGACTTCCCCTCCGCCGAGGAACCCCCCGCCAAAATGCACAAGGTCGACCAAGGCTCAGCAGGTTCGTCCCGCCAGCCCTTCCGTGGAGGAGGCCGCGGTGCCGGCTCTTCGCTCTTGGCCAGAGCGCACAAGAACAACGCCTCCAACGCCAACGCCAGTAGTCGCGGAGGCCGAAGGAAGGGCAAGAACACGCCCAATCTTCCTCCTCTCTCTGGACCTCTCCACGATGAAGACTACATCACGAAGACGTACAGGACGAAACCCCTGAAAAAGATACACGAGACCAACCCGAAATCCCCGCTCAACAACTTCATCATGAACAACTCCGGAGGCCAGATGGAGTTCGTGGCCACCCATGGTGTTGTCGAAGGAGTTGATCAAGCTGTATGGAGGTAATCGCCGTCACCGCGCTGCACATGCACTTGAGCCTCACCTGCATGTCTAGATCTACTATTACCGTCAAGCTCGATGACGGTGAAATTGTCGGTACTGGCGACAACTCTAACAGGAAAGTTGCAGATAACCTTGCAGCTCTCTCCGCCCTGTACCAGCTGGACAGCATTGGCGTTGTACGTGACCCCAAAACAAGTCGCGAACTAAATCACTCACCTCTCATAGTTCGAGAAAAAGAAGGAGAAGCAGCCCGAAAAGGCGGGCCCCACCGCTCTCGAAACGACGCTCTCTGACGGTTCTGTCGTCGACTACGAGAAAGCGCGTCATTTCATGGACTACTACTGTCGTCGCTTCCGCTTTTCGAAGCCGGACATCGTATATGCGCAGCCTACACGCTCCTACTGGCAGGCTGATATGATTGTAGGCGACCGGCGTATCGGCTTCGGCAAGGGTGCGTCGAAGAAGGAGTCGATGATGAAGTGCTACACCGATGTCGTCCAGTACCTGGAGAGTTGCGACAAGGACATCTGGCAGGAGTTCGTGAAGGACGTCAAGGAGGGCAAGGACCTGGGAATGGCTCCTTCGGTTCTCTTCCAGGCCGATGAAGTCCTCGAAGACAGGATTGGCAATCTCAAGGACGACATCAAGCGGAGCACGCTCTACAAGAACAGACCCAATCGCACAAATCCCGACGACGGAGAGTCGACTCAAGGACAACAGGCGGGTGGCTATCGGCGACCGCCGCCGTCAGCGATGTTCCTGGCGGAGAAGTCTCAGACGCTCTCCAACCGTAGGCAGGCGTACTTGACGAACCCTCAGCTGGAGGCTATCCGGAACACCCGTGCCACTCTGCCTGTCTTCACCAAATCCGAGGAGCTGCTGAAGCACATCAACGAAAACGATGTCACAATCTGCATGGCAGCGACCGGTTCCGGCAAGACCACGCAGATCCCTCAGCTCATCTTGGACGAATACATCGACAGAGGCGAGGGCGCGAAGTGCAACATCATATGTACTCAGCCCCGTCGTATCGCTGCAATCAGTGTAGCGGAACGTGTCGCGAAGGAGCGCGGAGAGACTTGCGGACGCGGCTCCGTTGGTTACCAGGTCCGATTCGAGTCGAAGACTCCCGAACCTAACGGCTGCGTCACCTACTGCACCACCGGTGTCTTCTTGCGCAAGATGCAGAGCGCGCTGCTCGACTCCTCTTCGCGCAGCAGCATGGACGACATCACCCACGTCATCGTCGATGAGGTGCACGAGCGCGATGTCGACATCGATCTGATGCTCGTCGTTTTGAAGCGACTCCTCGCGGAGCGGAGAGCGCAGAAGAAGCCAATCAAGATCGTGCTCATGAGCGCGACCATTGACTCTACTCTCTTCCGGACGTACTTCCCCGACGAGCACGGCAAGCCCGCCGGCGTCGTCGAGATCCCCGGACGCGCGTTTCCTGTCCAGAAGAACTTCCTCGATGACTTCGTGCCGGAGCTGTCGAAGATCGCTCAGACGTCGTGGGTCTTTAGGGAAGAATCCGTGCGGAAGTATTTGACACAGGAGCTCGGCCCCGATGCCCCCGGAGTCTCGACTCTGGGTTTCAACAATTCCCGCTCGTCTACCCCGACCATCAGGGAGCACTCTCGCGACACAGACGATCTCGACCTGCCCGTGCCCCTCGTTGCCCTCACGATTGCCCATGTCCTCAGGAAGTCAGAGGACGGCCACGTGCTGGTGTTCTTGCCCGGCTGGGACGACATCAGTGCCGTCCGTCGTGTCCTCACCGACAACTCGAAACCACTTGGGTTCGACTTCAACGACACCAGCCGATTCAGCATCCATCTCCTCCACTCCACCATCCCCGTTGCCGAGCAGCAGGCCATCTTCGAACCTCCCCCCAAGGGCATCCGCCGTGTCATCCTTTCCACGAACATCGCCGAGACTTCCGTCACTATTCCTGACGTCGTGTACGTCGTTGACACCGCGCGCGTCAAGGAGCAGCGGTACGACCCCGCGCGCCACATCTCCAATCTCGTCTCCGCGTGGGTCGGTTCTTCGAACCTCAATCAGCGTGCGGGTCGTGCAGGTCGTCACCGTCCTGGAGAGTACTACGGTATCCTCAGTCACAGGCATGCAGAGGAGTTGCACCCTCACCAGACGGTCGAGATGAAGCGTGTTGACCTCGAGAACGTCGTCATGCACGTCAAGGCGCTCAACTTCCCCGGTATGACCATCCAGGGAGTCCTCGCCGCGACCATCGAGCCCCCCGCACCTGACCGCATCGAGGCTGCCATCCAGTCCCTGCACATGGTCGGTGCACTCGACGACAACAACAACCTCACTTCCCTCGGCAACGTCCTGCTCCAGCTCCCTGTCGACGTCCGCCTCGGACGTCTTGTCCTGTTCGGCGCCTTCTTCCGCTGCCTGGACGCCGCTCTCACTCTCGCGGCGATCATGGGCTCGCGCGAGCCGTTCGTTGCGCCGATGCACGTCAAGGCCGAGGCGCAGGCGCGGAAGAACTTCTGGACCCCCGAGGAGTTCCGCTCGGACACGCTCGCCGCGCTGCGGGCGTACCGCGAGTGGTGGGCGCTGCAGAGCCAGGGGCACTACGTGACCGCGAATCGGTTCTGCCAGGATAACTTCCTGTCGAAGCCGACGCTGCTGAACATCCAGAAGGTCAAGGATCATCTGTTGAAGGCGCTGTACGACGTTGGCGTTGTCGATATCTCCGCCGGTGGCGCAAACAAGATGGCGTATGTTCCGCCTGGGGCGCGTTCGCGCGAGGCGCTGTCCGTGCCTCCCTCGCTCAATGAGCACAACGAGTCGCTGCCGCTGCTCGCGGCTCTCATCGCGATCGCGTGCCAGCCCAAGTTCGCTATCCGCACGGGAGAGAGGACCTACAGAACTGCGGTCGACAAGGTACGTAAGGCTAAACTTTCACCTTGAATGTTACTCACTATGCCTGACAGACCGTCATCGTCCACCCTTCGAGCGTCAACCATCGCAAGAAGCAGATGAACGACAGGAGCGACCACCCTCACGTCGAGAAGCAGATCGTTGCCTTCATGGAGAAGCGCCAGAACATCTCGAATGGTCAAAACGCGGACAAGTACTTGGTCGCCACGACCCGTCTGGACCCGCTGACCTACGTCCTCTTTGGTGCATACCGCATCTCGGTGGGCGCCCGTGGGCTAGAGTGCGACAGCTGGCTGCCGGTCATCGGGCGCATGGACGTGCTGGACGACCTGGAGCGGCTGAAGGTGATGATGGAGGACTGCATGCTGCGTGTCTTCCAGGGGATCATCGCGAGCCGGCAGCGCAAGGCGCAGCAGTTCCGGAAGCCGCTCACGTACGACGGCGGGCGCGAGGACGAGTCGGGCGACGAGGAGGACGCGGACCTGACGCGCGTGCCGCTGTCGGACACGGAGATGAAGGAGCTCGACCTGATGACGATGGACGTCGTGCGCATCCTGAACCACTACAGCACGTTCCGCGTCGCGATGGCGTCGCAGAACAACTCGCGGCCGGGCACGCCGATGGACTCGCCGTCACTCGCGTCCGTGCGGCTCCCGCCGTACGGCGGCTCGCGCTCGGGCTACTCGACGCCGTACGGGATGAACTCGACGTACTCGTCGCGGCCGGGCACGCCCAGCCGGCTGTCGAGGCAGGGGTGGGATTAGGTGGTGGGATTAGATGGGGTTTCGAAGTGTGGGCGCATTGAGCCGCCGCTAGAAAGTGTCTTGTCAGTGTAACGAACTATAATCTCTACTCGCAGCCACAAATTGTGTAATGGAATTCGCCTCTCCCTCTCACAGCGACTCGAGTCGAGTCCCTCTAGTGAGAGCTGAGCGAAAGAGCAATAAAGACTGTCCTCGGTCGGGCGCGCAGCGTATGACACGCACGTGACGAGCAATAAGTAGACAGCTTCGATCAGGGTGTCCCTCCGACGCACTCGCTGCTTAGCTCTGCTCGTGCACGCGTCCTGCTGCCTCGGACTCTGCTGCCCTCTCTCTGGCTCAATTGCTGTCTATGAGCTGACCTGGCTAGTCGCTTTGGTTGCTCATCCTCATCTGCTGCTGTGCTTCGCGCAATCGTCATTGACGCTCCCGCTACCCCGCAATCCTGAAGTTACGACCCGCGGTACCCCCGCACTAACGATATACCACCATGGCGACCAATATGCGAGGGCTGACGCAGGTGCGTAGAAATCTATATGCCGTATGAACATAACCGACCCATATGTTGCTAGTTCATCGCGGACATCCGCGGTGCGCGCGTCCGCGAACTCGAAGAGAAGCGGATTAACAAGGAGATGGCCAACATACGGAAACGGTTCAAGGGTACGTCGCTTACGATACTATGGGGTTAGATACTGAAGTCTGCGTAGACGGTAACTTGGACGGATATCAGAAGAAGAAGTGAGATGATAGAGCTGTCTGTGCCATCGAACGTATACTCATTCCCACTACCCTCAGGTATGTTGCGAAGGTCATCTTCACATATATCCTGGGATACAAGGTGGACGTAGGCCACATGGAGGCTGTCAACTTGATATCAAGTTCAAAGTACAGCGAGAAGCAGATCGTGAGCTTGTCAAAATCCTGGAACCTGAAGTGACGCGCCGCAACTTACACGGCTTCGTATAGGGCTACCTCGCTGTGACGCTACTCATGCACGAGAACTCCGATTTCTTGCGGCTTGTGGTCAACTCCATCCGGAAAGACCTCAATGATAACAACGAAATCCATAACTGTTTGGCACTACATGCCATCGCCAACGTCGGTAGCCAGGAAATGGCGGAGGCACTTGCTGAAGACGTCCACCGTCTATTGATTTCTCCGTGAGTATGCGGGCATAGACCGCTCTGCTCCTTGCTCACCTGTGGCCTACCATCATGACAGTACATCAGGGACCTTCGTGAGGAAGAAGGCGGCACTGACACTGCTGAGGCTATATCGGAAACACCCCGATGTCATTCCTGCACAGGAATGGGCCCTCCGCATAGTGTCGATAATGGATGACCCAGACCTCGTAAGGAGAAATATTATATCATGCGTTGCTTGTCTTGACATAAGCGTAGGGAGTAGTACTTTGCGTCACTAGTTTGATCTTGGCTCTGGCTCAAGATCATCTGGAGGCATTTACCATCTGTTACCAGAAGGCCGTCGACCGGCTCAACCGCGTGAGTGCTCTGACAACATCTTGATATTCATGTCAATAACAATCATATGATAGCTCGTGGTCGAGCATGAATACGCAGCAACGTACTCCTATTACAAGGTACCTATACCCTGGCTGCAAGTCAAACTCCTCCGACTACTACAGTATTACCCACCTTCCGGTACGTTTTGTTATGCGACTTCCAACGCTTACCTCTAACATCACTGTGATTAGATGACCCGACGTTGCAAGTCATGCTGCAAGAGGTCTTGCAAACAGTCATGAACAACTGCAATGAACCCTCACGGAATGTACAACACAATAACGCTCAACACGCCGTCCTTTTCGAAGCGATTAATCTCGCCATTCATCTGGACACGAACTCGCCTCTTGTGAACACTGCCGCTGTACTACTCGCGAGATTCATTAGCTCCAAGGAGACGAACGTCCGATACCTCGGTCTCGACACCATGGCACATCTGGCGGCGCGAACAGAGAACCTCAGTGCTATCAAGGCTCACCAGGGCACGATCATCCTGTCCCTCCGTGACAAGGATATTTCCGTGCGGCGGCGAGCCCTGGACCTCCTTTACAGCATGTGCGAGGTCGACAACTCGGAGCTCATCGTAGGCGAGCTTCTCCGGTATCTGAAGGTCGCAGACTACGGTCTCCGAGAAGAGATGGTCCTAAAGATCGCCATCTTGACCGAGAAGTACGCGGGCACCTACAAGTGGTATGTCGACACGATCTTGGAGCTGCTCAGCGCGGCTGGCGACCACGTCGGCGAGGAGGTGTGGTATCGCGTCGTCCAGATCGTCACGAACACGGAGGATCTGCAGGCGTATGCGGCGAAGGTCGTCTTCGAGTATCTCAAGTCGCCATCGTCGCATGAGAGCTTGGTGAAAGTGGGCGGTATGTGTGTTGATCTAATCCAGGCAGAATAAAAACTAAATATCCGCCAGGTTACATTCTCGGAGAATACGGACACCTCATTGCGAACGAGTCAGGGTACAGTCCCATCGAGCAGTTCCAGGTACTCCACGCCAAATCGCAGTTCTGCATGGCCCCTACACGAGCAATGCTCCTATCAACGTACATCAAGTGGGTGAACGTCTTCCCCGAGATCAAGGCCCAGCTTGTGAACGTCTTCGAGCGCTACCGGCACGTCCTGGACGTCGACCTGCAGCAGCGCGCCTGCGAATTCTACGCGATCGCGCAACGGCCAGACGAGGACGACCTGCTCCAAAATGTCTGCGAGGAGATCCCTCCATTCCCTCCACGTGAGAGCGCACTCATCAACCGCCTTAACAAGAAGCAGCCGCACGCCGCCGGCACCTTGGAGCGCCAGCCCTCCAAGCTAACACGCAAGCCTACGCTGCTAGACACAAACGGACACGCATCCAACTCCAACGGCGACGTCTCTCAAGACATCGCCAGCTCGCTTGCGGGCCTCGATCTCACCTCCTCCCCCGTCGCCATCTCCCCCTCTGCCGACCCGTCCGCCATGCTCGTCGCCAAGGGCATCCCGCGCCTCACCGCCGGCGCCAACGTCGACCGCTGGTTCGACAAGCTCGTCTTCGCCGCCGACGGCGTGCTCTACGAGGACGTGCAGATCCAGGTCGGCATCAAGTCGCGCTACCAGGGCACCGTCGGGCAGGTCGCGATCTACATCGGGAACAAGATCTCCGCCCCACTCACGTCCTTCACCACCTCGCTGCACACGGACGACGCGGACGCGCTCTCGGCCTCGTTCGTGAAGATCGCGCCCAGCACGCTCGCGCCGCGCACGCAGATCCAGCAGATCGTGCAGGTCGAGTGCAAGCGCGTGTTCCGCGCGCCGCCCGTGCTCGTCGTCTCCTTCCTCGCGGGCTCGCAGCAGGCGATCGCGGTGCGCCTGCCCATCGTCGTCACGAAGTTCCTCGAGGGCGTCAAGCTCGGGGCTGCGGACTTCTTCGAGCGCTGGAAGCTCATTGGGGGCCCGCCGCGCGAGGCGCAGAGCATCTTCCCCATCGCGCTCGACGCGACGGGCCATGTCGACACCGCGCGGCAGCGCGAGGTCGTCGCGGGCTTCGGGTTCCAGATTCTGGACGGCATCGACCCGAACCCGACGAACATCGTCGCCGCGGGCATCGTGCACACCGGGGCGGACGGGAAGGTCGGGTGCTTGCTGCGGTTGGAACCGAACAGGGAGGCAAAGGTGCGTGTCTCAACGGTCGGGGTGGGATTAGCGCGTCTCACATTCTTCACAGCTGTCTCGCATCACGATACGCAGTACGTCGGAGGAGGTCGCGGTGGAGGCACAGAAGCTCCTGCAGAAGCCGCTTGCGGCAGATGCGGCGTTGGCGGAGAAACGCACGCTCTGATCGCCCGATTCCGTGTTTTGTGTGTACCATGGACTGTATCTATCGGATGTATACGAAGTACAAGACAGCGACAACTAATGGTAGTAATACACTCGAGCAAGCACCGAGGACAGAGCAACGCACGACAACCAGAGTCAAGAACGAACGAACGGGAGCGGCGGCGACTAGCGCCTCGTCAAGATAGAGCGGAAGATGTTTCTGCGCCGCTTGCCGGGGTCGTCCGCGAGCTCGACGGAGCTCTCGGAGGTGGGCGACATGAGCGGGTCTTGGACGCGCTTCCGGGCAAGAGGGGAGTCTGTTGAGGTCGAGCGAGGGTGGTGCGTTCGCACAGATCGCGAATGCTCTTCGGCCGCCTCCCTGAGTGGCGATGGAAGGGGCGAAGGGAGTGGGGGCTCGAAGAGTCTGCGTGGTTCGGGATAGGAAGGCGTGGGAGGTCCCTGAAGGGACGCTCTAGTCGGGCTGTCCTGGGAATCCTCACTGTTGGACGGTGCTGTAGACGGTCGGCCCGACTTGCGTGACTTGAGACGAGGGCTGGCCGACGAGATCTTGCGCCCGCGTAGAGGAGACTTCAACGGTGACGACGGCGAGGGCGGGAGGGGGATATTCGTGGGCATGCTGGGCACGCGGGGGAGGGGGAAGATGGCGGGCTCCGAGTATTGCCGACGTGGCCTCGCCGCGAGCTTACTAACGCGGAAGAGTGCCTGCTCTTCGACCTCCATACAGCGCGAACAGAACTCGGCGAAGAACCGGTCGTCCGTACTGCCCCCGTTGCTATTGCTGCTGGCGCTCGACTTCGCGGCCTGGAAGTTCTGCGTCCGCGAATAGCGCACGACGACGGAGGTGACGACGGCGAGGTGCCGCGGGATATCGAGCATGTATGGCAGAAGCGGGATCGCCTCGCGGTGGAGGACGGGGGCGGTCGCGCTGCGCTGCCGGAGGGCGTTCATGATGCGCAGGCGCTCATGTTTGTCGGACGAGAGCGGCGTGCTCGGACCCTTGTTACCGGTCTCCGGGGTGGAGACGACGAGGATGTAGTCAATCATGGCGTGCAGGCTGTCGTTCAGGAAGTCCTTGACGCCGCGCATGTAGTCCTCTTTCTGCACAGTCTACACATCTTCTGTCAGCAAATGCCGGATCTACTCTAGCGCGAACGTAGAAGCCTACCGGATTAAGATTCGCTAGACTTTGGACCACCTTCGCAATCAGCGTTAGGCTACGCTGGACCGGAACATCCGGTAGACCTGCACGAACATGCCAAGGTCAGCACATTCGAATTGTCTGCTAACGGCTCAACGTACCGGGCAGGAGACCGAAGAGATGTGGGTGCAGTATCGCTGGGACAATGAAGCGCAGGAAGCAGAACGCAGACACGCTTTGCCATGGTAGGTCGTGGTTCTTGTCATCTCGTATCCGATACCGGCTCTCCACGAGCCGCCGTATGTGCTCAAACATGCGCCGGAGCTCCCTGTAATGATCCGCTTAGCCCATCATGGTTGAGATCACGAATGAAATGCACACTTACGGAGGGCACTGCGTCCGCGCCTCGTAGATGTGGTCCCAAAACTCCCGACACCACGCGACGAGCAGCTCCACGTTCTTCTCTATTGCCTTCGGGCCCTTGCCGATGCGGACCGGGTCGACTTCGATCGCGACCTTCTCGGCACAGAGCCGCCGGATCGTCGCTCCTACACTGGCCTCCAGGAAGGGCATGCCGTACCAGGACATGTATAGCTCCACTGTCTTGGTGAACACCGTGTTGCCCCGGCTACCGGAAGTAGTTAATATACACGCTTCCTGAAACAAGTTCTGCGACCACTTACAATAGAGTATTGTGCGCTGTATGCGTGAAGGTGGTCAGTGTTCGTTCTCCGATAATATACTTCCCGACTCACACGACAATGTGCCGTCGACCTCGCGGTCTGCGAGCTCCATGATATTCTCGAGCAGCACGTTCTTGGCTATCGCGATCGACATGATGTTGTTGTTCACGTTCTTCATCTTGAGCCGCGTCTCAAGCTCGCGCATCCAATCAAGATGATTTCGAGAGTGCAGCGTCTGCGAAGCAAGCGTCAAGGTGGAACCAGTCTGGCTATATGCGCAAAAGATGTGCATACCTTCAGCAGTTTGCCATACACATGGTGTGGTAGGATGATTTCCCTGCGAGCACGTCAGCAACAGCCGAAATTGTATCAAGACGGCACGTACTCATCCACCCGGACCTTGAGCCTCATCTCCCCAGCCTGCGTGCTGGACGCCTGTCCCCCATGCAGTACAGGGAACCACCCCTCCACCGTCTCCCCGCGCCGGAAGTTGACCAGCACGATGACGACGGTACCGATTATAGTGGGTTTCGCAAGCCGCTTCTCCCGCCAGACCACAATCTCCAGATTCTCGAATGGCGGCAAGTCAGGTAGGACGAACCGCTCGTGCCAGTCTGGGGAGCCGATGCCCTTCTTCACCGTCGTGCGCCCGCAAAGCGTGCCGTTCACAAATATCTCGCAATACACGTCCATGTCGATCGCGTCCACGTCCGGCTTGCCGTCGAGGTCTGCAACCGAGGGCTCGTCCGAGAGCACACGCGTCACACCGAGGTTCCGCCCCTGGATACACATCAGGTCGACCTGCCTCCACATGCGGTAGAGGCCGCCGTCCTCGGGCGAAAGCCAGCGGCCGTACACCTCCGGCATGGCGTATGAGCGCAGCAGCGCGAGCCAGGTATTTGACGTCTCCTCGTCCTCGAACTGGATATACAGCGGCTCCGCATTCGACGCCGCGCCGCGCATCTGGCCGCTGCAAGGGGACGTCAGTGATGCGTCGTCCCATGGGAATGGGCCAGACTTACGCGACAGGGAAAATGCCGAGGCAGTTCCGCCTCTCGAACAGCGACCGATGGACGGGGCGGATATCTGTATGGTTCAGCAGGTACATATAGATAGATCGGTATAAGATAGTGTCCTGCGTAGCTCGCGTTCAGTACGCGCGCTCAAAGACACGGAGGAGACATACTGACGTCCACATATAGGTTCAGCAAGCAGCCCTCTTCCTCCTCCACGAGCTTGCAACGCGCCGATCTCCACTGGCCTGCACCCGCAGAGCTGCGCCCGATCCCAAGCCAGCTTGTCTTCTCTACTCGACCGGAGGCACTTATAAGCACGCGTCGCGCGCAAACTAGGCCCCCACACACGCACCTTTGATCTTCTTCTGCGCGGCATCACCACTAGTGGACGCGGCGCGGGGGTTGTGGTCGCGTTTGTCTGAGGACTTCTTAGTGGGCGGCTAAATGAGTGTGCGATGATCCCAGGCCCCAGGGGAGGTAGATCAGCAAGGTGGTCGTAGCCGAGATCGGGGAGACGTGGGACTGGATGAAACCCACCTTCTTCAGCGCCGCGGCTGCTTTCGCAGAGACGTAGAGCTCGACAGATACGTAGAATTCCCTGTCCATGCTTGCGGTCCCGATCCTCGCGGGCGACGGCGCGCGGTCTAATCGGGTCTTCGAGGGGGCACCACTGGTAGCGCGGGGACGTCGACTAGACTAGACAGGCACGAGGTATTAAGCCGGAATGGAGGGGTGTCCAAAGAGCACGAGCACCGGCGCGTCGAGTGGACTGTGGTGGGCGTAGACTCAGAGATATCGCGCTGTGGCTGATGTTGAGAGGGGGATATATGCGCGGCGCGCGACAAAGGAGGGTAAATTGGGGGCGGGGTATGGAAGGGTATTTGAGACAGGGCTTGGATATACCGGCGGATGATTGAGCGGGCTCACAACATGGCAATCAAGCAACGGACGGAGGAGGGGCGAATGAGAGAGTGCGACCCGCCCCAGTGGCCAGGGTCGGTGGCGGGTGGCCAGGCTCGCCGGCCACGGGCGTTTCCACGGCGCGCCGCGGACCCACATGCCGCCCACGTGGATCTCGCTCACTCCTCCTACCAACCCTGACAGCTCTGACGTTTCGCGCAATTATAACAGCTGCACTAGTGTCATCGCCCTGTGGTTACCACCCGTATTGTTGCAAGTGCTGATCTCGCAGCCATCGCAACTAAGGCCGCATTGGAATCTGCACTAGAGCCGCTGACTCGGCGTCGACTTCATTTCCGTGCGTTCCTGGGTAGCGTGGGTTTGACCTCGTCGCACCAGCTCTATATGCGTTACAGCACGGGAGTAAGGCGCCGGGCGTGTCTAGCATGACTGAGCCAGAGTGGGTGATGAGGTGACGACTACAGGCTGGCGGATGCTCATCGGAATGGCGTTGGAAACCGACGCCCTTGATCAGCATGCGTTGCATCCAAGTCATTTATCAGAGTCTTCTGGGTATGTGACTCCGCCTTGGCATCCTCGTCAAGTAATACGTCTTTCAACGAGTGAGGAGCATCCGCGCCAGTCGGCTTCAAATGCTATTGAAGCCTATCCTCGATCTTGAAGGTGTGGCAATGCTCGTCCGCGTCCAACACCTCCTCGACAGTTTCATCGTGGCCCAACCCAACCGCTGAGACACGGTAAAGAACTGAAGTATCCTATAATAGGCTTAGCAATTCAAACACTTGGAACCATAACTGTCCACTTTGCTTATGCCGAGTGAAGTGGACCTACAGGTGCTTGCGAGGATATAAGAGAGAAATACCAATGAGCATCTCACTACCTCTGGGAGATCTGAAAGCGCGTTGTAAGCAAGTGGATGACTATGAAAGGCCAAAAAATGGCATCCTACGCACGCTAAACATATACAAGGTCGACAACGAGCTTGCAGTATGCTTCCTCACTGTGTGTCCGTCTACCGACCTCAGCATGGGGTGCCGGCGATCCTTAGTCCGCCAAGAAGCCTGCCAATCCACGGTTCGTCTTCCTATTGGCAGAACGGAGCCTGCCCGCGGCGACGTTCACTGTCCATAGAAGTCTGATGCCCTGAATATGCAGGAGGCGTATGTGGGTGCTTGGTTGTTGCGCTTCGCGGAGGTCATCTGCGCGATGTGGTTGGCGGACAAGGGTAGTCCCGTAGACCTTCTATAGAGGCTCTACTTCATTGAAGCGCTTGCGCATTTTACAACGTGCCTGCGATGACTGGTTCGCGACATGGTTTAGGCGTTGGAAGAGAACCAGAACATCGAACGATGCGGCGTACTTACAATATACCGGAGACCCAGTCAGAAGGAGCCTCATGTTCCCCCCGCTTGTGCACTGGACAGATTTCCACTCGACGAGACACGCCATCACACAGCGGTAGGACCTTGTCTTCATCGCTCCTCTGCTTGATTCGTCATTGCCCAACGCTCTCCGCAAGGGCGCCCGGTTTACAACTATCGTGATCTACGGTAAAATATAATGAAAGAAAGACGATGAAGCGAAGGGCCGGGTCAATTACATTGACGGGGCGGCTTTAGGGTATCAACAGTACCGCCACGTCAACGCGGTGTGGGAATGACGAGCGTCACATCGACCGGATGCATAGTGCACCAGGAGGCGATCACTCGGTTTTGAGGCTGCAGATAACACAGATTAGCATGCGCTGGAGCGCCGGCCAAATGACACGTACCCGTTAGCGGCGCCGTTCGCCTTGCCGTTCGCAACAGCCTTCTTCCCTGCGGGCTTCTTGTACGTCGCAATGTAGAACTGGATGAACAGCAGGAGGTAGCTCGAAAGCAACACGCAGCCGAAGACAGCAGCCGTCTCCGTGCCAGCGCAGCTACCCATGTTCGGCAGGTTGGGGAAGTAGTTGGCGGCGTAGTACGAGTACGCTGTGCCCCAGTTGTCAGCCGGCCAGTTCGAAATCAAGGCGAATTTAGCACGTACTGGCAAAGTAGACGACGAAGAGGTCGATGATGAACTGCCCAATCTGGAACGACGTGAGGTATTTCTTCCACTGTGGCGAGAGTCAGTTGAATCCCTGTAAGATAGATACTGCATGCATACCCATATCCTGGCACCACCAGCAGTCGCGTAGTAGTAGTAGTCTGCAAAACGAATGAGTCGACGTCATCGTGACGACAGCGCTGAACCTACACATGATCACATGAACCGTGAGGTTGATGGAAATAGGGACCCATTGCTGTTGCATCGCGTTAGATGCGCCAGGCACGGTAGTCAAGCGACGTGGCACTCACAACACTAGTTTTCCCGTTAAGTTGAGTATAGCATAGGAGAGCCGTTGCGGAGTGGTGGAAGACATGGAGGAAGGCTGCAAGCGCCGTTAGCGGTCATAGACGGCATGGTGAACGCGTCACTTACCGAGGGGCTTCTTCTTAAGGGCGAGGAATACGGTGTCTATGAGCTCGATGTACTTGAAGTAATAGTTGATCATGTAGTAGAATTCGAGTCTCTACACGCGCCTGTTAGTGCTACTCAGCAAAGCAGACGATGCCAGCGACTCACAGAGGTCCACATATCGTCGTGGCATAGTGCCCAGAAGGTACCGTGCTCGAGGTACTTCGGGATGACCTCCTCCAACATGCACAGAACGAGCAGGAGACTCCCGCTGCTCAAGAACGCGTTGTGGACGCGGAAGAGGAACTGCAGCTTATACGCGGGCCTATCCTTCATCCATGCCTGGATACTGAAGATGATGACGAGATACGCGACAAGGGTCGGGAAGACCTCCTGCGGGGTCGACAGCAACGTCTTCCCGGGCACATAGTGCGTCAACTCATAAGGAAGCTTGATAGACGCGAGATGGAGGCGCGAGAGCAGGAAATCCGCGAGAGGAGCCATGGAGGAGGAGGACGTGGTCGGAGAGAAGAGGTGGACGCCCTGAACGACTTTTTCGATCCCGCCAACAGGCGCGTGCTTTTAGGGGCCGGCACTCGCCGGTTAAGCACCGGCCGGGGAAGTGCCAGCAGCGCACAAGTGCGCGTCTCGGCCGTGCTCCGGCGCCGGCGCGTCCCAAAATGAAAGGACCGCTTCCGGGCCCGAGACGCGGCGGTCCGAGGCTGGGACGCGTCGGTCCTCCCGCCGCGTCGCTTCGGTCCCGCCTGCACAGCTTGCGCCCCGACGTTCCAGCGGCGAGGCAGGACATGTGTCCGAGCCGTGTATACAGAGCCTTCTGCGCTAACGGTGGAGGACCGGAAATCCGCAACACGCCAGCTGACCGTTCCGGCGAGCACAATTGGTCATAGATGCGCGCCGCGTGAATCCTGGACGTGATACGATCCGTGAAAAGGCACGTCATTCGCTGAGCTAGAAAGCCCATGTGGCCGCCACTCGCCACAGCGTGCACCTCGGTGTGAACGCAGCACGCCGTCGAGGGCAGTCGCGAATGGTGGCGAGTAGTCACGAAGGCCGGTATGCCAGACAGCTGCGCGGAAGACGCGCCTCGTGAGCCTCGCGCGGGCGACCTTCTCGCCCCTGTGGGCCCTCGGCTGACGTCCGCGAAGCTACCAAGCCCCTGGTAGTCCACTGACAATTACGCGCATTGGCCTCGATGCAGTGCCACGGGACATGTAGTAGGCGTGTTGCCTAGAATGACCATGATCGCATCTCGAGCTTGATTGCTACGCCTGAGAAGCCGTCGGTCGTAATACGAGAGTCACAAGATGACGATTCGCGTGCAACCGGCAAAACACAGACCACTCTGCGGAGCACAATGTGAAGTGAAAGAAGGAAATCCATGAGTATTTGCCAGATAATCCAGAGTGATCCGTGTAATAGATACAAGTTGACGCGAGATAAACAAAAATGATGATGCAAGGGCTATAGCGTGGTTGAGGACGAGGAGAGTGACGAGAGCGAGATCATGTAATGACGAGAGCGTAGCCATCTTCAAGATCGGCAAGCAAGGCCTTCTCTCTGGAGCGGGTCACACAGTCAGTTCTGTCCGAGGTGGGAGGGAGGACGGGACGTACTTGATGTCGAGGTTCGCGTGCTGCACGGCAGCAAAGGCCGCGGCCCTGACTTTGGACGCGTCGAGGCCGGAGGGAAGCGCGCAGACGAGACACATTTGGCAGCTAGCAGGCTGAAGACGGTAGGAAGCAGGGATCTAGCAAGTACGGTAAGCAACCGACGCGCGATGCGAGCCTAGTAGCGGACTAACCCCGGACGCTCGGAGCGACTCGACGAGGTTGTGCACAAACAACAGCGAGCGCGAGCGCAAGTCGTGGAGGTCGTGGAGGTCGGCACCTGAGGTACAGGTATGAGCGGCGGCAGGTCGTGTGACCACGTGGGAGACGCACATGAAGCCGACGACGGGCAGCCGGTCGGAATTGTGCAGTAAAGTCTCACAGAACGCGCCGATTTTCGTATCAGTCTACACGAGGCGATGGTCAACGAGGCCCGGTCAAAGAGAGTGATACGGCGAGTGCACTCACTGAGCAAAGGGTTCCACTGCCTCGTCCAAGTTGCCCAGCTGGGGGGACAACGTCGGTGTCTGTCAGCATGGGATCGTACCGAAGCCGGGGGGCGGGGACGCACCTCGTTGAACTCAACGTCCTTGATAGGACGTTGTGCGTCCAGGTGCATGGGGATGTGGACAGCGGGGGATGGCATGACGGACATCATCTTGACAGAGGTACGAACGCGGGGGTGGGGTTGGATGTGGGGTTGTGAGGGGAGTTCAGCGGAGAGGAGAGTGAGGTGGGAGGGGGAGACCCATGAACCGGCACGGAGTGGACTGGTGTAAATAGTAAAGTGCGTGGAGGAGCTTCTCCTCGTTGCAGCCTTCGCGGAGGATTCCGGGGCTGCCGGCAAGGAATGTGTACGGAGGCGATCGGTCGCCCAGGTCATGTTCTCGGTCGCAAGAATACACCCCGCGGGGGTGGCTGCCCACAGCCACGGGCATATTTAGCGCCATCACGAGGCCCTACCTGGACGGAACTCGCGGCCAGACCGAGGCCGCAGTTGCTGGGCATCTCGTACAACGCCGCATGCGGCCTGTTCATCTCAGAGTCTGTTACGCCACGGAAGGGGAGGAAGGAGAGATACACCGTGAGCGGATCGATCCCACTCAGTTGTGCAGATAAGTCCACACCCAGGCCCGGCTCCGGCCCGGCTCACGGCACCCCTGCGGAACCGCCTACAGGCGCCCAATATACAGGGCGCTAATCGCGGTGCCTGCCTAATGGAGACATGACGTACGCGACCGCCGGCCTGAATCACTGACCGTTTGTTGACCGCAGACTGCAGCTCTACCAACTTTCCTCGTCGACCACTCCTCCCGCCACACCGCTCTCTGCTGTACAACCTCGCTGGTATATCTGTTGTAAAAACATCTGCTCACCATGGTCTGGTGGTCAGACCCGGGGAAGGAGGTCCTGAACATCGTGCGTAACGAGCTGCGGTTTCCATTCATGCGCTTACCGCCTGCATACAGCTGTTCAACCGCGTCCTTGCCCCGTATGTTGAGAACCTGGACATGAATCAGGTTAACTATGGAATTGGACAAGGTCGGTATCTTTGTTCACGGGGAGAACGCGGCCTGAACGTGATCATATAGGACAAATCACGCTAAGCAAGTTGCGCCTCAAGAAGGGTGCCTTGGACAAGTTTAGGCTGCCTGTGGATGTCATTGATGGTGTGTAACCAGCTTCTACGCGGTATATGCGTGTCCAATAATAAAACAGGGCACCTGGGCAAGCTGTCCCTCTCACTACACTGGATGAACTTGGGCAACCAGCCAGTAGAAGTCCTGGTTGAGGATGTGTATCTACTCGTCGTCCCCTCGTCCGAATCTACCTATAATCCCGAAGAAGAGGAACGTCGGGCCCAGGCCGCCAAGTTTGAACGTCTGGAGAACGCGGAGCTTCTCCATGTGCAAGCACGGACTGATGTCGCACAAGGTACGAACGCCGATCATGAAATGTGCCTTGGACGAGCATTCAATTCTCCCCAGATTCCGCACAGTCACAAGGTCTGATAGCATCCTTGGTGACGAAGATTATCAACAACTTGCAGGTTACCGTTCGGAACATCCACATTCGATACGAGGACAAGCTCAGTGTGCCGGGCGTAAGTGGGCCTCGCTGCAAAGCCGGACGGGGAACTGATTCGATACATGTTCTATATTAGCATCCCTTCGCCGCTGGTGTGACGTTGGCCGGGTTCACCGCGGTGTCGGTGAACGAGAATTGGCAACCCGCCTTCATCGACACGAAGGCTGGCGCAGTCCACAAGGTCGGTCCATCATGCAGTTCGCTGCTCCATTTCTCTGATCGCTCATCCGGCGCAGCTCGCGAGACTAGACTCCCTTGCGGTCTATTTTGACACCGACTGCGGAAGCTTGTCGGGATTGTCCTACCAGGAATTTGTGGAGAAATTCACAGCGTTGGTCAGTAACTCGGTTCGATGAACTGGAGGACAAGTTGTTGATACCGCCTGTAGATCTCCAAGGTCAACCGGCTCGCCCCTCATCAATTCATCCTTAAGCCAGTCTCGGGCGAGGGCAAGGTAAAACATCTGCAACAGAGACCGAATGCGAATCCTGACGTCAGGCTGGCTAGATCATCATGAACCACAAGCTCGACAAGGAGACACCTCGCTTTGACGTACAGCTCTCATTCGACGAGATCGGCGTGCTGCTGGATGACAACCAGTACCGAGATGCCATCTCCCTGGTAGACATGTATCACTTCTATATTCGACAACACCAGGTAGGTAGTCGTACGACCACCCCCAGAATGGACACCGACATATGCTCCCACAGTACCAAAAATACCGCCCGGCTGCCGAAGAACTCGAGAAGAGCCGTCCGAAGGCGTTGCTCAAGTTCGCCACCACGGCCATATTGGACGAAGTCCGCGATCGCAGGCGGAGATGGACCTGGGAATACTTCGCGGAGAGACGTGACGACCGTCACCGCTACGTGGACCTATTCAAGCGGAAACATCTTGGGCCGCTCTCCCCTCAGGTCGGTTGTCATGTGGCGCGTCATAGGCTCGCGGCTAATAACCTGATACGTAGGATGTCGCAATCCTGGAAGCGTTGGAGAGAAAGCTCTCATACGAAGATCTACGTTTCTACCGTTCTATCGCACGCTCGCAGCTGCGCAAGGACATGGCCACGCGGAGAAAACTCGAGGATGAGCGTAAGAAGCAGCAGCCACAGAAGCAGGGGTCGTGGTCCTCGTGGATATGGGGCTCCTCAACAACGGCCGACGGTAGCAGTAACTCCGCACCCAGCAGTGAGGAGACTGCGTTCACTGGTGAGATGACAGACGAGCAGCGGAAGGAGCTGTACAAGGCGCTGGACTATGACGAAAAGGCCGTCCTCGCGGAGTCTCTCGACACGCCGAGGGACGCATTGAAGGCTCGCGTCAAGGCGCAGCTGAACCGCGGCTCGTTCGCGCTAAAAACTGACCCGCACGGCAAGAACAGCGAGATCGTCTCGGTCGTTTTCGACATCTTCCAGGCGACGTTCCTGCAGCGGCAGGACAACTTCGAGACGTCCCTCTCCCTCGGCGGGTTCGCCATTCGGGATGGCACGACGCAGAATACAGCTTACCCCCTCATCGTGCATGTGCAGGAGAAGAGGAGCCAGAGCGAGATCGTCAAGACGCTCCCCGTGGAAGAGTCGGGTGTCTCGCCCGACTTGCCCGATCCGTTCTTCTTCCTGAAGTTCGAGAAGAACCCCCTTAGTGGGCGCGCGGATAGCGCACTGACGGTTCGTATGCGGTACATGGAGATTGTGTATCACAGAGGATACGTCGAGGCCGTGTACAAGTTCTTGAAGCCCCCTGCGAGCCAACTCGAGTCCGTTGAGGCCCTCTTGGTGGGTCGAATTTTTCATAAGTGTGATTATACTAACGGCTCTGAAGGATGTTGCGAGCCAAACACTGGAGGGCTTGCGGAAAGAGACCAGAATTGGTCTCGAGTACGCCTTGCAGACGCACAAGACCATCGACGTCAAGATGGACCTCAACGCGCCTATTATCATTGTGCCCGAAGAGTAATCTAATGCCTCGTTCGAATATTGTGCGTGCGGACACTTACCTAACGTCTCCGTCAGCGTCACTTCGACGAAAGGCAAGCATCTGGTCATCGACGCTGGTCATATCTCGATTGGTAGCGAGCTGGCGAGCAAGGAAGCCATTCAGGAGATCCACGCGAAGCGAAAGCAGCAGTACACCGAGGACGACTACAAGCACCTAGAGTCGATGATGTACGATCGTCTGACCGTCAGACTAGAAGCCGCTCAGGTCAGTACCATTGAAAAGCCCCCGGATACGCGAACATCATTGAATACCCTCGTTAATAGTTCCTCATTGGGGACGACCTTCACTCATGTCTCAAAGCGCTCCGCTCGAAGGAGAACGACAACCTGCACCTGCTCGAGCGGACCAACTTTGACCTCCAGGTGCAGAACTCGATCGTCCCAACTGCCTACACGCTCGCACGGCTGAAGGTCGCGGGTCATTTGCCCGCGCTCCAAGTAAACATGTCGGACACCAAATACAAGGCCCTCATGCGGCTTATCGACGTCTCAATCCCGCACTTCGATGACGATGAAGAGGCCCCGGCCCGAGTTAATTCCGCCGTTAAACCATCACCATCTCAGCGGCATACTTCTACTGCATTCAAGATACCCTCTGGCTTCTTCGGACCGGGCCCGGAAGAGGAGTACGCCATCGAGACCGACGACGAAGACCAGGCGGTCGTGGCCCATAGGCAGGGGAAGCCTGCTGAGCGCGATGAGGGCCATGAAGAGTTCTTTGAGGTAGACACGGGCGCCATATCCGTACGTCTTCCCTGCATCGCGCTTTCTGCGGTTGGTTGGCCTAATCCGACACGTACTACTAGAGCCCAGCGCTACACCAGCACGTCGTAGAAGTTGATTTCAAGGTTGACACTCTTCGCGCCACGCTGTACAAGTCCGCACCGGATGGGACGGATAAGGCGCTCGGTGAAGTATCTTTCCAGGGCTTCGGCCTCGCCTACGCGATGGAGAAGTATGTCATGAAGGTGGACGTCAACTTGAAGTGAGTTCCTGTGCACGAGACGGGACTTTCACATGCTGATTCATGCGCTTCCGCTAGATCCGTGTCAATGCACGTCAACCGACCTGGCAAGGATCCTTTGGAGTTCGTCTCGTCGGCGGCCGGGCCTTCGGCGGCGGACCTCCTCACCGTCAAGTACACCCGAGTGCAGCAGGCCTCGCCCGAGTATCAGCCGGTCTATGAGGGTATTGACCAGAACGTTGACGTCAAGATCTCGACGTTCCTGTTCCGGGCTGCTCCAGAGCCGGTCCTCACGCTGTACGATTTCATCATGACCACCTTCGTTCCCCAGAGTGGGGACAAGGTCGAGGCGCCGCCGTCTCCGGATTCCCCCGATGGACAAGGCGTTCCTGCGGTTGTCGTGGATGCTGGTGGTTCGCCCGAGAAGATCAGAGTGCTGCTGACGCTCGAGAGTATCCAAGGTGCGTCTGGAGCGCACCTCCTGACTGCTGTAGCTAATGCGACTGTAGTCATCCTCATCAACGACGACGTCCGGATCGCGACTCTGTCTCTCTCGACGGCGTACGTCGCGATCGTGCTTCGCGCGAACACCATGCGCATCAACGGCCGCCTGGGGAGTCTCGCACTGAACGACGACTCGCCAATCCAGACGGCCTCGCCCGAGTTCAAGCAGATTTTGTCCATCGAAGGCGACAACTTCGCGGACTTCACCTACCAGACCTACAACCCCGAAGATCACGAGACATACACGGGGGTGAAGTCCTCGGTCTCCCTCAACACGGGCTCTGTGAAGGTCCACTACCTTGAGCACAGTCTGCACGATGCGTATCAGTTCGTCATGCGTCTTGCCAAGCTCAAGGGCTTCTATGATGCCGCCACAGAAGCTGCGGTACAACGCGCTTCTGAGATCGAGCGCATGCAGTTTGACGTCTCCATTAGCACGCCCATCATCGTGTTCCCTGCGGATGCCCAGAACTCGCTGGACGTCCTGACCATGCGCCTCGGCGCGCTTAGCGCTCGGAATTCGTACGAGAACGACGGCGACCGCATTACGGCCGGATTGCACGGTATACAGCTGACGTCATGTCTACACTACGATGACCAGCCGTCCGTCCTGAAGATTGTCGACGATATCGACATCAACGCGGACATTACACAGTATAGCGGGATTGACCGTTCTAAGGATTTGGAACGTCCGAACACGCAGGTGAACTCGGCAACCCAGTCCCTGCTCACAGACAGCTCGCTTATTGAATATTTGTTGAATAATCCCCAGGTCTCCGTCAAGATTTCCGATGTCCGACTGCACCTCACGGAACCCCAGTATTGTCTCCTCATCGCCTTGTCTCAGTCGATTCCGAAGGTATTCGCAGACGTGCCCGAAGTTGACCATGAGCCGGAACCAACGCAACCCCTCGAATCTTCAAGTACGCCGAACGCCAGCTCGGACTCGACCACCGTAGTCGATCTGCGGCCTGAGCTGTCAACCAACCCCTCCTCGGGTGACACGCGGCCCTGGACTTCATTGGATGTGGTGGTCGCCGTCAGCGCCATTAAGCTGCACCTCTATGACGCTCTTGCCACCACTCAGGCAAACGTCAAGGAACACGGCATCGCTCGGTTTGCCCTGAGCGACAATAGCCTCAGGCTCAAGATGCTATCCGATGGCGCTCTAGAATCCCAGGTCGTCTTGAAGTCTATGACGATGAGCAACACCCGCCCTGGGCCCTCGAAGTTCCGCGAGATCATGCCTGCAGCTCAGCACGAGCGGAACCAGATCATGCTCCTGTTTAGTTTGTCGGGTGGAGCAAGCAACACCGGTCTTGCTGTTCTGACCGTCGACTCGCCTGAGGTTATCTTCGCGGTCGATCCTATCATCTCCCTGCTAGAGTTCTTTACCAGTGCATTCCCTCCACAAGCCGAGCCAGCGGATGAAGTCGACGACGTCGACGCGGAGCAGACTGAGCCGAGCCCTTCAGGTTTGAAGATCGACTTCCGTCTAGATCTGCACGACGTGTCTGTTTGTGTTCTAGAGGACGATGCCAGCAACGAGTCCCAGGCGATCAGACTGACCGTCAAGCAACTGCTCGTCTCGCAGCAGGTACGGACTTCGCATCTATGCCAATACGTGAAGCATCTAACGAAGCGTGCAGGGAGTGTTCGCCGTGAGCGTGAAGCAAGTTGGGATGTCCCTCACCCGCATGGGCAAACCATCTGAAAGCGTTCGATTCCTCGACGACGTCGACCTGACATTTACACTGGACAGCCGCTCCTCTGGAGCGCACCAGTCTACCAGCATCGAAGTCACGTCGCTGCCTATAGTTTTCCGAGCCTCGTACCGTGACATCATGCTCATCACGGCCATCGTCAACAAAGCGATCGCGTTGTACGGCAACTCCAGCCAATCGTCGGGGCCGGAACGGCCAGGTCTTGAAAAGACTCCAAGCCGACCAGCATTGATGTCCGCCAGAAGGGGTTCGAGGCCGACGACTTCTCGCGTTCAGCCCGTCGGCAGTGCCCATGTTGTGACGCACAAGGAGCAGGTACAATATTCTGGAGTAGCATCATTATGTATAACGTCGCTCATGCGACCCTAACAGTTCAGAGGCTCGTTCGAAGGATTCCGCCTAGTCCTTATCGGTGACCTTCATGAGCAGCCCCTCTTGCATTTGAGGGTGAAGCCCTTCATCCTCGGGGCGAAGGACTGGTCCGGAGAGGTAGGTTTGAAGCCTCTTAGCAGGAGCTCCATTCTCACCGTTAAACAGCTCCAAGCAACATCCACCCTCTCGGTCCACGTTAGCTACTGGAATCTTTCGAACTCGCATTGGGAGCCTCGTAAGCAGTCGAGCCCCCCAGACCGTTGTACTACTGACGCCATTTTCTGTAGTGATCGATCCATGGACGTTCACAGCATCAGTAAGGAACTCCTGCCCCAGTCTCCAGCTGTGTGCTCATCACACGCATAGATCGCAAAGGAGTCCCCCACCGGCGGCATGAAAATGTCGGTCAACGCAAATCAGCGCTTAGATGTGAACGTCACGATGACCTTCGTTGAACTTACTCTTGCGACCTCGAAGATGCTTGGGGTAGAGGGCGAACGGATGCTGCAGAAAGCTCGCGGGAGCTACGCTCCGTACCGCATATGGAACAGGACGGGGTACCCTCTGTTTATCTGGTCAGACACAGATGGCAGCCACGACAACAAGGATACCTCGGCGAAGCAGATCGCGAACGGCAAGACCATCGACTGGAGGTTTGATGACTGGAAGACAATGCGTGAGGTATGCAAGCACGTCTTGGGTTTCATGACACCTTGTTGAACGCGCCCCCAGCATGTCTCCTCTAGTGGACACAACAGCATCGGCCTGCAGATTGCCGGAAAGCAGTGGGAGCATCTTCGCAGCATCCCCGTCGATAGAGAGGGGGAGTACACATTCTCCCTGAGGCCTCGTTCGGAGAAGTATGCACATCGTTTGGTTTGTGAGGTGAAGGTCCAGGGCAACGTCAAGTTGGTCGTGTTGCGGTCGACATACAAGATAGAGAACCACACGCTCTATCCGACAGAGCTTACTTTGGTAGACGAAACCGGTCAGCCGGTGTACGCTGTAGAGAAGATCGGTTGGTTACGTCCGGTTCATGTTCACATTACGTTCGCTCACGTTCGCAATCAGCCCCTGGACAAGACTATGCCCTACCCCTCGATGCAGTCAATCGGTGCCGTGTCCGACTACAACCTGATCGTAAGCTATCCGAGATGACTCTGAAGAGCAGTGAACTTTACTCAACTTCTTTCACAGAGGGTTTCGGTTACAAGTGGTCTCCGGCAATCCGATGGGAGGACCTCATTGCCAAGCGAGGCTTCACGCTGCGTTGCCCTCACTCAGACCAAAATGAGGCAGCCTTCAGGTTCCAAGCCTGGGCTGATGCGGACTCCAACGATATCGCGTCACGGTGGGAGCACTAATCGATATTGAAATGCATTTGCTGACCCTCCTCTCCTTAGCAAACTGCCGAGGATCACGCTCAAACTTCGGGCACCGATCGAGCTAGAGAACTTGCTCCCGTATAACCTCGACTACCGCATCTACGACAAGGAAACCGATCAGAACTGGAGGAGCTACCTGCGTAAAGGCGGTGTCATGCCTGTTCATTCAGTCGAGCTTGCGCATCTTGTGTTGTTGAACATCCAGATCCAGGACACAGGTACTATACCAATATCACATCCCTGTGGCAGAACTGACCACTCAAACTAGTCTTCAAACCGAGTGACTTCGCCATCATCAATACCGACGGCAATTCCGACTTTGACGTTGAAAACAAACTTGTGTTGAGGGACCCCGACGGCCACAAGCTAGATCTAAAGCTTAACTACGTGTAAGGATTGTTTCTTGTGCTGGGGTTGGTCGAGTTAGTAACCTTTTCCGCAGACACTATCCCGATTCCGGTGGTTCTTTCAAAGTGCAGGTCTACAGTCCCTACATCGTCTTGAACAAGACCGGGCTTCCGTTCTCAGTACGGCCATCTAGTTCTCGAGTCGGTTCGTCATCAGAAGTTGCAGGGGAAACAAGACCAGGTAATTGCACTGTGTCATTGATAAAACTTCGCTGATGCTGGTTCTTAGACATCCTCGCCAAACTTATTCCCTTCTGTGAGCTCTCAGACAGGTCATTTCCATTTCGTGACCAAAAAATCTCACACGGGTCGTTTCAGTGTTGTCTCATTCCATCGACAACGGCAAGGACTTCGCATTCAAGCTCGGAGATTCTGCTTGGTCGCAGGTAATAGAATCTCGCTCTATTTCGGCATACGCGGCTCACAAGACATCCAGACTGTCAGCCTGGACGCCCCAACAGCCGAGACAAGACTTGTGATGCCACACCAGACACAGAAGGCGGATGAAATACACGTCGGTCTCTCATGGACAGAAGGACTAGGAAAGTACAAGTTGACAAAGGTCATCACTCTGGCGCCTCGTTTCATCGTCGTCAACAACTTCTCCCAACCTTTGGCGTTCCGAGAGCATGGCGTGGCACCCCGCGGACGTCCTACGATCGAACCTGGAGAGAAGCGCCCCTTGCACTTCTTGCGTGTTGGTGATGAGAAGCTGCTCACCCTCGCCATCCCGGGCCTCAATGCACAATGGTATGGATGATAATAGATAAATGTCCTGATCGACATCGCTCATGTTGTACAGGTCTCCCGCCATCAATCTGGAGGATATAGGCAGCGTGCACTTCCGCTTGCACGCTTCAGAAGGAAGCCAGAACATGCGTCTAATGCGAGCAGATGTAAAGATTGAAGGGCCTACCATCTTCATCTTCATCGACGAAGCCACCGAGGGTTGGCCGTTCACGATCGAGAACGACACCGACCACACATTCACCCTGACCCAAACGGTATGTGCACACTGTGGCATCACCCTAAACTTTCACCAACCTTTCTCCAGGATCTCAATCGCAAGGAAGGAGGGCAGGCTGCGAAGTCTGGCCCGACTTACACGGTTGCCGCCAGGTCCAGTCTTGACTATGCGTGGGACAGTCCAGCTGCTAGGGACAAGCGGATCGTCCTCGCAGTCAGTGGCTCCCGCCGAGAGATCGACGTCATGGAGATCGGCGACCTGGTGCCGTTCAAGTTTGCCGTAAGTGTCGAGTTTGTCGTGTACTTTTATCTCTAATTAATCCTCGGTTAGGGCGAGCGAGGAACGCAGACGGTATCTTTGGACGTACGTGCCGATGGTCATAGGCAAGTGCTGCGTATCACCAACTACAACGCGGAATACAGTCTGTACAAGCCCCGACGCCGAGACACCATGTCACTGGCGCGACAGGACTCCATGAGCAGTAGTCAAGACGCATTTGAGGCGGTCCAGGAAACGGTGGCTCCTGTCCTGACCGTCTACCTGGACCTCCAGGGCTTGGGCATGTCTCTCATCAACCGGCGCATGGTCGAAGTGGTCTATCTCTCCCTCAACGCCTTGAAGTTCGAGTACGCCAACAACCCCGTCGCCCAGTCTGTCACTCTGTCCTGTGGAGGCTTGCAGATCGACAATCAGCTGCACGATGCCCTCTTCCCTGTTCTGCTCCAGCCAACTCCGATCTCTCAAGATTCAAAGGCGGTCGCTGCCTTGCCCACGGTGCAGGCATCAGTGATCTGGTTGAACGATGAGGGTAGGTGTCGACCTTGTATCATGTGTACACGACTAATGTGGATCACAGAGCACGGCGTGTTCTTCGTCAAGTACTGCTCCATTCTTCTCCAAGCTTTGACGGTAGAAGCGGACGAAGACTTCCTGTTTTCCCTCTACGATCTCACGAAGATCAAGGGCGCGTCGTGGGACGAGGGCCAAGAAGAGTAAGTTCACGCTGTGACTCGTCCGATATTCTTCGCTCACATCGCGGTTGCAGCGTGCTCCTCAAATACCCAGAGGATATACCTGAGCCACAAGCTACCGCGCGCGGGCAAGACTTGTACTTCGAAGTACTGGAATTGCAACCGATCAAGCTGTCCATCTCTTTCATGCGCACAGAGCGGGTCAGCGGGGAAGAGAAGTAAGCTAGGCCATCCTGAGATTTGTGCGTGTGCTGACGTATTTGCCAGGTTGAGTCTCCGCAACCCATTCGCCGTCGTGCTCAACGCGGTCACGATGGCGGTTGGAAATGTCAACGATGCTTCCTTGGAAATGAATGCATTGGCGATCAAGGACATGCGTCTCACGCTGCCTGATCTCGAGGAGCGGATCACGCATCATTACCGTCAAGAAGTCCTTCGCCAGCTCTATCGCATTCTGGGGTCAGCGGACTTCATCGGCAACCCCGTCGGGCTCTTCACCAATGTCAGCTCCGGTGTCGCCGATATCTTCTATGAACCGTTCAACGGATCGGTCATGCATGGGAACAAGGAGATCGGTATCGGCATCGCGAAGGTCGGTCGGAGCATTCGTTACGTCGTAGCGGGGGCTCTGAACAATTTCCGCAGGGCGCAGCGAGCTTCGTCAAGAAGACTGTCTTCGGGTTCTCGAACAGCTTCACCAAGTTCACGAGCAGCGTCGGAAAAGGTGAAGATGCGCCCAGTACGTACAGACGTGACAGTGTGTTCATTATGGCTTGCAGGTCTTTCGGCGACCACCCTGGACTCCGAGTATCAGCTGCGCAGACGTATGAACCAACGACGTAATCGCCCTCGACACGCCATGTACGTTCTTGCTCCATGATACGAATCCGTGAGATCTAACGATCGGTTCACTAGCTATGGTGTCGCTGCAGGTGCTGAGGCACTTGCTAGCAGCCTTGCAAGCGGCGTCGAAGGTGTGGTGGTAAGCTTCATCAAATTATTTAACCAGGCGCAATTTCTTATACCCATGCAGCTCAAGCCCATCGAGGGTGCCGAGTCGGAAGGGGCAAAGGGATTCTTCAAGGGGGTCGGAAAGGGGCTGATCGGGTAAGTTATGAATCGTCCCTAAGTCTCTTGCTGTGTCGCTGAATGTATGCTAGCGTCGTCACGAAACCCGTGATCGGGGTGTTCGACCTCGCCGCCAACGTCTCGGAAGGTGAGCCTCAGCAGTTCTCCCCCCGTCATTAGCATTAACCTGCGCGCAGGCATTCGTAATACCACGACGGTGTTCGACAACCCGGCTCGAGACCGCGTTCGCTTGGTGAGGATTCTCCGTAGTCTGTCGGTATCCCAGTGGCCTTACCTCACCTCATGCAGCCTCGTCTCATACCTGCCGATGGTGTCCTCGTGGTATGTGGCATGCTCATAGTGCTCTAACACCGCTCTAACACCCCGAATAGCCGTATGCCGAGCGTGAAGCATTGGGACAGTACTGGATGAAGGACCTCGAGTCGGGCAGGTTCCGCACTGAGACTTACGTCGCACACCTCAGTACGTGCCCCACGAGTGAGAAGAGAACGCACCCCCTGACGTACCAAACAGACCTCCCTGGGGGAGACAACGTCGTGCTGCTGACCACGACGAAGGTGCTCTCGTTCTGGTCGAACAAGCTCCGGCTCGAGTGGGAGCTCCCCTTCACGCAGGTCCAGGGCGTCACCATCGAGGACACGGGCATCAAGTTCGCGCACAAGGCCGGCAAGGAGCACGACAAGTTCATCTTCATCCCCGACAAGAGCTCCCAGACCTGGTTCTTCTCCCAGATCGCGTCCGTGGTCAAGGCGTTCAACGCCCGGCGGCGCATGGACTCCTGAGCCCTTGCGGCTGGAGATGAGGACTCGCTCACGCACGCTGCACGCTCACGCACGACGCACACACCATTCTCGGACGGTATTAAAGTGTATTGATAGACTGTATCTCATGTACCATGCAAGATGTACCAATGTATGACGGCATATATGCGACCGCGCGGAACGGCAAGAGTGAACGAAAGCGGTCGACAAGGGACAGTGAATCCAAACACACAAACGATATAATGGTAGGCGATAGAGGGATGTGGTGAACCAACGAACGATAGGCGAGGGGAGACTGGATATACAGAGGGACCGAGCGAGACAGGGCGGTGGGGGGTAACCGGCGGAGGGATTAACGCATAAAGTAAGGGAATAAATACTATGGACAGCGGGATCCCTGCATGTGTACAGACAGTGGTGCGCGCTGCACTTAGACTGGCACTGACCGGGCGGGCGCGCTCTAATGGCCGCCCACGGTGTCCTCGCTCGCGCGATTCGTGAGCCGGCTCTGGCTCTTGACGGCCGTCGTCGCCGTGCTCGTGCTGAAGTTGCGCTCGCGGCCCTTGAGCGCGAGGTCCTGGTGCGTGCCGAACTCGTCGAGGTGGTCCCCGGCGAGCCCGGTCGGCGTCACCTGCTCGGTGTTGTCGCTCGCCGCGTAGCCCTTCGCGCCGTAGTGCTCGAGGCTGCCGTAGCTGCCGCGCGGGCTCGTCGAGTACGCGCTCTGGAAGTCCGTGTCCTCGTCGTCCGTCGCGCCGTTCGCCCCGGGGGTCAACGACGGCGTCGTTGGGGTGGCCGTTGTCGGCGAGAATGCGCCGAACGACGCGGTGGACGGGATTTTGCGCAGCCCGGGCAGCTCGAGCGTCGAGGTGGTGACCTGTGGGCGGGGCTTCTCCTCGGGGGCGATCTCGGTCTTGGTCTCGCTCTCCGTCGCTGACAGCGCGGGGTCCATCGTGTCAGAGTTCTTGGGGTTGGCACGGCGAACAGGGGTGTCGAGACCAGACAGGGCGGGCGAGTCGGTCAGTTTCCTGGACTTGGGCTTTCCACGACGTGCGCGTGAGCGACCAGACTCAGACCACTCGCTCTCGCTGTCCAGCGAGCGACGGTACGCCTCAGAGCCAAGCGCAGACTCCAGCTAGAAGACGACGCGTCAACAAATCAATCAGACGAAACGCAATAGAGGCACGTACCTTGCGCTGAATTTGAAGCACCTTCTGCGCGATCTTGTCGCTCTTCTGGCTAATCCCCTCGTCGACGGCCTTCATCCCGTCCTGCTCCATCTCCGCCGCAGAGAATCGCTTCTGCTTCTTCTGGCGCTCCTTCTCAAGCTGCGCCTTCTCGCGCTCAACCTCGTCCGCGTGCTCCTCCTCCTCGGGCTCCTCGAGCACAGTCCCCGTCGCGCGCTCGGGCTTCAGCGTGAACTCGTCGCGCATGTCCCCGCCCGAGTACGACTCCGCGAGCGTCGACTCCGTGCTGAACGAGCGCAGCGGGCGCGACCGCGCGTCGCTCCCGCGGCGGTGCGAGGGCGCCGAGGGCGCGGAGCGCGAGGACATGCGGCTGGACGGGCGCGAGCCGCCGTAGTCCGAGTCGTCGACGTCGACGGCCATGTGCGCGAGCGCGCGCTCGATCTGCGCCTCGACCTCCGCGATCATCTCCGCGCGCTCCTCCTCCATCTTCTCCATCGTCTCGCGCATCTGCTCGAGCTCCTCCTGCGCGGTGCGGTGCGCCTTCTCCGTCTCCTGCAGCTCTGTAACACAAGAAACAACGCGTCTCATCAATTAAACGTTCGCGGATGCGCTCTCCGCGAGGCGGACATGGACGACAAGACACGGCACTCACGCTGCTGCAGCTTCTGCTTCTCCGACGCGGTCATGGTGATCATGCTCGACAGGCGCTTCGTCTCGCGCTGCTCGCGGTTGATCTTCGAGCGCAGGTCGCTCGCCTCCACGCTCAGCTTCTCCGCGTACTGCTCGAACGTGACGAACTTGTCGCGCCAGAGGTCCGACTCCGTCATGAGGAAGTTCAGCCGGCGCGAGAGCCGCCCGATCTTCGTCTCGAGGTCGTCGCGCGCGTCCACGAACGCGGACGCGCGCTTGCGGATCGACAGCTGGATGTGCTGCTCCGCGACACTCAGGCGCGGCGGCGGGCGCACGCTCCCGAACGAGCTGATGCGCTTCAGCAGCGACGGCTTCTTCATCTTCTCCGCGAGCACGCTGTCGAACGCCTGGATAATACGTGTTGAGTGCCACCACTCTGGCGGCTTGACCATGTCCGCGACGGCGGTAGATGCTGAGCCTCGCTTCGCCTGGATTTTGCATACGGGGCGGAACCGCCCAGCAGGGAACGCTTCCTTGAACTCACTATGGATACCATGAGCTTGAATATCCCTGCGAAGATAAGAGAGCTTACCTCGGTACACAGTGGTCGGGATGGTAGTGCGGCTCGAACGCGGTGAGCAGCTTCTGACGGTACCTGTCGCGCTGCTGCTTGACAGAGACAACGCCGGCTGGAGGCGCCGCGCAGTTCAAGTAGTTGATGTCCCTATAATTTCGCGTTTAGCGCATGTAGCTAGTAACTAGTTCAAGGTGCGGTACTCACAAATCGACGACGCACACCTCCGGCGGCGGCCGCACCGCGTAGCGCGCCTCCGTCGCCAGACCAATGATCCAAGGACCGGGGTCCTCAATGTAAATCTTCGCATCGCGCGAGTGCACAGAGGAGAGCGCAACGCCACTCCAACCACGCAGTTCGACGAGGTACTTGACCGTCATCACCGCAATACCCAGCATAGCCGGGTGCCGCGAGAAGAACAGCACACGGCCCGTAGGCGCCAGCGCAATCTGGGGTAAAGCAGTGAATTAGCACTGCACTTACCAGATCATCATTCACACCGAAGGATTTACCTCGCAGATGGTGAGAATGTTGTCGATGTTCAGGCACTTGAACAGCGGCCACATCGTGAAGTTCACGTCGACGAGCCCGCGGCCAAAGTCGAGGCCGCCAGGGAACCGGGCGACGACCTCCAAGCTCGTCTCCGCGCCGCCCTGCGCGGGCGCAGAGGACGCGTCGAGGCGTACCAGCTCGCCGGCACGCGGCGCGGGGTGCGAAAGGATCTTGGAGATCTGCAGGGTGTGGGACTGCACGTCCTTCGAGAAGCGCGCCCACGACAGGGTAAGGTAATCCCGCATGAGGTCGTAGATCGGGAAGCGCGAGACCAACGCTAGAAGGCAGTGCGTTGCCAATCAGCTCCCGCAAGTTAAGCTTGATTGAGCTCAATGCACTCACTCAATGCGTAGGGCAGCCAGAAGACCGTGTCCCCCGGCAGGAACAGCGTGCTCTCGCCGGGGGTGTGTCCCACGGTGCTCGCGACCTCGTAGTCGCTCTCGCTGATCGCGCCGCCCTCCCCGTCTGTTTCCGGGTCGAGGTCGGTTTCCGCGTCGGTGCCCGCGCCCCACGGGCTGCGCGAGCTCATTTTCGCGCGTCGGCGCGCTGTCATCGCGGGGTCGCCCCCGGGCGTCGCATCAGACGCGTGACGGCGCATCCGCGACGCTACCAAACTTTGCGCGCTCTCTTTTCTCGCACGGCCGGCTTCTAGTGTGCGGCGTATGGCCGCAGTCCGCTCAGCGTCAGCATGAGACCAGACGGTAAGGCACACGCCATGGTAAGTTATCTGGCCGGCTCCGCTCGCGTTGTTGCCCATGCCGCCGCCGAGCTCGCTGCGCCCCGCGTTGTGTCCGTTGGGAGACAGGTACGCAGATGAGGTGGGGCCGAGGTAGGCGGAAGAGGGCCGGGCGTGACGGCTGAAGGGATCGTCTGCGTACGGGTAACCATACGACGAGACGTCCGTGTTGGTAGTCAGCACGGATGCACGAAGCATGTCCGTAGACGGGCTGGGCGCCAGAGGGGTGGTGGGCGCGGGGAGGTTGAACGTGAATGTGTGCACGGTGGACGCGGGCTGCAGAGTCGAGGCGATGATCTCGACCTCGCGCGTGAAGGAGAGCTAGAAGGGATGCGACGCGGTCACGGACCCGCGCAAACGGCGCACATACAAGAGGGGAAAACGCACCTTGAGCGCCTTGGACAGCATCTTGCCCACCTCCTGCTTGCTGAGATGGCCCGACGAGCTGAACATGCTCGCGTTGCCGTCCTCGGCCTTGTTCTTCTTCTTGCGCTTGCCGCCGCCCGCGCCGGGGCTTATCGTGCTCCCCAGCACCTCCGGCCGCCACCACCTGCCAACCGCACCCTCGGAATGGTGCAGACCCATCACGGAGTCGGGGTCGGCGAGCGTCCATGTGTGCGGGCTCTTGGGCAGCCCGGAGACTACGTAGAGCGACGCGAGCGGGAGGGTCGGCCCTGACGGCGACGGGGGCGGCGCGCTCACTGAGGGCGGTGCAGAACGCGCAGAGACCATGGAGTTGCGGTTCGAGCCCGGGATGGGCTCCATGCTCTGGCGCTGCCTGAAGCCGAGGACGCGTGCGGCCTTGTCGGTGCGTGCGGGAACGACTGCGTTCTCGACGGGGCCGTTGGCGGGGCGGTCGATGGTCACGTAGTCGAGGTCGTCCTCCTGGGCGGACTGGAACGAGGTTGTGGACGGGTTGTGGGAGAAGGAGAAGGAGGGCGAGGCGAGGCCGCCGCCCTGGCGGCCGTGGCCGAAACCGAGGCCGGGGAGGCCGTTTTGGGCGTCGTCCCTGTTGGCGTGGACGGCGTTCGCCCCCGCACCCACACTCCCACTCCCGGAGATGGTGATGATCGGGTCAGGCGCCGGGATCGGTCGCGGCACCCCGTGCCGCCGTCCGCCCATGCCAGCGCTGCTGCCCACCGCGCCGCTCGAGCTGGCGGCGCCGCCGTGCGCATCCTTGGAGTACCCGCTCGTGGTCGAGCGCAGGCTCAAGGTCGACTTCTGGGTCGCGCGGCGGGAGAGGAGAGACGCCGGGCCCGTGCCGTGATTTTTGTTGCCGTCGACGTCCTCCGAGAAGCGGGACTTCATGATCTTCTCGCCAATGGTAGGCGCGGGGGTTGCAGACACGGCGAGTGGCTGCGGCACAGGCGGGTTGGCCCGTGTTCTAGGACTGTGCATGGTGACAGCTGGTGCAGAGGATAGATATGGTGACTGGGGGTAGCGCAAGTACACACAACGGAAGGAAACGGAGACAGCGAGGAGAGAGGGAGAGACAGGTAGAGACACAGGGGATGAGGCGGAGAAAGGAGAGTGGGGCAAGGGCAGAGAGCAGCCTTGGAGGGGGCGGGGAGCGCGGTGCTCTCTCGAGCTGTGCGGCGACGATGGAGTCGAGGAAGAAGAGAGCTTGCTGGGCGGGGGCGGAGGGAGGTGGCGGGGCGAGGGTCGGCACTGGGCTTGGCCCCTGGCTTGCCCTCCTGAAACGCACTGGTATGTTTGTTTTCGCAGCGCGAGCTCCAGCCGGCCGGGGAGGCAATCGCGCGGACTCTTACGCGGTCTGATCTCCCTCGTCTTCGCGCACAAATTGCCACGCTAGCGAATGTCCGCCTCTCTTCGCCCTCTTCCTCGCCCTCCCCTCGCACACGCCCCGCCCCCTTCTTTCTCCCGCACCAGCGCGCAGAGCTCCCAGAACCGCAGAAGGGAGTGCGCAGCCCCAGAAGAGCTGCTGCTGCTGCAAATCGCGACCCAGCACAGCGGGCGCGCTACGGCTACATAGATACGCGATCACGTGCACCCCGTCGCGCACTCGCGTATCTGGCGATCGAGATCGATGTGATGGTGGGAGCCGTTCTAGCTCGAAGGGGCTTCTAACTCGCCTTCTATGGAAGGACGCCGACGGGTTTGGAGACCGAGTCCTCCGTCGAGCACCCGCCCCTCCTCCTCCATATCGCGGTGTTCCTGGCTGGGCGACATGGCGACGTCCATGCATGTCCTGACAGACCACTCATTAATGACAGTGGCGCGCAGTTAACATCTCCACACGTCGTCCGTGCTCGGCTCGGTGGCGCTGCCGCCTCGGAGTCCGGAGATGCGCCGAGCAGAGGGCCCTCCCGCGAACGCCTTCTTCTCGTCATCGCGCTCGCCGCCGTCCGGACAACAGCGCGGATCCATCCAAGAAGGTTGCCATTGATGCCTACTTACTCGCGTCGGGTATGCTAGTACGAGTCCATAGAAACCCCATTATGTACGTCGTAAGGGGGGTGTATCACCATCATATCAATGTCTATATACCATCCCGCCTCCGTCCACTTCCGCCAGGGCCCCGCGCCCTCATATTCCGCGCGACGCGTCTCGACGTCGCAAGGGCGAACACACCCAGGCCAAACTCATCTCGGCGGATCCGTGCTACCCAGCACGTTCCGCAGCCACTTCCATCTTCCCTTTGCCCGCCGTCCTTCCGGTTCCTGGCCAGCTTCCTGTCCGCCGCCGCCGCCTGCCCGCTCGACGTCCCTCCCGTACGGCAGGCCCGCTGCCTCCCCGCCAGTTCTCGAGTCTGACCCTACGCCGCCGCCATCGACACGCAGCGGCGCAGCGCCCGTCGCATCGCCTTCGCTCACCACTCGGCGCATCTTCCACCCCCGCCCTGGGCTCCCAACCGACCCTGCGTCGCTTGCAGCCCCGGCGCCAGCGCCGTAATGACTGTGCGCATCGCCCCCTGGCAATGGCAGCAGCCCACTCGCTGCTCCGCCCGCGCCCCCGTTACTGCTCCCGTGCCCTGTCATCCGCCGCCGCCGCTCGCGCGGCACGATGGAGAATCCCGGGCTGATGGGCGACAGCCCGATGGAGAACCCGCTGAGCGCAGACGCGCTCGGGGGTAGCGACGGCGCGAAATGCGAAGCTGTGGGACTGAGCTGCGACGCGCCCGAGGCCGCTGCGAGCGTGGTGCGCCGTCGCCTGCGCGAGGAGGCCGATCCTGGAGACTGCACTTCGGGACTTAGGCTGTGTTCCAGCCCTGTGCTCGTAGTGCGCGAGCGCCGAGCCGGCGGAGACGAGAGCAACGCGGAGTCCGTCTGCTGTCGGCCGTGTGGGCGGGCTGCGCGTCCCCCCGAGCGTGCGGGGGTGGTCGGTGGTGGTGACAGCTGCGGTGCTGCGATCGGCGTAGGTGGTTCTGTAATGACGTGCAACCCGAGCCCGGAGGAGGTGCGGCCGCGCGCAGACTCGGCGCGAGACTGCTCGTCCATGGGCAACGGTTCGTCCTCGTACGCTTCTTCCTCGATATCGCTGTCTTCACCGGTAAGTTCCATTGCGGAGTCGCCTTCGTGCCAGGTGCCAACGTCGACACCGCCTCCGCCGCCTGGAGGGAAGCTGATGATCCAGACGCCGGAAAGCAAGACGGCAATGCCGAGCCCCACCAGGAGAAGGTGCAGGGTAGAGAGCATCGAAAATTGGTCAAAGTAGACCAGGCCATTCACGATGCTAGATAGGTTGTAGAAACAGAATGCCACTACACGATGGGTTAGTGAGAAGTGCAATGAAGTCATAGGAGCGCGTACTCACGTGGGCATACTAAGGTAGGATCGGCCAAAACCAGACTCTTGTGCATATACCACAGCTGCAGCAGGGCGAACACCACCAGGCTGATGACAAGCACCCACGCCTGCCACCGCCAAAACTGGTTGTTTCCGCCGAACGTCCACAGCAGCAGCTCGACCCCGCTCTTCGCGAACAGGAGGCACATGCCCGAGAGGATGCCGGATATGGACGCATACGAGAATGCGAGGAATAGAGGGGTCTGCGGTGATTTCGCGCCATACGAGAGCGGGCTCGCGATGATGGAGCGGATGGAGGTCGAAGGGGATGGTGACTTTGAGCGCGGTTGGGGTTTGCGGTCAATGAGGGGTGTCCGCTCAGTCGCCGAGGTGGGGTCGACCGCGGACGTCGCTGTCGTTGCGGTGGTAAGGAGGGAGGGCGCTGTGTTCGGCGCAAGAAGGGGTGATAGTGGCGGGCTGACGTCCGCGAGCTTGTAGCGGCGGGTATAGGAGTACTCCACCACATGGGTCTACAGCCACAGCGGTTCAGCCACCATGTACATATGATTTCGGATGGACTTACGGCAACTAGCCACACTAGCACAACGAAGCCCAGCAGCGAGAAGTACGCTATGAACGCTGGGCGACTGAACAGGCGCAGCAGGTCCTCGAGTGAGTGCGTAGGCTCCTTGACGATGCCGAAGACAGCAATGAGCACGGCTCCGCCGGCGATGAGTAGCGTCCCGAGCAGCATCCAAGGCGAGAACACGTCCCCAAGGAGGAGGCGTGCAAAGAAGGCATTCCACAGGAGAGAGACCGCGCCGAGGGGGGCGAGAATGACGACCGGGAGGGACGCGATCTGGAACACGGATCCGAAGAGGTTGGAGGAGATGAAGATGGCTGGAAGGCATCAGCGGAGGCCCCATCGGACGTGACGGAATGAACACGTACTGAAGCCTAGAAGCCATAGTCTGTGGACAGGTCAGCGGCGGACGTGAAGGGAGGGGCGTGGTAGACGTACGGCCTGCGGTGCTCGACCTTCTGCTGGTCCTCCGGGAGTGATTGGTTGAGAACATGGCTCTTGCGCTGGACGGTGAGGCCGAGAGATTGAATGAAGGAGGCAAGGAGGCCGATGATGATGCCGACTGGGATAGAGATGGAGGGGTCGCTGTCGTCGCCAGCCATGAAGAGAGTGTGGAGGTCGACGTTCTGTGGCCGACAGGTGCAGCAGCGACAGCCTCCGCGTCTGAGCAGCACCACAAGACACGCGCCCACGCCTGACCCTTTTGGGAAGGGAGAAACACGTGGCTACGTGCCGCCACCCTCTGTCCCTCCTCTCTAGATCTGCTCTCAGAACAAGTTGCCTACTTCAAGTCGACATAATTTTTGTGCTTCGCGCAACTGGAGAAGGGTCTTGCTCTGGCCATCGTCTACTGTAGATTCCGCCAGAACAAAGGCTTGCTCCGAACCTACTAGTTCTGGCTGATTGTAGAGAAATCTGCGATGGCAGGAACCTCTTTGAGCGAGCTCCTCAAAACTCCGTTCGGACCCTACCTAGAGGAAGAGGTCCTCATTGAGACCTGTAGAGGTACCACAAAGAACAACCCGGTGTCTCTCAATCTCTTGACTCTCGGCTGCGGAGGTTTGATGACAGGGTGACACCCTCCGTGCTTTGTTGTGCACGTCCGACTGCTGACCTCGTTCTTGCCACAGCTTGAACGAATGTGAAAGCACCCAACCGGATTATGATGCAGACCGCTTCAGCGACACTCCTATCGTGTTCCGCGGCATCCTCGAGATACAGAGCCTCTCGTGGCTGCAACCGGATGCGCTAAACACGATCGAAGAGGAACTCCGAGAAAGAGACGTTGCTGCTCGGTCTCCTTTCGGTGTCCGAGCTAGCCCAAGCAACCTCACGCTGAAGAGGATATACTCACCAGTGCCGGGCTTTACCGGCGCGCAGCTCAGAGTCAAGGTCAAAATTCAAGGAGTCAAACACATGCCTGCCGTTTATCTGCATGGTATGCACTGGAAACAGCCTCTATGACACGCGGATACTAAATATTTTCGCAGGGGATCACGTCCCTGATGGGCTTATGATCACCTCCCAAGCACAGTACGTACCCTTCTTGCCTATAATTAACGGTGTTTTGACGTATAAACAGCAAACGTCGCTACGCCGTCGAGAGTTTGGACATTGAGACATATAAACGGAGCGATCTCGTACGCGCAGCCAGCCGTCCTTCCATCATTCCCCCCTAATCTCTTGCCCACATAGTACCTCGCCCGTTTCCGTCTCATGCGCACCCTGAAGGATCTACTCAAGCTGGACGGCGAGTGCAACCACCATGCGGACAACACAACGCCCATGCACCTCCGTAACCCCACCTGGTTCGTCGATCTCTACATGAGACACATGGCGCAGGCCGGCGAGGCGCGACACTGGCGCCCCGTCTTCGACGCAGAGTTAGACCCCGATGTAGGTCCTAACGGGCGCATGCGGGGTAACCGCGAGCATATCTTGCGTCACGTCTCGCGTGCGGAGGTGTGCTCACTCTTCGCCGCACATGCGGAATGGGTCGTGGGCGATCTGGAGTTGGGCCGCGCCCAGTGGCTCGACCTTGAATCCTGGCGGGCGTGGATTACCGAGATCGCCCGTACCCGCAAGCTCGCTGCACGTGAGGGCTATTCCTGGGGTGTGCCGCCGGGGGTGCAAGTATCTCCCGAGGAGGAGGAGGAAGAGGAAGAAGATCTACCCTCCCGTCTGCGGTCCAGGATAGAGCAACAAGGAAAGAAGACTAAACAGGTGCGTTCGAGTCCAGTTGGAGTTTTCTCTGCCAAACTATCTCATACTTACTCTCCGACTCCGTGAACAGAGACGAGCTCCTCGACGCAACGCGTCCCGCACTACCGGCTCAGGCGCCACAACCTCTACAATGCGCTCCGCTGACCCGCCGTCGCACGGCCCGTCCCGCAGGCGCACCCCTTCGCCGGAGGTCGACGACACCTATCTGCGTACATACGACCCCGATTTCTCCCCCGTATCGACCCCACCCGGCTCGCCCTCCAGCGCGTCCTCTATAGGCCTGCCCTCGCGCCCCGCGTCGCCTATCGACCCGAACCTCGCCGCGCTGATCCCATCCGCATACTTTCACCCACCGCAGCCGACAGCGACACTGAAGTGGGTGTGCGAGATCGAAGGGTGTGGTTATCTCATTGACCTGCTCCGTCTAACGGACGCGAACATCGACCTCGCGGGTGACTTAATCACGCCTGATGAGCGGCTGAGACTGAAGGGCAAGAGCTGGCATATACGCGAATCGTGGGCGCGCGATGCATTCGGGTACATGGTCAGTGCGCATCGGGAGGAGCATATGGAAAGTTGGGGGTTCAAGGTCGTGATCGAGGGCAAGGAGGTAATGTATGCGTGCTCATCATGCACCTGCCTTACTCACATCGTGTATTCTCCGACAGTCCAAGCTTGTGTACACACACCGGGACGGGACACACGTTCGGTCGGACCAGTTGCGTAAGGTCAAGAAAGACAACAGGCGACCCGTCATCAAAGAAGAAGACCGTTAACAGAGCGAAGTCTTGTACCTGTGTCTATCTATACATTTACTATATCGTTCTTTGCATTCTTACCTCTGCATGGCCACTGTCGCTGTTGTCGCATATCGTTCATAAGTGAGCATCTACTTTCCGAGTGCCGCACATCCCAAGCATGTTCGAGATTTGAAGGAGATGCATTATAGTGCTATCGTACAATGCTTTTGCGTGACTCTACAAATACAAATGCAGGATAAAAGATTCGCTATACGCTAGATCGTCCGCCAGGCCTCTGAGGCCTCCCTTGAGTCTATCTATCGTACACATCCAACCCATCCAGCGCTTAGCGCTCAGTCCATCTCCTCGATCTCGATGTCCTCGTCCTCGTCGTAGTCGACGTCCATGCCCTCGCCGTTGCCCTCGTGGTTCGGCACGATCTGCAGGCGGTTGTGCGGGCCGTCGAACGCGATCCGCACCGTCTCGCCGTCGCGCACGCGCTCGGAGAGGATCATGACCGAGAGCGGGTTGAGCAGCTCCTGCTGGATCGCGCGGTTCAGCGGGCGCGCGCCGTACGCGGGCGAGTACCCGATCGACATCAGGTAGTTCTTCGCCGCGTCGTCGAGCTCGAGCGTCATCTTGCGGTCCGCGAGCCGGTCCTGGACCTCCTTGAGCCGGATGTCCACGATCTTCAGCACGTTCTGGCGTGAGAGTGTGCGCTGAGGAGATACATGTCAGTATGCTTATTACAGTACGAAGAGACCAGGGGGTACTCACGAAGATGACGATCTCGTCGATACGGTTGATGAACTCGGGCGGGAAGTGGTTGCGGATCGCGCCCATGACGAGCTCCCTCGTCGCAGGCTTGACCGCGCCGGAGCCCATGTCGTTGAGGAACGCGGCGCCGAGGTTGCTCGTCATGATGATGACCGTGTTGCGGAAGTCGACGATGCGGCCCTGGCCGTCCGTGAGCCGCCCGTCGTCGAGCACCTGCAGGAAGAGCTGGTAGAACTCCCGCGAGGCCTTCTCGATCTCGTCGATGAGCACGATCGAGTACGGCTTCCGGCGGATGTACTCCGTGAGCTGCCCGCCCTGGTCGTGGCCGACGTAGCCCGGGGGAGCGCCGATGAGACGCGCGATCGAGTGCTTCTCGGAGTACTCTGAACCGTCGATACGGATCATCGCGTCGGGAGAGTCGAAGAGGAGCGTCGCGAGCTGAAAACATAAATGTCAGCACTGCATTCGAGCTCACAGGCGACGGAGGGACTTACAGTCTTGCTCATCAGGGTCTTACCAGTACCGGAAGGACCGGCGAAGAGGAAACTTGCGATAGGCCGGTTCGCGTTCCGCAAGCCCGAGCGACTCAGACGAATCGCATTCGCGACCGCCTTGACCGCCTCAGGCTGACCAACGACGCTCTCCGCCAGGATCTTCTCCATGCGGAGCAGCTTCTCCTTCTCGGTGCTCATGAGCCGCGTCGTCGGGATGTTCGTCCAACGCGCGACGATCTCCGCAATCTGGTCCGGGGTGACCGTGTCGGTGCCCGAGCCGTGCGTGCTGTCCTCTTCGGCCTTCTTCGCCTCGAGCTGCGCAAGCCGGTTTTGGAGGTCAGGAAGAGCGTAGTAACGGAGGTCGGACGCGGTGGCGAGGTCGTAGCGGCGCTCGGCTTCGTCGGCCTTGGCCTTGAGCTCGTCGATGCGCCTGCGGACGGTGTTGATCTCGTCGCCGCGCATCTTCTCGGCTTCGTATGCGGCCTGGAGGGGCTTGAGCTGGTCCTCGACGTCGGCGATAGCCTTGCGAGCGAGGATGAGACGCTCCTTCGAGGCGTCGTCCTTCTCCCGTTCGAGAGCGTGGATCTCGACCTCGAGTTCGAGCTTGCGACGCTGGAGCTTGTCGATCGCTTCAGGAGCGGTCTCGCGTGTCACACGTACACTAAGATATCGATTAGCTCGCAGCTCCAAAGAATAGATCACACATGAACTTACCTTGCACAGGCTTCATCAACCAAGTCGATGGCGGAGTCGGGCAACCGTCTTGAGGTGAGGTAGCGGTGAGCGAGTGTTGCAGCGGCGATGAGTGCGCCGTCGTGGATGCGGACACCGTGGTGGACCTCGTACTTCTCCCGAATACCACGGAGGATGGAGATCGTCTCCGGGACGGAAGGCTCGTTGATGAGCACCTGGGCGAACCGACGCTCGAGCGCGGGATCGGTCTCGATGTACTTCCTGTACTCGGAGAGCGTGGTCGCGCCGATGCACCGGAGCTTGCCACGGGCGAGCAGGGGCTTGAAGAGGTTGGCGGCGTCCATGCCGCCGCCCTCCCCACCCCGGCCCGCCATGATGAGGTGGAGCTCGTCGATGAAGAGGATGATGCCGGTGCCCTCCTCCGAGGCCTTCTCGACTTCGTTCAAGACGGACTTGATACGCTCCTCGTACTCGCCCTTGTACTTGGCACCCGCCATGAGGGCACCCATATCGAGCGAATAGAGGCGCGCGATGAGCGAAGCCGGGACGTCGCGGTTGACGATCCGTTGTGCGAGGCCTTCTGCGATGGCAGACTTTCCTACACCGGGTTCACCGATGAGAACAGGGTTGTTCTTCGTCCTATGAACAAAGTCAGATTTTGTCCAGGCGAGAATGCAAAGAATGCGAGCTTACCGTCTGCAGAGGATCCGGATGGCGCGACGAATCTCGTTATCACGGCCGATGACGGGGTCGAGCTTGCCCTCCTCGGCCAAAGCGGTGAGGTCGGTGGCGTACTTGTTCAACGCGTCGAAGCCTTGCTCCGCGTTCTTAGTATCGACGCGTCGGTTGCCGCGGATCTGCTCGATGGCGGTCTTGAGGACATCTTCTGTGAGACCCGCCTCCTTCAAGATGGGCTGTATTGAGGAGTCCTTGATGAGCGCGGCGAGGATGTGGTCTTGCGCGATGTAGGAATCGTGCATGGTCTTGCGCAGAGAGTCGGCTTCGCGCAAGACCTTCATTGCTGCGCTGCTGAGAGAGATCTCCTCTGGTGGTGGTGATTGAGTGGGCAGGCGAACGATGAGCTTCTGAAGCCCTCTCCGTACGGCGAGCTATGGAAGATATGTTAGTGACATCGTCAATACACACGCGAGAGTAGTATACTCACTGGATCGCCGCCAGCCTTGTCGATGACGGAGGTGAATAGTGAGTGCGCCCCTGAGGATGCACCTTCGCCCTGAGCCTCATTGAGGAGGACAAATCCGATGTGGGCGGGGTGTACTGCACGCAAATGTTAGAGCGTCGTCAGTGAACTTTTGACGAGAGCACTTACCCTGAGCGTTGGCGTAGTCTTTTGCAAGCTGGATCGCCGCTGCAAGAGACTCCTGAGTCTTGTCGGTGAAGTTCATGGATGCAGCCATGATGGTCGTGAAGAAGAAAGAAAAGGTGAGGTGGGCAAGGGTATACGAAGGTGTGTGATGTTAGTCGTTGAGAGTATGTTGGGGGCCTGTTCGGAGGCAGAGGAGTATTATATACGAGCGAGAGCACGCCCCTCGAACTCGGTCGAAAAGGCAGGAAACAAAGCGGAGGCCCGAGCCACCGCCGCATTGGGCGAGAACGTTCGAGCACAAACTCAAGCTGTCTGCCCTCTTGCCTTTCTTGACGTCACCCATTACCGCGCGCCTGCCACCCTCCCCGGCCCGCGCCGTGCCGCTTCTGATTCCCACGAGTCTCCCGAGCTCAGCGCCTGCCGTGCTTCCTAATTGGGTCCCGCCTACCTCTCCAACGACCGCCATGCTTGCCCGTCGAGCTCTCCAGGGCCTCGCCCGCCCACTCACCCGTCTCTCTTCTACGTCCACCCCTGTGCCTACGCCGGAGGTACCCGCCGCCGCGGCTGCAGTCCCACAGGCACCCAACCTGGCTACCACCTGGTCGACCAGCCAGCGCCCTCGTCCTCAACCGCACTCCGGCCCTCGCTTCGAGCAGACCATTATGGAGCTCCAACCAAACCCGCTCAGTGCAATGGAGATGATCAGTCGGGAACCCATCCGTGTTGTGAACGGTCGCAAGGCAGTTTGCGATGGTGGTACGTCTGTCCTCATCCGTTCGCGGCCTGTTCTCACACCATAACAGGAGGAGGTCCCCTTGGCCACCCCAAGATCTTCATCAACTTGGTCAGTCTCATGAGGCTGCCTTCTCTGGGAGCTACCTCTTACCTTTCATTTTCAGGACAAGCCGGGCCCTCGGGCGTGCGGGTGCGTTTGTACCCCTAGATCCATACCACTCATCAGAAAGCTAAACTATGCTCTCGTCCACCACCGGCTCTATATACAGCTACTGGTGAGCTTCCATCCAACACCCACTCATCAATAGAGGTACTCACCCGACTATTTTACCAGCGGTCTGCGGTACGAGCAGGCACCTCATCATCACGACCACTAGGTGGCGCGTTCTTCTGTATACACGCTGGCTTAGTCGACCAATGGCATGGCGGTTCGCATCTTCTACCTCTCCGGCGGTATCCCGACGCATAGGTCTCTGGATGTGGATGTCCACCCCGATGTCGATTTCTCGGCCCCGGAAGGCTGTTCGTGTGAAGTCCGATCGCGCATGCAGTCATACCCGGGCATGCTCTTCTCCTGCAACATCCATTCATCCATCTATCCGTGTTACGTCTGACACGTTCTACTGACCATCCTCAGCACCCGAATGTCCCTCATCTCAGAGTCCTGTGTCCGTCAACCAGCCTCTTACGAACACACAGCCCCGCTTCGGTCCGCGACGCGCATCGGTGACCTAAACATGCCCCCATCCTGCCGGCGAAGGTTCAACACGCCGGTCCCCGCGCACGCACGCAAAAGCGTCCGGACGCGCCCTCGCTCGCTCCGACGAATCCCCAGCCCATTCATACGCGTGAGACCCCCCAGACGCGCTACCCCGCTCTAGGCCCCGTGCGTGCTCACGCCGCGGCGCGGACGCCGGCCTTTGAACGCAGCGAGCACGGATCTGCACGATCCTGTCCGATACAGCGCGCCGCCTGCGGGGAGTGGCGGCAGCGGCCTCAGCGAAGCGTGATATACAGTGTACACGCGCGCGCCTCTTCCGCACGGCGATACCACTCGCCTTCCCGCCGCGCGGGCCACGCCTGCGCGCGCGAACCCGGGCACGCGCACCCACGCCCGTCTTCTGCGCACGCCTTCTGCTGTCCAGCTGAGACCGACCCCCGAACGTTCCGCCGGAACGGCGTGCGTGCATTGCACGCTCTTGCCCCGAGCAGGCCGCTGGAGGTCTTCGCATCGCACACGGCGCACGGGATGGGCTGTTTGGGTTCCTTTTATGCCGGCCACGAGGTGGTAGTACAAATACACTTGAAATGTAGTCTAGGTATGGTAAGTGGTAGCTGGGGCGCCGCGCCCCGCGGGCGGCGGGGGCGGGCATATGCGATCGATGCGATGCGGCCGCGCACGCGACGGAGCCGCCTCTGGCGGGCGCGTCGGGGGAATAGGGGCGAATTATAATGTACGGAGAAGACGAACGGGCCAGGCGTGGTATGAACGACGATGGGGTGATGGAGACGCGCAATGCGCGTCAGGGGGACGGGGTGAGTGAGATGAGATGAGAGAGGTAAAGTGAGGGAGTGTGCGTGCGGTGCCCCGCGCAGCGGCAGCGGCCAGCCGCGAACCACGGACCGGCGCGACGAGTGAACGTCGGCGGCCGCGGGTTCGCGGCGTGCGCGGGTGCGGGTGCGAATAGAGCGATCCAGATGACTAACGGGAGTCCTGAAAACTACAACGGGTCCAAAGAGCGACAAACGAATGAATGCAACAGATAAGTATGAGCAAGGGGGCAAATGCGTGGGTCGAGGGGCAGTGAGGGGGGCGCGTCCGCATGTCGATGAGGGGAAGAAGCGAGGGGCGACATGGAAGGCAGCGGAGGTGGTGGGCGCGACGTGGTGCGATGTACAGTGCAGCTGCGGCGCATGCGATGGTGAGGACGGAGATGAGAGCAGGTGATGGGGGCGTTAAATAGCAACCAAGAACGAGCGTGATATGCGACAGGCGACCCAGGATATACAGCAGCGGCGAGACCATGAGGACGGATGCGTGAGCGGCAGCAAGGAATAAGAGCGGAAGACGGGCACCACTAGGGTTAGCTGAAGTCGTTCGCCATGTCGTCTGGTGTCGTAAAGGACATCGGCGACAAGGGCGGGTACTCTCCCTCTGCAACGGCTTCCAAGTGGGCGAAGGGTGGTAATGAGCCTGGTCGTGAGAGGATCGTCGTGGATATTGGCGGCTACGATAACGTTCATTGTCAGTACGCAGTTTGAACGGCGTGCCCTTAAGAAGACTCACCACTTTGAACATGGGGTTGATGGCCGACTTTGGTGCGACGCCTGGACTTGACGGATAGCCCAGCCCATTTCCTTGGCCGTGCTCGTACGGGCTGAGGGGCCCCTGCGGCTGAAAGCCGGTTGGGTGCTTCGGCTGCGGCGGGATGTTTAATGATGGTCGCTCGCCCGTGTTCTCCCCGTTCTCCTGATGCGCCCATGGAATCGGCGACGACAGCGAGAGCATGTGTAGCGGCGCGACCGCAGGCGAGCCGCCGTCCGAGATCGACGACGAGTCGACCGAGGCGCGGAGGTGGAAGTCGTTCGCGAACTGCTGCTCCATCGCCAGCGACGTCGACGAGCGTGCATGTGGCGAGAACTCTTCCGACATTGTCGTCCCGAGCGACGACATCGACGTCATGCGACTGATGCCCAGCGCGCTCGGTCGATGTCGTAGGCGCGCTGGACCAGGATCACTGTCCACCGTTGCGAAGGAGATGACGGAAACGCCACTAGGCAAGTCGGTAGACGACATGGAATGGTCGTCGTCGTAGTCTCGCCGTCGCGCCTTTGCCACACGCTCGTCTCTCCGCCAATCTCCGCGCGGATTTGCGTCGGAGGGGCTCGCAAAACTGCCGCCCGCAGCGCTGAATGACGAGACGCCGTGGCTCTGCGTCTGCCGGATGGGGCCAGCAGCGGCGGCAGGCTGCTTGCCCGAGAGGATCTGCTGGGTGTACGCCTGGCTTGGGCCGTGCAGCAGCGCCACCGCATGTGTACTGCGCCACTCGAAGTCTCCCGAAGTGTCGCGGATGCGCTTGCTCTTCTCCATGACTGCCCGAGCCTGCTCCTTCTGCGTTTTTTCCGCGAGCAACCGCCGCTGCTTCTCCGCATCCCGTTGTATGCGCGCCGCCTCCTTCTTCCGTTGCTTGGGGTCCGTGATGATGCGGGGTACCTCTTGTAACGGAGACAGCTCCGATAGCGAACGACTGTCCGTACTTGAAGACTGTGTACGCTTGAGCGACGGTGTTGAGCTGGCAGACCCCACCACAGGGATCTCCTGCACGGGAGGGAGGCCTTGCTGGCCCTTGTCGCCGTGGCCGAACATGCCGAGTCCCCACTTGCTCGTCTTCCTCGTGAAGCTGAACTTGCCAAGCTTGCCTGAGGCTTGTTGCGCAGCCTCCTGGATGTGTCCGTTCGCGCCGTTCTGAATGGGGTCCTCGACTGCCGGCCGCTGGGGGTGTTCGCGAACCATAGGCGAGGTCTGGATATCCATAGAATGCGGAAAGCCATCGGGAGGGATCTCGACCTGCGGCGAGATGTCCATGGGGTCCCAGGCTCCATGGGAATCCGAGGCGTACGATGGCCACCCGTTGGAATACTCGGAGGGAGCTTGCGACTGCGAAGGTGAGACACCATTCGGCACGCGAACGCCGTGAACCGCGTCCTGTGGGTATGTCGGTAAACCTCGAGCTTCTGACTGTGCGCGGCTTCTCGACTCGTAGAACGACGAGCGATGTGATGAGGACACTTCCGGAATCTGTACAGTTGCCAACCCTGGCTGGGGCTCGAACTCCGGCCTTCCTGGAAGCGAGTTGTGCGAGTGCGATGGTGGTGCGCTTCGAGGAGTGACGGATGGCAGCGATCGCGCCGAAGAGACGCCGTTCGCCCGCGCATACAACCCATTCCCGTTGGCAGCAGTTTGGGAACCCGGCGGGCCCGGTGGGTTGTTGAGCGGTGTCGTCTCCGCCAGGTACGGATGGTCGACACATTGCTGGCTCGTGAGACGCAAGTCCGGATCGTACTTCAGCAGGTCGGCTATGCACTCGACCAACTTCATAGGTACCGAGCGATCGAAGAGGGCGTAGAAGTCTCTGGGCGGGATCTGAACGGGAAACATGAGACAGATTGGCTGGGAAGGTTGGCTGTATGCGCACCTCCGGAAACTGAAACCCCACTGCTCGCGCCATCTTAACGCCCTTGGGCCACTTCCCGCCACCTATGGGCTTCCCTCGGCCGTCCAACCCGTAGTCCCTGCCTGGATCGCCTAGAAGTTCACATATTCGGGAGACCTGATCGACTTCGCCTTGTCCGGGGAACAGCGGTCTGAGGTTGACTAGCTCGGCCATGATCGTCCCGAGCGCCCACATATCGACGGGATTTGAGTAGTGTTTGCTCTTGAGGAGGACCTCGGGGGCACGGTACCATCGCGTCGACACGTACTCGGTGTAAGGGGGCTCGCTCTTCGTCTCACGCGCCAGACCAAAATCGGCAAGCTTGACGATGACAACTACGTCACTCTCGGGCGGCGAATCCGGGGTAGCATATGGCGAAACGGGGCGGTAGTCGTACAGGCCGGTTGTCGTGACGAGGAGGTTCTCCGGCTTCATGTCGCGATGAAAGTAGCCAGACTCGTGTATGTGGTGTAGCCCAGAGACAACCTGCCGAAAAATGGAGGAGACGAGGCCGCCCGCCAAGGGCTTACCTTTGCGGGTCTTGATGAGCTGGTATAAGTTGCCCTCCATGGACTCGAAGACGAAGTAGAGCTCCTTGGTGTCAGGGAGGAGGAAGAAGTCGTAAAGCGGAATGATGTTGGGGTGGTAGGCGATTGCCCGTAATGACTTCGCGACGATACCTCAACAAGGACTGTGCAGCCGAGAATGAACGGGACGTACCTCGAGCTCCTTGAGCTTCTTACACTCGTCCCAGCCGCCCTCCCAGGTCTTTTTCATCCTCTTGACGGCGACCAGCCTCTTGCCCGCGTATTCGGGCCTCGCCCCGGGCCCGCATTGCATGGCAGACACGGGTGTATTGGGCGGTAGCGTCCCATGCCAATCGCATAACCATACCGTGCCAAAAGATCCATCTCCGACCACCTTGAGCGGTGTATACGATCGTACCGAACCTGGCACGCGGGGTAGCGTCCGTTAGTCTAGGGAAACGCACCGTATAGCCACGGATGTATGGGGGCTGATACGCACTGGTATTGGAATCACCAACGACGAGCTCGTTGTTCTGCACCGTGACGGAGGGGACAGCTTGAACATTGATGCGCTCCTTCGGCGCCTGCGTGTGCGCGCGGTGGTTCGTCGGGGCGGCGTGTTGTGGGGGGTGGGGCGGATGGGGTGGGTGGGCGTGGCCGTTTGGCATGTGTGTCGGGTATGGGTTGTGGAGGGAGACGGGATTATGGCCTTGGTGGACATGGTTTGTGTACATGATATGGGTGTAGCTCGCATCGCCCGAGGATGAGGGATTAGAGGAAGCGCAGAGCGAGGACAGCGCGCATGGAGGACAGGAATAAAGATAGGGAGGACGGGGCGGGCGTGTGGCGACGGGGGCGGGTAGTCGGGCGGGGAGCGTGGAGGCGGGGGGAGAGGGAGAGACGGAAGAGAGCACGGAGGGGAAGAGGACGGCGGCAGGGAGAGCACTGAATCGCTGAGACTCAGACTAGCGCCCGGCGCTCTCAGTCTCTCGCGCGGAAGAGTGGAAAGAGAACTCGAAACAAGCCATCGAGCCGATCATTAATATTTTCTTTTCTCTTTATTTTCGCCCGCCTATCGGTCCCGAAATGCGCCCGGCTCCCTTTCGCGGCGAGCTCCTGCGCCCATCCCGTCCGACGGCCCGTCCCCCTCGGCGCGCCCTCCCCTCCACATGGCCCATCCGCCCACCCGCCCCGCCCGTTCCCTCGACCGCCCGCCGGCGTCCGTATCCACGCACCCCCAGATCCGACATCGTCGACCCGCCGCTGCAATCAGCCCCGATCGCTGAAATTACATTGACCCTCGGTTATCATCCTCTTTGCCACCCATCGGCCGCCTCTCCATGCATCTCTCTTGAGTCTTTTCCTTGTGGCACAACCGCCTCCAGGCTATCCGACGCGTCCTTGCTTTGCACCCGCTCTGCAGCCCGCCAGAGCCCAGACTGACGAGCACGACGCGGCGGCCATGCCGAGGCAGCACCTCGGGGTGCCACGGCAGGAAGCCGCAGATGCAACGGCCTCCCCGCTAACGCCACAGAGGCCATTCACTCCGTGAGTCTGATGGGCTGATTGGGTAGGTCGTTGATGGGACGAGAAGCGGGGTGCGCGTGGACAAGAACGCCTTGGGCCCGTTCTGCGCGCGTTCTCCTCCGGCCATCCCTCTTCCTGACGTGTGCTCCAGCGCCGTCCCACTTCGCTTCAGCCACCTCGTCACCTCCCCACTAGCACTCCCGCCCGCACTCCCGCGAGGAATGCAGAGCCTCCGAGTGCCCGTCCCCCGCGCCCACTACCACCCGATCCCGAGCCACACGGGCGCAACGGCCGAGTCGTCTACTACATTGCTCCTACCCAGCTGTCAGAACACACACTAGAATACGCCGCCGCGATCAGCGGGTGATGACCCGCTGCGGCTGCTTCTCTGCTCTTCCCAGCCCAACTTTTTGCCCACGGCCCTTAGGCCGGTGTCTGCAGAACAATGATCGCGTCTGCATGACACATCCTCCGTCCCGAGAACGCTCGACGTCCATGCTCGACGCTGTCATGATTGGCCCACGAGGCAGATCCCGACGTATAATAGTCAATCCGCCTTACAGTCCTGCTCGCAGCTCTGACATCCCAGAGTCCACTAACGTCGTATTAGCTTCGTGTACATTGTACAAATCCTTCTCATCTATATCCTGTCAACGCGCCCCCGGACCCGATCCTAGCCCCTGCGCCTGCTGCAACATGACTGCGCGCCCATATCCTCGGGGAACTAGTACGGCACCTCGTCGAACAGCTTCGACACGCTCTCTCCGTAGTGACTGCGCCGAATCACCTCCGCAAGCACATTGCCGATGTCAATGACTTCGATCTTTGCGCACTTGGCGACGTTCTCCGATTGCGGCAGCGTGTTCGTCACTATGAGCTTCTCCAGCGCCGATTGCTCCACATTCTTCAGCGCGTTGCCACTCAGAATCCCGTGCGTGACCATCGCGTATACCTTCGACGCCCCGGCCTCCGACAGGTGCTGCGCGGCAAGGCAGAGCGTGCCGCAAGTGTCCGCCATGTCGTCCACGAGCACGGCGATCTTGTCCTTCACATGGCCGACGAGGATCATCCGCGAGACTTCGTTTGCCTTTTTGCGTTCCTTGTGGAAAAGTGCAAAGTCGACGCCTAACCGGTCCGCCATGGAGGTTGCCCTAGAAGCAGATACCGCAATTGTGAGCCATCCACATTTCATCTCGCTTACGACGCCACCGACCGTTTCGCGCCGCCGGCGTCGGGCGAGACGATGACGATATCTGACAGGTCAAAGTTCGTCCGGATGTACTGGATCGAAGAGGGTTCCGCATAGAGCTATCGAGGAAAGCACGTGTGAACGCTAATAAGACACAGAAGACGATACATCACTTACGCTGGACGTCGTGGGAGTTGGTGAGCGTTCGGTCAAGTCTCATGAGCGATGAAACACCCACTTGTCTACGGGCACGTCAAAGAATCCCTGTATTTGCGAGGCGTGCAGGTCCATCGTCTGCGGAGCGGCCGCCGGGGTGCCAGTCAGAACGCGGTGCGAGGAGGGGAATGTGGCGCAGCGCGGCAGCACTCACGATGACATGGTCGCAGCCCGACTTTTGGAGCATGTTCGCGACGAGCTTCGCGGTGATGGGTGCGCGGCTCTTGTCCTTCTTGTCCTGGCGCGCGTACGGGAAGAGCGGGAGGATGGCGGTGATGCGCTTCGCGCTCGCGATTTTGCAGGCATGGATCATTATGCAGACCTCCATGAGCGCGGTGTTGACCTCGCCGCACCCGGTGTTGATGATGTACACGTCGTCCTCGCGCACGGACTCGATCATGCGGACCTGGGTCTCCCCGATCCCGCTTTTTGTGACGTCCGCCTTGCCCAGGGAGACACCGAGCCTGCAGATGGGGAACGTTCAGCCCTCGCACTGTGAGCGCCGCAGGGGGTGTATGTGCACCGTCTGGTGATGACCTCGGCCAGCTCAGGGTGGCTGGTCCCTGCGATGACGACCAGTAAGCGGGATGCTATTATCGATGCTGGTATGCGGATGGTACGCACCGGTGAAGATTTTGATACCGTTGCCGGTGAACATGGTGCGATAATGTGTGGTTTGGTCTCAGCAAGGATCCATAAACGAATAAAGATACAGAGCAAAGAAAAGCTGCAGATGAGGCGAGAGTGTATGGGTGAGGAGTATTTTATCGGAGGAGAGAGAAGATGGGGCCCCGCCGAGTCCACTGCAGCAGCCGCGGCCGGGACGCACCTGCCGCTTGCGGCCATTTTCCGCCGATACGCAGCTGAGGTAAGCGACATTCCACGTGATTCTGGGGGGCTGTACGCGGTGGCTGAGTTTGGCAGGTCTTTCAGTTGCCGTGGTTGAGCTCACTCAGCCTCCGGAAGAACTCGAAGCAGAGTTCGTTCCATCTCTCCGACGTCGAAGCCGCCACAGACTCGTATCGGTCCCATCGTGCCGCGCTGGTGGACTCCTCCTGCCGATGGGAACCAGATGCCATCGCGCCCCGCCCTTTTTTCCCGGCGTCGCAACGCTTGCGGGATTATTGCGCTCACGGTCTGCGGCGCCAGGCCACAAGGATGGTTCCCGAGCGGTACGCCCATGCACAATCAGGCCTTTCTGACTGACGGCGGGAGGCGTCGTAGGCGCACACCAAACCAAACAGCGGTGTGGCGACACAGCGTTTTCCCAACACGTATTGTGGCCGCATGCTTTTACAGACACCGTCAAATCTCAGGCCCGTCGTGCTCCGTGCAGTGATGCGGCACCGAGTACTGGTAGCGGTTCAAAATTAGCTCATGGTTTCGGTATTTTATCTCATCGCGAGGACTGCCGCTAACCGCCTGCGTAGCGTCAAAATACACGCCGCGCAACACCCACTTCCCTGTACGTTCGACGTTGCTACTTCGCAGGTGGACTTGGGAACCCGGACATCTTGTCTCCGTCTCTCGTGAATTGTTGTGCGTTCTCGACCATACTGGCTGTACGACCTGACACTCCCCGCTTTCGGAGCGCTCATCGATTCTCAGTATCGCCGTCTCTTCGGTGGTCCATGCTGGCCTGGCCCTCAATCCTTCTCTAAATTTGCCAAGCGAGTCTCACAACTCCCCTCCGTCCGCTGCCTCGGCCTGCCTCTGCTCTGCTCTCTGAGACCTTTCCGGCCACGGCGACGCTGTCCATTGGGTGTGGACTGACGCATGTTAGGCGTCATCGATCTGGGGCTGGCGGTCGACTTCAAGATTGGACACACTAGCGCGTGCTTCATGAACACCGTCTTGGCATCCTGTGTAATCGAGGAGCGTTCCGGCAGCGGGTGTAGACGCGCGGATCGATGTGGACGTCCAAGCAGCCGCGGAACTCGCATCATCGCATAATACCCGGCTGGTCGTGAACAGCAACAGCACCAGGTAAGCGCGAGCTCGTGCGGCGATATTCAATTTACACTTGTCGTAAGGTTGATCCCACCCCATAGACAACCCCACATCGGCCGATCACGGCGCGGGGTTCGTCTATGATATGGACACATATCATCCGGAATGTCAGCTTGCGCGAGCATATTAAGATTACGCTCATGGGCGCCCATGTTGAGTCGAAGGCGCATGATCACTACGATGGGCTTCCCTTCGATCTGGTCACCAACAGCTAGAACCGCTCGTGCTCTTCTAGCGATTACCCTACGTGGCGGGGTCCAATGGTAGGAAGTCTATCAGACTGCGAATGCGAAGAACGGAGTTCTAATCGGTGGTGTATCCCCAGGGGAGCAACATCGGCGTTGCAGGCGGCTGGAATTTGCGCGGCGGCCACAGTAGACGGGCTCCCAGCTTCAGCACTTCTAGGTGGGCTTCCAAGTTCTCTTCGATCTGGATATATCACCACGCGTAGTAATTTATCAGACGCGGAAAGCATCTTTCTGAAGGACGATCACTTCATATGGAATGCGACGAATGCGCCCGAACGAGGACCTCTTCCTCGCGCTACGAGGCAGTGGCTGCAATTGGACAACATTGGGTGACATGCGGCGTCATCAACTCGAGCGCATACAGCTCAACCCCCCGTGTTTCCGAATCCGTGACTACGAACCACGCAGAGGTTAATGCTTCCCTGTCCAAACTTTGGGGCAGACTTTATCCGGATCTCCTTCAGCATCTCAGAAGACGGGTGGCCCGCCACCGCCATCCCCGAAGCATCGGATACAAGACTTGGCGCGCTCAGGTCAGTGCTGTTGGAATTGCACTGCCAGTGTACTACAAGAAGGAGAAAGCTCTTCCACTCATGCCCATACACCGCCGAGAATGACGCCGCTCTCGCGCTCCATTCTACGTCTCAAGCGGCGCTCGGCCACTGCCAATGTGTCCTCGCCGGGTTCGAACGCGTTCGGGCCAGCGACGCCGGGACAAGCGGCGCGCCTGGCTCCTGGCTCTTCCCGCGAGACGTCGTTCGCGGACCACCGGCACCCCGATCACGTCGCGGAAATCTCGATACCACCCAGTTTCAGTGGCCTCACAGCATTTGTATGTTGCGGGATCGTGGATCAATGAATGTATATCTGTGGCATGGCCTAACGTCGGCGTCCCGCAAGATGATCGGCGGTGGCGCTGTCATTCGAGAAAATCCTGACGCAATTGGCGTGGATTTCGCGCGCAGGATGCAAGGCGCGAACCCTTCACAACGTCCTACACGACATACACGCGATGCAGGTACAAAAGAACAGGATCAGATTACCATGCCGCCGCGGTGCAATATTGTGGAGCCTCTCCAATTGTGCATGAGCAGTCGTGGTCTTCACGTGCATCTCCGACGCGTCTCGAATTCTCGTGTTCGGGGAAAGACAACAGGTTGCATTGCGACGGTCGACCAACATAAGCAGACATTCGAGCACTACGCTACAAAACTACAGATGACGGGCGCGATGCGAGGGGGGCGGGACGGGACTGACGGAAGGAAGGGAAGGGAAGGCCAAAGCGGGAGTGTGTGGGTTATGGTGGGATAAGCTGTCGAAGGACCGTGGAGTCTCGGGGAAACGCGCGCGGAGACATATCGGGGGCGCAAAATGGGATACGGACGGTGTGGAAGACGGGTCGAGTTGGGAACGAGTGAGGGGAGGGTTCGCGAGGCTTCAAAGTGTAAAGCAATGAAAACAGGGTGAAGGGAACGAAACGGTAGCGGGGAGATGTGCGGGAAAGACGAAATGGGAGGGGTAACCACGACTGCACTGTCCGAGCGTAAAGCAGGTCGATCGGAGGAATGTGGGAGGATGGAGGAGGGTTAGAGGGGGTGGGGAATGGATGGGGGGAAGAATCGATGTGGTATGCGACATTGACAGAACAAACCAATACTACGACTAACCATATCAATACACGAAAGAGCGCACTGCTCCAATACCTTCGACATTATCTAGGACCGGTACTGTTATGACTAGTTCACGCCCGGAATACGGGGTTCGGGGAGTTAAGGATAGATAGCAAACGAGCGTTGTTCTGGGGCGCATTATGCGGAAGAGGTGCTGCGCATAATTAATTAATAAACGTCACCGTACAAAAGACTGGTATCGCTCACCGATATTAGGAGTCATGAGAGGACGATGCGGCGGGACCATGTGGTGCGAGGCCATGGGAACACGACCATGGATGGGGCCGAACGGCGTGGACGGACCAGGAACAGGGCCATGGCCATTCAGAGGCAACAGAGCACGGAGCTGGGCCTCGTTCATGCTTTGCCGCGGCACCATCGCAGAGTGAGGGGGCGGGTGGTGCAATGCCATGCTGGTGCTGGGACGCATAGCAAATCCGTTCATATGGTGCGGGGAATACGGCATCGGATGAGGGAAAGCGCGGGTGAACTGGTGCAGGGGCGCCGACGCTGACGAGTATATCATCTCCGGAGGTACCGACGGTGGTGGGTGCGGAGGGTAGGAGGAAAGCCCTTGAGGAGTGGGTATAGGAGGGCGATGCCCCATACGCGACGCGACTCTATCAGACTCTTGAGCCACACTCTCTAGCATGGAAATATACTTCATCTCTTTCGTGATACCCTTCGGACGCGAAAGGTACGGAGACAAGTCCGCGGTAGAGGCAGAACTGCGACGCCCGTGACTAGACGCCTTCAACGTAGGCGACGTAGCGGGCATCGGCTGGAGGGGAGAGGCTGCTGGGACGGGTGTGGGGTCGGCAGACCGGGCAGACACAGTCGGCGAGGACCTTGCATGAGAGAGCTTGTCCCGAAGATAGGTAGGCGGCCTATGAGGAGGCGCATGAGCAGACCAATCCGGGCTGACCGTTGGTTCTTGAGGAGATGGCTCTCTGGGAGGTGGAACAGAAGACAAAGCTGGCATCGTTTCAGCCGTTGCAAGCTTTGCAGGTTCAGGTTGTTCCAAAGGCAGAGAGCCCACCGACAAGGTTAGGCGGTCGAAGAGCCTCGCAAGAGCTGGATCCATGCCGGCGGCGGTCGAGCCGTTCACGATGGGGTTCTCCACCCGAGCGTTGTCACCAGTATCGAACGAGGGCTGATGCACACGAGCGGCGCTGTATTGTGGAGATGGCGTATGGGGTTCGCCGTTATCGGCTGAGGAAGACTGGGAGCTCAACTCCTGTGCGTTGTTATCCACAAGAGATGAGGGTGATTGCTCGATACTGGCGGCCGCGTCCTCTTCGCTGGAGGCGTGCGTCTCTTGAGGAGCCTGGGTAATCGGCCGTGGCACTTTACGCGGGAGGTTTCGCGGCTTGCGGTCGTGGATGAAAGCTTTCAAAGGTCTGTAGAGGGTATTGAGCCGGCGTACAGACTAGATGATATTTGTTACTCACCCAATGAACGGTGAGATGAGATAAAATTTCCCTGGCGCTATTTTATTGCGCTTCCAAGTTGGTAGATCGCTCAATCGGAACCAAGCGATCCGCTGATGTCTGCGTTTCAGAGAGTTGATTTTGGTGACAGAACATTGAACTCACGCTGATCTCCTTTCGCGTCCGTGTCTCAAAATGGAAGTCCTCCGGCACTCCGGGCACGATGTACAACGAGATGGACTGCTCCCTGATAGACATCTGGAGTACGTTCTCGGGATCCAATTGGTTTTCCAAGTCGTAGCCGGTCTCTTCGAGCACCTGTGGAAGCGTGTGAGCAAGCGCCAAGGAAGCCAGTGAGTGGCACCCTTACCTCCCGGATTGCACATCGATGCTTGGGTTCCTGCTCGTTGATCTTCCCTTTCGGGAAACCCCATCCTGCAGACGATTTCCAACCCTTGACCAGGACGCACTGCGGTAAGGAAGCAACCCTTACGTAAGTGACTAGTGCAGGTGCTGCCGGAGCGGAGACTAACCTTGTCCCAGGTGTCGTTGAGCATGATCGCGCCGCACACTGGCACGCGGGTCTTGTACTGCATGAAGGAGGCGAAGGTTCTCTCGTGGTCTGCTGCCTTGTCCGCCAGGATTGGACATGCGCGGAACAATGCTTCTGAGAATGTCTTCAGGGTATACGAAGGGAACTTGTGCGGGTTTTGCTCCCGGATGAAGTCCTCATAGTACCAATGTCTGGATGGATGGTTGAATGAGGGTGTTGGATGCAATCGTAAGACGACTCACGCTTGCTCCACCTGAAAACAGACTCTCTCAACGGATGCGAGCTCTTCTTGAGGTAGATTGAGGATAAAACGGCTGCACGAAAATAAATATAGCCCCATGTAGGGAAGTGTGCTGGATAACGCACCTGGAGAGATCTTCGAAAACCTCTGCTCGGGTGAAGTTGGCGTATGCGGATTCTTGGGATGATGACGCTGCGGAGGCCGCAAGAAGTTCTGGTGATGAGGAAGATGATGAGGCCATGGTGGATGGCGAGTGGGGGGAAGGAGGGGATGGGGGCGATATATAGGAAGGAACGAGTCTAAGCGGCGAGTTAGCGGGGTGGGTGTCTGACTGTGTGGTTGTGGAGGCTGGAGGAGGGAACGCTCGTTCACCCAGCCCTGTTGGCCCGCTTGGCCCAGCCACAACATAAATAGATACAAATATCCTCTCTCGCAATTCGGCCCAAGCGCCCTGGCCCCTGAGGTGTTTGACCTCCCCGTGGCCACGCCGTCTCAGGAGCTCTTCTCGACTTGACAAAGTTACGCTTGCTCTGCCTTTAAAGCGAAGGGAATCTCTCTGCTAGCACATCTGTTGCTACGCTATTCCTCTCAGAAGCTCGTGAAGATGAACTTCGCCCACCTCAACCACCTCAACCCGAGTGCGGGCATGGCAAACGGCCTTACCAGCGGCGTAGACATGAACAACCAAGCGCTGCAACTTCAACGTCAAGGGGACTTTCAAGCGGCAGAGCGTGTCTATCTTCAGGCCATACAGGTCAAGGAGGCTGGTCTGGGTACAGAGCACTTCACGACTGCGGTCTCGTACAATGGTCTCGGGGAACTCTACCTCAAGATGGACCGTCTCGACGAGGCAGGAGAATATCTCAACAAGGCACTGCGTATCCGCAGCGTATCCGGACCCAAGGTCGATCTCGCATACACCCGGGACAATCTCGGGAGACTTCATGAAATGAGAGGCGACTTGGAGGCGGCTCAAGATATCCGTCTGCAAGGCGCCCCTGAAGACAACATCGCATGCAGCAATTATGCTGTAAGTACATCAAAGCTCACTCACCGTAACAGTATTGAATGTAGCGCTTTTAGTGCGCAAACCTATCCAACAAACTGAGCGCCCTATCGCAATGCACCGTCTGCAAGGTGAGCACAGAGGCAGAGGTTGCGATATGGTTCCAGAATTGCTGAACCAACAATGCGTTTGTAGGCCATCTACTACTGCTCGAAGCCGTGCCAGGTCAGCCACAGCTCGCATGCATCGTATACTCAGTGGCTTACATTGCGTCGACGTTCATGGTAGATGGCGGATTGGAAGCGGCACAAGAAGTTCTGCCGCCGTGTCGACGGCTCAGCCACAAAGGCCTAGAGGCAGTGGAGGTTCGTGGTCCTTTGTTGACATGCCGTCGCAACCTCTCACTTATCTCCATACACTATTGGCTCTCGTTCAGCTCCACGAAAAGCATATCAACGACGACGAAGGTGTAACATACCGTGTAGCATAAGCCACCCAGGGCCGAGCTGTAGCCTGTATCACATAGCCACTAAGATCCAATGCTCTATTCCTTGTATTCCATATGCGCGTAGCTTCTTCTAGACTCCGCTAGCGTGCGTGGTTCTTGAAACCGATAATGGTGGTGAGCAGGAGTAGATGCGATGGAGTGTACACTGAGAGGAGGATTCCCTCGATCTCAGCCACAACACCCACGAGCCACATCTCGCATGAGCGCTTCTGGTTCGCGTTTAAATCATGTGATCGTTTCTGTTAGACGCCTGTGTATGACGACAGGCGCTTCTGAAGCTGCACTCCGCACAGGCCGCCGCGTCGCTGCAACGTCGCGCGGCCATCTCGCCATTTGGTCTCTCGCCGTTCACCTCGCTCATGTATACGAGCCGCTGGCTTTGGCTTTTTTCTTGCTTGTAAAAAGAACTCGATCATCAACCCGACATCTACACGTCATACAAACTTGAACCCGAGCTTGTGAGCAGTGCATCGGAGCGTCGGACCCGCGTATAAATAGCTTGTACTTCGAACACCAGGCGGAACCACCAGGCCTCCTCCCTCTCTAGACTCTACATACTTCGGGCCTCAGGAACTCCTCATTGTGCGGCTAGGCTGCTGACCTTTGCATGAGCTTCCAACAGCAGGTAGGGGGTATGATGCCCCCTCCGCTACACCATTCGAGGAACGCCTCTTCCTCATCTCTAAGTCTGCCTGTTGGTGCCGGTGAGGCCAGCGGCAGTACCACCCCCGGTGTTCCTCCACCGCTACCCCCAAGGCCAGGTGGAACCCCGGTTCCTCCAGTAGCGGTAAATGAGTCGGCGCCGGACTCAGACTCGGAGTCTATCACGCCCGCAGATGTAGACGCACCCGGCACATCCCTGCCCACGGAGAACCTCACACCGAAGGAAGAGGAGGAGCTTTCAGAGGTTCAGCTCCGCGAGCTGTATAATGATGAGGAAATTGAACGGTTCTTGTACCTCTTTTCAATGGTGAGTGGACCAGCCATCCTTGTGATGGCAAGGTGATGACACCTACGCCCAGTATGTACGTGAAGTGCGCGCACCCGGCTCAGCCACGTCAACAACTTCAGCACATGCTGCTTCTGCAAGCGCTCCAGCGTTGTCCGAGACGTTGTCACCACCAGAAAATTCCGCTACTCCGACGCCAAGTCCAGCAACGGCGGAGGGCGACACCTCCCGCACACTTTCCGAGCGGATCGCAATCGTAATTATTCCATTGCATGTCTTCCCGGAATCAAAATCTTACCCATTGCACTCCAGGACTATTTCCTTCCTCTTCTCCCTCCGCCTCGCCCCCCACCAGCAGAGTTCAGCCTCGGTCGCCTCAACCATACCACCCAGCGGCTATACGTGTTGCTCGAGCCTCTGTACAGTCTCTTCGTCGTCCCGCTCCTGAGACTCGCAACCTGGGAGAATCCGCGGAAGAGCTTTGCTTATTGCGCTGTGAGTCTTCGCGTCGATAGCTTTCGCTTATATCCCACCTCTTAACACGCAGTTCGCCACCCTTGACAGCTCTATTGGATCCTGTGGTACCATGGACTGTTGCTATCCGCACTGTTGCTCCGTATGCTCTACAGCCTTGTGCGCAGGAAGCTCCATCCTTACCCTAGCCTCGACGAACTTCGTGCGCACAGGACTAGGATTGACCGGTCGCACACGTTCGGCGCGATGCTTTCGGCGCGGTTAGCTACGTCGCCGACGCTTGGCGTGCAGGATATGTGGCACGTCTTCAAGGACTACAGGCGCACTCAGAAGCTGAAGAAGGCGGCGAAGGCACTCCACACCGAGGAAGCTGCAGGGCAAGCGGACGATGCTGCTAGTATGCATAGTGTGGATACGGAGAAACTTGAGCAGGCGCTCGAACCCGCGGTAGAAGATATCAAGGACGAGGATCTCAAACGCCTAGGTTTACTCATCTTGTCAGATGTTGCAGACCTACTTGAGCGTATCAAGAAGTAAGCATACCTCATCGATGTTAGTATGCATTACGCTGATTTTTGTCTAGCATTTTTCTCTGGCGTGACCCTCGCGCCTCTATATTCTACGGGGCAGTGAGTATGACGGCCGCAGACATTTGTATATTGTTGATCAACGTCCCTATAGGTCCTCTTCGGCTGTTTCTTTTTGGTTCTACTGCCTGCGCGGTACTTGGTAAAATCCATCGGGTTCACTGTCGGCATGTTGTTCTGGCACATCGTACCTATCCTGGTGGCCATTCCTCCGTCTGAGAGATCTCGGTATGTTTCTAGCCTGGTCGGGGCCTGCATTGCATGATAGACTGACCTGCTTTCAGCATTCCACCCCCGCTCTCCAAAGTTCCTACAGATGCGGAGTATGCGATGGACTTGATATCGCAACGCGTTGCGAGAGGACTGCCCGTACGACCTAAGAAGCGTAGGCGCAGACAACACCCGGCCGAGGTCGGTGTCGCGGATGTAACGGCTGTGGACGAGCAAGAGCAAAGTAACAGCTCCTCGGTAGACTGGAACAAGTGGGGAGACCGTCTCGCATCCACGAAGGAGCGTACTGGCGAAATCAAGAAGAAACTCCAAGATGGCCAGGTATGCAGCGATGCATTGTTCATTAATCTCGCTATGACCTGACTTGTCGACTGGCATGCAGTGGAAGAAGCCGGAGAACTGGGCGGCGCTCAATCCTCTCGCGCCGATTGCGACAGCGCCACAAAGCGGGCCCGAGACCCGGATCGAGACACACAGTATGCCCTCCTTGACACGTTTTACAGGATCGCACGTCACTGACACGCGGACCGTTACTGCAGCCTTCCCAGCGCAGCTGAAGCAACACCCCGGCTTGATCACGCTCACGCCAACGACGGTCTTCTTTACACCCCTGCTGTCAGCCGCCGCCACGCTTTCCATTCCTCTTGCAGACGTGTCCAGAGTGAAGAAGGGCAGCCTGATGAAGAGCATCGAGATCCATTATACCGAGACGCGCGCAGGCGGGTCTACAGAGCCCAAGGAGGTCAAGTTCCTGTTCGTTGGTTATCGGGACGACTTGTTCGCGAGGCTCATTAGCTGGGGAGGCAAGCGGTGGACGAACGTGTAGTGGTAGAAGCGTGTTGGTGAGGAAGGTTCAGTCGATTTGATGCACTCCGTTTGCTGACGATGTAATGAGTATCATTCAGTACTTTGACAGCTTTGTTGCTTGTTGTATTCACGCAGGGTGCATGTATCTCTGACTTATGATGTGTCACTGCGACTCCTTCGAAGCCGAGTCAATATGGCAATACCGCTTCCCGGCCGGTCGTATTGCAGAGACATTTACTCCGTCTGTTCAGTCTAGATTCGCTGCTCCTGCTGTGTCCCTCCTCTGCGCTCTACCGCCACGACCGCTGCAACCGTCCACCCAAGTACTTGCTGCCTGACGATCACCTATGTTCTTCTCGCCAGAGCTCCTGGAGCGCAGAGACAGCGGGTATGGTCTCCTCTGGTAAGTGCTTCTTCTAGTCTGCGCCCCTAGCTACCTAGCCCAACGATGCGTAGGCTGGCGGCGACCCTCGGAGCCAAGTCGTCTTTCAGGAAGCTGCCCAAGCGTTCCGTCTTGACTGCCGACATCTCGCAACTATGTGACCTCATAGCAGAGCCCGCAGAGCCACTCGCGCTCCGTCTGTCGAGTAATCTCATGATCGGTGTTGCTCGGTACGTCTGTCATTGCTGTGAAGAGACCATCTTATGCTTCTGACGGCACCCACAAGCGTCTACAAAGGTAAACTGCACGCATATATTCCGCCATATGGGCACTGACTGGGTATATGCGCCTAGTCAAGCAGGAAATATTTTATACAGACGTAACGACATGCTTCAATGCGCTCAAGAAGGCTGTGCAAGATCTGAGCACCATGTCTGCAAGCGCGGCGCAACTACAAATGGGTCAACCCGCTATGCGGTACGCATACCGATCTTGGAGTGGTAGACGGAACACGTCTGACTGACGAATTATCCCTTTCAGCGCCGAAGCTCTAACCCTGACGGCGGATCCCGGTGCTGCATTTGGAATGGATTTCGACAGCATTTTCGTTGTGGTATGAATATTTATGTGCGACACTACGACAGCGCTGACGCTGCTAACAGGGCTGGGAGGGATCGACGCAGCAAGGTCAGTCGGATCTTGTCACCCCGTTCCGCATGACTTCACAACATCGTAGCTCGGGAGGAAGCAGGCAACGAAGACGACGACGACGCGGACTTTGACCCCAGGTTCAAGAAGCCCAAACCGAAGGGGAAGGGGAAACAGAAGGACGCTCCCTCATCTGTGATCATGGAGCACGGCCGTGGACTGCACACACTCGATGAACACCACAGCCATCTTCTCGCTGACTCGTTCGGTGGTTCGATTGGAGGGAGTGCGCTGGGCGGCGCGGGTCCATCCTCGTCACAGTTCGATATGGGCTTTGGACTCGGCTTCGACGACAATGTGTTCGCTCTCCCGGAGGGTGCCGGGGACGCTGACATCGGCGACGAGCTGGCGCGCGAGCTCGGCGAGGGTTGGGGCGCTTCAGCGCTCCAGGGGTTCGTACTTCCCCGTCAGAATCTAGTGGATCATTGGCTGATAGCTCCCTGTAGAGCTCAAGAACCAAACCCTTTTGACCTCGCTCAGGATGAGGACATCTTTGGTCTGGGTGGAAATGCGGGCGAAGACTTTAGGTTTGACGCACAGGACGCGGGGATGCACCCTCCGGACGGCGCTACTTCGCCCGGCTTCCATGACAGGGGTATGAGTTCCCATGAAGAGAAGTTCGAAGTGGTCCTGACCGTTGACGTATGTTCTAGGAAGTCTTCCTCCTGCGGGCACGGTGATCGTCCCCCTTGCACCCTTCAGCCCTCATGGATCCGACGGCCTTGCTGAAGCTGCGCAAATCGATCTCGCCGGACAACCGGTTGTCCGTAAGGCTAAGCGTGTTAGACTGTTGCTTGATGCTAGGACGGAGCTTACGGACGATGAGCTGAAGGTACGCGTGCTTCAAGGTTCCGCAGGACGCGCATTTACCCGCTCATACAGATGGCTCGGGCGAACTACGTGCAGGAACAGGAACATCTCAAGCGCGAGGCCGCCCAGAAGAAGCTCGAGAAAGACAATAGCAAGCTCATTGAAGAGATGATTTACGGCGCACCGAAGGGCGGTGGGTCTCAGCTACTTCGAATGTGCTAGGCAGTTTCTGACAGACGTTCGTACTCGTAGTGGAAGCCCCTGTGCTCATAGACTTCTGGCTCGAGAACTTCAGACTGCAGGTCGGAGCACGTTCGGGAGAACTGCGCCTGGATGTGCAGGGTCTGTTCTTTATGAGCGCATTTTTGGCGAGGGGCTGAAGCCGTTTTAGGGGAGCCACCAATGAAACGGCGTAGAATCTCGGACGCAGGACCCACAGGCGAATACGAGGGGGAGGGCCGCTTGGACGATCTCCCCATGGACGTCGACCAAGACATGGGGTATCGCATGGGAGGGGACTTCGCTGACTACCGTGAGTGTTCGCTAATAGCTCGCAGCTACATGTACTCAGGCATGAAGCAGAAAATCCCGCGGACGATCTTAATTTCGATTCTCGTATGCGGTCGTCTGAGGTTTGCAAATTACTGAATTATCTTTCGGCGGTGCCCAATGCTGACCGTGCCGGGCTACAGGAACCTGGTCAAGCGCGTCGCGGTTCCCGCCCGCCTTCCGCCCTGGGCTTGGGCTTCGACTTCGACCTCCGCCCGACGCAAGACAACGTCTCCGCATCTCAGCGCAGCGCCTTCTTCCCATGGGACCATGCCGGGGCGAGTTCCTCCGTCGCCGGCGCGCCATTCGACTTCGACGGCAGCGATGGGTTCAGCGCTTTGCGTCCCGCCAGCAAGAGGGGCGTCTCGGTTGGGAGCAGACGCGACAGTCTAATGCTGCCTGGCGGCGGCATGAGTGTCCCTCCGTCTCCGGCTGATCTGGGCTTGAGAAACTCGCTGGCCGGTGGAGAGGATTTCCAATTCAACGGTCAGTCTCGGGTATAGTGAGTAAAATTGACCTCATACTGAATTCGATATGCAGTGCCCGAAGAGGAGGTCATCGAAGAGTCTCAACAGTCGAATATCCTGACCCTCGAGCGCAACTCGTTCAATTTCTTAGAGTGCGTGTGCCTGATAGAAGAGTACATACACGTCGTTCTCATACTTCCCGATTTACAGATACGCGAAGGTCCAACTCAGTGCTTACCCTTCCGCGACTTCCGAAGTCCAGTTCGACGATATTGTCCCGAAAGCCACCAGTACGCGCCGTGTGGCTGCCGCTGCCTTCTACCACTGCCTGGGTTTGTTCGAGCTGCATGCCTCTGCCTTCTCATATGTTAATCACCCTCACGCACAGTGCTCTCGACCAAGAATTTGATGAATGTCAGGCAGGACAAGCCGTACGGAGCGCTGAACATTCGGGTGAAGTGATCTCGGACGGACGCCGATGAGATATGATCGCACCTGCTGTATATCTTGCACCAATGATCCCACGCTGATTTGTGGCGATCTGCTCCTGTGTGCGACGTTACGAACGACTTGCCAGCTGAAGACACTCGGTGGTGGTCTCATGGACAAGACGAAGAGACCGAAAATGATGAATGGAGTGCTTGTGCGATTACATAAGCAATATGAATGTCGAAGCGTTGTATCGAGCAAGCGCCAAATATTTGAGAAATGGCGGTCGCGTCGGACCACCGCGCTCTCCTCACGCCTTCCCTGGATGAGCCGTTATCTGCCTTCACTCCTAACCACCACCATCCGTGCTGCTAGCAGGACACCGCCCGTACGCCTTGCCCGACCCCCTATATCACGCACCATGACATCGCGCGCCGTCGAAGCATCCCGTGCCGTCCTCAAGTCAATCGACCTCTCGGGGACCTATGACGCAGAGCAGACCCGTCTCATGGACGAGCGGTGCATCCTCGTCGACGAAGACGACCGCGCACTGGGAGCCGCAGACAAGAAGACATGTGCGTCCCCGTCTCCCTCTCACACGCCCGTGCGGACGGCTCGCTAACCGCGCCCGCGCGCAGGCCACCTGATGGAGAACATCAACAAGGGCCTCCTGCACCGCGCGTTCTCCGCGTTCGTCTTCCGGCCGGACGACGGGAAGCTGCTGCTGCAGCAGCGCGCGAGCGAGAAGATCACGTTCCCGGACATGTGGACGAACACCTGCTGCTCGCACCCGCTCGACGACTTCGCGGCGGAGAAGGAGGAGCGCGAGCAGCTCGGCGTGCGCGTCGCGGCCTCACGCAAGCTCGAGCACGAGCTCGGGATCCCCCCAAGCCAGACTCCCGTCGACGCGTTCCAGTACCTCACCCGGATACACTACCTGGCGCCCTCGGACGGCATTTGGGGCGAGCACGAAGGTCCGCGCATTTCTCCGTGTGCCGCCGGGTGGCGCGCCACACCATACCGCTGTCATGCATGCTGACCCGCTGTACGCGCAGTTGACTATATCCTCTTCTTGACCGCGGACGTCACGGTGACCCCGAACCCGAACGAGATCCGGGACCACAAGTATGTGGACAAGGCGGAGCTTCAGGCGATGTTCGAGGAATCTTGTGAGTAGCGCGCGGCTGTGTGTCCGCGCTCCGACTGACCGGCGCTGCTGCAGCGAATTCGTTCACGCCCTGGTTCAAGCTCATCGCGCGCGACTTCTTGTTCGGGTGGTGGGACGAGCTGCTGGCGCGGAGGGACGCGCAGGGTAAACTGCAGGCCAAGAGCCTTGCGGGGCTCGTGGACGGCAGTAAGGTGGTGAAGATGGTATGATTCATTGCCCTTCTTGTAAACAGATACCTACTGCTTTTTTCTTGATTTCATCGTGAACTCCTGGGATTTAGGGAAGGTGGGCGATCGTGATTCGGCGTTGTCGAAAGAAGGTCGGTGGGATGCCACAACTTGAGGCGACGGTCGAATATATAAATATGGTTACAGGTGGGTTCCAAAAACACGTAATTGAGCTGCGTTTCTTTGAGTATCATGGCCGAGTTCGTGCCAGCGCGGGAGGAGCAACGGAGTAATAATGTGAGTAGACCGGCCATGGGATGACATCTAGGGGTTCATAGTCACTGGGCAACCTCCTCCTTCACCGCTGGGTTTTCCACGTTAAATCCAATGCGAAGTATGGCGTTAGCTTTGATGAGGTATAGTATGAATATCACGCTGAAAGCGATAGCGGGTGTCAGCACAAACACGCCCTTGAGGTCCACAAATGCGGTCAGGAGGTGGCCCGCGAGGAAGATCAACGACCAAAACGCCAGCCCTTGGGGAAGCGCGTACACGGTCGCAACCGGGTGAAAACCAAGTTGCGGATGTTCTATCCTCGAAAGGTGGTCGGCCTGAATGATATAACATGGGCGTCAGGAATGGACATCCGATGAAATGAGGCGAGCGCGAGAGCGTCAACCGACCGTCATAGACGCGCTGTACTTCTCCGCATCAGCGTATTTTTGCAGCAGGAGGGCGCCCGCGGCGACTGCGTAGATGGCGAAGGCGATAGAAATCGTGCCGAAAGCCGCCGACACGGGGTTTGTAGGGCGCTGCGCGCTCGTCGCTCCTATACTGCTCGAAGTTGTGAGACTAGGAGTCGCTTCGAGAATCGTAAACACTAACATAGCGGAGCCTATCGCCTAGAGCAGGGGTGAGTCTTCATCGCGTCGCACTACGGCCCGGAAGTAGGGGCTTACCATCGCACAGGTTTCCCTCCAATCCTTGAGCACCGACGCCGCGTATTCGCGCCAATGCTTGCTGAACGCAATCTCGTCGACGAAAAGCAGAACCATCTCATCCGCGCGTCGCTTGGGCATATTGAAGAGTAGGACGCAGCATGCCTCTAGAAGGATGCTCTGCTGTGTCGCGGCTTTGTCATATCGGCGCTGGTCCCGAGAAAGACGGGCGTAGTCTTCGCCGTAGAAGGTATGATACCTGTGACGTGCTGGGTCCAGGGATCAGCTTTGAAGATACCCGCGCGGTATTCGCACTCACAAATCGTGGCCCAAAGTCTCGCTACGTTGGCTGTCAGCTCCAGGTCGTACCGTGATGCGATATTACAGAGACATACCAGTGATCCATGTGCTGTATTCATCGTCTTCGACTACGGCCGGACGGGTCGTCAGAGTCACAATCGTGAGGCTTACGAGGAACAATGCCACTTACTATTGGATTTGAGGATCTGCAGGAACTGCTCGCACTCGGTCGCGCTATAAGGGAAGGTGGACATTGTCGATGTGAGCAAATCTGGAACGCTTGTGAGTTCGTCGGTTGCGTCTGAACGATTGGGATATAACCCCACCAGCTCTGGCCTGCGTGAATATGCTGATCAGCTCGTTTTTCAGCCTCCGCGGCACGGCGCGATGCGGAAAGTATTCGACGTGTTTCCAATACTGCTCCTGCAGCAGGAATTCTAGTTGCGTCTCGCGTGAGCACTCGGTGCCCACATAGCCATGTACACTACGTATGCACACGCACTCATGTGGGATATAGAACACGCCGGCGGCAAGTCAATGTCGTGGCGGTAGGGATCGATGTCGTTCAGCCAGAACACGGTGGTGTTCAGATGATCGACAAAGTAGTACTTGCAGGTCTTGCCCTCGCTGTCTGGATTGAGGTAGAGCTCGTAATCTTGTGGCAGAGCGATGCCGAGGGCCTTGGTTTGTATGTGCAAGCGGTCTGCCCAGTGAAGGACGGAATCTGAACGCTCCATGGGCACGTCCACTACGATATGCCTCTCCGTGTTGATGCGGTATGACGAGCCCTCGGGATTGATTTGTGGGGTCCATCCTTTGGCGAAGTATGGGGGCCTGGAGTGGCGGGTCAGCCGATAACGGCGATGGGTGTCGAAAGACAGTGCAACGCACTCTGGAAGGGCGACAGACGAGTATAACCCCCTTGGGATGGTCATATATTCAGGGGTCACGCTGCCCAGGACCTCACGTCAATTTACGCGGCACGCAGGATGAACAATTGCATGATCTTACAGGGCCTGTCTCTCGTAGCGGTCGTTTTGGGAAGGCGTTGTAGCTATGACTTCCCCGGACTCGCAGTAGTCGGGAAGCGTCTCATCGGCACAAGCTAGCGGGAGGAGCCCGTGAACGATCATACAGCCCAGAGATCCGGAGCATTCTGAGAGCGAGTCGTTTGCGGAACAAGCAGGCATGGCTGAGACCGGATGAGTGACGACCGGCGCAGGGAGATACGCGGGGCATATGGGAATGGGTGTGCGTTCCTCTTGCACTTATACGTCCAGGTGGGCCCTGGGAGCTTAGCTATCTAATGGTGTGTCCCAAGCTGGAATGAGGCGGACCTGGCGCGTTCGGTGCTGGATTGCGAAGTACTGAAATTCGACAAAAATGAACATCGCATGGCCAATAGGGAAAAATATGACCTGTACCTCCTATAAACGTGCGATTCGATATCTGGCGATCTGCGCTCAGTTCCCGAAATTGCGGGAGTTGACACGGGTAAACAGGCCTCCAGAAAACGCGCCGATGGTGCCGACGTCCGCGAGAAAGCATGCTAGATCCGATATCCTAGGATGGTCCCATGGCACGTCACACTGCGGTGTTCGTGGCGGGACGTTGGAATACTTCTGTCATCGCTGTTGGGCGCTGTGCACACTGCACAAAAAGCCCAGGACGTACCCCTGTGTCTACATTATGAGGGAGCCGTGCACACGAACTCACCCAGTCCAGACTGCCACTGTCTATAGCCCGCGGTGACGATATCTGTGTAAAGGCTGCGCCCCGATAGAGTTTGGGGGTTGGGCGGCGTAGGAGGAGGATTGAAGTTGAGAAGCCCGTCGGCGGTGTTGATAAATTGGATGGACGTCTAGAAGGAACCGCCTCCAAGGACTCTAGCGCAGATCAACTGAACCTTCGGTAACATGCCGCGACGCCTCGCGACGCGCCGCCCTTGGCGCCTCCGAGTCCACCGCGCTCATCCCACCAACACTCAACTACATATCCCGTCTTGCGCAAAGTCTGGATAGCTTTGCTCTGTGATCTAGCGAGTTCTGCTATGCCTTGCTGTGTGGATCAACCAGAAAGTGGAATCGGTGAGAAACTACTATGCCTACGTTCTGCCTTCAATAAGGTCTCGTCTACCAGTGAGGCGATGCAAACGTGTTCCTTTTCCACCAGAAGCGACTCACAGCTTCAATACAGTTCATTCCCTTCGAGAACAGGGAGTGTGTTCAGCTGAGCACGTTCCACGTATCTTTGGGCGGTATGAATGCCTCCGCTCGGTCAACGCGTCTCATGGAATTTGCACACAGCACTGCCAGTGACCGCCTCAAGGCCCCCGCGACGTCACGGGTCCTCCTATCCAAAGTCTGAAGATTACCATCGATGGCTATGTACGATACCATGCTCATTCTTCATGGCCATGAGTAAGCAGGCTGTTGATGGGTGCCGTCTACGACCGGCTTCGTGAACCCCTCGGACGAATAGAGACGAACGGCTAGTAGACACCATGCCGTATAAAGCTGGGCAGTACTAGTGACCTCCAGGCAACGACATACAGCCGCCTCGCACTGGTCGCATGGCCCCTATCAACCCGTCCGCCGCCTCTTTTGCAAAGAACCTGAAAGGCACTCAAATGGAGGCCGCCTTACGCGCTCGATCCGAGTCACGTCCCACACCCGGGATCATCCCCGGCTTCCTTGAGCGTTCGCTTCTCTTCGTCTTGTTCACGTTGTGCAGTGCGGCGTATGCTGTCTTCGACACATGCGCTGGCACTCGTGACTCGTGCGTGTACAGCACTTCGTACAACGTGGTGGTGTCATCGAGGCTTATAGTGTACTTATAGAAGCCCGAGCGTGGAGAATCACTCTTACGACGAAGAGACGATGCCTCGGGCCGGTATCCTCCACCCCAGTGCACAGCACCAGCCGCGCCGCAAGGAAGTGCGCGCTGAACGGACCTTCCTTGGAGGGTAAGTATCGCCCCGAACCAGCATGTAGCCACTCCTTCTGACGTTTCAGGTACAGGTCGGCTGCTCAGCCGCTTTAATGCGTCTACTGTCAACCATGGATGCACTCATGTGCTCATCGCCTAGTGAGTAGCTGCATTCCGAGGATGGTGTTCTTCTCAGACATGAATAGCTGCCGCACGGCCCTTGGCGACTAGCTACCACATCCAGGGTCCACTTCCCCAGGTCCGACTAATCATCCCCGCCGAAGTCGTGACAAGGACCAATATTGTTCTACAGATACGGATCGACGGAAATTCGAGTACTTTTGAACTGCTTTGATATCCCGGTTGGATGGAAACATCACTGTATACGTATAGTGGGGAGCAGTCAGTGACGGCTGCTATGCTACTATGCTCTCCTCGGCTGCCATCCGGGTGGCCGCACCACAAAGGGCAATGCGCGGACCACATGGTATCTGCACCGAACCAGTGCTAATCTTGAGCGCTGTCTCGAGCGTTATCCTTCAGGGCGTCGCGCTGTGGTTAGCATCTACTCTATGTGGTCTCGTGGCAGAGTGGCGGCTGATCCCAACGTCCTAGGACACCACGTAAAACGCGATGCGAAGCTGCCAACCGCCTGACGTCGAAGCCACGAGCGCAACATGTGTATACCCGGGTCTGAGTTGAGCCCTGGTCCTCTCCCCCGGGTCTAATCCTATGGCGGTTGACGTGCACAATCAGTTCACATATTTAGCTCCAGCTACTGTCGCAAATTTTTGCGAGTTTACGTCCGATGAGTGGCTATTTCAGATCACTTATTCCGAACGTATCAACAGACAACACTGCCACCGGGTACTCAGTAAGTATACCGATGCGTTTCTCTTGAGTTTTGGCAGGCTTACTGGCTGCATACTCAGGAGCGTAGCTAGGGCACAATATTTGCGTCGACCATGTCGCTGAGCCCGTAACCAAGTAAGAGTACGCGCTTTCTCGCTCTAGCCTCTGCCGTCTAAGCCTGAATTCGATATCGCGCTCCCAGTACACCGCCGTACCGACATGCTCGTCGCACAACGAAATCATCCTCGCGAGGAGGCGATCCTCTTGAGGGCCATGCCTTGTCAATATCCGCGCTTGAGTACCGGTTTACCTGCCAACTTAGGGAGGAGATCTCATCACAGTCACCACTTCTCATAAAGGGCCGCGCGTAGTTGGCCGCTGCTTGTGCTGACACTCTCCTTTGAGCAGCTCGCTTCTAGGCCGCTCTCACCTGTTGCGATTTTTGTTCACGCAAGGGCTCGCGGTGCGATGCTCAACTACCCAGCCGCGCACGCAGAACCCGATCAGGCCGTTTGACCTCGTCCGCCCTTCCGCACACCCGGCGCCCAATTCGCTCCCGGTCACGATGGGGGGCCTCTCATTCGAGTGACCAAGTGAGCAGTCCCTCTCCCCGTTTATAAGGCTTCGAACCCGGGGCTCATCTAATGCAGCTCGCCAGTATAGGGCTCCCTTGTCCCGCCCGTCCGATCATATAGAAGATCACTGTGGAGTCGTTGTCCTGCACGTCAGACCACCTGAGACAGCGTGCACGAGATAACTGAACCAACACCCATAACTAGCTACTCCGTTTACTCCAAGGACGCCACATGGCCGATAAGCTCGGTTCGCCATGACAGTGCAGTCAAACTACAGGTACGCTCCCGTCCATGCGATGATGATCGCTGAACTATGTATTTGATAGTACACTTCCAACCAGCCGCCCTGTCCTGCAGCCCGGGAAACCCGTATCCCATAGTGTCGTTTCCTTCGATGCGCGGCGTGGTCTATCTATAAGACCTTGCAGTGGCTCGACAGCCACCGCGCAAGGGGCCTGTACGGTCCCACCCCCTCACCCCACTAGTGGCATGTTTATATTCGCTCTATCAGCCATGTTCTCCACTCCAGCACAGCTCTTCAGCATACCCAGGCTCCTCTTTATCGTTGTATGCGGCTGCGCTACAGTTCTTGGTGCGCTCGTTCAGATCGACAACACCAGCCCGCAGATACAATATCAGGGCGCTTGGCAAATGACAAGCACGCCCGGAGGCGGGGACGTCAATGACACGCTCGCGTCCTCACAAACCAAATCGGACACAGCGATATTTAATTTCACCGGTGCGTCTTGTGTGCGATGCTGCCCGTTTCTGGTGCTCACGAAGCCACAGGCACCTCGGTCGCTGTCTACGGTGCCCTGAAGCCCGTTGGGACGTGGAACATGCAATCTCAGTACTTCATGGACGACGCTGCGGTGGTCACATATCAGCCGAACTCCGAACTCTCCGGGGAGCAGCATCAAGTTGTATTCTACTTCTCGGAGTCGCTCGGCGACGGGCCCCATTCCCTCAGGATCGTCAATATGGGCGAGCAATTCTGGCTAGACTTCATTGCGCTCGAGACGCCTGACACGCCGACGTCTGGCACCCCAACTGCGACGAACCCAAACTCTCCCTCCCCATCCACTCTGCCTCCTCTCACCGTCACAACGACCCTCGTCCCTACCATCTCTACCGGGACGTCACCAAGCGCATTTTCAAGGCCCGCCGTTGTCGCTGGAATCACAGCGGGTGCCGCTATTTTACTGGGGATCCTCGCGGTGGCAGCGTTTTTGTACGTCAGACGGCATCATCGAGCACCAGTGACTGCCAATCTAGACTCTGTCGGTGCGTTGCTTCTCCGACAAGCTCTACAGCTAGATCGCTGATACTTTAGTAGACCTACTCGGCAGTCCCGACCGTAGTACGACAAATACCCAGCCGCCTTCGACCCACCAGTCTACTATGTCGCAGAACCCCCTTGCCTCATCGTCCTCCCACGCGTCTCTGCTCGTCCCCGCGCCAAACGCATCCTCGCTCTTTGTAGAGGGCGGCTTCTCGGATGGCGGGGACAGCACAAGATCGGGCGAGCGCGTGGAGTATCATCGTCCGTTCGCGACGCAGGGCAGATCTGTCGATGGCGGCGTACGGCTCAAGGGAGGGCCGCCTGGACATCACCTGAATATCTATAACACGCCGTCGGAGATCGGTTTCAATCATGCGGAAAGTCTGTTACCGCCGCAGTACGAAATGCACCCCATCGAATAGTTTCACGATAATGCTATAATTTGTATCTGCCAGACGGACGAGCGCCTGATCGCCGGTGTTTGCCGAGGCGTTCAGTATTGCGCACGAATCGTACTCTTCCGTCTGCTTCGTACCACGACGTTACTGTATGGTATAGCCAGCGCCTACTTGTTTTCACTCTTGGCGATAATTTCTCCAGTTCTTAAGACCTAGGGTGTTGCATGCTGCTTCCTACTCTTTCGCAATCTCTCCTACTTATTAGTAAGTTTCTGCGATGTCGGGTTTTTTCGAGCTAGTACACAATATACTCCCGGCCTACTCCGGCAGACCCTGAGCCCCGTGTGGCACCCATCCATGATCCCAAACTGCCACAGCATGTCGCTCACGAGATGTGTGGTGACTTTGACCTCTCCCGGCGGTGCTGATCGCTGCCGTCGTGACGGCCTGGTGCCCGGTATACCAGGACGACAGGGCGGTGGATGGGAGGGGGCGGCGTGCCTCTCGCGATGATGAACTTTTAGAAGCCACCACCCGAACGCCTTCTATACAACTTAAGCTTATGTTTTGGGCCAGCCACTGTGGAGGCGTTTTACGGGTGTGTTTTTCATCTCTCCCTTCTCATAGACATGCGCTCACGTTGAACCCCACAGGGCACCGTATTCAGGTACTAGCGTGCTCCCAAGACATTGTGGTGCGCGCGGCCAGTACACTCGGCTCACCACTGTGACCACAACGACAATTTATAAGTCGACGTGCTTGCACATGGCGCATCCATCCCCTACTCAGACAATCCTTCCTTCTGGTTGATCATCACCGCTATGAAGGCTTTCACTCATGCTATGCATGCCTTTTCCGACGGCGTAGAAGCCGCAGCGCACGTTGTGGACGCTGCGGTTCATGTTGCGGACGCTGCGGCCCATGCCGTTGAGGCTGCAGTCGATGTGGTCGATGCTGTGGTTGACACAGTGGTCGATGCTGTGTCCGACGTCCAACGCTCCCCCAATTCTACGACTTCAAACTGCGCAGCCTCCTTCGAGGAATACTCCGAGGCTGATGGTAGAGGGTATGTAACCATTTGCGCACCTCTCGACGTTACGCTGATGACTGTTGGCAGGGCTGATGATCAGGACGCGCTGGACGAGTACGACTATACGCCCCAAGCCGTTGAAAAAATTGTCGAAGTCGAATATATACAAGTGTCGTCCAGCGGCTCCGCGGTTGGGTGAGCGTTCGATCGTCCCGAGTTCGACGGTCGTCCACCTGATTGCAAGTCGTTTGTTTTCATAGCGTCGCATTCGTTAGTACTAAGTGCGCTTTGTGTAACGGTGTTGCACCCATTACTGTTTGCTGACAACCGTCCGCCAGGATTGAGATCGAGGATGAAGATCCGGAAGAGCCTGACGAGTAATGCCAACGCCGATGAAGAAATAGTCATTAGAAGACGTCCAACAGCCCTGGGTGGTGTGAAAGGCGGGTGCCTTGACGAAACCTTTGTCGCGGATTACGGCGCGGAGTCGCGATCGGGGTGGTGTAGTGGCTGTCCTTAGATTGGGACTTTATGCGGACAAGAACTTGGGGTTTACAAATTGTATGGGAATATGGGAGTCTATACTTACTTGATCAATCTTACCTTCGGGCAGGCTCATATCTCCGAGACACTAGCAGCTGATTAAGGCTCTTAAACCAGACCCACGTTCGGAGGCGAAAGTAGGCTGACACACTGGCGGCGGTGGAGGCAGATTTTTGACGGCGACCGTCGCCCTGTATTAGAGCGAATGGGCTGCGGGTGGTCGAAGGCGATGATTATATGAATTGCAGGATGGTCCGTAAGGAGCCGGAGCGTGCTCTTTGATATGTAGTAATGCGGTAGCCACATTGTGCTTCACATCAGAGTCGTCGCGTCGGAGGTGTCCTGGCCCGTCGCGTCTAATGTGGTCGAGCAGCCTGTGCTCCACCACGTTCTCACCGGCACCGGCACCGCCCAGGCTACAGAGCACCTCCAGCTCGTCGACACGCCTTCACAACCTCTTCGTTTCCTGCGGCGCCGCCGAGCGAGGCTTCCCCGACACCATTTCTGCGCCTCCCGGACAGCCACTAGTATTAGGGCGCGCTCGACCGTACGTCCCTGATGTTCCTTTCTTGTTGACATGCATCGCTTACCACGCGGGGCTCAACAATTAGATAGTAGTATCAGTGCAGTGCAGCTGGCGGTACATCTAGGACATCTGTACTTATAACAAGCTCGAGATTAATCCTTCAACGTTCAACGGCCCATAACATCAAGGAATTCACCCTTCCCACACCTGCTCTGAATCCATTTCCTCCTACACAACGATGACCTCGATTGACGTTGTCTCCGACGTTGCCGATGCCGTCTTCGATGTCGTCGCACCCGTCGCCGACGTTCCGCCCTCCGTCGACTCTACATCCCTAGACCACGCCGAATCCGTTGGGGAATATTCGGCCAACGACAGTGCCACTGGGTATGTAAACAAGCTGAGGCCCTTCCCCCCACGTTAACCGTTCATCGCAGCGCTGATCAAGTTCTGCTCGGAACTGAGGAGCTCGTTGCAGCGCCCTCCGTCGTTCAAGACTCCGTCACCGTCCAGATCATCGAAGTCGAGTCCGTCCAAGTGCCATCCATCGGCTCCGTAGTACTCGAGTGAGTACATCATCCTCCAGCGTTTGGCCCTTCGTTATCTCATCCCATATCGTCAAATTTCCCAGCACTGTGTCCAACACCTACGAGTGCGTTTGTGTATATCGTGCTCGCGTCGCTGCCTGCTGACCACATCCTCAGGGATGAATCCGAGTCCTCGGAGGACGATGAATTTATCCCCAGAGGCGGAGAGAGTGGCCCAACCGCTGCCAAATCGAAGCCTCGTCATGACCCGAAGACCACCAAGATCCTCGCCTCCACGCCCACTCCGGGTGCCACTAAAGCACAAGAGTCAGCGGAGCCCGGTCAAGCGCCAACTGAGGCGTCGCAGGCTACGTTAGGTTCGACGCCCGGTCAAGCGCCAAAGGCGCCGCAGGCTACGTTAGGTTCGAAGCCCTCCGCGCCGGCCGCGAGCGCACCGGCGAAGAAGAAGTCATAAACGACGGGCGACTACCCTCCGCGGCGGGAAAGAGCGTCTCGCTACAGCGTCGGGTAGGGTGGCATGTTCCCAAGGACTTTGGAAATGGGACTTCTGTTGTACATGGACGTACGAATGTATACTTGATTTGCTTGAGACTTCGATCGTAATAATCCGTAACTTCGTGCAGTACCCAAGAAGCCACCCGGCGCGCTAGGAGCCCGTCTTGAAAGCATGCCCTCGGCCGGGAGTTCCAGTTGGAGGATCGGAGACGTGCGCGAAAAAGTTGAGGCTGTATACTGAGGCTGCGCATACCGCAAGTACCAGTCATCATGCATGGTGAGTCGAGACTTGGTCGAACCTGCTGATAGAAACGTGAAGGCGAAGGTACCGCTGACGTCGCCGCGCAGTACGAAGGAGAAAGAAAGAAGAGCTCCGCGGCTAATCTCCTGCGGACTCCGCTGAAGAGATCCTCGGATACATCATTCAGCACCGCCGCGCTGGACTAATATCGCACCTGATCTGGTTGATAACGTTAGAGCCGACGGAGTTTGTTTCAAGCTCCTACAAGGGTTCGGGATACTTGACGGACCTCATGTGTTGCCGAAAGACGAGTAGATCGGTCACTGTGTGAGCCGGATGTGCGTCGAGGGCGTCCGTAGACCCGCTAATGACAGGAATACTACTAGTGGTGGCGGTGACAGCGGCGCGAAAGGCAAGGATAGTTGGGAGGTCGGAGAAGAACATCAGCATGCAGCGCCGCGGCGTTCCAACTCCAAGTGGTTATGCAGCGGCAGTGTTTGTGGGCGTCCTAGTAACGCACTGTGGCTTGCGCTAACAGTAACTTTGTACTAGGCACTGTGAAGTGCATTGTGAGTGACTCATCTATCCTCTCGGAGTCGCCGGTCAGCAGCACACCGTAGAAGCTTCGTCGCTGAACCTCCCGCTTGATGAAGTTCGCTGGCCGGCACAGGCTTGGACCAGTTCAAACGCTTCCGTGCGCGTTCTGACGCCAGTCCGTCCACCTTCGTGTTCGGTTTTGGATAGAGCGTGTACCGCGTGACGAGCTTCCTGCGCCCGGAGACGGTGCACGCCGCGGCGGGATGCGCCTCAAGGCGAGCTTGAGGCGAACCCAAGGAAGGGCCCGAACGCTATCATCGGCTCCCTTCACATTGCGCTGCACGACAGTCGACAGGACCTTGTATCCATGCAGCTACATGGACTCGCCGGCGGCGCCCCGTCGTTTGCGCCACCCCCAATGCAGTTATCAGTAGAAGACTTTAGCGAGGCTGTGGCTAGGACGCCGGCCAATGGCCCGTCTAGACCGTCGATATCACCATCGTCCCTGGCAGCGTCGCGCATGCATCTCATTGTGCTGTGCTAGCGCTAGAGTGTTGAAGTCGAGGATAGCTTGCGTCCCGCTAGTACGACCACATTAGGTGCTTCTTCGACTCTCCGTCTTCACGTATTGTTATTATTGTTAGATGCTGTCCAGCCTTCGCGCACCGCACGCCGGATGGAAGTTCTGTAAAGACCGTGTGCGGATCGGGACGGGACGTGGTGGCAACCTCGCGTGTATATAGGCCCCCGCGAGCCCCCTCCCTATCTGCCACTACCTAGTTAACCCCCGACTGCTCCGCTACGAAGCTCAAACAGCTCACCATATCCGCGACAATGCCATCCACCACGAGCAACGACTCTTCCTCTTCAGTGCCCGCAGCCTCCACATTCGTCGCCACCGACACTCTCCAAGTGCCCGTCGGGGGCAACGGCAACTACTCGTCCGACAACCTGCTCGGCACGACGTGAGTAGACCGCTTACTCGCTCGCGCGCGCCGTTTGCTGACCTGCATGCCCCTCCAGCACGCCTTCCGACGTGTCGTCCGCCAACTCCCCTGCCATGCTGCCCACCGCGGCCGCGCAGCCGCCCGACTCTACCGTTGAGGCTTTCACCCTGGCCACGTCGGACACTCCCGTCACCAGCGGCGTCAGCGCTCGTGCGCGCATCGTCCCCGAGTCCCTGCTGCTCCCGTGAGTCACCCGGTTGCATTGCTCGGGCAATGAATTTCGACTCACCTATGCTTTGCGTTTCGCTCTCTAGGATTGAAGACGAGGATGACGAGGACGAGTTCATCCCCAGGGGAAATGACTCCGGCCCGTCCGCGGGGATAAAGAAGCCCATCCACAAGCCTGTGAAGGACGGCGTTGCGACCTCGAACGGCGGTACGAAGTAGCCTGGGTCGCGGTGAGGGTATAGGATGCCCCGTCTGATGAGCGGCCGAAAGTGACGATCGACTATTTCCCCGAACGTTGCCGCGAACAATTGTAATAACCCGTACCACTACTTGCCTACGTCCCGAGCATATCCTGCGACCGTCTAGCGCGACGACCACCCGCGCGCTGTTGTCTGCTCCAGATTTCTTCGGGCGCGGCTTTGAGCTATCGCCGCAACTGATCATCTGTGAAGAATGTCTATTCTGCAGTAGCGCAGACACAGCTTGACAACAAAGCGGCAGATCGATACACAAACTATAACCAATCGCTACACATACCAGTAGACATCGAGCATTATCGAGCACCGCAGCACACTATACAATATCAGCAGCAGTTCCCAAGCACAGCCAGGCCCGCGCGAACCCTCGGTCCCAGTCTTCATATCTTCAGTCTTAACGGAGCACCCTCGGGCTCGTGTCATGGCGCACGCTCGGCGCGACTCTGGCGGCTCTCGGGGCGGCCGTCCTGGCGGGCGCCGGGGCGCCAGGGGTCGCTCCGGAAGATCCACATCTCCTTGCGCTGCCCGAAGCTGAGGAGGCTCTTCGTGCCCATGGGCACGCTCCCGCTGAGCCGGAAGCCCGCGAAGTTGAAGAAGCGCAGCACGAACGCGATCAGGATGCTCTTGTCTATCACGGGTGCTGCAAACGGCCAGTGCGTGAGTGGGGTGCTGCGGTAGTGTTGGAGACAAAGGGAGTGGGAGAGGGAGGGGGGAAAGAGGGGGAGGGGAAGAGGGAGAAAGGAAGTAAGGTGCGCCGCTTACAGCCATAGCCGCCTTTCCGGACCTCGAAGACGTGCAAACCGTCCTCCGTCGCGCGATCGGTGGTGATCTTGCGGGGGAACGTGGCGCGCAGCTCCATCCCGAGCTGCTGTGTGAGCTCCGCGGGGGCGTCGAGGATGGTCAGTCGGTCTCCCCGCTTGTTGAACATGATGAGGAAGACTATAGCTTCGAAGTCGGGTGTCGAGTCTACGAAGATCATGGATGGGGGCTTCCACTATTGTCGACGGTCAGTCTTGGGTCTGGCATTAGGCATGGCAAGTATAGACATGACACGTACCGGGTTCCCCACGTTGATGGTCGAGAGGTATGTATATCCCTGAAGACCCTGTGAGTGGGAAAATCGACAGGGGTGAACTAACATACCAAACGGGCCAGTATCAGATACAGGTTGCAGATCATCTTGCCAGCCCTAAGACCGAACGGCGTCAGAGAGTGCGGAGATGACCGCCCATTAAAAGAGTGTGGCCCACATAATCTGCTCAAGCCCGCTGCACGACCACGGGTGGCCGGTGAACTCGATTTTCAACTTGCCCCGGTGGTTGTCGATCGAGTCCGCGCCCCGAGGCCAGATAGGTATCATCGCCTCCATCAGCTCTTCACCCATCTGCGAGCCGGAGATGTTCTCGAGCAGGAGCTGGTTTGTCGAGCGCAGGGAGAGCAGGAGGTGGTCTGCAGGCGTATTAGATCGACAATCGACCACGGACGGCGCCGCGGAGATCACGGCGCACCTGGGACAAATCTCGGGACAGAATTCGCGCGGCGAGACCCTGAGCGTGTCCTCTGGCGGTGCAGCGACTCGGAGCGGCCCCTAGGGAGCGGGACAGAGCCCACAGAGGCCCCGCGCTCGGGCGTCTTCGTCCTCTTCATCTTCATCGCAGATTTAAGTGGCCTGCCGCCCCCGCCGGGCGTGGAGGCGCGAGAGGACTCGCGGGCGAGGGGGCGTGGCCGCCCGGTCTGCGTGTGAGGCGTGCTCGGTGGCAGTTGGTCATAGTGAGGCGGATAGATGGGGAAGGGTTGGGCGATGGCCTGGGGGGCAGATTGGGGGTAGCCGTAGCCGGGGAACTGCTGGAAGTAGGGTGGCTGGCCGCCGTAGGCGGGCTGCTGCTGGGCGTAGTACCGATCGTTGGGGGGATATCCAGCCTGCATGGTCAAGTAGAGTTAGCGCACAGAGAAGACGGGGACGCGCGCTCGCGGTGGGACGCGCAGGGGAGGACCTGGGGGGACAGGAGGTGGACGAGGACAGAGGGGAACGGGGGCGTGAGGACAGACATTTGCGCACGACCTGGCTGGCGCTTGCGAAGCGTGCAACGAGGCAGATGGAGCGGCCACACTCGAGGAAGTCGGACTATCCAGTCTCGATCGGACACCGCCCGCCAGGCCCCAGACAAAGCTACAGCCCACAGGCACCCGAGTCCCCCAGGAGCCCAGCCAAGCGATCCCAGAGCAGCAGAGCGAGACCGAGCGGGCGAGCACAGAGGGAGGAACATAGGAAGGCCAGGCAGGCGAGTGGCTCAGCGCGTTGGCGAGAGCTAACGAGCGCCGCAGATCTCCGCCCGGCGCGGACCACACCCCTCGGCCACGTGTCTGTGCCCAAAGAAGCAACTGGCGCCGAGCAGCGCTGGACGACTCACCGGACTCGCCTCGATCGTCAGTCATCCATCCGTCCTCCAAGTTCCTATACCCTCCTCCGCCATGGCCGCCCGCTTCTTCACCTGGCTCAAGTCCCCCGCTGCTCGCGAATACTTCTTCAGTGCGTTTACACTCTTTTTCCTCTGATTTTTCATTGCTTAACAAGCCCCTGCAGGCACGCACTTCTGGGGACCGGTCCGTACCCGTTGAACGTCCACATTTACCTCACCTCACCCGCTCATACCCGCTGCTTCTAGGTCGCCAACTGGGGTCTGCCCCTGGCTGCCTTGGCCGACCTTAGGAAGGATGAGGAAGTCATCTCGGGCGCGATGACGACCGCCTTGGCGTCGTACTCGTGAGTAAACACTCCCTCCACAATGCTTGCCGATTCTTATTCCTTTGTCCCCGCCCCCAGCCTGGTGTTCATGCGCTTCGGTACGTCACCTTTTGCTTTGTGCAGCACTTACCCCGCTCAACGTCGGGTGCAGCATGGCGCGTACAACCGCGGAATTACCTCCTCTTCGCCTGTCACGCGACGAATGCGACCGCGCAAACCGTCCAGCTCGGTCGTTTCTCCAACTACTGGTACTTCGGCGGCAGGGACAAGCAGCTCGCGGACAAGCCCGTCGCCGAGAAGGTCGTAGAGGCCGCGCAGGACGCCGTAAAGACCGTCGTACCAAAATGAACACTCCCCTTCCCAGCTCTGCCCTGGGGCGGACTGCCTGCTGCTTGCTTGTACCGCGCGCCTGCTCCTAATATAACTTACCATAATCGTAAAAACACAGCACGAAGACACAAGCAAGCTCGCCATCGTACATCCGCTACCAGAATCCGTCGTCCGCGTCGCCGCCCCCCTTGCCCTTCTTGCCCTTGCTGCCCTGCGCGAGGGCCTGGCGCTGGTACATTTCTGCTATCTGCGAGGGGTGCGCGCGTCAGCACCGGTGACACACGTCTGACGTGCGCCTGCTCCTACCTGCTCCGGCCCCGTCGCGTCATCCGCAGCCTTGTCCTCCCGGATCCGGATGAAACGGGGGAAACGCAGCGAGATGCCGCGCTCCTCGACCTATGCGCACCACCAAGCGCCAGTCAGCCCACGTTTCTCGAACGATAGCTGCAAAGAAGGGAAGGCACGCACCAGACCCTGCGCGGCCGTGTAGATCGGGCTCAGACTGAGGTCCGCCGTGAGCACCTCCCAGACGACCTTGGGCTCAAGCCAGACGTCGGGCTTCGCGCCGCCGACTTTGACGTCCCCGCGCGGCGTGGTCATCTCGAGTGGCTTGAGCGTCGCGGCGTGCGCCTGGAGCGCCTCGTCGCTGAACCCGGTGCCGATCTTGCAGATCGTCTGGTACTCCTCGGAGTCTGCGTCGTAACACGCGAGCAGGAACGCGCCGTAGACGTTCGTGCGCTTGCCCTTGCCGTAGTAGGCGCCTACGACGACGAGGTCGAGCGAGTCGCCGACGCCCGCGAGGTAGTCTTTCTTCAGCTGTGGATCCAGTTCAGTTACAAGATGTGCATGGGGAGTAGGGAGAACAGACTTTGAGCCAATTTACGGTTCGCCGACTGGGCTGGTAGTGGCTCAGCTCGCCCTCGAGCATCTTCACCATGAGACCCTCGCAGCCGTCCTTGACGCTCTCCTCGAGGAACGTCTGGATCTCATCTGTGGTATCGCAGTCGGACGACTTCGCGAACTGAAACTCGCCGTCCACGGGCAGGAAGTGCTCCTGCAGCAGCCCGCGCCGTGTCCCGAAGTCTCTCTGCAACAACGGCTGTTCCCCCACAACTTGTTAGGAACAGAGAGCAAGAGGTCGAGTGAGGAGAGAGCGCACCTCGCCATTAAGGTAGAGAAGATCGAACGCAAAGAGGCAGACGCGGACTTTGATGTCCTCGACCTTGACGTCCTTGCGCTTCCGCCGGCTGAGCTCCTGGAACGGCATGAGCTTGCCCGTGTCCTTGTCGATCGCGACCGCCTCCGCGTCGAACACGAACGTCTTCGTGCCCTCCTTGATGCACTGCTCACGGGGAAAACGTCATCACCCAGCTCTACGAGATCCGGTGTATAAACTGCACTTACGCTTGGCAGCTGCGCCATGAGGTCCGGGTACTTCTTGCTCATGTCCTCCGAGTTGCGGCTGAAGACTGCGATGGAACCGTCCTCGAGCTTGTGCACCTGTCGCACCGGACATCAGTCCCATGATACCGGAGAGGCGAAACAGATGTCGAGACGCACTTGTGCACGTTCGCCGTCATACTTGTACTCGCACGTGAATTTCTTGCCTTCGAATTTGTCGAGCACCTCTCCGATCGCCTTCGTCGGCTTCGCCAGCATGGGTTTCAGCGGCACGCCTGGCGTCAGCTTGCACACTTCGATCAGCCTGTCGACTCCGACATCGAGGAGTGCAGGGATGACGAGATCGTAGTTGGGAAGTTCGCTGGAGAGGAACCGGCAGTCTCAGTACCGGGGCGCTGTTCATAAGTAGGTGATTCCAACTGTACCTGTACACCTGCTTGATGATGCTCGCAGACTCTTCTAGGCGGGAAGCGAGCTTCTCCGCGCTTGACCGTTTATTCGCTGCAGCAGCCGTTCAGACGCTGGCCCTTGACGGGAACACAGTGGAGCTCACAAATCTCCTGTTCTGCGAGAACAGCGGCATGTGCGAGGGCGACAAGGACCGTGCGCTCCGCGTTTCCGATTCGTAGCTTGCCCTCTAGACTGCGGATGATGTACTTTGCCTCTTGGCCCTGACACGAGGCCATGAGTTTCGTGATGATAGACACCTTCTTGTTCTGGGACTGCAACAATATCGTGATGAGTTGTGTGCGGTGCTCGGGTTGGCCTCGCAGCGTACTGAATGACCACTGCTCAGAGCAATCTCCTTCAGGTTCTTGAACACCGTTGGGAGGGTTAAAGGCTTGGGCTTGAAGAGCGTCTTCTGACTGTTCTTCGAGTTCTATACTACTGATGAGACACGGTTCTTTCCATGAGCGAGTGCTCACGCATACCATTGCCACGAGGCCGAGGTCGCCCTCTTTCTTGAGGTCAGCCTTTACCACTGACAAGCTTCGCCCAGTTGATTCGCTTATTGCCTTGATGAGCAGACTCTCCCCGATTCCCAGCTCGATGCCGACATAATCTGGGCATAACTGGAAACACGTCAGCTTTCAGCAGTGACATTAACGGATAGATGCACTGACCCGGTTGATACAGAGATAGACAGCCTGAAGTAGAGACTGAGAGTCCCCTTGAGCCCGCCTGCGGATCACGAGCAGGAGGAAAGATGTGAGCAAAGCGGTCTTCTCCAACCGTTTTGTTGTTGCCTCGATGAGCGCGAATACTTTGGCTAGTGCCGCGTACGGTACGCTAGCGAAAGTGTATCAGCCAAAAGCGGGAAGAAGACAGGCGCAGACATACGGGTCTCCGGCCTTCCAACCTCCTGGCAGGTCAACTTCCTTCGTCTTTGACAGAGCAGCTTCCGCACTGAAAGCGTATCAGTCAGCTGAGTGAGACACATGGCCAGCTGGGGACCCACTTCTTGGAAGCAACACCTTCATCCTCTGCGTCCAAATCTTCGTCCACTTCTATCTCATCCTCGCCTTCATCCGGGTCCTCAGGACTTGAGGCCGCACTGGCTTCGTCCTCATCCATAGGCTCGGCTTCAACTGCTGCCTTCGATGTCTGACCATTTTTGCTAGACGTAGCCTTGGCGTTGACATGCGCCGGGGCCTCGGGTTTCACTCCCTTGAGTTGACTGGGCTTGGAGGGCCCGGCTAGCATTCTGAGGTGTCGGTGCATACTCCCCATAAGAGGGCGCGTCTCCACTCACGTTCAGGAGGTTCTTCCGTGTCTGATTCAACTACTCGCCTCTTCTTGAGTCTTGGGGGTCTCTCGGCAGCTGTACCTGAGGTTAGTGCGCGTATGGTAGAATGGCTTGAGCAATCATACCTTCTTTAGCCGGTGATGGTGGGGTGGGTGGTGCTGCATTGCAAGGTGATGGGGAGCCCTAAGGAGCGGGTGTTGAGACATACCTTCGTCTACAGATGGTTTCGGTTCCTCAGACTGCTCAGTTTCTTTCGCCTCTGACTTTGGAGCGCGTTTCCGCTTTCCTCCCCACGCGTCCTCTAACTTCGCTTGTTGGGGCGGGTCGTTCTTCCCACCGAAGAACTTTCCTGCAACACTGGTCAGATAGGTGGATATAACGCATCAGCTGTGAACCTGCCAAGGGTTTGCTGGCGGACCATGGCTGTGAGATGGATGTGGCGAGAGAGATGGAACTGTGGATGGCGGAGACGCGACTGGACTCGAAGCGCGGCTTTGACGCGTACCGTGACCGTGACTCCAAGCATAAGTTATTGCACGCGTCAGAATCTGTTCTGCAGCAACCGCAGCTCCCAGGTCATACACGAGCCCACATGAGCAGCTGCAGATGTTTTGGGGGGCCGGAAGTGGAACTGAGGGGCGAGAAAACTACGTAGAGCAAGTGCAAGGCGCGGCAGCAGCGGCGCGCCACAACCACGACATAGTCACACCGCGCGCATTTAGGAGGCGCCCGTGACTGACGCGCTCTCGGGATATCCGTCGCGCTCCCGCCCGAGATATCGTGCTGCTCTCGCCACCATCACCTCCTGCGAGCATTGCACCTCGAGGAACTTGCCGTGCACCACAGCAACTCTATGCTCTAATCTTGGCGTGGCCTTGTCGAGGAAGCAAGCTTGCTGCTGCCGCATGAGAGCATGATGGCTCGATGATCAATCACGGTGACTTCAGCACGCCTTCTCCGCCCTCGTGGGCCCACATAGTGCGGCTTGTTCAACTCGGAGGATCCTGGATCTCGCACTGGGACTCGGTGCGGTCTGGTCGCCTACCACCATCTGACCTCATGTTTCTGACTGGCCAGGCTGAGTTTGTACCCACCTCTCACAGCCATGTGTCTATCACCATCTGTCCCGCAGTCAAACTGTATCATCTAGGGGTCTTCCGTGCTTCTCCCCGGACAGATTTCCCAAGAGTCCTGCCCAATCCGTGTATCCTGTACCGCCTGCAGATGTGCTTCCCAAGTATAAGCCCCATCCTCATCATGTCTCAGCCAAAACCTCCGGATCCCCCTTCAGAGAACGCATAGGCCGACTCCCCTCCCTCCGGTCGATGCTCTCTAGGGGTCTTTCACCATGTCCTCTTCATCTCTGAGCTCTGCCGTCATTGGGCTGGAAATATGCAACATCCTGCTGCTGTCATTACTCATGGCAACCCCAGCCCCGAAGCACGCGATGGTCAAATCCTTGATGCTTGCATGCCTGCTCCGATCTGTGCTGGACGTGCTTCCACCTATCGTCCAGAAAGCGCGTCCGGAGCAGTTCAGCTCCATTAGCCAGAACGCCCAGACAACTCTCGCCAGCTTCTGCGTGAGTGACTCCATCTTGTGAGTATGCCCACTTCTAGGGTTCGTATATGTGCTAAACGATGTCATCCAGGTTGCGATATGTAACAGTTGTCAAGGCCGCGTTTGCAGTCAGCTTCACTATGGTGCGGATTATTCAACCCCGCAAACGCAACTAGCTCATGTGGGCAACGTATTCTAGCCAGCATTGTGGCTAGCCATTATTCAAATGCGACCGAAATGTAGTGCGGACGATTACCCGCGCCTAACAGGACGAACAGTTTTGCTACTCTGCATTGCACCCTACGGTACAGCATCATGACTATGACGCCTTGATTAGTACTGATTGATATCAGCATGGGCGCTGCCTGTGCTCATCATGCCCATCCCCCGACTCGTCCAAGGGCAGTTACTCTCAGTGTCGTTCAACATAGTGAGTGCGCAGGCATCTTATACTCTACCAATCCTCATCCGACACCGCTAGAATTCCTGCTATTTCACGGACAAGGCCTTCACCATCGTATCCTTGGTATTCACCTTGATCCCGTTGGCTTTCGCTGTGATCGTATCTGGCTCTGTCATCCTCGTCATCTCGCGGTGGCGGAACGCCGACCCAAGTCATCGCGCCGCCATCTGTTCCAAGCGAACCACGCGTTTCGCTGCTCTCGTCGTCGTTACGGTCATATCCGCGATCTTCTACACGGTGGTTCTAACCCTCTGGGTTAAGGGGCACGAAGCTTGGGCCCATGCGTGGCCATTCCGTCTGAGCGTCATATGGGAAGGTAAGTGATATACGGAATACTGTGTGTTCGCTCACTAATATGTTATATTCACTAGCGATCACTCCAATGCTTTTCTTCATCATCTTTGCGGCACAGGACGAGATATACGAGACATGGCTTGGATGGCTGTCCCGCGTCGTCCACATTCCGAGACGCGAACCTGGTCAATCACGGAATACCCCCAGCGCGCCACAGTACGGTGCGTGTTCTCCTTCCCTATTCATTTGCGGTCCTCTTATCAGTCAGCCATGTGTTCTTGCAGTGACATATGACAGTTACATCTCTCCGACTGGCCACCCGACGTACAGCAAAGTGCCCCATGACGCCGAAACGCCCACAGTAACCTCACCACCACCATTCTTCGGCCAGATCATCCAACGCCCGACGTCGATGAAGATACTCCGCAACTCGCAGTATCTTGACCGACGGTTCCAGGCGGCTTCGGACACCGGCGGCCTCAGCCCCCCGCCGCGACCGCCGCTTCCCAGAACGCACACCGTGGAGGAGCCGCCGCCGTCCAAGGGATCCCGCTTCCGCCTTCCCTTCGTCCACAACCCATCTCTGTCGGCTTTCGGCAGCCAGCCGTCCATGCAGAGCCAGCCGAACAGCAGCTCCATGGGAGACTTCAGCGGGGAGGACGACGGTATCCTGGCGACGACGACCGTCAGCCATGAGAGGATCCCGTGGGAAGGCCCGCGCTCCGACACGCCTATGTCGACGAGGACCTTTGGGCGCACGACAACTTCACGCCGGTAAACCGTTTTTGCTCTTTGCTGCTTGTGCTTGCGACCACTCTATGCTGTATCATATCTACGTACCGTTTGTCTCGATGTCTCGACGTCAACACTTTGCCTACTTAGCTTCGTTTTCTTGCACCGGTCTTGTACCACACTGTATTTCGATATCTATTCGGAACTGCATAGAATATTTGTACCACTAATATCCCACGGCGTATATATCGGTGTGAGTACGGTTACTTCTGCGACCTCGGTAATGGTGGCGACGCCGGGGTGAGGCGTTTAGTGCGCGAAATGGGCGCCTAGTTACTATATCAAGGAACAAGGAAGACTGGCGAGTAGGCCCGGCAGACTCCGAGCTGTACAGTTCATTGATGGGTGGCTTGGGCGCCCAACGAATCTAAGCGCCCGTGGACAGAACCCTCAGTAGATAGCTTACTCGCCGGACCCACCGCCTCCATCCTCAAGACCCAGCCATGGCCGACCAGGTGCGAAACGTCGTATTTGCTTCTGGAGAACCTCTCGCTGATATCGTTATGCTGCCAGATCGAAAAGGCATTCCAGAAGCAGTCCATCTTCCAAAACGCGAAGGCCCGCGGTATGTTCTTACACCCAAGGCGAAACTTTGCATGTGTGGCGGGAGGCTCATAGAGGGATGACTTATAGTCGGCAAGAAGGTCGTCACCAAGGAGAAGCGGTGGTACAAGGATGTTGGTCTTGGGTTCAAGACCCCGTCTGAGGCGATCCAGGGCTCTTACATTGGTGCGTACCTTTGATCCTGCGATTATTGCCGCAGGAGCCAACATGTGCTGCAGACAAGAAGTGCCCCTTCACCGGCGAGGTCTCCATCCGTGGCCGTATCCTCACCGGCCGTGTCATCTCGACGAAGATGACCCGCACCCTCATCATCCGCCGCGACTACCTCCACTACATCCCCAAGTACAGTGCGTGCAGCCCGCGTTATCTCCCCGGTGCTACCATTAACAGTTACTTCGCGTTACAGACCGTTACGAGAAGCGCCACAAAAACCTTGCGGCACACGTGTCACCAGCCTTCCGTGTCGAGGTCGGCGACATCGTCACTGTAGGACAGTGCCGGCCGCTGTCGAAGACTGTGCGGTTCAACGTCCTGCGGGTGGCGAAGAACAAGGCGGCTGCGAAGTCGTTCGGGAAGTTCTAGGCTGCTTACGCGCTGCGAGTAGTACTTGTGGGGGACGTAGGATATGGTATTATTGCTTTCACATGTGCTATGATGCATCAAAATGACACTGCACCCATGCGACTCGGTCTGCACGAGCATAATACATTGAGCCTGTTGTACTGTATGAACATGAGCGAGCGTCGTGAGTGAGCTGAGAACGAGTGTGCCAAGAGATGTGCCGGCTTGGAATGATAAATGGGAGCGGTGCAGCAAACAAGTACCCAAACAAGGATCTGGGCCTGGGCGCTGCTGGCTCCGCGTCCCTTCAGTCTCGCAGCCCTCTCCCTGCCGTCCCCCATCCCGTCGGTCTCGTCCTCCTTGCCCTCCTCAGTCCCGTTTCTGTACCAGTATCTCACGTTTTCACGACGACAACATACCCCGTTTCTCCCACCCAACCCCCATCTCCGTCAAGCTGGCGCCAACACTCCTCTCGGTGCTCACCTCACGGCTTTCGAGGACCAGGTCGCAGTCTCCCCAGCCCGGATCCCCTAATTCAGCGTCCCAGGCTCTTCCTATGGGCCAGCAGCAGTCGTCGAAAAAGTCGAAGAAGAACGGCAAAGACAAGGAGAAGGACAAGGATGTCAACAGCGACGCAGTGACTCCTGATGCCCAGTCCGGCGACGCCAACGACACGCCCCAGGGCAGCCTCTCGCGCGCGACAGGCGCCACAGAGCCCACTGCACATACCAACGGACACAGTGCGGTACCAGCAGGCCACGGTACGCCCGCAATGACCATCACGAACCCCGAGGGCAACGTCGTTCCGAACGGCAACGGTGCGCGTCCTCCCGGCTCACCCAACTCCAACCCTACCGACCCCATGTCTGGGACTTCACCGAACGCCTCCTCACCGGCGTCGTCACCTGCAGCGCACGGCAAGCCGGCGCCGCTAGACATCCCCGTCACACACACCATCCTCTCCACCTCGCCCGGATACCCCACACCCGGGTCGACCAACAGTTTCTCGCTCTCGGACCCCTCCAGCGTGGGCGCACGTGGCGCCAAGGAGGGGGTCAAGCAGCTCGATATCGATGACATGATCCAGCGGCTGCTGGACGTCGGGTACACGGGCAAAGTGAGCAAGTCGCTGTGTCTCAAGAACGCCGAGATAGTCGCCATCTGCCAGGCTGCGCGCGAGGTCTTCCTCAGCCAGCCCACGCTTATCGAGCTCTCCCCACCCGTCAAGATTGTCGGTGACGTGCATGGACAGTACTCGGACCTCATCCGGTTGTTCGAGATGTGTGGGTTCCCGCCCGCGGCGAACTACCTCTTCCTGGGGGATTACGTGGACCGAGGGAAGCAGAGTCTCGAGACTATCCTGCTGCTGCTCTGCTACAAGATCAAGTACCCCGAGAACTTCTTCTTGCTCCGGGGCAACCACGAGTGCGCCAACGTCACGCGAGGTATGTTCGGCGTTTTGGTGGCCCACTGTATTCGACCGATTGACGCGCCCAGTATACGGCTTCTACGACGAATGCAAACGGCGGTGTAACCTGAAGACGTGGAAGACGTTCATCGACGTGTTCAACTGCCTGCCCATTGCGGCCATCGTCGCGTCCAAGATCTTTTGCGTGCACGGCGGGCTGTCGCCCTCGCTACACTCCATGGACGAGATCAAGCGGATACAGCGACCAACGGATGTTCCTGACTACGGTCTGTTGAACGACCTCCTCTGGTCAGACCCCTCCGATACCGCCGTAGATTGGGAAGACAACGAGCGCGGGGTCAGTTATTGTTTCGGCAAGGCGGTTATAAACGACTTCCTCATCCGGTACGATATGGACCTCATCTGCCGAGCACACATGGTGGTGGAGGACGGGTACGAATTCTGGAATGACCGTACGTTGGTCACGGTGTTCAGCGCACCGAATTACTGTGGAGGTGAGCTATACTTGGTGTTACCTTCCTTGGCAGAAGCTCACGGCTCTTGCAGAATTCGACAATTACGGCGCGTGCATGAGGTTTGATCGTCCGCCACGTTCAAGTTGACCACATTGCTGACCCCCACGAACAGCGTGTCGGAAGAGCTATTGTGCGCGTTCGAGCTGCTCAAGCCCTTAGACGGACCAGCTTTGCGAAAAGAGATGACGAAGGCGAAGCGGAAGAGGTACGTTATGCTCCAGCGTGTACGACTCACGCTCTAACATGCTTCCGTCTCTGCGCAGCATGATGGCCACCACGACTTAAGCCGCGTCACGACATACCGTTCCTTGGAAGAGTGTATAAGAGTATAATTGCTGCAGGAGTTTGTGACGCGGATGCTGTTCCGCGACCCATCGCGCCGGCAACGCCGCCTTTCTTAGGGCACGGCCCGTCGCCGGGCCCAGCGTCGACCGTATAGGCCCTTGGAGAGGGAAGGCGGGACGATTGTCCGTCGCGTCCCCATTCGCCGTTTCGGTCCGACTAACTTAAACTATCTTTCTCATGACGTCTCTCCCTGTCTCCCCGTCTCTCTCTCCTTCCGTGCTGCTGGCAATTTTCTGGGATTACGGACTGTCATTGTGTACACGCTGCTCTTGCATCATTCCATAGTTACGTTCCCGCCGCTGCTAGTACGTACGCGCTCGCCCGCCATTCGTTTTCGCGCCCCCCTCTCTGTCCATTTCGCTCGTCCCATTCGCCCCGCCCCGCACCCCCCGGTTACCCTCCGCCTGTGCTATAGCCATGATATCTCAGTTGTCAAAATCCGCATCGCCTTTTTGCAAGGGGGCTTCGCCCGAGGCACCCCGTGGTTCTTTGCGCACGCTGCATGGCTTCGCCCACTCGAAACGTTTGCCGACAAGTATCCGTTAGAAGTTTCATATGGAGGTATTGTACATCGCAGGTGCGGTTGCATTGGACACGCGGTCCAACCGATACCATTCTACCCAGTTCCACCCGTGTTCCCTTCATATAAACCTGTAATGATTCGTTCCATATCCGGGGTATATCCTATCCACGTCCGCAGGTGGTGCATGATTGGTCGAAGATAGTGGCGTCTTAGACCTCGTTGAGTGCGAGGTCGTTGACAGTGCCGGAGGCTGTTGGAGATGTGAGCGTGAGATCTATGTGCTGTGTGGTACGAGCGGCGTCGGTGTACTTACGGATGCCGGTGAGTACGCCTTTGGTAGAGAGCGCCTGGAGCTGGGTCGTGATGGCCGCGGGGCTGGAGTTGCCGTCGCGGCTGATGAGGGTGGCGATCAGCCCAGCGATGTGGGGGGTGGCCTGCGCATGTGAATGTTCAGTTCAGCACGGAGAAGCAGATCGGGCGGAACGCACCATCGACGTGCCAGAGATGTTGTTCGTGGCCTGGTGACGCAATCGTTGGACGTGAGCTTCTGCTGCGTGAGGCCATGAAGCGAGGGACTGACCGTGGTGCTACCGATCCAGGAGCTGATGACGTTCTGGCCGGGGGCGAAGATGTCGACCACGGGGCCGAAGTTGGAGAAGGACGCGCGCGCGTCGGCGATTGTGCTCGCGCCGACGGTCACAGCCGCCGCTGCACGCGCGGGACTCGTGTTGACTGCGTTCACGTTGTTGTTGCCAGCGGCGACCTAGAGAGGGAACGCAGTAAGCTATGGGGCCTTCGGCATCACGAACATATCCACGTACAGTAACATGAATGCCGTTCTGGGTAAGCTATAAGAAGTGTGGTTTAGCACGTGTACGATTTCGGTCCACATAGACCACACACGGCAGTGACCGCGTTATCGAGAGCAGTGGACGCGCCGCCACCGAGGCTCAGGCTCGCGATAGAAGGCCGACCAGTGATAGCGGCCTGCTGGCTAACATAGTTGAGGCCCGAGACGCTGCAAACACGGTCAATTGAGGCCGATGCAATGTTGAGGAGCACAGCACGAACATGTCCGACACGGTGCCGGAGCTATAATGAGATATCGGGGTAAGCGCAGAGAACGCTGTGCAAAGCAGGGTCGGCCTACCCTGCGTCGGATAGAACCTTGACGGCGATGAGGCTGGCCTTCTTGGCGACGCCGTAGGTGACGCCCGCAGCGGTACCGCTGTGCTGACGTTAGACCATGGCATGAGATATCAAGGGGAAGACGTACGAGACGTGGGTTCCGTGGCCGTTTCCGTCAGCATCCTAAGGGCAGAGTTCAGATACTTCCTTTGCTGTAGCGAGATTCGCTACGTACCGCGTAACCGCCAAAGGTCGCGCCCCACGAGGCGCGACCTTCAAACTCGGACTGCGAGCAGGGAGTTGCTGTCAACAAAACGCTTCTCCCGATAGATAACCATGCTATAACGTACATGACTGGTGAAAATTCCCGTATCTGCAGCATGCCCCGAAGAGTCAGATACCGAACAGCGTCACTCAGACAAGCTCAACCGTATAACGTACCGACAATGTAGATGTCCACGCCGGAGCCGGCCGAGGAGTCGTACGTGTAGGTGTACGTGAGCGCGCTGGTGCTCGTGCTCGAGAGCGCAGCGGCCTGGCTGATACGCTGCAAGCCCCACGGTGCGTCGGTCCTGTGCACTAGTCAGACCTGTACGCACTGCAAGTGTATACGGCGACCAACACTCACTGAGTGACAGCGGCGTTGATGGTGAAGATGCCGTCCTCGGTGATGTACTCAACATCGGGGTTGGCACGCAGCGCGTTCAGCGCGTCCGTCTCGAGCGTCCCTACGAACAACATCATACGCGTCAACACCTGTGATGAAGCGCGACTCAAGGGCCGACGCACCCGCAAACCCATTGAGCACGCTGGACTCCCACTCGGCGTGGGTGACAGTTGACGTGTTGCCGTGGTTGGCAGCGAGCCACTCGAGGTGCGCGTCCTTGGCGACGCCGTCCCGGAGCTTGACGATGTACGAGCGCGCCTTCGTCGCGCCCGCGAACTTCTCCACCGTGTGGAGGGACGCGGCGGGGGCGGCGAAGATCGGCGCGGCGAAGAGCGCGAGGGCAGCGGCGACGGTGGCGAAGAGCCGCATGGCGGCGGGCGGGGAGCAGGGTAGTGCGCGGGGACGACTGCGGGAGAGAGTACGGGGGCACTGGGGCTATCGTCCGCACGTCGCTGAGCCTTTATACGATGCTGCGGGAAGCGTGAACGGTTCAGGCTGGCTCAGTCGGGTGTCGACGGTCGGACTTGAGGGCACCTGTAGACGGCGCGATGCATATCGGTGCAGCACGCCGAGGGGCGACGCCATGGCGTGTAGAGCAGAGATGTCGTAACCTCGATGCTCAATAACACCTGTAGGGGAGGGTGAGCATGCGGCTGTCCTTGGCCAGGAGAAAGTACACAGCGGCGTGTTCGTCCAAATCTTGACGTTCGCCCTGCGTCGGACGTTGTATCAGGACAGGCGCTGCTTCTGATAGTTGATTTCCATCCTCGGTGTGAAGCGTGGCTGCCCAAATGCGGTAAACGCAGCTCCTCGCGTCGGTGTGGTCACTTCCGCTGGAACGGACCCGTCGAACGTGGAGCAGGACAAACTACCGAGCTATAGACTGTCGAGCGTGCTTCTCGCCTGGCCAGGTCGCAGAGAAGGCGTATTGCCACGGCCATGTACCTGACAAAAGCAGCTGATTCGGGATGAAGCAAGACCGTCAGAAAAGCGAACGCGATGGAAATTGTACGGTCTTGCTCACTACTGGTCGCGTAGCAGTACTAGTAACGCGAGACGGGGCCCGGCGCCAATGTTCAACTGCGCACTGCGACCACCGCTAGTATGTTGCTGACAACTGTCACCAGGGTCAGTAGAACTCAAGTACAGTATACTTACTGCCTGTTTATTCTGTCCACGGTTGAGGCGGAGTCGCACTGTGAGATGTCTTGGCCACGACGATCTGTTCTCGAATCTCGATGTTCAGTGAGTTGGAGAACCGTCGCGGTATCACGCGGTATTCGCTGCTTCGAAAGGCTTGGCAATATGTTCAACGATGTTGGACGTATGCAGCTGATAACTCCAGCGAGATAGAACGCACCAGATGCGATATGCTTTGCTGCCAAGCAGGAACAGGTACATGGCGATACCATGAACGGAGGTGTGTGCGATTGACGGTCCAACTCTACGGCGAATGTCGTCATGTTGCGTGTTGGACGCGTCGTTGATCAGGGGTCGGTCAATAACCTCGAATCTGGTTCAACGGAGCAAACAGATCTAGTTCTTGATGTATACACTCCTGGCATCACGAAGTCCTCTAGTATACGCGCGTTCAAGATGTATGTTCTACGATGCGCTCTAGAAGCAATCATCAGCGGAGGCACCTCGCGAACAACAGTTGTAGCTCCAAAGTACGTACAGCTCTCAATCACTCGTCCATGCGCTACCTCCTCTTTGCCAGATCATACGCCAGGATGGCGAACGCCGCGACAATCGACCCGCATCCGAGGACACTCCAGATCGTGACAGCTTCGACCGCCCCGCCAAAGATCGCGTCGGACACGAACACGAGCACGATGGTGAGAAGGCTCCCGACCGACGTGACGATGGGGCCCCAGACCCCGAGCAGAACCTTTCGGACTGGGGTGAGCACATGCATTGGGCGGGAGACGCATGTGGGAGCACTGACCATGAAGCCTGCATTGAAGATTGCCCCAGTCAACGCAATACCAGCGATAACGCCATACGTGGCCCCCGTCCGCGGCATCTCGAAGGGCTCAATGTCGAGGGCGTGAATGATCGGGATGGGTATCCACAAGACCAGCATGGTGCAGACGCCGATGGCTGAGGTGAGGAAGTTCGGATATAAGCCAAAGGGGAGGGGATGAATGATGTCGTCGGCGACCAGAAGTGGGGCTTCGAGTGGAACCTCCTCATCTTCACCTGGCGAGTCTGCCTCTGGTATCGGTGTATATAGGTCGGCCTGCACTTCTGGGTCGTCTGGGAGCGCGGCGTAGATCTTGTAGAGAACCTGGTAGGCCGCGTATATGATAGATGCTGCCAGAGTTAACAGGTCGCCCACGAGAGGAGCGGCACGATGCCTTCGCGGTTCTGCTTCCGCTGATTGCTCTGCGCCAATGTCAGAGGTGCCCGCTTCGACGGTGGTGCCTCCGTATACGACCGCCAGTACGCCACCGGTAGCGATAAGAACGGCGGCCAGACGGCGCGGCTCCCATTTACTGCGAGTTATGAGGACGGTGAGAACATATGCGAAGAATGCATTTGTGTTCCATAGCGCAGTGACGTCGGTAACACTATGTGGCCACGGGATTAGCCAAATTATACATTGAGGCTTCATGAAACGTTTGACTTACGGTGCTAAAGTGACAGCAATGAACCACATGAGGCCAGGCAGGGTCAAACCAGTTGTCAGGTAAGCTAGAAGGCGGTAAAATCTCCCCGTCGGAAAGGCAGGTTTAGCAGCAGTGCTAGATGCTGCCCGCGGGGCGAGATGTCTTCGTACGGCATCAAGCACGCTTATCCAGAGCGAATCCAGGGAGTACTGAGAGAATACACAGAGATAGAAGAGGTGAAGGGGGAATAATAACGCGAAAGACGAGTGAACGATATAGCTGAGCTGGAATCAGCGTTATGTCGCGGAGAGTGGTTAACAGGGCGCCTACAAAATGAGGAACGGTTGTCGGAATCCCAGATCTGCTTGCACATACTGCAGAATAGCTCAGGAGACGAACGTGGTGGCAGAGAATAATCGAACCTGGACGTACCTGCGAGAGTTGTGTCTCCGCGACGAACGCGAGCAAGGTGAACACGAAGAGACCGACAGCCGGTTTGCCCCCCAGACGAATGAGAGCTTGATGTCCCGCAGGCATTCGGATGACAAGTACTAGTAAGTCGAGACGTAGATATGGATTATCGCAGAGGCTGCATGGACGGTAAGCTTGGTCTATATCAAGCAAGAAGGTAGCTGTAGGCACAGAGCGCGAGCTGAAGAGGACGAACGTGCTTCCGCCGCATCTCGCAGTCCGAGGCCGTTCACTGCCAACTGCAGAGACGCCCATCACTGGTCGGTCCGCGGGGAAGGCCGCAGCTTTCCTAGCCAATGAGACGGCTCGCATAGGGCCGGCATCTCCGGTCTCTGCCACATTTGGAGACTGGCCGGAGATGGCCTCCGGGCGCAAGCCTGGCTTGCAGACGGAAGACGCCCAAGGACTCGCTGCTCTAACCCGCCATGTTGCGCGCATTCCTCACCTCAACGCGTCCCCTCTTGTCGCGCATTCGACCAGCATCACTACCCCACTCGCACCTTCACCACGCCCATCATGCGCTGCCATCAGCAAACGTCGTTCTTTCGAGGGGAATGAAGGTCCGCGCTTCGGTCAAGACCATGTGCGACGGATGCAGCGTGGTCAAACGGAAGGGGCGTGTATACATCATCTGCTCCAAGAACCCCAAGCACAAGCAGGTGCGTTATCTGTGCTTTCACGTCCTTACGCGGTAGTTTATGTTCCTGCAGAGGCAAGGCTGAGCATCTAGAGCTCCCTCATCCCTCCGCCTACACGGCCCTCGCCACATCAACGGCACTCCGCGCGTGCAAATGGGCACGACCGCGCTCTCAGGTGGAAGATATATCGTACAAGAACACACATAGTCGCGGCACTACCGTACCCACATCTGGAATTCGTACTGCACCCCGTTTTCCTCCTGTACGCCTTCCGGCACGTCAAACCCCGCCCACTCCTTCAACTCCTTGTGCGACGCCCTCCTCCACCCGCTCTGCCCCACTTCCGTGCTGTTCTCCGCCAGGAAGTCAGGGAAGAACACGTCGCAGTCTTCGAATGCGGGCGAGAGCACCCGAGTGAGCAATATGCGGTCCACGAAAGTTTCTGAGGACGGCGGCAGCGCCAGAGTTGCGCCGTAGATGTGCGCCCCGCCTACGACAAATGACCGGTAAAGTGGCTTCTCGACGTTCTGTGGCTGCGCCAGCCGTTCTGCCACGGACTCTACGCTCGACTGAAGGTAGACGGATGCTTGAGGCGTCTCCGCGTCGGACGGCATCCTACGTGCGCTGCTTCAGCATCCACTCTCGAAACATCCAAGCATCGGCGCGTACAGCTCGTATTGCGTGTTCCTGCTTATCACGATGTTCAGCCTCTTGGGCAGCGGCCTGAATTTCTTCGGGATGCTCTCCCACGTCGCCCTGCCCATTACGACCGCGTTCATGCTCCCCTCCGGCGCGGCGGACGTGATTTGGCGGAAAAACGACATTTCTTTGGGTAGCCTCCAGGGCAACGTCGCAGCACGACCGATTCCATTGTTTCGTGTGGCAGCGACGACGATGGTCAAGCGAGGCATGGTGTAAGTGAGTCGGACGAAGCCAAGCCGCTCTGCCAGAGAAGCTGAAGTATGTATGCTGATCGCGCGCCGTATATGGCATCGCTAAGCGCCTGCTTTGCGCCAGGCAGTTCTGTACCTCTTGATTGAGCGTCGTTTCAATCCTGAAGCTAGAACGTAGTTCCAAATAACGACTGCGTATTCTCTTGCAGGTCACATTGAACTCACGTAAAAATCGCTGATCAGGGTTAATAGGTGCTGGGCGTCCACTGGGATCTGAAGGAATGTCGCAGCAAATTCGGAGCATCAGAGCAAGTATTGAAAACGAACAAAACAGGGGAAACACGACACAAAAATTGTCCATCCGATTCATCCGTCTCCACATTCTGCGGGCTTGCTCAGCTGCGACGCCGCGCAACCAGCCTGAGGTGAGCCGTCACCGCGGCCCCGAAAACTCTAAGTCCGCGTTGATGCAACCGCCGCCGCCGCCGACCAGGGTCGATGGTTAATCAGGTCGCCACCGCATGAGGTGGCTGCTCTGTCAACTCGAATCCTGCGTCCGCCGCTGTCGACTTCAAAAGCATGCCGGGGTGCATGAAGTTGAGGGCGAACATGCCGAGCGTGATCATCGCGCCGTCGAAGACGTCTACCGCACAAAGTTCCGTCGGTGAGTCGTCTTCCAGATCAGCTTTTCTATGACACTCACTGAACAGAACCTGGGTGTGTATGATAGGTCCGTTGGAACCGTTGGCGAATTCGATGACCCGATACACAGACCTGGGAGGAACGAGCAAATGAGCCTGAATGAACCCATTGCGCGTGCGTGGCACGGCCGGGGGCACTCACCGGAGGTACACGAATACGGTGCTGATGCAGATGCCGGTGATGAGCAGCTTCATCTCGCGGGTGAGCACGCGGTGGGCGTCCTCTTCGTTACCCGGTGTCCCCGGCTTCCTGAACGGACAGTCGGCCGCGCGACGCCATACATACTCGGCCACCAAGTGTATGAAGATCGACATCGCGACTGGGACGGCGGAAGATGTAGGGGTGAGCATTCGCTGACCGGCTATGCTGCTGTCTGCGTCACGTACTAAGCTGGAAGATGAGACCGCCCAGAACGATGTAGCTGCCCTGCGGAACGGTAGAAGAAGGTGAGCAACGTGCAGTCGACTGCGGGGTCGACTGCGGAGACTTACTATCCGTACTATAGACGGGGATAGTTTGGGGTTGGCGGTGAGTCCGCCTCCGCCGCCTTGGATATTCAGTGCTATTAAATCCTGCTGCACGTCAGCCTGAAAGTAAAGGCGGGCAATACAAAGAACCTACGCATGTGAGAAATATGCGGGAGTCTGCGGCGTTGAATGTGCTGTCAAAATATGCCTAGATGTGTGGGTATAGGGAAGACTCACACATTCTAGGGCTCAAGCGACTATACTCCGGTCCAAGTCTCTCTGCTACACGGCCAAATCCCATGAACAGCGCCGCGACCAGGGGGGTGGGGGCAAGAACGAGGACGATCGCCCTACATATCGTTGCACGTCAGCAAACGGAGTACTGCATGTAGTGTCTCGAGGGCGTACTGGACGATGAACGGGATCAACGAGGTGGGATCATTCGCCGACAGTGTGCGCGCAACCCATCCCCCGACTTCCGCTACCCCAGCGATCAGGACCGTCCACACCAGCCACCACTCTCGGGAGCGATAAGCTTGCCAAGTATGAAGGACTGCCAGACCACGGCAAGAGACGGCTAGTAAATATGGGGCCTCCCGTGAAATCCAAGCAAGCGCATACGCACCGGTTGAGACACCAAAGAGGACGACGAATGTAGCGCACACGCTCTTCGTAGGCACATATCCGTAGAGATTCGGATGCAAGTCGACTCCCGTGCCTATACACGTTGGATAAATCAATGCACCTCCGCGCGGAAAAGTCTACCGTGACCCCGCTGCTGACCTGTTGAGCTCATGAAGAAAAATAGGGAGGCAGATGGAAAGGCGGGTAGAATAGATAGGGCACCCACATACCACCCGCCGCGCAGGGACGAGAGCTTATGGATATGTCGTGAGAATTGGACCCGGGAGCCTGCCGCACACAAGGTGGATGCGCAGCGCTGCGGCGCTGTGCGGCCATTCATGTCCGTGCGAGAACACCGAAGATGTGCGTGAACTCAGATATGAACGAAGTTGGACCCTCATCGGCGGATCCTTACTAAGAGAACCACTTTCTTGTACCTGTGCAAGAAGTATATGGCCAGCAGGCGTACAGCAGCATAGGTTCAAGTTCGTGTTTTGCAACTTGGGAAATGCCTCTCGGGCCTCGGAGATTTCGAAGTTCAGGAAGCTTGTCAGTGGCGAACCGGGGGGCTGCGCCGCGGCCATGCATGGAAGTCGAGTCCTTCACTTGAGAAAGCGGTGCCTACAATTTCGATCAAGCCGCTTTGCCACGCTGCGCCGGTACCACAAGAAAGAGACACCGCTATGAGTGCGGGCATCAGTAATATATCGCTCCTGGGCGCATGTACCTGGTATTCGCTTACGGGCCCAGATCCTGCGTGCATGGCTGCCGCCCCAAGGCCGCAAGGTACCGGCGTTGACAAAGGTGGATGATGTGTGATGAATAAAGACTTCGAATTGCAGAACACAAATACACAGACAGTCGCGCATCTCTCTATGACCAAATTGTATATAGATTTCGTCAGGCTAACAACCGGGAAGGAACGTAAGAAGTCCAATGATTAGAGCCGCATATAGTAACCGTAGCACCGTGAGGCAGCCGCCCTCAGCACCGTCACTATGGTCGTAGCGTACAAGAAAATGATGAAGAAGCCGTCCGTTCCGAAGCGCCTGCCCCAGCCTACGGCCGCGCCCGCGTAAGCCGTCTCGGGGCCCAACACTGCGGGGCGCGGGGGCCTCACTTCGAGTCGCGGAAGCCGCCGAACGAGGTGTGCACCGTCGGCGAGGTGCGCTGCGAAAAAGACGCGCCGCTGCGGTCCGCGAGCGCGTAGGCCGCGTCGGCGGCGGTCTTCTTCAGGAGGATGCCGGGGTGCATGGCGTTGAGCGTGTACATGGCGAGCGTGACCATCATGCCGTCGAAGACGTCTAGGGTGGGTTGTGATGAGAAAAGTAGCTCGCGGCCTGGGTGGGGTATGTACTCACTGAAGAGGACCTGGGTATGCGCAATCGAGCCGTCGAAGCCGTCGGCGAACTCAATGACACGGTATACGGACCTAGGCGGATGGGGAGATAAGTCCACGAGAAGAGACATGCCCGTGACGAGGGTACTCACCGAATGTAGATCAGGACGGTGGCGACACAGATACCAATGATGAGCTGCTTCATGTGGCTAGTCAAGACGCGCTGGGAGGGCGGGGTGGCGGACTCCGTGTAGCTGAGCGGCTCCGCCTTGCGGAAGGGGCGGTCGGCAGCGCGGCGCCAAGCGTATTCGCACATGAAGTAGGTGAAGGTCGTCATCGAGACTAGAACACAGGTGGATGTAAGCATCTGCAGCCCAACCTCTGCCAGTGACAGGCCACGTACTGATTTGGATAATCAGACCACCGAGGATGATGTTGCTGCCCTGTAGACGAGGAGATCATGTGAGCTATGCGAATCCTATGCGAGGAGTAATGCGTTAGCGACATACCAGACGCGCTTGGGACGGGTCAGTGGTCGCCCTGGCGGCAATGCCACCACCACCACCTTGGATCATCAAAGACAGGATATCCTACGAGAGGTCAGCCAAGGTCATGAGAGCGGGTATAACGGCTGGACATACGCAAGTGAGGAAGATACGCGAGTCTAGAGGAAGGATGGAGGGTCAGACATGTCGGTGATACGGCACGACGAGTATTGACTTACACCATCTGGGGCTGAGACGACTGTACTCGCCACCGAGTCTTTCTGCTACGCGTCCGAAGCCAATAAACAGCGCGGCGACAAAGGGCGTAGGGGCGAGGACCAGGATAGACGTCCTGGGTGCCTTGGCGTAAGCGAAAGAAGCGCATGCAAGACCTGGGAGACGTACTGGATAATATATGCCATGCGAATGAAGGGATCACTTGACGACTTCGTCCGTGCAACCCATCCTACTACCTCCGCGATACCCGCGATCACGACCGTCGGGATCATGAACCACGCGCGAGAGCGCGTCGCCTGATACATATGGAGGGCTAGACGTTTTTGGTTAGTGGCCGTTCTTGTTCGAGAAGCTCAGGGGAGTATATATACCGGTCGAGATGGCAAAGAGAACCACGAAGATGAGGCAGACGCTCTTCGTGGGCGTGTACCCATAGAGGTTGCGGTCGAGGTCGGCCCTGACTTCTACTCGAGAAGGCGTGAGTCTGGGTTTATGAAGATTAAGCTCGCATTGACTGACCTAGAGAGCTCATGATGGAGAACGGCGGATGGAGAAGGAGAAAGGAGAAGAGGGCTTGGTACGAGCACAGCAAGAACCGGAGGAGGAGGATAGGAGGAGGGGCGGTGAGGAGGAGTGAGGATGGTGAGGCTGCAAGGAGGCGCGCCGAGCCTTTATACAACGCGCTAGAGCAAAGGAACAGAATGTTATCCGCAGGGCATCGCCCTCCGGAGTGGCGAATTTCATGATCTGGCGTTTGTTCCTCGGGGGCGACCCCGAGATGTTACCCCAGGAGGACCGAGGTTGCCAAGTGGATGATTTCGACTGTTCTGAATCGGACCGTACTTTCGCATGCCAATCGTGAATCTTCTCGCGTTTATTCGGTGCGTTGTCAAACCGTGTTTGTCGCCGTGATTGAGGCACAAGAACGTGTGAATTATGCAGGTTCAGCGAGTCCTGGAGGGAGGAGAGTGAGCGGAATGGGCGGGGAAGGTCGAACGTGAGTAGACGCACATACCTAATTTGGCGAATATCGCGAGGAACGTAAGCGTGATTACGATCTGAGGCGGACCGAGGTGTTACGGAGGCAGGTTACACAGAGCTCGGACCGAGCTGTAAAGCATGGAGCAGTGCACAACCACACTGCGTATTCTATGCGCCCCGCAGTGGCGTGCAAGAGTCTCACAACCCCTCATCCGCAGCGGGAAGAGGCTGTGATCGCGGTCAACGCTCACCCTATGGCCAACCACGATCGACACGGTCACTAGAGCAGCGGAACGCGGGACGAGGCTTCGTTGGGGTGGCAGAAATGCTACAGCGGCGATCGCAGCAACGGATCAGAGCACCGGCCTCTTCAATTTCATAGACGAGGCTGGCGGTGCAGGCCAGACGAATTCGTTTGTAGGTCTTGGCGCGTCGAGGCAGGAGGACGAGGTCGAGATACTCGGCGCCTAAATGTCAAAGGCCGTTGCATCCGATTCCAGATCTAGTAACCTTCGTCGAACCGTGCCGTGGCGTCGCCGGCGGCACTCATCTCGGTCTCCGAGTCCATGGTGCCTTGGATGTTCGGCCCTCCTCAGGTCAGGTGGTTCAAAAATGACCGGTGTAGATTAATAATGTGTACAACTTGCGATAAATGTCCATGTCATGTCCGTGAAATGTAAAAACGTGACCCCCGTGCCCTCTAGATCATCATGGTCGTGAATACCAGTCCCACACCCGCATTATACAGACAGCTTGGAGCCGAGCGGAATGGCTCCAGAAACCACCTCGGTGGTAAGCAGTCGTCCAGGGTGGAAGACGTTCATAATGAGCATCGTCGTGAACACGGGGACCGCGTCGAAAATGACTATGCAGAATCACCATGAGTACCGGAGTGAGAGGAACCAGACGAGCCGACGACGACGTACAGAAAAGGGACTGTGTCTGAATGACTTTCCCATCCCAGCCATCGGCAAGTTCGACCACACGGTAGACACCTCTGCAAGACTGAGCGTTAGTGGCGGAACATACTCAGCCGTGAAGTGAATGCGCACCGGATGTAAAGCAATACAGCCTCGGCGCAGAGCGCGTACGCGAGGTACATCAGCGGCTGCTCAAGAGGACGACCATATCCGCCGATGAACCCCATCGATTCGCTGGACTGGTGACCGTGGCCGTAGGCATTAGAGGCCGATACTTGCTTGAGCGGCTTGTCCCTGATGCGGCGCACAATGTACTCGACAAGGAGGACGCAGAAGACGGTGAGCGAAACTAGAGTCCGGCGATGCGCGTCAGGGAGGTGTTACAAGACGAATACGGCGAGTAGACGCACCTAGCTGGAAGATGATCCCTCCAAGCATGATGTCACTCCCCTATCGGACCACGATGTTTCGGTTAGTAAAGAGCCGTAGTGAAGAACGGATGCGACCTTACCAATTTGGAGGTGCTCGGGTTGTGATCAGCAGTGGCAGCAATCCCGCCGCCGATTGACTGAACCACCAACGCGACGAAGTCCTGTTTATACGTTTAGCATTGCGGCGAAAGAGCCATGATAAAGGCGGAAACGTGCCGCAGTGAAGAAGATGCGCCCGTCTACAGAATAAATCAGCGATCATGAGCGGCGTGTAGAACAGGCGGTATACTCACAAAGGCGCGGGCTGATGCGACTATATTGCTCTCCGATGCGCGCGGAAAGGCGGCCGAACGTGATGAAGAACGCGCCGATGAGGGGCGTGGGCGATATGATCAACACCACGATCCTGTAGAACGTTCGTTAGACGCGAAGGAGTCACCAGCGCGGAGAACCGTAACGTACTGGATGAGGTAGGCGTTGTCGTCTAGAGGCTTGTAGTGCGACAGGGTACGGCAACCCCAGCCCAGAGCTTCACCGAAGCCCGCAAGGCAAACGGTAGGAAGCAACCACCACAGCCGGGAGCGAACGGATTGCGTGAGGTGTATCACTGCCAGATCGAGTAAGAATATGTTCACGCCGTGCAGGGGGGCTCGACTTACAGGTGGTAATAAGGAAGAGAGCCGTAAAGAGGATACTGGCCCATGCAGTCGGAAGATACCCGTAGAAAGGCGAATAGAGGTTGCCGTTCGCGTCATGGTCACTGAGGGTAGCTGACAGAGGAGTGGTGAGTTAGGATGCCTCCTGCTGCTACTCCCGAGGGAATACTCACGGTCCGCGGCCATCGTATAGAGAAGAAGTAGAAGGAAAAAGGAGAAATGGAGAGAAGAAGAAACGCGAGGGCTTTTGAAAGGGAAGGAAGAGGGAAAGGGAAAGCCGAGGCGAGGGTGGGTGGTTCGTAAGGTAGCAGGGCGATCGACGCGCCTTTATACCTGTCGCGCTTGGCAGCGATTCGCACATTTGAGCGGACTTCACAGAGCGGGGATGCGGCGGTGCAACTGATGGACTGCGCTGAGTGGAGGTGGAGGTTTCCCGGCGCGCATAACCTTCTGCGGACGCGAATCTAGTCGTCACTCCGGAGACAATCGGGGGATTCGTATCAACGCTCGCTCGCTTCGGCAATTTTTGTCGCAATAGACTGAGCACGTTCTGCAACGTATGGATTCCTTCGTGAGTTTCTCTGCCCTGCGTTCCCTGAGGTCTCCTGTAGGCAACACAGTCAACGCGCCCGGGTAACTTTGCGGTTAAGCGTACCGATCACATTAACACCTACGGGCACGGTGTACTGCGAGATGCCCATAGCCCCGCTGCGGCGTGCGGCGTGCGCTGGCATGCGGCCGAGACACTAGCGTAAACAGCTGCGACGCAGTCCAATCCCATCAAAATGCGCGGAAACGCCTCCGATCAGAATGAAGCGTTGATGCTCGATATACACAAGCAACACAATCCTGAAACGCTGGAGATGTTTCTTTCGACCATATATCCTCGATTAGAACCACATTACGGTAAGGCGAGCCGCTGTAGTTTCTGCCGAGATGCATGACTAGACAGCAAAAGGCGCGTCCTCTCTTGAGGAGGTCCGCCGCGTGTGACCATGGAGAAATCTCTTGAAAAGCGGACCCGGTATCGGATCTTGCCAAACTAGCCGGGCGCATAACCTACGAAATCGTTTCAGGGCCCGGGGCCGTGGAAGGTGGTAAATGATCGGACCTGGACTCTGTGAGTAGTACGCAGTAGCGTGGCGCGCAGAGATCGCCAAGGGCACCGTGCACACACATCCTGACCTATTGCAGCGGGTCGCCCAGCATGGAGGCGCTGTTGGGGCTGAATTTGCATGACACCGCAGCACAGCTCCTGATGCTGCGATCGACAACAAGGCAACAACAAGTCCTTCCCGGCTACCTATGGGTGTATGCATATACCGTCCGAGCCGGGCCTCCTGTGCTATGAGTTGTTGTCGGGCTTTGATCTAGACTTTGAAGGATGTTAGAATTGAGGCATCAACGTGCGGCGTGCGCAGCTGAGCGTGACTCAGCTTGTATCTTAAGTCCGAGTCGGACATGGTTGAGGCGTGGTTGCCAACATCGACTTCGTGCTTTGATCTGGGCTAGAAACGCTGGAGCACGCGAAACGGTAGAGACGGGAAGCCAGTTAAATCTTGTCGTGGTTGAAAGTCGGACGTCGTGGCGAGAGAGGAAGCCACAATGAGCGCTTGAGCGTGCGTCGATGTCCGACAGTAGCGGAATTGTTAAGCGCCACATTCAAGACCATTCATATTCGGAAGTAGCATCGTATAAATGTAGTAAGCACTTATTCTATCAAAGTGATCACAGGGTATTCAAAGGTGCGGATACGAACCACGGCTCAAAGGAAGCCTTGGAGGGGTGCACTCATTCGAACATATGCACGGATTCTAAGAATGACATGTTATATCCATTGTAACGAACAAGCTAGCTCAGCTAGTACGATACTTCCCGGAAAAGTCCCAAAGTCCACACACCGCCGTTCAATACCGAGTATAGTCACCATGTGTCCAGACAAATCCCAATCGACTCGCCGTGTACCATCTTCAGAACCCAACAGAGTTCATACTACGGGACTCCTTGTTCCCATAGGAATGATGTCTTTCTCTACCCCCGACTCGGAGTCAGCGGCCTTCAGTAGTCGGCCAGGATGGAAGACGTTCAAGCTGAACATCGTCAGGAAGACCATGACGCCGTCAAAGACGACTGTCCCGAATTGGTCAGTGTACGTACTACGATCATATAAGGTACGACGACGCACTGAACAAAGACTGTGTTTGGATGATCTTCCCTTGCCATCCGTCCGCAAGCTCGATGGTCCGGTAGATGCCGCTGAATGAATCCGGGTCGGAGTCAGCTATAAGCCCTGTATACACTTTCAAGGGAGGGATGCCGTACCGGATATACAAGAACGTAGCTTCGGCACAGAGCCCACAGGCCAGCTGCAGCAATGGCTTCGGAATTGGACCCATCCGAGACGAAAAGACAAAGGTTTCGGCCGAGCCTGAGTCGTTAATCGTGCGTCGCTTCAACGGCTTGTCTTGGATGCGGCGTATCAAGTACTCTGCCACCAGGATGCAGAAGACGCTCAGGGAGGCTATTCCGGAAAAGAAGAGCATGTCAATATAGGTAGGAGTTCATAATGAGGCGACATACCGAGTTGGAATATGATGCCAGCGAGCATGATGTTGCTACCCTATAGCTCCGATTAGGATTGGACATATGTACCAAACTGAATATTCTGTTTCACGAACCAGCTTGGCGCTTGCGTCGCTAGAACCTGAAGCAATCCCTCCACCTCCTGCTTGGACGAGCAGAGCAACGATGTCCTGCTTCAGGTCAGGATGATGTTATGCGCAGCCGCGAACTACGGGCTTACACATGTGAAGAAAATCTTGGAGTCTGAACGAGAGGCAGTCAGTGCCCGGAGCTCAAATGTTGACAGGCAGCGTACTCACAGAGTCTAGGGCTGAGGCGACTGTACTCGTGTCCAAGGCGGGAAGAAAGTTGCCCGAAGGTGATGAACAGAGCACCAATCAGCGGCGTCGGAGAAACGATCAAAGTAATAATCCTAGAGGACGATGAGTAAACCCAGCCACCGCACTGAACAAAGCAGTCTGGACATACTGAGCGAGGTAAGGGTCGTGATTCAACGGCGCGTAGTGAGACCAAGTACGGGCGCCCCAGCCGATGAACTCGCCACTGCCGGCGAGAACGACCGTCGGAAGGAGCCACCACGTACGGGTACGGATCGCTTGCACGAGGTGGAAAACTGGACGGATCGGGTCAGCAAACCTCAACGTTCAACCCCCTGGCAAGGCGCCTGGGTGTACGTACTGGTGGATAGTCCGAACAAGACCAGGAAGAGATCGTTGACCCACGCTGTGGGTAGATAACCATAAAACGGGGAGGTAAGATGTCCAGACGCGTCGCGGTCGGTAAAAGCAGCTAGAGAAATGGATCAGCTCCCTTGCTAAGAACCCAGTCATGCCAAGTCACATACGGTCAGACATCGCGTCCAGAGAACGAGGAATTAAATGTCGAAAGTCGTAAAGAAGGAGGAACGGTGTGTACAGGACCTACCCTTCTGAAGCTGTTTAATATACATCCTCCGCGATGACCGATGGCTGGACAGCGTGGAAGCCGAGCTGCGCGGCAGACGGTATTGCTGTCAGAAATGGCGCGCGAGGAATACATAGCGATGAACGTCTGGGTGCTACGGATGATGTGATCGAATTAGCGGTCGGCTCATACGCTCCGTAGGGCCCCGCGCTGGCCGAGGATTGCTTTATTCCTGGATGACTCGCTAGCTTTCTGACAATATTAGTCCTATTACAAGATTGCCAATACGTGCAAGTATGCGTACCCTTTGCACGCTGGCTGCATCTGCTTCGAGTCGTCGTGAGCGGAGGGGGCTGTGCGAGTTCCAGAACGCGATGTTTGCGCGAGTCCCACCGCCACGCTGCGGATGGCGTTGCGACCATGGTACGCACAACTGCGACGCAGTCATGTCTTCGTGCCTGGTGGCGCCGCATGACCCCCGCGCTGTGGAATCCCGCTAAACGTACAATACATTGCCGACACCACTTACCCCCGCGTTAATGCTCCTGGAGCGCGTCTTCGGTCGACGTATGCATTCAAATTTGCGAAGTTAACAGCGCTCCTCAGGATCATTGTGTGAGTCTTCAATCCAATGCACCGACCGTACCGCATCGGTGAAAGGTACACCGTGGGACCGGAAGAACTACGACTGGGGAATTTCGTCCCTTGATGTCTGTCAGAGTCGCATGCCATTGGTATTTCGCTGCGTGTATCTGCTGCGATACAGGCCGCTACCCACAGCTCCTGTTCTTCAATACGTCGATTATCGTGGCTGCGTACCTCCGCCGCAGCGGCGCACGAGATTCCGCTACCACCGATGCCGCTGTTGCGAGTGCCAAAAATCCATCAGTTGCCGTTTCTATCGCTGCGAGCAGCGGCGTGAGTATCTGATAAGTTTGACCGCAATCTCTTTATGAACGAAGCCAACTATTCACCGTTAGTCAATATTTCAGTGGTGACCTTGTTTGACACAAAGTGAGTGCGTTTATGAGGTGCATTGATAGGGCTCCTGGTTAAAACGATGGCCCCAGATAGCTTCAAAGACAAAATGCGAGTGAGATGAGATGAGCAATGACGGTCGACTATGAGCACAACCACCGCCACGCCGTGTGCGAAGTCGCGGCACTTCGATCAGTGTGGGCGCTTGCTTGGCACAATGTCTCCCGATTAGGCAATCGGCTTGATTGGATCGTGGGCGTTTGCAGGGGTTTGCGTTGTAACGCGCAGTACTCCGCGTGTGAGAAGGAATGATTTTCTAAAATTAGGGTTGGATAGCGCGCTGGCAGCCCATGGGTGTAGGATCCCACTTGAGGCCTGAGGAATTTGCGCCAGGCAGGACAAACCGCGATGGTATGCGCCTACCATGACTGAGTGTAGCTCGACCTGATGCTCTTCAATTGCCGCGAGTTTTGTATCGATGATCGCGCCTGGCAATATGTGGCATGCGTTGGTGAGCATCCAAGTGGCGTCGAAGCATGAATGGATGGCAAGGAATAGGCAAGGAATGGCATGGCATTGTATCCAGATACAGAATACCGAAAGTGTGAGTGAAGCCGCTATCGCGGCAACAAGCTTAAGTCCGTCAAAGTAAGTACTAATAGTCCCAATGTCCGATGGTGATCCCACCGAATGTGAGCATACCACGCGTCACGGCCAGCGTGCCCAGTGCTACAAGACCTACACCGCGACATTCTTCTCGGACATTCCGGCGCCTCCTCCAGAGCCTGCGTTCTTGAGCAAGCGGCCAGGGTGGAACACGTTGAGAGTGAACATCGTCAGAAAAACCATGACGCCGTCGAAGACAACTAATCAGAGACGTGAGCGCGCCAAGCCGGTATTTCAATACAGGAAACGTACTGAACAAGGACTGGGTTTGAATGACCTTTCCGTTCCAGCCGTCCGCTAGCTCGACAGTGCGATAGATACCCCTGTGAATATATTGCATAAGCCTCAAATCCCTATCGCAGTCAATACGACGTACCGAATATACAGGAACAGGGCTTCCATGCAAAGTCCCAAGGCCAACAGCCGCATCGGCTTCTCGACTGGTCCTCGAAGCGTGTCAGTGAGGGTCAGGGTCGAGTCGTTCATGGTGGCCTTCCCCAGTGGCCTATCTTTGAAGCGGCGCACTAGGTACTCTGCGACGAGTACGCAAAATACGGACAGCGAGACTTGGGAAAGAACAGGGCAATGTCAGGGAGGTCCGAAGCGCAACGCGGGCTGCAAACGTACTCAGCTGGAAAATGATTCCTCCAAGCATGATGTTGCTGCCCTGGACGTACTGTCAACGAGGACGGCGTCGCATAGATACGACGCGACTGACCATTTCGCTGGTTTTGATGTTGCTGGTGCTGGCAGCGATCCCACCTCCTCCCGCTTGAACGAGCAGGGCAACGAAATCCTATTCAAAGCCACACAGTTAGAATAGCGTATATCACACAATATCGACCTGCGACTTACACAAGTGAAGAATATTCTGGAGTCTAGAGACGAGCCCTAGTTAGTCTCGCCTAAGATGAGGTAAGTGGACGAAGGGTCACGTACATAGACGAGGACTAAGGCGGCTGTATTCTTGTCCAAGACGCGCCGAAAGTCTACCGAACGTGATGAACAGGGCACCAATGAGTGGCGTCGGCGCGATGATCAGCGTGACGGTCCTGGCAAAATTTGATCAGCAATGGGCGTCCGGCGGTAGTGTAAGACGCACTGTATAAGGTAGGCGTTGTATTCCAGCGGATCATAGTGCGACCAAGTACGGCCGGTCCAGCCGATGAGCTCCCCAGTGCCGGCGAGGACAACGGTCGGAAGAAGCCACCAGGCCCGGGTTTGCCACAGTTGTACCACATGAGTGACTGGATTATACTTCTCAGCACCTGCGACTAGAGAAACAACGGCGACTATTGTTGAAGTACGGTAGTTTCATCGGCCACCGTGTGCGTCGAGGCTAATGGCCCGTTATAGTACTAGCGCTTATTCGTAGATTACATAAGCATTCCGCAGAGCCAACGCTCGTTTTTTCTTCTCGTCGTGCCTCAGCTCTTGCCACATTCTAGTGCCCGCGAGACTGAGGTACGCTCTTTTCTGTTCACCTAGAAACTCGTACAGATAGCTGACTTTACTCTAGTCTGACTTCCTGCTCGTTCTAGGTACATAATACAGCTCTTGCCACATTCTAGTGCCCGCGAGACTGAGTCTGACTTCCTGCTCGTTCTAGGAACTCGCCCGGCACGATATAACCTCCGAAAGGTTATGAGCCCTGCTTGAACGCTCTAGCCGAACACTCAGAAGATCCCCACCGTTGAGATCTTGCCAACAGTCGTTACTCCACAATGACCAACCCGACCGAGCCAACCGCCGACGCCGGCGCCGCAGCCCCTCCCACGCCTACTCCTCAGGCTTCGCACACGCAGGATGCGTCTCCCACGCTCACTACTGCGCAATCGAACCGTCTATTCGACATCGCGAACCTGAAGGACGACGGCACGAACTTCCCGATGTGGAAGTTTCGCCTGCAGATGATCCTCGAGACGCGAAAGCTCTGGGGAATCGTCAGCAAGACGGAGCGAGCACCAAGCGACGCCGACGCGGTCGCTGCCGCCTCCTGGAATGAACGAGACCACCTCGCAAAGCTCCAGATCACCCTCACCCTCGACGACGCGCCCCTGAGCAGCGTCATGCTCGCGAAGACATCCGCGGACGCATGGGACAAGCTCCTGTCGAGATACGAAGGGAAGGGCAAGCAGACGATAGCGACGCTCATAGGGGAGCTCTTCCGCGGTACGCTCTCCGATGACGACTCGCTCGAGACCCAGCTCGACGCCATGCAGCTCAAAGCCCGACTGCTCGAACAACTCGGACAGTCCCTCGACGACTCACTCGTAGCTATTGCTATGGTCACGTCGCTTCCGGCCTCCTACAGCACACTCCGCACCATCCTCATGTCCTCCTCCGCCACTCTTTCGACCGACACGGTCGTCTCTCAGGTCCTCAACGAGGAGAAGAGTCGGAAGGAGCAGGCTGGCACCCAGTCCGCGTTCCTAGCCCGAACGACGAACAAGAAGGGTCCGCCGAAGCCGACGAAGGCTAAGTCGACTTCGAAGCCTGGCAACAAGCCGAAGTGCGCTCACTGCCACAAAATCGGACACGTCAAGGACGAGTGCCGCAAGCTCAAGGCCGAGCAAGCGTCTGCCGCGATCGCGAAAGACGTCAAGGACAAGACCGGCGACCTCAACGCAAAGGTCGCCACTGTCACCATCGGCGACGAGACTATCCGTCTCTTTGTTGCCAACGCCCTCCACGACCGCGTCCGCCACTCGCAGTGGATCGTCGACTCGGGCGCCTCCTCCCCCATGAGCTCGCAACGGGACTGGTTCATCTCGTTCAAGGAGCTCGAGCACCCCAAGCGCGTCTGGCTCGGCGACGAGCGCTACATACACGCCACGGGCATCGGCAACATCTCGCTTCACCTCAAGCAGGACGGCAAGCTCGAGAAGGCGATCGTCCCTGGGGTGTACTACGTCCCCGACCTCGACGGCAACCTCTTGTCCGTCTCGCACTTTGTGCGCCGGGGCTACTCCGTCAACTTCGAGCAAGGCGGCTGCGCCATCGTCAATGCTGCGGGAGCTCGGATCGCCACTGCATCTGAGAACGAGGGCCTCTACGTCCTCCATGCGGAGCCGGTCATCGCTGAAGAGCGAGCATACACTACGCTACTCGACGGCGTCTCCGGCGACTCTCTCATCGACCCCGGTCCTACGCCCGACCTCCACGCACTGGTCGCGAACGCCTCGCGCAAGTCGCGCGCAGACGTCTCGACTTGGCACCGCCGCCTCGGGCACCTGAACGTCGACTCCGTCGTCAAGATGGTGCGCAACGGCATGGTGAAGGGCATGGACGTCATCGGCTCGATGAAGCGGCCGAAGATTCCGTGCGTGGCTTGCCTCCTCGGCAAGCAGACTCGCGATGCGATTCCGAAGGAGACGACTGCGGAGTACCCCCGCGTCAACCACCGCACGCACGTTGACCTCCAGGGTCCGATGGACACGGCGACTCCGAGTGGCCACAAGTACCTCAGCTTGTGTGTCGAAGGCCACTCGCACCACTTCTCGGGCGACCTCCTCCGTCACAAGTCCGACCAGACGTCCGCGCTCAAGAACTACATCACGCGCAGCGAAGTCATCACGGGCGAGCCGTTCAACATCCTCAGGACGGACGGCGGCGGCGAGTACGTCAACGACGAGCTGGACGCATTCCTCAAGGAGCACGGGATTCACCACGAGCTCACGAACGCGTATACGCCACAGGAGAACGGGATGGCGGAGCGGGCGAACCGCACCGTCATGGAGATGGCCCGCTCGATGCTGCAGGACGCTGGCCTACCCAACACGTACTGGGGCGAGGCCTGCCTGTACGCCATCCATATCATCAACCGCACTCCTTCGCGCATGCTCGACGGCAACACAACCCCGCACGAGGTCTTCACTGGCAACAAGCCCTCGGTCGCACATATCCGCGCCTTCGGGTGCAAGGCTTTCGTCCATATCCCGGACGTGAAGCGCAAAAAGCTCGATCCCAAGTCGCTCGAGTGCGTGCTCATTGGCTGGTCTCCGAACAAGCGCGCATACCGACTGCTGCACCGCCCAACTGGGCGTGTCTACGAGTCCCGCGATGTCGTCTTCATTGAAGGCGACACCAGCTCGCAACCTCACCGAGTCACCATCTCTGTCGACCCCATCCCAGCTCTCCCCGACACTCCTGCTCCCGTTCCTGCCCCCGAGAACCCGGCTACCACGCCCAAGTTCAAGGTCACAGTTGAGGACGTTCCGGATGACGGGGAGGTGGCACCTCCCGCACCGAGCTCCCCAGCTGCGCCCGAGGGTCCCCCCGAGCCTCAGCCTCTGCCTGCGGAGCCTGTCCGCCGCTCCACCCGTGTGCGTAATCCGCCCGTTCGGGACGATGACCCTCGTTACAAGGTCTCGTCTTACAACCGAAAGCGCACGGTGGTCACCGCACCGGCTGCGAGCGTCGAGGGGAGCGACATGGACGCTTCGGCTGATGCTTCAGACGAAGCAGAAGTTGACGAAGCACTCGGGCGAGTGGGCGATGAGCACGCTCATCGCACAATCCCTCTGGATGCCGACCCGGAGTCCTACGAGGAAGCCATGTCCCGCCCTGATGCGGACATGTGGAAGGCCGCTTGCGCGGAGGAGCTACTCGCTTTTGCGAAGGCGGAGCTCTACGACGAGGTGGAGAAGCCGCGCGACCGCAAGGTTGTCGGCTGCAAGTGGGTTTTCAAGGTGAAGCGTGGCCCCGACGGCACGATCGAGCGGTACAAGGCCCGCCTGGTCGCGAAGGGCTTCACGCAAGTCGAGGGCATCGACTACTCCGAGACCTTCGCTCCCGTCTCAAAATTCGCCTCCATCCGCACGCTCCTCGCGCTCGCCGCTGTCTTCGATCTCGAGGTCGACCAGATGGACGTCAAGTCGGCGTTCCTCAACGGCGACCTGAGCGAAGAAATCTTCATGACGGCCCCATCTGGCTCGTTGTGCCGCGACGGCCACGTCTGGCGCCTCAAGAAGTCCCTCTACGGCCTCAAGCAGGCCAGCCGCGAGTGGTACAAAAAGATCCGCACCGAGTTTGAGTCTCTCGGATTTCGTCGAAGCGACACTGACCACAGCATCTTCACGAAGTTCGAGGGCGGCATCCTCCTCGTCATCGCACTGTACGTCGATGACATGCTCATTGTCGGGAACAGCCGCAGCGCGATCGACGCACTCAAGGCGACGCTCAGCACCCGCTTCGAGATGACCGACCTCGGACCCGCAAAGTGGATCCTCGGGATGGAGATTGGCCGCGACCGCGCGCGCCGCACGCTCACCGTCTCGCAAGGTCGCTACATCGAGGACATCCTCGAGCGTCACGGCATGTCGGCCTGTCGGCCGGTCACCACTCCCATCGAGGCGCACCTCAAGCTCGACAAGCTCACCGAGCCCGCCATGGACGCGAAGCAGTACCAGAGCGCGCTTGGCTCGCTCATGTACGCGATGCTCGGGACGCGCCCGGACATCGCCTTCGCTGTCGGGACACTCAGCAAGCACGCTGCGGCACCTGGACCCGAGCACTGGACCGCGCTCATGCGCGTCTTCCGCTACCTGCGCGGAACGTCATCGCTGCGCCTCACCTACGGCGAGGACCTCGACGACGCACTCGGGCTCACGACGCCGCTCGGCTACTCTGACGCTGACTGGGCGGGCGACTACCACGACCGTCGCTCTACGAGCGCGTACGTCTTCCAACTCGGCGGCGGCGCAATCAGCTGGTGCTCTCGCAAGCAGCAGTCCGTCGCGCAGTCCAGCACCGAGGCCGAGTACGTCGCTCTGGCCTTGGCCGCCAAGGAGGCTCTCTGGCTCCGTCAACTCCTCGACGACCTCGACTGCCCCGCGCTCCGTGAAGTCGGCGACTCCGGCCCCGGCGCGCCGCTCATCCTTGTCGACAACCAGTCCGCGATGGCTCTTGCGAAGAACTCATCATTCCACGACCGCACGAAGCACATCGCCATTCGTCACCACTTCATCCGCGACGAGCTCGAGCGCGGCACGATCGACGTCGAGTACGTCCCTACGGGCGACCAGACGGCCGACGTGTTGACGAAGGGCCTCGCGCGCGCGAAGCATGTTTATTTCACTACTTTATTGGGCTTGCTTTGACCATCTACGATACATTCACTATAGATTAGCTACACTATGACCGCTGAGTGGGCGTGTTGAAGTACGGTAGTTTCATCGGCCACCGTGTGCGTCGAGGCTAATGGCCCGTTATAGTACTAGCGCTTATTCGTAGATTACATAAGCATTCCGCAGAGCCAACGCTCGTTTTTTCTTCTCGTCGTGCCTCAGCTCTTGCCACATTCTAGTGCCCGCGAGACTGAGGTACGCTCTTTTCTGTTCACCTAGAAACTCGTACAGATAGCTGACTTTACTCTAGTCTGACTTCCTGCTCGTTCTAGGTACATAATACAGCTCTTGCCACATTCTAGTGCCCGCGAGACTGAGTCTGACTTCCTGCTCGTTCTAGGAACTCGCCCGGCACGATATAACCTCCGAAAACTATAACCACGCACAAAGGGATAACGTGAAGAGCACCAAGAAGATCTGGTTCACCGAGGCCGTGGGCAGATAGCCGTAGAAAGGAGACGTCAGATGGCCGTATGCATCGTGGTCGCTCAGGGTATCTGGAGAGCACATGTAAGCGTTGAAGTAGGCTCCTCACGCATAGATGACATACGATTGGAGGACATTCAGGTGGTGAGAGAGGCGAAGTAGATTAAAAGCAGAGTGTGGCGTAGAAGGCAGACACAGTCAATGTGTCGGTAGCGGGAGTCGATGGAGCTTCTCAAGACGGTCGTTGCGCCTTATAACCCACACGCCGCCATGTTAAGGTGGTGAATTTCTGTTAGCAACCAGATCCTGACCCACACAGAGAGCGAGGTGGGCTCCCGCATGCGCCTACGGTCTGTCCTTTGCGCCATGAATCAACAAGGGAGTTGCGGATTGATGCCAATTCCTCGCTCCGCGGCTGACGACTCCGACGCCTTCGCACATGTCCTCTCCTGCGTCGAGGACTTCGCATGGTACATGCCAGGCCTACGCCGAGGTTTACCGATGCATAACTGTGGAGCTGCGGGCGGTGGAACCACAGTGGCATTCAAGACTGCGACGCAGTTGTGTCATCGCGTAGACTGCGGAAGCCGACTTCGCCGACGGTGGATAGCGGGGCGCAGCTCGCCCGCCGTTTGTTGGCAGCGTTGCGCCCACAGTCGCATTTGATGGGCTGTCTCGCTGGCTGTGTCATAGAGGTTGTGTGAATGTCGTATACTCATTCCGTGTATATTTTTCGGATGGTGATGAGAGCCTGAATGTAGATGCAACAGCAATGGTGAATTTTTAGCACACAACCTCGTCGAACACAATAGACATTATCGTTGAAAGACCATACATATACGAAGCGGGCCCGGGTCGCAACTTGCCCAAACGCGCCCTGTACCTGTTGATGAACGCCTTTCGTTTATGCGCACTGCATACCTATACTGCGTGCCTTCGTTCACGCGTGGTTACTAGTGTGAGAGATCAAGCGCAGCGAGCAGCTGCCAGTAGCCTTGAAGCACGTCTTGAGCAGCCTGTGAGAGTCACCGTAGCAAGGGTTGATCGAGTCCTTCACGTTGCGGTTCGAGTCCTTCAGTATCAAATGAGTTTCGATTCGTCAGGGTAGGGCCGATTGAGGCATATCCGTATGCTAGTGCTGAAGATGAAGCAAGAGAAGAGGCAAGTGGGGGAAAGCGACAACCGCGGAAATTACGAAGAGCGTACGGACACTGGGCGCTTGTAAGGGACACAATCGCCCTCCGATTAGGCAGGCGTCTAGGATCGCTACATCGGCCGCAGCCCGAGGCGCGGTTCTACCGTGAGGCACACGCACTGCGCCGCAACATACACCCATCACCGGCCAGGAACCTCGCGCGCACAGCCGGGAAACGTCTCGTCTACACGCTATATATTAGGGTATTTAGATGCTAGGGCCGTCTGGTCTACTACAACTGGTACAAGACACACCCTCCCCACCATCCACACACTCTCGGAACTCGAACGAAAAACGACAGTCCGACTCGCGTACAATAACTACAATGTCCTGGGAGCGAACGTGGCCCCGCGCGAGTCTCCGGGGCAGCAAGAACACTACTACTACGTACGGTGCGTATCATCATCTCAACTCGTCATTATCACTCCGCCTCACCCATGTTGACCCGCGCGGCGCCGCCCTTCAGGTTCAGGAGCGACGTGCGGGGGGACCCGCTCGGGCTCATCTCGCGCAGGGACACCGCGGTCTGGTGGTACACCCGCTCGAGCAGCCATCCTGGGTGCAGCACGTTCAGGGTGTAGATCGCAAGGACGACCATCGCGCCGTCGAAGATGTCTGTACAAAGGTTAGCATCTGTACCACTCTCCTTTACAGAAAGTACCAGACGTACTGAAGTAGATCTCGGTCTGGATAATCTTTCCGTTGAAGCCGTCGATGAGCTCGATCATACGGTAGACCGACCTGCAAGAACCCGGCGTCAGATGCATGTGCGTACACTCACTCCTATATGTTCACGCACCGAATGATCAGGAAGAACGTCATCATAAGCACACAGACGATCATGAGCCGCATCTTCGGCGTCGTCGCGCCGCGCGCGGGGATGTACGCCTCCTCCGCATTCGGGTCCTTGTTCGCCTTCCTGATCGGCCGGTCCGTGAGGTACCGCAGGAAGTACTCGCTCATGAGGATCACAAATACGGTGATGGACGCTGCGGGGCGCGGGAGCGTCAGCACGCCATACGAACGCGCGCGCGGCGCCAGACTGACCTAGCTGGAAGATGATCCCGGCCAACATGATGTTGCCGCCCTGCGCAAATGCAAGTTTAGAAAACGCCACCGCAGATACGAATGCACTGCGCTACGCACGAGGTCCACCTGGCTCTGGTTTCCAATCGAGGAGCCCGCGATGCCGCCTCCCACGCCTTGCGTGACGAGCGAGATGATGTCCTGCGGATGATAGGGTGAGCCCCGCCCGCCCTCGGAGAGCGCATGAAGTGCGGCTTACACATGTCAGGAAAATGATGGAGTCTGGACGGGCCACACACGTCAGTACAGGGGGACTCCCGGGACTGCGTAAACCTGAAACTCACACCACATTGCGGTGAGGCGCCCGTAGTGCTCGCCGAGCCGCTCAGAGATGCGCCCGAACAGGATGAAGAGCGCGGCTACGAGCGGTGAGGGCGCGATGATGGTGACGGTAAGCCTGTGCACCACAGACGTAAGTACTTGTAACCGGGATCCGCGTACGCCATCGGCGACGGCGTCGTGGTGTTCAGTGCCACTTACTGCATGATATACGGGTCCTGATCGAACGGGCTATAGCTTGACCACAGTCGTGCTGACCAGCCGAGGATTTCGGCAACGCCGGAGAACACGGCGGTGGCGAAGAGCCAACTCATGCGGAAGTACACCGCCTCGGCCAGGTGGATCGCTGTGGGTGGCGACGTTAATCAGGGGATTGACGGGGTCAGGAAGAGAAGGGTGCACATACCGGCTGAGATACTGAAGAGCACGACGAAGATGATACATACATCCCGGTCTGGGACATAACCATACAGGTCCTGTTGGCTCGGATCCGAAATGGTGGAATCTACGCGAGAGAAGCACGTTCAGCGAGAGAAGCTCAGGAAGCATCGCAGGCAACGTACTTGTGTCGCTCATGATGTAGCGTCTAAGGTCTAGGGAAAAGGGGAGAGGGACGTGGGGACTTGGGAGGACAGTGGGCAGGGGAGGTTCGACCGGCGAGCACAATCAGTGAGTCCAAAGAGGGGACCTCGTCTACGAGGGATGCCTATATAGAGTGCGTGACGGAGCGTCTGTGCAGAGAGCGTTTGCGTCGCGAAAGCTGTCCGAGACCCTGCAACGGAGCAGCATACACCGCAGGTCTACTGCTGCGGGCCCGGATATCGACCGACCGTGCAACCCACAAAGGGCCCGCGCGCGTTCTAAAGACAGCGCTGACGGCGCTCGCGCGCAGCATTTGTATCTGCTAGATGAAATGGACGCCTGCCGAGACTGTAACGCACCGCCCGCACGAGTCTGCAATGCGTGCAGTTCAGCTTGTGGACGGCATGCGCATGCAAGAGGGACACACAGACCGGAGGTGCGATCGGGCAATTGAGCGAGATGAAGAGTTGGTTGCATGAGTTCTCGGGAGGCGCGCGCGCGCAAGGAGCCGACTGTCACCATGACATATTCCAGCGGTCAAACCTTGACGGGCACCATCATGTCAGAACAAGCACAATAAGTGAGGCCGGATCTGCGGCGGACACTGCGGCCAAGCACTCTGTGGGCAGTTCTCAGCATAGTGCTCCAAACAGAGTCGAGCGGAGTGTCACATACCTCCGGATGGGAACGGGAGCGACGAGCGTCGTAGGCGAGGGTGTTACAGGTTAGCGTTCAGACACTGCAGATGCCGCGATGGAGGTAGGAGGGCGACGGGCGACGATTGGGGGTACAAAGCAGTGTTACAGAGCGACAGCGCGACATAACTGATACAACATGGGATGACCGACCCCGACACTCGACTTTCGGCAGCAGAATTCCATCACTATAGCGTACACACCGACCCGACGACCGTGGTTTCACGCCGCCCACTTCTTCCACTCGCTCCCCTCCGGCGGCTTCACCTCGACCTTGCCCTTGCCGACCTCGTCCCAGTTCGTGCTGAGGGTGGTGCCACCGCTCTCGGAATAGCTCTTCATCATCGCGCGCCGGGTGTCCTCGTCGGCATCGGCGTACAGCTTTTGGAAGAACTCGTTCACCGCGGCGTCGCCGCCGGCATTCGGGTCCTGATCGGGGGACACGGGCTTGTCCGAGGCGAGGATCTCGGAGGTGATGCCGTCCCAGTTCTTGTGCGCCTTGCGGGGCGGAGAGGTGGCGGGCGCCGCGCTCGACGGGAGGGTGGCGAGTGCTGTGTGGCGTGAGAGGGAGCGAGGGTGAATTACAGATAGCGCAGCAGCGGGCGGGGGTGATGTCGTTAGACGCATGGACAGGTATAAAGCAGCGGAAACACGTACGGTCAGGGCTGTCCCCGACGAGCGCGCCCCACCTGCCCGCGGCGACCTTGGCAAGGCGCACTTCGACCTTGACCTTGCCTACCGTGTAGTCGCTCTTGGCAGTATCGATCTGGCCCCGAAGCGGTTCGAGTACGAGGCTCTTCTCGCCATGGGAGTATGTGAACTGGCAACGCCACCGGGCGGGGTGGCTCACGGTCAGACTGCGATCGCGGAAGACACTGCGTGCGACACACCTTGCGCGGTTCAAATGTGATCTTGACTTGTTCTGGGTCCGCGCCCTTGTCGAAGATGGAGAGTGTGAGCCTCTCGTCCGTCTCGTAGAATTCGTGTCTGTAACGAATCCCCGTTAGAGCGAGCCCCGGTTAATGGATCCGCGGTGGCGACACACCGAAGAGTAGCCATGATGGCTGTCAGCGGTGTTCGATGGTGCAGCGATGAGCTTCCTGTGTGTGGCACAGAGCTGCGATGGGTACGAGGACGAGGCGGGTGCAAGAGAGACTTATATCGGATTCCGGGTCCTCGCCACCCAACTATCGCACTGGCCAGGAAGGGTGGGCGAGGAATATTCTAGAAGCACGTGACACGCGAGTCGCGATCGCGAGACGCGCTCTGGGTTAGGCGCCGGGACGCGGGGTGGGAGATCTAGATCTGGCCGCGAGTCGCGCATTGAATAGGGCCGACGTCATTCCCCGGGGCCCAGTGCGAGTGGCGGCGAGCAAACAGCGACATTCAACCCAAGCAACGCCATCTCCACCTCTCGCTCTTCTCCTCACTCCTGCTCGTCTCGTCTCACTGCTGCCCAACATGCCCGACTCCCACATCCCCAAGGCCGCGCTCTACTACTACCACGGATCCGTCTGGGCCTCCGTTCGTGAGTCGCGCGCTCCGTGCTGCGCTAGTGTCATGTACTGAGACGCGTTGAAGCGCTCCTCGCGCTGTAAGCGATCGCCTACCCAGCTGTCCAATCGAAGCTGACCGCGCGATCGTCGCCACAGAGAAGAGAAGGGCTACGGCAGCGATGAGGTCGACTTGAAGGAAGTCGACATCTGTGAGCACCCCGCATCGATGATAGGCAGTCCACAGTACTGACGCGGTGTACTTAAACAGCCAAGGGGGAGAACTTCAAGCCTTCTTACCTGCGTCTGAACCCGGAAGGTATGCAAGATAACATGAGCTTGCTTTTCGGTCACCAGACGCGTCCACAGGTACCGTGCCTACCCTCGTGGTCCCGCTCCAGAAGACTCTGGCTCCGGAAATCGAGAGCCGCTACAAGGCCATCCAGGACACCAAGGTGAGTCTAGAGCCCGAGTACTAGGGCGCTGTATACTGACCAGTAGCAGGCGATCGTCGAGTTCCTCGACAAGTCCCGGTCCACGCAGTCCCGGACTCATACCACTTCCTCCGCGCCTTCTCCGGCCCTTGCGCCGGCGACCATTGCGTTCAGCACCCTCGCGAATCAAATCATCGAGCTCATTCACAGCACCGCCGCCGACCCGAACGCGCTCTTCTACACGAACGCGCGGTCGGAGGGTGAGCTGAAGGCGCTCGCCAAGGGCCTTCTTCCGTTCCTCCAGGGTCGTCGCGAGACGCTCGTGAAGCTCCTCGCGGACAGCGACAACGGCACACTGAATGTATCCGACAAGACCAAGGCGTTCTGGGAGGTCAAGCGCATTGCTGCGGACAGCTTCATTGGCGTATTCGAGGAAGCAGAGAAGGGCGCTGCGGAGTTGTCCGAGGAGAGCCGGCGGAAGCGCGAGGCGTATTTCCAGTCCGCCACAGCGGGTTGGAATGGCCTGAAGGACGTGCTCAACACACTCCATCAGGAACTTATCGGCCCCTACGCGCTCGGTATGTGCCTCGTGACTTGAACTTCGAGAACACCGATGTCTGACGTCTGTTCTTGCGCAGGCGACCAGCTGTCTATTGCGGACCTGCATATCGCGGCCTGGCTTGCCCGTATCGCCTTCCTCGCTGGGGCCAACGCATCCGACGACGGCAACACGGCAGTGGGCAAGATTGAGCTCCATGCCGGTGGTGGGTTCAGCCTGCCCAAGGACTTCTCGGTTGCGGAGGCACGCAGACGAGCAGGGCTCGCGGCGACGAACCTGGACTCGACCGAGCGGCAGAACAAGCTTGCTGCATTCTGGGATGTCATGAAGGAGCGCCCGAGCTGGAAGAAGGTGTACGCGAACGGGCTGCACTGAGCGGTGGGGTGTGGCTGAAGGCAGTGGGTGGTATACCAAGTCAAGTGACTGTATGATATATGTGGTCCTGGATTGTCGCCGGCGCCGGAGGGGGTCGATCGCGGGCCGGGAGTCGGCAGCGGCGGGGGCGGGGGGAGATATGGCCATGCACCGGTTGATGATCAGTATGGAGAGAAGCAAATGTAACGGGGGATGATCATATAGCAATGTTGAGCGTGTATCGACGAGGTCTAGCGGCGGGGCAATGTGCTAAATGGACAGCGTCGGGGCAGTACTCTGAAGTGTGGCGACACTTACCGTCGACTGCTGTGATCAGATGAGCATCAAGGCGTGAGTTCGCCGCTCCAACTTGCTGACGACAAGGTTACAGCGATGCTGCGGATTGTCGCTGCGTACGCTGTCGTATCGTCAGTCCCGGGTGTAGAATATGCGCAGTGAGAGGAGCATGTATACGGCGGTAGTGCGAACTCGTTCGTTCAGGGGCAGTCAATTGGAGGAGTGCACAGCCGCCGGGGCGGTGGACCGCTCTGTGTGAGTGGGCATTGACGTTAGCGCCGGGGAAGGGCCCGAGGTCAGAGTTGGAAATAAATTCATTTGTTGCAGCTTTTCGATCGGCAGTCGACTTCTTCTACTTACGCTCGTTTAGCTCTCTCCCACCCTACTCTCCTTCCCCGTCCCGTCCTCCAACAATCCTCCGCCAAGCTGGCTTTTGGCCCTCTCTCTCTCTTCTCTCCCTGCCAGCTTGGCCATGTCCGACCACCTCGACCTCTTCCAGACTTCTCCGCCCACCCATGCCTCCCAGGCCGCCGTAACCGCCCCCCAACCCCACCTGCACCCTCTCGACGATGCTTCCCAGTCTGCAATCTCTGCCGCTTCCCAGCATAAGCACCTACCAGACGCGCAGTACTCGGCGCAGCCCAACCCCCTCGTCGAGTTCTCGCCGCCGTACGACGAGGACGAGGACGAAGACGACTTCAACGTGTGCGCCCCCCGCCGGTCCACCGACCGCTCCATGCTCTACCCCAAGCGGCACGGCACCCCCCACCACGGCTACGCCCCCTCTGCGTCCTCGGTGTCCTCCACCGCGACGAACACGCCGCTCGCGTCCCGCACCGCATCGCCGCAGCCGTTCGACTACTCCGGCGCGTCCTCCTGCGACTCCGACAGCGAGAGCGAGCCGGACGCCCACCTGCTGCCCCGGGCGCTGCGCCAGCTGCACCGGCGCGAGGGCCGCCACCGCCGCTGGTGGTCGCTCTCCTTTGGCTCGCCCGACGGCCGGCGGTCCCGGCGCTGGCGCGACGCCGTCTGGGGCATGCGCACCTGCAGACGCGTCGCGAGGCGCTGTGTCCGCCATCCGCTCTTTCCGAAGACCCCCGTCACGATTGTACGTGTCTTTCCTCCGGTTTGCTGTGCGGCGTGCCCGGTGCATCTACCCATCGCGCGCCGCCGCCATCGCCCGGCGCGTGTCTGCGCTCGCACATGCTGCGACGTGTGCGGAGCGCCAGGTGCGTGCTGCGCGAGTCGGGGCATGGGATCCAGCTCTGTTAGATGCGATTCTTCCGAGCGCTGACCACCGCCGACTATGTAGCTGCTCACGCTCCTCTTCCTCACCATCTTCGGCGTGTCCCTCACCTTCCTCCTTATCTATATCCTCAACCCGGACAAGGACCCGCTGCCATGGCGCGGCTACTGCACGCTCCCGCAGTACTCGGGCGGCCCGCCCCCGCTGTCGATGTCCACGACATCGTGGTTGCAGACACCGATCCAGGCCAACTTCACGGTGCCACAGTTCCCGCCGCCGGAGTTTGACACACTGGCGCCCGCGGGTGTGTTCGTGGGCGTGTTCTCGATTGACACTGCGGTGGAACGCCGGATGTACGTGCGCTCGACATGGGCGCAACACGTACGCAGCAGGGAAGGTGCGGGCGATGGGGATGGAGGTGTCGGGACGTCGAGGACGATCGTGCGGTTCGTCATGGGGCAGCCAAGGAAAGAATGGGAGCGGCAGGTGCAGCTGGAGATGGACAGTGAGTGCCGGCGTGATCGTCCCGGCGTTTGGCAACGTTAATCCCCGGTGTCCCGCAGCCTACAACGACATCGTCGTCTTGCCCATGCAGGAAAACATGAACCAGGGCAAGTCGCACGCGTTCTTTGCGTGGGCGGCGAACAACTCGTGGGTGCCTCCCGTGTACGAAGACGGCTACGCCAAGAAGCCGGAAGGCTTCTCTTATACCAACGCGACGAGCGCACCGCCTCCGCTCGCGAGCCACGATCCCGCATTGGCGCACAGGGACCAGCTCACGAACGCGTCCCCGCGCGAATGGGTGCGGCCCGACTTTGTGGTGAAGGCGGATGATGACGCCTTCGTCATGCTTGCGGAGCTCGAAGGTCGTCTGCGGGTGCAGTTGTACAACGACCCGCTGCCGCCACGGCCACCACCATCTGTCCGCAAGCAATCCACTGCGCGACAGCTGCCTCCGCTGCTCCGAGACGACGGAGAGTTCGTTCCCTTGGACGTCACCTCAGGCTCATCGATGCTCGCTGCTGACCCGGCAGAGGCGAACCCAGACCCGCTCGTCTTCTGGGGATACCTCATCAAGAACCGGTTCATGGGCGGCGAGATGTACGCGCTGAGCTTCGCGCTCGTCGACTGGGTCGCGAACGACCCCATCGTGAAGACGATGACGCACGGCGCGGAGGACAAGCAGACGTCCAAGTGGATCCGCATGCACCCCCGCGCGGACCAGGTGCGCTGGGCGAGCGAGCGCTGCTGGATCTACGACCATCCGCGCGCAGGCACCGTGTACGTACCCCACTTCTCTCGCCTACCCCAGCGCTGATCTCGAGCCCGCTTCTCGCATTGATTTGTACGGCAGATACTCGCACGGCTTTCTATTCCCTTCGGAGGCGCAGCGCGTGCAGGACGTTGTACGGCACGACCTCGAGCAGCTCGCGCAGCAGACCGCGCGCGAGGCGTCTGCCCCCGACGCGCTCGCCGTCCCGCCCGGGCGCGACGTGCCCGCCCCACAGAGGTGGGCGCTTTCGACGGTGTCCACGTTCGGCACGCGCTACGTCCCGCCGTACCCCGGCCTCAGCCTCGAGCACAGCGTCGAGGGGCTCGTCGAGGGCTCCCAGATGTCGCTCGTTCGCGAAGGTGCGTTTGCTCCCACCGAGTGCTGTGCGTGATCCCACGGCTGACGTTTTGCTTTGCTTTGCCCTGTGCTGCGCGCTGTTCTTCGTGCTGCGCTTTATCTCTGCTCCCGGTCACACGCGCGCTTTGCAGACGGCGCGCTCACGCCGGACTACGCGTGGCGGTACCGCGAGGGACGGCGGAAGCGGTATGCGGGGCAGCGGCTCGGGGGGACGGTCGTGGTGCACTTCATCAAGAAGAACATGTGGTTCCTCGAGACGGCGGCCGCGCTGCTGCATGGGGAGGACGTGACCGCGGAGGAGCGGGGGCTCGAGCAGGCGCACGCGCCCGACTCGCCCCGCACGGACGAGGGCGCGGCTGCACGGACACTGGTGCGGAGACGGCGAGGCGGGGCGCAGCACTAGCACGGCTGCGGTTCCGGCCGTTATCTGCTGCACACTGCCTCTTGTCTTGTTTTTTCGTTCGCCCTGCCGTTCGTTCGTCCATCTGTCTGTCGTTGCACGTTTGGTCGCTCCTGCTGCCGCGAGCCGTTTTTGCTATCTGGTCTGCGCTCGCTGCTGGTGCGCCTTGGATATACCACCCCCTCATCTAATCTCGCCCCACACACACCTTATATTCTGGTCGCGCCCGCGCGCGATTTACATGCTCGCTTGTATAATTTATCCCTCCACGTCCCGTATATCGTTAGCGGCCGTGGTCGCCGGCGAAAGCAAAACGTTTTAGTGCGCTTGAAGTTGCGCAACTGTACCCTGCCATAATACAGGACTGTGGTCACGATAAGAATTCCAGATGTTCCAGGTAAAGTGAGGTGTGGTAAATAAGATACAAGCGTCGAAGCCGGTAAGTACGGCTCACACAAGACGCGGGAACGAGCTGTACGAGGGGCGATAGCCGTCCAACATCAACGCAGGCTCATTTGCAATCTCAAGAGGCGTCTTGGACTGCACCCTGCCCATCACCGCCCGCCGAATCGGTCCCTCCCAGCGCTGGAACCACTCGCCCTCGCGCTCCCCAATGAGGTGCACCGGCCCGTCCCTTGTCTGCTTCCACCGCCCGTCGTTCGCCTCTGGGGGTGGGGGGACCGCGCCCGGCTCGACGCGCCACGTCTTGAGCGCGTACGCGCCCCCGCAGACCTCCCAGCGGCCGCCGCCGCGCCGGCTGAAGCGCTTGTAGAGCCAGATGAAGGGGTAGATGAAGAGGATCCAGAGGAGGAAGAGGAGCCACTTGTTGGAGAGCGTGCGCGCGAGGCGGTTGTCGGGGCGGATGCGGATCTTGTGGTGCGACATGGTGAACTCAAGCTTTACGTTGTGGGAGTAGACGGAGCGGATGGCGGAGGTGACGGCTTCTTGCAGGTTGGCGATGTTCCAGCCGTAGATGACCTGCGTGACGCTGAATCGTTAGCGGATATAGCTTTAGATAAGTGTCTGTTGCAAGAACGTACCTTGGTGTAAGTGAACTCCTTCAGGAGCTTGTCACTCGCGCAATACTCGTCCGCCCACTCCCTGAGCGACTTGGACGAGCCCAGCACATGCGCTTCCGCAGGAGCAATAGTGCCGCTTGAGTTGTACCACGAGTCGGGACCAGGCTCGATCCACGGCGGAAGACCGTGTGCCTCTCGGAGGCGCTTGCGCTCCTTGGCTGCTTTGATCTCCTGCTTCGTCGCCTTGCGCCGCCCGCCAGTCTGGCCTATCTCAGGATCCGGAGGAGCAAGGTCGTTGGAGTCGACCTGGGGGACCATCTCGCCCCTATATGCAGGTTCTGCGTCCGGGACTGTCCAGTGAATTGGACCGTGCACGATCTGCGCGCCGATGTTGACGTAGAAATCAAAGTCTGTAAGATAGGTCGGTGGTCAATCCCCGGCCTACCAAACAAAATTCGCAACAGCATACCTGTGACTGTTTCGGTGTAAGTTTCGGTGTGAGCCCGGGATTGTCCCTTCGAGTCGTTGCGGAACACTGTGCGGGTTTTGTGCTCCGTATGGGTACCGCGCGCATGGAGAAGATACTCGGGCGGTGTCCGCGATTGCGACAGAAGAAAACGGTAGAGCGCTTCACCTTTGTAGTCCCATGTGAGCAACAGCACGAAGAGAAGCATATGCCAAGAATAACTTGCCGTCTTGGTTCAAATGTGGGTCGTGCGAGACAATGTCGCGCCCCGAGATGAAGAACTCGGCTTCGTATGGCGCAAACTCTGGAGGAGGCTCCTCGCCACCAGCAGGCATGTACACGTCCTCCAGGGCGTGTTCGGTGTATTTCGGAGCCGCGTCCAGCGCGTCATGCGGGAAAGACTCGATGTCTTGGACCTGAGGTATGAGCGGAATATTGGAAGAAGCGTGAGCACCGGAAGGGCCTGCCGCAGGAAACTCGTTTGAGTCGCTGAATGGGTCCTTCTTGTCCGTCAACATCATGGTGGTGGTCTGGTACTGGGATGTTGCGAGCGGGTGTGGACGGTGCTATGAAGCAAGTTGGGTCCGGGCCTTAAATGGACACGTTTGCCATCACTGAGGCGGTGCAGACACGCGAGCGTCCGATTCCGGCATGTGGCTGTGCAATTGCCTCGGACCGAGGGCCCAGGCACCGCGTTTCCGAGCCTGACGCGGCGCTTCCGAGCCATCCTCCAAGTTGTTGACCAGCATCATGCTCCTACCTGCAGACGTGGCAGGATTGCCGGGATTCTTCATGGACTAAGCATCTTGCGGTGTAAAATCTTATCAGCTCAAGAGACGCTCAACACCTTTCTTTGTTGCGACTCGAGGCCCATGACAGACGATCCTCTCTCATCCAACCACTGACGTGGACCCGTGAGCACGACGCTATTGAATTTTGTGCATGTCCACAGAATACTTCGACTCCCTTGCCGTGGTGCGAACTCCGGCCAGGGTCTCCAGACTTGGAACAGTCCGGCGGTAACGTGGCCATTCTTCGAAGGCTAACCACATTCGCGGCAGATGTGTTGATCAAGCGACGGCGGCATGACCCATGCTCAGTGCTCCGGCGCAGAACGTCTCCACCGCGCAGTACGTCCCTGCCTTCCCTACTCGGACCACTCGATGGTGTATAACGGAGCTATGAGGTCAGGATTTGCTCATGCGCGGGCGTGGGCGTCCACTCATAGGATATATAGTGGCTCGTTCCCCATGTCTCTCTCAACAACTACACTCTGACAAACCTCCCAACTCGTTCGGAATACCAACCATGAACCGCACTCAACAAAACGACCCCCCCTCCTTCGGCGGACAGAACCAGGGCGCTGAGCCGTGGAACGACTCCAACGACTTCAGCGGTTTACAGGACCAGACCGGCGGCATCCCGCGCGGTCAAAACCAGGTCAGGCAAGGTGCGTAAACCCGTTCCCCCATCCCTACTATGTACCTTTCTCACTGTCAGACAACCGCCTCGCTTCTTTACTGCAGGAGACTTCCCTGGGGGCGACTCCGGCAACTTCGACCGCACCCGCATGGCAACCGACGGGACCGCCTCGACTGCCAGAGGCCCCGGCGGCGTCTTCGCCTCCCACGGCGGTCAGCTCGGTACCGATACCAGCGCGCAGGGTACGTCCGATACCCTCTCATCTCCTTGACGAACAGAGTTTGACCGGCATGGTTTTAGGCGGCGACTTCAACGCTGGCCCGACCATGGGCAACGAGCGGCGCGCGGCGGCCGGGCGCGACGACAACTTCGGCTCGAACGCGCCCAACTTCCGTGGCGGACCCGGGCCCGCCCTCCCTGGGGGCGGCGCGGGCGCCCAGCCCGACAATGAGGACGACGAGATGGACAGCGCAGGTGCGCATGCCAGCTCGACGGGCAACCCCGGAATGGGGAACAAGTTCTTAGGTGCGTGCCGTGCCTTCCCCCCTCCCCCTTCTCCCGGGTTTTTGGTTTGTTCGCGCGAAGGCGGACGCAAGGCGGCCCACACTTGGTGCGGATCCGCGCTGCCAGTGGGAGATTGGCATCGCCGCGAGTGCCGAGCGTCCGCTTCGCCCGAACAAACACCTAGACCTGTCCCATATGCTTAAGCTTGTTGAATTACGGTGCATGCGGTCCTAACGCGGATATCTCGGCCTTGCTATTTAGGGAGCATCGAGAAGGCCGCGGGGCGCGTCACGGGGAGCACGAATGTCGCCGAGCGCGGGCAGATGCGCAAGGTACGTGGGCGTATATTTGGGCCATGTGCGAACTCTTACTGACTTGATGAATAGACTGGCGGTGGCCCTCAGGCACATGATACATTGCTGTGAAGGTATCGCTGCGAGGATTATTTTGTGCACGATGGCGGAGCACCGAGAGCAGCCCCGACTCAAACCAATGTATCAACATGAATGAATGTACTCACCGAAGTCCGCGAGGACGAAGTAGCAATGTATGGCAGTTGTATTATACATATAGGCAGTTCCGCACCCGTAGATACATCGCATATGCCAGTATCTACGCATATCGGGACACGATGTGCAAGGCACGTCTAAGTTCTCGCTGCGTGGGGTCACTCGTACGTGCGCCCACGCGGAGCAGACTACGATACAGCGGCGATAAGGTTAACTAAAGAACTAGGAAAAGCAAGCGTTTGTCTCGGAGCCCCAGGCTGTACGTGGTAGCAGGTACACAGTCCGCCGCGGCTGCACCCCGTGCGCGGGGAGAAGAGTCCGTGGGAGGGAAGGGTCGTGCGCATGCGCGCGGGTGCGAGAGGAAGCGCGCGTGGGATGGGATACTGTCTTACAACTGGGTCATATGCTGGGGATATACCGGGGTTCAGGCACAGGTTGCGGAGCAATGCAGGAGGGGGAATAAGCTAAAGCCACTTGGGAGGGATGGAAGATGAGAGGCGATGCCTGGAAAGCGGGCAGCGGAGTGTAGGTAACTATGCAAGGGGTGTGTAGCACGTCAAAGCAGAGGATCCAACGGTACAGAAGCACGGAGAGAGAAAATCATTCGTCCCACGGTAGCGGTCATCCACGTCTTGACGGTTCTCTTGAAATGTCGCCGATCGTCGCCCCTTCCGGAAGGTTGCGAACCTGCAAGAAGTCAGTCAATGATCCCCTTCACAACGCCGGGCGTGCGACATACCTCTAGCTTGGGGCGCTCTGCAGGCGCGTCCAAATCGTCCATCGAGTATACACTACTCGAATTTGCGGTCGATGCACGCTCGAGCGCGCCACCCTTCGGTCGCGCCGCCTCCGCGCTCGCCCTTCTTGGATCCCTCGGCGGTACCGGGGGCGCACTATTGCCGGCAAATCCGTCCGTCACCCCAGGCGTAGACGGCTCCGTCGTGCCGCCTGGATAGTAGCCAGATAGCAACGGCTCAAGACTCCCCACGCTGCCTTTCGCACCGTGGCCCCAGCCCATGGAACTGGTGCTGGTGCTAGTGCTATGCGTGTGCTGCCGCAGAGGTTGCTGCCATGCGGGTGGAGGCGGGCTGCTCGTCCGTGCTGGTGCGTACCCGTCTCGTCGTGACCCAGGGAAGGCCGCAGGCGGTGGATGGATCGTCCCAGATGCTGCGAAGGGATCGTACTCTCCGTTGGCGCCAGGTGTCGAAGGGCCCGTGTTCGTAGCGTCGTCCATCCCACTTGATGGCGGGCGCTGCCCATTGAGGCCGCCCGAGCCATAACTCGGGTTCGGGAGTGTGGCCAGGGTGCCCGAGGCCGTAGGCGTCATCTGCATTTTCCGCTCCTCCTCGTCACCGTCGAGCGGGCGGCGATTGAAACCCGCGGCAGCAAGCGTGGAAGCGACTGCGGTGTCGTGCTCTAGACGCTGTGTTCTGCGGCGGCGTCGGACGTAGAAGAAGAAGAAGAGCACGATCGACGCCGCAGCCAGACCGACGATGAGGAAGACTCCAGCCACCGCACCTTTGTTGCGGAAGAACCTGTCAGGAATGTCAATGTCGGTCATCCTGATTCTCAGAAGGCGGACGGAAATACGCACTGTGACGCCTGGGTGGCGTTGTTGTTCGAGGAGATGGGCGTAGGGTTCTCAACCACGATCGTCACAAAGCTCGGGGTACCATCGCTGCCGGTGCTCGTCAGTGTTTCCGTGACAAACGGAGGGGCGCTGGTGATCGTGGATCCTGCGCCGTTCGTCGTAGTGACAAACACCGTTGACTGGAATGTGGTCCTACACACAACGACTCGGTCAATGCGATTGCACGTAGAAAGTGCAACTTAAGACTGCTCACGTTACGAGATTTGTAACTAAACTGTCGGTTTGGACTAATGTAGAGACATCCGTTCCCGAAGCGGTTTGGCTATCTTCACTGACAGCAGTGCTTGTTTGAGTGACTGTTGCAACGTCCGTCGAAGCCACAGTTGTGGTGGAAGTCCCCTCGGTCGTGGCAGATGGAGGATTCGACGTGGTTTGTTGAGTGACGACAGTGGTCGTGGTGGAAGTGTTGGGAGGGTTAGAGGTCGTGGTAGAACTAGTCACAGGCGGGCTGGTGGTGGGTGGATTAGTCGTGGTCGTTACAGTAGACGTGTCTGGAGGGTTCGTGGTCGTATTCGTGGTCGTAGTCGGAGGAGACTGGTTGGTAGTGGTCGATGTAGAGGAGGTAGAAGCGGACGTAGCCGTGGTCGTAGTTTCGGTGGTCGAGGCATCATCTCCCGATGCTGACGCTTTCGAGGACGATGAAGTCGAGACTCCCGTTACGGAAGTAGACGTAGTCGCCATGGCGGATCTATATAGCTACACGTGAGCATCTTCTTTTGAAGCCACCCTGCTAAAACTTACGAGGTAGCTGCTGCCGTCGCCTGCGATGCAGTCGGACTCGATGTTTCCGAAGCAGTCGTGGGATCCGCGGAGGTGGCCGAGCCGGCGGACGTACTTGACGCAGAATCGGCAGAGGCTGAAGCTGATACCGAAACAGGTTGGGCAGCGGTTGCAGAGGACAGTTGTACCGAGGCCGAAACGGGCGTGAAGACCGATGCGGAGGATGCAGTTGATTGGTTTTGCGAGGCGTTGGAGGCCATGGTGGATTGACCAGTTATGGAAGGCGTTGTTGTTGATGGAGATGAAGCGGACGTGGAAGGTGCGGTGGATGGAAGAGATGCAGAGTCAGTGGCAGGCTGGGAAGCAGAGAGGACAGTAGAAAGAGCAGGAGAAGGAGACGAGCCTGTAAGCGAGGACGCCATGATGAGCGTTCTGGCCACAGGAAAGAAGATGCTGACTGGGTATGGAAGCGACCCGTAGACCCACACCAGCCAGGGCGGGGGCGCGGCGAGCGAGGGGGGTCTAGCACGTCCTGCGTGGTGGGGGGCGAACGCAGCAGACCGACTCGACCACGCGTGGGTGGGGAGGTGCGCGGGCGGGGTATTTGTGGAACACTGCGGGGACTGGGATACGGAACGTGGACGTGCGAGGGGCAGCGGAGGGAAGGGGGCCGCGGAGACGGAGTAGAAGGAGATATGAGGGGCGTGGGCGAGAAGGGCTCACCTGTGGCGGAGGCTTGTCTTTTGTCGTTGGCGATAAGTGGTGCGCGGGCGTGGATGGAGCTAAGTATGGGCATGGCCGGGTCCTGGGGAGGACATGGTGGTCGGGAAGGAAGAGGCAGTAAGTAGAGCAAGAGGAAGCCCCACGGCCGCATGCGCCGGGCGGGGCGGGCACGGCGTGCACGATAAATCGATATATTTCCACACCTACTCCCGACGCGCGCCTGGAATTAGCCGAAACGTCATGTATGCGCACATCGCAGCGCTCTCTCCCTCCTCCTCCCCGGGCCCCGTCCCGCCGGCTCGCCTCCACGGCCTGCTGCGTAGCTACCGAGACCGCGCCCGCGAGCCTCGGTCCCGACGCCCGCCCGCCCTCGCGCCCGCCGCTGCGCTCGACGCGTCGGGGCACGGTGGTGCATGCGTGAATGGTGCAGGACGGCGCGCAGCAGACGCGATCGGCGATCGCGGACCGCCCCTGACAGCTGTGCGGTCGATTGCAGTCGAAAGCGAGCGAGGCGCACTCTGCCGTGTCCAGCTCTCCCCGGCATCCCGGCCGTGCACCCACTCCTTGTCCTCTCCCCGGTCTCTCTCCCTTGGCGGCCATAATCTCCTGCTGCCTCCTGTCTGTCCGCGTTCCCTCCTCCTGTCTCACTGCTTGTCGATGTCGCGCCCAACGTCGGACTACTGTAACGCCGCTGTGTCTCGTTTCCGCCTCAAGCGCCCCGGGAATACTCCCCGCTTCTTGCGGAGCGTGGGCTGCGAGCCAGTCTGGCGGCCTCGCCTCGTGGCTTCCCCATTCCACCATACACCTCCCACCGTTGCTTGGATATCTCCCCGCTCTCGCTAGGAATGACGTTTAGCTCGAGCCGTCTCGTCTGGATCACCCTGGCGCACCTTCGGCATCTTGTCCTGCTCCACCGTCCCCCTGCTACGTCTCAGGCCCACGAATCACGGCTGGCAAGAAGGAATACGCTCATTGATGGCGATTGTCGAAGCCTTGGCTGGCTCGATAGACACGTCCATGAGTAACTTCAAGCTCAAGCTCCGTTATATATACGCTACACGGACAGGCAATTGCAATAAAGTGCACCGCAACGTGTAGGAGATAACGTCCATCGGCCGCCTTCTGAGCGTACGCACGCTTCGCCTCGTTCCTTCCGGTGAACTCTCTCCCTCTCTGTTCTTTTTGAGTACAGTCTCGTCAGTGCTCGTCTGCTGGACACGCAACGACTCCTCGACGCTGAGTACTTGCTGAGTACTGACCATCGAAATCCTGACTCCCATTTCCCGGCGGTCGGTATATCGTCGCAGTGCTGCTACTGCTATCAGCTCCGCTGAGTGCATGCAAGCGCGCGCGCAATATGCAAATCCAACTCACTCGTCCTCCCATATCATTCTCCTCCCCTCCAATTTCAGCGTCGCTTACCAACCACGCAGCTAGCGTCGTTCAACGCAGCCACAGACGAAACACTCGTATGCGTCAGCCGACAGCGCGAGCACGCTACGGACACCTCGGCCTGCTTCCGTCGTGTCTCCGCACATCCACATTGAGTGCATGCGCGGGGCCGCGCGAGCTGCCATAGGATCTACGCGTCCTCGGCAGCAGCTCGAACAGTACGGGCGCACGACCTACATCTCCGGTCGCGCGGACATTATCCCCGCTACCTTCTAGGTAGTGGGTATTGCCAATGCTCGTTCACTCCTTGTGCATCGCGTGCCCAGGCATTAGCATGTTCTAGCTCATGGGGCGGGCGCGATAAATACCGCCGCTCGCGGGGCACTGAGCTGCACCTAGCTCCATTCCCCAGTTCTCCAAACCCCTGACGACTACCTCCTCTGCATCCTACCTCCACCACACTCCCCTAACAATGTCTGCTGCACAAACTGCTCCTGCTCCTGCGGCTGCTGGGCCTTCGAGAACCGAAGCCTCTACCAGCGCGGACCCCACTATCGAGAAGATCCCGGCGATCCAGAAGACATGGCGCGTAACGCGCAAGGGCAAGCCCGCAGACGTGCTCAAGCTCGCCGACGCGCCCGTCCCCGCGAAGCTCAAGAAGGGCGAGGTGCTCATCAAGGTCCAAGCCACCGCGCTCAACCCTGTGTGAGTGCTCCGTGCGCCCTATGCCCGATGCGGCGCGGGCGCGGTGAGAAATCGTGATTGCAGAGACTGACCGGACATATTGTACTATAGAGGGCACAAGCTCATGGGCAATGTGCCGAGCTTCGTGCTCAAGCGCTGGGTGTCGACCGAGTTCGACTTTGCGGGCGTGATCGTGGACGCGAACGGCACGGAGTTCAAGGAGGGCGACGAGGTGTTTGGCTGGCATCCAGTCTGTGAGTAGTACGCTCTCAAAGACCGATTTCATCGTCGTTCTCACGCGCGCACAGTCCAAGCGATCACCACTGGTCAGGGCGCGCTCGCGCAGTACACGCGCTCCCCCGCTGCAAACGTCATCTTGCGCCCGAAAAACATCACGCCCATCGAGGCTTCGGGCCTGCCTATCGTCGCGCTCACGGCGTACGAGGGCCTGTTTGATTTTGCGAAGCTCGAGGCGGGCCAGTCGGTGTTCATTAACGGCGGAAGCACCGCGGTCGGGTCATTTGCGATCCAGCTCGCGAAGGCGAAGGGCGCGCACGTTGCCGCGAGTGCATCTGCGAAGAATGAGCAGTATGTGCGTGGCCTAGGCGCTGACGAGGTGCGTCTCAATAGTTTTGACTAGTGGGATGCAGAATTCTAACCATGTCGAGCAGTTCTTCGACTACACGAAGGCACCCCTGCACGAACAACTCATCGCGGCGAACGTAACGCCTAAGTACCACGTCATTTACGACACGGTCGGCCTCGTGGACCCCGCGCTGTTCGTACATAGCCCGGCGTACCTCGCGCCGCAGGGCATATTCCTGTCGGTCGGCCCACAACAGGGCTCCGGGATGCTGAGCTTCGTGTGGAACGTGCTTCTGCGGCCGACATTCCTGGGAGGCGTGAACCGCAAATGGAAGTGAGTCACTTGTCTTGATGTTCAATCAACCTTAGCGCAGCACGCTGACGCGAGTGCCAGGATGATTCAAGTGAAGCCTGTCCCGGAGGACCTGAAGGCGGTCACGGAGTTGGTCGAGGAAGGTACGTACTTGGCACTAAATGCTTGCTGTGCTGTGTGTTGACGCCTCGATAGGCAAAATCCGCCCGCTGGTGGACTCCGTATATGAGTTCGAAGATGCGCTCAAGGCGTACGAGCGTATACTGACCGGTCGCGCGACGGGGAAAGTGATCGTCAAGGTGGATCCCACCGTAGCGTGATCCGCGGCCGTACCTATATGTGTACGGTGACTTTACCCTACAAAAACCCCTTAATATCTGTCAAGCTGCACTAAGGAGCGATCTAGATGCGTGTTGGCGAACCCATGAGTGCTTGCGATTCCTGTCGAGTGTCGCGGTGTTGCTGAGGTTGAGTCCTGTACAGCACGCAGGTAAGTGCCGCACGCGTTAACGCATGGCGTAACTGCATGTAACTCTACCGCTCGAGGAACAGAATTTGGAGGTCGATGTAGGTCCGAGAAACACGGAAGAGGGTGAGGTGTGTAGATGGAGTTTAGGCTTTGCTGAAAATCCCGCAGGGAAACGTCAGGAGGATAAAAGCCTCACCCCATCAATCCGACTCGGACGGATGCCCTCGAACAGTCCGCACCCTGCCTGTACAGCGCGGATCACGATCTGGGTCCCGGACCAACTACTGAATACCTGTGCTATAGCAAAGGTTCCGGGCTAGCCACCCCCACCCACAAGCAAGTCCGGCTGCGAGGGTACGGGTCCGAGGCTAACGGACACTGTCGCATTACTATCCGGTGATGACACGGATATCAATGTCGCTGAGCCCACGCGATCTCACGCAATCTCCAAATCCACGGCCAACTCGTCCCCCATCATCCACTTCCCACTCAATCAAGCGCAGCCACACAGCTAGCGTCGTTCATTGCTGTGTCATTCGAGGCGGTGCGTCTCACCCGACGGTCGAAACTCCTCCCGTCAGTTGGTGCCTGCGGTAACGTCCACTGTGACTCTGCAGGCAGACCTGGATGCACACGCGCGGTCTCGCGCGGTGCAGCGCGAACTTCTGCAGGATCTAACACGCGTCCTCGCTAACAGCTAATGTGCCCGGATGATTTCCCCTTCCTCTAGTTGTGCGGGTACCGGTACCTGCTAGTGCCAATGTCCATCCATCACTTGCCTGTCGCGGATACAAGCACTAGGCCTGCTGGTCTGCCCTCCCGGACACGAATGATATAAAACCATGGCTGGCGCGACCATCTAGCAGACTAGCACTCATACTCATCCCCGCCTCACACACTTCTCTTGATTCCTGACGATCACCGTTTCCACTGAATTCCACCTCGACTACATTCCACCACACAATGTCTGCACAACATACCCCTACACCCTCGGAGAAGAAGCTTCCCGCGACGCAGAAGGCGTGGCGCGTAACGGGCAGTGGGAAGCCCGAGAAGGTCCTCAAATTCGGCGACGCGCCCATCTCCGCGAAGCTCAAGAAGGGCGAGGTGCTCATCAAGGTGCAGGCCGCCGCGCTCAACCCTGTGTGAGTGTTCATTAATTGCACGGATATCACGCGTTCCCCGCGCGGAGCAATCCGGCTCGTGTGCGGGGTCTGTGACATATGCTGGACGAGAGTGCACGATTGACCGACGTGATACGCACACAGAGGGAGCAAGTTGATGGGCATGCTGCCCGGATTCCTGCTGAAGCGCCTGACCGCACCTGAATTCGACGTCGCGGGCGTCGTCGTGGATGCCAACGGCACGGGCTTCAAGGAGGGCGACGAGGTGTTTGGCTGGATCCCGATCTGTGAGTGTCCTTGCGTTCCCCTGCACCCGCACGGCCGTTCTCACCCCCGCGTGCAGTCCAGAATATCAGCACAGGCCAGGGCGCGCTCTCGCAATACACGCGCCTCCTCGCCACGGACATCATCCTGCGACCTCAAAACGTCACTCCGACTGAGGCGGCAGGCTTCCCCATCGCGGGTCTGGCAGCGTACCAAGCGCTCCTCGAATTCGCGAAACTTCAGGCGGGCCAGTCCGTATTCATCAACGGCGGCAGTACCGCCGTTGGGTCGTTCGCCATCCAGATCGCGAAGGCGAAGGGCGCGCGCGTCGCCGCGAGCGCGTCGGCGAAGAACGAGCAGTACGTGCGTGGCCTAGGCGCAGACGAGGTGAGTGTCAGCGATTGCGCGCGAATATGACGGCATAGAATGCTGACCTCGGCGCGTAGTTCTTCGATTACACGAAGGCGCCGCTGCACGAGCAACTGGTTGCGGCCAACGTCTCGCCCAAATACGACGTCTTCTTCGAAACGGCCGGCCTCATGGACCCCACGCTATATGTACACAGCGCAGCGTACCTCGCACCGAAGGGGATCTTCCTGTCGGTCGGCCCACAAGGCCCTGGGGTCGTGAGCTTCGCGTGGAATGTGCTCCTGCGACCATCGTTCCTCGGCGGCGTGAAGCGCAAGTGGAAGTGCGTATGATTTGTGAATGTTCAGCTGGCCACGACCTAACAGGCTGACGCGATTGTCAGGCTCATCCAGGTCAAGTCCAGCCAAGAGGACCTGAAGGGGTTCGCGAAGTTGGTCGAGGAGGGTGCGTGCTTCTGATCCAAAGTTTGTTGGGTTCCTTGTTGACATTGGACTGCTAGGCAAACTTCGACCGGTGGTGGACTCGGTGTACGTGTTCGAAGATGCGCTTTCGGCCTACGCGCGACTATTGACGAGCCGGGCGACGGGCAAGGTGGTAGTGAAGGTGGACCCCACCGTAGGGTGAGCGGTGCGCTTTAGTGCTGCTGCTGTAGCTGTAGATAGAGTGAATATACCCCTGAGTACTTGCCTTAATATCTGTATTGCATTCAGGAGGCACAGAGGGACGTCTTTTGGAGAGGTACCCGCGAACCTCCGACCGGAGTCGCTGGTCAATATCGGCGGGTGCCATCAGTCTTACCCCGCTGGGCTCTCACGCGATCTTGCGCAATATACCAATTCAGGAGTTGTCACACTCGTTCTCCCATAGAATCCTCTAGTTTCATACCAAGACCGTTCACGTTCACGTGTTCGGGGTTTGTGTCGAACCTATAGAATCCTCTGCCTCCGCAATCATAGCGCAGCTTCGCAGTGGTGTCGTTGAACGCGGCAGCATACGAAAGAGTACGCGTCACCAAACGGCGCAGGCCTACTCAGTACGCGCACCTCCGGTCACGCTGCCCGTGTGCATGTCTATAGGCTTTCAATGCGAACGCGCAGCGCGACGCGCGAGCTGCTGCCATAAGGCCCACGCATCCTCGGCAAGAGCTTTCCTAGAGAACTCATGGAGCCGCGCGTTTTCCCAAAATCTCCAGCCGCGTGGGTACTTACTTCTAGTGTCAGAGTCGCACACGCGCGATAAATACCCCCGTTCGCGCGAGCAGTCGGCCCCGAGGCCCACGCTTTTCTTAAGCTATATCTCTGACGACCTTTGTCCCCGCCGCGCTCCACCCCATATTACACTCCACCACGCGATGTCTGCTGAACAACCCACTCCGGCCCCGGCTCCTGCCGCCCCCGCGAAAGACGAAGCCACGCCTGGCCCCACAACTGCGGAGAAGAAGATCCCTGCAACGCAGAAGACATGGCGCGTGACGCGCAAGGGGAAGCCGGAGGACGTGCTCAAGCTCGCGGACGCGCCGGTCCCGACGAAGCTGAAGAAGGGTGAGATACTCCTGAAGGTGCAGGCCGCGGCGCTCAACCCTGTGTGAGTGACTGCACATCCCAATGTTGTCCTTTGTGGCGCATCCCGCACGGGGTGCGCGCGATGGCGAAGTGGTGGAGTCACTGACCGGCGTGGTGAGGGCACAGAGGGCACAAGGCGATGGGCTTCCTGCCAAGCTTCCTGCTCAAGCGCTTGGTGTCGACAGAGTTCGACCTCGCGGGCGTCGTTGTGGACGGTAACGGCACAGACCTGAAGGAAGGCGACGAGGTGTTCGGCTGGATCCCGCTGAGTGAGTCCTCCGCCGCCCGCCCTCCCTACGCGTAGCTTACCGCCCCGCTCTCGCGCGCGCACAGATCAGAACCTAAGCACGGGCCAGGGCGCGCTCTCGCAGTACACGCGCCTCCCAGCCGTGGACGTCGTCCTGCGCCCGAAGAACGTGACGCCCACGGAAGCCTCAGGCTTTACCGTCGCGGGCCTGACGGCCTACCAGGCGCTTTTCGACCTTGCGAAGCTGAAGGAGGGCCAATCCGTGTTCATCAACGGCGGGAGCACCGCCGTCGGGTCGTTCGCGATCCAAATCGCGAAGGCAAAGGGCGCGCACGTCGCCGCGAGCGCATCTGCAAAGAACGAGCAGTACGTGCGCGGCTTGGGCGCCGATGAGGTGCGTGCCGGTGGTGAGGAGAGTGCGTAGAACGCTAACCTGGGCGAGTAGTTCTTCGATTACACGAAGGCGCCGCTGCACGAGCAGCTCGTGGCAGCCAACGTGACGCCTAAATACGACGTCTTCTATGAGACGGTCGGCATTCTGGACCCTGCGCTGTTCGTGCACAGCCCGGCGTACCTTGGGCCTAAGGGGATCTTCTTGTCGGTCGGCCCACAGGGCTCTGGGATCGGGAATATTGCGAGCTTTGCGTGGAACGTGCTCCTGCGGCCGTCATTCCTCGGCGGTGTGAAACGCAAGTGGAAGTAAGTTCCACCTCGAGCTACGTTCCACCGTTCGTGTGTTGATAGGGTGATACGGCTACCAGGCTTGTAGCGGTGAAGCCCGTTGCAGAGGACCTGAAGGGGTTCGCAAAGTTGGTCGAGGAAGGTATGAGCTTCGTAGCCGATGCCCGTTGTCCTGTACACCAACGTTTTGCTAGGCAAAGTTCGACCGGTGGTGGACTCGGTGCACGCGTTTGAACAGGTGCTGAAGGCATACGAGCGGATTCTGACGAAACGGGCGACGGGGAAGGTGGTAGTGAAGGTGGACCCCGACGCAGCGTGAGGAGTGTGCCGCAGCGCTGTCACTGTAAACGTAGATACAGTAAGTATACCCAGGAGTACCTTCATATCATTGCAGCAGGTGATCATTCTATGGGGCGTATCCAGGAATTCTTCTGGTCGCCCGCGGTTCTTGTCACGTTCGGTTGTGTGGTTCAAACTGAATCATCCCCGCATGGCGTTCCATGCAAAACCAAGAATCGGGACAAGGGGTGTGGAAAGCTATGTGGGTGGGGGGCGCTAAGGACCAGTATATCCAAGGGTATCTTAAGCTGCAGCTGTTGGCATACACCACTGTCGGTCGTCTAGCTAGGGAGGAGTTTGTGCTCCGCTGGGAGCACTTCAAAAGAACGTCAAACAGATGAAGGTCTCACCGTCGTAAGGCACTCACCGCGAGGATCTCTCAAGACTTGTCAGCCATCAGCCGCTGCAGCTCCGCCACCACCTCCAGCACCTGTGGCCTGTATTCCTCCAACCAGTCCGGAGGACGTCCATCAGTGGGCACCCTCTCTTGGCCTCCAGAATGCGACCTGGGTAGCTTGATCGCCACGCCTTTCTCCGCAACACGCATTTTGAGAGAACTTCCGAGCAGCGACCGCAGCAGCCCCGCACACCGCGTCCCGCCGCCGCCGCCATACGTCACGACGGCGACAGGCTTGTTCCTCCACTCCCAGTACAGGTGGTCGAGCGTGTTCTTCAGCTCGCCGGGGTACGAGCCGTTATACTCTGGCGCGAGGACGACGAGGGCGCTACACGAGGAGATGAACGTCGCGAAGTCGCGCATGGCGGGGTTTGGGTGTTTTGTGGGGTCGCGGATGTCCGAGGGTACGTGCGAGCCGTCCACGAGGGGACCCAGAGGAAGTGGGGGTTTTGTGGGATCAAGAAAGACGACGTCGACTGGGGGTTTGTGGGATGCGACGGCAGACTTGGTGTCGTTGAAGCCCTGGCGAATGACGGGGGTGAGCCAGGAGGCTATTCCGATCCCGTTTCCCGGTCGGCGGAGGCTGCCTAGGAGGACCGCGACTTTGGACATCTATGCAGGCGTAGAGGAGAGTTGGTGTGGACTGGCTGTGGGCCCAAGTCGTCTAGATATAGCTCGAGGACATGAGCAAGCTCAGAAGAGCCATGTCGCCATCCGCTTCGATGCCGCAGCACGGGAACCAAGCTTACAGATGACGTTAAGTTTGATAGAGGGATAGTGTCGCCACGCCAGTCTTCGCAGCGCTATCAAGGAATGCGGGCTCGTAGAACGGGGGGATGGTGTTTGTGTCAAGGATCGTCGTCGAAGTCGAAGAACGGAGCACTCGGATATCGGACGTCTGGCGCCCGACGTACCCAGGGAAGTACCGTAGCGCCCTCGCCTCCCAATTTCACGAAGTCTGCGTCAACTAAATATCAGACGTCGCGGTTTATGTCGTCGCAACAATATTAATGCGCCCTGGTAAAGCTGCAAGATTATTGAAACTGAGAATCTGACACGCTCTCGTACGGGATTGTCGGCCCTGGCGACTAGTAGGGGACGCGTCGCGTCGCGTTTGCGAACCTGCTGGACGCGGTAACGTGACATTTTTACTCGTACTATGGGCGCACGAGTAAGCCCCAGCTGCTTCCGTCATGATGATTACGCCTGCCTTGCTCGATGAAGATGAATACGAGGCTGCAGGAGGATGTCCCGCATCGAATCCCGGTCTCCGGCAGTCGGTGGTGGGATGTGCGCAGAGCCTCGTGCTACCGGACCGTCAAGCCACCAGTGCCACGCGATCTTACGTCATTCCAACACTGACAAGCTTGTGAATTTGATGCTGCACTCCCGATTCCGCGCTTTTGCATCGGCCTTTTCGTATCCTCCCCCCCCCAGTCGTCGCGCGAGCAGTCACTGCAGGTACCATCTCGTCGAGCATGCATGTACAGGCCCACCCGGGTCGGCACCAGTCGCGCGCCGGCGAGCAGTCAGCGCTTTGTAAGTCGCGCGCGAATTTGAAGGCCAAGTGCGGCCTAGGGCTGCGTCATGGTATACGCGATAAATACCTGCGTTCGCGCGAGAAAGCACTAGCTCCGTTGCTCAAAGTCTAATCTCTCTTTCTCTCCCTTCCACCACCACCACCACCTCTACCTTGACTACACGCACTATGTCTGTTGAACAACCCGCGCCCGCCCCTCCCGCTCCCGACGCCGCGCCCACCGTGGTCTCGAGCACGGACACCCCCGCTGCGAAGCTTGCGCTGCCTTCAACACAGAAGGCATGGCGCGCGACACGGAGCGGCAAGCCTGCAGACGTCCTTGCCCTCGTCGATATTCCTGTTCCTGCGAAGCTCAAGAAGGGCGAGGTCCTCGTGAAGGTGCAGGCCGCCGCGCTCAACCCTGTGTGAGTACCCTTGCCCGATGGCGAATACCGAAGGAACGCGGCAGTGTAGCTGACCACGTACGGGCACAGAGGCTACAAGACGATGGGCCTCCTGCCCGGCTTTGTGCTCAAGCGCGTGAATGCGGCAGAGTACGACCTTGCGGGTGTTATCGTGGACGCGAACGGCTCCGAGTTCAAGGAGGGCGACGAGGTTTATGGTTGGATCCCCTTCCGTGCGTGCTCTTCTGCCGTGTTTCAATTCAAGACTTGGTTGAATGCGTCCCTTACTCACATGCTCCCCTCACTCCACAGCTCTGAGCATCAGCAGCGGCCAAGGCGCGCTCACGCAATACACACGGGTCCCCGCCATTAACCTCGTCCCACGGCCGAAGAACATCACGCCCACACAGGCGGCCGGCTTCAGCTTGGCAGGCCAGACGGCGTACCAGGCGCTCATTGAGCTCGCGAAGCTCGAAGAGGGCCAGTCCGTGTTCATCAACGGCGGGAGCACCGCGGTCGGCGCGTTCGCGATCCAGATCGCAAAGGCGAAGGGCGCGCACGTCACCGCCAGTGCGTCCGCGAAGAACGAGGAGTACGTGCGCAGCTTGGGTGCTGATGAGGTGCGTGCCCGATGCGTCTTATCGGGCGAAGACATCTGACGAGCCTCGCTGCGTGGGTAGTTCTTCGACTACACGAAGGCGCCGCTGCACGAGCAGCTCATCGCGGCAAACGTAACGCCCAAGTACCAGGTCTTTTATGAGGCGGTTGGCCTCATCGACCCAGCGTTGTTCATACACAGCCCGGCGTACCTCGCGTCCAACGGTATCTTCTTGTCGGTTGGCCCGTCACCCTCGGGTGCTGGGTACGGGACCATTGCGAGCTTCGCGTGGAATGTGCTTTTGCGGCCTTCGTTCCTCGGAGGTGTGAAGCGCAAGTGGAAGTGAGTGATTTCGTTGGGTACTTGTCAGTTGAGATGCTGAAGAGATATCGCGATTGCTAGGCTCGTGGCAGTAAAACCTGTCCAGAAGGACTTGAAGGACTTCGCAACGTTGGTCGAGCAGGGTAGGTGTTTGCCCCCTGATTTATTTCTGTGTCTCGTCCTGACGCCTTTATAGGTAAGATTCGCCCGCTGGTGGACTCGGTGCACGCGTTCGAAGACACGAAGAAGGCGTACGAGCGGCTGTTGTCGCAGAGGGCGACGGGCAAGGTTGTGGTAAAGGTGGACCCTTCCGTGGAGTGAACGACGCGTACAACGAACCAGCCTTTTGTATACCTGTCTTAATCTATAATGTTTCACAGCTAGTTCGGCAACCATCAATAAGACGCACCCGCTTTCCGAACGTATCGGTACGCGAGTGTGGCCAGGTAACGATATGTATGGGCGTTATACATGCAAGCACTAGTTGTTAGGCTCGTGAACCAGCCTCACGTTCGGAGGCGGAAGACAATGGCTCCTCCCGAAGCAAGTTGTCATGCATGGGGATATCGTCGTCCGCGGCGAGGTGGACGCGTCGCGTGTACGAATATCTTCAGACGCGATAACGTGACATTTCATTCTACACGCGCCGCGTACGCATGAGCGTGCCTGCTCCTGGTTCTGCCCTGCATGATACTCTCCCAGATAAAGATGAGGGTGTTGAATACTGAATTCCGGCTCCCCGGCCGCCGATTGGTAGTGCTATATACGCAGAGGCTCATATTATCGGGCCGACTCAAGTCACCACGGCGGCACGATCTTACGTCATTTGAGTCGCTCTTACAAACTTGTCGAATTTGATGCTACGATCCCGGTTCCTCCAGCTTTGCGCACGTCGGCCTTCTCGAGTGCCCCGTAGGCTCTCCCCCGTCCTCGCGAACAGTTACTGGAGACACATTGTATTGAAGCCGTACAGACCTAATGAGATCATGACCTGTGGACGCAGGTGAGCGCATGAGCAGTGCGCCACCTGCAGGTAAACGTTTCGTATATCGCGCACGAATTTGAATGCCAACTTGTTTGGTATAGGAATGCATCACAGTATATGCAATAAATCAATAAACAGCGGCGTGGACACGAGATATCTACCACTAGCCCCACCGTCCAAACTTGACTTCTCCCCACCACCATCCCCGCCTTCGGATTACACGCGCCATGTCTGTCGAGGAACCAACCCCTGCCACCATTCCCGCTGAGCCACTCGCGGCCCCTAGCGCGGACACGCCCGCAGCAAAGGCCGGATTCCCCACAACGCAGAAGGCGTGGCGCGCGATGCGCCGCGGGAAGCCCGCAGACGTCCTCGCGCTCGTCGACGTGCCCGTACCTGCAAAGCTCCAGAAGGGCGAAGTGCTCGTCAAGGTGCAAGCCGCCGCGCTCAACCCCGCGTAGGTGCACCCGTCCGGTGCGAAATGCACAGAGAACTGGCGTGTGACTGACCGCATATCGTGTTAGGGGCTACAAGATGATGGGCATCTTGCCCGGCGTTGTGCTCAGGCGCGCCGGTGCGGTCGAATACGACCTTGCGGGTGTCATCGTGGACGCCAATGGTTCGGAGTTCGCGGAAGGCGACGAGGTCTATGGCTGGATCACCGTTCGTAAGTCTGCTTCCGTAGTATGGTGTTCTCCGACTCACGCTGTCCCTTCACCCTTACCTCCGTGCCCGCACACGTACAGAATCGAACATGAGCGGCGGCCCAGGTGCGCTCACGCAATATACGCGGCTCCCGGCTGGGAACCTCGTCCTGCGGTCCAAGAACGTGACGCCGACCCAGGCGGCGGGCTTCAGCTTGGCTGGCCTGACGGCGTACCAGTCGCTTATCGGAGCCGCGAAGCTCGAGGCGGGCCAGTCCGTGTTCATCAACGGCGGAAGCACCGCGGTGGGGTCTTTCGCAATCCAGATCGCAAAGGCCAGGGGCGCACGCGTTACCGCAAGCGCGTCCGCAAAGAACGAGGCGTACGTGCGCAGCTTGGGTGCCGACGAGGTGCGCGTGCGTGGCGTGCTATCAAGTGGGCGCATCTGACGAGTTGGATTCCGCGGGCAGTTCTTTGACTACACCAAGGCGCCGCTGCACGAGCAGCTCGCGGCGGCGGACGTGACGCCGAAGTTCCATGTCTTTTACGAGACGGTCGGGCTCGTAGACCCGGCGCTGTTCACGCACAGCCCGGCGTACCTCGCGCCTGGCGGCATCTTCTTGTCCGTTGGGCCGACGTCCACGGGGGCCGGGTACGCGGCTATGGCGAACTTCGTGTGGAACGTGCTCTTGCGGCCGTCGTTCCTCGGTGGCGTGAATCGCAAGTGGAAGTGAGTGTGCTTCAACGAGCATATATTGGTTTGAAAGCTGATGAGATGACGCGATTTATAGGTTCGTGGGGGTCAAGGCCGTTCCGGAGGACTTGAAAGCGTTTGCGAAGTTGGTCGAGGAGGGTATGTACTGCTAGTTTGAAAGTCACTATGTGCTCTACTCACGTCTTGTTAGGCAAGGTTCGCCCGATAGTGGACTCGGTGTACGCGTTCGAAGAGGCGAAGAAGGCGTACGAGCGGGTGCTCTCGCAGCGGGCGACTGGCAAGGTTGTGGTGAAGGTGGATCCGTCTGTGGAATGAGTGCTGCGTAACGGTTTGTATACCCTGTGTTAGTGTCTGTATGATGCTATAAGTCAAGTCTATAAGACGTATGTACTATGTCGCGATCAGGTGGGCGCGTCGCGTCGCGTCCTTGGGCGCCTGAGGGACGCGTCTGGAAATGAATGGAGACGCGATAACGTGACGTCACCGATATAGTGCAGCGGGCGATCGGGCCTTATCACGTCCATCCGTTCCCGTTCGCTCTCCCGCTCTCCCACTCTCCCACATCGAACCCTCACCTGAGCGTTGTCCACCTGCTCACCGTGAGTACTTTCGAGCTCGCTATCTCTTCCAGCGACCACCATGTCCAACACCACCCCGCAGCACGATACCCCCATCCTCGGCATGGTCCACCGCCCCAAGGTCCCCGTGGCCACCGAGTACGGCAACGCCGCCTCGTTCTGGGTCGAGTACCCCTCCGGCCTCGTCGACCTCACGCGCACTGCGCACCTGCCGAAGGGCGGCCTCCAGAACGGCGACGTGGTCCACGAGGAGCCCGCGCAGGACGCCCCTGTGCCCCCGCTACACGAGGAGACGCAGCTCGAAATCCCTGTTGATGGAGGCCGCGTTCTGCGCCTCTCCAAGAAGAACACTGCGATTGTGGTCGTCGACATGCAGAAGTGAGTGCACCTCTGCCGTCGTCGCGCGCAGCTGGCTTGCTCACCGGCGCGGTGCCCTCCGCACTCGCGCAGCTTCTTCCTCCATCCGGACCTGCGCGAACACCCGACAGGGCTCAACTGCGTCATCCCGCTCATGAACCTCGTCACCTCCCTCCGCCCACAAGGCGTGAAGACCCTCTGGGTGTAAGCCCCTCGCTCTCGCCTTCGCGCGTGCGCCCGCACCTCAGACTCACGCAAGCCGGCCCTGCACAGCAACTGGGGCCTCACCGATCACGAACTTACGACGATCCCGCCCGCGCTCGTGCGCGGCTTCAGGAAGAACGGCCGCGGCGGGTTCGGCTCGCAGCTTCCAGGCGACTTCGGGCGCCTGCTCATGCGCGGCGAGTTCAACTCGGAGCTGTACGGGCCTCTCCAGACCCTGTACGAGGAGGGCCGGCGGGAGGGCACGGACGTCTGGATCCACAAGAATAGGTGAGCAGCGGCATCACCACGTTCGCAGGTCGCTGCGGCACAGGGGCGCGGCCTGCGAACGTGCGAGCCTATTGGGCGAGGCGAGTTTAATGTCGGCTGGTCGCACAGGATGAGCGGAATCTGGGGCTCACAGACTGCCCTGGATCTCTACCTGCAGGAGCAGGGCATCACGACCCTGCTGTTCGCGGGCGTGAATGCCGATCAGGTCTGTCTAACCTAGTTTTTTTTGCGGTCCGTCAACGGTGTTTGACCGGCATTTGCGCAGTGTGTACTGGGAACGCTCGTTGACGCATATTCCCGAGGATATGACTGCATCGTCATAGACGACTGCATAGCGACAACTTCTCCGGCTGGTGGGCTCGAGAACGTGCTCTATAATGCAGGCGGGGTGCGTCTTCCATCCTTGCACTTTTGGGCCGCACACCATATGCTGATACACTGGGAAGGCCTATGGGTTCGTGACGGATTCGGAGCGCATCACCGACGCGGTTTCATGAGTTGCTCTGCCGCATTTATACCGCCCATGACATTGGGCGGGGTAGGTTTGTTAGTTATTCTTGGATTTAACAGGAAGCAGGATAGGGAAGTCAGGACACACCTAACGGGGAACGCGAGATCGGGTGCAGTGGTTCCGACCGCGAAATTTGTATAGTAATTCTACTCATGCTACCATCCAGTTCATGCTATCACAGGAACCACAGGAAAATGCGTCCAAAATCGCCGTCTCAAGGCCATCCGGTCATAGCGACATTCGGTAATCGCTGTGATCGATATCTCCAATGGTACTATAGCAAATGAGGCAGTACAAGACCTACTGGCCGCCTAATCCTTGGCCTTCCTTGGCTGAATCAACTAATAGCCCATGATGCAGTGCCTCTCTTTGCTTCACCTCGCTCTCACAGGTTCACCGACCGTATGCACAAATACTGCATCCCACGCATCGTGCTTCCGCCATGGTCTTAGAGCCGATCTCACTACACCATAAAAATTGGACCAAACATGGACTGTTGTCCTCCCGATTGGTCCTCCTCACCCGCGACGACATCACAAGTTGTCGCTTGTCTATCCACCCCGACGGACTGTTCCTCTGCAACCCACACCGCAAAGCCTCGCACCGCTTTACTCGCCTGCCACCTCCGCGGGACGCAGCGCGGCTACCCACCGGAGACGCTGCTCAGGCTGCTTCCATACAGCTGGCGGGCTGGACGCGTGAGCTCCTACAGGCACGGGGATACACCATCACGCCCCTCGAAGAGACCCTGGAGGCGGTTCCGGTGGGCGGCGAGAAGGACCGGAAGATGCGTCTCTTTGGCTACAAACTGGTCAACGAGGGCGCGATGCCGACTTTGCTGGTGCAACACAGCCTGCCACACACCGTCAACCTCTTCCAGGTAGCCGTGAAGGTGAGGGTGGGGAAGCTGGACGAGACAGTCACGTCTGTCGCTGCGGCTGCAGCTGCTGAAGACGCGGACGGCGCTCCATCTCCCCCGCGAGTGTCATGGTACAAGTGGGAAAATGTGGTGGAGGGGACGGGGCGCGCGATGGACGTGAACAATCTCGAGTTCGACAGGCGAGAACGCAGGATCGTTTTCCGGACGATGCTGCGGCGTCAGGGGCGCAACGTCTACACGCTAGGGATCGAGTTCTCTGTCATAACACACGAGAGGAGATCTTCTGGGGTCGCTATTAATATTGATGCGGAGTCCGAGATGAGTTGGGCACCTAGCGTTGAAGCGGAATCGTAGAGTTCGCATTTTGGACGGCGGGTCATGTTTTGTTTCTGTTACATACGTCAGACGCGGACGTTCGACGACTTGGAAGCCTGCAACCGGCCATGTGTAATGCCGTGCGGCGACACTTCGTCTATAGCTAGTACCCTTGTGCATACGATCGCGGACAATTCGTCCGTAGGGGTTCTTTTACAATGCCATATTTGACAAAGCAAGTGCATTTTGATCTCACCGCTATCTACCGTGTAGTATACAATATAGTGCTATCCAACTCGCTTGCAATATAGACGTGGGCGCATCGTAGTTAGAAGTCGTGATATCATGGAAGGAGAAGACGGGGGTTTTGGCGGCGCGATCTCTAGGCGTATGTGTAACACAGGTCATATTGGGGATGTGGACCGAGGTGACGCATGTATGCGTATTAATGATACAGGACGTGGTACGGGAAGGGGAAGCACGTCAGGGAGTAAGAGTGTAGCTCGGAAGTCAAGTGACATCAGGCGGCACGGACACAGCGGATCCGCCCTTAGGCCTTCCACTCAACACTAGGCCGGCGCTGAAACCAAATTAAGCTGGTCAGCGATCTACACCCACTCTCAGAGCGATCAATACACACCTGAGATCCGCTTCTGCGCGTGTAGAATGTATCCTTTCGGGGGCTGAGGGGTAGTCCCCAGCCCTGGCCCGGTACGATCCCCGGCGGGCCCGCCTGCGCCAGCTGCCGCTCATACGCGTCCGAGAACGGGTTCGCGTGCGAGGATGACGTGCTGGGCGATATTGGGGTCGGTGCATCGTGCCCTGCGTTCGAGCCCGCCGGAGAGAGCGACGAGAGTGAAGTCGGCGGCGTGAGCGGCTCGAATGCCTTCAGTACGATCGTCTCCATCTCGAGCGTCAACGAGTCCCGCGGTGGACGCGGGGGCACCTCTGGCCGTTTGTATGGCGGTGGGGAGAGCGGTTGCGTGGGCGTCGTGAGGCTGGTCCGGAGTGGGCTCCTCGGTGGAATGATGGGCGGCCTCGTGGTGATTTGCTGGGGCGGGCGCGGCGTCGGGGAGATGACTGGCGCGTGCTCGAGCTCGAGCTCGAGCTCAGGCTCGGGACTGGGTACGGGCTTGCGTGTGACGGAGTGTATGCTGTGGGAGCTGCCGGACCGGTTGAGTGGAACGTCGACGAGTTCGCCTATGTCCTCGTTGTGAATCGACGGCAGCGTGGGAGGGTATACGGACGGTGAGGAGCGTGCCGAGGCGGAGGTCTGCTCGCGGCGCGAGCGCACGTTGTTGTCGACGCGCTGGTCGGATGTGATCGCAAGTCCGACGCCGCTCACGCCGCTCTGCCCGCTCTGGTGGCGCGAACGCGCTGCCTCTGCCGAGCCCATGCTCGCGGAACGGCCGTGTGCGCCGACGCCTGCGAGGCCCAATCCCATGAGGCGGGAGGCGCTGCCAGACGACTGGCCTGAGGGGCTGCGCTGGTGCTGGCGCGACTCGAAAGGGCTGCGTGGAGACCGCGGGGAGGCGCTCGAACGGCTGGGGGGTGCGCCGATGACGATAGTGCTGTCCGAGAAGCTCGAGCGGTAGCGCATTTCAGGCGGGGAGATGGGACGCGGATCCTCGAACGGGTTGTCGGGTATGGGTAGCGGACGCGAAATCGTGTCGATGAAGCGCGGGCGGCGGCGACGGCGCATGAAGAGGCAGATGCCCACGACGAAGGACGCGACGACAACACCCACGACGAGGAATACCCCGGCGACGACGCCGCTATTGGCAAAGAAGCTAGTGCAAGGATCTTGGTCTGAGTATTGGTACAGACTGGCTGTATAAAATGCGTCTTACCCCTTCTGGTTCTCGACTTGCACGCCGTAAATGCCCGTCGGGTTCGCGATGACGTGCGTGATGCTGGTAAATTGGCCATCGGGCAGCTCCGAGACCGTGACGCTAGTGAACACCGGGGGGACCGACAAGGTCGTATGGTTGTTCTTGTCCGTCACCGTCATGAAGAACGGCGTACTCAGCGTCGTCTCCGGCTGGTCCGTGATTGTGCTCGTCGTCGTCGCGGAAGCCTGGTCGGTCTGTGCATTCGCCTGTACCATGCCAGAGGCGTGCTCAGAATCATTCACACTCGAAACAAAGACAGTAGGAGAAGGGACAGGGGCAGCAGGTGCGGGTGTAGGGGACGCGTCTACCTCGGGCTTTGGGCTGGGGGATGCAGCCGCAGATGTCGCCAGCGGCGCGCGCGAGACGTCCTTGACCTGAGCGGGCGGAGTCAGCACGCGCCCTGACTCGGTAGAAGGAACGACGGTCGCTGTCGCCGCGGGTGCACTGCTGCCCTGGGCGGGAGACGCGGCTGCAGAAGAATGAACGACAGGATCGGCCTCGGTGATGGGCAGGGGTATCTCAGGGACGGATTGGGTATGGCCGTGGGAAGCAGGGGCAGGAGAAGAGGGCGAACTAACCGCATGGACCGATGTCGGGTTTGAGTTTGCGGTGCTCGCGCTGGCCTGAGTCGCGGAGCTTGCCGGGGCCGGTGCTGGTGCGGGCGCAGGAGCAGGCGCGGCACTCTCGGTATCAGCAGGATGCGAAGCAGAGACAGAGACAGAAGCAGAAGCAGAGCGAGCAGGCGGCTGAGTGGGCGCTACTGAGGTACCAGCATCCGGCGAAGAGGCGGGAGTAGAAGCAGCTTGCGATACCGACAACTTCGCCGACGTCGGAGGAGGCGGAGCCGGGTCGTTGCCTGCAGGGGTCTCCGAAGCTGGCGCGGACGACGCCTGGGAAGCTGAGGCCGATCCCGTCGCGGATGCGCTGATCGGTGCAGTATCGCTGCTGGGTGCGGCGTCCGTGGGTGATTGTTGGGAAGCCATGACTGAAGACCTGTTGACAGTTCATTCCTGATTAATGTGGAACTAGTAATCAGGTTGATGAGGTGCTTACCCAGATGCGACAGCTGGTGATATGCGCGCAGCAACTGGCTGAGTGACAGAGCTCCGTGCAGCAGACGAATGTGCACTGGCTGCCGACGAAACGACCTTGTCAGGAAGGGTGCTCGACACGGACGGAGAGGCGTGAACTGAAATGACGGAGGATGGGAAGGCCGAAGCAGACGACGCAACCGAGGGTACAGAGGTGACCCTGTTGTCCGCGACTGTCGAGGACACAGGTGCAGGAAGTGGGGGGAGAGCCGCAGGCCGCGACACCACCGGCGCGGAGGTGATAACAGAAGAGAACGCGCTCGAAGAGATAGCGGAGGATGCGGGGATTACACTGCTCGACGCGGCTACCGGCGACAATGACGGGGTCAAACTGTCCACGGATGACAGTTCAAGCGGCGCAGAGGACACGCTAGCGGCGCCCGTTGAAGACCGAACTGCCGAGCTCTCTGGGCGTGCGCTGAAAGCCGAGCTGCCAGAGGCGACGCTCGAGCTAGCGGCGGCGGCGACCGACGACACAGAGGAGGCAACGACGGAAGAGGGGGGAAAGACAGAAGAACTGGCCGCGCCGGGCAGAGAGACACTCGACGTAAATACCCCCGCTGAGGAGCCGGTGACATTGAACGAAGACATGGCTAGGACCGGTCCTACAGAGGGGAAGGAGCGAGGGTCAGGGACGTTATGACGGACGGGGAATCGCGGTGCCAGCGCGCTAGGACCGACGCTTCGGACGGCCGTTAGGAGGAGCTCGAAGCAACAGTTGGCCGCTACGACCACTGTAACTGCGAGGCCCCCGAGCAAACGCCATCATCATGACGCGAAATGAAGGGCGAGATATGTCCAGAGCCAGAGCACATTGCATGGATCGACGATTGGTCGGACGAGACACGTACCTATAGCAAGCGTGTTTGAAGCCGTGGACGACCTGTGTACCGCGTCCCACGGAGATTGGTGCCTGAGGGCGGCCGCTTCAAGGGCAGCAATCCGGCCTGGCAAGGGGGCAGAGAGCACAGCTGTCCTGTAGACGGAACATGAGTGTTTATAAGACCGTTCCCCCGCCTGTGGCGGGGGTACGTGGGACCGGCAAAATCTCGAGTGTAGTGCGGGTGGGCATGTCGTGGCGTCCCGACACCCGGGTCTTCTCACCTTGTCAACTGACTGAATCACGACATGGCGGGGTGCGGCCTATCACGCTTCCACGTACTGGATCGCCATGAGTATCTTCCCAGATGGGCGCAGCTGTGCGTCCGGCCTACCCAAACCTGGACGGCGACACCCTTATCCGTGCGCGATGCGGGGGAGACGCCCATTATGCCTGGCATGTGCTTCAAACCTTGTACCCCCTTCCGAGTGCTGTGAGTATCCCGGTTACGACCACGAGAGGGATGTGCACTTACGTTGGCACACTGGCGACGTTCCATATGGTATCTGCGGGCTGTCAGGCGGGGCCGCTCCTCGTGAGTAGGGTTAAAAAGAGAGTGCAGCATGTGGGTGCATTCGCCAGCCGCCTTCCTCAGCTACGCGCCCAGAGTCACACGGTCCCCTCCCGAGTCCCCGTCGTCATCCCCATCAGATACTCATCCAAGTCCGCCGGTGTCGATGTGGTAAAAGTACAATGATCCGATACATCGACCGCCTAAGCATTAAACAAGATTACTACATAATATCCAGGTGTCCCATGGAATGCCGGTCCAAGTGAGGCGGGTCCTGCGATGCGGAGCCGGTAGTGTGGTGAGGCTCTCAAGCGGAGTGAGAGCGTCTCGTAGAGAGGTATAGAGGCTGGGAAGGGGTATGCTGCGACGAAGACGATCATCGGTGGAGGTGGGAAGGCGGTCCAGAATGGGCAAGGTGTTCGGATGTCCGACATCATCCTCTAACCAGCCGTCAACGCCTGTCAGCGAGCATGAGAGGGCCGGCTTAGCGAAGAGGCGGACGGGACTCACACGCAGAATATCTATAGTCGGGTAGTCCGTCTGCGCAGCATCTAGCAGCACCGCATGCCTGTACCAGGGAGCTTTAGCTTGACCGAACTCCTGCGTCGGCCACCGCTGAGGCTCCCGAAGCTGAGTCGGCTTGAGCTGTTCACGCGCCGCAACGCACGGTCCCCATAGCTGACGCCGCTGCCCGCTTTCTCGGGGTCAAGCGTGCCGGACTCGATCGCGAGCAATATTGACCGTGCGCAGAGCAAGAACGGCGCCTCTACGTTGTCGCCGCTGAGCGAGGACGCCTCCAGAAAATGGCAATCTTCTCATCGCGGTAAGTATCGTCATATCATGCGACGCGATGCAGAGAACTGACCGTGCTCTGCCGCCCATCGACTCGCTTCCGCCCACTCCACCTCCCTGTCTTCTTCCCTATCCGACTTATTGCCGACGAGCACCGTGACCAGATGTGGGCTTGCCAACGCTCGCGCATCTTCCAGCCACCGAGCAAGGTTCGAAAACGAGGCGCGACTGGGGTATGCCGTCAGCCGTTGTGGGCCCCGGTAAGCACGGCGGCGACGCACCTCGTGATATCATACACCAGAATAGCTCCTGCAGCTCCCCGGTAGTAACTTCGCGTGACGGACCTGGCGGAGGATTAGCACAGACGTCGCGAAGACGCAAGTGGAGCTGTGCTCACCGAAATCGCTCCTGGCCTGCCGTATCCCATAACTGCGCGCCTGCAATCAGCGCGAGCACGGCGACACCGCGGCGACACAACGGAGCTCACCTGCAGCTTAATACGCTTCTCCCCAAGCTTGACGGTCCGGCTGGAGAACTCCACACCAATCGTGTGTTGCGAGTGGTCCTTGACTACGGAGGGAGGATATGATAACCGCAACCGGAGACCAGCAGCGGTAGTGCTCACATGAATTATGCGTAAACTGATGCAGCAAACACGTCTTCCCCGTCCCAGCTTCGCCTATGCGCATTCCGAATAAGTCCGCTTGTACGGCGGCACGCGAGGGGAGTACACACCGATAATGATGTACTTCATGAGAAAGTCTATGTCCGGATTGTTCAACATGCACGTCGTCCAGTGATATTACAGCACTCACCGTATGTTTCTAGGAGTTCGGTCGCATCTGCGTCATAGTCTGAGACCGCCATTGCGGCGAGGAAGTCGTGGTAGGAGTGAAGAGCGCGAGACCGGACTGGACGGCGCAGCGGGCGAGGACGACGACTGTGGCTGAGGCAGTCTCCGAGCCTCGACCACGTGGCCAACGGGCGCCTATGGCCACAACAAATCTGGAGGACTGCGTTCATGTCCATGGTGGCGCCCGGTTACGATGCAGCAAAGAGGGAGACAGAGTCCAACAGTTCAATCGAGCAATTATTCCTACACCACGGCATGTAATTGTACAAAAAATCTCCCATGCTTCCTACCAAGACTCGACCTCCCCTCGCTCACCACCCCTTCCACGGCACCCAGACGTCGACGACCACATTGGCGTCACTGACGTCGGAGTCCACGACATAGTACCAGGGGTATCCAGCCAGGGTCAAGCACGCGTGCTGCCCAACGATTTGCACCATGTCTCCCAGCTTCAGGCTCCCGTCGCCCTGCAGCGGCCCGAGCTCGAACGACGCGGGCGACATCATCGTCAGGATCCCGTGCTCCTGTGCCGCGCGGCTCAGCCGCCAGGGCTTGCCAATCACGTCGCCGTATCCTGGTCGCGGCCCTGTGTCCTTGCTCATCGCGAGGGCACCCGCGTCGCACATCGCCTCGTCAGACCCGTCCTCGCCACGGCCGGGGTAGAACGAGATCACGGTGGCGAGCACCCGCTGGGCGATATCGCGGTGTGTGATCAGACTCGTGTTCAGTTGTTGGAGGTCCAGCAGGGGGTAGTTGCCTTATAGATATAAAGCGAATCAGCTTGGGCGGCGAATCAACAACACGCGAAACATTCGAACCTGCGTGGAGTTCCAGAACTCCGTTCAGACCGGACTCCACTCTGATCTTGAGTTCTTCGGTAGCTGCGTGTGCAGTGGGCGTGGCACCCACGGAGAGCACGAAGGCTTCTCTAGGATGGTGCATCCCAGGTGTGTTCGCGATGATCGACAGCGCAAGGGTTGCCGCGTCGTTCACCGCGTTAACCTCGGCCAGGAGGAAGTCTGCAGCCTCCGCAAACGAGGTCGACGCATACGAGTGGCCTGCGTGGGTATAAAAGCCGTAGAGGGAGATGGAGGAAGAGGCGAGAACAGCACGGAGGAGGTAATCAAATGCAGGAGAGTCAGGCTTAAGCCCTGCTCGCCTGCTGCGGTTTTGATCAGTGTATACTTGCAGGAGCGACCAAGCCATACGTACTGGGAGCCACAGTCAACCTTGATGAACACCGACCACCGTCTGTGATTTGCCTTCGTGGACTCCCAGGCCTCGATGACCTTCACTTGATCTGGGTGATCTATGAGGATCCGCATGGACGCGCCGACCGCCGCGAGCTCGTCCGTGAGCGCAGAGAGATCTGCGATCTTGTTCGGCGCCATAGGGAGGCCATATAGGACCTGTGAGGGGTTCGCGAAAGCTCGTTAGAGACATTAGATAACGGCACGGGGGCTGAACGACGCACGTCCTTCACGGTGCCGTCGGCCATCAGGCCTGCACGGAAGACCTCGCACACTTCCATGACGGTCGATACGACGATCGAGTGCGTCTCGTCGGCATTTGAGAGGAGTTGCAGCCGTGTGCCTTCTGGTGTCTGTTCGCTTGTGAGTTACGCGCGCCCTGACGCGTCCTGGAATTCCAATGCGTACCTTGTGGGACTTGACATGTGCACGAAACCGCGCACCCAGCGCTTTGGCGTGCTCGTGCATCTTCGCGCAGTTGCGCGCAAAGACCGCGCGGTCGATGATGAGTGCGGGCGTCCTGAGCGCATCGAGGTTCTTGCCCTTGTACTCATCGACGAGATCCTGCTTCTCGGGTTTGCCACTGATATGGTAGGGTGTGCGCGACTGCTTTGGAATGAGCGGGTTCGTCTGGGGGTGTTCTTCCGCACTCATTGTGGGCGAAGATGGTGGAAGAGATGTGTAATGGTCGAGGAGTTCACAGAAGAGTTGAAGAGGAGCAGACGGGCCCCGGAGCAGCAGCGGCCCACGCGAACGCCACAACAGGATATGCATCCCGTTATGAAGTTATCAAATCCGATTGATCTTGATCGAAGCGCCCGCGGAGAGTGCCTGGGGTGAACGGTTTCGCGCCCGCGCACTGCTGCATCGCGGATCCAGACATCCCGCATTCCACCCCGCGCGCACCAGAACATGGTCATGTTCTCCGGTCATGCACCGTAAGCTTCCCCGCGGCACACGAGCCGGCACTCGTGCTTATCGTAACCTTGCCCCATGAGCACTATATAGATCTCCTGCACGCAGCCTCGAGGCCCTCCACCAATGGCCCAACCCACGATCCACCAGCCCATCCACCCAGATATCGCAGACAGGCTCCTCGGCGAGTATGCTGCGTTCCACAACGCGCACATAGCGCAGACGGTCCCTGTACACGAGATTAAACCATGGAGCCCTGCCCTCCGCAATGCCCCCGCTGTCATGGGCGGATCCGAGCCCTTGAAGGTCGGCGCCGTCAAGGATTATCCGCTCAGCAAGTGCTCCGTGCGTGTGTTCACACCAGAGGGCGAACCACCGGCGGACGGTTGGCCGGTCTTCATCTTCTACCACGGCGGTAGGTGTCTTCCCCGCGTGATTGAGCTTCGATAATCTTAGTTTGCCCCCGATAGGCGGATGGACCCTCGGTACTATTAACGCAGAGAACTCGTTCTCCACCAATATGTGCAAGCGTGAGATGGTATTACGCACATTGTACGTGTCCGTGGATTGACTAGCTTGCTTCGCGTGTAGGTGCGCAGTGTGTAGTCGTGTCCGTCGATTATCGCCTCGGCCCAGAGGAGCCGTACCCAGCAGCGGTAGAGGACTCAGTAGAGGCCCTTCACTGGGTACATACCAAGGGCAAGGCGGAACTCGACATAAACCCTGCGCGTATCGCAGTGGGTGGGTCGTCCAGGTCAGTCGAGCGAGAGATGCAAGATGAACCACGACTCACTTATCACCAGCGGCGGCAACCTGGCCGCAGTTGTGGCACACAAGGCTGCCCTAGCAGAGGCACCCATCCCGCTAGTCTTCCAGCTTCTAGTAGTCCCAGTGGTTGATAACACAGCTTCCACCACCGACACCCGCTACCCGTCGTGGCAGGAGAACATCAACACGATCGCGCTCGTCCCTGCGAGAATGTTATGGTTCCGCGACAACTACCTGCCGCACAAGGAGGACTGGACCAAGTGGGACAACTCGCCCATCTTCGCGCCGGAGGAGTCGTTCAAGAAGGCACCGCCGGCCTGGATCGGGGTCGCCGAGCTCGATATCTTGCGAGATGAAGGCATCGCTTACGGCGACAAGCTCAAAAACGCAGGTGTCCCGGTCGAGGTGAAGGTGTACAAGGGCGCCCCTCACCCGATCATGGCTATGGACGGTAAGTGGAAGCTTGTCTGTGCTGCAATGTCCCACTGAGTCGATCGATGCCGGTCTTCCTAACGCTCAACAGGGTAAGTTTATGGCATTCTTTTGTATGACTGGCCTTGACAAGGTTGCTGGCAGTGCTCTGGAGATCGGGAAGCAACTGGTCTCTGATGCTGCCGCTGCACTAGCCAAGGCCTTTGGTACTGCATGACCTAACATCGACAACCCCTCTGGGACGCGCCGGACTCCGCTGAAGACGAAGGACGATCTGTAATTGTAAAGGTGACAAGACTAGTCCGTTAGTATGAGGCAATGTAACGTCGAGGAAGTCCACCCGTATGACTGATTGTACCAATATAGGGATTTTGGTAGCCTGATTGGCCATTGAAACCACTGTCAAAATGCATAGGCCTGCGGCGGAGATGATCCGTAGCAGGCGTAGTGGCAGGCATCATATTCCTGCTCAAACACTCAGGTCTCATATGGCGCATTGAGACCGATGAAATTACCTGTTCCCCGTGTTTGAGTTGCTGGCAAAGCAGCATGGGAATGGCGATAGCATGCCAACGTCGAAAAGACTAGTCGCAATCTGCGCATGTCAAATGAATGTCAGAACGGCGCATCGTCGTACTCACTAGGGCCTTTGACGGCCCGGAAGATGGGAAGGGCATATCTATTGCAGAAGAACATATTGAGAGACGAAAAAGATACGACGCTCGAAACGTCAGCAATAAACCTGCCTATACTGTTGGTACGCGACGACCTGGGGAAGACCATATTCGAATCTGCGTAGCATAACGTAGCTTTGAGAACCAGCACCGCAAGAAATGTCGACAATAGAAAATACAACGTCTTTTGCCTGGAGGGACCGAGGTCAGCTCGGAGGCAACCTCGTGGCGTTTACCGATGCGCCTGCATGATCGCGTCCGAGATGAACGCAGCAGAGATCTGTCGTCCGCCGAACCAGCGACCGTTCAAGCCTTCGATGGCTTGACCGGCAGCGTCCACGGTTTCGAAGAGGACGTAGATCTCGCCCTATACAATGGTGAGCAAATGGTATCGGCAAACGAAGACGCCACATACCTGAGTTTCCTTCTCGACCTTGATCGCCTGCACCGGACCATACTTAGTGGCACATTCACTCTTAACATCATCAGCAAGGTCCTTATCCCAGTCTCTTTCGGTTTCCCTATTTGAAATATAAGCTCAATGAACTAGGAGGATGTTACATGAACTTACTCTTCGGGGTTGAACATATTCTTGAGGAGCACGGATCGCGACTGCATAGTCTGAGGGATGTGAGGCCGCGCACTAGAGCCACATGTGTCAGCCATGACTATCGATCCACGCAACGGCATAACCTACACTGGCTCAAGCTTCACAGGAGCGGAATCAGTCCTGGCAAGTTTCTGCATCAGCGCTTGACGTGAAGCCGCATTCAGGTTACCGCCTGAGGGTGGCAAAACTTTGTCAGAACATGCACTTGAAACCAGATGTCGGGACCTTACCGCCCGCTTCATCAAGAGTGTCCTGTTGAGTATAACGAGTGGAACCCTTCTCATGAACTGTGTTGACCCGAAGCTAACGAGCAGTGTCAGTAGGAACTCCCATCGAACGAAGTGTAACCTACGGTCCGTCCCGCTAACTCGAAGCCCTCCATTTGTTCAAGAGCCATCTTAGCGTCTTCCGCGCGCTTGTACCTGCGCGACGTCAATGAAAACCTCACGGCGTTTCGTTTGGACGATGTACTCACTGGACAAACGCGTAGCCCTTGCTACGTCCAGTCATGGGGTCCCGATGGAGATCAACGAACTCGAGCTCCCCGAAGGGCTCAAAGACCTGCTTGATGTCTGATTCCGTAAGATTGAAGTGCAGTGACCCAACATAGAGCCTGGATATATGTCAGCATGACGATTTCTTTCCGGGATAATGTAACAAAACTCACTGCATTCCGCCGTGAGGGGCGCTCACGCCAGGGGGCAAATTCAGGTTCCTGCGCCATAGTCAGAGCCGGCAATACTATTCACATAGCAGGGGCTTACCCGTCTCCAGGGTGGAGCCTGTTTCTCTCCGCCTCTGTGTGTTGTATTTGAATGGGAAGACCCATCACCACGGTGCCGCTGAGTCCGATGGCCCTGTCAACAAGTTCAACAGTACGGAACTCGACATAGCCGATACTGCAAAAACAACATTAGTTCGCACCGTGGACGATCAAGTTGTGCACTGACCCCTTAGAGCGTCTGGAGATCCTGTCGGTGACAATGCGCGAGTCCATTACGGAGCCCTCGCCGAGTTTGTCCTCGAAGAAGTAGCCCAGGTCACGAGCCGTGAGTCGTGCCGCGAGTTGGGAAACAAAGACAGACCGAGCTTCCGAGTCGTCTGGACTGGGTTCGTCGTTCATAGGATCATCTTGAGGAAGTTCGTATGAAGGTGAGGGGCGTCTATATGCGTGGTCAGTCTCGGTCGTAGAGCCAGCTACTTGATAAGACTTACTTTTTCAGAGGCGCAGGAGGTGGGGGTGGCGTCAACGGACGACTGCGCTCCCGGTCCCGACGTGGGCGGGGAGGTTGGTCGATATCATCGCGAGGGTCGCGCGAACGCCTCGGCGGCCGATCGCCGTATCGACGGTCGGGCTCACGAGAACGAGTTCTGTGGCGACGTGGGCTATCAGCTAGAGGCGGCGGGGGTGCAGGGAGGCCGGCAGAGGCTGGTGGGGCAGGAAGAGAGGACTCTTCGGCACCTTCGTTAGACCGCTTTCTCTTGACTCGGTCGTCGGTCTCCCGGGGGTCATCTACTTCGTCTCCACGCTTCCTTCGCCGGTCGCGGTAGTCCCTGTCGTCACGGTCGCGCTCCCTGTCCCGCTCGCGGTCGCGATGGCTATGGCGACTCTCCGCCCTGTCTCTTCCGGTGCGCCGACTGTCGCCTTCGCGTTCCCTTCGCCGGTCTCGTTCCCTGTCACGATCATCCCTCGGTCTGTGGGACCGTTCGCGGGACCTGTCTCTTCTGTCGCGACTGCTCCTACGCTTTTCGTCAGGCACGTCGTCGCGCTCCCTATGGCGCCGCTCCCTTTCTCTTTCCCTCTCGCGCTCCCGAGAGCGTGAGCGATGAGACCGCTTCGTGCGATGCGTCTCGGTTGATTGGCCACGGGACCTGTGAAGCTGCAGTCCAGTCAAGCTCTCCAGGAACGATGAAAATACTCACGATTTCGAACGTCTGTCAGGCGACTTTTCCCTATCAACTTCCATTTTCTCGACCTTTCCGTTCGGAGAAGACATTGCGATTGTGCACGAGAAGAAAGAGCTTAGGCAACGAAGTTATGTGCTGCGACAGCGGTCAAGGTGGGTGCTACGGCTAAGCTCGAAACTCGGCGCTCGGTAGAGTGCTGTTTAGTCACATTGTGTCACATGTCATCCGTAACGGTCACGCTAACGCCCAGGAGTTCCAGCCCAGCTGGGGGCCACCACTGGCTTACAAGGCCCTCCACCAAGTCGGCCGCGCTCGCGAGTCGAAAACGATCGTCTGAGCAGTGAGGAGCGAGGAAAACAATTCGGTTACATTTACAGAGGGTATTTGATGTCTACTACACGATGCGTCTATGCCACACTTGTCTCTAAAGAAGTCCCGCGAGACGCGCCCGCACCCTCTTCTCAGCCTGACCGAGCTCGGAAGCCTCCGACTTCGTGTACAAGACGTTGAGAGGGTTCGCGTCGCCCTCCTTCTCCAAGTCGTCCTCAATCTTGCTGAACTCTTGGCAGAACTTGCCGTTCAGTACCTGGTTGTTCAGAATGTGCTTGAAGTGCTCCCTGGCAGCAGCACCGTCCAGAGCCAGAGCTCCGCTCAGCTGGCCATACTGGGAGACCGTAGAGTGGTGCTTGAGCTGTAACGCAACCGTCATCAGAATTTGTGCAGGGTATCAACATCAGAGCCGCTCTAACCTGCTGGATGAACCCTTCTTCTGCAGCGCGCTCGAAGATCTCGGCCGGCTCCTTGGACATCCACCTGCGCCACCGTCAGTCAACTTTGAGCCACCGAAAGAAGTTGAATCGACGCACATCTCGTAGCACAGAGCCTCATCTGAGCACCCGGCCTCCTTGAGCACACTGAACGCCTCCCTGTAATGACACAATGAATGTCTGTGTTTAGCTGTATAGCGCATATGAGGACTGACCTGAAAAGCATGATGATGTTCGGCCAGAGCGCCTGCTCCGCGAACAGGTCCATAGCGGTCTCCTCACGGGCCGAGGAAGCGATAGCGCCAGCCTTCGTCGCACCAATTGCACGAGACAGAGCGAGGGCGCTCTCGAGAGCCTTGCCGGTACCATCCTGCTCAACAGAGACGAAGCATGGGAAGCCCTTGCCCTTCTCGAAGAGACTGCGCACGGACGAGCCGATCATCCTGCAAAAAATTATGAGCACCCGCGCGTCGATACACCTACCGACGACATACCGAGGAGCCACCATGACGACATCCTGGGAAGGCTTGAACTGCAGCAGCTTGTAGAATACGTTGTAGCCGCTGGCGACGACAATGACGGCGTTGTCCTTCAGATTGGGCGCCACCTCGTTATTGAAGACACGCGGCTGGACCTGATCGGGGATGAGCAGGAAGACGACTGAAACGCAAGTATTACATGGACGTCAGCACCTCCCGCGGTTGCGTGGGTTATGAACGTACCATCTGCGGTCTTCGCTGCGTTCGCGAAGTCATGGTCGACGTTGAAGCCCCGGGACTTGGCATCCTCAGCATAGTGGTCGGGACGGTTCGCGACAATGATCTTCTCATTTGGAATGCCCGAATCGCGCAGGTTCTGCGCCTGAGCGGCACCCTGGTTTCCGAACCTGGTACGCGAACTGCATAAGCTTAAGCCCTCAGATTCCATGAACGGGGCCGCTTACCCCAGGAACAGGATAACCTTGTCCTTGAGGACATCGAGATTGGCGTCAGCGTCGTAGTAGCTAGTATATCCATCGTCAGCCACGCGTACACAAGCCATTAGACGAAGACCTCACATCTTGGCGGAGGGCATCGTGTCGAGAGAGTCGGATGTGGATGATTACGTTCTGCCGCCCCGAACTCACCGCCTTATATAGGAGCAGCGTCGCGCTTCTACATTCTGGCCCGGCCGACAAGGAGCCCTTCGGACGTTCCATCGAGGCCGTATTGGCGCAAGAAACAGGCGTATGACTTGAGGGTATCAGAGTATCCGCCCGTCGGGACACCACCACATGTCCCTGTGACACCGACCCGGCGGCTGGCGCGGACCAGCGCGGACCGCAAGGGAGCACCTGCAGGCTGCGTGTGTCCTGGCGCACCCATCGGCGGTCTTGATCAACGATGATGCGGATGAGGGTACAAAAGGAGTGCTCACGCTCTCAGGAGAATCAACGTCTCTTGCTCTCGCGAATCCGACGGAAGGATGTCGCTGCTGCCCAACAAGATCATCGTCATCACGGGCGCTTCGCGCGGTATCGGGCGTGCGTGCGCCCTGGAATGCGCAAAGCATGGCGCGACGGGACTCGTCCTGCACTACCTCGGAGATGAGGTGACAGAGAAGGAGGTTCAGTCGTTGAAGGAGCAAATCGAATCAACATATCCCAACGCGAAGGCGGTAGCCGTTCCTGGAGATATCGCCCAGCGCGAGACTTCTCTGAAGGTACGCAGTGACCTCTTTGCGTGTCGCAATTATATTGAGCGATGCATTCGTAGATCGTCGACGAAGGAGTTAAGGCATTTGGTCGTTTAGGTAGAGTTCACCAGTTGCGGTCGGGTTTTCTGAGCCTAAACGTCCGATATCGATAGATGTGCTTGTCAGCAACGCAGGCATCTGCCCATTCGCGGATTTCCTGACCATGCCACCTGAAACTTGGGAGCGGACACGCCAAGTTAACTTGGACGGTTCATTCTACATCACCCAAGGTGAGCAAGCTCTCACATCTTCGCTACATAAGGGACCCACCTCTGGCTTTTCCGAACAGCGGTTGCAAATCAAATGAAAAACCAGGTGCCGCAGGGGGGGTCTATCATCGGCATCTCGTCAATATCAGCTCTCGTCGGCGGAGAATACCAATGGTAAGTCCTTTGCGCTGAAGCATTGTACCACTGACACCCTAAGTCCCGTGTAGCCACTATACCCCGACGAAAGCTGGCATCCTATCGCTGATGCAGAGCTGCGCGGTAGCTCTCGGGAAATATCACATTCGGACGAACGCTGTCCTCCCAGGAACCATCGAAACCGACATCAATAAGGACGACCTGTCCGACGCCGCGAAGCGCGAAGGCATGGTCAAGCGGACGGCGTTAGGGCGGCTCGGAGGTGCGTGTCGGCTCTTGTTTACTCTTGCCTATAACCGGTCTAACCCCAAACAGCCCCGGACGACATTGCAGGCCCCGTGGTTTTCCTAGCGAGCGACCTAGCAAAGTACGTGACGGGTGCACAAGTACTCGTAGACGGCGGTTTGTTCGTCAACCTGCAATAGTTCCAGTTGAGTTAAAGTAGGTTCATTCTGATGCGGTTACTATCTGTGAATGTACGATTAGTTAGCTCTCTCGAAGGATCGCGATGGAGATGATATTTTGGACTTACTCGTAAGCCTACATTGCCGCTGGCAAGGCTGTTCCGTTGACCACTGCTGGCTTCGCGTCAATGACGACGGTAATCCAGCGCGTCCACTCTGGGCCTGGGTTCCTCCATGCATGTATGGTTCCGCGCTGAACGACAGTATCTCCGGGGTTATCAATGAGGGTCTCAGAGCCATCTTCCATCACCAGGATAATCTTCCCGCTTACTGTAAGGCAAGATTAACAAAATGCTCGAGTCATCGAGAACGACAGTGCGTACTGAGAATGTTATGATCTAGCGAAGAGGTTCGGTGCTAAAAACAACAACTATCAGCCTCCGCTCGCTAAAATATATAGCTACTCTTACCATAGGGGCCGTCGCACCGGGCGCAAGCTCCGTGTACTGAAGGTTGACGCCAGACTTCATGACAAGACCGAGGTCTGCATCCGGCTTCCGCGTCGCGCCGTCCGTCCTGCATGTCGCATTAAGAATGGGGAACCGACCTAAATGATTGAGAGGCACACTCACTCATCGTTGTTGTCGTCTACCGGTAAAGAGCTAGTTGCCCAGAGGTGCCCAACTCTCGCACCAGGAAAGGCATTGCCAACCTACGAGGTTACGATGACCTCCTGGGCCGTACGTTGGCCCATATGCGGTTACACACCTCGAATGAAGGCATGACGTCGTCGTGCTTCACTGCCGCTACGCCATCGTCTCTGTGACCGGTAACGACGCGCCGTAGGCCGGAACGAGGGGCCGTAGGGATGTCAGAAGCCATGCTCGGGTTTCGTTCAGGTCGCGCTGATCGAGGTTGGAAGATGCCCCACCTCCGATGCGCTTCCTGTCTTGCTTTATCCGATGGCTGGTAGTCCCAGGGAGTAGGTCATATGGTCAGTGGCGGGCCGTTCGCCTCGACAGTGCCGTGGCACACTGCGTCGAAGAACCGTTGATGCGGAATGCCGAGGAGGGTGCGGTAAGGCGTATTCACAAGCTGACTTGCCAAGCGGCCTTCTATGCACGTGAGATATGTACAGCAGTGTATTCCTTCTGCTGGTCATCTGTAAAACCGGTGCGGCACTGAGGATGAGATAGACCAGGTGGCAGTACTTGGGGAACGTCGATCATGGTCGACGGCGGTAGGCATGAGAAGTTAAGCGCGCATCCGCCGCGGTAGCGCTGCGAGAACGGGCGCTCCGAGCGTTTTCTCTTCAGCTCGTTCATCCACACCTATTGCACGCTTCTGCTTTCGTTATGCCTAGAAGGCCTCGCCCTGCTAGCAGGAAGCTCCCTCCAAGTGCGCCGGCCCAAAAGCTGAAGTCGGCCCTTGTATCACCTCGCCCAACCCCAGGGTCTACCAAAACAAGCGGAAGGCGTCTAGAGGAAGGTGCCTACGAATCGGAGAGCTCGGGGTCTCAGTCTGGGCTTGAAGAGGAGGAAAGCTCTGAAAAGGAAGACTCTGGAGGGGAACAAGAAGAATTCGATGCTGATGCCGAACCCGACGTCCCACGCGTGGCCCAATGGGTGGACGAGGAGGACCTAGAGGACATCTCCGACGAAGAGTCCGAGAGTGAGAGCGGCGAAAGCGAAGAGGAGGTTGACGGCGACCGGTTGGTACGTGCCCACTCCGCTGCTCAAACACAATGATCTGAATGATACGCGCAACAGGAGGCAGACCTGAAGGCATTGCCATTTGGAGCCCTACGGAAAGCGCAGAAAGCTCTGTCCAGAGCACAGGCATCCGATGATTCCGACGACCAAGAGTCCGAGGACCAGTCAGGACCAGAAGAGCAGCCCGCTTTTACTCGTGCATCTGGGCTAGACAAGGGCAAGGAGCGCGAAGAACCTCGGCCAAGGAAGGAAGTTGCGAAGAGAAAGCACAAGCACGCGTGAGTAGGTCCTTACCATCGTATGCTAAAGCCGCTGACACCCGCGCAGGCCCGTGGAGATGACCTCGAAACGGCCAGTAGGGCGCGCAAGATTTGTAGCGGAGGAGAAAGTGGTACGTATAGCACTGCTCGTTCCTCGTCATCTGTCACAGGCGCCGACGCTAACTCTACTCATAGGTACCTCGCGACCCACGGTTCCTGCATATAACAGGCGAATTTGACCCCAAGAGGTTCCACTCTCAATACGGCTTCCTGTCAGATATGCACGCACAAGAAATGAAAACGCTGCGAGAGAACCTGAAACGCGCGCGCAAGTTGCTCACCAATTCTCCGCGCGATCTCCGGGAGGAGCGTGAAGCAGAAGTGGAACGGCTGGAACGTGCGGTCAAGCGAGCGGAGAGTGCCGTCAACAGGGATCGGCAAGACAAGGTCCAGTTCGAGGCGCTCGGGAGGGCGAAGAAGGAAGAGCAAGGCAAGCAAAAAGAGGGGAAGAAGGCATGGCACATGAAGGATGGTGAGTACGTTCAAATTCTTTCGGTAGGCTGAATAACCCAGTATCCCTTTCTCAGCGGACAAGAGGGACTTGCTTTTGCGAGCCAAGTACGACGCCCTCGCAGCATCTGGCGGGCGAAAGGCAGTGCGGAAGGCCATAGAAAAGAAACAGAAGAAGGTTGGCCAAAAAGAAAAGAAGAAGATACCTTTTGTCGGGGCGCCTCCGCCACGAATGGCCGGCGGGGCAGGGGAGACTCGCAAGCGTTCTCGACCGAGTGGGGACGGTGGTCCCAGGAAGCGTCCCAGGTCTTCATGATGTATGCTCGGCCCGTTTATGGTGTAGCATTGCATGCTTGGATATATCAGCCGGCGTCTTGTCGTGCACACGTTCGTAGACCGACGTCCGCCTCCATATGTGGGGTGAAGCAGCTGGCAGCCAATGAGAGGGCTATGTATATATGGGCGCCTACTCCGCGTACCGAGAAGCGGCCGTTTTTGCGGGGCTGAACGCGACCACTACCTGCGCATGTTCCATGTAGCTCCCTCGCCGCTTCATATCCTCCTGGCGGCACGGCCTTGATGCTGGCGACACAAGTCTACAGTGACCTGCTAGGTAGACCAACCCACCCCTCGCCATCATGCCCCAGCAAGACGAGCCTGGTTCCTACTTCCAGAATCCCCCGCCTGCGGAAGTCTATGGTTATGTGGAGAACCCGGCGGAGTTGACGGACGGGTCAGACGACGAAGACCAAGAGCAAGACATCTATCGTGGTCGACGGCCATCGCCTCCGAGGTCGCCTTCGCCGTCGTCATCCTCGAAGACATCCTCCTCGTCCTCCTCGAGCTCCAGCGGTTCTGTCTTTGGTGGTCGGCTAGGTGCAATCTCTGCTGGAGTCGAGCATGCGATCTCGCGCTGGGCTAGAGCATGGACATCTACATCCTCTCTGTCTTCCTCGAGCTCGAGCTCGGCGTCGGTCATAACCCTCACCAAGTCTCAGACGGCACGGAGGCGCAAACGTCGACCGCGCAGCCTTGCGACTTTGCATAACGCGCGCTCCGAGCGTGAGGTCGCCGCCCGCATTCGTGCTCGCGAGGACCTTCGGAACATTCCCCGGGGCTTTGTCCTTTACACGCCCCAAGCTGCCGCCTCCGAGCGTGGACGCAAGCGCGACGTCCCTCATGAATCCGTCTTTCGCACGACATCCCTTCCAGATGTCACCAACCGTCTGAGCGCAGTATTGCGGGAGCGTGCAAGAGTACGCCGTACCAGAGCGGAACCTATCACCCCGGCACCCTCGCGCCCTCTCTCACCGCTTCACCATGACTATATGCTCTCGGACGAGTCGAGTGTTGCGCGGTCTTCTTCTCCGCCTGGTTCTGGCGTATCCACGCCCAATCTCCCACGGCGAGGAGCTAAGGGAAAGCAGAGGGCGGGGCTGCCGCAGGACGTACCGAGTTTTCATGGTGTTTCAACGACGAAGAGCCAGCTCCCTGGAAGCTTAACCTCGCGAGTGCCGAAGGCTTGGTGGTTGGATGTATGTTCGCCGACCTGGGAGGATATGTGTGCGATCGGCAAGGTGCGTCGAGCAAGCCTTCACATTAGCTAGATCTGCACGGCTAAGTCTGATCATATTTCAGCTCCTCCATCTGCATCCATTGACACTCGAGGATATCCTCACCCAAGATCCACGAGAGAAGCTGGAGCTATTTCCTAAGTTGGGCTACTATTTCATTTCGTTCCGGGCCATCGAGAGTCAGAAAACGCGGGAACGTGTGCGGAACCTTCTGAGCGTCGACGACGCTGCTCTCCGTCAGACCGACGAGGGCGTAGTCGGCGAGGTCAACGTTTATTTAATCATATTTCGAGAGGGTATATGCTCGGTCAGTCGTGCTGCTTGTTTACCCTGGTTCATCGTAGACTGACGCCCTATCAACAGTTCCATTTTGCGGACATTGAAGAGCACGTAGACAGAGTGCGCACCAGGATAATGCTCATGGGAGAGAGCATCAATACCTCGTCAGGCATGTTCATCTTCTGAAAGACCCACATGCTATATCATTGACGGTTTCATAGACTGGATAGCCCACGGTATTATGGACTCCATCGTCGACTCTTTCTTTCCTTTCCTAGCAGTCATTGAACGGGAGGTCCTGGATATTGAAAACCTCGTGTTCTCTCTCGGCGGTAATTCTGGATTACCTGTCAAGGGCGCAACCACCAAACGACGCTCCCAGTCCTCTGAATCGGACACGGCTCTACTCTCTGAGAAGTCAGCGGCGATCGATGCAGACGAGAAGCAAATGTTCGTCGGTATTGACAAGGAGAAGATGCCCTCAGCTCCGCGGCCGCGATTCTTAGCTCCTACCACTCTCCCTCTGCTTATGCGTCGAGCTAGGCGTGCCATTCGTGATGCTATCGCATCCATTCCTCGGTTTAGATCCATCGACGAACCCTTGCCTGAATATCGACCTACAACCACGATACATCGGATGGCCCGCACGCGGAGGCTTGTCACTTCATTGGCCCGTTTCTTGGCGGTCAAATCAGAAGTTGTGGCCCAAGTTAAGAAGCGGCTCCTGACGCAAGGAGAATGGGGCCTGGGGACCGGGACCGAGCATGATCTTGACGTCTTCGTTTATATGGGAGATGTCCAAGGTTCGCACCATCTTTATGTATCACTGGTGCAATTTCTGACTATCGATTCAGACCATATTATTACCTTGCAACAGGCACTCGCGCACTTTGAGCGCACGCTTAACCAGTCCCACCCGACACATCTCGCCCAGCTCCGGCTCTCGGTCAACAAGGCGAAGTCGGGAACTGACAAGGCCATCGTGAGCCTTACTGTCATCTCCCTCGGAGTGCTTTGTGTCCAGACCCTACTCGGTAAGTTTACGTGTTCTTTAGCGCATCGTCCTCAATCTGATGTTTGCTCTAGCTTTGGCCTCGATGAACGCCAAAATCCCTGCCGACCCCATACCTTCCAACCGCTATGACGCCTTTGCTGCCGTTCTCGCGCTCTCCGTCATCATCATGACTGTCTACGGGTTTGTGGTTCGCCATTGGTGGACACAGGCGAAACGCCGTCGCATAAAGATGTTATAAATTATTCTCGACGGACATTATCCAGAGCCTCTCTGGTACGACCCCTGCGCCTCTTAGTGTACCGTTTACCCATCCTAATGCTTATACCTCTGTCCGTTGCAGCCTGATAGACTTCATTACAACGCTATATTCACGCTCTGTATCCGTAGAACTGGAATGTTTTGAACACGACTCGCTCGCAAGACCATGGACATTGTGTCCGATGGTGTTCTGCTCACCGTGGTCGCGGTCGCGGACCCCGTAGACCAATCGCTGGGCAATGCCCTTGACTCGTCCGTAGCGCGTGGACAATGCAGCGTGGAGCGCATACCAAGCGATCATCCGGTCTCCGCAGCAAGACTTGCGGTGACCCCGGATATATCACGTTTTGTGCTGTGTTGGTGAGCGCGTTGACCGCTCGACGTAATTGAAAATTCCCTCCGCTAACGCACCCGTCGCATAGGTCACTTATGGTATTCCGTGATTGACATCATCCCGGGGCGTACCCAAACGCTTCGCGTGAGATGGATGCATCTTTTGAGTTCCCGTGAGAGCCGAGTCATCCCGCTGATCCTATCTGCTGCCTTCAAGTTATTGGAACCGATACTCCGAGCAGTTCGGCGGACCGGCCAAGGTTGACAGCAGTTCTCAAATCGATAGGCCCCCGTGGAAAAATATACACAGAGGCATTCGCGCCCAGATTCGGCGGCGACACATCGCGTGAGTCGGTTAGTAGGTCGCGAGCACCGCGAAGAGGTACGCGCACCTAGGCGTGTACATCCACGTCCTCCCCGCATCGCCGCCTGAAACTGCTGTCTGTGATTATTTTTAACACGGGCCTATCGATTTGAGAACAGCTGGAACGTCGCCGCTACTGAATATCAATGGGTGGTTGACGCGAGGAAGACGCCTTGCGTCTTTGGTTAGAAAGACTTGAAGGACTCAAAGACTTCCCGAACTCGGACTGCACTACACTCCTCCTTGCGGCTTGCTCGGGCCTCCGCAACGCAGGGCGTCACCCAAAAAAACCGCCGGTCTTCCTAGGCGATAGCCGACAAGACCTATACCGCCCTCGGACTGCCACCATCACGTCGCTCACCATCCCTTCGCTCTATATTCATCTACTCCCCCTTCCCTACGAGAGCACTGCTGTCCGTTCAGTGTCTTCTCCTTCCTGTCATTACTGAACCCAACCATGCCGCCTCCACCAAATTTTCGACACCGGCCCTATCAGCCTGTCGCACCTGGAGACTCCACAACAGACCTTCTCTCTCCATATGGTCATGGTAGTCCCCGAGCAACACCAGCATCGAGCATCAGGTCCTCTGCACGCCCCGCCAGCACTATCTCACCAGTACGTGGACCTTGTTTCCGAATCTTGGTTGTACTAAACGCGTCAACCCCGTATACAGCGCGATGAACAGATCCCAGGCTCTATATCTGACAAGGTGAGGGCAAAATCAGTAACTGCGGTACTCAGCTTACGGTTCTGGGATAGTATATACTGCCCCTCGACCCCGACGCTATGTCCGGCATTATGCTCACCGACGGTCGTGAGCCCGACGACCACTTGCACACCCCTGATCCGGTCAGAGACCGTAAGGTGGACAAAGGTGGCAGTATTTTGACGTGCCGTGGGTTCGTGAACGTAGGCTTCTTGCTTATCCTCGGCCTCGGTATCTTGATGCTCTTGTATGTTGCTTATGGCTTTTGAAGCGCGAGTCTGTCTGTTGACAACTCGACATTGTTCAGCGCCGGATATCCGATCATCACGTACTTCATGAAGCAGGATCCCTCGTTTTCGGGCGGCTTTAACCTGGGCGGGATCAACGCTACCGGGCAGGTGCCGCAGATCGCGGGCAACTGGGGCCTCATTGATGTCGACACACCCCAGGAAGTACGCACGAAGCAGGACCTGCTGACGGGCCAGACGTGGCAGCTAGTCTTCAGCGACGAGTTCAACTTGGACGGCCGGACGTTCTATCCTGGAGACGACCCCTACTGGGAGGCTGTCGACCTGCACTACTGGCAGACGGGAAACTTGGAGTGGTACGACCCCAAGGCCATCGTCACGCGCAACGGCTCTGTGGAGATCACGTTCAGCAAAGAGCCGAACCACGGCCTGGACTACACCGGCGGCATGATGTCGACGTGGAACAAGTTTTGCTTCACTGGTGGACTTGTGGAGGTCAGCGTCTCCCTCCCGGGCTTCAACAACGTACACGGGCTCTGGCCTGCGGTCTGGACGATGGGCAATCTCGGTCGAGCTGGCTATGGCGCATCACTCGAGGGCATGGTATGTGCACGGCTCAGTCAATCGGCGGAGCCGCTGTTCTCATACCCGCACAGTGGCCATACACCTACGACTCCTGCGATGTCGGGACCGTCGCGAACCAGACAATCAATGGTCTTCCTGTCAATGCAACGATCGACGGCGATACTGGCAATGGGGGTATACTATCTTTCCTTCCTGGTCAGAGGCTTTCTCGTTGCACATGCCCGGGGGAGTCCCACCCCGGACCTGTCCACGCGAATGGCGAATACGTCGGTCGCTCCGCGCCCGAGATTGATATATTCGAAGCCCAGGTACCTTGGTAAATAGCTCTCGATCGCTGGTCACGGCTGATGATGGAGCCTGCAGATTTCAGTCCCCGGTCTTGACTCCCTTGGCGATATCGGTGCTGTTTCCCAGTCTGGTCAATGGGGTGTACGTTATAGCACCCCGTCACCGATTCCAGCCACGCTAATCAATGGCTCACAGCCATACAACTATAATTACGACTGGTTTAACACCTCGGACAACCTCATCATATCCGACCCAACCATCAGCGCTTTAAACACCTACAAAGGTGGTGTATTCCAACAGGCTACTTCAGTCGTCACCGCTACCAGTACGTATATATCCGGCCCCTTGGGCCCCCTGATTGGACTCTGATCGCTCCCGCAGACCAGCGTGCGTACGAGTTCGAGGGCGGCGAATTCGCCGTCTATGGCTTCCAGTACCAGCCTGGTTTCGATGGAGGGGTGGGTACTCTCCGGCACGTCTGGCGCCGCATGCAACTCACGCTCTACTCAGTACATCGGATGGATCTCCGACGACAAGCTTGCCTGGGTGCTGCGCCAGGAGGGCATGGCTGCCGACCCTCGAGTGGAGATCGGCCCTCGCCCCATCCCTCAAGAGCCGCTGGTATGCCTCTATGTCGCCACCGCCGTGCACCCCACTGATGGTCCCCTCCACTGTGCAGTACTTGATCGCTAACCTGGGCATGTCCCCGAACTTCGGCGCCATCGACTACGACAAACTCCAGTTCCCGACCACGCTCCGTATTGACTGGGTTCGTGTCTACCAGGACCCGAACAACATCAACATCGGGTGCGACCCCCCGGACTTCCCGACGGCGGAGTACATCAAAGCGTACGTCCGTCCTCCATCTTGAAGTTGGTGATCGCTGACGGGCTTGGGCCGCAGGTATGGGGAGGCGTACACGAACCCGAACTTGACAACCTGGCACGACGACTTCAAGCAGCCGGTGCCCCGGAACAGGCTGATCGACGGGTGCGATTAGTAGGTCATGGTGGGGTTGCTCTTGCTGCGGGCAGCTCGCGCGGCAGACACGTTTGTTCGGAAGTCATATACCAATATACCTTACGTGCCTTTTTGTGCTTGCGTCTAACTCCGCGCGCAGAGCCTGCCGTTCCAGTCTCACGGACATAAAGCATCCAACATGATGACCAGCACTTGCGGGGTGGTCGACGTTAATGTTTCATATGATCTGGATTCTGGGTGATGGCATACAAATACTTCGTCGACTCTAGGCATACCTGCGCATGCGTCCTAAACAAACAACGACAAGTATGTACGTGGAAAACAAAATCCGGCCACTATGCTACATATGTTACAGACAGAAGGAAGGGGGACCGACGGGGTATATCCAGTCATAATAGCCTTAGGCGCGGATATATGCGGTCCTCCCAATACTTAGATACCATGTGGGGGTTCGTCATCGTGCGATCGTACATATCGGAGGGCGGGGCATAGATCGTCAGTGTCGGGTCATGACGAGTCGTGCATGTCCCGCTTCTTGTCGCACAACTGGACGACGCGTCGGGACTCTTCCAGCGCGGCGAGGACTACAGACGATGGTCAGCCGAGGCCTCAAACGAGTCAGCGCAAGGAGGACGCACCCTTTGCGAGGAACTCCTGCTGTTTCTGCTCGATCTGCTCTGTGTTCGCGAGAATCTTGCTCTCCTGCGCGCGCACCAGCGCCTGATCCCGGCGCAGACACTCGCTCTCCATACGGATGCGCTCCTGGGTGTCTTCGACCTTCATGCACAGGTTGCGCATCGTCTCGACCTCGCAGTGGTACGCTATGCGCATCTTCTCGAGCTCCTCGCCTGCGCTTCCATTAGTACTGCTGCGAGCGTCATCAAAACGCGAATACACGCACTGAGCACCTCCGCCTCGTTCGTCGTCTTCACGTACTTCGACATCTGCTCCGTCCAGTCGCGGTCCATCGCCCACGCGACGGACTTCGACTGGCTCGCGATGCTCAGCCGGCTCATACTGTCGCGCTTCTTCAAGCTGCTTCTCCTGCGCACGATCGGTCGGTGATCGAAGAACTGGTCGTCTTCATGTATCGTAGGGAGACCATTAGGGGGTGACGCGATCTTCGGCGGCGTACTGGACGTCGGCGGGGACGTCATGGGAGTTGGACTCGAGGCTATTGGCAGATCCAGCACCTGCGGGGCGGGGGACTCCTTCTCCGACGATAATACGGACGACGCAGATTCCGGCGGGGAGGAGGCGTCGCGCGGACGGTAGGGTATGGGCAGAGGGTCGGGCGAGCGTACATGCATCCGTGCACCATGGTCCGCACGCAGATAATCCGCAGACTTGCGACCCTCTGCTGTGCGCGGGGCTGCAGGGTAGTATCCCGGAGCGCTGGGCGCTGACGCTTGCCGGGCGTGCGTGCGTGAGACGGGGGGAATGCGTGCTGTCCGTATGTCCTGCCGGGGAGGCATCCCGCCCGCGTGCGTGTATGTCACGGTCTGTGCTGGGGGAGCGGGGGCACGCCGCGCCATGCGGTCGGGGGCTGCGCCGCGCGACGGGGCGGGTCTGCTTGACGAGGGTGCGCGACGTACCGGGGCATGTGCTGGCGCGTGCATATGCGCCTGAGCGCTGCTCTGCGCCTGGTGCGCGATGCACTCCTGGCACTCTCGGCAGTATGGCGCGCCGCTCCCCTCGGCAGGGGCCCTCACGGAGTCCGGGTGTTGCATCCTGAACCAACGTTCCATCTCCTTCAGGCGGAAGTCGGGTGGCGCGTGGACGGTTTGAAACATGACGCGTGGGGCGGGCTTGTCTTTGGGAACGGCGGCGCGTCCGAGACGTGTGCATTTGCGAATCATGCGGTCCTTGAGGTGGCGGATCTCGAGGATGCGTTCCCAGTTCGCGGCCCTGTCCTTCGCGAGCTCCGAGGCCTCCACCTTCAGAAGCTGGTGGTAGATAGTCGCAGTGCGCGGCGGGAGAAGGACCTACGGGCCAGTTACACGTTGTTTGAGACCGCATTACTAGCACGATGGAGGGAGAACGCGTACCCGTAGTTCGTTGGGGGTGTCTGTGCATTGTATGTAACGCCAGCTTGTCTTGGCTGCACTGCTGTCCGGGACCTCGAGCTGGCCCCGCACCGGGCTCTGCTGATAGTAGTTGAGTCGCGGATTGGGGGGCTTAGGCGCAGCGGTAGACATGGCTGGCGGGAGAGGCTCGCCGCTCTAGAAGTAAATCGAAAGCGACAGCTGAGGGGGAGCCCAGAGGTGGAAGGAAGCGGGGGCGGACAAAAGGCTGGAGGGAGGAGGGAGGGTGCCTGCGAAAATATAAGCGAGGCACGCCTCTGATCATGGACGGCGAGAGATGCTCGTGCGGCGATCAGCCTATCAACCGCGCCCGCGACGCCTGCCCCGTGTTCTGCCCGCACACCCTGCATTCTGTCATCGCGCGCGATGACTAGCTCAGGCGAGGTCGACGATGAAGGCAGGTGCGGCTCGAAACAACGCACATTCCTGTGGACTGTGGCCAGACTGCGCTCGGCGAGATGGGGGCCCTTTGTACTTGCCTTTCCGTGTACATACTCGCACACTCCCTGCACGCGCGGATCGGCTTCTCCATTCACACATCGATGTCTATCTCGCCCACCCGTCCCGGACGCTGCGAAGGCTACGAAGGCCAGGTGGGAGACACGGCGGTTCGCAAACAAGCACTGGGGCCGGACAGATGCCGCGTGTTTGTACACGACCCTCCCTCGTATTTATCCTGCACCGCCAGCGAGCGACACCGGCCGCGTGGCATGCAACGCGGCTTCAGGTGCGTCTTCGCTCGGACATAGGCCTTCCGCAAGTGCCGTCTGCGCCTGGCCGCGGCGTTGTGGCGAAACTCGTGCCCATGTTTTGAGCGGTTGCGGAAAATGACCATATACGGAAGAGCCTCCGGCTGGGTAGTGGCCGGGATTCCCAGGGCCGGTCGTGGGCTTGCCGCTAGCGCTACCCCGCGCTCGTCCTCTCCAGCTCTCCATCCGCCATCGTCTCCATCCTCTCGACCCCTCCGGGTCGCCTCCCGACTGGCACCTGCTCCTCGTTTCTCCCTCTTCTGTCTTTACTTCAATGTCGTCTGCGTTGGCCCAGTATGAATCCTTTCTCGTCGCCCATGTCTCTACCATATCCAGTCTCGAGTCCTCCCTGAGGTCAATTACGTGGATTCTCCCGGGAAGGTTCAAGGATGCTGAACTCGCGTCGGAAGCTCGTCAGTAGTCCGTTACTGCACTCGCCTGAGCGTCTTGTTGATCCCAGCTGTACATAGTCTCCGCACTTCTCAATGTCATGAGCATGTACCATGATACGCTCCTGGCCAAAGTCGCGCAGACAGATCCCAAGTACAAGCCTTTGATCCCCACCTCTCCCCATACGCGATATACTCGGGCATGGTGTGACAAGGATTCGAGGTACAAATGGGCTGCCCGTGCGCTCGAGCTGCTTCGCTTTACCGAGCTGCTTGTGGAGATGGGCCTGCGCCGCAAGGTTTCGCGAAGCACCCGCTGGCGAGGGATCGTCGTTCTCGAGGCCATAAAGTACGTATCTCAGTCCACGAAAGTATGGCATGACCGGACCATTTTCCAGAGCGCTACTGCGGCTTGTACTGCTCCGTATCACACGACGCCCACTGCTGCTGCCCTCGCTCCCCGAGCGCGAATTTGATCCTGAGAACATCCCGTCGGGATCGGACACGTCCTCGCCCACACTGGCGCCCTCGTCGCCGCCCTCGTCGGTGCTTTCGACCCCAGAGCACCTCAAGAACAACCATATCCCCCTCCCTGTCCACCCGCTGCTCACCCCGCCCCCGCCCACCCAATCTCCTATCCCCGTAGAGGAGTTCCTCCTCCCCAAGGCTCTGACGACTGCGTCTGTGAAAGCTCCGACTTCGCTTGTGAAGCCGCTCGCGAGCCCCAAGGAATGGCTGTCAGAGATCATCTATCACGTCCGACCGCTGGTGTATGGTAGGTCTAATCCGAATCTCCGATACCCTGTGCGGTCTACTTACTCTCCGCTCAGCTATCATGCTATCGTCTGGGCGGAAGGACACGAAGCCGCTCATGACGGCGCTGGCCATGGAGCTTCTCGCGCTCAATCTCCGACGCGTACCCACCCAGTCTGCTGCTCTGGAACGCTCGGAGTACGCACGCAGGGACCGCGATATCATATGGTACCTCTTGAGAGGATCTCTCTGGGAGGGCTGGACCAAGTTCGTGCCCTGTTCTCTTGCTGTGGCCGCGCTTGTTGACCTTCATGATCTCCAGGCCGAAGTTGGAGAGCATCGCGGAGAAGACCGCGCGCGCCCCATTGGTCGGCGTCTTTGGGGCTTTGGTGAAGGACTGGATACCGCTGATCGACGAGTATTATTATTGTGCGTATCCTGCCGCTGGCTTTGGGGTTCGCTTCGAGAACTGCAGCGCTGACTATTCCTTTGGGCAGACACTGCTCCGTAGTTCTAGGGTTTCGCGCGTTCGGATATGCTCATCTTGTCTCGTACAGATATATACGTGTACTACTTCCTCGATCTTGCCTGTCATATTCTGGGGAGATGCGCTTTCTCGCACACAGGAGTGAGCTTGGTCCCGGCTAGACTTGCACAGAAGTCTATCTCACCGCACGCCAGGCGAGTTATGTCTTGTGTGGGGACATAATTCCAACCGCCGCGTTCTGCTCTCAGATCTCGTGTGTGATTCGTGAATGTCATTATGCAGGACATCAGATGTCCTTGGGTATACTAGCACTGCCCTTCATGTCCCTCCGCACCACCCCTCCGTCCACCGCATCCTCCAACAGGATGTACTTCCCGTTCTCCAGCCGTACATCCAGCGCCAGCCCCTGCGACGGCTCGCCCGTGCGCCAGAGCGGGCTCAGCCCGAACCACACCGCGAACTTCGACAGGAACCGCCGCCGGTGGCTCTTGTGCTTGCGCCGCGTCGTGAGCGGGTCCTCGAGGATGCCCTCCCAGCGGTAGGCGGGGCGCGCGCGGATCGAGCCGTCGTCGTGGTCGGTGCCGCCGCCCGTGCCGAGCGTGGACGGGCGCGGGAGCGTCTGCAGGTCGATCTCTTCCATGTCCAGCTCCGACGCGTCGTCGCCGAGGTGGAAGATGATAGCCTAGGAAAGGCTGTTAGCAAGCCATCTCAATTTTTGGACAAGAACGACCAGCGCACGTTATCTGAGCCGTGGAAGACGATGTCGTTCATGCGGAGGTACAGCTTGTTCAAGAAACCAGCATGGAAGAAGTCGCCAAACTTCGGCTTCTTGTGGAGCAGACCACGCTGAGTCAAAAAGCTCTCCAGCGCTGCGCGCGGGAGCGGGGTATATGCGATGGAAGTAGGGTAATGGGGGTTGAAGTCCGCCGCGTGTTTCTCCAGACCACCGATAGCGTCCCAGTTGCGCCGCCACAAGTCATCCTAGACTGCAATCAACTCGCCGCCCATAACAAAACGGACAGCGTGTCCACTTACCCAGAAGATATACCACCAGGTCGCCAGCTCCGAGCTGCCGACGGCGCACAGGCGGTCGTACGTGATCTCAAAAATGTTCACGTTGCTCGCCATGAGCTTGCGCACGCGCGGGTCGCGCTCCCACTCGATCGCGCTCTCCGACAGCCCGCGCGGGTCGCGCGGCTGGTCGTACACCATCGTGAGGAAGCGGTACGAGAGCGTCTCGCGCTTCCACCGGGCCTCCTTCCGGAAGTGGTGGCGGTAGTTGTGCAGCGCCGCTTCGATGTAGGCCAGGCGGGTGGGGATGAGGGGCTCGTTCATGGCGAGGAAGTGCGCGAGGGGCTGGGTGAGCTCGTAGTCGTCCGTGAGACCGATGACCGCCCCGCTGACTTGGACCTTCTTTGCGTAGGTCATCTCGACGTCGAAGCCGCTGCCTAGTTCGAGCCCCTCCCACCGCACCTCGCCGCGCCGCTTCAGGTGGAAGACGCACGACTGGTAATGGATGGAGGTTTGCGCCGCGTAACGCTTGCCACAACAGCAGAAGGTTTCACGGTCTCCGACGTACTGTGGGACAGGTCACACCTTAAGCGACTGTTAATCCCATATTCTGAAGGGCCTCACCTGGATGTGGTCGTACGGCCATCGGACGATCTGCCCGTCCAGAGCCCGTAGAGCCATGCGCAGTTGCCGCTTACGCGCGATGTCCTCGCTTGAGTTCTGGTGAACATAGTGCTCGAGGTCGCGCACTTCACTCAAGACCACCTCGGGACCGTCGTCGTACCGCATGACCTTTACTTGGGGTCAGCCAAGTTCGTCGTAAACGCCGGACTTCACGCACCAACGCAGGCGGGAAGGGAACCCACCACGCGTTCCCAAAGAACCGCGTGCAATTGCGCGGCGCAGTGCCGTGAGGTTTCCAGTACGAGTCCGGTCCGACGAAGTGGAGCTGTATGGTTTCTTCGAGATGTTTGAACCACTCGTAATCCGGACCAGAGACCAGGGCGACTGCTTTAGCGTAGGAGACGGCGCCTACTTCGCGGAGAATCTGCGCATCGTCGGTATTGGCAAGACGATCACACTGGAGGTTGGGGTACAACGAACCTTCAGATTCTCGACGTGCCTCTCGGCAGGGGTGCCGGCGAAATGCAGCAAGTACGGGGGATACTCGCCATCACGGGCCTGCTTATACTCCATCTTCTGCGTCTTTGGCATCCGGCTCTCTTCATCTGTGAGCAGAAGTGTGGATATCGCTTCCTGCCATATGCGACGCTTGGTATGTGGTGATGTCGAAGATATATCGAGGCTGGAGGGTATCATTTAGCGTCGATCGCGCCTACCCTGATTTCGACTCACCGAGGGGAAAATATATCGATGCCTACGTATTCAAATTAGCAGGAGAAACAGTAAGTTGTATGAGCCACCCACTAAAATCGATCCTACGAGCCAGTCCTATAGCACACTATCAGTGCGAGCAGTATGTTATATCTTATAAGACACGTACTCTTGACCAGCCGGCGGACGATACTCATGTTGATGAAAATGAAGTCTAATGATAAGTTAGCCCCTCCCCTGCCACGGTCATACACCTTCGAGACGTACAGAAACTGAATCCATAAGTTATCACGTAGATTCTGTGAACTCGAATGTTAGGAGAAATCGTCACATAGCCATATGAGAGCACCTACACGTAGAGCACTGGTCCATTAAAGATATCCTGGCCGGGTATATTGAGTGCGACAGCAAGAGATACAGCAGATGTCAAGACATAGTTCAGGCGCGATGTCCATTCGCTAGCGTTGTTGACGGGATCCAAGAAGGGAGCGTAGATGCATTGGAGTGCAAAGAAGATAAGCATGGCTATGAGCAATAGTATCTGGCGCGCGACCGAGACCTTCTCGCGAGGGGCATTTCGGAACAGACAGTTGTCCGGGTTGATGACGGCGGTCAGCAGCAGAGTGGTGAGCTTGGCAAACAGGTACGTCGACTCGTACGTCGCCCAACCTCTCCGAAATCCTGTACACTATTAGATGCTCATCTCTTTTGAATTTATAAATGTCACGCACCACCATAGAGGAAATTGAGGGGATTGCGGTCGCGTCCCAGCAGTCGTTGGTATTCGCGGTCCATGTCGCTATTGCTTCGGGGTGCGCCAAGCTCGGTGAAGCGATCCACTTTGGGTGTGACACGGCGCAGGGCCGTGTACAGTTGGATAGGAAACCAAACAGTCAACTGGTTGTCATCAATGAACGAGTACACCGGGGGCAAGAGAAGAAAACCTACCCCGACGAAGGATGCAATGGCAAGAATGACTATGACCGGTGCCCAGTTGACCTCGTTTCGTAGCATGGTAGTGGTGTAGCAGAAGTCCAATGGGTCTCTGAACTCGTCGGAGGGCCCCAAGGGCTCAGGAGTCAAATCGGTAGTCGTGCCGGTGTAGGGGTTGGGGACAGCCCAGAGGTCATCGGACCAAACAAGGACGTGGACCGCCATAGTGCTCAGTGGAAGGTATATCACTGTGAGAACAAACGTGACGATCACGACGGCCCAAGAGTTCCTGAGGTATTTCGTAGCCTGCAATCCCTCAGGTACAGTGACCGAGCAGCAAGCGTGGGTCATTCTCAGCCAGATAAACAGCAGGACGCCGGCAATCGTCATCAGTATCACAAGCAAAGCGAGCGACTGCACGAGGTTAGAAGCAAGGTTCAGCGCGAGCACGTTCGGGCTGTGGAATTGTTAGATAGATAGACTTGTAGAATTGGCGATACTTGCATCGTTTGCAGAAATAGAGTCCGCCAGTGCTCCTCTGGCTTGACCCCATGCGAAACTACGTCCAATTGAGATGAATGCTAGCGCGGCGAAAATACAAACTTACAGAAGGTGCTCAAAATCAGCGCGAATATTTGCAATGTGTCGATTAAGCCTTGTACGCTGTAGAATGGGGCAATGGCGCTCGAACCCTGTGTTGTGTGTACGTCAGAATATTTTGAATGTGCCATACTAGCAGAAAGTACACTTGCAGTAACACCAAGAGCGACGTTCAGCAGAGACCCAAAGATGGACTGTCTATTCCTCCACGCCGGGGGTATCTTCGCATTACTCTCGAGGTCGGCCAGCGTAGTCCCAGTCAAACGCTCCAAGGGAGGGAACATGGCCACAGCGGGTGCCTTCCCTTTGCCCTTGCCCTGACCACCGTCCTGGCTGTGGCACTCAGGGAAGGATGGCATGTCCATAGACGAGATATATTCGTCCAGCTGAGGCAGAGACACAGGCGCGGCATCCCGAGCCAGTATTTGAGAGAGGGCTATTGGAGAATGAGGTCCGAGGTTATGGGCAGGCGAAACGAGAGTGGTGGTAGAGCTCGAGGAATAGTGTGCTTTGACTACTGTTGCAGAGCGTGGGCGAGAGCTGGAGCGGGGCGCACTCGGCAAGAGCGGATTGAGCTCGATGGCTGAACCGTCGTCGAGAACCGTGCTAGAACTCTTCACCCAGCCGGAAGAGCGAGCTAAAGAGCTGCTTTGACCTATGTTCTCGTGATGGCGCCGCGACCCGTTAAGCTCGTCCGTGACGTCCGCGTCTACCACGGTGGCTGATCGGCCAAGGTCCTCCTCAGTACGCGAGAAGTCATTGGAGAGGGTAGAGCTCCCAGATACGGTCGGATCGGTGAGGATAGGGTCATCTTCTTGGTCTGCCGAGCTTGGTTCTCGCCGTCGTAGCAGAGGATGGGCAAGGAACTTCGCCGGAGAAGGTGTCGGGATATCCGCGACGGTTTCGACCGACCTCGGAGGTAGCCCTGTTGGCGTCCTAGGACCATGTGACACTTTGCGCTCTCTCGACCGAGGAGGCGAGGGAGATGGGCTTGTGTCGAGTTTAGAGCGCGATTCAAAGAGTCCCACCAGGTCCTTCACCGCCATGTGGTATGTGGTCGAGACGGCGGGGGTAAGCCAAGACCCTCAGTAGTGAAGCTGCGTCGCGGAACCTAGCAGATGTGACGCATTAGGATGTCGAAAGGAGGAGGGGAGGAAGCAAAGAGTGCAGGCGGAGGTCGCCCACAGCTGGCGTGAGCGGGAAACCGAAGCAGGACGCGACGCGATGTGGGGTAATGGACGCACGTGGCTCGCTTCATTCACCCGCTCGTCCCCAAAAGGCTACTGTCGTGGTACAATTCAGGCATCTGCACATACGCCCCGTCCTGAAGGCAGAGCTTTCACGTATAAAATTGTACACATTGTTTAGTCGCGCTAGACTACTTCAAGAATTCCTCAACCATCCTGCCAACGCTGCTTTCCGTCGCTACTTTGCCCATCCAAGCCTTCACATACTGCGAATGAGCGTCGCCGGGTCCTTCAGTGTCCTGGTCTCCTCCCTTGAGGTGCTTGACGGCTTCGGCTGCCTTGTGAAAGAGGGAGGCGTGATGGTGGTGATGAGACTCGTTCTCTTGGATACGTTCCGCCGTTTGGACAGCTCCCTGAGGCGCCTGGGCAAGCTTCCTCTCCCAGTGGGCCTTGACTTGCTCCTCCCAAGGAAGAAGCGGCACGACAAGGTTCGGGTTGTTGTTAATGGTTTCCTGTAGGTTCGGGACCAAGCGGACCTGTTCCAAAACCGAAGAGTGTATGACTTCGTAGGTGACGTCGTTGGTCACAGTGGGCAGCTTGCGCTGAATCTCCTTCGAAAGCGCGAAGATGCCGGTGCGAGAGCTGGCCCATGCGCGTTAGCCCTGTACTACGGCGCGTTGGCATAAATCTACATACTTGTGCGGTGCCTGGGTTCCCCACACCGCAGTCGGGCGCGGAAGGGAGATGACGTAGGGGTAGTCGAAAGACAGGGCGTCGCCGATGTTTGACTAGTAGCACCTATGAGTCCGCATGCAGTAATTACGACAGTGAACGTAGTGACGCACGATCATCCAGTTCAGGGTTATGTCGGAGAGGTCATGTTCTTCGTAACCGCCACCAATCTATGACGACAATCAGCAGGTGCATTAGGCGCTTCAACAATGTACACTTACGTCGCAGTGGGATCCTTGAGAATAAATGACGAGCGATAAGAGGAATATGCAGAATGACTTCTCAACAATAATACATACCGGTAAACCAGCACTGTAAGTTAGCCAGTCAGTGTCTTCGTTGAGCGGTTGGATAGGGACTGTCTGACCTGCCGGAGTATCTGCCCCTTCTTCCGCCCTTCCTCCGTCTGTTCAAATCTTGCGCAGTCCTGGGAGAGACTTATCAATATTTGTTTTCGCGTGTAAGCCCGAAATGCTCACGAAATCAGCTCGATGTTCGTTCAGGGCTAGAGCTTGATACGCCCTCTCGACGTGGTGTCCGAGGAGTCGATCCGGGAAGCCAAACAACGTCTTCATCTTGTCGTCATGCAGAGTCAACTCCTCGGGCATACCCACAGAGCCCACAGTATCGAATACACCCAGCACTCTTTGAGCACACGGCGTCAGCAATGTAAGGGCAAGACCGAGAGTCGGGGGGCCTCACTTGACAGAGTAGCCGTCAGGCCTACAATTCGCCCGCTGTAGTCCAAGTGCTTGCGGACTCGTCCATGGGGCCAGTTGTTCGTTCAACTTGGCGATCTCTGGCGGTGGCACACCTGTTAGCATATGCACACTAGGAAAGTGAATCCCGGAGATTGATCTCACCATCCTGATCCTCCGACTTGCCGCGCTTCTGGTACGCGACGAAGAGGGTAGCAAAGTGATCCATCTCCGTGCGATCGAGCACACCGATTGCTCCCTGCGCAGATGTAAGAGGACTGACTTTCCGGGGAGTGGTGAGTGGACACTCACAATAAACATAGCGACCATACGAGCCGTGTATGCACCCTATAGGCCAAAATATAGTCAGAACAACAACAACAACAAGCACAACTCCTTACCCTCGAGAATCCAAACAGAAATATCTATATAATCATGTCAGTGGCGTTACATCTTATGGAGGACAGGCGACATGCCTCGTCGCCCGGTCGATAGTTCCTGGGCAAATGTGTGAGTGCCGGCTGCTTGACACAGTTGAGAATGATTGGCGTTACTCACTGTGCTATAAAGGCGTACGCCTCCTCGACTTTGCTAGCTATAGCAAATACAAAGCATCAGTTACACGTCCGTGTAACATACAATCATTTAGTAGAGACCTAGGTTAGCCCCAGTCACACCTTTGCATGCGCTCCGGTCAGTGAGGTAGAATGCTGGATTTGCAAGACACGACTGCGTACCGTTCACAATCTCATCGTATAGGTTGTCAGTGCCGATTCCAGACTGATAGAACACGACCTGATGAATCGGTGGCTGCCTATAAAACAAGCCCGTGTCAGAGACATTGGGTGATGGATATCCGAAAGCGAAGGCTTCCTGTAGATACTCACGATCTATCATCGACATGGTTTATGGCCCTAGCAAGGCGCTATGTGTAGCCGCAGCGTTGGTTTGGCACCTCAGCGGACGGACGATTTGTGTGGCTAGAGCTCGGTAGCGTACCAGTATATTGGTGTATTTCCATCTTTGGCTAACGACGATCCCGTCCTGCCACGTTCTGAGATACAAGTCAGCTATTCGAAGCACATACTGTAAACGATGACCTCGGAGTACGTACCCGTCACAGCAAACGACAATCCTCTTGTGGCCGTGACTGACTCCTTGGCCAGTTGCGCTGGGAGTTGCGGGGTTGGGGGGCAGTTGCGACATGAAGGTAGAGAGTACGCAGGATACGTCACGACTGACAATCGTGGTGGCGTTCAGAACTGTCCAGTCCGCCTTATATATAACTTACCGCACACAGCACTTGCAACGCCAGTGCCGATTTTAGTCGGCGAAGACCACCGGCAGGCACATGTACCGGACAAATCAGTGATGACAACACCATGGGAAATCGAGAAGAAACGCCACAACACAAGTAGAGCTCGAGATGTAGAAGTCGCGTTGGGAGTATACACAGCTCCTGACTTAGCTAGGACCCCATACAGCTAAGCATCGTAAACTGAACCATGGCTGCTCTAGCAGCCCGACAGCTCGATGATAAACCTAGGGCAAGGTTGGAGGGAGCGTCTTGGGCTGGCGTCTTCGATCGCGCTCGAGCTCGATGTGGTTGCGGGCGTGCTTGACAGGACAGCCTCAACCTGTGCTCTTTATCAAACGAAGCCCAAGGTTCGATCGTTCAGCTAGCTTGTGGGGTGACATCTGAACAGTTAAACAAGTAGTACTTCCGTTTTCCATCCCACGTATTACACCTACAAGACAACGAGTTACTTCCCAAGACGCATCTCGGCGCCGGCGAACTCGTCCAGCGCCCTCCTGAACTCCGTCTCCTGTATAGACGGGCTCTCGTCTACGGAAGCCGTGTTCCGCCATGACTTCCGGGAGGGTGCGCTAAAGTCCCAGCTACGCGACGGGTCAGTATGGGGACAAAGTACGCAAACTGCGCTGGGACTCACTATATCTCTGTCAGTCTTGTCTGCCATGGAGGGAAACCGCCCAGTTCGGCCGGCTCAGGCAACTGGGGAAGAGGCGGTTTCCGGTGCACAATCATCAGATCTGGCGAAGAGAATCCGCTCTCGCCTGTGCGATGTCACCTGTCAGATCTATGCGGTGCAGCACTGATACGTCGAGCGTTTACCTTCTAGTACTGCAGTGAGTTCTTGTATGGACGGCATCAATGGCGGGGTGCTTGTAGGGGGGTTATTAGGTTGATTCTGCCGTATGTTATGGAGGAACATCCTGGCGGCGGCTGCGACGGCTGGTTTGCCGGACTGGTACGATAGAATATGCAGTGTCAAGGGGGCAGGCTGCGAGTCCTCACCCTTGGCTGTATATAAACATGAGACGTGGCCACGGTGAATGCTGCATGAAAGGACTGACGTGGAACACGTCGACGCTTGAGCGCGTTTACTCTCCGTTTGGGCTTCGGTGACTCTGCGTGAAGGCGGATAGTAGTAACGCCGAGTTTTGGGACCACATTCCCAGAGTGGGGAGAGAGTGGCCGGGATTCTGCGTCGTCGGAAGGAGGCGGCGTGAGGGGGTATTGGATGTCGCATTCAACTGGCGAGTCCTCCGGCTCCGCCTTTCGCGACGCAGGTTGTAACCGCCCCCTCAGCTCTATAGAAGATCTTGACAGGACGCCTAAGGTCGTTCTTGCATATGTATTGATCCTCCCCATAATATGCGGTAGAAGGTACATACCTTCGCGGTCATAGACAGAGAGCCGGCGGATGCCCGCAAGTTGACACCAGCCAGCCACCTTTTCCACGCTGTTTAGAAGATACTGCTCGTTGGCCTCATCGTCCGCCTCCGGGTTGGGTACCAATGCCAGCGCAAGATGTTGGGGTAGCTTTGACCTCTCCGCAGTAATAGGTTGCGGTTCCGTAGCCGGGCGGAAGACAGACTGAAATACAAGGACTAGCCGATACAGAGCGTGAATTAGGGAGAGGAGGGCCGATGCCAGCCAGGACATCGTGTCCGTCGCGTGGGGCGCGTCTGTGAACAAGTCCGAGACCAAGAACGAGAGGTTGAGAACGAAAGGGAGGTGGGTGTGAGTAGGCGAATGGATCAAGCTGGCCTCAAGTGCGCGCCTACCAACCATAGGACCCCGGACTTTCCTGTTCTAAATATATCAGACATGCAAGCCTCCTTGAACTTACCACGATTTGGGACCTCACGAAAGGAGTTATGACAATCCTTACGCCCTGAGAGACCCTTACAACGATGAATGAGCGATACCGGAATATATGGAGATATCACGAAGCCTCCTTGCAAGTATCTTACATAGCTCATGCTTCCTCCGTGCGCACGAGCAACATAGTACCAATATTGGGACGCCCCTGGGGTTTGGGGCTCACAAGATGCAGTATACTAGTTGTTCATATCAGTGCTCCCGGTACCGCGGTGTCCACCGCTGCAGCGGTGCTTTGCGGTCTACTCGCCGCACAAGTAATCCGGGGTCCTGACAGCGACGCTGCGAACACCGCCAAATCACGACTGCACTCACAGCCATCTACGTGTCGCACAACCCACGGCCTGGCGGTTTGGACGCAACAGCGCCCAGTGCCTTGCGGTCTTGGGCGGAGACAGTCTCGCCGCGCCTCGACCGGATCTAGCGGTTCAGGTGATCTGAAGGTCGACCGCACCACGTATACAGCATGAAAGGGGCGGACGTGGTCAGTTTCCGGAGAAAACGTCCGATGCTACAGAAATATCCTAGATGTACAAGCGCAAGATTGTGTCCGTGTTGACTACAAAAGAATAGGCTCCGCGTCTATGCCGCGTTTGATCTTCAACAGTATGCTCGTCTTCCAGTTGTCCAGCTTCGTGACTTGGTCGAACTCGAACACGGCGGCGGTGAACATCTCTGAATCCCCCGACTCGATGGCATCCACGAGGACATTGACGAACTTCGCCTCCCGCGTTGACGTGAAGGTCGTGTCGAGAGAACCGTACTTCGTCAAGTTCCGCTTAGCGGTCACGGTATCCTAAAGTACGACGGCATTAAGATTAAGTATTGTGCCCGCACTTGATATGAGATCCGAGAACTTACCTTCATTCCGAGTGCACACAAGCTTGCGCGCAGCCAGTACTCCTTAACGCTGTACTTCGTGAGAGCGGATGACAGAGATCCGTTCGCAACCTGCTCATAAAGCGCGATTGCCTGGGGGAACTCCTCCAGCTCGGCGTGAAGATCAGCCGCGTCCTTGTAGCACGCGTTCGCAGTCCTACAACCCGTTCAAATCAACGCTCCGCATATCACAGCATACTGCGCAACTCACGCAGTTGCGTCCTCCTGAGAGTACCACTCCGCGGCGCGCTCGAAGCTCTCGCAGGCTTTACGCAGGTCGTTGAGCTCTTGCAGGTAAATCTGGCCAATCTCCTTCTCGCGGTCGGCAGCCTGCCTGAAGCGACCAGCCTGGGTCAGATGTGTGATTGTGTGCGCAAGAGCCTGCACGGCAACTGTACGACTGGTCAGCTATGATGGTTTCAAGCCGCAGACGCTGCTGCTTACGACTGGGCTCCACCCTCTTGTAGGCCTTGGCCGCGTTCCACCACGCATTTGCGGCCTCGTTGGCCTCCTGGCACTTCTCCCTGCACTCGGCTTCCCTGGCATGGGCGTCACCGGCTTCCTTGAAGAGCTTGTCGATCTTGAACTGGTTAGCGGCCTGCTGGTAGAGGTCGCCGGCCTCCTCGAATTTGGTCGATGCGGACGAGAACCACCCGGTGGAGGAGTTGGCCTTCTTGTCGGCCTTGTCGAGCAAGTTCTGTGCGGGAGATTTAGAGGGCATCGCAGAGTCGTATCAGCTGCAAGACGTGGAACGGGCGTGGACTGTTGGAGAGGCTGCGCGGTGGCTGGTCGAGAGATAGAGGGAGGGCGCGGGTCAGCTTGGCGATGAGGCAAGTGCATCGCGTCGCACGTGGCCAGCGCGCCGTCGCGATCGAGATTCGCCCTTCGAGACCTTACGCGCCCTCGTCTCCGCCGCGAAGTATAAAGCCATTTCGGCCACGGCTTCCGTCGCCCTCTCCTTGCTTTCCTACTATCATCATGGCCTCTGCACTGCCTGTCGACGCCATCAGGTCGCTCTCTGAGCAGCATCCGAAGCCGTCCAATGTCCACTTCCAGTACGGGACCGCAGGGTTCAGGACCTTGTACGTGCGGTCTCCGATGCCACAGCCAGATGTGCTAATCGGAATGCTAGGGGTAACATCCTGGACTCGGTCATGTTCCGCGTTGGTGTTCTCGCTGCGCTGAGGAGCAAGAGGCTCGATGGCAAGACTATCGGTGTTATGATTACAGCCTCACACAACCCAGAACAGGTATACCTATAGCCACACGGTCTACTGCTTGCCGGGCGCAGTCTGATGTACGGCTTTGTAGGACAACGGTGTGAAGCTGGTTGACCCTCGTGGAGAGATGTTGGAGGCGGCCTGGGAGGTCCATGCTACCAACCTCGCGAACGCCGCCACCACCGATGCCTTCGTTGACTCTTTGGAGGTGTTCGTCAAGACTGCGAAGATCGATCTGTCTAAGCCCGCACGCGTTGTATATGCCAGGGACACCCGCCCCTCAGGCCCTGCTCTCATTTCCGCCTTGGAAGACGGCTTTAAGGCCATCGGCGCTGAAGCACGGGACGCCGGGGTCACGACAACGCCTGTACTTCACTACCTCGTCAAGGCCATCAACACCAAGGGCACGAAGGAGGAGTATGGTGTAGACTCGGAGGAAGGCTACCTGCAAAAGCTCAGCACCGCGTTCAAGAAGCTTGTGGTATGTGCACCACCATGGATGCGAGCAACTGTTGCTGATGATGTCATTAGGCTGGCAAGCCTGCCATCCCGCCTCTGGTCATCGACTGTGCCAATGGTGTGGGTGCAATTGTTGGCGAGAAGTTGGGCGAGCACCTCGGCGACACACTGAAACTGCTTCTCCACAACACCGCCATCGACACCGCCGGCGCACTGAACCACGCCTGTGGCGCCGACTTTGTGAAGACCTCTCAGCGCCTTCCCCCGTCCTTGGCTTCGGTCCTCCATCCCGGCCAGAGGGGATGCAGTCTTGATGGCGACGCCGACCGGTTGATCTACTACTACCTCGATGACCGTGGCCAATTCCACATGTTGGATGGCGACAAGATCGCCGCCCTCGTTGCAGCCTTCATCGTCGAGCTTACCAAGTCTGCCGGGCTGGAAGGCGAGATCCAAGTCGGCATTGTGCAGACCGCCTACGCGAATGGAGGCTCCACGAAGTACTTGGCTGAGGTACGAGCAAAACACACGAGTATCGGTCATTGTCTGACGAAGCATTACAGCGTCTGCCGATCAAGTGTGTTTCTACGGGAGTGAAGCACCTTCACCACGCTGCGGAGCACTACGACATCGGCGTCTACTTCGAAGCCAATGGCCACGGCACGGTTTTGTTCTCGTCCGACACGACCAACAAGCTGTCCTCGCACCAACCGTCTACGCCGGCGCAGTCCACCGCGCTCAACCACCTGATCAACCTCACCCAGCTGATCAATCAGACGGTTGGCGATGCACTCTCCGACATGCTCCTGATCGAGGTGGTGCTCGCGCACAAATCGTACAGCGGCCTGGAGTGGGATTCTCTGTACGTCGACCTGCCGAACCGGCTCGTGAAGGTCGTCGTTCCGGAGCGCAACATCTTCAAGACTACAGATGCAGAGCGTCGTTTGACCAGCCCCGGTGGCTTGCAAGCGAAGATCGACGAGCTCGTTCACCGCTACGAGGGTGGACGCTCCTTCGTGCGGCCGAGTGGAACGGAAGACGTCGTGCGTGTCTACGCAGAGGCGACTGTGAGGAGCCAGGCAGATGGTGCGTTCTTGTTCCTGTCCTGTTGTTACTCGGCGATTTGCTAACCTTGGTCGACAGAACTCGCTTTCCGTGTCGCTGGATTGGTGTATGATGAGGTCGGCGGAGACCCGGCGAAACGCCCCGCCGAGTTCCTGTAGACGAGATTGGCCGATTGATGGACGTAGAGAGAAGAAGTGTATACCTGTGTGTATTTTACGTGCGGAACTGCTGAGCGTCTGGACCGGACTGAGATGGACGGACGGTGTTTGGGTGAATTTGACACATCGGCGGTTGCCGGGGAGTGAGACTGACGGAGTGGCTGAGGGCGAGTCGAGTAAGTATGTCGCCATTATGCACCCGACGGCGACCTAGTCTATCTCCGTGCCAATACCATGCCTTTCCCCGCCTTGTTATATCTTCACCCCGCCCCGGATCTCTGACTCGGCCCCTCGTCCGTCTCTACCACCACCACCAACCGCAGGATGTGCCGGTTCGTGATCTACAAGGGGACTGCGCCCGTCCAGCTCTCCCACCTCCTCACGCGTCCTTGCCATTCCATCATAAATCAAGCCTTCGACTCTCGTTTGCGTCTCGATCACCGGAGGCCCATCAACGGAGATGGCTTTGGCGTCGGTGCGTCACTTCTGGCGCTTCACAAAGGACCGGTCTTTTGAGCTCCTCCCTCCAGGCTGGTATGACTCAATATACGACGAGGAGCTGGGTAGCCAACCGTGCATCTTCACCTCCGTTACGCCGGTGCGTAATGCTCCGCGACGAGTGTTGTGCAATGTACTGAAGTCGACATTCAGGCATGGAACAACGTAAACCTCGTCCGCCTTGCCGAGAAGATCAAATCTCCTCTGGTCTTGTGAGCGCCGCTCAGAGTCGTCGGAGCACGTTCAGCTACTGAGTCGCTGCACAGTGCCCATGTCCGCGCGACCACTGCTGGTACACTCAGCCTAGACAACTGCCATCCATGGTCGTACGGCAAGCTTATGGTACGCTGCTTCGCCTGCACCAGCGCTGGTCGTGTGCCTCACACTGCGTGCTCCTTCAGTTCATGCACAACGGCGGCATTGCGGAATTCCCTAAAATCAAGCGCGCTCTTCAGACGGCAGTTCCGGACGATTTGTTCAACATGGTCACCGGGAACACAGGTCCGCTCCCTCTTCGCGCCCGCGTTCGTAATTTCCTCATACGTCCGCAGATTCGCAGTGGGCATTCGCTCTCCTCCTTTCGAAGGTTTGTCGTGCACCTACTATGCCTGTAAGTGGGGGCAGCTCGGCTAACAGCTATGCAGCTTCCCGACCCCCAAGCAAGAAGCTTCACGCCGGCAGTCCTTCAGAAGGCCATGCTGGAAACCATTGCACACATCAACCGGTTGTTGGACGAGCACGACGTCACGGAGGTTTGCGCACCTCATATTACGTTTGAGCGTTTGACTGACATCCTTCAAGCCCAGTTTGATGAACTTTTGTGTCACCGATGGAGAGACCGTTGTTGCCACTCGCTATATTACTTCGCGAACTGAGGAGGCAGCTTCTTTGGTGCGTCAGTCTCAGTACCTCCCCTGTGAGCCAGGCTGACCGAATGCCATCCAGTGGTTTTCTTCGGGTAGCACCTTCAGCGAGTACGCTGCGGGTGGCCACTACAAGATGTCCAAGACGGACAAGCGTGAAAACATCATCATGGTGAGATATCACGACATGCCCGCCCGCGCTCAACGCTGACTATTCCATCTAGGTTGCTAGCGAACCGCTCACATTCGAGAAAGGTGTGTATCATCGTATGTATCTCGGAGTCTCGGCTTAACATTATGACGCACAGCGGACTGGATGGAAATCCGGACCAACCATATGGTGGTCATCACGCCGAAGATGAACCTGCTCCAGATTCCGATTGTAGACAGATTCTACGTCCCTCAGTCAGATCCTGCCGCACTCAGCAGAGGCACCGACTTCGCTGCGGCGAAGGGGTTCTTGAGCGCACGACGAGACGTCGCTCGGCCCCTGGAGTCCATCGAGAACCACTTGTAGTTCTTCCCGTCTACCTTTTCGACCACCTTGACCTATCTTCTGGGACATTTTCATCTAGGATATCTGTAACATATAGCTGTATACTTGTTAATGTCCCGCCGCATATACACACTTTATCGTAGTCGTTTTTGGGACCCGCTACTTCAGCGCGAGTGCGCCAAGACAGTGCGCGCCACACGTGCTGAGTTCGCGCTGAAAGGGTGATTGCGCCTCCTCCTCTTACGCCATCGTCGGCGTCCAACTCGGGTGGCGAAGCTGTCTCGCCTTCCCGTCTCTGGTCAGCCATGGCTCCCTGGCTGCTCTGGCATGCCGTCGCTAGTACCGCAAGGTGAGTCGCAGCCATGCGCCCAGCAAGCTCAAGGCATCCGCGTCCGCCGGTGACTGACCTCTCGCGACCCCGCCCGCCCGCACAGACTCTCCACGGTCCTCCAGATCCTGATATTCCTCCCGCTCACGCTCTCGACGCTCTCCAAGTCTGCCTTCCTGCTGCTCTCGCTGCTGCTCTTCCTGCACTCGCTCATCCATGGCACGCTCGTGCTCCTCTGGGGCTCGCGCGCGCTGAGCGTGATGCAGGTGCCCATGCACCCCTTCCTGCTCCTCGTCTGCTTCAACGCGTTCTCGGATACCGTGCACCCCGCACTCACGGTCGCGGCCGCGTGGTGGGGCCGAATTCTGCACTGGTCGAGCCCCGGGTTCATCGTGATGGAGGGCATGTCAAGCCTGCTCGTCGCGCAGCGCCTCGGGCAAGTCGGGAAGGAGCTCGTCGGCGAGGGCGAGGCGTATCAGTTTGGGCTGCTCGTCGCGGCCGCGGCGGCCTATGTTGCGTCGGCGTGGTGGATCGTGGTGGTGTGTAGCTTTCTTTGTGCTTTATAGGGATGTAGACTGACCGCGCGCTGTGCGTCCAGTCCTACCCGGCTGCGGCAGCTTCCCCTCTGTCTTCAACACTCCTCGGCGTGGCGTTGACTAGCTTGATCTTCCTGACCTTCATCGGGTTCGGGTTACGGAGGACGAACGTCATCGAGTCAAGCTGCCTCGCACTCATAGTCGCGTACAACGTCTGGCTGTGCGGCGTAGATGACGCGCTCGTCCTTGACCCGGCTCTCTCCTAGTGCGTGCACCATCTCTTTGTGCTTTAGGTCCCTCGGTTCTGACCTTTCCTCCAGTACCCCTCTCCTCTCGAACATCATGCCCCACCTCCAGACCCTGGTCAACTTTGTCTCGAACACGCTCCCGAAGCCGGTCCTGTTCGCCCTCATCTACCGACTGGTCGTGATGCACTTCGCGTCTCACATCTTGCCCACCATTGGGGCGGACAGCTGGGAGGATGAGACTGGTGTGGACGATGGCTGGGACGGCAGACCGGTGTGTAACAGCAGCTCCGTTCTACTGCCTTCTATAGCGCTGACCGTCTTGTGCAGACGTCGAAGCTAACTCACCTGCTGCTGACCTATCGGCAATCGATCTTCGTTACGGTATACTCCCACTTACTTCGTGAGTGGATCCAAATATCTGCGTACCGCGCGCCTGCTTACCCGCTCTGTGCCAGTCTTGGATCATTCTTCACAGGTTTGGTGGAGGTGGATGAACATATTCTTCACGTTGGCTATCTGGTCCGTAGAGCTCCTCGTGAGCAACGAGGATGAAGCTGTTACGAAGAAATGGAAAGTCGATTGATTGATCCCGCTCACGAACGTCTGCAACGCCCCGACTTACGACCCGGATGCCCGCCCTCCGCTGTGAGCCTCTTCGTGCTATTTAGATTGAGTCATGCGTATACTCACCCGATTCACAGAAACACGTTATATTGAACGTACAACACCCATGCTTCTCGGCTCTTAATGACCTACATTTGCTTTCCACTCGGCCTCCTCTTCTCGTTCACCCTCGTAGAACTCCCGTTTCCATATCTGCGCCTTCAGCTTCACCTCCTCCAGTATCAGCTCGCACGCCATGAACGCCTCCTTTCGGTGCGGCGAAGAGACAGCGATGACGATCGAGGGCTCGCCGACCGGTACGGTGCCGAGTCGATGGTGCACGGCGGAGCGTATCAGGGCCGTCGCGGGGGCGCCACTGTCGGTGGCTTGGTGGTCGGACCGGGTGTATCGCGAGTGCGCGTCGCGGAGGATGTCCGCCATGGTCTTTATCGCGAGCTTGCTATACGCCTGATACTCCAGTCTGCTCACGACTTTGCCTGCGCGCACCGGTCATTGCAGCACTATACGCTTACTATCCATCGTCCGCGTGCTTGCCTTTGAATGAATTGCGCGTAGTCCCGATAAATACGGCGGTCGCGCCCGCGCCGTCATCGGCGACTGACTGGATGATGGCCTGCGCGTCGAGGGCGTCATATGAGAGTGCGCATGTTCCCTCGGGGATGTCGAGGTGGGCCGCAACTGAGGCGGAAGGTGCGGCGGCCATGAGATGGTTTAGATGATATCGAGTGCTAGATCGACGGTCGAGCGAGAGCCCGGAGCGCGGTCATCGTCGGCTTTCGACGCCCCCACGAGCGAGACGCGTCTCTTGAGTGCGGCCGCCACAAATGCAGAATGCACATGTCCCGCGCGATCGCCAAGCGGTCGCGCGCTGTACCGAACCTCCGCCGGCCTCCGACTACATCTTGTGCTGAACCTCGACGTTGCGACTGGGGCATGTGCAGAGCTTGATGTCTTTCCTTCAACGTCGCGCCGCGCCTCTCCTCAGGCCCACTACCGCTTCTCTCAAATGCACACGGCCCGTCTCCTCGCTCGCAGCTGCACTCAAGGAGCAGGCACCCATTGACGTCCACCCGGAGGTGCAGGACGCCCTCGCGCACGGCCGGCCGGTCGTTGCGCTCGAGACGACAATTGTCACTCATGGAATGCCGTACCCCGCGAACCTAGAGACGGCGCGCTCGGTTGAGGGCAACGTGCGCAAGGCTGGTGCGACACCCGCCACCATTGGCCTCATCGAGGGGCGCGTGAAGATTGGGCTTGAGGCCCATGAGCTCGAACGGCTTGCGGACGTACGCGCGAACCCAGGGGCAGTGAAGCTGTCGCGGCGGGACCTAGGTGCTGCCATAGCTATGAAGAGGGATGGTGTGAGTCCTTGTGTCCACTCCTGCTTCGTGAGGTGTGCGGTATGAACGTGAGCGTAGGGGACGACCTGCAGCACGACTCTCATTCTTGCTGCGTTGGCTGGTATCAAGGTAAATCCCTGGCATGCATGTGGATCATCGGAGTGTTCACCCTAGGCCTAGGTATTCTCTACCGGAGGGTGAGCAACCCTCATGCGCTTCCCTGGACGTCTTCTAATCAGGACACACAGTCTCGGAGGAGTACACCGAGGCGCAGAATCTAGTGAGTTCGTCCGAGAAGACGTTAACCCACCCTAGCTGACCTAAATTTCTAGCCATGGATATTTCTGCGGACCTCCATGAGTTGACCCGCTGTCCTGTCGGTTTGGTTTCCGCTGGTGTGAAGTCGATATTGGATATCGGAAGGTCAGTGAAGTGCTTCGTAGCAGATAACCTCAACTGAAAGCCACGGTTCCTCACAGGACACTGGAGTATCTGGTCCGTAACCCGTACATGTAATGCGATTGATACACCTGACGCGTGCAACAGGAAACGCTAGGGGTACCTGTCGTCTCATATGGCACGGATGAATTCCCGGCGTTCTACAGCAGACATAGCGGGTTCAAGGTACTATTCACTTCCTACCACTGGCGATACTCAGTTCCCAATTCATTCTCCGTAGAGCCCGTGGCGCATCGATGATCCAGCTACCGCTGCCAGGATCCTTCGTATGTTTACATTCAACATAACCACGGATACATTGTAGCTAACGGAAGGCCAGACACGCATAAGCAACTTGGCATGTCAAATGGCGCGCTCTTCGCGGTGCCCATTCCGGAATCATACGACGCAGTTGGTGAAGAACTGCAGCGAGCAGTGGAGCAAGCTGTGAAGGAGTCCGAGGCCAACGGCATAAGTCGGAGGGGTAAAGAGGCGACACCTTGGCTTCTCAAGCGGGTCGGCGAGCTCTCGGCTGGAAAGTCATTGGCCAGCAGTGCGTCTATCCCATACGGAACCCTCTCTGGAAGCTTACACACTGGCCACTAGATATTGCTCTCATTGAGAACACCGCCTTTGTCGGTAAGCCGATCTGCTGAGTATAACGCAAGTAGGCAATTTACTCACTATCTGGTCCCAAAGGTGGTCAGATTGCTGTGGCATATTCACAGCTCAGCAAAGAGAGACATCCTGATGTCTCGCACCCGCACATCGTAAAACATGCACCTGCACCTGCATCTATCCCGGAAGCCACCGAATCGGAAATCCTGGTGCGTGCCCTTTCAGGCGTCTGCGTAGATCTCACCTAATTTCACGATGTGTAGCCCCCAGCTAAATTGGTTATCGTAGGCTCAGCCGCCGTCGACATCACTGCGCGAGCAGATCCTGTCGCAGGTGCAGCCCGCGCAAACAACAACCTACATACCACCGCGCCCGGTGTGGTTTCTCTGACCGCCGGTGGTGTCGGGCGAAATGTTGCAGAGGCTGCTCACCGTATCTTGACGTCACATTCAAAGGATTTGTCCAGTTCGGCCGTCCTAGTGTCACCCGTCGGCGAGGACGCCTTTGGACAGTGGCTGCTGTCGGAGACAAAGCAGGCCGGCATGAGGACGGACGGGCTTATCCGTGTCCCGGGTGCACGCACAGCGGTCTGCAACATGGTACTGGACAGTGCGGGTGGACTTACCGGCGGCGTTGCCGATATGGAGGCCATTCGTACCCTGGACGCAACAAAGGTATGACCATATCACTGCGACTACGCTTGCAGCTATGTGACACGTAAATTCCTGCAGATCATCGAAGTGCTGGACAAGCATCAACCTGCAGTCATTGCTCTCGATGCAAACATGTCACACGAGACTCTGAAATCCCTGGTCACCTACGCGAACAAGCGGAACATCCGCAGTAAGCCATTCACATCTGCAATGTTCGCCCTTACTGACCATTTCACCAGCTTTCTTGTCAGTACCGAACACACTGCTAGACTCAACCATCTTTTACTGACTTGCCCTTCAAACGTAGTGAACCCACGTCCGTCCCGAAGTCCACGTCGATCTTCCCAGCCCTGGCCGCTGCCCTCGACACCGCAAGCATCCCCCGCGCCCCCGTCACATTCGCCACTCCGAACGTGCTCGAGCTCGCACACATGTACCAGGAGGCATGCGCGAGCCCCCTCGAGCTCACAGCACACAAGTACTGGTGGCGCGTCGTCGATGAGATGGCGCTCGGCTCCCTCTTCCGCATGGAGCTCGACCAGCTCGCGCGGCGCAGCGCCTTCGCCGGCTCCGGGCCCAGCACGAGCACCCTCGCGTTCCTCGTCGACAACGGGATCGCGCAGATGGCGATCAACCTGCTCCCGTTCTTCCAGCACCTCGTCATCAAGTGCGGCGAGCGCGGGCTCATCGCCGCGTTCCGTGTCTCGGGCGAGGACGCCGTGGCGGCGTCCGCGTGGGCCACGCACAGCACAAATATTCCTGCGCGGCAGATCGTTGCGCGTAGCGCAAACGGGAAGAGCGTCGTTGTGTTCAAGCACTTCCCGCCCATCCAGGTGCCCGAGGACAAGATCGTCAACGTGACGGGTGCCGGGGACTCGCTGGTGGGCGCGATGCTCGCGACGCTCACCCGCAATCCTGCCGCATTCGAGGAGCCGGCGGCGTTGGACGAGTTGGTTGCGCAGGCGCAGCTGGCTGCCGTGTATACCTTGCAGAGCGAGCACGCGGTGTCTCCGAGACTATCTACATTGGCGGATGTATAGTGCTCATGGATATTCTACATTACGTCGATTATCTTCGTGTGATAGCATATGTAGGCAGAAGAAGAACCCGGTCTTCAATGGGTAGCAGACAAGACACCGACTTTCACGGTCTCGCGGGATTGCCTTCTCAACGTCTTCTCGGCGGCGAGAGCCGCTTTCGCAAGTGCCTTCTGCCGCTTCTCATGACGTGCCTGCAAATACGCCGTCGATAGACAAATAAAGAAGCGGGAGAAGTTGACGAACCTGCGCGCCGTGCTTCAAACGAGTGATAATGTTGGCTGCCTCGCCCTTCTTCAGTGACCTCAACTCATGGTCACCCGGGAGACGCTTCGCGCTCTGACCCTCCTCAGTGGTGAGAATCTTCCGTGTCTTCCAACGCTTTGAGACAAACATCCTCTGCGACTCCGAGGCAGGCTCCCATCGCCACTTCGCGCTGCGCAAAAGCCTGAGAGGCGTAGATAAGTCGTTAGTTCCTGGTGCACCCTTCTGTAACGGGAAACACACCCAAGCGCAACCTGTCCGGGTAGGACTTTGCTTTGTGCGTAAGTGTCGCAACCCCGGATCGCCTCCGCCAGTGTTTGCGCAGAAAGGATCTTCTTGCTCCTTCTGAACGGAGATATCTTCAGCATGTACGCCGTGCCTCTGGTCATGGTGGGCGGTGTGTAATGGGCTTGGTACTTTTCACCTGGTTTTCACAGTGTCAGCTCGGTCGATCAGTCTTAGAGTTCTAGTGACATGGACGTACCATCTTCACCGTCCTCAACAGGTTCAACACGTATGAAGCCTTTCCCCATACACTCCAGGATGTAGAGCTCGTCACCACAACAGACCCAGGCGTTCCTACTGAGGTTACGAATGTTGGGATCCCCAGAGGCCTGGTCCACAAGAGCGAATGGGTCTTCGTGGTCGATATACGTGACCGATTTTGGCGCCGGTACCGACCCCGAAGTATTTGGCCTTCCCTTGTCGACCGCGTCGTCACGCTCTAACAAGGACGCGCTCCGTTGCTCGAGGCTTTCGATGGTCTCATCTGCTAACGATCAGGACTTGGACCTGAGGATGGAGGGAAGAACTCACCGTCAGACAACTCGGAGGGGTCGAGCCCGAACAAGGTGGGTGCGGAGATCACTCCTGCTACCCGTTCTTGGGAGTCGACGAAGTCTATGATCCGACAGTCTTCCTTTCCAGTCGCGGGAGACAGCCTCATGCCTCGACCAAGCTGTGGAAAGCAAGCAGTCAGTCGTCATGAGGGAGAGGGGACAAACAATCTCGCTCACCATCTGCGCAAATATATTCCGCGACCTTGTTGGCCGTGCCACGATCACACAGTCGATGTTGGGTATATCTGCGCCCTCCGTGAGGACAGCTGTAACGATTCCTCAGCAACTAATTCTCGACGGCGCTGGGAGAGGACATACCACAGTTGATCAGCACGGGATACTTCCCAGCTCTGAAGGCCTCTACGAGTGCCTTGCGCTCAACGGCAGGGGTGCTCGCATGAAGGTAACGCGCGTCGATCCCGGCACCGCGGAAGGCGGCAGTGAGTGCAACGACGTGCGCGATGTTCACGCAGAACACTAGCGTAGACTTGCGGTCCGCTACGCATCGCGAATGAGTCAACTGCTTCACAGATGTAAGGCAAATTGCTCACCTGCTTTGTCCAGCCACGATCGAACGACCAACTCGTTCACGGAGTCCGTATTGACCACATGGCTCAGACTCGTCGGGTTGAACTCGCCCGAGCGGGAGTTGACCGTCACTTGGCTGAGGTCAATATTGGCACGTACGGTGGTAAACCGCACATTACAGAGCCTGGCACGATGTCAGCCAGCGAAGCCGTAGAGATGGCTGCGAGAACGCCTACCATTGCTCTTTGATCATTTCCAGGAAATCTCTGTGGTATACAATCCTCTCGAACACCGATCCCAGCGCAAGGCCATCATGCCTGCTGAACGTCGCGGAGAACCCCAGGATAGGGATACGATGGCTCAGAACGGGAGGCTCGAACGCTTCGTCTGGATTCTTGATGTTGGGGTCGAAGTGAGACAAAATTCGGCGGTATCTTAACAGGCATGTTGGTAAACAAGGGCTCTCGTCATCTGCGGCTCACAAGAACTTACGAAGGTGCAGCTGCATGGTGCGCCTCGTCCACGATGAGAGCCTTCATGTACTCCGCTCTGAACTTCTCCAGCCGCTGTGAGCGTAGCAGCGTCTGAAAAGTGGCTACCGTCCTATAACAACAACACTCAATATTGATGTTCGACACACCGAGATGGCAAAGGGACCACTTACAGGTCTGCAGTACCCGACGCATGGTGCTTGCCTTGCTCAATCTCCACGCGCCATTCAGGAAACAATCGTGTAGCTTGGTCGGCAGTTTGCTGAGCAAGCTCTACGCTATTGACAATTACCAGTGACCTAGTCGCCTCTTGAGCACCCCGGGCAGGTGGCAGACGCGACAGCAGCGAGATAAATACGGTAGTCTTGCCAGATCCTGTGGGCAAAGAGACACCGATGCGCGTAGAACCAGCCTTGAGCGCGTCGATACAGGCCTCCAAACACGACTCTTGGTATGGTCGTAGGACAACAGCTTTCTCTAGCCGAGTACTATATTGCCTCAGCGCATTAGCGACGGAGAGCAGAGGGGGCCGGAACCATGGCATGGAACAGAAGCAAGTCGAGGTGCTCTCGCTTCAGTCGCGTCGAACTCTTGAGGGAACTCAATCGGGCGCTTTTACCAGACATGGTATAAGAAATCTTTCGATTCCGAGACTACTACGAATACTTCGATGGTAATGTTCCCATATATATGCAGAGATGTAAAAGCGCGGTCTATTGGGAAAGCTCGTTGCGCATGCGAGGTAAACGATAGTACTATGAGGCTGATACAGTGTATAAGGTCCACAGCAACGTATGCGTTTAGCCAGAGCCTGGTAGAGCACGATTAGCATTGCAACTGCAACAACTGGAGAACCGCACGTACCACCGGAGTAGACCTTGCCGAACATGACCTCCTGAAGCTTGTCGTAGAGCGACAAGACACCAGCACCAGCAACACCACGGAGGATGTTGGCACCAGCACCCTTGAACAGGGACTTCATGCCCTCCTTCGCGACGATCTGCGAGCCAGCATCGAACATGGACTTGTAGTGAACACCAGCACCAGAAGTCATCATCATGCGACGACTGTGAAGATTCAGGTAAGCCACCCGTTACATAGTGAATGACTGCAACAACGTACCGGATGGTGTCGAGAGGGTACGAAGCAAGACCAGCACCAATGGTAACACCCCAGCCGAGCAGGAAGGACGCGAAGAACGAGCCCTGGAGAGCACCGACGAGGACAACGGGCTCTGCACAGCTAGTCAGCGATAATCCGTAATCCAATCTGCGATAAATACGTACTGAGCGAGTCGTAGACACCGAAGTAGAGACCACGGTAGACGACGATGCCGACAACCGACGGGACGAAGCCACGGTAGAGACCGGCGATACCATCAGACGCGAGGGTCTTCTTGTAGACGTCGACGAGGCCGTTGAACTGGCGGGCTCCTCCACCCTTGGCGGACTTCGCGTCGTTCGCAAGACGGGTACGAGCGTAGTCGAGCGAGTACACGAACATGAGCGACGCGGCACCAGCACCGGCACCGGAGGCGACGTTGCCACCGAACCACCTCCAGTAGCCGTCGTCCTTCTTAAAGCCGAACAGGGACTTGAAGTAGTCCTCTGCAGTGCCACGTCAGACCCTGTGACGCGTACTCGGGAAACATATTACGTACTGAACGCGAAGTTCAACGCCTGCGTGGGGAAGTACCGGATGACGTTGGCGGTGTTTCCTCTCCAGAGGGAGAGGACACCCTCGTCACGGTAGGTACGCGCGAAGCAGTCGCTGATGCCCTTGTAGGGCTCAGCAAGGCGGCCCTGCTTGATCTGTGACGCGACGACACGTCAGAGAGGTACTTGCTGGCACTAATCAAGCGAGACTGACCATCTCGTCCTGGTTTTGAATCAGGAGCTTGATACGCTCGATGGGAGCAGCGGAGGTCTTGGCAACAGCCTGGAGAACGCGCAAACCCGTCAGTGACACGTCGAGAACACTGTGGACCGTAAGACATACCGCAGACACACCACCCATCATGAAGTCGACTGCACACAGGTGCCAGGTCAGCACTCAGATCCGTCCAACAAGGGCGCCCCGCGACACGACGGCGCGGGCGGGCAGCGCAGACGCACCAAAGAACTCCTTGGGAGTCTTGCCCTTCTTGACGTCGGCCATTTTGACGGGGGGATAAACCGAAAGGAGGGGAGGAGACTGAGTGGAGGGGGAGGGAGAAGATGCGAGAGAAAAAGCGTCGCGTGCGGACGTCTAAGTACGTTTTCGGAATCGGCCGGGAATTTTGGACTCCGTGTCCGGCCGACGCGTCCTGCGCGCGTAAGTTTTTGCTGGCCAATCACGTCGAACGCCGAACGCCCCGGGACGCCGGCGTGCGCTGTCCGGCCGGTGTGAGTGCTGGCACTGCTGGCGACGGAGTCTGGGATCAGCCTATCACAGCGTGCTGTCCCCGTCACTCGCTGCCGTCTGGTCCGGCCCCTTCACCCTGCAAGGCGGACCGTTCAGGCTCTCTCCCATCACTTGTTCCTGTTACAGCGCACGCAAGCGCATGCGGGAGGCGGACAACGCGAGTCGTATTACATAGACGATAAGACGAGGAATACGGACGACTAGGAAATAGACGGAAATGCTACGCTACTGATGTGTACAACTTGATCGCATGCGGACCACAAGAAACCCATCAAACACCAATTAACGTCAGGAGCAATGTCAACGCCAGTTCTGCGGCGAGGAGCTACCGCCAGCGCTGTTCCGCGGGGCGTACGAGGTCAAGGGAGGAAGTGTGTTACGGAAGTTGTCATGAGTCGACGTGGATGGACGTCGAGGAAGAGAAGGAGGAAGTGGTAGAGCGCTCGACGAAGCGTATGACTGCGACCCGGACGCCCGGCCGGACGAGTGCTGCGAGACGCTGTACCGTGGCTGCGACGAGAGTGCTGATAGAGGGGGTGCGGGGAGGTCTGATGCGCGAATCGTCGGTCTGTCCTGCGCGGGGGAGATTGAGGACGAGGGGCCGCTGTCGGTACGGGACTTCTTCCAGATCTGCTCCGTCGGTGACGGCAGGTCGTCCATCTCCTTCCGCTTCTTCGTCACAGGGACTGCGCGTCGTGGCGGTGGAGGCGGTTCTTCATCGTCCGAGTCAAGCGTGAGGTCGATGATGTCGGTGGCTTGGGAGCGGGGCGGCTGAGAGCTGCTAACACTGACGGACTGACTCGAGCGAGGGAGCGCTGCCGAGTCTGCGGACGGAGAAAGTTCGCGTTTGACGCGTCCCTCGTCTTCATCTTCCTCGTCGGAGTCCAAGATGACAATCTCAGCGTTGCTTGGTCGTGGCTTCGCATCGAATCCATTCGTCGCCGGCTTAACGGGAGAAGGAGCACGTTTCGCCGGAACGACTGGCTTCTTAACTGTAGGTGGGTGTGCCGCGGTCCACTGTGCCGACCCATGCTTGTTATCTTCCGTGTGCCATTGCCCGTCCGCCTCGACTATGACGTCTTCCACGCTCTCCGGCGTATGCTTCAAGATGTCGTCAAAGTACCTGGAGATCCGTGCCGTTAGCGCCAACGTACGATAACACCGGACAGGTGAACTCACCCATCAATGATGAGGTCTTCCGTCTTCAGAACCTTCTCGCACACGGGACACATCCAAGTCGTCGTCTGTTCCATAACTGAGAACCACGAGAAAGCATCAAAGCATTGCGGGTGCACGCAAGACGACGACCGGCACGGTATTACGATACGCATATAGCTCAACTATATAAACGTCAGCCCACGCTACACGAAGTTTGATATTGTATGTACTTACGGGGCACTTCAACGACATCTTCTGATGACCTGCAACAATCTCGTCGTCGTCGATGTTGGCCTTTCGCACTGAGAAAACAGAAGTAAAGAAAGTGCGCCACCAAGGACAAAGGGCGCGCTTACTATCTGCGAGCACCTCAGCCTTCGACCTGTACTTGCCCTTCCGCAATCGATCGATGAGTTGATCCACGCTAGTGACTTCAACCAACATCACAGCAAGGTAATACTTCTGCTGCAGATGTCAGCCAGGGGTATATGCGGGCGTGAAGGGAGAGAGGTACCTTGGGCGACGTGGGCTGCTGACTGTTCACGTATATCATCTCCACGCGATTGGTCTGGCCGAAGGCGAGTCGTGTGGCCTTGCCTAGATCGGGGGGAGGCGCGGTACCCGGCTTCTTCTTCAAGCCTTTCAAGTTCGCGGTGAGCTGCACACCATTGACGCGCACTTCACATGTGGGTGGGAATTCGATGGGGCATGGTTGAGGGGTAGGATTGCGGAAGGCGGTGGGTACGGCGTAGAACACAGACGATGTGCAATACAGCCGCAGCTGGTATTTGCGACTGCGATAAGGAGGCATTGTGAGCAAAACGTAGCCGATAGTTACAAGAGGAGGTGAAACGTACTCGGTGGAGTTCAGTTTAGCCACTACATCGGCCTGCAGCGAGAACGACAAGGACTGGGACCGACGGTCCATGGAACTCGTAGACTCTATCCAACCACCTTGAGTAACAGCCAGTATATAAGGATAGAGACCATACCGGGACATTCGACAATCGCCGAGATAAGGCGTTCTACCTTGAAGAAGGGGGAGTACCGGAATTGGATGCCTGGCTGAGGCGCGGGAGCGGGAATGGCAGCAGAAAATGCGGCAGCAGGTGTAGGTACAGCAGCTGGCCGTCGAGCTGTGGCGTAGGGATCATATCGTGCAATGGGGGCGGAGGAGGAGGTCGCCGGCTGGTACGCCACAGCGGCGGGGGCGGGGGGCGCGTAGTTGTGTTGGTGAGAATAGGAGGAAGACGACTCGCCGTTCGCCCGCGGCGCGTAGTATCTGAGCAATCGCCGCACATAAGCAAACCGCCCTCTGCGCATGGCTGCGTGTGTCGAAGCAGCGTGCGGACGATGTGGAGGCACTCACCCGCTGTGCCGAACCCGCTGCATAATGGCTTTTGCGCGTACCCAGAAGTCCACACTCTCGCTGCGTCTCCACTGGTCTAGCTCGCGGGTGATCTTGTCAATGAGGTCCTGCTTCTTGCCGGTCTTGGTGAGATTGGTGTGGCACTCGTCGTTGAAGAGGGTGAGGATCTGCTTGAGCTGCTCGACCTTGTTCGACTTCAAGTTGTGTCGGAGCGTCTGTTGCCGCGCGGAGTCCGAGTCAGCCTCGCCTGCTAGTGCATGTGGCTAGCATATAATAACGTGAGAAAACGCACCTCGAAGTCTGCCCAAGCATCCTGGTTGGCCATGTAGGAGAAGGACGCACCAGATGGAGACCAGATGGTCGGGAGAGCAGTCGACTCGCTGTGGACGCTGAGTGAGAGAACAGGCTCGCCGTCTGACCCGTGGGAATCTCCGGCCCAATGCTTGTCTCACGTGGCATGACGCGCAAAACAGACGCCCATATCAGAGCATATTAGTGCTTCGGCTTCAGAGCTTCCCCTCAAAGCCTCAGCTGTGCCCTACTAAGCTTGTTCTGACCATCCGCCATGTCCTCCACCGAAGACTACGACAAGCTCCCGAAGGAAGAGAGAGAGGCTCGCGAGAAGGCGGATCGCGCTCGAGAAGCTTCGGAACAAGCTGGTGCGGCGCTCTGATCGCCACTTCGACCATGCACCGTACCGACCGGCCTTTGCGTAACAGCGTTGCCCTACTCGTGGACGCAGCAGCTCTTTGATGTCGATATCACGGTCCCTGTGCCAAAGGGCACTCGCGCGCGCGATTTGAGCGTTGTGATCCAGAAGAAGAAGCTCAGCGTAGGCCTCAAGGGCAAGGAGCCCATCTTGACCGGGGAGTTGTGCAAGGACATCAAGGTCGATGAAAGTACCTGGACGCTCGGTTCGTGTCCATCCTTCCGAGGACTACACAGTGCGCTCACGCTTTAGAACAGAGGACCAGGAGAGCGTGCTCATCCACCTCGAAAAGCTGAACAAGCAGCAATGGTGGGAGAACGTGTTAACCCATCACCCTAAGATCGACACTACCAAGATCGAGCCGGAGAACAGCAAGCTAAGCGATCTCGACGGAGAGACCAGGTGCGTGCCCGACATGCCCGCCCGTGCGCCACTTTGTTTGACCGACAGCGCCGTAGGGGGATGGTCGAGAAGATGATGGTGAGTGTCTGTGTGTCATGTGAGGCTGTTCGATTGCTCACGCCTCTCCAGTTTGACAATCAGCAGAAGGTACGTCTGCTCGTAGTGGCGACAGGCAGACACCGCCTCACAACGATGTTTTCACGCAGCAAATGGGCAAGCCTACGTCGGACGAGCTCAAGAAGATGGAGGTGAGCGATCGGCTGATACCCTAAGCACTTTACCTGACCTCGCTCTCGTACTTGTAGGCTCTCAAGAACTTCCAAGCTGCTCACCCTGAGCTCGACTTCTCGCAGGCGAAGATCTCATGAGACGGACGTTCAGCCAGTAGATCGTCTGTATAACACTGTAACAGCAATGTATCATTCCTGTACCACCGTGGTTGTCGGCCGAGAACGCCATACGTTCACTGCGGGCGCCGTGACAAGCACACGACGCCGGCGCCGCCGAGCGTGAGTTTCCCAATCTCGAACCAATCATGAATTCCGGAAAAGAACGTAAGCCTTCGCACGCGAAGGGGACAAGCGGTAGCGAGGATACAAAGAACGCAAGTCGGGTAGCCATGCAACACCTCCAGCACAAAGTCCGTGTTTAGTGTCCGTTCATGCCCGCGCCCAGTTCCCCTTAGCGATCATAGCGAGTACAGCTAACGCGGAGTTATAATAAGCACACGGTGATCACTAAAAATACGATGGAAAACTTACCTCAGTTGTTGGCGAAGGGCACGATCTGGCCGTTCTTCGACATGGTGGCCTCCTCCGCGGGAACGGTGTTCACGTCAGCGCGCTTGTGGTTGTTCGCGAACTTCACGATTTGGCCATTCTGCGACATGGTGGCCTCCTCGGCAGGCACGGTGTTGATGTCCGCCGCCGCACGCTTGGCGTTGTTGACGAACTTCACGATCTGTCCGTTCTGCGACATCGTCGCCTCCTCGGCGGGAACGGTGTTGATATCTGCGGTGGCGCGCTTCCCGTTGTTCGTGAACTTGACAATCTGCCCGTTCTGGGACATGGTGGCCTCTTCCGCGGGGATGGTGTTAATGTCCTCCGCGCGCTTCGCATTGTTGACGAACTTGACGATTTGGCCGTTCTGGGACATCGTCGCCTCCTCAGCGGGGACCGTGTTGATATCCGCGGCGGCACGCTTCGCGTTGTTGACGAACTTCACGATCTGGCCGTTTTGCGACATCGTTGCCTCCTCGGCAGGAACGGTGTTGATGTCTGCGGCCGCGCGCTTGCCGTTGTTCGCGAACTTGACAATCTGCCCGTTCTGCGACATGGTTGCCTCCTCAGCGGGGACGGTGTTGATGTCTGCCGCCGCGCGCTTCTGGGAGTTGGAGAACTTCACGATCTGGCCGTCCTTGGACATGGTTGCCTCCTCCGCGGGGACGGTGTTAATGTCCGCGCGCCTGTACGCCTGGATGGTCTCGAGAGTACCGAGCTCGCGGCTCTCGAAGTGACGCTGTGGACTGGTCAGTGACGCTCCCTCCTACATAAAATGAATACTTACGCGCATAGGCATGGGCATGGGGACGGCGGCAGCCTGGCCGACGAAGACGATAGCGACCGCGGCGCTGAGAAGCTTAGGGAAGAACATGGCGTCGTATAGAAAGAACTGGGGGAAGTGCTGGGGAAGTGAGGTGATCTGGCGTTGATTCGGTTCAACCGATGAAATGCGTCGTCCTGCGGCCTAGCGCGAGAGAGGAATCTGCGAGATAGAGGTCAGCGCGTGCACTGCGGACGAGCATGGCGGGAACGTACTGAAGGGAACGAGAAAGGGGAATGGAGAAGGGAGAGGGAGAGAGGCGTATAAGAGAGGGAGGAGAGACGCTGTGCCTGTCAGGACGAGCAGACCGTCGACGTCTGCCGTATCATTTGATACCGGCCCCCGTCGCCAGGCAACTCTCCCACTCCCCGTGTCCCCGTCTATTTACGGCGCGATCGTCCAATCACACCCGCCCTCTCCGCTCGGTCACATCTTTGCGTCTCCCCTGTCACGCATCTGTCACGCTCTCCAGAATTTGCCGGATCTGCGCGCTGATTGGCTGCCGCGTCTTGCCTTCGCTCTGCCACTCCGCTATGTCTGACCCTCGCTTTGCCCGTCTAAAGACCGACCCGCGCTTCAGGCGCATCAAGAAGGACAAGAACAAGGTCGTCGTCGACGACCGGTTCAAGGATATCTTCAAGGAAAAGGGCAAGAAAAAGGGCAAACAGAGGACAGGTACACACCACGCCTCCATCCTAGTTCCCATCGGCGTTGCTCACCACGCCGGCCTCATCAGCGCGCGTCGACAAGTACGGGCGGCCTCTCGCAGATGATCACGAACAAGATAATCTGCGCAGGTTTTACCGTCTCGAGGACGAGGATGAGGCGCAGCTCGAGGTCACCGCGGGCCCGGACTACGCTCGCGGAGGTGTCCTCCTGGAGTCTTCCGACGAAGAAGACGATCGTCCCGGCGCTCCGGAGAGCGACGACGAAAGCGAAGCTGGTGGCATAGTCACGCTAGGGCGCGATGTTACACAGCCCATTCCTGTGCTTGATGATACCGCAGAGGTAGATCTTGACGAGGACAACTTCGCGGACCTGGAAGCACAAGCGGCGGAGTACGCCAAGGCACACCCCGAGGACGATCAGGAGGACTCCCAAGCCTCGCGCACACGCCGACTGGCTGTAGTCAATCTCGACTGGGACCATGTGCGCGCCATTCACCTGTACAAGATTTTCTCGTCGCTTGTGTCCCCCACCGGTGCCGCGGTCGCGTCCGGCTCTAAGGGCAAGAGAGACACAAGCTCATCCTCTTCCGCCGTACGAGGCAAGGTATTGAGCGTCCGGGTGTACCCCAGCCAATTTGGCAAGGAGCGGATGGCTCGGGAAGAGACTGAAGGACCGCCTCCGGAGGTTTTCAAAAGGCGAGAACTCGAGCCTGAAGAAATTAACGAGCGCACCATTTACGAAACTGGGGACGGCGAGGACTACGACGAGGAAGCACTGCGCAACTACCAGCTCGAGCGATTACGGTATGTCACTCCAAGGCTATATAGGAATGCAGCCGCTGAACTTCCTGTAGATACTACTACGCCGTCGCAGAATGTGACACAGTTGAAGCGGCTTCGCACATCTATAACGAGCTGGAGGGAACCGAGCTTGAACGCTCCGCAAACGTGTTCGACCTCAGCTTCGTACCGGACGGCATGACCTTTGACGACGACTGCCGGTACGTGCCGCCACATTGCCTTTCTCTCATCTCGACATTGACAGTGTGTCAAGGGACGAAGCGACAGCCGACCTCAGCGCCCCGTACAAGCCCATTGAATTCGTTACAGACGTGCGTGTGACTATTCCCCTTTTCGTGCCCCGTCTCACGGACTAACGGACATCTTCCCAGGCCCTGCGGCATTCCAAGGTCAAACTGACCTGGGACGAGGACGAGCCCGAGCGCGCGCAGATCACACGGCGCATGCTCAGCAAGAAGGAGATCGAGGAGAACGATTTCCGTGCGTACATCGCCTCGTCGTCCGACTCCGAGCCGGACGACGCGCCCGCCGCGTCCAAGGGCAAGGGCAAGAAGGCGAAAGCCGCGGAGCGCGACCGGCTGCGCGCGCTGCTCCTCGGGGGCGGAGACGACGACCTGCCGGAGGGCTGGGGCGGCGACAAGGGCTTTGGGGACGGCGAGGACGACGTGGACATGGAGATCACGTTCACCCCCGGGCTAAGCGCGGCAAAGGACGGAGACGGGGACGAGACCACGCTGGAGAAGTACCAGCGCAAGATTAAGGAGAAGAAGAAGCACCGGAAGGAGGAGATGCTTGAGAAGCGGAAAGACGGCAAGGAGGAGAAGACAGGGAAAAAGAAGGGCCTCGAGGACGACTTTTTCGGCGGGGACAGCGACGATGAGAGCGAGGCGGAGAAGGCGCCGCGTGAGAAGGGCAAGAAGGGCAAGGATAAGAAGGGCAAGCGAAAGGGCGGAGAGGTCCCCGAGGACGAGGACAGGCCGGCTCGCGTCGAGTCGACGGCGGAGGAACTCGCCCTCGTGGCTGCGTCCGAGAACCCGGATGCAGAGGTCAAGCACTTCGACATGAAGGCTGTGCTGCGTGCGGAGAAACGGGGCGGCAAGAAGAAGAGGGGCAAGAAGGGGAAGAAGGGTGCGGACGACGGCGAGGCCGAGCTGCAGGAGAACTTCTCGATCGACGTCAAGGACGACCGGTTCAAGGCTGTCCTGGAGGACCACACCTACGCCATCGACCCGAGCAATCCTCAGTGCGTAGTCTCCTTGCTATTTCAAAGGGCACTAACCTAACCTTAACGACACAGCTTCAAGAAGACGAAGAGCATGGCTGCACTCCTGGACGAGCGTTCCCGCAGACAACATAAAGCGTCCCACGATCGCGATTCAGCCACGTCAAACCGCGGGGACGCCAGCGGTCAGCAGCCCAGTCTGCAGAGCTTGGTTGAGAGCGTCAAGCGGAAGACAGCGGCGATGGACGCGCCGGGCGTGGGCAAGAGGCGGAAGTTGACATAGCCTATCCGACATCTTATCGTACAAAAGTACCTGTACACTGCTCCTAATCCCATACCGCCCCGGAATAACTACTCCTTGAGTCGCCAGATGAAGAGGGTGCCTTCTCCGAGACCCACAATGACACGACCCTCGAACCCTACCTCGCACGACGTGATCTCCTCGACCTCAGCAGGCCCGCCCATCTGCGAGACAGCCTGGATATCCCACCCTTCGACAGCGTCAAACAAGAACGCAAGCGGAGCTGGTGGCGGATACATAGCTGTCGGAAGTTTCCCGAAGGGCGCGTCCTTGCCCTTCTTCTCGCCATCGTTTTCGTCTTCGTCGTCTCCTTCGCCGTCGGCTTCGTCTGGTGCGGCGCTGCTCTCAGTTGTGCTGGTGCGTGCTTGCTGCCGACCGGGATCGTCCTGCTGCTCCTGCCCCTCTTCCAAGCGCATCTGGTCGGTAAGGTACACCAAGTCGTCGGCAGGAAATTGAGGGGGCGTCCGCGGTTTGAACTGCGCGATGTTGAATGCGCGAATGAACTTCCCGAAAGGTATCAGGAGAACGGGGTCGTGGGTCATAGAGCGGTATACGTGACACTGCTTGGTGACCGTAGGAAGATGATATGCTGAAAGCACCTTGAACGATTCTGCATGACCATTAGCGGTGAGACAGAGTATTTTAACGGGTCGGGTGTGGGCTCACCGCTGTTACGATAGTCCTGTACTGCAAGCGTTAGCAGTTGACTAGGGAATGGAGAAAGCAGTACGCACGCTAGCTGTCCCTCTCATGATCTTCTGCGGAACCTTGCCTGGTGGGAAGAAGCGATTATACCCAAGCCACTGCGAGACCACGACTGTAATCGGCGTCCCATGAAGTCATTCGCTGCCTCTCGTATAGTACGCGTCGTACCTGTGCCGTCTTCGTAATATATGTCCTCCGGGTTCTCCTGGTTGCGACGCATCAACGCAGGGGCGCTGTGAGATATGATAATATCGTCTGCTAGCCTGTATGCTGTGCGTTTGAATGGGTGCACATGTGTGGGGCGTGCGCGGGTAACTGACCAGTTCACTGACAGTACACGCGCTTTGTGTAGCAGATCCGTGCTGAAGAGCGGCTTGTCTTCTCTTGCGAGCCGAGGTTGAGCGGGTGGCGAATATACTGCTGGAGGTATGCGCCATATCTTAACGGCCCGGTCCATCTATCGACGGGTAGCGGTAAGCTCATCGTTCCACGGTATGGAACGCCGTCGCATTTACCCCGCCCGTAGCTATCAAAGGTTGAGTTGGATGGAACGCCTACAAAATCAGTACGGCGTACTCCACAGCTTATAGACTGAGGGACTCACAGCACACAGCACAGCGCCTTTATGGCCTCCAGAGCGACCTCCAACCATGACCGCAACACATTGGCCTATACCTTCACCCTCCGGCTCGCACATATGTAGGCCATGGGCAGGACCTGCGAGGCTGGGCTCTGTACGCGGAAGCCAGTGTGGATTGTTTGGTGCCTGAACCGGATACAAGGCAAGGTCGTAAAGACGGGTCGTGAAATCTCTTGACGTAGTTGCAAACAAGTGAGGCAGCGTGGGGTGAACAGAAAGCGAGGTGATAGGCTGCAAATTATGTCAACCTCAGTACTGTTCAAATGTGCTAGAAGCTTTACTCCGCCATGACCGCGTAGTTTCCCGACGAGAGTCTGTGAGCTGACATCGAAGATAAGTATCACGGTAGAAACTGTGAACACGATCAAAGGTTCCAGAGGGCGGTTAGTGTTGATAGCCCAGGTGACATGATCCACCCGTGTGTTCGCCTGCTATGGACACAGTTCAGAATGTTGCGATCGGACGGTTCAAGCAGGTAAGTTGCTCACCTCCTTCGACGCGGCTATAGTCACTGCAATTGATGGCTTCGCCGTTGCGAGCTTTGGGAATACAAGTAGACGACCCTCTGCGCCTACAGCAATGGCCCCCGTCCAATTTTTCGCCACGTCTTTCCACTGGGCAACCAGCTGTGGGTCTTGCGCGGCGTGACCGCCCCAGAGGATGTCCAACGAGTCTGCGGTCCATGGAAAACATGCAGTGCATTGAAGATGTTGTTTATCGGACTACATAGGATCTTAGTGACTGAATAGCAGTCTACCGTTGTGTGCTACAGACAGTCAGAAGTTTTGAAAGAACGTAGGGTTGCAGATCCTTGGGTTTCCTATACCAAGGAACGTAACCGGAACCACTCGGGTCTTCGAAGTCCATCGGTAGCAGTGCCCAGTGCTCGCGCTATGATCGCGGATTCGTAGCGGACAATGTGGTCGATAGTGTCGGATGCGTTGAGGTCAAGAAGGAGTGCGTCGGTGTCGGAGCGGACGATGAGGAAAGGTGGACAAGCGATTGGCCGAGCGAGGAAGCGGGCCGCATCAGCCACCGCAAGTGACGCCGGCGCAGGCAACCGCGTCCAACGCCTCTCACCTCGAACACACGACTTTCCCCGGCCTCCCCCTCCGTCATGGCCGACGCCCTCGCCACTAAGACACCTCCCGCAAAGCCTGAGCAGGCCGCATACGATCCCAAGCCGTCGCTGCAGTACGCGTCCGCCGTTGGCATCCAGGCAGCTGGCGTCGGTGCCCTGGTCAGCGCCGTCCAAAATGCACTCGGAACGCATACGAGCGGTGCCGCGGGTTTCCTCACCAGGACGGGCGGGACTATTGGATTCTTCGGTTCGTACGCAATATATTGTACATGGTGAACCAGATGTTCAGTGCCATGTCCACAAATAGCCGCTATGGGCGCAACCTTCGCTTTGACCGAGTCGGTCGTGGCAAACCAGCGTCAGACCGACGACGCCCTCAACGGTGCTGCAGGAGGCTGCGCTGCAGGATTCTTGGCTGGTATCCGAGGTGCGTGGTATAATTTTAGCAGGTTAGCAAAATATGCCTCATACGGTTGTGGATAGCCCGTTCATTGCCCATGGCGGTTGCCTCTTGCGCGGTGCTGGGAACGGCGATTGGCACCCTGGACTACAATGGCAAGAACCTCGTCCCGACGGATTCGGAGTCGATAGAGGAGAGGAGGAAACGCTTCTTCAAGCAGCCTCGACCAACAAGCTCCCTAGAGCCTGTGCCAGATGCGGAATAGATGCTGGCTGTTGTAGAGACACAATGCTCACACTTGGCTTGCTGTTCGTGCGTAATTTCCGTGGCAGTCCGGTCAGACCAATATCCTATTCCCCCGAAACGTCGGGAGCATACTAGTCTAAGGGTGTAAACAAGAGACTGGTAGGTACATGGAGACCGTAGAACTGTTTACACCGCACACTGCCACCCGGAAACTTACATGCGAAAGGGAACGCTGATATTTACAGAAGCCCAGCTCAGAGACGCTGAAAGTGTCCATGAAATGCGAACCTCATTCTGGTTCTGGCTTGGGTACAATGTCGCCGTTTCCATACTGCATTGGCGCCTCCGAACTTGCCCCCTCGGGATCTGTCACACCACTTATCCGCCTGACCGCCGCCGCTATCTCATGATTGTGCTTCATCCAGTATGCCTCCCAGGCTTCCGCGGAGAGCTCAGGATGCTGCGAGAGTGGCCCTCGTCACGATAGAACTGGACAGGAGTGTATGTCAACGTACCTTCCGGTGCACCTCATTCCAAACCTCCGTGTCGGCCAAGTTGTCCGCACCACCGCCGGCAAAGAAGTTCGCCAACGCCTCGAACATGTCGATAGATGGTGGAGGAAGGGAAGGCTGAGGGGGAGCCGGCGCCGTCTGCGTAGGTTCGGACGAGTTGGAGTCCACGGGCTCCGATGCTCGTTGGACGCCGGATGCTGCTGCTTTCCTGCGGGCGATGTGCGCTTGCCGCCTCATCTTCTCCAATTTTTCACGGCGACCAGCATAGCTGATGTGCGTCTGCCACGACTTCTGAGTGTGGTGGGGCATCTACCGCAAGTCTCTCCGTTAATCATGCAAAAGCATTGTGAACAGAATGAGGCCTACCTTCGCGTGTAACTTCTCACTGATGGCAAAGAAAGTCATATCGGGATCGCGGAACAAGAGGATCGGGACATATTCATCCACGTAGTCGAGGTCCTCCTTGGTGTACATATTCTTTCCGGGCATGTGCTCGACCACTCGCGTTGGCGGAGGAGGTGACGGCCGCCAGTATTGCTGCGTGAACGGCGACCGCTCAGTGGACTTGGCTTTTGGTTTCGAGCCCTTGGAGGTCCCTTCGCCTGCTGAGGCCTTGGCTTTGGCACTCGACTTGTCCGCTTTCTTCTCCACCTTCGCCTTCTTCTTCGTTGGTTCCTTCAGCGCTGCTTTCTGCTTCGCCGCCAGCTTAGCTTTCTCCATCAGCGTCTCGTCCGCCTCGTCCGATTCGTCTCCCTCCTCGTCTCCGGGCATATCCTCCTCGTCCGATCCCTGGGGTTGCTGTGAAGCCTTCGATTTCCCCTTGGAGGTCGAGGGAGCGTTCGGGCCTGTGAGGATGAACCGTTTGCCCGACGCGCTAGGTCGCCCGCGCTTCTTCTCAACCTGGATGCCCTCGAAGACGAACTCGTCGAGCTCCACGATCTCGTTCTGCTCCACGCACTGAAACACCCACTGTGGACGCACGGCAAGCTTGCCGTAGTTCCCGGCCTGCTTGAGTCGCTCCTCAAAGGTCCTCGTAGCGTGAGAACCCAGGATCACATAATCGGCGTCGGCAATGTCTGGCACGAGCTTTCCACCATTCTTCTACAAACAGGTTGTCAATATCAGTGAGGAAAGCGATCCCTCAATGTGCTATAATCACGAACCTTTATGGCGTCCGCGATCTTCGTTCTAGGTCTGATGTCGATCTGCACATAAAACTTGTACGGTTCCCCATCCTCCTGCGCAAAAAGCTTCCCGAGAGAACTGGAGGGCTCGCGCCGAGGCTGCGGCGAGTGTGGAGTGGCGTCTGGGTACAGCAGGGGAGCCTCGTCGGGCGTGTATGAAACCCGACGCTGCTTATGCGACCGCTCGCCGTCTGCACGACCCTTGCCTGCGCGGCGACTCGTCGATGCTTTCTCCGTGGCAGGGGACTTCCGCTTACGGGAAGTTGGCCTAACGTCCTGCATAGGTGACCCGGCCGTATCTATGGCCACAGCTGAGTAACGGTGAGCACGGAGCTAATGAGAAGGATAACATACCTGACATACTGCCCTGTCGTCGTGAAAGTGATTCGCTCAAACGGCGATCTGGGGTTGCGGGTGTGGGGGACTGATGATAGTGGTTGGGAGAGCCCGCGTCAGGCGGGTGCATCTGGGACATGGGGGACATGGGAGGGGCCATCATTTGCTGTGGTAGAAACATGCCGTGCTGCTGGGAGAGCGGATACTGCGGCTGGACGAACATGCCTGGTTGTGACATGAAAGGATATCCCTGCGGCATGGGCTGTCCCTGCATCATGTTCATAGGTATCTGGTTGCCCATCTGGGCTACCATCTGGGGCATGCCCAAGCTTGCGGGATTGAGGCCTTGTTGGCTCACAAATCCAACCAACTGCGCCACAAGGTGAGCCGGCAGTACCACCTGGGCGTTGGGATCCTGCATGCCTGCGGGAGGGATCGGGGCGCCATTCGGGAGGCTGTTCGGCATCTGCTGCCCCATTTGTCCCTGCTGCAGTTGCTGCGGGAAAGGATATCCAAGAGGTATATTTGGGGGATTGAACTGTGAGCCGCCTGGAGGGTGATATGGGGGTTGATTTTGCATGCTGAACTCTGCTTGGGACGCTGGCGCGTCTGGTGGTGTGTCTCGCGGGGTGGGCAACGGGCTTCTTCACACTGTCAGGTAAATGTAGGATATCCGTGAGGACCATGCGACTTACTCTTGGATCGTTCCAGACGCGTTCTCGCTCAGGCAAAATCCACCCCAACTCTCGTCTGCGATGAACGCCTTCCCTCTCGCCACCGACTTCTGCACCCAGGGAACGTCGAGTACAACTTTCCCTGGTTCCGAACCCCACTCTTCTATGAATTGGCTACCTGACGCGGTCTGGGGATCGACAATGATGATAGCCGCCTCGTCCGGTGAATGAACGATCGTAGCCCCGTTGTTCTGGGAACAGCTAAAGTTGAGTGACGATAGATATTGGCCATCAGAAACGGTATGTACCTTGAGAGTGTTTATGACCTTGGGACGGTGGAGGAGGTCGGAGGCCTCGACAAAGATACGCAGCGACCGTTCTGCGGAGTCGCGGAACACGCGACCAGACGCTTGCGAGGCTGGTGGTCTGTGACTCTGGGCCTCCATCTCACGGGCCTAACTGCAAGCGAGAGTGTTTTAGCAGTGACCAGCGAGCAGAGAGGCGAAAGTCCCCAGATAGAGAGCGGATCCCAAACAATGCGTGTGGATGAGTCGAGAGGGAGGTTAAATGCCAGGGTTACCTCGCCGTGCCGGTCACACCAGTCTCGTTCGACGCGCGCATTCACAAACAATGAGAGGAGTGCGCAGCTAGCATTCTGGCTGTGTCGTTATGTTCTGACGCGTCGCCGACGAGTTTCTACCGACTCCGATGCTCACACCAAACAGTAACGAGAACGATCAAACGTTTTCAGTGATAGACACTCTGCGGGTGAGGTACTTTCCACAAGCGCCCAAACAGTGCAATGGAACATTTGCAATCGACGCACGATCATGTACCATAGGCAGCCTCACGCTAGTTTAGTAGCCGATTCAAGAGTTCGTGGTTCACATCGGTATCTTGCCATCGTCGTACACACTCGAGCGTTAACGCACACTGAGATACTCATACAGGGGACATCGATTGCACCAGCACGAATATGCCCATCATAGAATCTGCATGTTGCCATGGCATAGCGTATGGAGGAGGTAGAACATGACAGCGCAAGGAGAAAGCCACCAGAAAGCGTCCTTCACCGGTAGCTACACGGATGCAAGTGCGGTCAATAATCGGGCAAGTGACAATATGAGGAAGTTGTACGCACGACTTCTGGCGACGAGCACGGGCACCGTGACCACCGAACTTCTTCGGCTCCGCTCTCCTGGGGTCCGCGATCAGGAGGGTCCTGTCGTAGGCAACGAGCTTCTTCTTGAGCTCGAGCGCGCTCGCTGCGTCGAAGTACTTGGCGTAGTACGCAACGACCGCCTTCGCGATCGCCTGGCGGATGGCGTAGACCTGGGAAGTGTGTCCACCGCCCTTCACACGCAGGCGGATGTCGATCGCCGAGAACGCGTCCTCGCCGGCAACAAGGATGGGCTCGTACACCTTGAAGCGGAGGATCTCAGGCCTCAGGAGAGCGATGGGTGAGCCGTTGATGTGGATGAGACCACGTCCCTCCTTGGCGTGCGCAACAGCAGTTGCGGTCTGATTGCGAGGGTTAGCAAAGGGCGTTCTATACACTTGATATGCCGCACGCATAGTACGACGGTTCAACATACCTTCTTTTTGCCGAAAGTCTGGACGGCCTGCGTTGTGGGAGCCATTTTGTCGGAGGTAGGGCAAGCCGGGGTCGTGGGCTGTTGTATGCTAGAGGAAGGACGAGAGTTCAGCACAGGAGTTGGGGGAGGTCGCCAGAGCCAAGTGCACAGAAGGGTCATCCGAAGTGGTGGGATGCAATCCAGCCGGATTTCTTGTCCTCGCACCCGAGTTTGCTCGCCAACATGGATTGACACGTCCAGTAGGACCCTTCTGCAGCATCTCAGCACCCTGAGACATGGACTCACCCCTTCGAAGACTTGAAGTTTGCTGGACGACGATGCGAGGGCGGCACTCGATGATTTCCCTTCAGGCGTCTGCGATGTAACGCGTCACAAACACCCAAATGAAGTTGCGTTACGGAGACGCTGTCACCGTCACGTAGCGCCAGGATTTGTTGTAGACGCCCGAGACCTCGGCACACAACCTCAGTGACCGTCATGCTGGCTGCTTTCAGGCGTGGACTAGGGCAGGTATGTTACTTGCTTATGTGCTTCGAGGACTGGTCTAATAATCGACATAGAGCTCCAGGATAGCCTCTCGTCGACTCTCCACAGTCGTTCCGGCAGCCTCTGAATTCAGTCTCAACGAACATGTAGTGGGCCAAGGACTGCAAGATGCCGCCCAATCCTCTTCACATTCGGTGTTGACGGCGGGTTTATCACTTCCGAATGACAGTATGTGCTGCTCACTACGCCTCTCTGCGCTGTTTAACATGTAACACAGTCATTCGCCCTGTCTACCTCGAGATGTCGTCCTTGATTCGCCCAGAGGAGAACGCCGAACTGTCTGACGAACTTGTGGAGCTCGACCCAGACGTATTCTCCCATCCCATCCGCCGAGACATCCTCCACCTCTGCGTTATTCATCATCTCGATTGTCAACGTCAGGGAAGCGCGAACACGAAGACGCGCGGCGAGGTCCGGGGATCTGGACGGAAAATCCGACCCCAGAAGGGTTCCGGCCGAGCCCGTCTTGGCGATGGTCAAAGTCCCATGCTGCGGGGTGGAGGTGTCGCGTTTGGACCCAGGCCGAGAGACTTCGCAACCAAGCTCAACCGCAAGGTCATCGAGATGGGGATGAGGGTCGCGCTGAGCGCAAGGGTGAAGGAGCAGTCGTTGGGGGTCGTCCGGAGCTTGGAGTGGCCAGGGTACAAGACGAAGGATCTTCACCAGCGCATCGAGGAGCTCGGGTGGTGGAGGACGCTGTTTGTCACCGGCCATGACCAGATACCTGGCGGTCTCGATCGGACGAGCAGCAACCTCCCGATGGTCGAAACAGTCAGGGCGGCGGACCTCAACGTCTACACTGCGCTGAAGTGGCCACGTCTTGTTCTCGACCTCGCTGCGGTGGAGTGGTTTGAACGGGCTCTGGGTAAGCCTCAGGTCGCGCCTCGCGGGTACAAGCTATGATCTAGTATACTTTACGCGGTTAATGTATTGCGTTAATTCTCGGGTTTTGAGTCCGGTGGCTTCGAAAAGCTCAGTTGATGAGCTTGCTCTCTGTGGTCGATATATGTAAGAAATACTGCGAGCGCAGCGAAAGACCTCTCGCGAGTCCTTGCATAACTTCGTTCACGCCGGTCTTTCATGCTGTTCTAAAATTTGAAACCTCTGCTTTGGACTGACATCGATGTCCTCGGTCGGCTTCGTCGCCCCATGGCGAATCCGAATATTGGATACGAACACCATGGCCAGCAACATATCTCGACAAGACTTCTCCAAAAGTTGTGCGGGACGGGGTACCCTGGCACGGGACGAGGCACGCGTTCACGTGACACAACGCGTGGGCAATGAATGCAACGCGTCTCCGACGTGCTGACTGTTTTCACCGCCCTCCATCTCCTCCCCTCCACCATCTCCCCTCCTTCTCTCCGCCTGTCTCTGTCCCCTCGCACCGCCGCCCCTGTATTGCGCCGTTATGGATTCTCTCTCTCAAGCGTCTCAGAATGAGGAGGAGCAGGGGAGCCATATCGCTGGCCCTCTCCTCGTCGACAAACTTGCAGAGGCCGGGATCACACCGCAAGACATCAAGAAACTCACGGAAGCGGGTCTGCACACGGTGGAAGCAGTCGCATATACGCCAAAGAAGAACCTCATGGCTATCAAGGGCATCTCAGAGCAAAAGGCGGAGAAGATCTTGGCCGAAGGTGCGTTGTCCGAGGGCGTGGCTAACCTCCGTCGACCTGCAAGCTCACTCTTTCCTCAGCTCTGAAGATTATACCTCTGGGGTTCCAAAGTGCGACCGAGGTGCATGCCCGCCGCGCGGAATTGGTGCATATAACCACCGGCTCGAAGAACCTGGACGCGCTTTTCGGTGGCGGCATCGAGACAGGCGCGATCACCGAGCTCTTTGGCGAATTCAGGACCGGAAAGTCGCAGATTTGCCACACGCTTGCGGTGACGTGCCAGCTTCCTGTCGACATGGGTGGTGGGGAGGGCAAGTGTCTCTACATCGACACGGAGGGCACCTTCCGTCCCGTTCGTCTACTCGCCGTTGCGGAGAGACTGGGATTGAACGGGGAGGAGGTGTTGGACAACGTTGCCTACGCGCGCGCATACAACGCGGACCATCAGAACCAGCTGTTGACAGCTGCTAGTGCGCTCATGTCTGAGTCGCGGTAAGCAATCAGGTTTCGGTATATGCGCATTTAGCTTAACGGGGTCTGCCCACAGGTTCTGTCTGCTGATTGTTGACTCAGCAACTGCGTTGTACCGAACGGACTTCAGCGGTCGTGGGGAACTATCGGCGCGGCAAGCTCATCTTGGGAAGTTCCTCCGCACACTGCAGAGGTTAGCGGATGAGGTACGTCATGCTGCGCGAGGGCACGTCACTTGAATGCTAATGGACGCCTCCTCAGTTTGGTATAGCCGTGGTCATCACGAACCAGGTCATGTCGAATCCCGATGCCTCTGCAGGCCCCTACATGGCGAACGAGAAGAAGCCAGTGGGTGGTAACATCATGGCGCACGCATCCACTACTCGGTACGTCTTCGTGTGGGTCAATTTACTTGCATATATGCTCACAGTAGGTATAGTGTGCAATTGAAGAAGGGCAGAGGAGCCAATCGTCAAGCCAAGATCTACGACTCGCCATGTCTGCCCGAATCGGAGACGACGTTTGCCATTCTCAGCAGCGGTATTGGTGACCCAGAAGAGGAGTAATCGCGTTCCCTCGACCCTCTCGTTCTGTATTTCGCACCGCCTGTACCTGTATGCCTGAGGGACTTTTCGCCGCTTGACGCGACTGCTACCTTATGATGTATGCCTACCCGGAGTTCTAGTCAGATTGATACAGTATTTCCATTTTGCCTCCGCCTACGCCTATTAGTACTACATGTGTATATCGCACATCAGGATACAGTGTACAGTGGTTGAACGTTGAACGATCGAGAGCCAGTTGAATAGCGAAGGGCCGGACCAGTTGAGTGGTCCCGTCCTGAGATGCGATGAGGGGCAAGGTAAGGTCTATGAATGCAGGGTGGACCGTCCGTGGTCGGTTTTTGGTGAGCGTGGTGGGATATAGGAAGGTGGGAGGGGGCAGAATGGATGCATGCACGTCCTGACGAGTGCGGAGTGAGTAGGGTAGGGGTGAATGAGTGTCTAGGCGAGGAGACGCGTAAGGATGTTCGCGCTCGTCTTGCTGAGCTGCTCGCGGAGCGAGTTCACATCCGACGAGCTGACGTCTGCAATGTCCGCCATGAGGTACGCGATCTCGCCCTTCGAGTCCGAGTACTGCTTCTCGACGTTGAACGGTGAGAGGACCTCGTTGACCTGGCGCAGGACGCCGGGAATGTTGTTGTGCACGTAGCATACACGGACGTGGTTCTCCTCGAGCGTGATCGCACGCAGGTCGACCTCGGGGAAGTTGACCGTGCCGAGCGTCGTGCCAGAGTTGAGGTAGCGGACGAGCGCGGAGGATACCTCCTCGCCGATCATGCGCTGCGCCTCCTCGGTGGAGCCGCCGATGTGCGGAGTGAGGATCACGTTGGGGATGGAGCGGAGGGTGCTTGACCACGCGTTGAGCTGGTCGTCGAAGGGGGCGCCGTTCGCACCGGGCTCCGCAGGGTAAACATCGATCGCAGCGCCGGCGAGGTGCTTCGACTTGAGCGCATCGATGAGCGCAGGAATGTCGACGACCTTACCGCGCGCGTTGTTGATGAGGTATGCACCCTTCTTCATCTGCGCGAGCTGCTCCTTCGAGATCATGTTGGTCGTCTCAGGAAGCTCGGGAACGTGCAGCGTTACGAAATCCGACTCCGAGAGGAGGGTAGCGAGGGAGTCGACCTGCCGCGCTGAGCCGAGAGGCATGATGTTCACGACGTCATAGAACAACACGCGCATGCCGAAGGCCTCGGAGAGGACGGAGAGCTGGGAGCCAATGTGCCCGTAGCCCACGATGCCGAGGGTCTTGCCACGGATCTCCCAGCAGCCCTTGGACTGCTTGTTCCAGATGCCGTTCTTCATCTCGTATCCGCGCTCGAAATACTGGCGCGAGAGTGCGATGACCTCGGAAATGACAAGTTCCGCGACCGAACGGGAGTTTGAGAAGGGCGAGTTGAACACCGCGATGCCGGCCTTCGCAGCGCTCAGCAGGTCGACCTGATTGGTGCCAATGCAGAAGCACCCAATGACCAGGAGCTGCGGAGGTTTCACGTTAGCGTGCGCTCGCCCTGAAGCCAGGATTGGTTGCTCACCTTGCCCGCGGCCTTGAGCACTCGTTCTGTGATTTTGGTCTTGCTACGGATGCCAATGGCATGGTAGGAGCCGATCTTCTCGACGAGCTCGTCCTCAGACATGGCCTTGGCCGAGTGGTCGACATGGAAGCCCTGTTCACGAAAGGTCTTGACGGCCTCTTGGCTGATATTTTCCAGGATGAGCAACCGAAGGTCCTCGTTCTCTATGGGGTGGAGAACCTTGGGCTGACGGATGGCAAAGGTGGTCGAGTCCTTGCGGAAGAGCATGCGGTCGTGGATGTTAGAGGCAGTCGGTGAGACGGAAGCGGCGACGACATTGTGCGGCCTGCTAGGGATGGAGATGGCGGAGGTCATGGTGAGCGAGATGGTGGTAGTAAAGAAGGAATGAGTCGGGGTGTTTTAAAGTGACTGGTCGCAGTCGAGACCAATATATGCTGCTCAAATTCGGAATTAAGTCCATGGCGTGTCGATGGTGCAAGCGAAGAAACAAGATTAGATTAGATGCACTTTTGCTATTGACTCGACTCTTTTTGGACAAATCGCACCCAAGATGTCTCTCTCCTCACTCCCACCAACATACTCTGCCCATCATGGGCCTCTACCTCCTCGACTACGGCGCGGGCAACGTCCAGAGCCTCGCTAACAGCATCAAAAAGCTCGGACATGCCTTTCAGTGGATTTCCTCACCAGAGGACTTCGACAAGGCCACAGTAAGTGCCTGTCCGTCACGCGGCTCGCGCACTCTGACTAGAAATCCCCCATAGAGCCTCATCTTCCCTGGCGTCGGCGCATTCGAGAGCGCGATCGATGGCCTCATATCACGCGGCCTTTACGAGCCCCTGCGCGAGTACATCGCCTCGGGGAAACCGTACTTCGGCATCTGCATAGGCATGCAGGTCCTCTTCCGCTCCTCGCTCGAGTCCCCCACCTCCACCGGGCTCGGCATCGTCCCGAGCGACATCGGCCTCTTTAGCAACGTGGACAAGTCCGTTCCCCACATGGGCTGGAACTCGGTCGAGTTCCTCGATCCGGCGGAAACGGCGCACGAAGGCATCGACCCCGCGGCGCGCTACTATTTCGTCCACTCCTTCCGCGCGCCATATGACTGGGAGCACGCGGAAGCCGCCCAATGGGCGCACACCACAACGCAGTACGGCCAGGAGGTCTTCTTGGCGTCGGTTCGTAAGGGGAACGTCTTCGCGTGCCAGTTCCACCCGGAGAAATCTGGAAAGGCGGGCCTGCGCGTTCTTGATGCGTGGCTCCGCTCATCTGAAGCGGAACGTGCGACGAGTCCGCCCACTCCCCGCGTAGCACGTCATCCGAAACCCAAGGATGGCTTCACGAAGCGCGTCGTGGCATGCATGGACGTCCGGTCGAACGATGCCGGTGACCTCGTCGTGACGAAGGGCGACCAGTACGACGTCCGCGAACGCACTGGCGCGGACGGCATACAAACACAAGCAGCAGGCGAGGTTCGCAACCTCGGCAAGCCCGTCGCACTTGCCGCACGATACTACGAGGAAGGCGCGGACGAGCTCTGTTTGATGAACATCACTTCCTTCCGCCACTCACCGCTTCTCGACCAGCCTATGCTCGCCGTCGTCCGGGCAGCTGCCGAGACGGTGTACGTCCCGCTCACCATCGGCGGAGGCATCAAGGACACCGTGGACCCAGACGGCACCCCGCACTCTGCGCTTGAGGTTGCCGGGACGTACTTCCGGGCGGGGGCGGACAAGGTCAGCGTCGCGACTGAGGCCGTCTTCGCAGTGGAGAAGATGCGCACACGTCCTAGCGCAGACGGCATCGGAGAAGGCGACGGGACGAGCGCTATCGAGACAATCGCGCACGCGTACGGTCGGCAAGCGGTCGTCGTCTCGGTTGACCCTCGAAGGGTGTACGTCGACGCCGACTACAACGGCCCGTATAAGGACGAGCTGGTGTTCGGCAAGCCGGACGGCACAGAGAAGGAGCGCGGCCGGGCGTGGTGGTACCAGTGCACGGTGCGCGGCGGGCGCGAAGACCGGCCACTGTCTGTCGCACAGCTCGTCAAGGGCGTGGAGAAGCTCGGCGCGGGCGAGATCTTGCTCAACAGCATCGACCGGGATGGGACTGGGCTCGGATTCGACTTGGACCTCGTTGCATTGGTCCGGCGCAGCGTACGGATACCGGTCGTCGCCAGTAGCGGTGCAGGACGGGCCGCGCACTTCGTGGAGGTGTTCGAAAAGACAGGCGTGGAGGCTGCGCTGGCCGCGGGAATCTTCCACCGGCGGGAGGTCGGGATTGACGAGGTGAAGGCTGCGCTGACGGCGGCGGATATCAATGTGCGGACCGCCTAGAGACGAATTTGAATGATATTGTACAATAAATGTACTCCACAAGCGTCGACCTCATTTACGTTTGACATCGAGCGTCGAAAACTCACGCGGACGTCGCATACGTGTAGGTCCGTGTGGGTGCGAGCGACTGTGCGACGGTGTATACTTGAATTGCAAATCGGTATATACATACACAAGCGCGGATCGGGTACTGGGATGGGTAACGTGGGCGATTGGGCAACACAGTACGGTAGGTAAAGAACGACAGGGCGGGAAAGAGCAGCGGAGACCAGCGAGGTGGGTCCGCGAAGCCGGTATCAAATTCGTAGGGATCGTGGAGGACATTACTGGAGGCGAACACGACACAATTGGGGGGATAGGGAGCGGCCGGATGCGTACATAATCGAATGCAGAAGTCGCGAACGTGCGGACGAGACAGCGCGAAGAGTCCCTCTAGTAATACGACCACGTAACGCTAGTGTACATGGCGAGCAAGAGAAATGGGCTCCGAAAGGGGATTACAAGGAACTGGGCAACAGCATACAGTGAGGGTGGAAGAGGAGAGGGGATTGATAACGATTCCTGGCGTGGTATCGTCGCAGCTTTACTTGGAGGGCCCACCGCCCTTGACCACGCCTCGAACCTTCTTCATGAGACTGGTCTTCCGGCCGAGACCGGCGCCTGAGCCGGCACCCATCTCGGAGTCGAAGTACCCGTTCTGGTTCTCGGCCGGGGTGTAGCCATCTTTCGGGGGAGGAGTGGGTAGGGACTTCTCCTTCCGCATGGGGATGTGGTCAACGTAGACGAAGGCCTCGTCCGACGGCGACGATTGTCCATTGGACCGTCCGTAGCGTCCTGGGGATGAGACT